AGAGGACCGGCTAAAGGAACGAAACGAGATAAACGGCGCACACACAAAATGAATGTTCATGTTTACCCCTCTCTCGGTCGTTGTCTATATAATACTCTTCCTACCGATCACCTCGTTTTGAGTTTCCTTTCTTTCTTCTTCTACCCCACTTCGGCTCCATTGTTTCTTTTGCTCTTCTCTTTCCTTGCCAACCTTTATTTTCCAGGCACCAAAACTCTACTTGGGTTTCTTGTGTTTGTCAAATGCCAATTTTCAGGGCTGTTAAACGGTCCAGAAGGTGGTGAAGTGACCATGAAGAAAACAGAGCGGTTCGTGACCCTAGTTGTCTGAGCTCAGCAGCAGAGAACAGCAAGCGCCAAAAGACAAAAGTGGCGAGATGTAAAAACACGCGTGCGCGTACCATCAAGAAAAGGGCACACAGTCCTATCAATCTACTTGTTCACCTTCCATCCCTCCGCGATACATATTCTAATTTCACTATTAGTATTGCTTTTTGCTGCAAAGCGCATCGGGTTTTTTTCTTTCCTCAAAGGACAATTGGAAGATGCGCCGCTCCCTATCTGTCTGCTCAATTTTTTTTCTCTGATCGCTGTTCTATCCCACCACACAAAAAACATATTACCCATTGAAACAATAACCTTCGTGGCATGACATGGGCTGGTCATGCTCAATCACTCCCAACGTTGAAGTTGCGCTCTTTTTTTATTCCTCGCTCTCGTCCTTCTTCTTCCTCCACCAATAATTGTTTCATGAATGACTAATTCTCCTTGAGTAAGGGAGGGGCGTTGAGCAAAAACAACAACAAGTTGTGCACCAGCCGTTTTGTAACAGCATCTCATCTCTCCCTCTCTCTCCTTCGCTCTTTCTTCCGTTCAATCCAAGTATAAGGGTATATGGAGATCGCCTTGTTATTGTTATTGCCCTTTTGGTCCGGCACTAACAAAAAATAACCCGCCCATCCATTGGTCGCAAAAAGGCAATTAAACACAAAAAAAAAAACATAGAGAGGGAGAGAGCTCATTCGCAATGCTCAATCGAGTACCATGGGTCAGGTACACCTCAATGGGTTTTTTTTTGTTTTTGTGTGGCTCATTTTTGTTTTTTTCTGACCATGAATCAATGTAGAAGGAGAGAGAGAGAGTGCAATGCAATGAAGGGCAAGCCACAAGCCATCCCCCTAGCTTTGCACTGTAGATGTCCCCGTGTCCGATTCTTCTTTGTGTACCATTGGCGAAGCAGACGCCCCGATCCCTGCTCCCCCTTTTTTTTCCATTTCATTAGTGTTTCTCATTTCTTTTATGAAGATGGTGCTCAATGTTGGAGCACGATAGATAGTTGGAGGATTTTGGAGATAGAGATAGTGTGTGCGTGTGTGTGTGTGAAGGGCGCCAACGTGTTTATCACAAAGTAAAGAGAGGTGCAAGCAATTTAGATGGACATGCATTTAAACTATCGAGACTCCACCCAGCGTCAACAATTCAACTGAAGTCAAAGAAGAAGAGAGCGACAGGGAGGGAGCAAGTATGCTGGAATATCTGATGCATGCTGCTGCTAGAGAGCGTAACGGGAGGCTAATACCATGCCATGTGTTCCTTTCTTGACGATCCGATCTGAAAAGGAGAGAAAAGCCCTACTTAGAGTTGACCAGTCCCTCATGCATGGAGCGCCCTTAGAGAGAGAAGGAGACGAAGAGGAGAGACAATTAGAGAGCGCCATGCAGGCGAGGAAAGAATGTGCATGTAGAAGGGCATAGAGGCAAGGCAGCGGAGACATCAAAAAAGAGTGAGGAAGGTGATCCATTGGTGCGAACTGAGTTTTGATAGGATTGTCTGTATTGGTTCGTAAGACCATGCAATTGAGATGAATAGGAGTATTTACTGCATCTTGTTTTTCTGAAGATTCGTGTCCCTTTCTTCTTTTCCTAGTAAAATGGAAGGAGCAAACCTTGCTTAATCGCTTACATGCGTTTTCGGTCCTCACCATACGTCTCTCATTGTTTTTTTGGTCGTCCGTCTTCCCTCTCTCCTCCCTCTCGGATCTTGCGTTTCATTTTCATTTTCATTTTCTTCTTTTCTTGCTCCTTTTCGCGTAATGTTCATACCTCCTTTCTTTTAGCGTATGTGGTTGGATGCATTATGCACATGCATGCCCTCGCCTTAGTTTTTTTGCGCAAGTGGCCTCGAACATTCCCTTCACCAAAAAAAAAAAAAAAAAGAAAGAGGTAGATGCACGCCCTTCACCTCCTTTTCTTTTCCTTGCTCACTAGTCTACTTTGTTCTCCCCTGCCTCCCCCCCGCTCAAGCCTCTTTGTTTGGGTGCCCCGTTCCATGTCCATCTGTACACACTGCAGGATTTTGGGGAACACAAGGAAAACACACCCATCATTATCGGGCAATGACTATGCAACATGAGCAGCAACAGGTGTTTCGTCCATCAGTCAACGGTTCTATCTTGATAAACTAACATCGGTAGATGTAGGTCTATGAATCATTGTTTATCTTTTTTTTCGAGATGTACCATTGGAACGAAATGCAAAAACGGGCACATACTCACGCGCACAAACAACGTAGCATTACCCATGCTGCTTTTTGTCCCGCGTTCGCAGCGAGCCTGATGGGGAGTTCTCCTGTCCTGTCCTCCACCCCTGCATATCCAACGGTCGTGTTTTTTTGCGTCGATTTTTTTTACCTGCATAGGGGTCGTACCATGTCGGTCAGTGATATCTTTTACTGTTTCTTTGTGAACTCTCCCACTTCCGTTTTTCCCAGTTCCGGGTCCGTTCATCGCCACACAAACGTAAAAATACACCCCATTTTGACATGAGATAATTCCTTAGTGTATGTTTTGACTTCGGTCGTCCCAATGTTTAAATCTACCTTTCCAGGCGACTTTTTTCCCTTCCCCTTTCAGCATCTACACATCTACACCTTGTCTTTGCTTTTCTATCACCCTACGTTTTGTTCTGAAGAACCCCCTAACAAAAAAAGCAATCCAATTGACGAGGATCTTTTTTTTTCTTTCCTTCAGAGCATTGCTCTTTTCTTTTTGTGTGTGCTGTGGTATCATAGAAAATAAGCAATAGGAGAGCCAAAGTTAAGATAGGAGAGCATTCAATTGCGGACATTTTTTTTTTTATTGCTTCATGAGCAGTAATCCTTTTTTCTTCTCCTCCACTACCACCTTATCTCCTTCGTCATCTTCCTCTTTCATTCGTTCGCATCTTCCCTCAGTTTTGAATCCTATTCGCTTGCTTGCTTGCTCTAGAACCTCCCTCCTTCAGCACAGCAGTTTGTTAACGACACAACGACATCAACTTTGAATTTACCCGATATCTCACTTGTTTTAATTGATTGATGGACACGTCAAGATGAGACATTCAGGAACCGAGACACGTCTGTTCCCCTTGGTTTGTTTAAAACTGAAATGGTATCTGTATCAAAGACCTGCCTAATAGCTTACTCATTACCTCATTACGCGTATAAATGTTGACTGGGATTGTATAGGACGCCCGCTTTGCAAATCGTTGATACACCTTTTTTTTTTTTTTTTTTTTTTTTTTCTCGGCGCTCGGATAATTGAACGCTACGCTACACTTTCGCCACCGCATTTAGGCTAGTGCGGTTTCTCTTTCTTTCAGGGCGAGACCAAAGAACAACCTAGCTTGCACTTTATTCCGTCGAAGGGCTGGGGGTGTGCATTAGAGCTACAGTTGTGTGATCTTAACAAAGAAGGAGGGGGGGACGCGGAATGTACGCTGAGGCAGTGATCAGTTTTGATATATATTTTTTCTTGTTCTATTTTTCTCTTTCTTGCTTGTTTGTTTGCTTGCTTGCTTCATACTTCTCTCTCTCTCACTCCATGTCATGAACTCAAAACGACAAAACATTTACAATATTGTTTTTTATGTCTTGTCATCTTTTCGTTCACATCATTCCTACCACAAGAGAAGACCCCTCTTGCGCTATCCAGGTAGGAAAAGGAAAGTAAAATGAGCGTGGACAATTGGATGAATGATCGAGGATGCTCGGAGAGTTAATTGGGCTTGAAAATTTAACCCTATCTCTCGTTTATGTCCGTCAAAGGGTACGGTGAACCTAGACATGGATCGGACTGTCCAAGGAGCGATGGCATCCATCGATAAAGAGAAAAGAAGGTTCCGAAAAAAAAAGGCGATGTCATTCCCGCACAACTACCGGTACTGTATATGTTGACGGTTCTGTCAAAATTCGAACTATATAAAGATCAAAGAAGTGTCTGGTTCTTGGAAAGAGACACATTTTTCTGAACAATCAATTTGGTGATCCATTTCCTCACAGAAGAGAGACTCATTTTGCTAACGGCGAGATTTTTGTACAAGGTGTAGGAATAAGGGTCCAACCCCCGATTACTCTTCTTTCCTTCTTTCAGCCTCAGTTATTACAATTGTGTGGTTTGGTACTTTTGGTACTCTGCGATATCGGATGCGCACTAAAAGGTATAGGTCTGGCGGTATATTAACAATTAGGCGCAGAGCTCTTAGCTCGAAAATTGCCGCTCCTTTTTATTTTCCTTCTTAGCGCGCTAAAGTACGCTAAGAAGAGCAAAAGAGAAAAAAGAGAAAAAAGAAAGGCCATTTCGGAGATGATTCAGGAGCCCTATATGAAAAAAAAGAAAGGAAAAAAGACGCGAGAGCTGGCTCTTGTAGCTCTTCAAAGGAGGGTTCAGTCCTGCAAGGGTGTATTTTTTTAAGGCTTTAGAATTAGGACAGAAAAGCTTATTCGGTCAAAACGTTGAAACTTTATTGTTTTGAAGCGAGTAAAGGGTGAGCAAAGTAATGTACAAGTGAAAAAGGAAGGGCAAGGAAATAGCTGATCTGATGGACATATTGGACAAGGTAAAGGACAAAAAAGCACAAAAAAAAAGCTGATGGAGCTTTAAAACGGATCAAGTCCTATCAACCTTATGATCCAGCCTCTAAAGAAGGGTCCAACGTCTTCGTCCGCGTTCTACAACGGCCGACACTACCGCTGGCGGTATCTTTTGAGGCGTCCCGAGTGATGGACACGTCCAGTTCTGAGGTGCGTCCAGAGTTTTGCGTGAGCAGGCTTCCAGAGTCGTTTGAATGCCTTGTCTCAACATGTTCATGGCTTTGATCGCGGTCAAGAGGCTCATCATATCGTATCGGGATCGTGGAGTGTAGAATACGGATACCTTCTCCATCTTGTACACTGTTCTTGCTGGAAGCGATAATGTGTACACATCGCATCGAGAACCTATGTGTTTTGCAAATGAAGAGCTGTAAGTAAAAGTCACCTCTAATTAGCTGCCATTAACCCACCAAGCATCACAAATGGTACAACATGTGTACTTACCAGCTGCAAGGATACCATACACCATCACGCCGTTCACATCAATCCCCTTCCGCTCAAGGTCATCCAACGAATCCCTCAACAGGAACGCCAATTTCTCAAGATCCCCACGACCGTCCCCGGTTTGAGCCGCCTGCTTGACCTCGATGATTAATGGAAAGACCTGCCCATTTTTGGTGTCGCATTGGAGAAAAAGGTCCGGCCGACGTCCTCTCAGGCTGGCATCATCTTTTTTCTTCCGGGCGCTGGAAGGTGGAAAGCTTTTGTCGCTGCAAGGTGATAAGAATTTTTGCAAAACCAAACCGCTCCTCACTTAGTACACATACATTTGGATCTTGGCATCTGCTTGTGATCATGAAGACTGTAGAATCAAGAACTTACGTTATAGTTGCAGTTCCTTTGATTCCTGACAAGTAGATCTTTATAAACGGCGAAAGCGTCTTTTCAAATCCCCCAAACTCCCCATCCACAGATCCCGTCCAGAGATGCGAGGTTTCGACCAACCTCAACAAGAGTCGTTTGAGTTGAGGATCCATCTTGCTATCCAGAATGTAGTCCGGGGCATCGGCATGTGAGAGCTGCGGCATTGTCCCGGAGATCTCGATTATGTCCGCAGCCACGTTGTCCACTGAGGCAGGGCTCCGTCGTGACGACGACGGCGTAGTGGTGGTACCATGGCTCAAGGCAGTCCAGAGTTCGATATTATCGATCGCGTAGAATAATGTGGAACTTTGATCGTCCTGATCGAATAGGTAAATGTGTGTTGTAGCCCTGTCCCAGATTGAAAAATGAGAAATGTTAGCCCAAATGTCACATCATAACAAAAAGCCCGGCCAAGAACAAGCAGGGGACTTACAGGCGCTCGACAGGGCCATTGGGCTCACGACTCAGCAAATTCTCCCGGTACTGCATCAAAGAAGGCGTCACATCGTGCTCGAGTATAAGCCAGACCGTCCATTGGTTGCTGGGTATATTGTCGACACTTCCAAGCAGACTGGTGTGATGATGACCGGTCCATGGTTGCGAAGGAGGCGGTGGTGTGGTTCGGTCCTCCAGAGTTGGCGATAAGCTGACAATGGATCCTGTCTCATCACTCTCCTCATTCGCCTGAAAGTCAGAGTCACTCTCATCGCTCGGAAAACTAACAATATCTGATAGCGGAACTACTAAAAAACACAGGCAAGCGGTAATTAGTTTCATATCTCGCGTACAATTGATCAAAATAAAGTTATCTCCTTACCATCAATATCCTGACCTTGCGCACATCTCTTCTCCTTGACCTCGACGCTACTACTGCTGTTATTCCCAATTGCTTCATCCCGACCCTCCACCTCATCACCCGCCAACATAGTCTTGTAAGCCCTCTTCGACCGTAAATACCCTGCCTCCATCGACAACGTTGCCGCCTTCTCAATCGTCACAATCCTCCTTCGACTCTCCCAGAACAACAGACTCGAATTCTTCTTGAACAACACAAACGCCGCCAGCAGCCGCTCTCGCCTCATCAGGGGGATAGATGAGGATTTGATCAGTCTCTCGTAGCGGCGTTCGGTGGTGGATTGGTCAAAAAGGGAGAATTTTCTGGCGAAGGTTGCGAGGGTTACGTGCTCTGTGGGGCGGTGTTCATGGACCCATGTGAGGTGGTCTGGGAGGACGGGTGAGGCGGGTTCTTTATTGTCTCCTTCCATTGTCTACTTTGCGAAACAAAAAAAAATGGGGGGGGGGGGGGGAGAGGGAGAAGTGAGAAGTTGCTCGCAAGGCCAGGATTTACAGCTCGTCAGAAAAAGATAAAGATGATTAAGGCGACAATTACTCACATTTTCGAAGAGTGTTACAAAGGTATCTATCTAGCTGGTCTTGCGCGCCTCTTATGCTCCTTGGGTCGGTTCTGATGTGCTGAGCAGGGATGAATGAAACGCGTTGTGAAACAAAAGGAATGCCAGGAACAAGTAGGACGCGCCGAGATGAACGCGAACTAACCTGAATTTTTTCGGTGACGTCTTTTTGACCCCCCTCCCCCGCAGGATTTAACTCTTAATCAACCTTCAGCTCAACTCTCTCAACAATCCATCAAACGCCCATCCGCCGAGCACCCAGCAAGGACTACAACAAACAACGGTACAAGACACCACTCCCCACTCCTCCTACCCACATCCCAACATAACACCCGCAGCACAAATGCCATGCCTTACTTTGATCCCGTTCGCTTAACCGCAAGGTGGCGAACCAGGGCTGTAGGGGTGTCAAGCTGCTCGTGGTCTCCGTGTTGTTAGACCATGCTCCTGTGTGGCATGTGTATTTCAGTCGGCAGATGTGTTCGGGACTCCACTTCAACATTTGAAGCAAACAAAAACACCATCGGCGCAGGCATGCCGCTACTTTGATTCGGATCGTTTAACTTGAAGAGGTGGCGAACCGGCTGTAGTAGGTGCTTTGCCGTTGGTGGTTGTGCGGTTTCGTTAGTCCTTGATCGTGTGTGTCTTGTGAATTTCGACCGTGCAATATATCTTGCTCACTTTTTTTTTCCATTTGAATATTGAGGTGTTTCGGCACCAAGGACAAACTTGATGAGGAGTTAGTTGACTAACACGTACTTCGTTTTTGTTCGGCCGAGCTCGACACGAGAGTGACGCGTTGTTTAGGTACATCTACGATCACACGACAGAGATCTTTTAATTACACTCGTCAATGTTTAAGAACTACAATAAACACTTCTTGCAAAGAAAAAAGTACAACGAGATGAGATACTGGGAAAATGGCATGGCGAAAGAACAAGTCAATACGCTGGATGATGGCTTCAATTAATGGGTTTACTGCTACATACGCCATGATTACTTGTTCTATCCATATATTCATTGTACCTGCCAAAACATGCTTCTGGCTGTACTTTATCCACCTGGTTATCGTTTCTCCTGAAGACCCAGAAGCAATGATTTAGTCGATAAGTCTCTTCTTGCGGAAGAACTGCTTGAGGTAGACAATCTGCCATGCTCCTAATGAGATCAGGACAAACATAGTCATCGCCGAGAACCACTGCACACGAGAATTTGTTGATTCTAAAAACACATACAAGAGCGACGAAAACAAGAGTATTGCGTCAGTACACAAAACGTTTTCTAAGGCAATATCCTGATAACATATGTATCCAAGTATCCAACAAGGGCTAATAGTGATCCATCATTACCATTGGTGTTACGCATCTTCTCCTCGCGACGTTGGAGGTGCTCCATGTCCTCAATGACATCCTTTACAAGATCCTCGAGCTTCCTCAACTCGAGCTCCATGGGCTTCAACTTCTCCTTCTCCGCCAGCTTCAAATAGTCGATCGTCTCTGATCCAATTTCGAAATCCACATCCACCACGCGCGTGTACTTTGGATCTGCCTTGTAACCTATTCATTGACGAACACAAGAGGAAGGATGAACGGCAATACTGTTAGTCAACACGCTTGGTGACATTGAAGGCATGAGAGTGATTTAGATGTCCTCGTCTTCAATTGTCGTGTACTGGCAAAGAAGTGGGATCAATGGTCCTTACCGGAAGCCAAGATGTTAGTGAAACAAGCGACGACGTTGCCTGCCACCTTGTTCAAGAAAGCACCGCGCTGCAACTCTTCCGACAAGTTATCCTTCTTCCACAACTGGCCCAGATGAATCGAATCATCCGTGACCTATCAACCATAGCCCCACAATAACAATCCAACACAAAGCAGCAGAGAAAAGGATCTCTTAGTATTGTGAGCAATGATTGGATAACATGTGTGAAACGAAGAAAGGCACTCAAAAAAAAAAAGAGATCTGGACATAAAAACATACCTCAACGGAGACTTTCTGATGAGGGCCGTTTCCGACCTTGACCTTGACAACCACTTGGGTGTCGGCTTCAACGTGATGCGAGATGCAGAAGGGTTGGGCATCGCCTGCCTCATGACCGGCGATGGTGAACTTGATCGCCTGGGCGGTGTGGACCCAGGAGAGGGCGAGCATGGCGACAGCCGCGAAGGCCAACTTGGCAGCAAACTGCTTCCGTGTCATTGTTGTAAGAGGGGTGTCGAGGTTGTGGTAGGGGAGTTGTTTGCGCCTTGGTGTCGGGTCCTTGAGTCTGGCGTTGATTCGCGTCGAGGTGGAAGTGAGGTGGAAGGAAAGGAGAAGAGAGGGATGCCAACCAAAAGAAACTCTAGTGAGATGATGAACTTTGTGTGGCCCCCCTTCAGCCCAGAAATACGACAAATGTGACGTGGTCTTCCCTGAGTTCCCCTTTTCTGTGTCACACTTTGACCATGTCCCATCCAGGCTTTTTTGTTCAAAAAATTGTTTATTATGGTGGACTGTGGCACATGGACGATCCCTTCCGGCGTATGTGTTCTAGAGTCCCTTGGTGAACTGCTTAAGTGCAAAATCGACAAAGTCCTCCTGGAGAATATCACCCGAATTGCCCTCAAGCATCTCGGCAAGCATCTCCTTCGATCCTCCAAGACGCTTCCACTGCTTCAACACCCTAAGAACCTCCTCCTCCTTGCCAGGAATCGCCCGCAGAACCTGAGCCCAGCTCAGCAGAATCTCCAACCGCTGCTCCTCATCCACGTTCTCGGCTGCTCCATCCTTGCAGGACTCCCAGGCGAAACGATAGTACACGCTGGCATTGTTCAACAACATGGGCCGGTTCTTCAGCGCCACAGGGGAACTCAACAACGACCGAGACCAATGAATATCGCCCAACTTCTCGAGAATCGATGTGTTCTGGGGCTCCACTTCCAAAGCAGTCAGGAAAGCGCGAGTGGCCGAGGCAAACAGCTGCCAGATCCTTGAAGCACGATCGGTCTTGCCGTCGTTGGCATCAGCAGCTCCAGCGACCACATCGCTCGTTCCAAGGCTCAACTCAGACTTGGAATCCCAATGCTCGATGCCACCCAACGATATCGATCCCTGCTCAAAAGTGGCCAAGCCCTGAGCCCAGGAACCCAAAAGATCACCTTTGTCGCAAAGGGCCTCGACCTGGCGGGGGTGGTGGCGCAAGACGACGTTCAAGTGCTTCAGCGACTGCTCGTAGAGTTCCTCCGAGATCTTGCCGGTGTCCTGGAAGTTGCGGTCGGTCTGGGATGACAAGAGGTTCGAGTACTGGAGGTGAATCTCGCAAATCTTTTCCTTCTGGCTCACAATATCGCTCTGGGATTCAGCCTCGCGGAAGGTCGAAACAGGCTTCGATGCGGGCAAGATCTCGTCGGATTCGAGGGGCTCGGCATCATCATCCTGTTGTCCCTTGCCCTTGCCGTTCGAGGCACTTTCATTCTCGGGTGCGGGCCAAAGAGCCCTGTCGTTGGCAATACCAAGGGCAATGTCCAGCTTTTTAGCAGCATCCTTGTAGTGCTCCTGCGAAAGCTCCCTGGTGTCGACCAAGAAGGCTAAGGAGGTCAATGCCTGGGAAGCAGAAATCAAGGTATCGATCAAAACGCCAGCCGAGCTCGACAACTCTTGCAACTCCTGCTCAACCAACTCCCCGGATTTCTTCTCCTCTTCTGCGTTGGCCTCACGAGACTCCTGAACGGCGGTGTAGAGTTCGTGCTGCTGGATCGAGTAGCAAGTCTCGAACAAGGAAATGGCTTCCTGAAGTTCCTCAGCTGCGCGCTCCTCGGGGTTGCCGTGATCGTGGTCATGGTCTCCGTGGCTGTGGTCGTGCTCATCATCCTCGTCGTCCTCGTCGTGGTCCTGAATCACGTCGGCGTGTGTCTGCAAAGCCTGGCCGAGGTTGAAAAGAGTGTCAGGGTTCTCGGAATCATAGATCAAAGCATTCCTGAAACGCTCAATCGAAGCGTTGAGCAAGGCCAACTTTTGGCAAGGGTCGTGAGAAAAGTCGACCAAGATGTACAGAACACGTCCGCTATAGAAGTCATTAAGAGCAGAAAGTGTCCTTGTTTAGTACAACATGCCAATTGAATGCATCGATCCTGTTGTGATTCCAGCAGTGCAGAAATGAACGTCCCACTTACAAGTTGTAAAGGCAATCAGAGTCTTCGGGGTTGAGTTGACAAGCCTTGTTGTACATGTCTCCAGCTTTTTCGTAGAATCTCCGGGCCTTGTCGCCAGTGGCATAACGCTCACCTAAGATGTTATAAACAAAAGGGAGTAAGTGAGTCGTGTGACCAAAGAACTAACGAGGAGGCGGGAGCAAGGTGGTTTGCATAATCAAATCAAAAAGAGGGAGGTGTAATGATGCATTTTGCCCTACCTTTCTCCTCCAGAAGAACGCCCTCTATTGTCAAGTACAAACAGAGGTCGGTTAAAGAAAGAGAATCACGATGGTTAGTAGCTGGTAGTGGTGATGTAATATGCGTCTGCTGGCGATATAATGGTTTGGCATGAGCAAGTTGTGTTCCCGCCAAAGATAGCATGTCAATGACATCCGTGTGACGCAGTTGCTGCAGTTAAGTTCTTGTGTTCTCTTGTTTCTCCCTCTGTTCTTTCTGCCATGCAAACTTGTTCGGATCACCAATTCGAAAGAGTGATCACCATTCACTTGTGGACACACATTCATGGTGAACGCCACCAATTGTCGTTCTTATCAAGGACTTGGTACCCTCTTCTTTCAGGGCTGAGAAAGTCCAGCCTCTGAAATATTTTTTCGCAAAGGAAGGAAGCAAAGAATTGCAAAAGTTGAATTACCTTCCATGTACTCCTCCCAAGTCTGAGGGACAGGAGCCTCCTTAGGGGCCTTCTTCTTGTCCTTGCTTGCCGAGCCTTTTCCAAACTTCTTCATTGTTATGCTATGTGCTGTGTGCTGTGGGTTGTGTTGATGTGTGAAGAATGAATTCAGAAGAAGAGCTAGGTCGTGTTTAGGTATTTTGGAGAAAGAGAAGAAAAAAAAAAAAGGGCACAGGGCGAGGAGGAGAATGTCGCACGTGACTACTACAACGAACTTGACAACCTTCAAAAAGCCACAAACATGGGCGAGGTCCTGCCTTGGTGAACTACCACACTGAATCACGGAAGTGCCGCTTCAAACTATTCTACATCACACACTACACTAACAGGATGAACTCGACCATTGCACGTTGCCTCGCAAAGGCCCCCATTGGTGTCCGTGGCATCCATGGAGCTGCCAAGAAGGCTGTTCCTGCACCACGAGGTACTGACAGAATCTAGTCACAGCAGGATCAGGACGAGATCTGCTTTTCGGCTTTTCGGAACAGGAACGACCACACAGCAGCACTATATCCGAAATACCTGACACACATTGCCTCTCTGGCGTCAATGCTGCGAACCTTAGGAAACACACTCAGGACATACAATAATCAACCTTGGACAAGCTCAATCGCTCTAAAACAGCCAAGGATCTGACACCATACGTACTTCAATGCTACTCGGAAATATCTAGGTGATATCCAGGACCCATCAGCATTCCTCACAAAGATTGGTCGCAACTCAGCCTCGCTCGCAGACAAGTTCAAGTCCTGGGAGCACCTCTTCACAGCAACACCCGCAGAGATGAAGGCAGACATGTCCTTGTCCGTCAAGCAGAGACGCTGGATCTTGAACTGGACGGAAAAGTACCGGTAATTACCTCTTTGCTAGTCTTTTTTCTGACGGCATTAGGCCTTTTGGCACTGCCATTGATGTCTGAACTGCACCTTTGGCAATTACGGTGGCTAACATGGTACCGTTCTTTTTGAAACTAATAGCCAGGGAGTCGAGCCATATGTTATTCCTACCAAGCCCGTTAAGAAGAAGTCCAAGTAGATTCCATTTCTGGAACAACTCAGCTTTCAACAATATATTGCATTTTTATTCAGCAACCATTACAGGAGAGATTTTGATCTGTAGCCGCGTCTTTATTCCGTGAGCATTGACGAGTTGGCAGACCATTGGCGCTATACCCCATAGTTGGGACAGCAGCCGTCTGGAAAGGAAGAATGTAAGAGCAGTGCAGTGTGTTAGTTCAGGAGTCATGAGAACCATTGTGTGATCACAGGAAAGGCCATGGAAGAACGATAAAAGGATGACAAAGAGGATGTGAGGGATCGATCGGACATCATGATACACTTTCTTTTGACGATGATGTTGATGATGACCAGCTGATAGATCTGGACTTGTCTGTCCGCAGAGTCTTCAGCTATTCCCCTCACTCTCTTTCTCTTAATGGAAACGTCTCTTCAGTACTCTCTCTCCGCCCGCCCCGCCTGGCCTCCGCCTTTTTAAGTTTGCATAAGCAACGACAAGGCTACTTCATTATTTCAGGCACTAGAAAGGCAGTGAGTGAAGGTGGGGAGCTGAGACCGAAACAGCGGCGATTCTGGTTCGGCAGGATTCAGATATGAATTTGTTTTTTTGAGGGCAGCGAAGAGACAAAAACATCCGTCCGTTGAAAAAGGAACCAATCCTCGCTCATTGCCATACCATCTTCGTTTGTTTTTGTTTTCAGGCACATCTGCTTTTGTAATCGAAAGTGTCAGTGGACTAAATGATAACAGACTGGAGAGAGTAGCAAGGGCGAGAAGAGTGAAGGTGGACTGACTGGATGAGTGTGAGAGAAGGTAGAGAAGGAGAAGAGTTGCCGAGATTGATAAATGATAATAACACACTGATGATCAAACGACAAAATGGATGACGACCGGAGTTGGATTTCATTTCTGATTTCCGTCGTCAATACCGTTGATCAATCGAGAATCGATCTTCTCCTCTCTTTCTCTCTTTCTCTTTCTCTTTCTCTTTCTCTCTTCCTTCCCTCTTCGTTTCACCTCTTTTTCACCATTTCCTCACTCTCGTCCCTTTCCATTTCCTTCCTTTCCATCACCGTCCCCTCCGTCCCTCTCCGATTCACCTCAATCTCTTTTTCTTTGTCTTCATGCTGCTCCTCACCCCAGCATAGCCAAAAATTTTGCTCTCGTACCACCTATATCATCATTGTGCATCTCCTCCTTCCGTCCCAACGGCTCTCAACCTTCCCGAAAGTGACGCACTGTCCCTCCCTTTCTTTCGTTCACACCAACAACATACGATGCCGCCGCCAAAGTGGAAGACTGAGATTGTCCCCTCTCACAAGTTCGAGTTCATCAACATTGCCGACTTCCACTCCAGCTCCCCCTGGGCCCGGATCCGGTACTTGTGGGTGTGGACCATGTTCTTCAAGGCGATCCTGGTACTCTGTGGTGATGTCTGGACTTGCACCATCCTCATCATCTCTGGTGCGTGGACCTCTGAGATCAAGCCAGCGATTGAGGTCTCGATTGCTAGGTGGATTTTTACGGGGTGTATCCTGTTGTCATTCTTGTTGTTGGTGACTGATTTCAGGAAGGCGAACAGGGTGATGAAGAGCGAGGATATCTCGTATGCGGTGTCGAATACGATTGTCTCAGGGTTTTATTGTCTGCAGAAGTTTGATTACTTTTGTTTTATCGAGAAGATCCGGAACTCGAGCAAGGTGCACGACAAGCTGTCTTTTTTTGTCTTTTTCCAGCTCAAAGGTACCCTTCTCCTTGTTTTTTTTTCTTTGTACAAGAATCCTCTTTGCGTAAGGGTTTGGAAGAAGCCACAAGGGATTATGCAATGCTGACTAACAACGACAACATATCGTCTACCAAAAGGATGGAAGCACGTAATAGTCCAAGCACCAAGGGCAGTCATCAACATCATGACCCTCGTCGCCTTCATGAAGGCCCTCGGCTTCGACTTTGACCACCTTGACGAAATCTCCCAGATCCTTCCCAACCTAAAGCCCGCAGACAAGTTCACCTTCTGCGTCATGGTCTTCACCTCCCTTATGTTTATCTTTTCGGGACTCGCCACTCTCGTCGCCATTATTCTCTGGATACCATTGGTCGCCAAGGTCCAGGGCAACCTTAAAGAGTATGTCTGCCACAAGATGGATAAGCGGATCGATAATATTATCAAGAAGAAGACCATGGAGCGGGCTAAACAGGCCAGGCGACAGCAGGAGCTCGAAGATAGGAGGTACCATGAGAGTCTCGGACATGGAGGCAGTAGCGGCAGTGGCGGTAACGGCAATGGTGGCGAAAGTGGTGCTGCTGCAGGCAGTGGTGGATTCAGAAGAAGTGGGAGACCTATTTCGGCAAAGACACCCGTTTTCGGAGGATCGACTCCAAGGCGCCCCAAACCGACTCTACCCGACATTGATGTGATCCTCGCCAATGCCCATGAGGATATCCGGTTACCACCCAAAGCTCGAACCTCGCAGCAACAACAGCGTCCTCAGCATATCGATCAGCACCCACACCACCCTCACCATAGCAGCAGCCTTCACAAGCAGCATCACCAGCACCATCATCACGCCTCACACCCTTACAACTCTAAACACAACCAATACGCATACCACGAGAGTCCAACATCCGCCCACGCCTCGCCATACAATGGCGCCAGGCGGTCTCTCAGCAGCGATGAACGCGCAGCAGGAATGGGCTACCACGGAACCAGCCGGCATCACTTGCAGACATACCAATACCACCCTTCACCTCAGCGATCCCATGAGGCCACCAACAGGAAGCAATCTCTGGCGTCGGTACATTCAGAAGGATCTCTTATCATGTACAACCGCAGCCTTCCGGGAAGAGGAGGACAACCACTGTCAAAGGCCGCCCAGATTGCTCGTTACTACCGCGAGCAGCAGCAGCAGCAACAGTCCTTACAACAGCAACAACAGCGTCAGCAGTCGGCTTGGCTTTCTCAACCCCCCACAGGATCCAGTCCCCAACACCAACAATATAACCAGCATCTCCACCCGTTGCAGAGTCAAAACTATCATGACACTCGGCCTCATACGCCGATATTGATGCGTGCAGTCAGCGATGAACCCGAGAACTGGGCTGCTCATTATGGGTTCCCGACGTATGCCAGCCAGACTGGGTCGCCTTCGACTGTCGAGCAGTTTTCGATATACCGACCGGATTCGGGAGTCTTGCCTGACCAAAACGATCCGTACTACAAGCAGTTTGCGTCTCAGACGAGTGTGCACAGCTCTAATTTGCACCAGCATGGCGAATCAGTTGAGGGGTCTAGATCTGGATCGAGCGGGAGGGATGGTCAAACTGGAGAGGCAACGGGAGAAGAGCTGACGATGTTGGATCGACGTGGCAGTAACGGAATTGCAAAGGCGACATTGGTATACCGACCCGACAAGACCGAGCTGGAGCACTACGATAACCTGTATAAGGGTATTACAGATACTCATTTGAGGGTCAAGGCTACCCGGACCATGTCGATCCGATCTCGCTCTTCAACTCGTCAGTCGAATTCGCATGAATTTTCATATACCAGGGCTCTGCGCCAACAGCAACAGCAGCAATGGTTGGATGACAAGACTGGGTACGGTCAGCTTGATTCCATGGTCCAACAACAACAACAACAACAACAACAACAACAACAACAACAACAACAACAACAACAACAACAACAACAACAACAGCAGCAACAACAACAACAACAACAACAACAGCAGCAACAACAACAACTCTATGACCGATTCCATTCCTCGTCATCGCTTCGTTCATCACACGCCACCACATCCCTCACATCAGCATCGTCCCTCCCGCTAACTGCCCGCGCATCATCCGACCAGCTCCGTGAGAACCACAAACACACTACCACTGTTCACCTTCCCACACGCGACTTTTCTGGGAAGGAAGAACTCTTTTCGCAGCACGGATTCCCTGTAGTCATTCCACATACACCATCGCCACTGGATCGGCAGAGTACAAAGAGTTCGTTGGGCTCTGAACTTGAACCGGCTATCAGGATCGAGGATGTCTTGCACGACTTGAAGGCCTCTCTGTACTACCCACAGAACACCAGGAGTGGCAGCCCTTTACCTCCGCCGCCATCGACGATGCTGCCACCCAGTCCCGTCCCTATCAACAGTGCTGTTGGCGCTACTCACACTCGCTCCAGAACCGGCACACCACCAACTCGATCCAGGACCCCCGTAAACGCTACTCCGCCGCCTCATCCTCCTACTCAACCAGCGCCACAGCGAATGTCGCCAGACAGGATCTCAGCCGCGACATTTATTTCAGGGCAAGACCTTTACCTCCGTTCACCCCCGCCGCCTGCTGGTGTAGATGACAATGTCAAGGTGGAGGTGTTTGAGGATTGCAGCAGGAATATCAAGGTCGAAGTCCGCGGCATGGCTGAGGAGGAAATCGAGATCAAGGATGAGAATAGGTCCCATACTATCGCTGTTCCTGCCCCTGTTCCTGTTCCTGTTCAGGAGGGTGTTGTCACCCATCTGGTTTCCACTCTACCACACTGCGGTGCAATTGTCGCTGCTGTTGCTGAGGATACTGAAGAACCGATGGCGCAATTAGATGCGGATGACGATGATGATGGTGATGATGGATGGGGGTACGACCGAGTCAAATGGAAGGAGGAGGAGGAGGAGGAAGAACAAAAGCCAGCAGCAGCACCAGTAACTGCTCCTACCTCGACAGCAGGATTTCCAGATCGACCACCTTCCCTGCCAATGTGTCCACCCCCGAATTTCCACCCCCAGGAAGCAGAATTACAGCATCAGTCGCCTCAACTCCAGCAGCAACAGCTCCGGTGGTCTGTCATTAAGCAATCGCGTCTGTCGACTGAATCGCGCCGTGACCACATCACCGGCACCAACAACAATTCCTACCAGGACCATCCCCGCGTCGTCGATTCCCCAGAGCCAGAGGCCGAGCTGGAGGTTAAAGAGGAGCCAGAGGCTGAGTCGAAGGTTAAAGAGGAGCCAGAGAAACTGATGTACCTCCGCACAAAAAACACCTCCAAATCCTCCCTCGCCTCTATTATCTCCATTCCCTACGTCCAAAACAACCATCACCAGTACCACTTCCATACCCGCACTGGTTCACCCATCCCTCCAAGAAATGCCTCTCCAACACCTCCTCTCCCCCCTCTTCCCTCGCTTTCATCGATGCCTACGAGTGGATCGACATCTACGACCAACCTCGCGTCTACGCTGAGGAAGGGTATGATTGGTGGTAATAATGGCCTTGGTAGTGGTGAGTATGCACAGTCGCGGGCAAGTGTCGATCAAGTCCGAACCTCTGTCGAGCGAGCCACCGCTTCAGCATCCGCATCGCCAAGGATAGAGAGCAAGCTGCGCATGTCGACTGACAGGACGCGCCCTTGAAGCGTGAGCAGCGGATCTGGGTTTGGTAGAAGTAGTACTCGGGTGGTTCCAGGACCAACCGGTCCGGGATTTCGTTGGATCGTGCAAGCTATGGTGTAAGCAGCCAAAGATGGCTCTACGCATGAGCATGAGGGAAGAGCCGACAAATTGAGATAGATAAAGAGAGAGACTTGGACGTAGACAAAAAAAAAAAAAAAAACGACTTTGTTGTATAATCAACAACAAGGGCATGTATATTTACCACGAATGTACATGTGTTTACACCTTTTTGGCACTGCATCCTTATTTTTGGTTTGTTTGTTCAGCTGTTCGAGTGACCTGCTCATAAGGTGAATGATGCGATGCTTGCCTGCAAAATTACAGTGTGGGTGCTGCACGAAAAATTGAGCGAGATGAATGTGCATGTGTATGTCTGTGCATGTACCCCTCTTTTCTTGATTTTTGAATTTCTCCGGATCGGCACAAAGGCTCGCACCGCACCGCACCGCACCGCACCCGTCTCACAGACACGGACTCTGGTGCTCACAGCAGTAAATTGTACTTCTCATCTTGTAGCTCAAACTCACTCACCCGTTCTCCTCCCTTTACTTACACTCAAAACTCTCAATCTCTGTGTCTTATTACGTGTGCGGTGTTTGTGTGTGGTGTGTGGTGTGTGAGGGAATTTCTCCTTTACCCGCAAAAAAGTACACACAAGCAGGACCTTGACTTTGAGACTTTGAGCCAATTCAAACGTTTAGGAGTACCTTTGTGGGAACGAAAATTCACAAACTCTCAAGTGCACAAACCACAAACCACAAGTTCAAGACGCGGCCGAAAGAAGGGCCAACGGGCCAAACTATGTAATTATTATTTTTTTTTGCTTGCGTAATGCATGAATACTTTATTTTTTTTGTAGATTGAGAAAAGGGGCGGGGTATGGAGACACTATAGTACGATACAATTACAATGAAAAGAAGGTATAGATAACAAAAAGAAATAAAGATAGAAAAACGAAAATACACTATTACTGGTGAGAGAGGACAAAGTTATGCTGCTGCTGTTGTTGCTGTTGTTGCTGTTGTTGTTGCTGTTGTTGTTGTTGTTGTTGTTGTTGTTGTTGTTGTTGTTGTTGTTGTTGTTGTTGGCGCTGCAGCTGCTGCTGCTGATGCAAGGCAAACTGCTGTTGAAGCGCATGCTGGTGCGCGAAAAACATCTGTTGTTCCAATGAACTGGTCAAGGACGGGAAACTACTCGTACCCACGGATGCTGTTGTTGACGTTGTGGTGGTAGGGATGGAGGAAGGGTCGGTGGAGTTCAGTCGGAAGTGCTCCACGCCAGCTGGATCACTGGTGCTGGCTGTCGAGAGTGGGGAAAGAGGTGGGGAGGAGGACGTGTGGGAGAGTGCGCGAGGATGGTGTTGCTGTAGTTGTTGGGATGACAGGTCGTGGCGTTGGTAGCTGTTGTTGGTATGGGTGGTATAGTTGTGGTGATGCTGAGGGAAATTAGAATGAGGGTGCGAGAGCGACTGTGCCGACAGTGGATGCGGCGCCGGGGAAGAAGTACTCGACGACAAGGAAGGAGTACTAGAAGCAGTAGCGTTCGTAGTATTACGCATCCACAGAAGACGAGGATCAGACTCATCCGACTGGGACATGATCTGCCGCTGTTGATGGATCCAACGCGGAAGGAGGAGGGTCTGTTGTTCGCCAATGCAGTGGTGGTCCTGTTCGTAGTAGAGGAGGAGGGATTGGAGCATGTCGTAGGCTTCGTCCTTGCTGGGGACTTTTCGCATCCCGCCGTCGATGTTCATTCCGAAGGGGTTTGAGGTGTCCATTCGAGAGGGAATGCCGGGAGATTTGTCGATGGAGGCGGAGGTATGGTTGAAGAAGAGTTGGGAGGATGAAATTGTACTGTTGGGGATAGTAGAGGAAGGGGAGTGGAGAGGAGGGAGGGAATCAAAGAGGTTTGGGAATGAGTCGAGGATGGAGGATGTGTGTGAGTGTGGGTGTTGTGTAGGATGGGAATATGTAGGAGTGGTTGTGCTAGGAAGAGAGGTGGAGTAGGAGTTGAGGATACCAGAGTGAGAGGTGAGGGAAGGGTAGAGGGAGGGGAAGTGGCCTAGGGAAGAGAAGGTTGATGATTCGCTACCGTTGCCACTCGACGAATACAATCTGTGCTGTTGCTGTTGCTGTTGCTGATGCAGGTCCAGATTGAAGAGGGGTGTCTGTGCATGATGTCTCAAGGTCGAGCCATGGCTGTAAGCAGTGGCGGAGGTTGAAGTCGTCGAGGCCGAGGCTGAGGTCGATGTCGATGTGGACCGAGTGTGCTTCGCCGAGGCGAGGGAAGGGATGGTGTTGTTGCTAATTGGGGTGGTATAGGAAGGGGTGGGCGAAGTAAAGTCGTGCTCCTTCCCCAACAACTCGTGACTAGAATGGTATTCCTCTTCATCATCATCATCGTCGTTGTTATCTTCGTTGCTGGTGCTGCCATTGTTGGTGAGTTGGTCTGGGGTAGCATGAGATTGTGGTGACTGGATGTGGTTGTTGTTGCCATGCTCATGCTTGGCTACCTTGCCTTGGCGACGAGAGCGATTGAGAGCAGACGAGGAGGGGCCAACAAGGGGTTGAGCGACATTAGCTGATGTTTGAATTATTGTTGCTGACACAGATGTGGAGGAGGAGAGTGTGGATGCCAAGGGAGAGGAGGGAAGGGCCGTTTCAGAGGAGGCGGATACGGAAGAGGAACCGAAGGGATCCATTTCTACGATCCAACGGTGTCGTCCGAGCCGGTCGACAGCCCACTGGACGCCCAGTCTGCGCTTGAAGTGCCTAAGCCAGCCAAAGGAGCAACGCATGCGGCTGGCACTAGGGATACCACGGGCGAGGCGGAGGGCATGGGACTGCAGCTCGGCGTCGTTGAGGCGACGGCCGTGCTCATCAACAGCGGCCGAGGATTTCAGGAACTGGACCATGGCTCGGTCGAGGTCAACCGAGGCTGGCTCACGCACGCGCTTCAATTGGCCTTCCCAACGTGCACCTGTTATAAGGGTATGTCGATTTGTTGTGAGTGGGAAAAGGGAAGAGATAAAAAGGATAGAGAGCAGTATGGAATTAGATTAAGCACAATGACGGAAAATTAATCAGATCGTCGGGTTTGGGGATGGATCGGCTGGGAGCAAAGTAGTTGGAGGGACAAGGGCTGAGCAACAGCTAAATTCGGTATGGGTAGCGATGCGAAGCGAAGCGAGGCGGAGCGGGCCGAATAAGCACAGGGAGAGAAGGGGAAGGAAAGTGGGGGACGTAAAAAAAAATAAACAAGAGCAATTGCGAAGGAGGAAGACGAGGGATGTGTTGGGTTGCACAGGGAGACGGAGAAAGGGAAGACCAAGAGGGGATAACGTGTGAGCGTGAGCCCTGCTGGCCAATGAGCAGGGGCGTATTAAGAATTTAAAATACTCAGGATTGAATCGACATGAGAGGAATGACGCGGGTAAGAAAGGAGAGGGAAAATAAAATAACGGTATTGTGATGTTTGAATGACCAAATGTGGAGAACAAAAAAGAAGACAACAGAGAGAGAGCAGAAAAGGGACGAATGGGAATGACTGAGAGGAAAACCATGGTTGGAGAAAGAGAGTCGATGGATGGGTCGCAATCGCGCCGAATGGTGCCAACGGAGAAAAAGGAACAAGGCAGGAGAAATTGAAAAAATGATGAAGGGAGAGACAGAGCTGATAATGAACAATTACCTTCACCGGAAGGGATGAGCGGCATAGAAGAGAAATCAGGCATCACGCTGGAACTGCGCGTACTGCTACTGGCGGTGCTCCGGGCTCGCCTACCGGCTGCTGTGGTGGTCTGGTACTTGTTGATCCGTCTGGTGGTTGGGTCACGCTCAAGGCACGCATCCTCGGTGGCCAAGTAGGTGTTTGTGGACGACGAGGATGAAGATGCATTGGATGAAGACTGTTGGAGGGCTTGAACGCTGTTCTGCATGGACTGGTACAGATCCTTGTGGCCGGCCATCAAGGAGGCACGTTGCTTGTGGAGGATCGAGTAGACTGTCACCCTGGCGATCCTCAGACCCCAGGTAGCCAAGACCCAATCGCAGACCTCTGTTGGGCGCAATTTGTGAGTGTCGGCCTGGTGGATCAATTGGCGCTTCTGCTCGCGCGTCAAGGAAGTGTGTTTCTCGCCAAAGACACCCATGATTTGTACAAATGAAGTGAAAAGAGTGGAGAGTGGAGAGAGTGTGCGGAGGATGGAAAATGAATCAATGGAAATATCCGGTAAAATGTATGTGGGCTTGGGCGTAGCCAAATATTGGGCAGGTGGGCAGGGATGGATTGGACGGTTGTTAAGAGGTAGATAATGAAAAAAAGGGATGTAGGGTGGTGTGTCGCGGAAAGATGTTAAAGCCAAAATAATTATCAACTTTTCCAGGGCAAGAGACAAGTGGATGTAGGAGGAAGGAGTAGAAGGGAAGGGTGCGTTAGAGGGGTTGTTTGTTGCTGTTCGTTGCTTTGCTTTGTGAGTAATTGAGTAATTGAATGAAGAAATAAAATCAGAGAAAGAAGAGGGGAATGAGGGATCGGTGCTTGGGGTTTATATAATAAAAAAGGAGACAAGAAAGGGATGAAGGCGTGCACACATGTCAGTGTGATTGATTTTCAGACACAGAAAACGGCAGAAGTAAAGGTAAAGCCAAGTCTTTGAGGGTTCTCATTGACCTGCTCACCTTTTTTTTTTTCCTTCTTTTTTTTTAGTTTTGTCCACTGCTCACACACAACACACCCACAGAGACAGTGAATTATCGAAAAATAAAGGCATACGGGCCTTTATTAGAATAGCTTGATTGCAATTCAATCGATGGCCGGTGACTGACGGAGGTTGTACTTGCATGCAAGTAGCCCTCTCCGCCTCCCTCTCCTCTTCTCAGTCTATCAGTCTCACCCTCAACCCAATCAATCTCACATCCATTCATCACTCATCACTCATATCAACTACGACATCAAATGTACCCATCTGCATCTCGCCATTGCCACTAAATAAGCTGCCACCCTCGGGTAACTGGCTATTCACTCTGATACCCTCTTATCTCACATCACATACCATGCCCTCAAGGTGCACATATATGGAAGAGAGAGGGAGATCCAGCTCAATAGTCAGACGCGATGGGAACACCACATCGAAATCAACCCTCCCTGAACCTTCTGAACCCTGACCCTGTCCTCGTATTATGTTTGCTTTGCCCAGACAGGTTGAGGCTGGTAGTAGAACAGATCCTGTCCTACCCCATAACTCTGATGCTCAATTTTTTTTCGGGTGGATGTCCGTAATTCAGGGTTAATTGTCTTGCAGGAATATCCATGCCCACATGCTCGCTATAAAAGAGAGGAATCCAACAATAACAAAAAATGAGCAGGTCTTGACCCACCACATGTGTGTAAATATATATATATATATCTACGTGTGGGGTAAGTAAAATAACAGAAGCACACACAGACATGATCACTCACATACACACTCGCATACAACAACAAGTAACTGGGCCCAGAGGTGGAGAAGAAGAAAAACATTGAAGCAATAGCGCAAAGCATCCTCATCTTCCTGGGGAGTGAAGGAGAGGAGCTAAGGAGCGATTAGTATAGGGTTTTGAGGGTTGGCGATTGATAATCATCTTTCTGTTATAATTGCAGCTTGTTCAACTCAACAAAATATACTCCTTGAACGCCTTGAACTCAACAGACATGCTCACACACACAACCATAGACAGGTTACCTCCGAATCTTGTGGAGTCTTGCCTCACTCCCCTGGTCACTCTTTTACCCTTCATTCCTTCACTCGATTACCTCGCTCTTACTCTTAGATCCCAGCACACTCTTCATTTCCATAGTTTCATCCCCCTAGCTTCGCAAACAGTAACATCTGGCTGCTCATGCTGATCCTCCTCCACATCTTCAAACACATTTATTTTGGCGCCAAGACCCCCTCTGATGATGTGCAACACTGCAATTAACAACTCAAGCAGTCGTCATATCTTTGGCAATCAACATATCCACCTCGTCTTGCAAAACAACTAACTGGTCACTCTCTCTCACAGTCATTCTCTTCTTGTACTTCAGTAGACGCAAAGGCCTCTGTGCCTTACATGTGCCTCTGGCAGCGGATGTACTTCCGACAAGACGTTAACCTGGTTACGGATCAGATATCTGAGATAAAAAAAGTCTCAATGCGCTTTTTTAACATTACGGTTTGAGATGACTTGATGGGTATAAGAACGAGAAGCAGCTTGAGCTAGGAGGCGGATTTTTTTTCCGCCAGGATCCCGGGCGGATTTGACACGAGACAAAAGGAACATAGGAGTGATCATTGGTTTGAACGCCATCTCTTTGAACGTTTCCCGGTATCAATTTCAACCCCTTCATATGTATTTTCAAGTTGTCCAAAAATGGTCAAGCACGAAGGAGGGTACGAAACAAAGTGTGGTTCCAACGAAATGAACGAAGAAAAATAGTCCTAGATCCCATTCCATGCCACGTTGCTGGCGTCCAAAGAGCCATTTTTTTGAGGGGGAAAGTCGAATCATGTCTTCCTTCAAATGGTTCGGATCTGCCGGTTGATGAAAGTCTTCTTCTTCTCTTTCAGCGTAACGCCTTGGCCCTCTTCTGTACTTTTAGCTATTCGGCTGTAGCACGTGCGTGGAGAGCGGAACAAGTAACCTCACCTTTCCTACTCCATGCTACCACCCGACAACCTATGAAGGTACATCATACGATGTTTTCACCCTTGCATTATCATAATCATTGCATTTGCCATTGGCCCTTCCCTTTTATTGCTCACGCGCCAAACACCCCTTCGAAATATGTTGTGTTTTATTTGTCCAAGCGCCTCCCTCCCCTTCCTTCGGCGCATGGTTGGTCGACTTCCACATATATCAAGGAGCAATGGCTGACCCCCTGAATGTCAGGTTGTCTGCACATCAGTTGCTGGTGATTGGTACATGGTTATTTCAGTACCCCTATCCTCGAAATGGTTCCTCACTCCCCTCTTTCCTCACTCCTCACTCACCCTCGTTTGAATCTCTAATAAGTATCAATTCGTAAAGGAAGTCAAAACCTTAATTCGGGATCGTACACAGGAAACATTTCACTTTAGGACGCGTTTGTGTTTCCTCGAAGTGAACACGTCCACACTTGACATTTGAACCGGCGCCTTCTTTTCTTTTTTGCGCACCTGCCTCCCTCTTTCTTCTGTTTGCTTTTATAACTCTATGGGTGACATTGACAGCAACCACAAACAAAACACTGGTCGCTTTTTGTGGGGTAAAAAGGTACTGCAAAGCCCATTATTAATTCTTTTTCGTATAAGAAAGGCACTTCCGTCCTCGGAGTCGTACTTTTGTTTTCTTTCTTTTTGATTGGCATCACAGGTAGCCGTTAGTGCCACAGAGACTTGTGTTATATATATTTTTAAAGTACCTTCTGTATTTTTTGTCCATGGCCTCATTTTTTTGTTCTGGTCCGGCTTTTTTGTTTTGCAGGCTGTGTATCTTGATTGGAGTCCATTTTCCAGGAACGAATTATTGTCGCCTTCCTTGTCTGCAGACTGTACTGAAAGGGGTACATGAAATTGTGTTGTTTGTTACTTCTCGTTTTCTAACCCAATGTTTTTTTTTGGTTTCAAAGAAGAAAAGAAGGGCGGTGAGAGAAGGCGACAGCATAGGCATGTGTATAAAGGCGGGTAGGGTTGCTTTGGAATAGTGTTGGAATATCCGAGTGAATGTACTTCTCGCTTAGACCCTAGTCCTCGCACTCCTCTCGGTTCTTTATTTCTTTAGTCGCTCGAAGGTTATTGGCTTTGCGCATAAAGTTTTGGGACTGTCTTTTTTTTAACACTTGATGGACGAGGTTCTTGGCGGGAAGAGGTTCCCCTGCAAATGCCTAAACTGCGGTCAAAAGGGCTTGACTGCAAATCGATCCTTTGCCACCCACACACACTCCAACATCACTTTTACCGACATCGTTCTCCTTCTCCTTCCCTCTCAACACCAAATGAACTTCTTCTTCTCGACCAACAGACCATCACCCCAAAACACAATCGAGGATTGAAACAAAACCACAATAAGAATAACTGACGCAACGTGAAGTGAGACGAGCGAGCAATGATGAGCCACAGGAAACCGTGCAGGTCTGACACCACCACCACCACAACGCCAACACGGGTCAGATTCGCCCGCCCGAGATGCTTCTGTGGCCACGTTGCCGCAGCCATCTACCCAGAACCAGATCCTTGGTCAGAGCCGATGCCCCTGACGACCAACTGGGTTTATGAATGCCATTACACACCGAAACAAGGGGGGATGGTCACGCCTGACCATTGCTATGGATGCGACGAAGAGCGCACGAGGGCGCTTAGAGCGAGAGACGTGTACGACCGAGAAGTAAGGGTACGTATGCTCTACCCAGCTGGTTGGCTCTATACCATGTGCACCTTTTCATTAGTTTTCATTATTTTGATCACGAGGTGGTATAGTTTCCGCGCTAAGTATTACATTTGCTTTCATGTTAACTAGGAACGTGGTCCTGGCAAGGAGAGTGGCCCGAACGTAGGAACTCTCGCCAACTATTACAATCCCAACAACATCCACAACGTCAACTATCATGCGATGACACACCCCCCGAATCCCAACATGCCACGGGGTGGATGGACCACCAACGCATCAAGGACAAGAACATACGGTCATGGCCATCATCAGGCTTCACCGATCTCGCCTCGCAGGGGAGCATCGACGCATTCATGGGCGGATACTGCAAGGATGGCGAAGGCTAAATGGGACGCAGACGCATTACATCACAACCCTGCCACTCGAGGCGACCAAGTAAATATTTGGACCGAGGGACCTGAGTTCGACTTTACGGACCACGCCCCAGACCTGTACACGACACCAGACAATTACCCATCCACCTCCATGCCCACCACGTGGGAGCATGCAACTTCAAGGAGAATGAATACTCTTGCAAGGCCATCGACGTATGGGGACGTCAACCCGTCCTTTTTCGCCACAGCTGCCCCACAACCCAACGATACCGTTTTCTACCACGATTCCTCATCCAACCCTGGGACAACATCAGACAGAGTTCTAGCAGGAGCGAACACGGATGGCCAGACATTACCAGAGTTTGTCAGGTGGAATACGCCGGTGTCTCGGGTGAAGGTGTGCGGATTCCACATGCACGCGATGGAGTGGCACAAGATCCAGAGCATTGGGACGGACGAAGCCATCGCGCTGGCGGAGCGAGCACAGTGCCCAAAATTCAACCTCTCTATCACGCGCTGGCTGGACAAAGGATTCAATCACTTGGAAATGGAGCCATTCAACGCCGTCAAATGTTTCTGCGGGAACGCTTTGATCGTCACCAAGGACCATTCTCGGAATCGCTACGAGCTTACCTGCCGCAACCGACACAAACAGACGACGTTAGGACCGAGTCATGGTGGCCCGCAGCTGCAGCAGCCCAACAACAATTTTTCACCAGGAGTTCCGGATTCGTGCTCGATGGTGATTCCTGTCGATAAAGTCAAATATCGCGCGCGCTTAGAACCTGTGCACTGGGAAATCCGATCGGATGACTGGCTCTCCCGATTCTTCAAACCTCCAGCGACATTGGATGGCGCCGACAACGACCAGAGATCAAGTCCTAGGGTACTGGTATCAGCAATGAAGAAGGAAGACATTGGATCCTTTTCTCATTACAGTCGAGCCCGGATGATCAGACTCAAGACGTTGACATTCAAGGATCCGATTTCGGAAACGATCCATCTTCCTGCAATGCCCCCTTCACTGATGACTGCACAGGATTTTGACTCCGGTGACTGGTTCCCACCGAGACAACTGGAGAGGAATGAAGCTGCCCAGGCGCTGAAGATCTTGCTGGGAGAACACGATGTTGACTTGTCTGATGAGGTCTTTGCTCGGCAGATGGAGGTGGCCGGGGTATGCGAACTCCCGCCAGCCTTGACGCGGATTGCAGTCAAGGAAGGATGCAGAGACGCTGACGATTATCTCCAGGCGAGTGAGGAGCGGATGAGGTTGGACATCAAGGCGTACATGGAGCGACAGGAGCAACTGGAAGTCCTTTTGGATTCAGCCAAGACGAGACACGCCAACACCGTGGAAAGGATCCGGACACTAGAGTCGAATGCTCAGCTGTTATCAGAGCTCAAGTGCCGGGTCTGTTATGAGCGGCAGATTAAGTTTGCGATTTTGCCCTGTCACCACATGGTCTTGTGCACGGAGTGCGCCCGGATTGTTGAGAGCTGCATTGTCTGTCGAGGACCTAAGCTCGGCACCCTTCGAGTTAACCTGGGGTGAATGTTTGAGGATTCGTTGTTCCTGTTCATAATCATCGAATAAAACAACGGCATCTTTCTTAAAATAACCTGATTCGAGAATCGCTGGTTGATATTGAAAGGGGAATTGGCGGCAATCGTGCGCAAAGCCACCGCTACTATTCTTTTCAGCCCATTTTTTCATTGTTAGCTTCTTCACCTTCCACTCCACTTCACTTTGCATCCTTCAAACAACCTTTGTACAACACACCTTCTCGCCGCTCCACTTTGCATCCTTCAAACAACCTTTGTACAACATACATCTCTCTTTTTCTTTACCCACAGACTCTTTTTCTTGCACACTGTTGCACATATTCTTCGTCTTTGTTTATCGTCCTCTACATCATATATAAACAAACATACAAACAATCAAACCACAGCGGTCGCTACGAAGTCGTCTGAACAGTCCACTTCTCAGCCTTCTTAACAAAGGTAACACAGAGCACCCAAGAGATCTACAAGCCAGACAGAGTCAGCTACGGTCGTACATTCCTGTTGTCCTTCTCATTCTTTCCCCCCCTTCGACCACAGCATAATTGGTCTTGTTATCTGATCCAAGAGAGGGTCATCTGGGTTGACATCAGTGAGCATAATGAAGTGATAAAATTTCCATATTGGGATTAATGGCTTGCGATGTTCTTGATCGCATGTGCTGCTTCATTTCGAGACGCGACAATGTTTTGTTATTTTTTGTGCCTGAGAATGAAGAAATGAGAAGTTGAGACGCGTTTGTCAGCCCTAACAAAAACAAAGCCTCCCAAAGCCCCACCTTTATCTCACCACCAATTCTTTCTCTCCTCTTCCTTCTTTTCTCTCCCCAGCTCCTCCTCTTCACAACCACCACTCTACACACATCCTACTATGGCCACCACCACCACCCCCGCTGCAGCAGTCGTCTCCAAGTCCCACGACGCTGATCTCCAGATCGCTGCCGGCCTGGCCACAAAACTGAATGAGATGAAGCTCTCAGAACAAGACGAGCCCCTCCTCCGTCCCAACCCCCGCCGCTTCGTCCTCTTCCCCATCAAGTTCCACGAGGTCTGGCAGATGTACAAAAAGGCCGAGGCCTCCTTCTGGACTGCCGAAGAAGTCGATCTGTCCAAGGACATGCAAGACTGGGAGAACCGTCTCTCTGCCGATGAGCGGTACTTTATTTCGCACATCTTGGCCTTCTTTGCGGCGAGTGATGGAATCGTGAATGAGAACTTGTTGGAGCGGTTCTCGAATGAGGTGCAGATCCCTGAGGCGAGATGCTTCTATGGTTTCCAGATCATGATTGAGAATGTTCATTCAGAGATGTACTCGTTGTTAATCGACACTTATGTCAAGGAGCCTGAGCAGCGCGAGCATCTCTTTGATGCCATCGATACCAGTAAGTTTTTCACTTTCATATCGTTATAAGTGATGGTTTCTTTGTTATCAACTTTTCTGCTATGTTGTGTTTCTTTAGCCTTCCACCCCTCTTTTGTCTCTGCTACTGTCGCACCCCCTCTCTCCCCCCTTTTGTTTCGCCTTGTTATTTTCTACCCCAGTGACACACACACACACACCTACAACAAACGTCTACTTTTTTGAGTTGCCAACCTCTAATAACCTCTCTTTCTCATCGAATGAAATAGTTCCCTGCATTCGCAAGAAGGCAGCCTGGGCAATGAAGTGGATCTCCGACTCCAACTCGACATTCGCAGAACGTCTCGTCGCTTTTGCCGCTGTCGAAGGTATCTTCTTCTCTGGCTCGTTCGCCTCAATCTTCTGGCTCAAGAAGCGTGGTCTCATGCCCGGCCTGACCTTCTCCAACGAACTGATCTCCCGCGACGAGGGACTCCACACCGATTTTGCCTGCTTGCTTTTCTCTCTCCTCCAGAACCGCCCTAACCAAAAGCGTGTCAATGCTATCATTGTCGAGGCTGTGATGATCGAACAGGAGTTCTTGACTGACGCTCTCCCCGTCATGTTGATTGGAATGAACGCCGTCTTGATGAAGCAGTATATTGAGTTTGTTGCCGACCGTCTGTTGGTGGCCTTGGGTAACCCTAAGCACTACAATGTCGAGAACCCCTTTGATTTCATGGACTTGATCTCGCTCCAGGGCAAGACCAACTTCTTTGAGAAGCGTGTCTCGGACTACCAGAAGGCTGGTGTCATGTCTGGCGCTGGTGCAGACAAGACCGCCAACACCTTCACCCTCGACGCCGACTTTTAAAATGGTTGCTTCGTTCCTTTTTCAATTCTTTTCTTTTCTCTGTCTCCATCCTTTTCTATAGTTCTATTTGTACATTATTTCTCACTCCAACCTCCCCACTTTTATATCCCCCCCCTAACTAGCTTACCTTTTTCTGGTTTTGTGTGTTTTCTATCATCAATTGCCCGTTATTCATCGCAGCGCAGTAGAATCACTATAATAAAAACTTGAAGTGTTAGCTAATGCATTCATCGCAATCATGTTCCTGGTATCTGGACATTGATAGGACATGATTTTCATTTTATTTCAATTGAACTGATAAATCCTGTTAACAGAGACGGGGGTTCAGGGTCAAGAATGTAACTTGCTTCATTCAGATTCCAGGTTCTGTCTTTTTCCACTTCCCGAATTTTTTTTGCGCTTCGCTGTCAATGTTTGTTACTTTAGAAGCGCTTCATGTCGTTGGAGCCGCCCTTGGACATCTTGAAGGCCATGACAAGTGCAACAAAGACTGCACAGGCAGCTAGGAACTTGAGGTACCACATCACGCCGGTCTTCTTCTGAGGAGGAGGTGTGTTGTTGATTTTCTATGTCAACGCCCAAAAAACAAAAAAAAAACAGAGGCACATTAATTAACCATTCATTTCTTTCCATGGCGTATGAAGGGGAGAGGAGGATGGAGGTTTGACAAGTCTTGTCGTTACCTGGAAGGGCGATTCGGCCTTGCCGGAGAGGGTGCTGGTGGTGACGCTGATGATGTCGTGGTTGTCGTGGACCTCGCCCGTGACGGATGTGAAGCCCAGGTAAGAGATTGTGGGCAGTTTGACGCCTGACAATGTGAAGCATTCATCCCACTCGTCCCACCCTCTAGTCTGAATCTTGAACTATAACATTAATTACAAGGGTTAGAAAGATATATAGTTATCAAATCGTTGTATTAGTATAGGGGGGTCATTGCAAGTATCATGGCGATTATGAACAAAGAGAAATTTCCTTGTTTGTTGAGAATCATGAAGAGGAGGAAGAAAGCACTTACGTTGAGAGTACCAGAGTCGCGGTGGTAGGTGATTCTGCCCTTGGTGGGGACGAGACTTTCTCTAAAGTCCGATTCACAACCTCCAAGCTTGTTCGACTCGCCATCGTTTGCATTATCATAGTTTGTCTTTCCATCTCCCATCATCGCCATTATATATGGGAACGAGTGCTATTCGTTGTTGACGAAATATAATCATATATGCGTTAGAAAATTAAGGAGGTATGCCATTGAACGATGGGCAGGGATAACAGTTCCTCCTTCCCATTTAAAGGAAGGAGGTGAGAAAAACAAGGGTGCTACTTACAGATTGCCGAGAGTTGGCGTAGGTGTCAAAAAAGATACCCAAGCCCTCAAACTGATCCTTGTTTCCAAAGACAGGTCCCATCACGGCGCGGTCCTTGGTCAACCAGACTGCAAATCCATCGCCATAGAGTCCATCGCCCTTGCCCCCTACCTTGAACTCGAATTCGACCTGGAAGCTCGACGATGTCAAGGGCTATGAGTCGTGATGATATTTTTAGCAAATAAAAAAGGGACGTGTGAGATAGCGTTACAGTTACAAATAGTGTTGGTGCCAAAAAAAAGAACTCCACAGTAACAACGACGAACAGCGGTATGGAAATGATATCTATCACACCCATAAAGAGACAGAAAAGTAATTGTGCAAAAAGAGATGCTAAATTCTCACTTACGAGACGACTCCAGAGATATCCGGTCTGGGAGGGGATGTCGGAGGTCAAACGGATGTGCTTGTTAGTGTTGACCAAGGCGTCGCCTCCAAAGTCGAACCAGCGATTCTGAAGATCCTGATCTATAAACAGCGATATGAATACAGAAAACATGTTTGGAAGGGTCAGGTCAGGATGCGCACTTTGGTGTTGGGGGGAGCCATGAGTAGTAAGGATATTCTTGACAAATCGTTCAAGATACGAAAGCGTTGTTGTTGTGCCTCCCTGAATAACATAAAAAAAGAGGCACACGCTTGTCTCCTCACAAGGTACACTCTCACGCTCTTTCTCCTTCTTGTTTCCACGCTTGTCCCGTAACCAAAAAAAGGAACTCGCAGGGCAGAGACGTTACCAATGTAGGGCATGTAGATGGAATGGGTGCGGAGAGGGAGCACGCCATCCTCATCACCAGCTGCCGAAACGACGACGACAGCTGTAGTTGCCAGCAGGGAAAGTCCCATGAGCAACCTCGAGAACACCGACTTTCCCATGGTTTGTTAGGTGTGTTGTTTTATCCGTGTAGTTGAATTCAGTTGGTCGATTGTTGTCGGACCTGTGCGTGTTCCGGAGTTGATGCGCTGGGCTGAGTGGGAGTTGAAGAAAAGAAAGAGAATGAAATAATAAATGAAAGTTGAGGGGTGTGTGTAAGGAGGTAAAAAGGATCTGTTCAGGCTGGCTGTCCTGGTCCCTTCTTTCCCCTCACAACTGCGACACACAAGGGGCACGGCAAAAGAGAAACGCGAAAGTCCACCCCCCACTCCCTTCCACGTCGTCTGACAAGCCACAGAGTCCGAGCGTGTTCAAGTGACTGTTGCTCTGCATGAATCAGACTCCAGAATGAATGATATGATATCGCGGCCAAAGAGAGAGAGTATGTGTGTGAGAGAAAGAACCATGGAAGAACTGATGCAAAAACAAACGATATATTATTATTTTGTGTTGTTTAGTTGTTTTTGTTGTTTACGAAAGGAAATAGAAAAGAAAAATGTTTGTCTACATGCGCTGGCGACGAACGCTCTTGCGCATGTTAGTGTACTGGAGAACCTCCTGCCTCTCAAGCATAAAGATCGCCCTCTCGACATTACGAGAGTTGTATCCTTGCGACTCGAGCTCACGTACCAAAACTGCCGTTGGGATCTGCGATCCAATGGCCACACGACGACGGATAGCCTCCTCCACATGGCGAACCTCCTCAGCACCCTGCTGACGTGTCTTTCCATCCACTAAATAGACATGCAGATAGTGACAAGTCAATACAACCGGCATTACAGCAGAGCATTCAGATCATAAATGTAAGACAAAGCGAAGATACGTACTGGTACCGGCGTTGACAGCGTCCATGGTAGAGAACTTGAACAGACGAATGGCCTCATCGACATGCTGTTCATTGGCACGCGGTGAAAGAGTAATCTTGGCCAGCGACTCGGAAATACGGATAATAGCCTCCAACTGACGGATAGTGATAGGGATCGATGTCCTGACACCCTCCATGTCCTGCATGTGGCCAACGGTCGAGCGAATACCAACAAAATGACTGCTCAGCTTCTCAGCAGCCTCCTTGGTCAGACGGGGTGCTGACTTGAGTTTGCAGTAGCTGATATAGTTCTTCATCTTTTCAATGCTAATTTCACTGGCAGCTGTCTCGCTGGGTCGGTCCATGTGTACGTTCATGACGTGGCGAGCAATGGTCATATCCCGTCCCTCGTTGTGCTCGTCCTTGAGAATAAAGATCATATCGAATCTGGACAAAATGGTCGTCTGGAAATCAATGTTCTCGCCTGCAGAGCGCATGTCGTCGTATCGTCCAAAGACAGGGTTGGCAGCCGCCAAGACCGACGTCCTTGAGTTAAGAATGGTTGTGATTCCTGCCTTGGCGATCGAAATGGTCTGCTGTTCCATGGCTTCGTGAATAGCAACTCTGTCCTCGTCCCTCATCTTGTCAAACTCATCGATACAGACAACTCCTCCATCAGCAAGAACCATAGCACCTCCTTCCAGATAGAACTCGCGTGTTGAGGGCTCCCTGACAACCGAAGCAGTCAAACCGGCGGCGGAACTACCCTTACCGGAGGTGTAGACTGAGATGGGCGAAACCTTTTCAACAAACTTCAACAGTTGCGACTTGGCGGTACCTGGGTCACCGAGCAAGAGGACGTTGATATCTCCACGAAGCTTCATGCCGTCTGGCAAAACGTTTTTTGATCCACCAAACAACAAGCACGAAATGGCCTTCTTGATATCTGCAGGTAAAATAGGAAGTTTCCGTATACGTCAGCACTTGCTTTTGGAAGTCAAACCTACAGCGCGAGTTATTTCCGTAGTCCTGTGTGTGTCCACATACCATGGTTTCCGAAAATCGAGGGCGCGATGCTGTTGGCAAACTTTTGGTAAAGACCAGGCTCCCTGGACATGGCAATGAATTCCTCCTCTTCCTCATCGGTAAAGTTCCTCTTACGACCAGAAGCGTCAGTCTCTGTGTTGATTCCAACCACGCGAATGTAAGGAGTGCGGATGGCGATGGCGTTGTTTCCCCTCTATTATTGGTGGACAAAAACACGAGTTAGACGCGCACAAAACATGTCCAGTTGCTTCAAGGCATGGTGCCAAAAAGAGAAACTTACGCCGGGCTTGGTCTGGAAGACAGAGTAGATACCCATGATAGTGGCTCTAGATCCTGGGACGACCCTGTTGGTCAAATCTCTGTCAGCGCTGAGGAGAACATGACGGGGCAACTCTCCAACGGGAACATCATCGGGCGATTCCTGGAGCTTCAAAATTTGCTGGTCCACGCACACCGACTTGTCGTGATCGACGACATATGGGTCCAAGCCGCATCCTGTGGGGTTGGGTTCTGCGCCGACGCTCCTAAATATTGCGCACACGAAAAAAATTGTGTCTAATGAGTTTGTTGTCTCCTGACGATATTTCCTTGATGAAAATTGCTATTGCGAAGACAAGTGTCTGCTTCCTGTTGCTTACAGGTCGCAGGTACGGGGCATGTTGATTCCTGAAAATCCAGCCTGAATGGGCAACTTCCTGGTCTTTTGGCAGGTCTTGCATCTGAGAGTCAGAGAAGTGGCCTTGGAGGTGAGAGGCGAAGCTGCGATGATGATTCCTGAGATGCGGACCAATTTTGAAATACTATTGGCCTATAGTTTGAAAGGACAGAACGAAATTTCAAAGATGGTGAGTTGGTGGTGTCCTTCCTGTAGTACAATTACTCTGATCCTTTTGAAGTGTGTCCTGAGGTGTTATTTACATTGAGGTGGCGAATCTTGATCATGTTTGCACTCGAGTGAAGAACGACCTGGTAGTCTTCGCCCTCGAATTCCACATTGGGGTTGACGTTGATAATCCTCTTGGCATGTAACTGAATAGCCTTCTCGAACTATTTCAAACAATTTGGTTAAGCAGGAGAATGGTTAGTTCGAGGTCGAGTAATTGTGCCAGTAAAGTCAATGTTCGTGTAAAGTTATCCAGCTCTATGACTAACCAAAGGCAAAAGCTCTGTGGGCTTCTGAGTCAAATGGTGGGCCAGTTCCTGGTTGAAGGCAATCAAATGTCCGACGTCAACGTCCAGCAAATGGCGCTTCAGCATAACGTTCTGACGCAACTGATCACTATTCACGTTGAAATGAGGGGTGAAAGTAAGAGAATGAGCTTCTATTGTACAGACTTGTGGTGTTGTTTGTTCCAGATTTGACGTAGAATATGTGAAGTGATGGCGGGTATGTTTTACCGATAGATGTAGACGCCGTTGATGTGGAACTGCTGAATGAAGGCCGAGAAGACCTCCTGGATGGTGTTCATGGTGTTGAGGCCCGCGTCCTCGTCCTGGGGAGGCAGGACCTGAGCGGTGTGGATTCGACCAGTGTCCCAACCAATGTTTGCCATCGTGTCTGTAAGTGTCTGCGGTTGTGTTTGTTGAAGAGAGGAGGGACCGTTGTCGACGGAATGAAACGGTTAGGACGAGGAGTGGGCGATGAAAGAAGTGAAAGAAAACAGCGGTTGAGTCTTTTGCCACTACTTTTCTGTGTCCCTGAGCAAGCTTGCAGGCAGGAGGACTGGCTTCTTTGTTTTCGTTACAACGCGTTTTAATTTATGAAAAGCGTGGATGTGACGCCACCGAAACAAAAGCAGTCGCGGGGTTGTTGTTTTGCATTTTTTTTTCTTTTCTTTTTTTTTTTCTCTTGCTGCTGTGTTTTTTTTTTTTTTGCTTATTCAGACGCACGGGATTAGTAACTTGCCTGGCTCAGTCAACTCAAAATAAAGGCCTTTCTTTTTTCTCACCTCACGACCCACCCATCCCATTATCCCCCCTTTTTCTTCTCACCCACTCTCTTCTCATTCACCACTTCCTCCCCGTACTTTACATTCCCACAGAGACACACCCATGGCTATTCCCAAAAGCAAAAAGAACGTCGGTCTCGGCCAGGCAATCATCAAGGCCCGTTTCAAGGGCCGCAGCAGACCAAAAGACGGCGACGAGCGCCTTGTAAGCACCACACTCACACATTTTCAAGTGAACCTGCGGTTTTTTTGTGTTTATCCCAAAGATGCAGGAGTTTTAACAATGGATATTTTACTTTATATCATGCAAAACTGTTTAGCACTCGGCTGATGTTGATGATGGTGGAAGCTGGACCCGTCTCCAGTCGGTCACCCAGGAGGGTGATCTGGAGTCGTTCTTGAGCACTGCTGCTTTGGCAGGCACAGAGTTCACAGCTGGTAAATAATCCACTGATCATTCAATCACTTGCTGTTCTATCACTGATCATCTTTGTGTCAATTGAACCCGCATTGGCCTACAAGTTGGGCGCGTATGGAAGGTACTAACATGGGCTCATCCTGCCTTCAAATAGAAAAACTCAACATCAAGGTCGTGTCGGACCATTACGAGAACCCCTTCATGCTCTCAGCCGACAAGGAGAAAGAAACCCTCGCCAAGCACACAGAGTTCAAGTCCGAACTGACCGTTCCCCGTCGCCCCCACTGGGACGAGACCACCACCGGTCCCGAATTGCAGAGGATGGAGCGCAACTCTTTTCTGGATTGGCGTCGTAACCTGGCGACTTTGGCCGAGCGTGAAAGCTTGTTGTTGACCCCCTTCGAGCGCAACATCGAGGTCTGGCGTCAGCTCTGGCGTGTCATTGAGCGTTCGCATTTGATTGTCCAGATTGTCGATGCCAGGAACCCGCTCTTTTTCCGGTCGACGGATTTGGAGACTTATGTGACCGAGGTTGACCCCCGCAAGCGGAATTTGCTCTTGATTAACAAGGCGGATTACTTGACTGTTAAGCAGAGAAAGCGCTGGGCGGATTACTTTGACAAGGAGGGCATTCGTTATACTTTCTTCTCGGCTGCTTTGGCCAAGGAGAAGCAGGAGAAGGAGCAGGCCGAAAGGGACCGTTTGGAAGCTTTGGCTCAGGAGTTGGCCGAGATGCGCGCTAACAACTCTGATTACACTGAGGACGAGGAGGAAGAAGAAGAGGAGGAAGAAGAAGAAGAAGAGGAGGAGGTCAAGGAGACAAAGACCGAGGCTGCTACCACCCCTGCCTCCGTCAACGCCAAGGAGACCGCCGAGGCTTCATCGTCCAGCAACCAGGAGACCAAAGAGGTTCAGGATGCTCAGGAGTCAGAGGAAGAGTCTGAGGAAGAGTCTGAGTCCGAGGATGACGAGGATGAGGCTAAGCCCAACAAGACTCACTCTCACTGGAAGGCCATCAAGGAGACCGAGAAGGACGATGATCGTACCCGCATCCGCGACACCAAGGATCTCTATGAGCTCTTGGTCCAGGAGGCCCCCATCATCAATGGTACGTATCTTGTCGCCATAATGCAGTTATGCGATAGACACTGAGAGAATATTGCAAAAACACTTACTCACCATCCATTTGGAAACTTATACAACTTAGATCCTAGAGACCCACTGAAGGGAATCACGTCGATCGGTCTCGTCGGATACCCCAACGTCGGAAAGTCCTCGACCATTAACGCCCTCCTGGGCGAGCACGCCGTATCCGTCTCGGCAACCCCCGGAAAGACCAAGCATTTCCAGACTATTCACTTGACGCCCAAGATGATCCTCTGTGATTGTCCCGGTCTCGTCTTCCCTTCCTTTGCGACCACCCAGGGAGACATGGTCTGTAACGGCGTCTTGCCCATTGATCAGCTCCGTGAGTTTACGGGATCTGTAGGTTTGATCGGAAAGAGGATTCCAAAGGATGTTCTGGAGGCGATTTATGGTATCAAGATTGCGGTCTTGAGCGAGGAGGAGGGAGGATCGGGCTTGCCTACGGCGGAAGAGTTCTTGATTGCTTATGCTGTTGCCCGTGGTTTTACCAAGGCTGGTCAGGGTAACCCTGATGAGTCTCGTGCGGCTCGTTACATCCTCAAGGACTACGTCAACGTAAGTTTTGATTAATGTGTTGCTTTTTGTTATGAACTTTTTCTTGCAAACGTGAAAAGAGAAAATCATGCATCCCTTATTAACGGTCATCTTGTTTTCGTCTTGTGTGTTTTTGACAAAATATAGGGCAAGTTGTTGTACTGCGCTCCCCCACCAGGAATCGAATCCCCAGAATTCAACGCCGAACACAACCAACTCGACCGGTTCAAGAAGCGCAAAGCCGCACCCACCCGTCGTCTTCCAGCCTCGGCCTCGACCTACATCAACATGAACTCTATCACGCCTCTTACCCATACTGGTTCGGGAACCGGAAAGACTGTAGCGGTCGACACATCGTTCTTCCAACCTACCCGCAAGACGACCTACTTGCCTAGGGTCACTGGAAAGACTGCGATTGATATCTCGGAGGGTATGCAGCGCGTCCAGATGTACCCTCATCAGCAGCGGACTGATAACCAGGGCGGATATGTGAGCAGGAAGCAGAGGATGCAGGGTGTTAGAGATGGCTTGTTGGATCTAGGAGTTGAAGATGTTGCCGGTGCATTGGGAAATAAGAAGCATAAGAAGGGTAAGAAGAACATTAAGCAGCGCTCTGGTGCTGGTATCTTCTAAGAAGTCGAGACTGGACGGAGTAGTTGTTTGGATTGAGACGGACACACACACACACACACACCCAGGACAGACGGAAGTGAAGGTTACTTGGCATATTTTTGTATTACTACTTTTGCATTTTTTTCATTCCCCCACCCCCCCCCCCCACCCACATCAATATACATATTTTTTTTTTACTTGAATGCTTTATTTATGTATGATGAAATGCATGTGTATAGAAAGACAGAAAAGAAGTTGATAAAGCTGCTTTAACGAAGGAAGAAGACCAAATCAGCCTTTTCTTCAGCACCATCACCAGCAAGACGAACGACCTCATAAACAATCCTCAAATCCAACGCTCTAGGGTTCATATGATTCTTATCACAATAGAAAGTACCCTTGACCTTATCGCCCTTCTTGAGCTCAATAGGCTTCTCCAACACAAACATGGTCTGCTTCCAATGCGTCTCCTCGGACCTCGTATACACTGGGCCCGTCGTAAACCCATTCATCTTCTCCTTCTTCAACTCCTCCTTGCTAATCCCCACATCTAACCCAACATCCTGTCCATCCCGAGTAAACCATGTATCAAAGTACCCGACAAACGCCGAGATATGATCGTCGTGCTTCATGACGAGTTCAAAGTCCGAGACGAAATCGAGACCGGCGACAGTGATGGTTTGGTGGGGGAGGTCCTTGATGGTGACCGTGTTGGTGACGATGGATTCGGGTGAGACAAAGTCGACGACGGCCTCGCGGAGGACGTTTTCTTTCATGGTCGACATCTTGAATCCGTAGACGTCGTTCCAGTAGTCGATGCTGTCGTTCACGAAGGATTCATCGTTGGTTGCTGTGAACAGGATTCTTGTCTGCGAAGGAGCCACTATTATATAATTGATAATGAAGAAGGGGGGGGGGGGGGGTTAGATATGTTTCCCCTTGCAAAGAAAAAAAAAGTCGAAAAGAGATAACCCGCTCTCGCCAGAAACAAAACAAAGCAAAAAAAAAAAGGAGATGAAACTTACGGATACCGCCAGGAGCCAAGAAGCGATCACGGGCAACAAGGACCGAGTCCAACATGGCCTCATACAACAAAAAGTAGCCCATCCATTCAGAGATAATAATGTCAACCTTGCAGGGCAACTTGATCTCCTCAATCTTGCCCCTGTACAGTGTAATGACATCCTCGAGTCCATTCTCGACAATATTCTTGCGAGCCTTATCAATGATATCCGAGTTATCGACCGACAACACCTTGGCGGCTCCAGCACGAGCCGCAAACATCGACAGGATACCCGTTCCACATCCGACATCCAAGACTGTCTTGCCCTTGAAGATATCCTTGTTCTCGTAGATGAAATCCCTGTATCCTTCTGTCCGGACACGATCGTTCAACATCTGCTGGTGGATATCCGAATGTGCGTAAGAGTTGAAGTAGTAGTTGCCCTCATCCTGGGGGACAACCACCTTGTTGGGCTCATCATCCTCGGCATGGGAGACGGTACTGCGGGCAGTTGAATCCTCCAAGGTATCAAAGAACGACGCCTTGACACGGGAACGGTACTCCTGGAACTGCTGCTCAGTGTTCTGGAGCTGAACCTCGACCGAAAAGAGACGCTCCTCCGCCTGCTGAAGCTGCTTCAACAGCTTGGCCTCCAAATCCGTCGTCGCCTCAACATCCTCCCACGAAGACCGGTGCATCCTCTTGGCATCTCCCTGAGGCATCAAGATCTCTGTCTCCTCCTGGCTGTAATCTCCCTGGTCCTCAATCTCCAGATCCTCAAAGGCAAACAACAACGAATCGTCCTCAATCACGGGGCGGAGGTACTGGTCGTCAGCCAAGAAGGCTTCCTTGCCCTCGAGAACAAACGAGCTTGTCTGCTCTGCCTCGACAGGCTTGTCCTGGGCTTGCTTGCGGAGGTAGTTGATCAAGCGAATCGACTGGTAAAAGTCCAAGCCAAGCTGATGGCGCGCACGAAGGAAATCAAAGCCGTGGGTCTTGGTGCAGTGGTCAAAGACCTCGCGGGCAGAGGGGAAGATCTCGGTACAGAAGAGACACTTGGGATCTGCTGCTGCCATACCATCTTCATCCTCCCAGTCATCCCAGCCGTTATCTTTTTTTTGTTGTTGTTGTCATTCATTAAAAAAAGAGGAGATAGGAAGACCGTTAGTCATGTCTAGCGTGCAATTGACTAGTATTCCTGATCATCCTCTCTCTCCCCCCTGTATTCTCCTTCTTGGACCATAATATGGCTGTTGCAAGGGGAATAAAAAGGTATACCTTGGTCGCCAAACTCAGACTCGGAGTACTCGGACTGTGTGTATGCCTGTGAGATGGTCGACTGGCGACGGGCGTTGAAGGCAGCGGCGTCACTGCTGCTCCCGGCCGTGGCTCCCTGGAGAATTCTGCTCATTTGTGGTGAATGTGCGTGCGGAAGTTCGAAGAGGGGTATGGAATGAGCAGAGAAAACAAAAAGACAAACGAGTTGAACGAATAAGGTGGGTAAGAAAAAAAAAAAAAAAAGAGGCTGCTAAGCCACACAACAATAGCGCATTGGGCACAGGGACATCTCAATGTCAGTAGGATAACGGCATGTTCATGCAATCAATTATGTAAGGGTCAGAGGGAGGCATGCTCGAAAAAAAAGTGTTTTTTTATTTGTTTCCTGGGATGGATAATGTTACAACAAACAACGAAAAATTACAAAAGAGAGAAAAAGAATGACTGGCAAGTACGACACACCAGAATGGCTTAAAACAACATGTTACTGCTGTAGGCACCGTTGTTGCCGTTCGTCTGCCCGTTTTGACCAAAGCCATTGCCATTCATCCCTCCAAATCCAGTTGCCTGAGACGACAGGAACCCGCTGTGGGTCTGGCCACCTCCCTGTGCTATTGCTTGGAAGGGGTTGTTGCTGTTGTTTCGTCCAAGGTTGCTTCCAGAGTCACCAATGTCGATCAGTGAATTGCTGTTGTTGCTGGCGCCAGCGCCACCGAGGTTCTGGAAGGGGTTGGCTGCTCCATTAGCATTCGTGCTACGATTGCCCAATCCAAAGGAGGTGTGCGAAGGGATGCGAAGCTGACCGATGTTTCCGAAAGTATCCATGCCATCGTCACGGTTCGACAAAGCCGTAGCCAAATGAGCATACTTTTCGTCGTTGGGGTTGGCAGCCTTCGTTGCAGCCTAATCGCATAGTACATAAAAAGTAAAACAACAAAGTATGAGTATCATAGAGGACAAGCACAAAAGCGTGGACTAGCTGTTAATGAGCCAAATGCAAAACGCTTACCGGCTGACTTGTGGCAGGAGCGCCAGTCATAGAGTTCTGAAGGAACGACAACTCGCCAAGGGTGTTATTGTTACTGCTGCTACTGTTGAAACCGTTGTTGAGGCCGTTGCTGTTGTTGTTGTTACTGTTGAAACCATTGCTTCCGTTCAGACCAGTGGGCTGACCAGTCATTGCTGGCTTCTGAGCAAAGGCACTGAAGGGGTTGTTGGAGCCGAGGTTAGGTGCCCCTGTCATCTGAGGCATAAGCTGCTGTTGGTAAGGGTTGTTCATGGTGTTCAAAAACGCCATTTGTTGTTGCTGCTGCATCTGCTGCTGCATCATTTGTTGCTGCATGAGCTGTTGCTGTTGCTGTTGCTGTTGCTGGAGTTGCTGCTGTTGGAACTGGAGGTAAGGGTTGTTGTTGAATCCAGTGGCCTGCTGTTGGAGGAAGCCGTTACTGTCGTTTCCATATTCGTTCGCAGGAGAGAATGCATCAAAGTTGTTGTTGTTGTTGTTGTTGTTGTTGTTGTTGTTGTTGTTGTTGTTCTGTCCGCCAAAGTCGTTGCCAAAGAAGTCGGTGTTGTTCTGCTGCTCATAGCGATTGACAGGCCTGAAAGAAGGAAGAGCGAGGGGAGGGGTGGGGTTGGATTAGTATACGTATTAACGTATTAACATGAAGTTAGAGATCACGCGCAAACGATACCGTAAAACAGTGCTTACTTGTCGTCAGCCTCCCAGTCTTCGGTAAGTGAGAGCTCGTTGTACTTTTCCACTGTCTTGATACGATCCTGCTCCTCTCTCTCGCTCAGCTCCAAGGCTTTCTTGAGATCGTCGTCCTCGCTATGTTTTTTGATACAGCAACAGACTCACCCGTTAGCAAATTGTGACCATATGGATTCCTATGTATAGTTAGGTATTTTGTAGCATGAGGCATACTATAGGGTGCATGGATCCATACCTGTTTCGGGAAGTGTCATCTGATTGGGCCATCCGCCGACTCTCTTCCAGAGCTCTCTGGAGATCACGATCTTCATCCGTCGCTCCAGGCCGTTCATAGACAGGTGTGTGTTGTTCAAATCGGTCTGCTCCATGAGCTCGCCCGCTCATACGATCATTCATAGCATTGCGGCTTCGGCGCTCCTCCTTCAAGCGCGACTCATCCGAGAGCAGTGCAGTGATATCCTTGGCCTTTTGACGAACTATATTCATATTCATAAGACACAACAAAAGGACGTATTCCATCAGTCCTAGTCCATTGATTACAAAACGACAACAGCCTTGGCGCAGAAATGCCAAGAGGTTGTTTGTTTGCTACTTACCATTCGAACCCTGATCCTTGCCATCTTCATCGATATACTGGAATTCCTTCAAGGTCTTGACGATATAGAGGTTCTCGCGTGCATACTTGACGACACTTTCAGAACCTGTCGTCATGAGTACCATAAAGAGCATGTTAGCAAAACCGTGCTGTTACAGGATCATTCAAGGTTTGGCACACACCTTCAAGGAAATACGGCCGAGTGATCTCTCAACATACCAACATGGAGCAAATAGTCTAGAACAGTCAATGCCTAATAGTTGAAAGCAGCAGGAATGATGACAAGGCATTAGTGTCCATGGTCGTTCTTCCACTGATGGATTTTCCGGGAGAGTCGAAATAGGGCTTCCAGCCCCACCGCTTTTCTTTCTGCCTTGTTGATTTTCTTTCCCTTTCGACCTTTCGTCATTGTGTCCTAGTGGGTAACACGGCGTGAGCAAAAAAAATATCTTTGCGGCTGTTTCTTGTCTTTCTCTTTTTTTTTGTTTTTTGTTTTGTGCTCAATGGTTACAAAGAGAGGTAGGCCCATCCTTTCGCCTTTCTCCCTCTCCGTCCAGTCCATCCCTCCCTCCCTCCCTACGCAAAACCGCCTCTGTAGCGTCCATCCCAAGCAAGTCCCGAGTCATTTTTACAACAGCGTAAAAAAAATGTCGTTTGTTTAATCTTCCTTTGTTGCTCGTTGGTGTCTTGTGTCTCTGCCTTTGTCTCTTCTTTTTTTTTTTTTTTTTTTTTGGTGGTGTCGTTGTCCGTCAGTCAGTCGTCAAGTGTCGCATGGTAGGTGAATACAAGGAAAGGAGAGAGAAGGCAACAAAATGTCTTACCTTAAAGACATGGCGCCAGTTCTTGCCCTTGTCGTTCATACGCTTGTCCAGAATCTCCATGATCTCTAGGAACTCGTGTCTAAAAAGGATCGAGGCCCCACAAAAGGAGTAACTGTTAGCATCTTTTTGTTCCCTGCCTGGCAAGTCTGTCTCTTTTTCTACCTATATCTCTGTCTGTCCGTCCGTCCGTCGGTCCCTCCTTACACTTTTGCACTCTCACTATGCATACTCACGCAGCAATACAAAAAAAAAAAACAAGGACAAGTAATGAGCAAGACTCCTTACTGGTTATGACTGGCTGCAGCAAGTTCGTTCATTTGCGAGCCACTTGGTCCCCAAGGGTCGTTCGAGGTAGCCTCGCGGACCTTGGCTTGCATGTCTGAGTACCCATTAGTAAAGTTTTTGCTATAAAGTTGGTCCAAACGGCAAAAGGAACGAGGGTTATGAATGAGGTCATTTTTTTTCCAGTCTACCCAGGACAGGGTTATAAAAGTCATAGCTCTGTCTACTTTTGTCTGTCCGTCCGTTCGTCAGACTGTGGGTGAGCCTGCGTTGACATTCAACCTGAGCAGGAATAGAAAAAAAAAAAAAAAAAAAAAAGACTTACATGGAGCGAAGAGTGCTTTTTGCGGCGTATTTGGGTGTTGCGCTTGCCATTGCAGTTGTGTATATGTATGGATAGAACGAGAATGTATAAAGGAAAGGTGTGGAATAAAGGAAAAGAAAGAAAGAGAGAAGGAGAGAAAGAGAGAAAGAGAGAGAGAGAGAGAGAGAGAGAGAGAGAGAGAGGAGGGTGGGAAGGCGGGAGAAGTTTGTCCGTTGTGTCTTAGAAGTGATAGTTGAAGAGAGAAAAGGGCGGCAAAAAAAAAAAAAAAAAAAGATAGGGCTGTTCGGTGCGAGTGTAAAGTGAAGGGGAAAGGGAAAGGGAAAGGAAAGTAAGGAAGAGAAAGGAGAAGGCAGCGTGTGACAAAAAGAAAGACAAGAAGAGTGGGAAATTCCGGGCGATGGGTCGACAGGAAGGGGACGGTTGGGCCTCTCTCTCGTCGTTCTCTGTCGACCCTTTGTCTGATTACCACTCTCTGTTTAACTCTGACCTCATTGAACCATGAAACTCGTACGGCGCACATACTTCACTTCTACACCGCCAACCGTACATGTACAGTACATTGGTGTACAATTATGCCTCCTCGATCCTTCAACTAAATTAATGGCGCAACTCGCCCATACACTGAAATTGCGCACTAAAATAGTTCGCCTTGTACTTCTTCCAGGCATGCGTGTGTACATTTTTTGACAGACGCGTTCAACGACGAACACACGCCTTAACCACTCGGTCAAATCGACAAGTAGGCCCCCTTGTTGGAATCTGATTCTTCGCGCAACGAACACCCCACGCAGTGAGAGTGTCTGGGTCAAAATCTGGAGTTGTTGGCGGAGCGGGTCGTAAAACCAAAAAGGAAGGTTCTTAAGGGTTCTGCACGGACATGGTACGCCTGGGTTGAGTTGATCCTTTGATTGTATCACGTGCCATTTCCAGTGAAAATGCCATTTGCATGGCGCTAGTTCACCTTCCTTTTTGGTTTTACGACCCATGGCCGTGAGACTACTTGTCAATTTGGCCGAGTGGTTAAGGCGTGTGTTCGTCGTTGAACGCGTCTGTCAAAAAATGTGTATCAAATATTTTAATAAATGAAAGAACAGGAAAATATAGAAAAGGAAGGGTTCGTGGGTGATCGTGCGGAATGTTGTTTGTTGTTGCTGTTGTTGTTGATGTTGTGGTCGTAGATAAAAAAAAAAAAGTCGTGGTTGTGTCGTATCTGTTGGCGGTTTTAAAAGTTGCGCTGGAACTGGCCATTGTTGTTCATGTTGTTCATGTTGCCCACGTTGCCCATGCCAGTCATCTGTGGGTTGACGCCTCCCATACCCATGCCGTTCATGCCTCCGTTCATGCCGCCCATGCCTCCGTTCATACCTCCGTTCATGCCGTTCATACCGCCCATGTTGTTGTTGCCCATGTTGTTGTTGTTGCCCATGTTGTTGTTCATGCCGGTCATCTGGGGCGTAAGGCCGTTCATGCCTCCCATACCTCCCATACCGCCCATGCCTCCCATACCGGTCATATTGCTGTTCATACCAGACATGTTGTTGTTGTTCATGCCGTTCATGCCTCCCATACCGGTCATCTGGTTGTTCATGCCTCCCATGGACGATCCCAAACCGGTCATCTGGTTGTTCATGCCTCCCATGGACGATCCCATACCGGTCATCTGGCTGTTCATGCCTCCCATGCCTCCCATACCGCCAGCGTTGTTGCCAAAGTTGTTGCTCAATCCGGAGCTGGTGGGTGGGCGCATGTACGACGACGCCATTGGTAGGTGTCCTGTTGGTTGGGCCTGGAGTGGTGTCATGCTGTTGCTGTTGTTGTTGGACGGTGAGCTCAGACTGTTGTTGTTCATCTGACCAAAACTGCTTCCGAGACCGCTTCCACCAAAGCTCGACGACGACGACGGTGTCTGAAGGACCCGAGACTGGCCCATGGGAGATGAGCTGAAAGTGTTCGACAACGACGGTGACCTGTTAAACGATCCCAATCCACTCAGACTGTTGTTATTGTTGTTCAATCCGCTGCCGAGACCAGAGTTGTTGTTCATACCGGTCATGTTGCTGTTCAAACTGTTCATACCAGTCATGGTGTTGTTGTTGTTCATACCGGTCATGTTGCTGTTCAAACTGTTCATACCAGCCATGGTGTTGTTGTTGTTCATGCCGGTCATGTTGCTGTTCAAACTGTTCATACCAGCCATGCTGTTGTTGTTCATACCAGTCATGTTGTTGTTGAGTCCGCCCATGTTGTTGTTGTTGTTCATTCCCGTCATCATTGGCGTCTGGAACTGTGAGCTGCTGTTGTTGTTCATAGCATTCATGCTGCTCATAGTGCTCAACGCGTTCAGGCTGGGTCCACTGCTGGTGTTCATGCCGGTCATGGCAGGGGTTTGGAACGAGGCAGATTGCATAGGCTGGGCGACACGGTTCATGGGCGACATGTTGTTGACGTTGTTCATGCCGGTCATCTGGGCATTCATACCCGTCATCTGGGTATTCATGCCGGTCATCTGAGCGTTCATACCGGTCCTCATGTTGTTCAACGAGTTCATGTTGTTGTTGTTGTTGTTGTTGTTGTTGTTGAAGCCCGTGGCCATGCTCATCTGCATTGGTGGAGGGGGTGGTGGAGGTCCTTGGCTCATAGCACGGTTAACGAAGGGCGCAGGGACAGCAGGGGCAGATCGAGCAGCCATGATACCCTGAGGAGCTCTAGCAGGGACTCCAGTTGGGTTGATAGCGATGGCTCCAATACCGAATGGGTTGGCGGGAGCTAGTACAACAGATATAAAAATAAAACAGTTAATACTCAAACCTACCTTTACACAAACAGCAGCGTAATGTTAGGATTCAAAGCAACTTACTGGAGTTGGCCCAGTTGGCTCTGCCTGTAGGCTGACTGGCAACACCGGTCATTTGAGGGTTCACACCGGTCATCATCTGCTGCTGCATGGTAGGAAGACCCATACTGGCGGTGCTGAAGGGAGGTGGAGGTGGGGGTGCGCTCTGCTGCCCTGTAGGGTGAGTTGGAATGAAGCGAAGGGGTCCAGTGGGGTTGACAGGGACTAAAGGAGCAGGCAACCTGCCGGAAGAGACAGGTGGAGGAGGTGCCATACGACGGATCGTCTGCACCAACTGTTGGTTCTGTGTTGCCTGCTGGACAACAGCCTGCTGCAACATTTGCTGTTGAAACTTCATTTGTTCAATCTCCTTCTTGAGTCCATCAGATGCCTGCTTCTCCTTGATCTTTTGCATTTGCTGCTTGACTCTCTCGGTCTCCTCTGCCTGAGTCAAAGCAATAGCCTCCAGAGATCCAGGAACAGGAGTCGACGGCTTTGCAACGGGAGCGGAAGTGGGAGAGGGAGACGATGGTGTGATGGCGGCAGCAAGACCCAGAGCGCCGAGAGAGTTGCTGCTGTCAGTCCGTCCAGGAGCACCGGGTCGAGGACGTCCTGCGGGAGAGGAGGACTCTGCTGATGAGGTTGACTCCTTGGGTTTGGGCGAGTTGGTCTTCTTGAGCGCCTCGTCGTCCTCAGGCTCCAACACCTGAGGTGCAGTTGTTGAAGCAAACTTGGCGATCCATTCATCCTCATTGTCGCGGTTCTGAACCTTCCAGTTGTCATAGTCAAAGCCAATGAGTTTGGGGTCACGGACCTCCCAGGCATCGTCATCAAAGGCAAGGTCGGCAGCTGATGGGGTTGGCTTGGGGGCAGCCGATGCGTTTTGCTTCCTGGCAGAAGAGGATGACGATGAAGACTTGGGTGTGTTGGTGAGAGCTGTACCAATCTTGGTGAACTCTGAGGCATCGATCGTCTTGGGCGCAGAGGTACTAGCCTTGGGTCTGGTGTCTATATAAAAAGTAAAAAAATAAATCAAAAATAAATACCAAACTCCGAGATGGATAATTCTTTGTTGAGCACAATTGTGAGCGAGACGATTGGGCGTGAAACTTACTCTTGCGCTGAGGGGTATTCTTGGCACCAAAGACAGGTGTTCGGTTGGTGGTGTTCTCGCGTTCTTGCAACTCGCGTGCAAACTGCTCGTCGGCCAACTCTTGCTGACGACGCTGTTCGGCCAGCGATGCGCCAGAAGTGCGAGCACTCGAAACCTCATCTGCCTGCATCTTCATAGCCATCTCGCGGTCGTTCATGACGTCAACATTGCCGCTGGCGAAGCTGACAGACTTTTTGGGCTTTGGTGTGCTGTTAGAGTCGGGCGAGGAAGTACCAGATCCGGTCTTGTCGATCGCCTTGCGAATGCGGATAATATCTCCCTCCTTAACGTTGAGTCCCTTGAGAATGTCTCTGCTCAGCTCTGGCAAAATGCTGGAATCCATCTTTTCCGTGCGGAAGACTGTCGAGTATCGAAGAGCATCCTCTGTTGCAATGCCAGCCTTGATAAAGAAATCGTACCAGTCGAAACCTGCAGCTCCGATCTTCATTCCTGTCATCTTTTCGACAAAGTTGATATCCTCCTGAGACATTTCGCGCACTGGGACAGCAATCTTGACGCCGTTCAGCTTATGGAGACTAATCTTTCCGTCGTGGAAGCCCAAGTATTCTGCCTCGACCTTGTACTTTCCTGACCTATCTGTCCACATCCTAGTGTTTTGAGGTTCTATGATATGATAGGTAACGGGCAGTATTTTTTTGTTAGTTTTCGGTTACCCAGACAATGTAACCACACCAAAACACATATGCTAGATAACTTACTCCTGATAGCTGGCTCTGAAGGAGGAGCGGCAGGGGTAGAAGATGTGGACGCAGCCTTGGGGGTATCGACAGCTTTTGGAATGGGAGCTGTCACTGGAACTGAGGGGAATATTTAGAGCAAAAAAGAAAGGAGACACACAAATGTCAGAGGGTACAATGTATGATCATCTCCATTGCCATGTAGAGTCATCACTCTTATGGTATGCTTACGGGCAGGAACAGCGCGTGACTGGACGGGTGCGGCCTCCTCGACTTGAACATGCTCCTCCTCGACCTGGGGCTCCTCTGGAACAGGTTCATCAGCAAACTATTGAAAGGCCAGTATCCAGGAATATAGGAGTCTTGGTTAGCGACCTGTCCATTCGACATAGGACATAAACATAATGCACCACAACGAAAAGGACGTACCCTGATGTAGGAAGCAGGAACAATACCGACTTGGTCTCCAAGTTGGCACTTCCACCATTCATCGCTGCTGACATAGTCTGACACCCAGAGCTCGTCGTTCTCGCGGATGTTGAGTTCCTCCTCTGCCTCGGCGTTGAAGTCATAGAGAGCGATAGCCCACTTGCCCTCGCAGACAGGTTCAGGCTCAACGTACTGTTGCTGTTGTTGTTCTTGTTCTTCCTCGTATTGTTCTTCCTCGTAGGCAGGCTCTGATGGGTATGTTGCACTGGCAGCCGAAACGGTGGGGGATCCTTGAGCTGTTTGATAGGTGGATGTGGAGACAACAGAGTCGCGAATTGAGGGTGGAGTGGGGACGGCTGCTGTTGGGTGAGAGATGCGTGACTTTTGCTTGGATTCCTGAATCTTGTTGAAGATGGCCTCGGCATCCTGCTTGGAAGCAGCCTGGAAGTCGAACGAGGCAGGGGTTGCGCCACCAAGATCCAGATAGACATGCTTCTTTTCTTGACTGACCTTGTCCACATCCTTGATCGACCACTGACGCACAGGAGACTATTAGCAAAGGATTGTAAGATGGGAATGTCATCTAGTTAGTTTTCTTTCCTTCCTTTCCTCTGTGCGAACTATTACTACTTTGCAAGTAGTGAGATCACGGACGTTATCAGAACAAAACGAGAGTTGGTGGGCTGTGGCGAGTGGGTGGATGCGTGCCACAGAAGTATTTACCTTGTCCTCCTCGCTTCCAAAGAAAATGGTCAGGTTGCCAACACCAAGACTGCCCTTCTTTTTCTTCTTCTTCTTGTCGACCTCCTAATCATCGGAACAAGCCAGCCCGCAGAAGGAATCATACACCGTTGGTTAGAATACGTGGGACAAGTAAAAGGGAAAACAATAATACGAAACAGCCGACTACTGCGCGTATTTTTCTTCACGGCTAATTCTTTCGGGGATGATATGAAGACAGTTGAAAAAAGAGTTGGGGAGTTTGTCGACTTACATTGACAGACCAAAACTTGAGGTCGTCCTTCTCAGGAGGGACTGCTGCAGCTGCTGAGGAGGTGCTACCGTTGGATCGTGGGACGGCCTCTACTGGCTCTGCTAGTTCCTGTTCATAGTGCTGGTGATCCTGCTCAGCTGCGTATTCTTCCTCGTATTGCTCTTGTGGTTGCTCTGTCTGTGCATGTTCGGCCTGTCCTGCAGGAGCCTAGTGACCCCAGTACGATACGAGTGATTGAAGCAACGCAAAGCAAAGTAGAGCGAGTTAATAAGAGAAGGCGGATTCGAACATAGCTGAATTGAGTCTGGATAAAGAAAGGTTCCGTATCTGTTATTACCTCAATATAGTTTCCAGGCACAAAGCCAACATGGGTGCCGTTTCCGACCAGGAACCAGTCTGGGTCATCCTGCTCATACAATGTCAGCGTGTCGCCCTCTTCGAATGAGAGCTCCTCCTCCGTTGTTGCATCGTACTTGTATAAACCGACCACAGCGCCGCTCTCGGGATGCTAATTTAGAAGAATAGGAGATGTGAAGTTGATGACAAGGACGGTTAGGGAGCTGTGTCTGTAGTTGTTGTTGTTGGTTGTTGGTTGCAGACTGACAGTTGGTTTGCTCAGGTGATGAGTGAGGAACACGCAGAGGACATCTTCCCCCTTGGTCAGACGACGACGACAACAGTTATCTGTGCTCCCTTCCTCTTTGATGATAAGGTAAAAAGTGTGCTTGGGGAGTTGTGCTGCTTACAGGCTCGACATAGTTGCAGGGTATAAGGCCGATGAGGTTTTCGCTGGGGTCGGCAGTCTTGAGTTTGGCCTTCCACCACTCGGGGTCGTTGTCCTCGAGGATGTAGAGGATGTCGTTTTCCTTGATGGTCAGCTCCTCCTCGGTGTTTGCTTCGTAGTCGTAGAGGGCCAGGCAGATCTTGAGGAAAGGCATGGTTCAGTTGTGTTTGTGCTGTGCTGAGAGTAAGGGTTTAAAGGGGGGGTGGAGGGGAAGGGTAGAGGAGAGAGTGACTAGGAGGGGAGGAGTGAGAGAGAAGAGAAGAGAAAAGAAGAGGGAGATGAAAGATGGTTGGTTGGTTGGTTGGTTCGTTCGTTCGTGGTCTTTTTTTCTTTTTTTTCTTTTTATAGTGTCGGTGGGAGAGAGAAAGGATGGAGTGAAGGAGAGAGAAGGGGGGGAAGACAAGCGGACGTGATTATAATAATATGCGGGGATGGGATGAATGGAGGAAAAGAGGAAAGGTAAAGGGAAAAGAGAAAAGCGAAAAGGGAAGTGAAGGAGATGGAGGGAGAGGGCGAGAACAAAAAGGCACTGACAGTACAGTACACACCATAGGAGATAACAGACACAGCAGCGACCTATGACGACCTGACTGTTAAATAGCAATCAATCGTTAATGGCAAACTGGAGCAGAACAGAAAGGGTGGGAACACAACTAAGTCTGCTAGGGCTGTCTACACCCCTCTTCCTTCTCTCCTTTCTCTTCTTTCTCTTCTTTCTCATTACACAGGCTGCGTGTGGAATGCTCCCAATTGGTTCCCCTTCTTCGACTTTTCACACCCTTCGCAGAATAGATATAGATACGCCCTAGCAGGTTGCTTGTTGCATGTTGTTCTACACCTAATGTCTCAATGGCGACAAGACCCAATTGCCTTCTAACCTCCCACCAGGCAAGCTAATCGAGCGCCACTTGAACTTGGAGCAGCAATGATAATTATGGACAAAGTCTTCAGGGTGAGAAGAATCCACTTCCCGGTCCTTTGTGTCGTCGAGTCCACTCCTAAGGCGCACGAGTGACTGCCAAATTAAAGGGACGAGGCGCCACCTCCAATGTTTGCAACAACACTTTTTTTTTTTTTTTTTTTCTCCTTCCCTTGCACCGGTTGTCCATCCAGGTCGTCTGTTCATTCATTGCATACCCAACTCACTCCTCACCCAAAAACAAATCAACACCATGTCTGACTCAACAGTCAAGCGCGTCAAGGTCTCAAAGCCAGAAAAGAAAAAGGCTCAACCAGCAACATCCACAACAACCACGGCAACTATCACCCCACCAACACCAGAAGACGCTCTGATCGATATCCCTGCCATCAAAAAGAAGAAGGAGCGTCGAGTCAAGACCGACGCCGACATTGCCGCCAAGCAGGAGCGCAAACGTCTCCGCAAAGAGACCGAATTAGCGAAATCTGCTACGGCAAATACCAAGGCTGCCAGCGGTCCCCGCAAACCTACCGCCCAGAACAAGACTCCTAAATGGAAGCAGTTCTTGAAGAACTCGTCCGAGGCCGACAACGCGGAGCAATTGAAGGACACCTCCTACAAAGTCAAGGGCGATGACGGATCAGGAGACGAGGACAGCGACAGCGATAGCAGTGATGACGACAAGAAAAAGACCAAGAAGCGGAAAGCAGATAAACAATCGACTAAGGACGCTTCCAAAAAGCCAAAGCAGGACGATGCTCAACTTCCTGAATCGGACGCAGCAGCCCCAGGTTAGTTACGACAATACGCTGTTGTTGTGTGTCTCAATTCGCATTGAACTATGGCGAACCCAGGAACTAAATGCATTTTTCTTTCATCTATTGTAGGACTGGCGTACTTGGTGGAGTGGAAGAAGGCCAGGGAAACATGGAAGTTCCAAAAGCTCCGTCAGGTCTGGCTTATCAACCACATGTACGATGACAAGCAATTGCCCGATTCTCACTGGAGCCTTTTCTTGGAGTACATTCACGACCTGAAGGGTGCTGCTAGAAATGTAAGATTCTTTTTCGGGATATGCTAGATATGATCTTACGAGCGGCTATTACTTTAGCATAGTACTAACTGTTAACCCTATATTTACGATAGTCTGCGATTGCGGATGCCAAAAAGATTGTGGAGGCTCCCGAGTCCGAGGATGAGGAGGAGAAAGAGAAGGAAGAGAAGGAAGAGACCAAGAAGACAGAGGAGAATGAGGACCAGGAGATGAAGGATGGCAGCATAGAGTCAGAAGAGACGTCGACGATTCCATTGACGGAGGAAGAGAGAGCAGCAGAGGAGGCGTCGAAGGCAGCAAAGGTCGAGGCCAAGCGGGCAGCTGTGGTCAAGTCATCCCGTGCCCTTGCAGTCCTTCGCGTCCTTGCATAAACAAACCCACAATCATTGCATATCATTTTTTCGCATCCAGACCCCACTAATAAAATAAAAAATATCGTCCGAGTCACATTGATTTTAAGCGCTTGGCCTTTTTTTAATATTCTGTTGGGCTTTCGCCCATCGCTTCTTTCTCTCCTTCCTTTGCAATCCGCCACCACTTTTTGTTTCCCTCCTATCTCTTTCTCACTCTTACTCCCACCATCACCACCACCACCACTCCCAAGAACAAGCATCGCCTCAAACAACAGCTCATTACCGAGGGACTGACATCAACCACCTCAAACCAACACAAAGGAGCACTCTCCTTGGCCAACACTCTCCCCATGACAAACTCGGACCCAATTCACGACCCCACAATGAACACGCACCACACAAACGGCATCAGCTCTGCAGAGGGCACACTTCCCCTTCCTACAACCTCTCAGCAACAGCAGCGCGCTCAGTCAGACGGAGGGCCAGGCCTCAATAGTAACGGCCACTCTCAAGATTACTTTGCCCAACAGGCGCCAGTTCCTTCCACGCTTGAGACTCAGAGGGACTTTTCGTCTGCTGTTGAAAACAAAGTGGGCGACAGCTCCCACAACCATCGCCATAGCAACAGCAACAGCAACAACGACTTTATCAGCAATGCCACCTTTGCTACCGAACCTGTACCACCACCATCAGTATCAGAGCTCGCCTCTCATTCGACAACCTCGCCTCTGCAACCTGTCTCGTCTTTGACCTCCGCACTTGCCCAAAATCTCACGCTCGACCCAACAACTCACCTCCACCCGATGACTGCAGAAGCAGGAGCAGGAGGAGCAGTGGATGTGTTGGCGACGGAAAATATTGATCCTGTCGCGTCCTACTCGGCCTGGCGCAAGAAGAAGGATACAGAGACCCTTCAGGGGACCCAGGCAATGATGGAGACGTTCCTGAGACAACATTCGGCATACGATGTCCTCCCTGTCAGCTACCGCCAGATTGTCATGGATACCACCCTCTTGGTCAAGAAGGCCCTCTCTGTCCTGATGCAATACGGTAATTTATATCCTGCTTATCCCTATCGCTCACATACCTACCTTTGCCTTTTTCCAATGCCAACTTTATTTTGTACTGCTCTTCGAGCAATCATACCGTTTGAGTTATTTTAGTTCGTTAATCTAACCCTTCTTGTTATTTGTGTCTCTTTCATTTGGCGGATCGATAGGGATCGTGTCGGCGCCACTTTGGGATTCAACAAGACGCAAATTCGCTGGCATGTTGACCGCCACCGATTTTATCAACCTGATCCAGTTTTATTACTCGCATTCGTCCTACTTGGTCGCCAGTCGGGAAATGGAGCTCTTCCAGATCTCACAACTGAGAGGTGAGCACGGGTGAAAAAGTCTCCTTTTGAAATGGAACAGGTGGAATATGTAGCTTTATGAGAGACTTTGTACATGAAGTCAAGAAGAAAAAGGTGGTGCCCCCGCCCCGCCGATCGAGCAAGTGGTAAAGAAAAATGAAAATGAAAAAGGTTCAATCTAAAGAACTGGGCTCTGGGTAGCGGTGGGGCTTCGGAAGAAAGTACAATGCGTACGATATGTATTTGAAATGTCTGAGAACACCCCGAAACCACAACTCACTGACCCCACTCGCATTCCTTGTGCTTCTTTTCACTTTTTGACTGAAAAAAAAAAAAAAAAAGATGTCGAGAAAGTCATAGGCGTTCCACCACCAGAGCTGTTCTCGTTACACCCCCTCCAATCTCTGTACGACGCTTGCCATCTCTTGGTCGAGTCCAGGGCTCATAGACTTCCCTTGGTGGATGTAGACTCTGAGACGGGTGAGGAGATGATTGTCTCGGTGTTGACTCAATATCGAATCTTGAAGTTTATCGCCATGAATGTAAGTAGAACCTCTCGTTTTCTTTGTGTTTTTCAGGATTGTCTTTTTTTTCATGTGGACTTGTTTCCTTCTTTCGTCAGTCACTTACCCCCTTTTGACATCGATTTGATCATATTGTCCAACGGCATTAGTACCAAGACGAAAAGACACTGCGGCAGCCATTGTCAGAGCTCAAGATTGGAATCTACACTGATTTGGCGGTAGCGGATTTGTCAACGCCTGTGATCGAGGTCATTGATATGTTTGTCAAGCGGAAAATCTCTTCCGTCCCGATTGTGGATGAAGAAGGTATGAACGGGGGGGATTTTTTTTGCATTGTTTGCGCTTTGGACACAATTTGGTCCGACATGGTGTAAGAGGGAGGGGTTTTGTTTTACCAAGGTGGGCTTTACTAATTTTTATACGACCCTATTAATTAGGTGTCGTGTTGAACGTGTACGAGACCGTTGATGTGATGGTAAGTTGCCTTTGCTTCACTTGAAAGAAGCAAAAGCTGAAGTAAATCTGACTCACCCTGTCTAACATGCCAATCCTTTTTGCCATGTACGAAAAAAAATAGACGTTGGTAAAGGCAGGAGTGTATAGGGATCTGGACTTGTGTGTTGCAGAGGCGTTGCTCCGACGACCTGAGGACTTTGCGGGCGTCCATACGTGTACTCTGAACGACAGTCTCTCGTCGATCTTTGGAACCATCCGCAAATCGCAGGTGCATCGGTTGATTGTTGTCGACAGTGAGAACAAGCTCAAGGGCATTGTCAGTCTTTCGGATATTATGCGGTACCTCATTGGCGGCAGCCGGGATGATGCTGGTGCTGCCGGTCGAGAGGAGGAGGAGGAGGGTGATGTGGATTCTGCGCCTGTAACAACGACGGATGTTGAGGGCTCCGGTGCTGGGGAACGTGGTGTTGATGAGAAGTGATCAAAAATCCGGTCATTCCAAGAAGAGACATTCTGTAGCCTCACGTCCGATACACGGCGTTTTACTATTAGATACATTTTTGCAAAACAAGTTCAACTTTGCTTCTAGTTCATTCTTTGTTATTGTCTTTTTTTTTATTTCTCCTCTACCTTTGACGGGCCAGAGGCAACCGACTCAATAGACTTCCCCATCCCCCTTCAAAAAGTCCTTCCTGATGTCTCCTTTACACCGTCTTCTGATCAATAGACTCCAGAAGGGCATGGTTCATAACCGCAAAGATCTTGTTACAAGCCTCGACACAATGCTCAACCGACTGGGAAATAATGGCGCCTTCGGCTTTACCCGACTGCAAGACATGTGTCGTCTGGTTCAATGATGGCATATACGCCAACACAATCGAACCCTGTTGAAACTTTTCTTCCTCCAAATCGGCGTCCATAAAGATTTGTGGCGTTATTGATCCTGTTGCTCCTTCTGATGGTGCTTCTGATGTGGTGGATGATGATGTGGAGGGTATTGAGGTAGGGATGTAAGAGGCGGAGCAACCAGCGACGAGGTCAAGCATCTCGATTCCCGCATGGGCCAAAGCGACAGATGCGACAGTAAAAGCGGCTGCAATACAGGAGCCCCAGCCATCGGATTCCAGGACGGTGATATAAATGTCGACGTTTGATTTCGGGAAGAGTTCCAGTCTCACTGCGGGGGTTAATCCTTGGCTCAAGATCTGTGAAAGCTCCTTCTCTTGTGCATCCTATGGGTGAGAGAAGGGAGGGGAAGTTGTGTGAGTTTCCTGGTCTATGAGTTGTGTTCGTGAGGAGTCTTGGAAGATCCCCTTTTTTTCCATTTTGACGGGGGTGGGGTGTGATTGGGTAGATGTGTCTTTTTTTTACCCGCATGGTACCGCGACGCTTGACGCAGGAGAAGGTCGCAAACTTGATTTCACAATTAAGCGTTCCTCTGTCACTGAATCCTTGTCCAGCTCTCTTCACAGGTCTGGGACCGTAACTATGACAAGAAATGTACATATAAGAAGGGGTCAGTTTGAACTAGCTTCCTGCAAAAAAAATAAGTGGGGCAGCAATAGAAAAGGGTATCTTCCTTATTTCCCAGATGTAACAAAGCGGTAACGTACACGCCGCAGGTGAGCTTTGTCTTTTCCAGTTCGATGTAGGCAGATCCATTTGCCTCAGAGATCAATCCTGTCTTCAAGTCTAGTACGAGGAGTGGAGGGGGGCGTGAGTAAACCCGCAAAAAGGAGGGAAGCAAAGGCGTGTTAGATATAGAACCTTGATAAATTTTCTTTTGTCAAAACGCGAAAAGTCACAGCAAAGCAATTGCAATTGGAATGTATTATTTGCTCGATGGTTTTGCTCGCTGTGCTCGTTCGTGGTCCTCGTTCGTCCCCCCTCCCCCCCTAAAAACGTATCTTCCTAGGACTTACAGATAGGACGCAAGTCCTCAGGCTGGCGATGAGAGTCGTGGCGCTTCTCGGTGAAGGGAGTCCATGGTTGGTGGTCGATGGGGTATTCGACCAGAGGAGCCACACTCGACTCGGGTCCTGCAACTCGCTTTCTGTCTGTTGCCATGATGTATTGATGCTGTTGTTAATGATGTGGTGAAATGAGTAAAGGGCAATGTTGAACATGGAAACATAAAAAAAGAAAAGTGAATGAAAGTGACTGTTTTGTGGCGTCTGGTTTGTTTTGAATTTGTAGGAGAGCTGCGGGGTGGTGGTAGGCGGTGTGTAGGAGGACGCGACACTGATAAACTCCTATAATTGGGGGAACAAAACGCGCGTCGTTGTATTTGCAAGTGATTGATTGATGAGTAAGGTCCTTCTTTGCTGAATTATAAACTTCTGAGGAAAACAGTAGTTAGACGCTGCTTAACATATCACAGTTGTCCTTTATCATCGTCAATATCTTTCTTCTCTTGTGTAACTCACCCCCAGTAAAAAATGGAGGGCGGGTGGGGGAACACGACTGAATCCGGAAACATGTTCCATGGCGGATAACTCCTCGGCCCAACTCGCAGAACCTATACAGTTCGTCCCACTGGCCAAACGCGACTGGTGACAGGTCCGCCTCGACGAGCTCAAGGTCATGGGCCAACCCGTAACAAAAGGCCATGTTGTTCGCAGTTGCAATTGACGAACTGGGACGAAAGAACGCGTATTTACATATCATGCGAGGGTAACGCATCCATAACAAAGATTTCATAAAATATGCTTTTGATTGATAAAGTCTAAGAAGGGGATAACGCAACATAAAGTCTAACCACCGATTACCACTTGCGCGCCTTGGCCTCTTCCTGTCGCCGGACAAGGTAGTTCAGCTTCTCCCACACCTCCTCAAGCTTCGTCCGCTTCTCCATCAGTTCCAGGTGTTTACCCACAAGCGGGTTCTCTCTCGCAAACTTCTCCATCGCCTCCTGACCCGTCTTAACCCCCAGACGACTGTCAATCATCCGTGGCAACTGGAACACAAACTCGTTCATCAACTCCACCTGGATAAACATCACACTCGTATACGCTAACTTCTCCGCCACAACTGCCAAGAACGCCTCGGGACACTGTGCCTTGTTCTTTGAGTTCTTGCACGTCTTGGATTTGAGCGCTGACAACCGATACTTCAGGATCAATGCCCGGTCCCGCAACGAAAGCGCCTCTCGTGCCTTCACCAACAGCTTGGGGTTGAAATGGGGTCGCATCGCCGCCTCGAGCTCATCCTCGTCCTCTGGTACTGATCGGTTTTCCTCCGGGGCTTGGGTATCATCGTCCTGGCTGTGCTCGCCGTGGGCTTCTGTCGATTCCGAGGAATGGTTGTCCCGACTGACTCGTGCTTGGTCCTCCAAATACTGACGAGGGTTCGACTCTCTCAACTTGGCAACGGCCTCACGACGCTGTGCTCTCTTCGCCTCCTCGCGATCCGACTCGATCACAAAGTTGATGGCCTTGCGCAGCTTCTTGGTTCCGACCGTCGTCTTAATCTTGGACAACGCGTCCTCGCACATCTCCAGCTCGGTCTGAACAAGGGCAATGGCGCGCTTGACACCTTCAGTCCACTCGCTGTCCGTGCACTCGACCTCGTACTTGAAGGGCTTGATGGTGTTCTCGACCTGATCTGCAGTGGCCTGGCTACGAGAGCTGAGAATCTCGTGCGTCATCGTCTTGATGGTGTTGGCTGCGTCGGGGTGGTGGTTAAAGGGCTCTGCCTCAGCTAACTGCTCCATTGTCCTGGAAAGAATGTCAACAACGCGCTGGGTAGTCTGACGACCCACACCGGATTTTGTCAATGCGGACGAGGCCATCTCCAGCTGTAAATCCCAGTAAATTCGATCCTCCTCAGCAGTCGAGCCCGAATCCAGTTGTGGCAATTCGTTGATCCTGGGGTCGGACCAGTACCGCTGCGCACAGATATCGAGCATGCGCTGCTCCAGCATATGTCGGATCTCCAGCCTGACCTGAGGCTTGCCAAACGCCCTTGAAAAGTCCTTGAACCGATGTTTCAGCTTGTCCACAGACTCGGCCACATATGACTCGGCGCTCATCTTTTGATCGTTGTACTCGACCTTGAACTGGTATCGCGTCTCATCCAACTCCTTCTGGACCGCCTTGATGATCGATCCCAAGTTGGAGCCCATGTTCTCTTCCAGGATATCCATCAGCTTGCGACGAAGAGTTCCTGTGCCGACAAAGACGCCTCGCTGACTGTACTGGTACGAGCTCCGGAAATGCGCGTCCTCGGTCTTGATGACAGCCTGCGTAATGTTCTCCTTGCTGGATCCTCCAGGTGCCCTGCAGACGACTCCGATATATCCGAGATGCAGAGGGTAGTCCTGATTTCTCAGAATTGCAACTCCACGCTCAGGCTCGACCAGATCCATCTTGGTGATAACACCGATCGTCCGCAATCCCAATGGATCGACCTTTCGACTGCTCCTGAGAGCCTCCGAGTTGGCTAGATCGACATCCGCGGCGCACACAGCCAAGATAATGTTGGGCTCCTGAATATACTTCTCGCACAGCTCTGAAATCTTCTCCTTGAGGGAAATGGGTTGGTTCTTGGATGTAATTTGAATGTATCCAGGCAAGTCGATCATGGTCAGATCCGGAACGTTGGGGGAGTAGATGCGAAGTTCAATGGGTTTGGCAGAAACACATTCTGACTCGGGAACAGCCATGTTGAGATCCCTGAGAGTCTCCTGAATGCGTTTAAAGTCGTGCACCTTGCCCAAGCCTAGAGAGGGGAACTCTCCGTACTCTTCCTTAGTGTGGGGCGTATGAATCAGGGTGAGCTCAATGGGTCGCCGAGTCACCATGTTGGAGCCCCTATGATCGAAAGGAACATTTCAAATGGTTAGAAACATGTCGACTCGACTAATATTCGAATCCTACAATCTTTTGAGACAGCAAAGAAACATACTTGGGCAAGAATTCGTGTCCGACAATGGCCTCCAAAACTGAACTCTTTCCAGAGCTCTGACTTCCAATGACGACAATGCTAGGCAGCTTGAGGGTATCGTTGTGGTCGATCGAGTTGAGAACATTCCTGACTTCGATCAGCTTCTTGGTCAGCAGCATGAAGTCACCGTCGTGAGGTGGGATTCCTGAGGGGCGTGGACTATCCTGTTCGTCGGACTTTGATTTAGCCAAGGCTGCCGCTGCTACTGCCGCTGCCGCCGCCGCCGCCTCACGGTTATGCTGAGGGTCCTCGTTGTTGTCGTTGTTTCCGTTGTTGTTGTTGCCTCCTGTTGTCGATGACTTGCGGATGAAGCGGGGTCCTTCTTGAGCGTCCAAGTAAGTGGCTTCACTGCTCACGATCTGTTCCTTGTCGTCCAAAGTCACGCCACGGAAAAGAGGAACCAAAAAGTCAGGAAGGGCCAACTCTGGGACGTGGACTTGGTTCATGGTGGACTTGACCGACGTTACAAGTCCTTTCACATCCTCTGCCAGCCCCATGGCCCAGTCACTTCCTCTGTTTGAGAGTTCTATCACAAGAAGATAACAAGCAGTATGATTTAGTAAAGGTACGCAGGAATAGAACGTATGGTCCAATCTCTGCTTCTGCGACTTTCTCTGGGTTTGTATATTACCTGTGACTTTGTACTGAGCGTAGGAAAGACTAGCAAGTCCAGCGGTGAGGGCACCCATGGGCAAACGGAGGGCATGCATTATGAACCGGGGGGCAGCCGTGGCAGCAATTCCACGTCTGGCAATAAGGTTTCCATGTCGTGTCCTGTAAAACTGGAGCGCAGAGTGACGACGAGGGAGTGCAAAGGGGCGACCGGGGACAGTGTGACGACCCGAAGAAGGGTATGCGGTTGAAGAAAATGCCCTGGAGGCGAGGCGGGATCCGGTGGTGGCAGAGAATAAGCGCAAGCGACCTATGCTGTTGACGGAGCTGCTGTTGTAGAAGCGTTGCTGGACTCCTGCAGAACGAGAGGTCCAGGCCAAGGGGTCACGCCTGGCGACTCCTGCAGCAGCAGCAACGGTTGTCTGAGCTGCTGTTGTGTTGGTGGCAGTGTTGGTTCCAGGGTGAATTCTGAGGATAGTAGCCGTTGAGAGGAGACGAGCGGGCTGTGAGCGGCTGGGTTGGTTGAGGAGTGTCCTGGAACGGAGAGCGGCGCTTACAGCAGGGGCCTCTGCAAGCAACCTCGAGATCATTGTTCGAGTATTTGTATGAGTGGGAAGAAGGGAGGATATATTAAGAGTGAGTGAATGGAAGGAAGGAAGGAAGGAAGGAAGCGTGAGGATGAGGGAAAGGGGAATGGGTAATGAGAAGTATGGGTGGGAAGGTGTGAAGAAGGAACGGAGGGAAGGAAAAGGTAAGCGCTGTTTGTTTTTCTTGCTGCACCTCTTGTCTCTCTGTGCCCAGAACCATGACATCCGCTCGCATACAAAAATTCCTTTTTCGCTCTGTGCCGAGTGCTGAACGCAGTCACTGCACAGTCATGTGATTAAGACACAACCAAGGAGCTTTTCTGTGGAGTTGCCCTAGGACACTTTGTTTCTCTTTCTTTTTTTATTGCTTAATTGTGTAAGTGCGATAGGTACAGGGGAGTGATGGTTGTCATATTCCAAAAGATTTTCACTTGAAGTTGTTCTTCAGCTCACGAAGGGCGTGCATGACATCGATAGGATCGGTCTTGCCCGTGAACGCCTGCAATGATGGTTCGCTAGAAAGGCCATAAAAAAAAAGAAAAAAAGTTCAGTTGCAATGTATTGTAAAATAAAAAAACAGCAACGCGTGCTCGTCATGACCAATTTCTCTGCACCAACGACATGAAGGGCAGCTTACTTGACGCGGAGGAAAGGGTTGGCGAGCAGCTCCTCGCCAATGGTGCCAGGTATGGTCGACGTGACGCTCTCGTCCGAGGCCCATTGCAGCCTTTGAGCCACGTGAACGTTATCGGGCTCGACATGGTTGGCAAATTTGAGGTTGGCCTTGGTGTACTCGTGTCCGCAATAGACCTTGGTCTCGACGGGCAAGGTGGCTAAAACGTGAAGCAAGCTGTTGTACATGTCTGCCGCGGTACCCTCGAAGAATCGCCCGCATCCACCTATTCAAAAAGAAGAGCAATTATTTTTCGTGGCTGATTAATAATTTCGTCCGCTAGCCTTGGAACGCGGCGCGTTGATTAATATTTTTCGCGTTCCGCCTGCAATCATAGCTAGCATGGCCAAAAAAAAGAACACCAGCACGCACTGAGGAAGAGAGTATCGCCGGTAAAGACAGCGCTGTCGTTTCCGTCCTTGATAAAGTAGCAAACACTGCCCTTGGTGTGACAAGGAGTCCAGAGAGCCTGGACGGTCAATGATCCGACCTTGAACTCCTCTTTATCCTTGACAACATAATTGATTTCGGGAATCCTGGCATCGGCACCAAAGACAGCAAGACCGGGCCTCTTGGCAAGCAGCTCGACATTGCCGTCGGCGTGATCCCAGTGGTGGTGGGTGACGAGGACCGACGTCAATTTGGCATTCAGATGTTGAACGATGCGGAGCAACTTTTGGGGCTCGACGGGATCGATGACAGCAGCCTCGGAGGTCTTTTCGTCGAAGAGGACGTAGGCGTAGTTATCTAACAATTTGAAAGCACGCAATACGTAGGGTGTAAGCTTCAATTTGTCATCTCTTTTTTGCTTCGGCAAAACATGTTACACAGAATACTCCGTTGACATTTTCTTCCGGACGTCTTCAAGGAGAATATCGATGTGTACAATGGGAGACCTTAATTTTAATGCTCGGTGATTCTACGGGAAACTCGCTCTCCCTATCTTGCATACACACCAGCGTATTATTTTTTTCCCACCACAAAAAAAAAAAAGAAAAGTCAAGGATCTCCATTCTGAATCTCCCTTTTGCCATTCATACTACTGTCATTCTCAACAAGCCAAGCCCGACGCTGTTCATGTCATTCGTTTATCTCCCTTGTCTTGCGAATGCAAGTGTCAACAGCAAACTGAGTTTCTCCTTGTATGAATGACGCCAGTGTGACATTCTTCCCACGGAAAAGTGTACGTGAAAAACAAGTCGTACCTTCAAGGACTGGGACGGGAATGATACGCATGGCAGGCTTTGATGCAGTTGAGAAAGGCTGAGTGGGAGTGGTGAGCACGTTTGAGCGGCGGTGTTGGTGAGCCTTGGTTGTGGGAAAGGAGACGAGTCTGGCGAGGGTGGTGTAGGAGGAGTTTGGCGAAAAAGAGGAAGAAGTAGAAGAAAGAGAGAAAGAAGTGAAAAGAGGAGAACAAGAAGTAGAAGAAATAACAGAAGATGCCTTGAAGGAGTGGATAATGCGGGGAGTCCAGCACAAGGAGCGGAACATGGCAAGGGTTGTAAGAAGGAGAGTGCTGACTGAAAGAAAAAAGAAGAGAAGAGGAGAAAAACAGCACAGAAAATAAAAAAAAGATGTCGAAGCAGATCGGGCAGACAAACCCCCTTCATAATTGAACACAACATCCCCTCCTAATTGCACACAGCCTTAGAGCTAGGTTTGTCTTTCTCTCCCTTACAAATCGCAAAGATTGATGTGAACCCAGGTTCCGGGGCCTCCCTTGACAGAACAAGGTCGTTCCTTGGCCTCAGATCAACAACATACAGTCGGGTCTCACACCCCTCTTCAAAAGGCTCCAGTTTCATTTCATTTTTGACAGCCTTCGCCTACGTTTCGCCCCTTCAATATGAACGTGTGCTGTCATCAAGGCTGCAGCCTTCGGACCACAGTCTCAAACCTAGACAAAAGGCCTCAGGACCCTCAAATCTCAATAACTCTCCGGCGGTAGCCACCGTAACAAACATGGACTCTCATGAACCCCGCCTTTTTTTTCTCTCTCTCTTTTACTTCTTCGTCCTCTACTCTTCCATTTTACACTCATCGTTCAGCAATCAACATAGTTAGTCTCTCAACACCAATTCCTTATTTTCGTTGAACTCTTTACGTGGGGAACAATACTATACCTCACATAAGAGTAATGACGGTCCACGTCCCTTTGAAATGACCATTTATGTAACTGAGATACATCGTACATCCAGTTATGACTCTACAAGCGTTGTCGAGAGAATTTCTCGGTCTTCATCCAGATCTATTCTCAGGTGACGGCCTTGGTATGATGCCGGTCCACCTCCTCCCTGCACATTCTTGAACAAGTTCTCCTGCTTAAGCCGCTCTAGATAGACCTCATAGGCGGGCATGAATCGGACAACAAAGTCCTTGACCTGATCCTTAGTCATTCCTGTACCCTTTGTCGCCCACAGTCCTTCCTCCTGTTCTTGTCTCCACTTGAAAACGGTTGATATGTTGGGCGCTGACAGATGAACAAAGGCATCCAAATAGGTGTACCATTCCCGCTCGTATTCCTCCAGTGCATGGTTCACCATCTCAATCGACGAGAATGGGTGCTGGGAGAGATATTTCGGTGCAGAGGCATAGATCTCTGCCAGCCGCTTTGGATCCCGAATAGACTTGAACCCGAGGGACCAACCCTCGAACAGGATCACGTCGAATGGTCCTTGAGAGCGATGCCATTGGTCCTCAGGGACTTGATCGCCACGACCTGAATAGAGAGCCTTGTCGTACGAGGGTACTGGGACCATTGTGCCCGATGATTGAGGTTGGCTTGCTTCGTAAAGTGCTCGGAAGGTCTTGGTTCCCAATGCGATGTCGTGCGTTCCTGGAAGTCCTCTGAACTCGATCAATTTGTTGTCTGGGTATCGTTGACTGAGCGCTTGCTGGCGCTTGAAGGGGAGGTAGAGGTCGTCCATTGAGAAGCTGAAGACGCGTAAGTTGTGAGGTGCTTCAGTCAGAGTCGATACTAGCTCTCGCGTGATGGTCGTCTTGCCTACATTTCCGTGGAAAGAATGAAGGATAAATGGGTCAATGGACAGTGCAGTTGATTGAAGTCGCGTATATAATAGAGTCGGACACGGGTTTGCCGTTATTACCAATGCCTTGAGGTCCAGAGATGCCAACGAATAATGGTCCTCCTGAAGTACGCGTGGCTCCAGGAGGACAGCGTCTCGGCAAAGGCATCAGCTTCAAGATGTGTTGGACTATTGCCTGTGCCTTGTTCAGTTGTCCTGACATTGTTGTAGTTGTTCGTCGAGTGAGAATGAAAGAAAGGAGGGGCAAGGCGAATGAATGAAAGTGGGCAAAGTAAAAACGAACACACATCACACTTGAGTGTCCGACACCAGTAAGTCCGGTGGCTTTTATCATACCAGTTCCTGAGCGTGACCGAGAAACTGTTCTCGTGCTGAGTGTGGCACGACATGCTTCTCTATTAACATTCTTCCTTCACTTCACTCGACCACAACACAAACCAACCAACCATCTACAACAACAGCGACAAACCTCAGCGCCATGGACCTGCCCATCGTCAACTACAGCAAGTCAGAATACATCGAAACGGTACTTGCCCACACCTCCAGGAACAAGGAAACCTCCCACGTCGTTTACATTCGTGAAACGCGATGACAGAAGATAACGACTGACGAAGAGTTCCAATTTCCCTTCGATGCATATAGGACACGGGTAACAAGGTGTCGCGCAAATCCGTTATCTGCGGCAGTCAGAATATTATCCTTGGCGGTAAGGTGAGGACATGGAAGGAAGAATAAGCATCGTTGGCATCATCATCACGACGACCAGAAGGGTTCACAAGACAGTCACTCATACTTTCAAGCAAATTGGTATTCAATAGACGATATTGCAGACGGGAAGTGTCATCCGCGGTGACCTGAGGAGGACAGGTGCAGGACACGCTGTTGTCGTTTCCGTTGGTCGATACTGCTTCCTCTCACAGGGATGTGTTATCCGTCCACCAAGCAGAGTCCACAAAGGGCAAGTCAAAAAACAAAACTCTAGTATTGCATATGCATGGAAGGTCGACTTGAGCGCAATTACTTACTTTTTATTCTCGTGATAAAAAAACAATAACAGGGCATTCAGCTACTACCCCATGAAGATTGGCGACCATGTGACGATTGGAGAGGGCACGATTGTGCAAGCAGCCACCATTGGATCCTTTGTGAGCATTGGCAAGAACTGTGTCATCGTAAGTCCTATTTATCTCATGCTATAGGCGCCTCTCACCACGAGGAACACCATTTGACAGTGATTGTGTTTTTCCTCGCTCTGTGAATAGGGTCGGTTTGCGATCATCAAGGATTGCTGCAGGATAGAGGACAATACGGTGATTCCACCCAACTCTGTTGTTCCCTCATTTTCGGTCTACAAGGGGTCACCAGGAAAGTTGGTTGATGAGCTCCCAGAGAGTATTCAGGATATCGTTGAGGCACGGACAAAGGATCGATATGCCAAGTTTGTCCCTAGCGTGAACTAAGAGGACTCTTTTGCTTGCTTTTCGTTGGCGATTCACCCACTTCGATTTTCTGGAATAAGTTCGCTCTCACTCTTTACAACCTCTACCACAGCCACTATCACGAGCTTTCCTCTTCTCTTCCCCCCCATCATTACCATCAAGCTGAACTCAGCTAGCCAGACAAGACGAGAACCACCGCGAGAGAGATATCTTCCTAGAAAAAAGAAAATAAAAAAAAAATATCCTGATACGAACCATGCTCAGCAGTATTTCGAATCTTTGTCCCATTTATACTCTTTTCGCGGCTTCGCAGGGATTATCATCTGCAAACGACGCATCGCAGGACTTTGTTGTCGTTGCACGCCTTGTACGTTTCTTTCAATGAATAAGCAAGGGGAGAGCACGTAGCCAAGTAGAGGAGGGCCATTGTCCTTTGCTTTCACGTTCTTTATCTTATTTTTTTGTCGATCTCTTCTAGGCGGTATTGACATTTGTGGGGCCTTATTGTCATTTGTATCGCCAAGGGTGGGGAGCAAATGACGATGACGGCGTTCTGTTTCTCTTCCTCTTTCTCTCTATCACCACTCTCCACTGACTAGCCCTCCCACCTTTCTGCTTCGTCCCCCAATGCTTCTCGTCCAAGACCGAACAAGAAAAAAAAACCACCTCGTCTTTGCAACTATCATACTGACCCATTTGATAGCGCATCTTTCACCTTCTACTCTTCCTTTAAATATGTTCGGAGGACTCACTTTCTCTCACTAATTTTCCTTTCGTGAATCTATTCTTCTCCTCTCCTCCTCCACCTTCACGTCTGCCATTGCTACTTTTGTGTCCTCATATCGAATATCCATAAACTCTCTCTCTCATTTCACGACCCCACAAACACCAACGTCCACCACCCCATCAAAGCACCGATACCATCCAAACACCCCCCCTAAACCGAATCAACCTTACCACCACAAAAAAAAAAAGCAGGATCAAAAAGAAAATGAAGAGCAACATTGGATCATGGCCAGTCGCCTTTTTCTTGACTGCTGTCCTCTTTCTCGGCCTTGCCTCCAGTACATGTGGTAATAGATTAAACCAATGTCTTTTACATGGTGGCCAATACAGTATAGTGCTCATAAACATTGCGCTCACAAACATTGACGTTCTTCTTTCTTCAATAGAAGCAAGACTACCAAGGTTTCCGTCTCCTGCTTCACCCCCCTGTCAATCAGCGTGCAACAGTGACTACTACAAATGCATCAATTCGCCTGACAAGTGTACAGAACAGCGCGATGCTTGCTTGCGTGGGTGCTAAGGATGCATGCATGTTGTTAAAATAAACATTTCGATATCCCTTTTTCATGTTTCTGCTTCCTTGATTTTTGATCATTTCGTTGTGTATGTGTAAAAGAGAGGGGGGGGGTTCCCTGGTACCGTTCGCTCGGCTATTGCCTTTTGAGCTACGTCAAATAGCACTCGGTAATGCAGTGTTTGAATCCGTCTTGTTCTCAATCATCCCAACTCTACTTCGTACACTAACAAGTAAAGTGGAAAAAAAAAACACCATGAAATGATAGGAGAATTCTATTGCTAATGCCGTGATGGCTGCTTTGGTGATGAAGAAAGGATGTGGTGATGGTGGCGTCGCTAACCCTCCGTTTAAGAAAAAAAGAAAGGAATGACCGCACGTCCTCTTTTGATGCGATAGATCGCCTCCCTCGTTTCACAAAAAAGAATAGCGCAAGGACTTGGGGGCTAAAGAGATGAGTAATCGTTCCCAAAACTGCGGGGAGGAAAAGAAAAAAGAGGTGGGTGCTGCGGCCTGGAGCGAGTCTTTCATTACCTATCGTTTTCAAAATAGCAACGACCAATGTGGTTAATGTATCAACAAGGAGAGAGATAGACAGTGGTGGTTGGTGCCCTGGGGGGTTTGTGATGGATTGATGGAATGAAGTGGCACGTGCCTGGATAAGTTAAGGGCTGCGTCCCCTCTCTCTTCGACCTATTTATTGGTCTGCCTTCAGTGTCTGCCCCTCTTCAACTCACACTCTTTTTCCACACTCACTTTTTACATCGGGATCAACACCCTGCACAAACAACCGCGCCGCATGTCCGATATTCAAAACCTTCAATCCTACGGTAATTAATAACTCATGCTAAACAATCTAACCAACAGCAGCACACACCAGAACAGCCGCAACAGCTTCCAGAAAGAAGCACTCATCAGTCTGTCTTTGTGCTGTGGAAAGGACTCTCTTGACCCTGAAAAAAAAAAAGGTTTGCTGACATTCTTCCTCACTCATTTGGTATGTGACAAATAGATCCTTTTGCCGATCTTGGCGACTCAGGCGACACTGTTGGAGAGCAGCAGGGTTATATCCGTACGTCCTTTTTTTTTTTTTTTTGTTCTCTCTGATGATCATCTCTTTTTTCTCTAGTTTTGCAGCCCTTTTCCACCTTTGCTTCGTCATCATCTCTTTTCCTCCACAGCAACAACAAACAACAAACGACAGTCTGGTCCAGGAGGGCGTCATCTGGAAAACTCAGCTCAGCAGAGAAAAATACACAGCCTACCAACATCAGCAACAAGCGACAAGCGACAATCAGAAGAACAAAGACAAGAAAGGAAACAAGTGATGTTAACTCTTTATGCCCGTAGCAGGGTCTTGACAGGCCGTTTTGGCTCTGTTTCCTGCTCTGTCGGTAGTATACTTCGGTGTACGCCTTTTGTCATAGTTACACTGATGTTTTCCTTCTTTTTCTTGTGGTTTTTGTTGTTCGACGCACTGGGCTTACTTTGTCCCTGGCAATTCCGAGGAGACACAGGGAAAATCATGGAACAAAATATCAGCGGGACTCGAGGCGCAGAGCTATATTTTATCTCACTATCTTGGCGAAGGAGCAAGCTGACTAACAAATTGTTCTTTTTTGTTCTTTCTCGTTTTGCACCATTCTCTTTTTTCACTCCTTGCCCTCCCGTGTCCCCCAACAATGTAACGAAAAACAGATATTCGTATCCAGCAGCGTAACGGACGCAAGACCTTGACCACCATCCAGGGATTGCCCAAGAACTTTGACCAGAAGCGCATGCTCAAGATCTTCAAGAAGGACTTCGCTTGCAACGGAACCCTTGTGGAGGATGAGGAGTTGGGATCTGTCATTCAGCTCCAAGGCGATCAGCGTACTAAAGTCTCGACTCTCTTGACCACCGAGGGTGGTATCGACAAGAAGCAGATTAAGATCCACGGTTTCTAAATCAACACTCAAGGGGGACGACCTCTTTTGCTCCGTTCTTTTCTCCTTTTTTCTTTGCTTATCCCCTTCTTTTTTCTTTTTGTTCGAATTTGATGAGCTATAGCCCAACACCGGCCGATGCTCTATATCTTTTCGCTTTCTTCTAATTTTGTATCATTACCTTTTTTCTTTTTCAATTTGGCAGCATGACCTCATTAAAGCAACCGCAATCCATTGAGTCAAATAATGTCTTTTGCTCCTGTTCCTGAACTTGTATCTGCTATCTGCTATGGTCATGGGATGGATGGACGCGTGAGAAACAGAAACAGACGTAGACTGCAAGGCATGGTATTCTTGTTCAAGTATCCAAAAAAAATAATCTACCCTTATTTTTTTTGTCCACATGCTCAGAAACTGTGTCCTGGGAAGGTTCTCGTAAAAAAAGCACACAGCAGGCCACTTTGAGCATGAATTTTTTGCATGTTTATTTGTCGAGAATGAAAACGCACATCATAATAGCAAGGGGGGAAATGTCATAAAAAAAAAAAGGTTCGTCAACTGTACTGTACTCTAGTCTGGTGGAACAACTTGCAAAGATTCTAAAGAGGGCCCCAAGAGTCTTCAGAATCGTGGGATCCAATGCTTCCAACCTCAGCCTCGGTCCAGTCCAACTCTTCCTCGTCCTCGCTATCACGGCCAATGGTGTCAGAACGGTCGTCGGCATCCGACATATGGTGAAGGTCTTCGTCTGCGCCGTGGATGGATGATCGGCGAGATGATGATAGGGATGATGAGGAAGCATTCTCGAGAAGACTAGAGGGGTCCTCGAAAGGGTTAACGTTCAACTGGTGGTTGCTGCTCAGATCGTGACGAAGGATCGCGTTGGCGGGGCGGGGATCGACCTCAGACGAAGCAGCAGCAGTCACAGCAGCAGTGGCGATGATAGGCAAAGCAGCGGCAGAGGCGACGGTAGCGGCAGTGTTGTTGTTGGCAGGTGGTGGTGTGGTAGTCTGTTGATGGAGGTCATGGTTGGAGGCAAAGGGGTTCTGGTACAACTCTGCAGACCGAGCTTGTTGCTGTTGCTGAAGATGATGATGGTTCAAGAGTGCGGCACGTTCCTGGTCCTGTCTCGCAAACTGTTCCTCGGCTTCGCGCAACGCCTGTTCCATACGAATCTCCCGTTGACGGATCGACTCCTGCAGGGCCTCCTCGCGTACCTTCATGGACCGTTCCATATCTGCAAGTCGGGCTTCGTTGGCTGCAATTTCGCGCTCGGTCTCGTTAATCCGTCGGAATCGTTCTGTCATCATATCTTGCTGTTGGAGGTGATGGATGGGGGGTCATACCGTAAGTTGGTAAGGGTTTGTGCGTGCGTTTTGAATAGAGCTACCCAGGTGAACACTTCCTTTCTCACTGCAGCACCCCTTTTTTGTCTCCACCCATGACGGTCATAGAGAAAAAAAGTTTTCCCTGCTTGTACTTTCAAAAAGGGTCCGAAAAAGGGTCACACAAATTTCTAGCGCCCAAGCCAAGTCGCATATCCACTCTTCCTCAGTTGACACACGCACCAATAGGGTCGATATTTTGTGAGGTTGAGTTTCACAGTCAGTGGAGTCAAAGCTTCGCCTATTTATTCCCTTGTTGCTCCCTCCGTTGCTGTTGCATGCTCTCTCTTGCTCTCTCTCTCGCTCTGAGTCTCTGGTATTGTTGTCCTGCTCTCGTGCGCCCCAAAAAAAGAAGAGACGAAAAGAAATCCCAATGCGCAGTATTGGAACTCTCTCTGACATGGACATGACAAAGTCAAAGAACACAGGAAGCAAAAAGTACGAAACAAACAATTGGAATAAAAGGTTGGGATAGTAACAAAACATGTAGTAGAAAAATAAAAAGTCCAATGACTGTCAATGCTCCTCTTTCTCCTCCTGGTGTCGCTGCTGTTGTGCATACTGTTGCTGCTGATTGTGATTGTGGTGGGTTACCAGGATGTTGCGTACAGCATTCTTTCTTTCGTTCACATCCTTGCCTTGGCGCCCCAAAATCCGTAATTGGAGTGTCACAAGGTCCGGTCGCACTAGTCACTCTGTATTATGCAATGTCGACACACCTCTCTCTTATGTGCATAGCCAAAATATAAAACTCGGTGTATGCCTACCCTTACTCTACCCCCTTCCTTCCTTCCCTCCCGAATGCATAACAGAAATGGGAAGAAAAAGGGTCAAAGGAAAAGGAAAAATAAGGAAAACAACAACAACAAAAACTTACGTCAAAGTCCTTCTCTTCCTCATCGTCGTCATGGTTGTTGCCATTAGACCTCGTTCGACGTTGTCGCAATTCGTAATCAGTGAAATGGTGGTCGAACATGGAAGACGAAGAAGAAGACGACTGGTCACGGTAGTGGTCGTCTTCGTTTTTCTGTTGGTTCCCGCTGCCTCTTCGCTCCCGCTGGCTACTGCCACCACCTCCGGCGCCGACGGGACTCTGTTTCTCAAAGGAGGAGAACATGTCGCTGATCTCGTCCTTGAGGATAGTATAGATAACTACGCCGGTGACCACGACGCCAATGACGCTGGCTGCGATGATTCCTGGGTGCACCATGATTTCTTTTTTGGGGAGAGAAGAACTGGGAGTGTGTGTGAGTGTTGTAAGGAAAGGAAGGGAAAATAAAGTCGTTGAAAAGTTGGTAAAAAGGAGAAGGAGTGAAGGGGGTGCGTTGGGTTGTTTTAAGTGTCTAGGAGTGGAAGTAAGGGCAGCACCTGTGAGTGGGTTCGCAAGAGTGTGAGTGTGTGAGAATGAGAGCAAGGTGTGTTAGGACAAGGAGAGAAGGAAAAAGAAGCGAAAGCTTGAAGGTGGGCTTGGCAAAGTCATTTGCAGAGGAGTGACTGTCAATCGATGCGCTTCAGCTCTTGCTAAGCAAAATGGCGAAGAAGAAAGCAGGCAAGCTAGGCGAGCAAAAGGGTGTAAGGAAACCACAGCGTGAATGATATCCACTGTTCACGACTCCCTGTCTGGGTAAAACATAGTCGCCATTGGGCAGGCAGTGTGTTGCTATGGTGCATCGGGGACCGACAAGAGAGGACACCTGGTCTATGCGGCGGTTACACGCGAGCCCCGAAAATTCAAAAGGGCTCCAATGTCTCTCTACACGTGACTGCTACACTTTCTTTGAAGGCGATTCGCGATCGTTCATTTTCTTTTTACCTTTTGTCTTCTCCACGTCTGTCACCTCACAAGAACTGTCGCATCAGGATCAACTTAGCACTCAACCTCAATCAACCACGAACAGGAACACCGCTAAAACAACAACAAAAACCGACTTTGAGCCACTCCACTTTCTGCACGATGATTCTTCCTATGTACCTCGGTCAAGTGAATCAGGGCATCAAGCACGAGCATGCCCAAAAGGTCGCCGCTTTCCTCCAGGTCTTTTCAAAACACTCTGAAAAGCTTCTAATGGAGACCAAGGAGAACGTAAGGGCTTTGTCAAGAGGAAGACAAGGAACTGAAGAGAACATAAATGGTGATTTTTGAATTGTTCAGAGAAAACCTCAACATCGGAGATATTGATGCGGAATGGTTACTTGGATCTAATATATAGGTCAGGGAGATCGAGGAAACATGCCATGCCAGACTTCAGTCGCCATGGAATGAGATTGTGTTCCATCACATCATGGCTTGCAAGGGTGTCGAGGCTGTCGACTTTGTGTCTGCCTATGGAGACCAAAACATGGCCGTTACGTACGTTCATCATTTTTCTTTTGTTTCGATTTATTTACACCTGGAATTTCTTCAATAGTCTCGGGAGCAAGCAGGCGCGAGGAATGAAAGAATCAACAACGTGGATATTCATAGTTATCTTTATCGTGTATGTGCTTACCTTTGTCGCGTCTCCTTTTTTCTATTAGAATTTTCTTGCGTGAATTCCCTAATATGACCAACTGGCCTTTGGAGATCTTGTACATCCTCAATGCCGATCTTGGACGTCTGGCTGTCCAAGTAAGTTGACCGAGAGTTGAACGCATCTCTTCATGGACTATGGACTATAGAAACATATATACCAGAACTGAAACTACCAAGTGACTGACAAGTGAACGCGATTTTGTTGCATTGTCAATGCATTGTTTAGGCTGATAAGCAATTGGAGCGAAGGGGCGAGAAGCCATCAAAGTTGGAGGACTGTGCGAGAGTAATCAACAAGGCATTCAGTATTTGCATCACAGACAGGTACAGGGGCATTGTGATAGCGGGTCAGGAGACGGAGAAAATCACACCAAAACGCTGTTTTACACATTCAAACGACACAATCTAGGTAACTCATATTCTTTCCAACTTCTCGGTATCAACATGTGTTAGAGCGCCACTGCATATTTCCCGTAAGTGGGGAACATACAATGTCATCGGAATCTTGTTCAGGACCTACTTCAAGGTACAGGATACTTTGAATCATCAAGGTCACTAATGTACATGGTCCTTGACGGGAAAAAAATACTGCTATGCAATGTTTGCTAACCAAGGAACACCTGTTGCTTACGTCAAATGATAGTTGAAGTCGCATAATTTGTGCAAGAATATTCTGCGTGCCGTGAAAGCGGCTGATTTGCCAGAGCTGGAACAATTCCCAATGGCGCATCAGGTCACGATCCGCTACTATACAGGAGTTCTTTCGTTCTTCAACGATGACTTTAAAAAGGTAAGCCTTTTGAATACAAAAAGACATTGAATGAAGTGTACTCGCCTCAAGATAGGCTATGAGGGGATGCGGATAAATGTGGAAAAGTAACGAGTGACGCGACGGGTGAGGGTGGGAGAGGGCGAAGATGAAAATAGGAGAGTACGAAAATTATGCATTATGCTAGTCGCCGGATGTGTGCTGACAACTGTTTCTTCTCTCGCGTTTTTGTTTTCCATTTCCATCTCCACTCATATTTTGGGTTTTTATGCAAAACATGAAGGCGGAAACAGATCTGCAGTTTGCATTTGATCATATCCCACCCAAATTTCACCACAACCGACGCTTGGTCCTTCACTACTTGATCCCGACTCGCCTGTTGCATGGATCGCTTCCTCAGACCCGTCTCCTCGAGGAATTTCCAGAACTTTCGGCGCTCTACCGACCCCTGGCATTGGCGATCAAGAGTGGAAATGTGCAGTTGTTTGACGAGGCCTTGTCGATTGGCGGAAGTCGACTGATTGGACTGGGTACCTATCTGACTGTCGAGCGGTCTCGAGGTGTTGCTGTTCGTGTCCTCTTCAAGAAAGTGTAAGTCTTAATGAGTGTTTTTTCCTTGTTTGTGAATAAGTGCTTATTCAATGCAATGTCTGACTTGAACCTGCTCCTCTTTGATTTTAGGTTTACGTTGATGGACAAGACGAACAAGTTGAACATTGACCAGTTCCAGAAGGCGTTGGCCTTTGTGGGTGTCAATGTGGATGATGAGGAAGTCGAATGCATGCTTGCCAACATGATCTATAAGGTACACTTCATCTGACATTCAATATTTTTCGCGATTGATTATGAAAGATGACCACCACGTCTTCATGTCTTGTCGTATTCACCAATTCGTTATTTTGGCACTCAACCATTTCAATCGAATAGGGATACATTCGTGGATATCTTTCGCATGAGAAGAAGGTCCTCGTGCTCAGTCAGAAAGATCCCTTCCCGAGCTTGGAATCGCTGCAGTAAGCAAGTCTGCCTGCGTAAGAAAAACGGCATGACTAAATAAAAACACGCTGCTCGTAAAAATACTGAATGTAATATCTTATTGCACAACTGCAAAGGTTGGAGGTATTGCTCTGTGGGGAGTCAGCTAGAAATATGGGGACACTAAAGCTCAGCTCTGTGTATGTGTATGTGTGTGTGTGTGTGTGTGTGTGTGTGTGTGTGGTTATGGGCAAAGGGGCAAATGCACCTTGACTCTGCTCTAGAGAATCTGCATTGAGGAGGTTTGCCAAGAAGGAAAGGAAGTAGAGTCGAGACCACCTGTAATAGCTCGCTCTCCTCTTCCTCCTCCTTGGCTATACTTATTATTATTTTTTTGTGTGTGCTGAATGAACTCGGCAGTCCAGCTCGGACAATCATCTCGCTAATGAACCCGGTGGCGGCGCGTCGTCTTTGGGTCGTCCCTTCTTCAATGTCCCATCACCCAGTGACACCCTTTCCAGGTCTTGCGACAAGCCCTCATCCCCACTATTCCCGCCTCCGCTGCCAGTCGTGGCAAAAGTCAAAGAAGATTTCGTATACCGAAAATCCGGGAGTCCTTTTGCCTCCTTTTCACGCAGCGCCTGAACTTCATATTTGCGTTTCTCCTGCTTCGTCTCGTTACTCCAGGCTTGGTCAATTTCTTGCGACATGCGGGTGGCATCGTCGTTTAAGAATCGGAAGAGAGCCGGGTTGAGGGCTAGGGTGTGACTGTGGTAGTCTGGGTTTGTGGGGTCGGCGCAGGTTGGGCAGCACGTTGGGCAGCACGTTGGTTGAGATCGTCGTGACGGCGTGTTAGCGTCTGGTGGTGAAGCTAGTTGGTGAGATAAAGAAAGGAGGTGAGGGGTTTTAGTTATATAAGGAAAAGAAACTGGTTGAACGGGGAAGTTCTCCCGAGGGAGGAGCTGTGCGGAGTTAAATTGCGGAAGGGAAAATAGAAAGACGCGTTGATTATCGAAAAAAAAAACGCGGTGTGGGAGTAAGTAGCATGAGAGGATAGTGAAGGTAAAAAAAAAGATAAAACACGCGAAACCCCCGATCTGCTAAACTACCGGTAATGAAGGAGCATTATGGCCACTTGTTCAAATTTGAAGTACACAAAGGCACACAAACAAAAACCATGGACCCGTTTTTGTGCGCCTCTTTTTTCCTCCTTGGACACCCCTTTGCGGTACTCCTATTTCCGTTTCTCGATTGATATTGACGATGTGTTTGTTTGACTTACCACTACTAGGCGTCAGTAAGGTAGTTGAAGCTGCTATTCCAAAAAAAAAAAAAAAATTAGTGCCACAAAGGAAAAAGGGTATAGTCAATAAGGTGAACGTGAAGGCGTTGAGGGCGAAGTGAACACCTATATCGAAGGCGAGTTGTGTGTCTTCCAAGGAATGTACGGGATGGGAATGGATGGGCGATACATACGACTCTGTAAAGTCTGTCCGTCTTGAAGGTTGAGCAATCCTGCTGCGCTCTCACCTTCTCCTGCTGGGGTCTGAGCGTTTCATTTCCAAAACCAGGGCGTGGGCCATTAGGCAGATCGATCGGAGAGGGAGAGAGGGATAGGAAGGAGAGATGGATTGGGGCGGGAAGGGAAATTAGGTGAGTAACGACAATTGCATCGTTCTTCCTCTTTGATAGAAACATGTGGGTTTACGTCCTTGATTCTTCATGTGCTGTGGGGCAGTTTGGTGATGTGGTGGACAGGTCCATGCATGGCTAAGCATAACCTCATCCGTCTCCCGTCCTCTGCTGAGTGGGGTGGATGCATGTGTGCATAAAATTCGAGGGAGTGTAATAGGTGCATGGAAGGGATGAACATCTCCTGCCTGCAGCCCTTTCCTTGTCGTTGAATATCCATGTCCTGGGTATGAGCTTTGTAGGCGAAAATCCTGCTAGTGATATGCAAGGGGTTTCACGTTCATTCCAATGTAAGTTTGTCATTTACCTGCGCCCCTTGGCAAGTACACTGGGTTTTCATTGTCGCGTTTCTTCGAGAGACCCTGGAAATGGTTTGTGTTATCCTTGGGTTTGTGAACTGATGGTGGTGGTCCTGGTAGTTGTTAAGTAAGCTACTCACTTCTCCGCGGAGGAGAGAAAGAGAGAGAGAGAGAGGTGAAAGGGAAGTGTTGTGTCCTGAACGAGCGCGACTTGTTCGTGTTCCTGTTTTTGGCGGTGAAACAGAACCAATGAGGGTGATTGAAAATCTAAAAGAAAGAGCGGACAAGAAGGAAAAAAGCGAAGGGTTGGGGCGGTGGCGAAAAAAAGTGGCGTTGTTTGAGCCAGGATTGCGGGAAGAGAGAGGGACAGGTTAGAACAAAATAGGGCCATGGTGGCATGGGAAGCATCGGATGCTGTCTCTTTACAGTTGAGGCCATAAGTGCAAGAAAAAATAATGGCGGCGTACAGATGAAGAATAAGTATGCACGATGAGAGAGGAAAATTGGGAAAACCGATTATCGGAGAAGCGATAACACTTGCTGTGCTCGAATGAAAAATGAATCCTTCCTCCTTTCTCCCACTCGTGTCTCTTTCCCTCGCTCCACAGACAGATGCGGTCTAAGGACTGTGATCATTTTTGAAATGTCACAGAGAAAAACAAGCCGAGGAAGGACTGACACAGTATTGATTCTTAAATGCCCTTGGGAAAAAGAATTGCGATTATATATGTTGAACCATAAGAATCACGGCTGGATAGAAGGAAGGTGTTTCTCACTCGTTCATGTGGAAGAACTGACGGATGGCTATTCTTGACTGTATGCATGTGTTTTTTACCTTTTAGCTTACGGGAGTGACGAATGTGTTGACCGATGTTTTAGTTCGAGTGGAAGTGTGTGATATGAATGAGTGACTTTAGCGCAGACGAATCGGGTAAAGTGTTGAAAGAGGGTAGAAGGGACGAGTAATGAGTGGCAGCAAGGAAGGGTTCAAGATGAAGAGGGGAGGTTGCTGTGTGTACAGACAAAAAATAAAGATGTGTCTACTTATAAGGCTCGTGACAAGGCTTTGCTCAAAGTGCAAATAAAAACGGCGAGGAGAGGAAGGGGGAGAAAGCCAGAGGGGCCAAAGGGTTGAGAAGGATGGTGGCCATTTGACTCTTTTATGTATCGACCCTTTAATGTTTCGAAAAAAAAGTGAAATACTCCCGATGCCCTTGCATGCAACTTTGCTTAGCCATCATATTTACATATTTCTTTAGATTCTTCTCTTTCTGTTCAATAGCCCAACGGACCGCGCTTGTTCGTTTCTGACCCTATTGATAATAAAGAAGTGGAAGGGTCGCTGGTGCTGTGAGTAACTCCCTCCATTCAACTCTTTGGATGACAAGAACTTATCCAAGCCCTGCTTACTGGCTCCCCTCTACTTTTATTTTTACTCTTACTTCGTCCCTTTACTCGTCGTCTTACAGCACTGCTGAAATGCTCAGTTGCACAAAGAAACCATAAAAAAACGATCGCTTCCATCCTCGAGAAAACTGTCTGCCTCATTTCCACGCTCCATCCCATTTTTTTTCCCGTTTATTTGAATTCATGCAAATGATCGCGTTGGTGTTTATGTTTGTTTGTTATGGTGTTTATTCTTCACTTGTCAGGGTAACTGAAAGTCGCGACGAAGGCGAGGGAAGGCGAATGAACAAGGGGAGGGCTAGGGTACCCTTTTTGATTTTCAAGAAGTGACAAACCCTCACTTTTCCTCATCTTTTACTGTTTTTTTTGTTCATGCGCGAAAATGAAAGACAGCAATGTAATGAACAAAACAAGAAGCGTGATTCATGCATGCCAATGCGATCTTAAATCCACAAAATACCAGGTCTGGTGCGTTCCCTTCTCCCTTTTTCATCCTTTGGCCATCTCTTTTCATTCTTTTTTTTGCTCATATATCTCGTGGGTAACTCCAATTTGTTTCTTCTTTCTTCTGTGGTAGGAAGCTAGGAGGTTTTGTTCTTCGACCCAATGCCAAGACACCATGAAGATGAGTTTTCCTCTCTCTCACCTCCCTCTCCTTTTATTATGCATGTCATGTTGTTCACCATTGCGAGCGTTGACAACAAGGGATAACCAAAAAGAAAACCACAGAAAAAGGGAAAGTGAGTGAACAAACCGCCGGTAATAGCGGATTGTCGTTTAGAATAACTTGATATTGATATTGTTGGTGGCGTTTCTTGTAGGGTGTAACTGCGAACAGCATTTACTGCATGCTCCCTGTTCTCTCTCTCTGTTCGTATCAATGTGTTTTTTTTTAGATCGATCGCCTTCTCGCCTTTTCCTTCTCCTTCTCCTCTTCCTTCTCTTCCTTTTCCTCCCCAGTTTCTGCACCTCTTTTTTAGTAGTCTGCATCCTAATGTCAATTGATGAAGCCTGTGTATTCGTTCATCGACTTTCGCCCTTGATGGTCGGAACACTTCCTACAGTTCAGCCCCATCCGACCTGATGCTTTCCCGTGCGTGTGTGCATCCACTCATCCCCATCCATGGGATGGTAATCGAACTCTATCCCACCCCTCTCATTGTCACCCATCTCGAATCGCGCTTTGTCGACTTACTCTCTCTCCCCTTTAACGTCTTCACCAACGGGACACATACAAAATAATCCAGGAACAGGGCAGAGAGGAAAACGAAACAAGAATCATAACCGACCACTGTGTATCAAGACGACAGAATAAAAAACAACTACTCGCGATCGGCCCCATCTCACAACTCCGTCCCCCTTACACCCACTAATCCCTGAACTCTTGGCTTGAAGTTGCTGTTCTATTCGACATTTTTGCCTTTTGCCTTTTTTTTTTTTTTCTTTCCACATGCACGTTGTATTTGTGTTCACGTTCTGTGCTTCTGTGTTCATGTTTGTACAAATAACATCCCACAAACCTCTCTCACTCAGTTCACCTCGCCTAATACTCTCTTTATGCACGTCCTAGAGTTGCTATTTTTGTCTTTCAATTGTAAGCCGCATACGCTAGAGGCCGTTCTTTGTTTTATTTGTAATTCTGTTTTGTTGACTTTTGTATGTTTATGCGTGTGTTATTTCTTTTCCGATCGTGCTTTTTGCACGGTTTCCCTTTTTTATGTTGTTTGTTTTAAAGATTAGCTTACGCTCTTCCCTGCCGAGGAGGAAGACCCTTGGGAAGGTGATTCTTTCGTAGTCGACGCGTCGTTGTTAGGCGAGGACGTTGCCGCTGTCGCTGAAGCAGCAGCAGTCTTGGGAGTATCGTTCTCGTGGAATCCCAAGTTCTTGAAGTCGTCGTTTCCCATGAGACCCCTAAGAGAATAGGTGAGCATGAGAACCGTTGCAATATTAGCAAAGAATTCAATTGATACTACAAGTGGATCAATCATTCACCTTTTAAATCATATACTCTCCTCCCCTTCCTCATTCTCCACGTCATTTATTCCTTATCTCTCCACTTTTTCATGGTTTATGCCACCCTCTCCCACGGTTCCATCCACACCGTCCTCCACACAACAAAATTCAAAGAAAGGCGTGAGATAAAGTTCAAGTTAGCGATCTACACAATCAAGGAAAAGAAAAACAAACAAACTTACTTATCCATGCGGCAGCTGAGGTACTGCTTTGAGATGTGTCGGCATTTGCCATTGTTATTCTGGTTCTCTTTGAGGCAGTTCAGGTACTCCTTCATGAACACCGTGCACTCGCCTATAGAAAGGGAAATAGACGTCAATTGAGGACCGTTAGTGTAAGGTTGCCGGGTTGTGCGTTTCGAGCAGTGAAGATCAATGGTTTCGTTTGAGGACAGAGTCAATTGAAAGTGTGCATGATAAAGACGATTAGGAGAGTCGGATGTAAAGAACAGGTACCATCGTGGTCGAGAGGGAAACTGCCGCGGTCGGGAGGAGGTGCGGAGAAGGTGGTGAAGCTTGGGGGACGACCGAAACTCATTGTAGTTGTGTTGGTGTATTGGTATGTGTTTTGTTGTTGTTGTTGTCAGGTGTGCACTGTCTTTGAATGATAAGTGTCAATGGTAATGAAGGAGTGGTGTAAGAAGAAGAGGAATGAGAGAATGAGGAAGAAATGGGTTGATCCGTGAAACCGGCATGGGTCGAGTGTTGATCTCTTTCAGCCTCTCCTACCAGGAATGGGTGAAAACGGCAGTCCAAGTCGGGGCAAGCTTTGCTCGGCCCACAGACAGCTTTCCGTGTCCCCGTGACTTGGACTTATCGCTGATTGGACTCGATCTATCATTCCCCCAGTGGGTTTCAGAGAGGGGTATGGTCGTTGTCCCAACCCGCCGAACCTGTTCCTTTAAAGTCCTCTCTTCTTCCTTCTTCTCCTTTTCCTTCTTTTTGTGTTCTTGGTCTTCACTCTCCTCATCACAGCCTTCTCCACTCTCCTTCTCATTCACTCTCCCCTCCTCATTAGCCAAACCAAAGCAAGCAAGAAAAAAACAATGTCGCGCCTTCCTCAGCAAGTCCCCATCTCCATCGCCGACCTTGAGCACAACGCTCACACCACCCTGGCCCTCAATGCCCTCGATTACTACCGTAGTGGAGCCAATGACATGCAGACCCTCAAAGACAACCAGGACGCTTACAGCAGGTAAATTATATCTCGATATCTGCAGATAATCAACTGTATTGAGGGCATGCACACATTGCATACCTTCAGTAGCCACAGACGGTTTCTATGCCGGTGACAATTGGAGCCCTTTCTAAGCCTCTATTGATTATTCCATGTTTGGCGGCGGGTAGACTTCGTCTTCGCCCAAGGATCTTGAGAGATGTGTCCAAGATTGACACCACGACCACCCTTTTGGGCCACAAGGTCAGCAGCCCAATCTGCATTGCTCCTACTGCTATGCAGCGTCTTGCCAACGATGCCGGCGAGAAGGCCACTGCCCGTGGTAAGCTATTCTTTCTTTGCAATGGTCAAATTCCGCAACATACTCGTTTTTGTCGACAAGAAGTAGAAACAAAGAAGTGAAAGATCTTCCTGGTCGTATCGTTTTTACTGCCATCCGAGGAAAGATATGAAGAATGTGAAATTAAGAGAGAGGGGGACGTGAACGATTGGAATTGATGGCTTTACTTTTTTGTAGGGTTGTGAACTTGTCTTCAAGCATCTGTTTGTGGTTCAATTCTTTTACTATCCCACAACTCTATGTGTGCCTTGCCGTGTACATCTAAGACAAACCAATGTTGCTCTGTCGTGTACATCTAAAACATGTACCAAGGAAAAAACCAACAGTGCAGTGACTAATAGTTCCTCGACATGCATTAACGTTCATCTTTCTCGCCCTCTCTCTCATATTTTTCACTTTTGAAATCCAGCTGCAGCAAACGCCAAAAAGTGCATGATCTTGTCATCGTGGTCAACAACGTCGGCTGAAGACACGATCGAGGCCGGTCGAGAGGTTCCATGGGATCAATCAGCCTCGGGCGCCTTGCCTCTTTTTTGGTTCCAGCTCTATGTCTACAAGGACCGTGTCGTCACTGAGCAATTGATCCGTCGGGTCGAGAAGGCCGGTTACAAAGGTAAGCGATGAGAGATCTTGGTTGGAGATGGACCGGGAGGAAACGAAATGCATTGAAGTTCTTCACCCAATTATTTTTTTTACTATTCCCTATTCGGGGTATTTTGGATGACAATTCGTGTTCTGTTACTTTTTTTTTTTTTTCGTTTCGGAGAATGTTGATCAAGAATGTGGTTGTGGTTGTCATGCTCATGTTTATTTGGCTTAAAGTGTCAAGGGATCAAATACTTGCTCGTTCATCACAATTTCCTCTGGCGATGGATGATAATAGTTGAGTGAGTTGAAAGAAGGAAGTAACCGGGAGCAATTGACAACAGTGCTACTGACGCAGTCAATGGATGAGTAAGGTCAAAAGGAACTTGAGCGGGAAGGAGGCCAAAGGGAAAAAGTGTATCAACAATGAATGACCTTTCGGGTGGCTCGGGCTCTGAACGATCGTTGTCAGAGAAAAAAGAAGGTTGAAGCTTAGGGAGAACCTCTTTCTTTTTTCCCTTCTATATTGAGCCTTTGAGTTTATGGTTATAGGTTTTCCCTCCGTTATGTAACTGCTAAATATTTCGTTGTGGTTGTTCTTCACAAGGACTATTTGCAAACAAGTAACACGCTATTCTACCCTCCTTCATTCTCTACTACCAATTAGCATTGGTGATTACGGTTGACACCCCCTTCTTGGGCCGCCGTCTCGCAGATGTTAGGAACGTCTTCAAGCTGCCGGGGCACATGTCGATGGCTAACTTTGAGAACAAAGATTCCAAAGTCACCATGGCCACCATCCTCGACCACAACGACGAAGAAGGCTCCTCCGCTGCCTCCGATAACAATGATGGCTTGAATCACGACAAGGCAGGAGCAACCAAAAAAGTCGTCCGTCAAGAATCGAGCTTGGCTGCTTATGTCGTCTCCCAGATCGATCCTACCCTGAACTGGAGCGATATTGCCTGGGTCCGTTCCATCACCAAGCTCCCCGTTGTTGTCAAGGGAGTCCTGACGGCTGAGGATGCTAAGCTCGCGGCCGATATTGGAGTGGAGGGTATTCTGGTTAGTAACCATGGTGGTCGTCAGTTGGATGGTGTCTTGGCGACTATTGACGCGTTGCCGGAGGTTTTGGAGGCTGTCAAGGGTAGAGGTGTCGAGGTTTATATTGATGGAGGTGTCCGCAAGGGCACTGATGTCCTCAAGGCCCTTGCTCTTGGTGCCAAGGCCGCCTTCTTGGGCCGACCCATCCTTTGGGGTCTTGCTCATGATGTAAGTTCTTTTTTTTTTTCAATCGTTTTATTCTTCAGCTATGTTTTTGTTATTTTCGTTTTGCAGAATGCTGACTAGATTATCAATTACGTTTATGATTGACATAGGGTGAGGAGGGAGTGACCTTGGCATTGAACTTGATCCAGCAAGAGTTTGAACTGGCCATGGCCTTGGCGGGCTGCTGCAAGATTGAAGACATCAACCGCGACCATGTCCAGCACGGCACCACCGCTCGCTCCAGATTGTAAACCAAAGAAGAAAAAAATACCAATCATATTTTTATAGCCTCACACATCGTTTTTCGCGCATGTCGCGTAGTTTCTCAATAATAGTAGCTTTCAGAAAAGATGACCACGATTGGGGTTTCCTTTATATTTGTTGTTAATTGCTCGTTGTTGTTGTATTTTCTCAGCCAGGAGGTGGGTAATAGTAAAAAGAAGAAAAGAAAAGAAAAGAAAAAGAGCTAATGTTTTTTTTCGCTTTTGTCGTTATGTGGTGGTGGTGCTATGTATCAAAGTAGAGGTGAGAAGGGGAGGAGGGGGTAGGGGTCGAGCTTGTCGCCTTGGTCGGGGGTCTTGAAAGAATATCATGATGTGCATGCTATGCACAGTGACAGAAGAGTTTGTTTACCAAGCCCAGAACTTCTCCTTGTCCTCAGCGGCATTGTTGTAGATCAAGACGTTAGGGGTGTCGCCCTTGATATCGGACAAGACATCACGGGTACCGCGGGAAATGAGCAACTTCTTCATCTCGTCAGGGGTGTAGGCACCAGAGTTGAAGGACGATTCCGAGGCGGGGGCCAGCGACAAGTAGTAGGCGATCAAACCAGCAACGTGAGGGGAAGCCATCGATGTTCCAGAGATGGTGCGCTTGGCAGACTTGGAGCCAATCCAGGTCGACTCGATGTCTTTTCCAGGTCCGAAGATATCAACACACTTTCCGACGTTGGAGAAGTAGGCGCGCGAGTCATCCAAGGATGAGGCACCGACAGTGACGGCGGCAGGAACACCGGCGGGGGAGTAGTCGCAGGCATCGCGGTTGTCGTTACCAGCGGCAACGGCAAAGTGAAGACCAGCAGCAACAGCTCCTGCAACGTTGTCGTCCAAGGCACGGGACTTGCCACCTCCGAGTGACATGTTGGCGACGGAACCCTTGTATTTCTTGCCCTGCTTCTCGGCGAGAGCTTTGTGCTGCTTGATGGCATAGTCGACACCTCCAATGACGTCGGCCATGGTGCCGGATCCGTTGGAGCGCAAGACCTTGACAGCGACAATGTTGGCCTTCTTGGAGACACCATAGGCTCTGCTGCCAATGGTTCCGGCGCAGTGAGTACCGTGACCGTTGTCATCTGCATCGGGGTCGTTGGCGGGGACGGTCGTACCCCACTTGGCTCTACCCTCGAACTCGTTGTGGTCAATGTTGACACCGGTGTCGATGACAAAGACGGTGACGCCCTCTCCTCCGTTGGGGTTGTGCTCGTACTTGTTGAAGGTGCCGAGGGTCAATGCTTTGCGGTGGGAGATACGGGCGAGACCCCAGGGGGCGCGGGTCTGGATCTTGATCTCGGAAGCATAGACAAGCTGGTCGCGCTCAATGTAGTCGACCTAAAAGATAAAAGATACGTTGAATTGCGTGAGAAAAAAAGATGAATACGTTGTTGGTTGTTGGTTGATGTGAGACTAGTGTCAAGGGAATGTATCACGGGTTTGGTTTGGATGTGTCCTGCATATCCATATCGTCCTGTCCCGCATAAAAATTTAATTATGTCTTTTGTCGACGAATTGAGCCATGTCATCAGTGTTCTTGTTTGCGCAATCATAAAGACATAATTGGAGCGACAACGAACCTAGCCACCACCTTTGACTGAGGTACCCCTCTTTCTCTTTCGTCATCTCTGGTCATGACTCTTTGTCTCTTCCTTTCTCGGTTCACCCCCTCCCTGGCCATCACCAGAAAGCTGGGACCCAGTGCTATTGTCTTTCCTGTTTTCAACCACATAGCCATTCCAGTTTGATATTTAATGTAATGATTGATGGTTGGTTGGTGATTGATGTGTGGCGCTCAAAATAGATCATCTTCTTGTCTTCTTGGCATGGTCAACGTAATAGCGATTGGAAAGTGGCAAGGCACTTCAAGACGACTCAGAGGTATAAGAAAGGGAGAAAGAAAACGGGTGATGGGGGAAGGGGTGTTGCGCCAGTTCCATCCTTGAGCAGTAATATTATCCAGAACCAGTCATTGCCATCCTGTCGCCCTGCAAAGTACACTCCTGCCCCACATACAAAAAACGCTTGGCTGTTGTTTTCAGTCGTAGACAGACTCACAAAAAGAGCAGCAGAAGGAGACTTACGTCGGGGTGCTTGCGAATCTCATCAAGGACGTCGGGACGGAAGCGACCGGCGAGGCCCTGGAAGGAACCCATATCATAGACGTGCTTAACACCGCTGGAGATGTTGTCCCAGATACCGTTGGTGGTCAAGTCACGCTTGTGGAGGTTAGCAGCCCAGGCAGAGTGGTCGTTGGCATGGACGCCATCCTTGAAGACGACGATGTACGAGTCGGGGACGACATCGGCGTTGGATGAGGAAATGACGGGGGCGAGGTTGTCAGAGTTGCCCCAGGAAGGGAATGCGACCGCAGTCGAAGCGACGAAGAGGGCAACAGTGGAGAGTTTGATGAGCATGTTGTGGTGCGTTGAGAGTTGATTAGTTTTTTTTAGTGGTGGTGAAGTTAAGATAAGTGTTTTCTGGCTGAGGAGGAGAGAGAGAGTGTGAGGGAATAACGAACTGGACAAGAAAGTGAAAAGACAAAAGGGCTGAGTTTGGAAGAGACGAGAGCAGCAACGAAGAGGGAGGTTAGCAGCAGCAGCAGCAGCAAACAGCAACGCCCAAAATGAGTTGTGAGGTAGTATGTTGAGGTCCATTCGAAACACACAAAGGAGAGCATTGATATGAGTAAAAGAAGACGGGGGTGGTATGATAGGAGATGATGACGAACGGGAATAGAGCAGCCGGGAGGTAGTTCGGTCCGTATCCAAGAAGCCAAGACAAAGAACAAAGAACAAGAGCATGCGTGAAATTGTTAGTGTGTGTAGTTCATTCTCTTTGGCATGTTCTTTTGCGACTGAAACGAGTCTCCATGAGAGGACAACAACCAACAAGGGAGAGAACATACCGTTGACAAAAGGGAGACAAAGGACAAAGGACAAAGGAAGAAGAAGTTGATGGGGAATAAAGGAAGAGATGGAAGAGGATAGGTTTATGGACAAACGACCTGGGTGTGCTAGGAGGAAGAGGAGGTGCAGGAGCAGTCACGGAATGACGACGGACAGTTAGGCTGGTCGACTTCAACACGCGCACTCGCGAAATGGTGGTGGTGCGCAAATGCGCGCACAAAATGAAGGCTAGTTAGGAGGCTTGGCCGGGGTGGTGTGAGTTTGAGCGTTTGCATGAACAAAACAGGTGGCGAAACAGTGTTCTTTTAGATGGGGTACAGAGGTGGCGAATGAGATAGTATTTACGCATTTGCCACCAAAAAAGGTATATGAAGAACAAGCTTTCCCTTTGTTCCCTGTGTGTCCTGCACAGCTGGCTTCCAGGACGGACACCTACGCCAGACGAGGAAGAACGTTGTGGGAATAAAACTATAGCGGAAGAAAACACAGAAACGTGATCGATCGTTGTGTCCACAGGGATAAGGAGAGTACACGCTCTCACCAACACGACAGACAGACACATTCATGCTTACAGCACGCATCACATTTTAGATGACAGGGAACTGGAAAGGAGGAGAGAGGGATGGAAAGGGATGATGGGGAAAGGGCGGTGTGGATTCGTTTGTGTATTTGTAGACGCAAACAGGAGGAGACTATCACCTTACCCCCGCATGAATAGAGGGAAACAAAGCATAGGAGTGTGTTTTAGCTCTTTTCTTCTTGTCGATATGTTTTCTGTTCATGTTCTGTCAAGAAGGTGACGCTTCTGCTTCTTTTTTTTTTTTTCTCGACGCAAGGTGGCCAGTGGTGAAAGAGAGAGGGCAAACAAAGAGCTGTGGGTGCGAATGCGAATAATGGATGCGAATATTGGAACGAAGAGTCTGCTGCCATGAAGTCGTTTGTTTTCCTGTCAGTGATTTTTCTCCTTGGCTTGTTTTCTTTCTTCTATTCCACATGCAGTCAACTCGCCCATCTCTTTTTCCCCTCTGTCTGTGTGTCTTTTTCCCTCCCTTTTTTTTTCTTTCCTTTTTTTCTTCAACCCTCTTTTTCCCCCTTCCTTCTTTTCCTTTCCTTTCCTTTCCTTTCCACCTTCCCCACCCCCCTCCCTCTCCTCCACCCCGCTCATTTCCTTATAGTCTTTTTTCTTCTCTCCTCTGCTTCCTCCAATCAACCAAGTGCCATGGCCTCCCCCCGCTCCCCTTCCCTCGATCGAGGCGCACTCTCACACGTGCTGGGGATGGAGTCCTTGGCCACCTCTGCCTCTGCTGCTGCTGCTTCAGTTGCTGCGCTCTCGTCTTCTACGACCCCCACCACAGTCGACGACAATGACAATAACACCACCACGATGGAGCAAAACAACAACAGCAACATGAAGCACAGCAGCAACAACAACATTGCAAAACCGATTGAGGACAGGAGAAAGAATTGGGCTACGGATACGAACTTGGAAACGGACATGGACAAGGAACACGGTCGACAACGCCACCATAATAGCAACAACAACAGCGTCCACCATCACGCAGTTGCAACCGACAAAAACGGAGTGGTACCTCACAGCACAAAGACAGCCTCGTCATCTGTGTTGCCGTCGTCGTCCTCCTCTTTTTCAGCCGTCGACTCGTCTTCACAACAGGACGGCCTCCTCCACAAGGGTAATTATATACTTCAATATTTATATGAAGTAAAACTCAAGCTTTTTTGTTTCTTTTATAGCTTCTTGTGTGCTCATCGTGCCCTTTTTTTTCTTTCTTTCGGTGCGATATTATTTTTCTATCTCTCTTTTTTTTTATTCATTTTTGTTATTATTACTATCGTTGCTATTGTCATGTTTGTCCATTACAGTCGCTGTCGTCCTTTGCTTGGCTTGACTCTTGTCGCAAACAATAAAGCCACCATACGACAGCAACAAAAAACAAATGAGTGAGGAGAGAAGGACAGAGGAGGCGACGACGGGAGCCCTTTCGCCATTGATATCCTAGCGTATCGGACGTTGCGCATCAAATGACGGTCTGCCTCGACTCCATTTGTACCTCTTGGACGCCGCGAGCACGAGCGCAATACAAACAAAGAGAAAAAAAAGGCGACGAACCAAAAAGCGAGCGCTCTCCGTCTTGTCTCTCTTTCTCTCTCTGCTCTCTCTTAGCAGGCCTGCAAGTCCATCTCGCGATTGATTGCTAATGTCCATATCACAGTTGTCAATACTTGCTGTAAATAAGGACGATAGCCCCTTTTCCTCCTGACGAAACAAAAGCATGCTTTCTAATAAATTCTCTTCTCTCTCCCACTCTTTTTTCCTTCTCCCTTTTCCATCCTTCATAAAACCACATTAGACCTCCTCGTCGTGGACTCGGCCCATCACAAGGACATTGCCACCGCTGAGAGTGGCAGGAAACGCAAGAACCTAAGCGATTTGATCACACCCGTAGTGTCGGAATCGACGTTGCAAAGTTTTACCGCTTCGTCCTCCTCCTTAAACGTCGCCATCGCGTCGTCCTCGACCTCGTCATTGTCGTCGATGCCCTCAAACGCTGTAGAAATTGTGGATATACCAGACTCTGTTGCTGAGCAGGACCACCACCTGAAGCGCATCAAGGTCAACCACGTGGGTGACCAGATTTCCACTGCACCTCACGCACAAGCCGACTTCACCGCTCACTCCACCAGCACCCGCAACGGACAAGAGCGAAAGCGCAAGTTGTCCGACGACCTAGTCACCCCCATTATGTCGGGTACAAGTACCCCAGGTCGCCACTCGGCTTCGCCAAGCCGTTCAGTTGCATCAGTCTCGACACCCTCTTCATCTGTACCTGCCGCCTCTGTGTCGCCACTTGTGGCACAAGGATCTGGGGAGCATGACCACCACTTGAAACGGCCAAGGGTGTACGATGTGGATGAAGATTCCGACAATAATGCCCCAGTCACGGATGACCGTCGCCAAAACGGCGCAATTGTCATTGACGACGACGATGACGTTGATGCAACCAGCGACGGGAACTCCAATCAAGCTGATTACAACGCCAGTTTCACCTATGATACTAGCTTCTCAGGGCAAGACGATTCCAGCCTTCATCGTTCATTGTATGTTGAGGATGGTTCTGAGAGCCGTGAGCCGTCGCCCGCTCGTTCAGTTGACTCGGATGCCACTGTCACCCCAAGGAGACTTCGTGACGCTGCGGACAGATTAGCTACCCATGTTCGAACGTCGTCGGTTGAACGACAAGCTGAGCCCGCCACTTCGCCAAGGCAACATCTCTCGAGAAGTCCCTCGACAGAGCCGCTGTCAATTGCGTCCCAGGCCGCCCCAACAGTTCATTCTATCGACGATGACCCCGACAACGAAGAGGTCATTGAGGTCATTGACCTGACACCTCAACCTCGTATTGGCAGCTACCCGCGAGGCGACAGTCTTCCTCGAGTCCCAGGTCTGACCCCTCAGCACTCCTTCCAGCTGCCCACCTTGCAACGCCTTGTCTCGAGATCGTCACAATCGGTGGAGAGAAGTCAAACTCGACCTACCAATCGGTCTTCCAACAACTCGATCGACATTCTTGAAATCTCGGACGACAATGACGACGATGATGACTTTTACGGGCGTGACACAGTGCGCATTGACAGTGAGGTCAGGGAGGTGCAATTGGACCCGCACCACCCATGGTCGCGCGGCCCTATTCAGCTCATCTTGCCGGCAGAAGATCGGCTCGAAGTGGAGGGCCATCGGCGTCCTCAAATTGAGGACGTAGTGGACGTTGACGACCACTTGCCATCGATCGACTATGCAGAGATCGAGAGCGACAGTGAAGAGGAGGACGTTCGAGGCTCACAGGAGGTGGATGATGATGGATTGAATGAAAGGCAGGTGGACGAGGAGGTCAGTTACATTCTCAATCTTCGTCGGGACAGCACATCCGGCAGAGTTATATCAAGGCGTACCTCACCGTTGCCGCCGCCGCCTCGATCAGCACGCCAAGGATCGTTTCCAGCGAGGTCGCCGCCGTCCTTTAACATGCGGTCGCCTTCATATGAGGCTCAACCGGTTACTTTCCCGACCACATCCCGCAGGAGCACCACCCCCCTTGACCGTGGGCAGCATAGATATAGCCCCGTTGCCCGTCGCCCCTCCCCTGTCCGTCTCATTCTCCGTGACCCTGCACTCCCTTCTTCCTCCTCCTCTTCTTCATTAGCTCGACCATCCTCCCGACGCGCCCCCTCATTTTCACCCGACTCATCATCACAGCATCGACGTATACACAGGCAAGGAAGTGGGCTGCGCGAAAGCTTCTTGATCAGAGACTCGTCCCCCGCCAGTAGTCCGAGCCGGAGCCAGGACCAGCCACCAGCAGCGGCAAAGACAACAATAGCGACGGCGACAACGACAACAACGACGACGATGGAACGACGACAATCGGCGTCGATGGAATCGAGCGCTGCTGGGAGTTGGGTGTCACAGCATCTCAAGTGTAGTATCTGCATGGAGACGATGAATGTTCCGACGATGTTACGGTGCGGGCACGCGTTCTGTCGGGCGTGCATCCATATGGCGCTGAATGTTGCGAGACACTGTCCAATGTGTCGACAGCCGACAACCAGGACTCGATTGCAGGAGCTGGAGTTCCATGTCGGGGGCGGATCCACTCGCCCTGTCGGGGCTGCCAGTGACTAACCCTTGAAGGCAACCTGTTTCCTTTTCTTCCATTCCTTCCTCGTCCATTTCCTTCACCTCTTCGCTACCTTCCACAACCACACAATCAACTATCACCTTACAGCATCACAGCATCCACCCACCAAAAAAATTGTAAAACGACAAAATGCTTTCCGGCGCACAAAAAAAAGTACATGCTCGAATAACATTGATATCGTATCCTTTTACCCTTCTCCCCTCTCTTCCCCAAAAAAATTCTAGTATTTCGCTTTTTCATTTTTTTTCTTTTCTTTTCTTACTTTGAATTTTCTTTGTCTTCTACCTCTTGTTTTGTAGCATATTCCCCTCATATTATCTGTATCATATAGTTTTATCCCATCCCCAAAAAAATGACTGAAAGAAAGAAAGTAAAAAACTTGCGGTAGTTGCAACGAAAATAAAAATCACTGCTCAGGAAATAGTGAACTGTGCGGCGCTTGCGGGTTGAAGGCAAGGTAATGGGAGAATGGGAGAACTCGTTCGTTCTTGGCTAGGACTAACTGGACAATTCGGGGGGGGGATTTTTTTCCCGCTCTTTTTTTTTCCGTTCCCACAAAATGAACTGGATAGGAGTCGAGCAAAAATGGGCCCACGGGGATTTATTACGGCAGCTTTTTTTGCATGAATCGGTTTAGATTGGATGAGAACTTCTGGGCGGTGGTAGTAGGGGCGGCTGCTCTTTCATTCATCACACGCGCGGTCTTTCGCATACAAAACAAATAAAACAAACATGAAGCTACGGCACAAGAAGCACTTTTCTTCTATCGTGTCGATGGCGTAAAGGTTTTATGATAAAGAAAGAAAAAACGAAGATAAAGCTCCTAATTTTGTCATGTGGCCCTTCATTATTCATGTCAATTTTCCCTCCCTTTTTTTTTTCTCTGGATAGGTTTGGTGTTTGTCGTCTCCTGTTCTGTCGTGTCGTGTCCTGTCCTGTCCATGAAGGGGTATCTCATCAGTCCGTCCAACATTACAAGGAGAAAAGGGGAGGGAAAAGGAGGAAGAAATTCTAGACCAAGATCCACATGAATCCAAACTGCATGACGGACAGACAGATCAGGAAATGGATCCGACGTTTGCGTTGTGGTGGCAGGACCGTTCCTGCAGACGCCTCGGGCAAGATCACGTATCTTAATGACCGCAACTATCGTTTGAAGAGAAATGAGCAGGAATCAGTTAGAACGCATTTTTCGGAATGGCATAATGAATTGGATGAAAGGGAGTTGATATATGTTGGAAGACATTTACCAGGAAGAATCCAGTGGCTGCGCCGGTGTAGAGGAAGACGGACCAGAACGCTGATTTAGGTGCCTTGGACAACTGAACAATGATCGAGACAATGATTCTATCGATGTTATAAAGTACTATTAGTTTCTCCTTCCTCATACGTTGCCTACTTCATCAATTGAATGTGCACACTAAAAGACGGGATGTATCTCCTACCCGACAAACTTGTATCCAGAGTAGGCCAAGAGATCCAGGATGGGGACATCACTTGTGATGTTCAAGATATAAACACATAACTTGATAATCGTGAATTCCAGAATAATGACCGCCAGGGCCGATGAAGCTGTTGGTCCAAGAATCTCTGGGCTGAATCTATTTTTTTTTTTTTTTTTTTTTTTGGCATGTCAATTCGTAAATAGTTTTCGCGATCAGAGGTCTATTCATAACTCTTTCATATCAACACGAAATAGGTGCAAGAAGACAAGTGTGTCATAAGTAAAATTCCTTACTTGTTGGAAGTTCCTGCAGAGATGGCGACAAGGAGAACGTAGGTGACAAAGGCCATGACGGGGATGTACAGATCGGGGGCGTTGATGTCGTCCCGAGGAGCCATGTATCCGATCGTCTCTCCTGTTGTCTCCGAACGCTTTAGTATACGAGTCCAAAGCTATTTCGAATAGAAAAAAAGACAGGGTTCCTGTGTGTCAGAACTATGGTCCTCTACAGTGATAATTGTCGATGATGGCGTTTTTGAATACCGGGGAAGAAAATGACGGGAACTGAACGCGTGTTGTTTCATCCTGAAAAGTATGCGAGGGTGCAGATGTGATGCTCATTTGTACCTTGTGGCGCCAGGGGAAGACGAGCAACCTGAGCTTATTGACCACATATGAGTTGCTAACATTGAAGTAGGGCTGGAGGGCAGCGCGGTTGACCCATCTGTTGAGCTGTGTACATACAATGCGAGAGAAAAGGAAAGGAGGAAAAAAATAGCCATTAGTCGCGTGCTGTGGCTCTACGTGGAGTAACCAATTGGCCAGTGCTTCGTTGATGTTTGTTTGTTGCTGTTCGATGAAAATCAATAATCAAAAAATCCTTGGCTGGGCCCTTACGTTTTGCTCCACGTATTCCTGACCGGCCATGACTGCAGACCGACCGAACTGCATGCCCAACTGAGTGGTGCCATCGTTGAGGTTGAACGGGAACGAGGGAATTCCCGACTGCTGATGTTGCTGTGGCTGTTGGTGCTGGTGCTGAGGAGTCTGATGATGCTGCTGGGGCGACATGAACTGGTTCCTGGGTGATCCTCCAAACCCTCCCCCTTGCTGCTGTTGCTGTTGCTGCTGATCAAAACTCGACCGCTCAAAGGATGACCTCTGCTGAACGCCACCGCCACCGCCGCCAGCCTGCTGGGGGCGATACTGGTTCTGTTGGTACTGTCCCTGTCCTCCCTGGGCCTGGGCATAGTTCATCCTGGGCGAAGGGGTAGGGACCGGATCTCTCATCTGGACAGGGGGATGAGTAGGGACGGGATGTTGGAGTGGAGGAGGCGAGGCCATATGGCTCCTGGGTTGCTGCTGTTGCTGGTATTGGTTGTTGTTTTGCTGGGCGGGTTGTTGGTAGGCATTGGGGTTGTATCTGTTGGAAGTGTATTGGGATCCTTGCTGCTGGTATTGGTTCTGTTGCTGGTAGGGCTGCTGCTGCTGTTGTGCGTTGTGTCTTGGCTGTGGCTGAGTGTAACCACCCGCGTTGTCGTATGGGTTCATGATGAAGGTCGAAGGTAGTTCCTATTCGCGCTCTGACTTTGTTCCTGCTGGGTGTCGGGTGGTAGTTTCCGGATGAAAGAGAGGACGATGAAAGTGAGAAGGAAAGAAGGATGGAAAGAAAGGGAGGAAAGGAAGAGCGAGTTGGATGAGAGAAGAATGACACGAGCAAAGAGAGTGGAAAGTAAAAATAAAAATATTAGAGAGCGTTCGTTCTATGACAGCCTCTATCTCGAGAGAGAGTCGTGGCACTTGGAGAGAAGCCAACACTCAATCAAACGCTCTAGGAGACGTCACCCTCGCCCTTGCCAATCCTATTGCATCTCCCTCCCAGACTGCACATACGACAAAAACGCGGATCCTCTATTCAACCGTCCAGCCCGTACAAAGTTTCGTCTCCGGTCAAAGTTCGAATCAGCTTTTCCTTCTTCTCCTTCTTCCTCCTTCTCCCTGATCGGCCTCCTTCCTTTCTTCCTTTCCTTCCTTCTCTTCTCCCTTCACTTCCTCACTCGTCCCTCGCAAACAAACCAACATGGCCTGCAGATCCACTTGGGGTCTGATCAGCCGAATCAACCTCTCCGCCTCCCCTTCACCCTCCCTCCAGCTCTCAACGAGGTCGTTTCGTCTCCTTCACAGCTCTTCCTCATGTCATCGTGCAACCGTCCTTACTAGCTTGTCCAACTCTCTCCACCACACGTACCGTTCTTTACCCACCCTCCGTCTCCTTCGTTCGTTCAAGTGGCCCAAAAGAAGAAGGCTCTAAACGTGTGATATCGATCGCTTATTTCAAAAACATTTAGACCAAGGACACCCGCATCGTTTTCGCGGTATGGATCAGCATTCAATCCTACCTGGCAGAGGTATTACTCTCACGCTACTTATCCTTCGTGGATAAGGCATTTATTTGTTCAATTGAAATGATTAGCAAAGGCAATAATGCATCGCCATATCCTAACATCGTCTTTCTTGCTTTCTTCAATCTTGACAAATAGGATATCGAGCGCAGGAAGAAAAAACGTGATTAGTTTGCAATGCTGTAGATTCTCAACGGACAAAAAGGATACCCAGGAGTCACTATCATCGTCGTCTTCAGGGGCTACCAAGAAGGACCAGGATCTGGATACCACAACAGGAAAGGGTACCAAGAAGGTATGCATGGAACGACCAAGTCCCTTTCCTCCTTACTGTTGTCTTCGAGTTCTCAGAAGGGAGACGACAGGAACCATTTGCGATTGAATATTCACATGGATGGCTTTCGCTGGTTGATTGTTTTAGAGCCTATTGCATGAGAACATCTATACAGTGCCCAACTTCCTGACGTTTACGCGATTGGTCTCTGCGCCGGTCATTGGATACTGGGTCCTCCAAGGCGACTACACCAATGCCTGCATACTGTTTGGTATCGCAAGTATCACCGACGGGGTAAGCAATCAGAGAGAATACTCGGGAACGCGGTCAATTGATCAATTGAACATGGATTTAACCCGCGGATCAAAATATCTCACCTCCACTTTCGCCCTTCTGTCTCTTCAACAAAAAGCTGGATGGCTGGATAGCCCGCCGGTTCAACATGCAAACCATCATCGGCACAATCCTTGACCCAATGGCCGACAAGACCCTCATGACAATCCTCACCGTCACCCTAGCCATGCAAGACCTCATCCCCATCCCCATCGCGGCCGTCATCCTTGGCCGTGACGCTGGTCTCATCCTTGCCTCCTTCTATTACCGATATATCTCCCTCCCGGAACCAAAGACTTTTACGCGCTATTGGGATTTCTCGATCCCCTCGGCCGAGGTCAGGCCGACAATGATTAGTAAGGTCAATACTGCGATTCAGATGGCTTATATCTGTCTGTCGCTTATGGCGCCCGTGTTTGAGTTTACGGGACATGTTGGCTTGGAGTACCTCGGGTAAGTTTTGACATTTTGCGTTTTATGAATTGAAAAGGGTACAGATATGTGATGGTGATCTCGTACGTTGACTAGGCCATGCCCTGTTTTTTGTTTTGTTTTTGTTTTACTTGCGAAATGTAGATATACATGCGCGGCGACGACAATCTGGAGCGGCGCTTCATATATATACACAAAGGACGCTGTCAGGATACTTCACCCTCCAAAGAAGCTATAAATTATTTTTCTTTTGACTGCAAAAGAAAAATCTGCAAGATGGACCCTTGGAACATTAACAACCATCCCACCCTACCACACAACCACACAACCTGACAAAAAAGACTATTAAAGCATGCATATTCCATCATCACATTGGAAGTAAAAATAGATATACTATCTACTATGGACGTGTATTAAGAGAAAGAATGAGGGATATGTAAAAGGCAAAACCAGAGAAAAGATAAAAAAGACGTGTATTGTTACAAGGTTGTGTAAAGGAAAAGATAAAAAGAAAATAGATCGAATCTAATCAGATGATGGTGGAGAAGGAGGAGAAGGAGAAGGAGACGTGACCATCGTGGCCAAAGTAGTAGTAGGGAAACAGGTCAAGAGCATGGCACTGCTTTCAGCACCAGAAGGCATATTCATATGCCGTCTTAGATGTCCACCACTGCGCATGGTCCGTTTCCCCGTAGGAACGGCGGTATTCACCAGATCGGCCTGGAACATGGACCGAATCATGGGCGCATAGGTCCCGAACGTCACATCCAAATTGAACCGCAGTCCGTGCACCGGTAAAGTTTCCTCTAATGCCGGCTGCATATTTAACAGCATTCTATTTCAAAGAAGGAAGGGGAAAGGGGTGGGCTGTCAGTATTACGAACAACCAAACGCATTTTATGACATTTTCATTGCTCAACGTCCATAGTTCGCAACTCACCTAGACATGTCGTTGTTCTTGGGTACAAAATTGTCGGTCATGGATTCGACAGGATCCATTCTACTCGTGGCAATGTCAAAGACATTGGCAGGGTCCAACCCTTGCTGGCCACACAGGCTCAAGTACAACGACTCACAGCCCTCTTCAACGAGCGCCGCAATTTCCTGATCCATCAATAGGTGGTCTGTGCCGGAAGGTCGTTTGAAGATTGGGAAGTACTGTCCCACGACATCGTCCTTGCTCGCCGCAAACTGGTCCGCCTCAAAGCACTGTAACCAAATGTTAGAAAAGATCACAGGTTAAATACGTGACAAACTGCACATTCTTCGAGGGTTACAACAAGATGCAATCGCGCTGTTACCTGGAGGATTCGGTCAGGTGGCATGCGGAGGCAAGAATCGCTCAAGGACATGGTATCGGCATACTGCAATTGGACCTCCAGTTGTCCCAGCTCCTGCATAGGACTAGGCAACACTTTCTTCCTCTCACCACCCGACGTAGGCGCAGTGGCCGGGATAATGTTCCTGGCACTGATCCGCATGAGCCTCTGAGGCTTTTTCCGCATGGGTGATCCAGGTGTAGGCGATGATCTGCCGCTTTCGCCTTGAGGCGTCCTTTCCCCGTTTGTTGCAGGGGTGACAATCCCTACTCCAGAAGACTCGACCGCGATCGGACTACCTCCTCGACTTGATCCTGGACTACTGGAGGAACTAGATTTGGACAGCTGCGACCGGTTCTTGACAACACCAGAGTCGTACTGAAGCTGCATGATACACCTCCGCACATCGTATCGGTTCTGCTTGATAACGCCAATAATGTACTCAGACGAGCAAATGTAGCCCTCGATCCTGCACACCGCCGTCAAGTAGAGGTGCAGTTCTCGCAATCCTGGACGCGTGAACTCGAGGTGTTCCTGGAACCGGATCATCGAGGCTGGGATCTTGGATGTATCTACCATAAGGAATATCCAGTTAGCTCATACCAAAAGAAAGAAGGAAAAGAATGAGAATGCATGTTGAAAACAAAGGCGAAGTCTTACCATTGCAGGTCATAACGACTGGTCGCCTGCTCTTGGCGAGCAAGGCCACAATGCTCGCCCAGAATCCCTTGTCGTCCTCGAACAGGATATCCACCTCCTCCAACAGGATGAGAGATTGCCGAGGGTTGGTCGTCGAAAGAAGCGAGTACAGGTCGGACAATGTATCCTCGTGGTGCGCTAATGACTCGCCTTGATCCTGCTCCTCCTCATCCGTCTCTTTTGCCGCTGACGGTGTCGACGTCGATGACGACGATGACCTTGTCTGCCGGGTATCTGGGATTTGTGCCGCTTGCGAGCCGTCTTCGTCCAACCAATCAACGATAACATCCTCATCCTCATCTTCGTTCTCCTCTAAGACAGCCTCCTCCATGACTTCATCCTCGTCCTCTTGCACGACCTTCTGGCTCTGCTGGAAAAAGGAATGCAGCGTTGACTTTTTCGGTTCTGGGGCAGGCACTGGACTGTCTTGTTTCTTCACGCTCATAACACTGTGGACATCCTCTTTGAGCTCAGTCTTGCCAGGAACGACGTGAACATGGTGATTCTCTGCCATCTCGCCGACCAGTCCCAGAACCTCCTTTCCTGTCCGCCGCATTCCTGGAGAGACCTCAAAGACCTCATATCCGCTCTCCTCCGCACAGGCATAGACAGCCGCAGTCTTGCAGCTTCCAGTCGGCCCACTAAGCAGAATCGCGTTTGACTTGATATCAAACTTCTTCGGTAGTGACCTTGATCGGGCTATCGTCGATCCGTCCTCTTCGTACATAGGGTCCAAGCTAGCCAACATTGAAAACGAAGTCAGAGGCTTATGTGCCTTGAACTCGACCTCCTCCTCGTCACTCTTGTATCCGTAAGGTTCCTCAAAGTCGTCCAGATCATCGTAAGAAATAAAATCGTCGAGATCGTTCAAGTCCTTCCGCTTGGTACGTTTCCGGCGCTTCCTGGCTGCTCCCATGATGTCCGACCCCTTCTTGCCCAACCCTGCAGCGCCTGATCCAACTCCACCGCCGCCGCCAGCGGACGACTCCTCCGGGTTCAATGTCCATCCAGACACCTCCAGTCTCTTGAGCCAGCGTGTCAGATACTCGGTGTTCGCCCTGTTGCCCAGAATCTCTGCCCCTTGGTTTGGTCGGTATTTATCTGTCCACAGCTCTCCATACTTGAGTTCTCCGGGAACATCAACTGACCCTGGCTCGATTCCTGCGGTGCCGAGAAGTGTTGTTGCCCAAGTCTGATGCCAAAGACGCTCGTTCGCTCCTACTCGTCGACAAGACTCAAATTCGTCAGGCTCGTCGGACTGACTGAGGATCATCTTCTCCTTGGCCGTGGGGCGTGGTAGGCGATAACTCTGTTCGGACCAGTCGCGCCACCTCTGGTCCTTGCTGCTGCCCCAATGAGTCCAGCAGTCCTTGCCTCGCGGACTGGGTTTGTAGTCTGGTGCTGTGATCCCTAGATCCAGGCCTGTCCGCAAAGAGTACCACCCATGCGAGTTGCTGTTCTTTGATGCGAGCATATTGTGCTGGTTCGTGTGAGTATCCTGTTGTAAGGAGGTCGAAGACAACGGAGCCGGCGAAGAGGCGGAAGTGTCGAGACCACAGAGTTGTGATACTACTCCATTGATCGCGTCAATCGTCTCCGATCCATGAAACTGTTGATGCCGAAGCGGGAATGGCGATTCCTGTGGTTTGGAGTTGTAGCGACGGACGACACGGAGGGTTGTTCCGTCCGGGTTCAATTCTGATGAGGTCGATCCTGCTCCTGCTGCACTCAGTTGAGACGACTTGACTTCCTGAAAGAAACGGTGTGTCTCGCCTGTCTTTGAGATGTTTGGGTCGACAATGGTCTTGGGATCAGTCGGCGGCTTGAGAGGCGCTGTAGTCGTCGATCCTGCTACTGAAGGCACCCCGACTTGACCGACAGGAGGCTTGTTCTTTGGTTTCCGGCCTCGCTTTCCTGGGGCCTTGGCGGCAGCCTCGGCCTCCTGCTTCTTTTTGCGTTGTTCTGGTGTGAGAAAGAGCGAGAACACCTGTTTTGCTGGAGCTGCTGGTGTGGTTGTTGTTGCCGGCTCTGTCTCTGATTGTTGATGTTGTGTCTCTTCAACGGGTTCAGATACCGGGCCAGTGTCCTGGGGGTGTGAATCAGGGGTCGATTCATTAGGGACCTGCAAGATGGTGGCGTCAGTAGTCGAAGGAGAAGGACCGGCCCATTGGATGACCTCAGGGTCAGAGGTCAGAGCCGTTGTCATGCTAGGTGTGTGTGCTGACTGGGTATCTGTTGAAGGTTGACCGTTGTCCGTTTGGGCTCCTTGTCCCGTTGATGTTGTTGCTGGAGGCACCGCAGCATCGTCCATGAGAAAAGAGATTTGCGATGGACAAAAAAAGAAACTAGGCGCGTTGAAGCACTTGTGTGTGCCTTTTTCAAACAAACAAGTAGCAAACGCGACGGAAATGAAAAAAATTGGGCGGTCACACTTCTGTTATTGCAGGGAACCCAAGGGGGCAGTAGATATCCAGGAAGAAGTACGCCCGTGATGGTGCACGCACCGTACCATTAACTGCTACGGGCTGGTGCCAGGATCCGCCAATGCATCATCAATAGCGCTTGCTCAGGTATTATTATCGTTCATCTATTACCTTTTTTTTTGTCGCCCCCAGCCAAGAACATTAAGTGGGTCCCTGCAGCGAAGGGCAAGGAAGCCTGATCGAAAATCAAGGGTACCTGATCAACCAACGTCGAAAGCAGTCCACATTTCGCATCCGCGCTGCACAACCACGTTCCTACAACTTATCTCCTCTTCTTTCCTTACTCCTTATCCACACTTACCCACAATGACCCTCGCACGGATACTCTTACGCTCAACGCTGCGGTCAAGGAACGGTCACTGCACCGCCACGACAAGACCCCTGCTCGCCTGTTGCAGCAGTAGTCAGTTTCATTCTTCCGCATTCCTCGAAAAAGCATCCGTCGTCGAATGGGGCTATGGCTCCAAAGAAATGAACATCTTTGAAAGCGACTCTGTCATCCCCCAGGTACCTACAGTCTTCTCTTCTCACTCACCCAACAGCAAGACGGACGTGTCAAGTGTATTTCTGAATCCTATTCACGATCTGGTACCTACACTAACTCTTCGATTGCTTTTGCATTACTTGTGTAGGGATTGAACAAGACACAAATTGCAGCAGGCGCCTCGCACAGGTTGATCGCCCTCTCTGGCGAAAGCGAATCAGGAGTACTGGGCGAAGGCATGAACCACAGTGGACAACTTGGCAACGGAACCCGTGGCGATACCTCTACCTTCAGCGCCATTGACACCTCAGGGATGGATGTCCTCGCTGTTGCCTGTGGACGTGAACATTCCATGGTACTCATGCGACCCCAGGACGAGGAAGCGTTCTATCTCAGCGAGACTCTGGGCAATGAAGAAGTGTCAGCAGATACTGATTCGGCAGTTCCACCACAGGCAGGAGTGTCAAAGACGCTTTTGTTTGGGTTTGGAAACTCTATGTATGGACAGCTGGGGCTGGGCGGGTCTAAGGATACGCTTGCGAAGGAGTTGGCGGGGCAGCAAGTTGCTGGGTTTGTGTTTGAGCCTTCGCCTACTGCAATTGAGCTGCCTGACCCGGAGGAGAACGTTGTCCAGGTTCAGTGTGGACTTGATCATACCATCATCCGAACAAGTAATAATTACTTTCCTAATTGTGTTTGTAAGGCAAGTGTCTTTGACGTGTCATTGAGAACATAACTCTAAAGTAATATGTATCCACTCTTCTTTTTTTTCGTGATATTATAGATCAGGGCAATTTGTACTCAATGGGGTGGGGTGCAGATGGTCAACTGGGTCTGGGACCTGAGTCAAGTTCTGACCGCGCGGTGCCAACATTAATTGAGCGTCTGAGCTGGAAGGGCAGGGGCAAGGACCTGGGACACGTCAAGGAGATCTCTTCTTCAACTGACTTCACATTGGCGCTTATGGAGAACCACCAACTTTGGATCTGGGGCAATGCAGAGTACGGCCAATGCATGGTCAACAAGAAGATCGATCGCGTAAGGAACCATTTTTTTCACGCTTCCAAATGGCCTTCTCACTAAAGTAACTAGATCTCAAGAAAACGTGCGCTAACGTGCAGTTACTTTTTATCCGCTTCTAGATTCTGGAACCGATGCACATCCCACACCCAATCCCCTCTTCAGAAACAATCGCCTCCGTCGCCGCTGGAGGCACCTTCGGACTCCTCTTGACCCAATCCGGAAAGGTCTACACCTGTGGATACGGAGCACTTGGATTAAGACGCGACAAGAACCAGATCCTCATGCCGGAGCAAATTGCGGGACTTGAGGGCGTCCGCAAGATTGTTGCCAGTACTGATTATGCCGCCGCGATCACAGGTACTTCCTCCCTTTCTTGTCATTTTGCTATGCTGGCACCCCCACGCCCCTCCTTTTCTTTGGCGTGGTGTGCCTTTACTGGATACGAAACGATATGCTTACTTTCTTGTTACTGTGACTTAGATAAAGGAGATCTGTATACTTGGGGAACGGACGGCAAGACAGGGCGGTTGGGTCACGGTGACTTTGAGCACTGCTTCGAGCCAAGGCGGGTCAAGATGCCTCAAGAAAAGGATGGTCATAAAGCCATCGTTCATGATGTTGCCCTTGGACAAGACGGTGCCCTCGCCATCGTTGAGACAAAGTGACGAATTCAAACCCTAGTATCACAATTTTGAACATAGATAATAAAAAAACAAACACACGCGCGCGAGTCGCTGGCATTGAGAGTGCGTTTGAAAATGCTCAAATGTTGTATGTGTATGTTTTGACTACAAATGTTTCTAAAATAACCCTATAACAGGGCTTCTCATCTCCTTCTGACTCTCCTTCTTCCTGTACGACATCGGGCATCCAACTTATGCGTTGACGATATCCCGTCCACGCTTGACAACCAACTCTCCATGCTCAAATCCCTCCAAACTCAACTCGGCACCCTCCTTCTCCAGAACAGATTTCCTAACACCCTCCCTCTCCCACAAGATCTGCATACCCTTTCCCTTATTAGGCTGGTTGTTCAATAACTCGACCATCTTGACAAGTGTCGAATCGACCTGGTTCATCTCCTGGGGTGCACGCAAACGACGAGGCTGGGCAATATGTTCGGGGTTGGAGGCCTTGACGGCGTGGAGGTTGAGTTGGTGGTCCCGGAGAGAGTTGTGGAAGGAAAGGGCGTCCTGGGGGCGGGAGAACCCCTGGATGGCGACCAGGGGGTGCCAGTGGTCCGGGCGGACGTGTGCGGGGCGGCGGGTCACGTCTGTGATCTGCTTCAACGATTGTTTCTAATATTTTTTTTATGATGATACGGGAACATGTGTATTAGGAATGTTGATTCCGGACAAGATGTGAGAAGATAGGGAGGGGAGGAGGGAAAATAGCCAGCCTCCTGATCCGCGTGGGTTGGGTTCCTCCTCCCCCGCATCCAGTTCGCTGTCTGTCTGTTTGCTCCTGACCCGAGTTTAAAGTGTGCCTGTCGCCTGGCTGCTTCAATTTGATCGACTGTCTTTTTGTGATCCCAATTCCTGACAGTTCTCTGCGAAAAAGCGTAGGAGGGTCACCAAACTAGACCGTGATAACTCTGGGTGAGGCGATCCATGGGGCTACCATGCTTTTTCTTTCCTGACTCTCCTCTCCCTTCTATCTTGTGCCTACTATCAGACAGCAACCAATCCTGAAATCTCCAGTTTTTGTGTGAACCCCTAGGACACTCCCTGCTCCTTGCTGCTGTTTCGTTAACCTGACAAAGGAACGAAATAAAGCATCGAAGAAAAAGGCGATTCGAAAGAAACGAAGGTGATGTCCGAGCTTGCAATGCAATGGGAGATGCAAGGTTGTTGTTGTTGCCATACCTCGACGGAGCTCTTCAGGGAGACGAGAACCTGCGAGGTCTGGATATGGCGGAAGAGGTAGACGGTGTTCTTCTTGGTCGACTGTGCGGTCGTGGTGGCGGCCGTCTTGACTGCTCCTGATACTGCTGCTGCTGACATGGTATGTATGTTGTATGAATGCGTGAAACGATGGGCGGCGAATGCAGAGAAAGGAGGGAAGGGTGGAGGGGGCGACTAAATTTCGAGGGTATCTCAGGTCCCGACACACCGAGCGAGACTTCGATTTGGGCGGCACTCACAGGGCAAGCGAACTGATGGAAATGTAAACAAAAATTCAGCCACGCAGTCACAATTTCTGTTCTCTTGGTGTGAACGATGGCCTAGCAAAAGTCGCGTTGCGCGTTTCAGTAGGGCTAAGGCATGCACTTGACTGTTCTTACTGCTGTCCAAATGATACATGCACGTTTATGCGGAATGGAGCGACTCTTTATTCCAATTGACACACAAAAGAGAAGAGCTCAGGAGTCATGAGGCGCCGGCGCTCCCATGGTGAGGTTCCAATAAGCAGAACTCTCTTCGTCGCCGTACCAGCCAGGCTGAGTCAATGGCCGCAACAACAGCCCAAAGAGGACCATCCCAAGGACAAACGTCAGATACAACCACTTCTTCCACCGACCAAAATATTGGATGTTCGTTACATCGGGGAAGCCCATCATATTACAAAAGCTGTGGCAAAGACAGGGGCCGATCAGATTGGATGTTCTCAAGAACAAAAATGTGGCGAACCAGCCAAAGAGCGTCGTGTAGAGGAGCTGGAATACCGCCATGGCTGTTGCACCCATCAACGCTTGCCGCGTCCGGCCCTTTTTCACGTAGGACTCGTAAGCATGGTTGATATGCGCTGTTGAGAGACAAGGGAGAGAAATGATTAGATTAGTTATTACAACGAAAATGCCAATTGGAAAAAAGAAGGTGATTTGACCACTACACTGACTGAGATATAGTCACTCACCAATGCCAAAGACAAGTGGCAGCACAAAGATCATCAGCGGCAACCGTGCCCCTGAATTCGCCACAATCGCCACCATGCATGCCCTAAAGATAAACTCTTCCGAGATCGGGCCCTATTTATACATCGATGGACATACACAAACCATCAAAGTTAGTCTTATCTCATTTAACAATCTCTGACTTGTTGTTACACGCCATAATCATCGTAATTGTTCGTTATAATACATACAATGACAAAGTTCCGCATGCCCATGAGCCCTTGGATATGTTGACGCTGAGTGGTCCAGTCAAAGGCCTGCTGGAAAGGTAGTTCGTTGCTGAGAAACATCATCAGGGTAGGACCCATAAACAGACACCCGACCAACAGCAATGGGAGAACAACATGGTTCACCAGCTTGAAGATGTTGTTGGGAATCGAAATCCCTAACAAGCCCAAAAACCGACCCAGTCTTTCCCAAAAGGACTACACATTGATGACAATAATAAACTAAGATCGTTAGCACGATTCATTCACAGCGGTGGTGAGCCAATAGATGTTACTCAAAGATGCACACAGTTCACCAACGCCTTGAATGTAAAAGTACCTGGTCAGTAGAAATGGCGCCCGAGAATGTAAAGAGCCACCAGAGATAGAAGGGCACGGCAAAGCAAGTCAATGCGATTCCTTTGAAGCGCTGTTTGATCACCAACGGGTGATTGCGATCCAGCTTTTGGTTCTCGACTGGGGACTGGAAACGGGCCGACTCTTGGTCGTATTGGGAATAAGAGTGCGGATGGATGGCGACCTCTGGCTTGGCCGATAATGAACTACCACCAGTTTTTGCTGTGATAGTTGCTGTCGATATTGCTGATGCAGATGAGGAGGATGGGAGTGTAGAGACAGAGGCTGAACTGGAGGAGGATGCAGAAGAGACACTGGAGGTGGATGCTGACGAGGTTGCAGGCGAGGAAGATAGCCTTGGATTAGCAGTGGAGGAGGTGGTATCGATAAAGTGAAGGTGGGTACTACTCCGATGCGCTCTGTTGTCTGCTGTAGAGGGTGCCTTTGTGGTGGTGATTACAAATGCGTTTGAAGTACTGGTCGTGGTGGCATTGGAGTGTGTAGATATTGCAGACGACGACGATGGTCGTGGTGAGGCAGGAGGGGTGGTGGTGTGATGGTTGTGAACCAAGGGTTGAGTTGTTGTTCCTGCTGCTGCCGCTGCTGTTGCGGTGTAGCGGGCGTGTTCGCGTACTTGCTTGGCGAGTTTACTTTTTGCGGTCTCTACGGGGAAGACATAGAGGGATCCGACAAAGAGGATTGTGAATCCAACACATGAGCTCGCCGCCAACCACGGCGCGATGGTTGGGTCGAACGTTGCCATTAGGAACTGTTTGCCGGTGTGTGTGTGTGTTTCGATGCGGATGTAGTTTTATGTTAGAATGAATTAGGAGAGTGAGATGATGATGAGCGGTAGGGGGAAGATGGATTCTCTGTATAAAGATAGGGAGAGAGATGAGAGGGAATCAGAGGAAGAAAGCTGTTGGGTGTTGTAGAAGGAGTGAAAGACGAAGAGGAGGAGAATTGGAGAAGCGCCCTGGAAACGAAAACGGGCGTTTGCGTTGATATGGTAAATTAAGCATGACAGGATTAGCGCGGGGAAGAAGACACCCAGAGGATATTCCGACGCCAGGCAGTGCCAAAGTGGCTCAATTGCAGCTGCATAGAACCACTTTTTCATGTGTACGACTCTGTTGGTATTGCATTTTGACCACTCCGTTTCATTTCTCATGAAGAAACACTCTTATTCTGTCCAAAGGAGGACTGAGAGCACCACACTGTTTATTCTTGCTGACCTTTTTTTTTCATATGCTCTCTCACTCTCACACTCTCCTACAAATGGAACATGCATGAATGGGATATTCAATTGAAAGATATAGAAGGTAACAAGGTCGCGTCCAGTCTCCCAACTGTATGCACCCAATAGTACCCTCGTAATAAAAGAGGACACATGGGTGCACTGACCAATGACCCAAGACTATCCTCTTCCCTTTTCTGAACAAATTGTCTATGACAAAGAATAAATACCCACCCGCGGTAGGTCCAGATGCCGGGTGGCCGTAGTTCTAATGTGAAAAGAGGGTAAGTGGGCTTGTCGATCGCGTCGTGTTCACTGATGTAAATAAACGTCATCTACTTAGAAACAAGAAAACGTCTTGTTTACGCACACACTTGCATGCGATCGAACTCAATTGAGCTGGGTCTGAGCCCTAGGACCCATTCTTGTTCTTTTTAACCTCCTGAAACAGTGAAGTGAACACATAAGTAGTTCATGTACACCCTAAACTTAGCACTGTCGCTCACTCGGCTGGCGATGAAACAAAGTACTGCTTTGTTGTAGGTCTGTAGGGATTGGATCGGGTTCTGTGTCCAAGAATTGTGGAGCGTGTACGATTGCACTGGGAAGGGTTGCTCTACACAGAGCGAAGAACAAAGAAGAAGAATAAAATAAAAAGGAAAAGACGCGCAACACTCTTGTGTTTGTTCAAAGTGTCGATCAACGATCACTTCAATCAACGCCACCAAAAAAAAGAAGCAATCGATCACTCACTATTCAGGTGGACACGTACCACTGATCATAATCCACAGATCGGAAATTACATTCACGGACGCATAAAAAGGAGCACAATTCTTTTTCTTTTCCGACTTCAACGACAAAACTCTCCATTCACCACACAAACGAGCCGAAGCAGGTTTTATGTAACTAGTTCACTCCATTCCGGACAACTCTCATTTCACTCTTTGACATTCCTTCTTTCTCTTTCTTTCTTTCATTCATTCCTTCATCTCGATCACTTTTTTTTTCTGTCCCTCTTATACACACCGCGCCACTAATTCAAAACATGCCAATTGCATCCACCCTGGTGCGGTCGGTCGACCCAATTACTGCAATCGGCACCTTCTTCGCCCTCTTATCCTCCCTCCTCTTCTACAAAACATACCTCCTACCCAACTTTCTTTCCCCCCTCCGTCACATCCCCGGACCACCCAACAAATCCAAGTACAACAAGTACAACCTCCCCTTCCTCGGCAACTTTCCCGACATCATCAAAGAAGAGGCTGGCATCCCTCATCGTCAATGGATCGAACAATACGGCGGAATCGTCTCCTACCGCGGTCTCTTCAACAGCCAACGCATCCTTTTGGCCGACCCCAAGGCTATTCAACACGTCTTTAGCACCAACTCTTACAAGTACCCTAAACCCCGTAACCTTGCCCGTTTTCTGGGGAAGATCATTGGAAATGGTGTCCTGCTCGCTGAGGGGGATGTCCATCGCAAACAGCGCAAGATGCTCAACCCTGCATTCAGTCACAAGCACATCAAGGACATGGTCCATATCATGGCTGGACCTGCCGAAACGCTGGGGAGACAATGGGAGGAGCATGTCGAGCGCTCGGGGGAGAAGCCGTTTGAGTTGGACATCACAGTCGACCTCGGATCCTGCACCTTGGACATCATTGGATTGAGCGGGTTCGGGTACGACTTTCAGGCTATGACGAACCCCGACAACGAGATGAGCATGGCATACCGCGAGCTGTTTTACAAGGAGACCACGTCGACTCAATTCTTGCGAGTCTTTATCCCCTTCTATGCTGACCTCCCTACTCAGGCCAATCTCGATCGCAAGAAGGCCATCGAGACGATTGACCGAGTCACGAAGCGGATCATCAATGAGAAGCGCACCCAGGCCAATGCCAAGAATCACGATGAGGATGACAGCAGCAAGGATCTGATGAGTATTCTCATCCGAGGCAATGAGCAGGTCGGATCATTGGAGGATGGCAAGCTGACCGATACCGAGCTCAAAGACCAGGTAATTACTCTGCTGTGAGAATATCAGGGGGGGGGTTGTTTGTCATTCTAAGTAACGTGAGCATCGTCTAACTCAATGTCTGCATACATCCTAAACTAGATCATGACTTTCCTGGCAGCTGGACATGAGACGACGTCTGTCACGGTGACATGGATGCTCTACGTTTTTTCCATCTACCCGGACGTACAGAGAAAAGTTCGGCAAGAGATGCTGCAACACATTGGCCGCCCTACCGACTCCAACAGATGTCCCATGACCTACGACTCTCTCAACGCGCTGCCATACCTGAGTGCTTGCGTCAAGGAACTCCTCCGGTTCATCCCTCCTGTCCCAACCACCTCGCGCGTCGCAGCAGAGGACGACACCATCCTCGGATACGACATCCCCAAGGGCACTCAGGTCTTTCTCTCGCCCGCAGCTTTGCACAAGTTGAAGAGCGTCTTTGGCGAGGATGCCGAGGAATTTAAACCAGAGCGATGGATGGATCCGGCTACACTGACGGAGGAGCAACGGCAATCGACCAAGTTTGTCACGTCCGAGATGTCGTGGGCGTATCTGCCCTTTTTGACTGGACCGCGCAATTGCATCGGAGCCAAGTTTGCGACGATGGAGACCAAGATTATCCTGTATTATCTCCTGATTAACCTTGAGTATTCTCCTGTACCTGGATTCAAGTTCAAGAAGACGAGTCGTATTACGTGGAGACCCTTTCCTGGCATGCGCCTCATCGTCAAACGCTTCTCGGAGAGCGAAGGACGCGACGGCACTCTGGTTGAACCTTGAAAAAGGGCTATGCGCCTCGGAAGGATGGAAGGATGGAAGGATGGAACGACGGAAGACATCATGCAAGACGTTTATCCGGACCAATGGATTGGTTCCATAAGAGAAGAAATAAATACTATTGAGGATAGCATTTGTCCAACAGCCCTTTCTTGTGATCCCATGCCCACTGACCACTACGCATATCACAGACCTTCCTTTTCTGAGCAAGGGATCTTACTGTGCACGACCAACTGGATCCGACATGTGTTGTTTGTCATGAAGCTTGGTATCCCGGGCTTCTCGGAACGTTCAGTTGCCGAAGGGGGAGGGTAAATCAAGTTTGAGCTGTCTTGCGCACAAAAGCCCCTTTTTTCCATCGCTTCAAAAAAGGAGCCAAAGCGTCGTACTGTGCATTAAAGAGCCACGTCAACAAAAAAAAACACATATAAGCTCGGACGAGTTGAAGCATCCCTCTTCAGGCTTTCTTTTTACTCTTCTCTCTATTCTCCAGTCTACCCTCTTCACTCTTTCTCCATCCCACTCTCAACACTCTACTCCACACACTCATCTCCAAGATCCACTCCAGCCTTTTCTTGTTACATGTCACTTTAACATCTCTTCTCTCATTCCCACTCTCCACTCTCTCCACTCTGCACGTTCTTATTTTTTTTTCAGTCTCCGAAACATGGCTGCTCTCTCCACCCTAGCAAAGTCAGTTAAACCGGCCCTCATCCTTAAATCCTTCTTCACCCTCCTCTCAACCTACCTCCTGTACAAAACCTACCTCTACCCAACCTTCCTCTCTCCTCTCCGACGCATCCCAGGACCACCCAACACCTGCAAAAACAACAAATACCACATCCCCTTCCTTGGCCATTTCCTGGACCTCCTCCGTGAAGAGCCCGGCAAGACCTACCGCGATTGGATCGATAAGTACGGAGGAATTGTCGCCTATAAAGGGCTTTTTAATTCCCCGGAGGTCGTTCTTGCAGACCCCAAGGCGATTTATCATGTCTTTTCAACACATGCTGATAAGTACCCGAAGCCGGAGCGTACTATCCGGCTGTTGTCGCAGGTCGTTGGGAAAGGCATACTGTTGGTCGAGGGGGATGTCCACCGGAAGCAGCGCAAGATGTTGAACCCGGCTTTCAGTCATAAGCATATCAAGGAGATGGTGTCGACGATGGCTATCCCTGCTGAGATGTTGGGTAGGATGTGGGAGAAACAGGTTGATGTGTCTGAGGATGAGTGTGTCGAGATTGATGTTGCGCGCGACTTGGGGGCATGCACGCTTGATATTATTGGACGGGCTGGGTTCGGGTACGACTTTCAGGCGTTGACGGTTCCGGATAATGAGCTGAGTCATGCTTACCGCCAGTTGTTTTTCAGTAATTCGCGCTTGATACAGCTTCTTCGATTCTTCGTGCCCTACTATGTCGACATCCCGTTCAAGCATAACCGGATCCGAAAGCAGAGCGCTCGAACTATCGATAAGGTGACGACAAGGATCATTCAGGAGAAGCGTGCTCAGATTGTTGAGGGAAAGGGTTTGGGTGAGAAAGGAGATGGGAAGGATCTTATGAGTATCTTGATCCGAGCCAATGAGCAGGTTGGGACACTCGACGATGGGAAACTGACAGACACGGAGCTCAAAGGCCAGGTAAGCAAAGTGCGGCTCAAATTGGGTGCAACTGCAACATGTTGCTTGTAGAACACGACAATTGAATACCATTACTCGTGTAAACATAATGCTAGATTATGACATTCATGGCAGCAGGCCACGAAACCACCTCTGCTACAGTAACATGGATACTCCACGTCTTCTCAACCCGCCCTGAGGTCCAGCAAAAAGTCCGTCAAGAACTACTGGATCACATCGGCCTCCCCACCGCCAGTGAGACCAACACCTGCCCCCTCTCCTATGACACCCTCAACGCACTTCCTTACCTCGGCGCTTGCGTCAAAGAACTCCTCCGCTTCATCCCCCCAGTCCCCTCAACCTCCCGCGTCGCCAGTCAGGACGACACCATCCTCGGCTACGACATCCCCAAGGGCACCCGAATCACCCTCCCTTCCGCGGCCCTGCACAAACTCAAGAGTGTCTATGGCGACGACGCTGAGGAGTTCAAACCCGAGCGATGGATGGATCCCTCCCTCTTTTCCGAAGAAGAAAAGGAGTCGATCAAGTTTGTGACGCCGGACATGATATGGGCCTATGTCCCCTTCCTGACGGGGCCTCGCAACTGTATCGGGTCCAAGTTTGCGACCATTGAGGCCAAGATCCTGGTATATTACCTTTTGATCAACCTCGAGTATGCCCCCGTGCCTGGGTTCAAGTTTTCAAAGTCCGCTGGTCTGACCAAACCTTACCCTGGAATGCGACTCATCGTCAAGCGGGTTCAGCATAAGGTCCCTGTCGTCGCTGAGGCGTAGTGGGATTTCGTGGCCTCTATCTATATCGTCAATATCGAGACATAAGAATAAAAGATCATGCAATTATTTGTGTTTTACTCTATGCTTGTTGCATGATTTGCAAAAAGAATTTCCCGCGTTTGACCAAAAGAAAGGGGGTGTGAAGTAAAGAACTTTAAAAAATAGTAGGCGCAAGTATGAAGAGACCGAACCAGAATACACGCGCCTTGCATGTCCTTTTTCGTGGTCGCCGCTGGCTAGCCATGAGACGACCTCCCCTCTGTCAGAGTCGATCATGTCGTTTATGCGTTGGTGCTACCCAGTATCCAACCTGCCAATTACGTACTGATCAAAATGCCGATCAAGATTTTCAGGGTGATCAGAAGGGGAAAAAAGTAAGACCGGTGGAGAGATGATGATCAGGCAGACAAGTATCCACATATATATATCAGGATATTTTCACCTCTCTGCAACCTCGCTTACTACACCTCGCGTTAAAGCCTCCACACACACACACAACAACCATGGCTATTGTCGCCACTCTCGTAAAGTCCCTCGACTTATATTCCACTCTCACAACTTTCCTCATCCTGCTATCCTCCTACATCTTCTACACAACACACTTCTACCCCAACTACATCTCCCCTCTCTGATACATCCCCGACCCACCCAACATCTCCAAACATAACAAATATAACCTCCCCTTCCTCGGTCTCTTCTTTGATGTCGTCCGCAGAGAAGCCGGCGTCACCTTCCGGGAATGGGCAGAACAGTACGGCGGCATCCTTTGCTACAAGAGTCTTTTCAACAGCCAAATCATCCACCTCGCCGACCCTGAGGCTATCCATCATGTCTTCAATACCCATGCTTACCAGTACCTGAAACCTGACCGTGTCATCCGCGTGATGGGTTCCACTATAGGCGTCGGTTTGTTACTAGTCGAGGGGGTTGTCCACCGCGTGCAGCGCAAAAGATGTTCATCCCGGCGCCCAGCCACAAAAGTGTCAAGGGGATGGTGTCTAGTATGACAGGAGGCCCTTCCGAGTGTCTCTGTTCAAGATGTGGAGGAAGCGCATCGACGAGTCGGAGACAAAATCGGTCGAGATGAATGTTCTCACGGATTTTACCTCGTACACGGTCGATATTATTGGACTGATTGGGTTTGGATTCGACTTTAAGGCGTTGGCCAAAGCCCGGGAATGAGGTAGTCACGGCCTTTGAGACGTACTTTAATGAAAAGATCCCGGCTGTCGTCAAGTTACTTCGTCGTACTACTCCAAGATTCCCCTCAGGCATAATCAGGTTCGGTTGCGGGTTGCTCGGTCGATCGATAAGGCCGTACGCCAGATCGTTTGCCAGAAGAGAGACAGGATGGCATTGGAAAAAAATGACGGCAAGGACCTCCTTAGCATGATCCGCGCGAGCGAGTCGTCGGGTAATGGCATGCTTACGGATGATGATCTTCGAGCGCAGGTAAAGGGCTCAAAGTGCCTTACTACGAGCATTGAATACCTTATTGAGCCAGGAACAACTACTTAACATCCACCTGTAGATCAAGAACTTATTAGCTGCCGGAAACGACACCTCCTTGGTCGCGGTGACATGGATGCTCCACATCCTCTCAACCCGCCCCAAGGTACAATCCAGACCCCGTCAAGAGTTCCTGGCACACATTGGCCGCCCCACCGACAAGACCTCCTCCTCCACCTTCAACTACGACGCTCTACACGCATTACCCTACCTAAACATATGCATCAAGGAGCTCTTCCGCTTCATCCCTCCAGTCGCCTACACCTCACGAGTCGCATCCCAGGACGACAACGTCCTTGGCTACGACATCCCCAAGGGCACCGAGATCCAGCTCAGTCCCGCAACACTCCATAAGCTCAAGAGTGTCTGGGGGCGAGGATGCAGAAGAGTTCAAACCCGAGCGGTGGATGGATCCTTCGTCGTTTTCTGAGGAGGACCAGCAGTCGATCAACTTTGTCACGCCCGACATGCTGTGGGCAGATATGCCCTTCTTGACAGGTCCTCGTAGCTGTATTGGATCCAAGGTTGCCCTTATCGAGACTAAGGTCAACCTGTATCCTGTACTACCTTTGATCGACCTCGAGTACACTCCTGTCCCAGGGTTCACGTTCAAGACTTCTGTTCGGATTACTGTGCGACCGTCTCCTGGGATGAATCTCATTGTTAAGCGATTTGAGCACGATGCCTCAGTCAACCCCATAACACCACATTAGCCATAAGTGACCGCCGTCTAATATATCTATTTTTTTCCCATATTTCGTCATCAGCTCCTCACCCTTATATTCTGTGCAGCATGTAAATGCATGCGACCTCGATAGTGAAAGTGCCTGGGCGAAGCCTCAACAACAACTCTCCATTTTTTTTTCTTCAACCTTCAAATTTATCGTCAACCAACAAAAAACCATAAAGGGCAAACAAAGAGGTAGGGAGATCACAAGAAAGAACTGCAAAATATGTATTTGTTTTTCCATGAATCGCTCATTCTTCCAAAACCGCGTAGATTTTTAAAAAAAAGAGAGTCAACACCTATCTAAAAAGTTAAAGAAACTTTTTACAGGGAGTTCTTGACGGCGTTGGCGCGCTTGGTCATCTTCATGTTGGACTTGAAGCCCATCAATCCACCACCCCAAGCCTTGCGAGCAGTCTCGTTCTTCTCGGTGTAGTTGGACTTGATGGCAGAGACCAAAGCAGCGAGCTCGGCCTTGTCCTCGGCACGGGTCTCGGTGAAAGCGAGAGCGGTGGCGGTCTTCTTGTGGACGACTGTTCCGAGACGGGCCTTGCCCTTGACAATGCAGTATGGGATACCCATCTTGCGGCAAAGAGCGGGCAACCAGACGACAATCTCGATGGGGTCAACATCATCAGCGATGACAACGAGGGAAGCCTTCTTGGCCTCGACGAGGGCGGTAATGTGGTTAATACCGTACTTGACGACGAAGGGCTTCTTGGTCTCGGCCTTGGTACCCTTCTCGACCTGAGCGGCAGCAGCAGCGGTCAAACGCTCCTTCTTCTCGATGCGGGTCTCGGGGCGGTACTTGTTGACGAGCTTGAACAACTGGGTGGCAGTGTTCTTGTCAAGGACCTGGGTGAACTGGTTCAATGCTGGGGGGACCTTGAGACGCTGGTTCAAGATCTTGCGCTGGCGCTGGAGGCGAACGTATTCGGGCCACTTGACGTAACGCGAGAGATCCTTGATGGGCTGGACATCCTGACCAACACCGAAGTTCTTGGGGGTCTTCTCGATGAGGGGGTTGACGGGAGCCTTGGAGGCAGTCTTCTTGGCGTAAGGGGCGGGAGCGACCTTGGACTTCTTGACGGGAGCCTTTTTATAGTTGAACGAAAAGTGGGACAGAGGGACGGGTTGTTGTTTAGAAACAAGGATTCTGGTAATGGTCATTGAGGATAGGGAGATGTTGCATTTTTTATTTTTTTCCTTTTGGTGCGATAGAGGGACAGGGAGAGTACCTTTCAAGTCATAAGGAATCAACAAGCAAAGAGCAATATGAGAAAAAAAAACTTTTTTTGTCAGAAGTGAATGTAGATCCTTTGTTCAGACACCCTCTGATCCTTGGATCAGAGGAGTGATGAACAAAAAGACCCAACACCCATCTCCTCAAAAAAAAAATTCAATCTCACATTCACCCGAGCAAGATCTCCAAACAACTGAAAAACAACTCCCCAAGTTCCCAATAGCGCGCCTCATGGAGAAAACAAAGAATAGCCACCCAAGAGCTCTACGGAGTAAGCGATAAGAACTTCAATCGACCCCACAATGTATCCCTCCAACTTGTTAAGTAGAAGGGTGCAAGGACAACGAAGGAATGCTCTCCACCAGGAAGAAAAAACATATTGCCTCAAGGTACTTCATGTTGAATGAACAAACTGAAGTACCTGAACCTCATCCTTTTATGGCGATCATAAGCCAACGCGGAAGCTCACTTCTTTCTCTTATTCGTATACTACCCGTGAAGGGCAGAATACAAAGAAGAAAAACGAGAAAAGTGAATCCATTTTGAATGTCGGACTGATGATCAAAAGGAGAATGTGGCAAATGTGTGAAGGATAAGAAAAAAAAGGAGTGGTGGTGGTGGTGTATCCGACACGCTGCTTCCTTCCTTCCCGTGTCCCATAGGGGATAGGGTGGAGTAGAGTGTTGTTGAAGGGCATATCCAAAGGTGTTGAGTTATCCCAATCCCGTGTCCTGGTAGCCGGAAGTGGTGGTGGTGGTGTTTACCATTTCGAAATTCTGCAGTGGAAAGAGGAGGAACACTGTATTCTCGAAAAGAGAAAATTTTTATGTCCTTTCCATCCATCGGAGATTGGATTCACCGCTTCATTTATGCCAAGCCACTCTGTGCGATATCACGTGTATTTATTAAGGGTTTTACATGTAGAAACGCTCGGTGTGCAGGTTGACACGACAACCGGTCAGACTCTCGTTGGCTGCAACAACGTTGTGCAGTTGTGCAAGCATCAACGGGGGTCCACATCCCACAATATCCACCGCACGGTCGCCGTCAATTTCCTCAATCTGGTCGCGCACATACCGTCCCACATCCAACCTCGACTGCACCCACTCTACACGATCATCCCCCGCAAACGGTACATTGCTCAGCGCCTTCTTGGCCTCTGTAGTCATAGTAGCAGTACCAGACGTGCTGGTTGAGGACCCTTCGTATTGGTGAGGAGGAGTCGGTACTACCAGGGACTCTTGATCCTCAAACGACAGGCGGGTATAATGGATTGTCAGACTGAGCTGTGTTTCAGGACCGTCGGGAGCGATCAGGCCAGCTTCTTCCTTCTCCTTCTCCGTCGTGTCAAGGTATCCCTGAGCTGCATCCAAAGCCATTTCAAGCTCCTCTTGGAACCACTGCACCTCATCTATTGTCATTTGGATAAAAAGAAGAGCAGATTGTCAGTCAAAATGAAAAAAGACGCTAGTAAATGCAATCAAGAAGGCACCAACAATAAAAGACATGCTTACCAGGATCACGGACACACCAGACAATCTCAACATGACCGCAGCTGGCCTTGGACTGCCGACGAGCCTGCAAAAAGTCCATCAGAATAGGAACAATGTAGCCCAAACCAGACCCAGCAGCAACAAAGACGACCTTTTGGATATCCAAGCTTCGGCCGACCTGAACACTCTCGCCATAAGGGCCTGCAAGAATGACTCGTCTCTGAGTGTTCTCGGGCCAGCGGCACATCTTCTTGGTGAATCCACCAACAGCGCGCGCATGAACTGTAAAGGATGACTGGTCCGAGCTCGAGATGGTGAAGGGGTGCCATTGGATCAGCGACATGGAGGGAATACAGACGTAGATATGCTGACCAGGTGCATGAGCAACAGGCCGATCCATCCTCAGTCTGGTCAAGCGGTCTTGGAAGACAGTCGCCTGAGCAAGGGCCATCTTGGATTTGACACACCATCCAGTGAGGACGTTAATCAAGTAGAAAAAGATTCCTGCAGCGGTGAACCGCATTGCGTAGGGAGTGTGGAGACCGACAAGGACCAAGAAAACCAAGAACAGGGAGTGACTGACAACAAACGCCTCATAGGCATACCGACGAACCGGCCAAGCTGCTGTAACGACCAGCAGACAGAGGGTCGTGTAGGTGGCGAGGCCATATCGGACCTTGGGGGTTGACAGCTGTTGTGCCAGCAGAGCCTTCCACGGCCACCAAGACTTCATCATACAGCCCATATGGACCGAGATGAGGACAAAGAGAGAGAGGCCCAAGAAGCGATGGGCTTGGTTGATACGGTGGTGAGAGATGCCTGTCATGAGAGTGATAATCGAGTTCTTGCCAGTGAAGGCAAAGAGGAAGGGGATACAGGAGAGACCGAGGTAGCCTGCGCGATTGGAGTTTAGCTTGAGATTGACATTGGATGTGAGGAGGACGGCGAGGATGGAGAGGAAGATGAGGGCGAACAGGGTTGCGCCGGCGACGAGGTGGACGACTGAACCGAGGTATAGTGTTGCCGAGGCCTTGTTGGTGATCCAGTTTTCGATTCGGCTGTAGCTCCACCTCGCAGTGGCTGCTGATGACTTTGATAACCTATGAGGATGATTGAAGATATGAAGGAGGTATGAGCAATTGAACAGTAGGTGGAAACATGTATGTGCAGGGAGAGAGGGTAATGGAAAAAAGAGGAGGTTGGGGATGCGCTTGGGCGCCAAAAAAATGGATAGATGGCGAGCAATTGAAGGGAGCGAGCGTTGTTTGCAGATGAGATCAATGACAGGATGGGGGCTAAGACATCAACAGCGAATAAAAGATAAGGGTGAAGGAAAGGAAGTGTGAGACTGATTATAAACTAAAAAAAGGTGTGGGAGAAAGGGAAAGGGATGAAATGAGTACCTTGTCGGTATGTCAACCTCCAGTTCATCCGTATCCACCTCTGTGCTGTCGACTGTCGCTAGGAGGGCATGACGCTGTCCTCCTTGCCGCCGGTCCTCAATTGCCCGTGAAATACTCAGAAACAAGTGGCGAACTGTCAAAAGGACCACAGGTACCCCCAGGGCAATCGACCAGTCGATCGCATAGTCCAGATTCATATTCCACGGAGTGGATTGCATCGCGCCGTGGTCCATCGTTGAAGAAGAGAGATGAGATTATATGTGTTGAATTGAGAGTGATGAGTGATGAGTGATGAGTGGTGAGAGATGAGGGAATGCGGAGACGAGAGATTAGTAGAGGAAAATATGCAGGAGAATGAATGTGAAAAGAGATGCAAAGTGAGGGGTGAGGAGTGAAAGAGTGGAGAAAGTGTATGGTGATGAGAGGATGCAAGAGGGGCGTAAGAAAGAAAGAAAAGCGGAACAAAGTAGGGGAGAGGGTGGGAACGAGAGAGAGAGGAGGGGAGTGAGATAACCACAAGAATCTGAGTTGTCTGTCATGTTTTGATTTTTGACAGGTCTGTCAACTTTAGCGGGCACAAGAATGCAGGCTGACAGGCAGAGAAAGAATGTCAAAACTGCATGGAAATAACGCACAATACCTCTCTCACAACGTACACTTTCATGTGCATGGAAATAATTGTGAGCTTGTCATCTTAACGGTCTTGCAGCTTTACCCATACTCAACAATATTAATTGTATGCCACTCAGAGATAAACACTCGCTGAAGGCTGGGTGCATTCATACTCTACAAAAGAGCAGAGGGCACAAGATAAACAAAGTGAAAGCAGCAAAAAAAAGGATATGCTAACAAAGGAGCTGGTGTAGATGGGAATCCAGGCTGGCTGATATGCTGGGTAACCGTGACGCGACAACAACCACCGAAACGGAAGCATAGATCAAATCGAGATCACCGGCTTAAAAGAGGATTCACTATTCCATTGAGTCACTGCACCAACTCACAGCACCACACAGCCTGAACCAGCATCATCCCACTTGTCTTTATTTTGTGGCGTCAAGTATATATAACCGTGCAGAACTGAACCATACTTTTCTGCCTGCACCCTCTAAACTACCTCGTGTGCACACAACTCATGCTTGTTATCAATCTCCTCGGGGAGTAACTTCTAGGTTTAGTCATGACAGTTCTCGTTTGCTCGAACAGCTTTTTTGCCCCAACAGGATTCGGTTTACTTGCTTCAGGGAGCAAGTGGAAACTTGAAAATTGTTCGGAAAAGAAGATAAAGAAGGGTGGCTCGAGAGTAGTACTTTTGCGGATGCTGGATCGACATTGCGTATAAATATGGGCGATGGACTCATCTTCTCTTGATTCACGTTTATCACTTTCTTTCGAACAAAAAACAACATGACATCGTACAAAAAGAACATTCCCTTGTCAATCGCTGGAGCAATTATTGCATTTCTCGCCATCGCATCTACTTCCGCAGCTGGTAAGATAACTTTAGCTTTTCACCACTAATCGGCGACGACATGCAAAGTCCTTAACACATATCCCCTGACTGGCTCATTTCGTATCTTCTATGGTAGACCGTGTCTTTCTCACAAACAAGGCGGATGCTACTGACATCTATCCTGGTATGGTACCCTTACATTCACACTGACTACATTAAAAAAAAAAAAAGGCAAGACAACAAATTGAATACTTAATATTATTTATTTGGTTTATGCTCTAGGTTGTCCCGTTGATATCGGGTTCCGCGTTCAATACTCTGACCTTGCACAACTCAAATGGGTTCAACTACAAGTGCTTGGCGCTGACAACTCGCTCATGATCGAAGGGCTCGATAACTCTACTAGGGCGCAATGGGATGGTAAGGACATACAAACGCATTCTTCACCTCAGTGGCATGTTCAGGCACGACAGCGCTAACGCTCTATCTTTTTTTTCCTCCTTTGAACCATTAGACACACGGGCAAAGACGGTGACATGGATGGTACCCAACAACTGGCCTTCAGGCGACTACATTGTCCGCGCATTCGGGAATGCCTCTTACCCATGTCAACACGGCGCTCGACAAGAACACTGCGATTTCGCTCTTGAGGACAGAGAGACGTTCCATTTACGTCCTCTTGCTGCAAGTCAAGGTTGTCCATTCACCTCCTTCAAACCTTCTTCTCCTCCCTCAATCGGCACACCTACAGCCTATGACACAGTTAACAAAGGAGCATCGCAACCACCAGTATCGGGAAATAGTGCCGCCAGCTACAGTACGAGCAGCCACGATCTACTCAACAAGAACCTTGCAGCGGAGACAAGCACTTCTTCTTCGACATTCAACGGAAACGACAACAACCTCGTTCAAAAGACCATTGACCAGTCAGCAACCCAGCGGATCCAGGACCAAACGATTTTCAAGGTCCTGGACGAGATGCGAGACTACAACCTTCAGAAATCGACCCTGACCCTCAAGACTGGAGATATCGTTCCCATGTCGGACCGAATGGACAGCTCGACCATTACGCGGTTTATTCAAACACTCGAGTTGAGCAATAGCGCCCTTCGTAGTTTGAATGGAGGAAAAGGGGGCGCTGGTTCGATGTCCCTGGTCGCGGCGCTTCAGAGGAACAGCTCCTTGATCATCATTCCTCCCGTCACCCCTTCTTCAACCACCGCAGCGACAACGGCGCCCTTTAACCACACCGAGGTCAACCCGTTTGGCCGTGGGTTTATCCAGGACGGCCCGGGCCAGATCCAGGACAGGCTATCTAATGATGCCAGTGCCAGAACCGGGATGACAAAAACTCTCTTCGCGGCTGCATTGGTCGCGCTCGTAGGGTCCTTGACACTTTGAACAAAACTGACAGACACGAACTAAATCTAATTATTTTTATGTAGCATTAAGCATCTAATGAACTCAAATAGCTTTTTCATATTTTCGAAGATGGTTTATTGTCCTTGCTCTTTTGTTTTACCTTCACGCGGCGTTGGCATTGTTTGCGTTCGTGTGGAGAAGAAATGACCCAGTTGTTGCGAACGTTCGTTGAACAGCGTTTGACCACGTACCCCTCTATCCCCTATCGACGCCCAACCGGCATCTCAATTTTTCCAAACCAAAATGAACTTGTTGTGTCCGTCTGAATGTATTTGTATGGGTGGATGAAGGATGGGTTCACATGCAAGAGTGCATGAAGAATTCGAAGAATGTTGAATAAGTGTCCATGTATGCATATACATCATGAATATACTTTTTGTGACTGAAACAAAGAAACAGTCGATTCGTATGAATAACGAGCGCTTCGCAAGGTTGTCAAAGTTGAGGAAGTAAGAAAAACAACACAAAAGGGATGAACGATAATGAAGCCAAGAGAGCGAGAACAAGGATAGCGATCGATCGCAGAAAATATGCAAGAAAGGAGGATGGGAAAGACGCGAGAGCTAAATGAGAAGCATATGCCGAAGCAGATGAAGATGGAGAGAGAGAGAAGAAAAGAAGGAAAAAGTGCTCATTTTCCTTCTTGAAGGTAGACCACTTGATGGGTCTGTTGCATACAGCTGATGGTGAATGAATGAAAGTAGAGTGGAAACGTGAAGGCAGTTTTCCCTCCTTTTCCCTTTATATTTTTCGATCGGCCGACCGATCGTTGTAAATATTGCAGTCTGTGCTAATGACCCGATAATGGTGTGACTCTCCCCTATCCACCCCTGCCTTGCCTTCCTTGCCTTCTTTCTTTCTTTTTCCTTTTCCTTTTCCTTTTATGCTCTCACCACTAGTGAGTGTAGAGTTTGAACATCGACCACTGCCAGTTTTTCAAATAGCGCCCCGTCTCTCGTTCGTTCCCTCTCTCCCTTTCGCCCATTCTCTATCCTTCCCCCCTTCCGTTCGATGAGCGAGGCACCATGCACCATTTAATTCTGTTGGTTGTTTGTGTTTTGTTTTTGTCTTCCACATCTCCTGGGCACAAGGAGGACGGAAAGAGAAATAAATGTGTGAAAGAGAGGGCGAGAAGGAGCGAGAGGGCTCACACTCTCTTCCCTCTTTCCTCTGCGCATGAACACAGAGTGGAAGTATCCATGAATACAAACATGCAAACAAATATACCAATAACAAACACAATTCTCACTCCCTAGAATGTATAACGCACTCGTTAGAAAAGCCTCTTTTGTCGCAAAAGCCCTCTCCCCCCGCCTATTTCCCTTTCATTCTCGCCTCACCCACTCATGTTACTTATCCTTGCTTTTCTTTATCTCCGAGGAGGCTTGACACTTCCTCTCTGCCTTTCCAGCCTAGGGAAGAGTGCGAAAAAGAGAAAGAAAGAGGGAATGGTGATCACCTGCCATTTTCATCGGTTTTCCTTGGTTTGTTTACTCTAGTGTCGTAATTACGACCTAGAGCATGCAATGGCGGGAGAGTTGGAGGAGCATGAAAAAAAGCCAAACCACTCAGCACAACTGTTCAGGGGAAAAGATAGACCGATCGCTTTTTTTTTCTTCTTACCTTCGTATTTTTCGAAGGACGATTGGTGTTCCCTCTCTCACCATTTTTTATGCATGGATTACTACTGTACTTCAAAGAACCAACAGATGTGCTTATGGGCTTTTATAATGCGGCAAGCTGCGGTCTCGAACAACAGCAAGAAATAGGAGGGATCGTCCATAGGTAACATCATCGAGAGAAGCATAAATAGTTGGCAGTCTGCCCTCTGTCGAACACTTTTCTTCATTTCGTGTTTTTTGATCACTCTCTGTTCCACCAGTCAGACACATAGCCTCTCACTTCTCTGCCCTGAAATCTCCTTAGCCCCTCTATTCCTGAATCCCATCTTGCAACAGCACACTCTCATCTCATAGCTCCTCTTAACTTTCACCCCTCAACACTCTCAACTCCCTCCACTCTTTCATCAACCCCAACAATGGAAGTCAACCCCACAGTACTGATCGTAGGAGCAGGCATCGGAGGCCTCTTCCTCGCCAACTTACTCCAACATGCAGGTATCGACTATGAGATCTTTGAACGCTCGGCTCAAGTCAAACCCCTGGGTTCCGCGATGGTCGCCGGCCCCAATATTCTCCCCGTTTTTTCCCAATTGGGTCTCCTGGAGCAGATGGAGAAGATCTCCAAGCCGCTCAAGTGTCTGAATGTTTATAATGGTAGCCTTGACAAGTTGGGGACTGTCGAAGCCAACACCAAGGAGAGGTACATGCTCAGCTATGTTGTACATCCTGCATAGACAACGGAATAGAGTGACAAGATTCGCTATGGGCATGAGCTAACGCTTGTTCTTTTCAACGCTAACGCCAAAAAAAAAAAAAAATAGAGCCGGATACTACTCGTTAGTCTTTGCGCGCAGGAACCTCTATGCCCTCCTCCTCTCCCAAATCCCACCCCACAAAATCCACCTCTCGAAAAAGATCCTCTCCATGCAAGAGCTCGAGGACGGCGTTGCCATCCACTGTAGCGACAAGTCCCGCTACGTCGGCGATATCCTCGTAGGAGCCGATGGTGCCTACAGTGGCGTCCGTCAATCCCTCTATCGTCAACTGGCGGCTGCGAAACTGTTGCCCAAGAATGATGAGGAGGATCTGGCGATGAGGTACACTTGTCTTGTGGGAACTACCGAGTCGTTGGATCCCGTGGAGTTCCCGTACCTCGGAGAGGATTTTGCGCATTTTGAGATTGTCCTTGCCAAGAATTCCTCAGAGTCGGTAAGTTGGAGGTTGGGAATGTGTGCTTTTGTTTATTTTTGTATTACCTCATGCTCTGGTTTATTGTAGTTGCGGAGTGTGCATCGCCTTTGCGCATGGGTAAAAGAAGCGTCATAAGAGGCTAGATGGGTGACATAGGCACAAAAGTCCATTTTTAGGAATGACTTCATCACCTGTCGATGCGCAATCGCACCGCCACCCCTCCCTCCATGCTTACTCATCCATCTCTCTTTCTCTTCTCCAACAAATAGGTGGCGTGCTTTACAATTCCAGACAACAAAATCTGTTGGCTCTACACCGTCCAACTCTCCGCGAACAGTCCCGACGAGCGATTCAGCAATTCAGAATGGAGTCCCGAGGCAACCCAGGCAATGTGCGAAAAGATCCGTCATATCAAGGCACCCTTTGGCCGGACCATGGGGGACCTGATTGATGTGACACCCAAGGACTCATTGTCCAAGGTCATGCTTGAGGAAAAGTTGTTCGAGACTTGGTACCATGGACGCACTGTTCTTATTGGCGATGGTACGTGCCTATTATCACACGATTCTATTGATTGGTGTTGGGGGATGTGTGAGATTGATATGCTTCTTGCTGACATGGTTATTATTCCCCCCCCCCTTTCTTTCTATTTCTTACAGCTTGTCACAAGGTAAGAAACGAAACATTGCATTTCTACTGGAAACAAACAAATTGAGAAGAGATCCACATCCTTCGACATATCCAAAACTAACACGCACCCGTCATCCCTACCTCGATACTAAAATAGATGCTCCCAAGTGCAGGACAGGGAGCAATCAACGCAATGCAAGACGCAACAATCCTCGCCAACTGCATCAACGACATCAAACGCCTCGACCGCGACAGCATCTCGGTCCATCTCAAAGACTACCAGGACCAACGGTACCAGTTTGCAAAGATCCAGTTCGAGACCAGTAAACGCTTTGCCGTCATCATGGGCGGTCAGGTAAGATATCACTGCCCGAGACTGAAAGGTTCGGTGTTCATGTTCACCACCACCCCAACAAACACACAACAAACTGACGCGTATGATTTTTTTTACTGTACTTTCCTCGTCCTATTCTTCTCATCTCTTGTTACTTTGATATTGTAGACGTGGACGGAGGCATTGATCAGGAAGGTGGTACTGGCCTACATGCCAAAATCCTTCAATAGAATTCGGCAGGACAAGACCTGCGCCTACCAACCACAAGCCAATTTCTTGAAACTGGCTCCTGAAAAAGGTCAGATCGAGACTCTGCCGCAGGTGCCGTCCAAACGCTACTCCATTGACGCCAATTCCGTCTAAGTTTTTCTCCCTTCTTTGTTTTCGCTTCTTTACACATCGGACAAAAACCAACAAGTAAACAACATAGCAGGCAGCTTAATATATATATATGTATAGGACACTTTTATGGATATGGAATGGAGGAAGGGAACGCGATAAATATTTACATCGACTAAAATATTAAGACCGAATGAACTTTTTGTATCTATAGAACTCTCATCGCTCAAGAAGAGGCGAAGGATGATGGATGGTGAAAGGTAGTAACGGAGGGTATATACAAAAAATGGCACGAAAGACAATCCTGGTTAGTTCCCCGGACAACAAAAGAACTCGCGCTTCATGTCCTCATGGCTCGACATCACCACCACCATTAATGGAGTTCATCGTCGTCGAAAGTTCCTGCTGTTGATCAAGCCACTCTTGAGTAACCTCCTGAACGGTCTCAAAAGTAACAAACGATCGATGCCTGATCGAATTGGCACGACACAATTTCTCGAGCGACGTGTCCTGACGGGCAAGGACAATGTCTGAACAAAGCGCTGCTGGGAAATCGGAACTGCCGTCGCCGCACCAGAGGATCTTGTCTGTTGTTGGGTTCTGGAGATCGTTTGCTCGTGCTTCTCGGAGCGCTATCATTGAGGTTTTACCAGAAGGGGAAGGAATGAAGGAGGAAAAAAAAAAGTGGTGAGACTTTTTGTTTGTTTGGCTTGAGGTGGTCTGTTGCACAGACTGTAAGAAATTAGAGAGCACACTGGGCGGACACGCAGGGGTGGAGTCATGGCGAGAAGGGGGAACATGGGGCGGAATATCATTGGATGCTCGATTGTGGTCCTGAAGGCGCACTTGACGAAACAGGCGAGCGGCCATCAAAAATGCGAGGCTCTGATTAGGTTTAAGGAGCGAGGAAGGGGAGAGAGGTGAAAGATGGGGGGTTGTGGGAGGATTGTTCTTTGTTCTTTCTGGAAAACTTACCACGTCCTTTTTCGACACCGTATGGGCTGTATGTTGAGAGGACGAAGAAAAAGAGGGCGAGGGGGGAATAAAGTTGAGAGAAAAGTAGAAAGGTGGTTAGAGATAATCTTTAGGTTTCCTTTTTAACTTTGCGCCGAGAAGTGGCGAAAAATGGTTCCTTTTCTGCTGTTATTGGCGAGTCAAGTGGCATGTAGCAAAGCACGCGCAACGCCCACTGCGCAAGAGCTGGGCATAAAAACGAGAACGGACAAAGTAACAACCCGGTACAAAGCCCAGAGACACAATGACACGACACAACACAACGCAACACAACAAACAAAAGCAAAAGGATGGCAACAAATATTGGACCGTGTGTCGTCATCCTTCCTCGGAAAGAAAAAAGAAATTACCTGCTGTCGCGCCAGAGGATCCTCCAAGTTCCGTCGGGGCGAATGATGAGACCGTTGGCGCGGACGATGATATTGTGGTTTACGCCCAAGTACCTGTCGAGCATTTCCTCGATCAACGGTTGGATGCCTCTATTTTAAGTTGTCGCCACAAGAGAATATCAGAACCACAAACAAAAGTGATAAAGAGCAAGAAGCAGATAAAAATAAAAGAGAGAAAGAAACATACGTCAGTGAATCATGACAAGAATAACGTTCAATTAGCAACGACACACGCCGTCTCTTTTTCGGTTTTTTTTCAGGTACCATCACCATTGTCATTACAAAGGTAGTGAAACATCCAAAACCATAATAGTCTTATTTATCACTTACATGCTAACAACAGTAATCGGGATCCCGTGCTCCTGGCAGAAGGCATGGAACTGGCGGAACCCAGGGTCCAGTCGAATCCTGTACTTGTCATTCAACGCCTCCACCTCCTCGTCCTCTGTATCTTCAGAGTGTTGTTGCCTGTCATCAAATGGCACCCTGTTGAATCCATCTGTTGTTGTTCCGTTCGTCGCCCCTGTGGAAACGCCTTCCTGTTGACGCAAAATATTATCCTTGGGGCTGACAAGGATATCCGCAGCCTCCTTGACCGATAACCGGAGATGGTCCCACTTCATGTCCTCGGCTTTACGGAGAGAGACGCGTCCAGGCTCGGTCTCGGGCAGACGGTCGATTCGGTCCAGCTCCTTGTGTCCTATTTGGTGGGCCAGTATCGAGTTCCCAGTATCTGTCAGGACCATCGTGCTGTCAAAGTCGGTATAGACGCGGAGTGCGATCGTGGGTGAGGTCATATTCGTAGGTGACATGTGTAGACTTTGTGTTCTTGTAGGTGGCGTGAAAAGATTGAGCTGGGAAGATGACGTTATGAGTAGTAAAGGCGAAAGAAGAGGAGACACTGTGGTTATGGAAATGTGTTGGGGGAAAGAAAATAAAAAGAATGAAAAGAGGAGCGTAAAAGTGGGGGGTGACCTGCTATTTATTAAAAAAGTTTTCTTGGTTGCTTCTGCATTGTTAATGGTCCGCCGTTTGTCGACCATGTCTCTCGTCCCTTCCCTCTCCCTTCTCCTCCTCTCCCCTTCCCAGATTATTTCGTGGGATCTGCAGGGACGTAAGTTGTCTGCTCCCATCCTCCATTCGAATCATAGCCCTTTTACGTTTACAATGTTTTGTCCTTTTGCTTCTTTTCGTCTTTTTTTTCGTCTATGCATGCCATCTACTCGCGTCGCTGTTCCCATCGGAATACCGAAATGGTCGTCTTTTTCCGAAGAGGAGCCGTCCACCCTCCCATCAAAAAGAATAGTAAAAAGAACATTTAGTTTCGTCTCGGTATGTGGTTGAGAATAACATCTGCAATGCAAACATAAGCAATCTCCATTACAACCCTCTCTTCCCCCTTATTCCCTTTCCCCTCCCCCCTCCTCATTCTCATCCTCTTCCTTGGCTCTCCCTTCGATCGTTACTGCTCACTCTGCTCACCACTCACTCCCGTTCCTCCAAATTATCCTCAATGGCTCACGCGCTTTGTTTATCCTTTTTCAAAAAAAAAGAGGGTCCCCTGTTCAATCACGGACGTTGTTGATGAAGTAAGACTGTCAGCAAAAACAACGATAATAAAAACAAAGAACGCCCAATGTTCCTTTCGTATTTTTAGTACACTTCTCTCTCCATCTTTATTTCAACCTTCCATCGTCATTAAGGAATTAGATTGCTTTTTTTTTTTTTTTTTCTTTTTCTCAACGGTCTGTTTCTGTGCTTTTTTTTTCCTTCGAAGAAATGGTTGCACAAAAACCTTCTATCAACAAAAGGAAAAACAAGATGTCAACATTAGGCGCTTGTCATCTAGGGCCACCTTGGAGAAAATAAGCGGGTCTAGTGAGTTGTATTTGTTCATGCGACCCCAGAGGTGTATACTAAGGGGAGAGAGGTAGGAGAGAGGGTAGAGGGATGTAAGGGAAGGCGGTATAAAAAAATGGAACACAGGGGGGAAGAAACGCAGGGAGGAGAAAGGGGACAGGGAGTATAGTAGAAAAGGAGAAAGAAAGGGACGAAGGGGAGCATCGTCTATGGTACTATCGTCATCAAATTGTAACATCCGAACCCTTTTTCTCCTTTTGTTTTACTTTTCTAGTGTGACCAGGAGATCGGAGGCATCAAAGGAAGGAGAACATACAATCTCTAGCTAGTCTCCATTCACGCTTGTTTAGAACGTGTTCAATGCCCCTTGTTCTTGTTGTTCAACGGTCGGTACATATTCAATGGTCTAGCCTCCTGAGATAATGAGTATAAGGCGAGATAGTTCGAGGGGTACTATGTAGAAAATAGAAGGACACCTCCATTGTTCTACAATAATAATGATACTATACTTTTTTTTTCTCACCCTCGTTCTCAAAGATGTATCTAACGTTGGTAGAAGGAACGGATGGGGACGAAAAAAAATAATTAGATGCGACAGGAAACGGGAGATGGGATGGAAGGAAAGAAGATCTCCCAGGGAACAGGAGAGAGAGAGAGAGGGAGAGAAGGGAGAAGCAAGGACAAGAAGGAAAGGATGGGGTAAGGGGTCACTGTCTTTATTGTTGTGCTGTATATAAAAAAAAAAGAGTGAGTCCAATGGTGCTTGTCGTGTTGTACTTGTCCAGAAATACACACCCTTGGGCAGAATCTGCCTCTCTTCCTTCCTCCAGGCTCACCGTCCGCTGTGTAACCCCTCTCTCTCCATCCTCCGTCCTTCTTGTGGCCCATGGTACATGGCATGGTATGCACACACCAACAACAAAAAAAGATCACGCGCCCAACAAACAAATCACAAACAACAAACAAAATGCAAAGCACCGACAAGCGACAAAACACACACAGCCAGCTTATCGCGCTTATTCGGAGCAACAGTGCGACCAGACCAGGGTCAAAGTAGGGAGTCACGACTCTGGTCCCCCTCTCCTTTGCGTCCCTTTAAAGATAAGTCATAATTGTGAAGCAAAGCACTTTTGGACACGAACACAAAAATGTCGCACAGTACTCTACATACATAATTATCATTCTTACAATTCTCCTCTTTGATCCGTTTACTCTGACCCCTGTCCCGACCTCCCTCATTCCTATCATCGCCCACCCCTATACCTCACAGTGATTTGATTATTCGCCCTTTTTCGCCCAGTTCCCAGACCATTCCGAAAAAGCTGAACAGCCCATCCTTCTTTTGTTCAACAGAGTGAACTCTAGGCGGATCAGGTACCCGACTGAAGAGACTGAACGACGTCCTGGTCCCGCGTCCTTCAATGTCCCTCCATTCTCTAAACGCGCTAGTCGAAACAAAACGCGCGGCAGTGTTTCCCCTCCCCTCATGCGGTGGTCATACCTTGTGCTTGTGGGACTATGAAAATAAATAGCGCGAAAAAAAGATGAAGGCAGGATGACCGAGGTAGCGTGTGCTCTTCGTTAGACCCATTTTCCGTTCTCGCTAGTTCTCTAGCTTCTAGCTCCAGGACATTCGACAAGTGGGCCCAAAGAGGTGGCGGTGAGATTTCGTGTGAGTTGTGGCGGTGAGCGGACAAGACGGACTTTGTAAAGAGCCCACTTCAAGAGTGCTTCATTTACGCCACACGTTGTTTTCTGATTGTTCTCAATAGTACTTTTTTGCTCTTTGTATCAAAAGTCCAAAAACAGAACTGCCGCGAAAAATAACGAATTGCGGCATACAACCAACCAACCCCAACACCATAAAAAATAAAAGCTGCTGTTGAAACTGTTCAGCCGTTTACGCGTCATTACTTAGCCAGCTTGAAGAACCAAGAGGAGTACAAAAAGGAGGACAAAAGGAGGACAAAAGGAGGACAAAAGGAGGACAGGCCAAGGGGGAGAGAAGGGAGAGGATATTTTAATATGTACAAGAATGAGAAAATGCTATGAAGATCTTGTCGGCGGTACCGTATCAACAGCAGCACCAGGCTGCTGCTGCCGGCCTTCGAACCGAGGCGAAGTAGGCTCGACGACCGTGCTCGAAGTCGACCCATTCATCGATCGCGTGCTATGGCTATGGCTCGTAATCTTATCGACTCCAAAAGAATGAGAGGCGTGGGGCCACTCTGTGCCACTACGCAATGTCCGCTCATGATCTGCCAATGGCTCCAATGGAATACCGTCGTTGCTGTTATGCGACTGGTGCGGAAAGATGGGCGACGACGGTTCGGATGAGTAATGCTGATGATGCTGGCGGTGATGGTCGTTATGCTGGGGAAGGACATCGTCGCCACTGCGACTGGATTGAGACCGCTTGACACGCCTTCTCCGTCCAGTATTGTTTTCTGGTCGATCGACCGAGGCCTGTCTCTTCAATGCGTTGGCAGCAGCAGCAGCCCTGGCGCGCCTCCGACGGAGGAGTAATCCTGCGACAATTGCACCAAGGACGACAACAAAGCTGACACCTAGGCCGACCTTGGCTCCGATGGATACCCCGGGGGCATAGTAGTTACCTGACCAGGTCATATTGTGCAGCTTGATTACCGAGAGTGGTCGTTGGAGAAACCCATCAGTATCGTGACCTACATTGCAAAAAGAAAATTAAGCATGGGACATGTTTCAAGGTTAATGTCAATTCTTGATGGGTCTGAAATTTGATTTCAGGACCATCAGCTTGTTTTGCAACGCCACTAAAACAAGAGAAATCATTAAGTGTTACCTCCTACAACGACGACTTGGTCATAGTTGGCAATATGGCAGTTGTGTCCCATGATTCCCTTGGAAGGAGAGTTAGACATCGTTGTCTGAGTCCACGTCCAGTTCTTGGTGTTCAAAATCCAGACGTCCGCAAGAGGCTTCATCGTCAAGGGTTCTCCACCACCAACCATGTAAATGTTGTTGTTGCGCAAGAAGGTGCACGTAAATACACGTGGAGGAGGAAACACTGTGCCACGGAGACTGATCTGCGTCGCCTGAGGAGTCGCTGAGAGAACACTGTCGCTCGAGAGGGTATAGACGGTATCGAATGACGCGCATTGGGTAGGGATCTCGTCTGCGCCCATATGGTTGCATCCACCCATGATCAACGTCGCATTCTGCCATGGCAAGTAGGTCAGGATAGGGGCGTAGAGGGCCGGCACTGCGTTGAGGTAACCGCTGTAGGACCAGGTCATCTGATCCGAAGGTTTGGTGGTATTGAGGATCGAGATTTCATTGGTAATCGCTGTGGCGTTGCGTCCTCCAAACTCTATCAGCATCCCATTCTTCGAGTCCAAAGCTACCCCTGGTGAGTCGCTTCTGTAATCCTGCATTCGAGTCGTCGCGTTTCCTGCAACCTCCGGAAGATCCGCTGCCGAACTCCAAGTATGACTGTCGGTATCATAGACGGTTGCTGGTGAGCGACCAATGTTGTTGCGGTTACCGGTGACGATGAATCGGTTGTAGTCCTTACTAGGCGAGCCAGACGCCATTGCTGTAGCCATGGATGAATACGAGGAAGAGCCCTCGGTGTGGAATTCCCAAGGAATTTTGTCATTGTCGAAATCGTCGTCGAGTTGGAGGGTCAGGAACTGGGAGGTGTACGAGGTGGGTGACGATAAATTGGTGAGGCCTCCATAGATAAAGAGCCGGTTCTCGAGGACGGCTGTGGCAGGGTAGGACACGGGTTGGTATGTTCCTGCAGAAGTTGGGTTGACAAGGGCTACCAGAGCGATCGTCAATGCAATAGTGCGAGATACGAGTCCCTGGTGAGCAGCAGGAGTTGTACCTGCAGGGACTTGTTGGGAGAAAGGGTGGGTCGAGCGGACCATGATGATAGTGAAATAAAAAGGCGTTGGAGTGAAGGGATGGTCGAGTTGGTTTCTGTGGAGGTGAGTGTGAAGTGCCGCCAGGGGTGTAACCGGGGGAAAAGGGGGTCTGGGGAAGATGAATTGATAGAGGGGGAGAATACCGAGGGAAAGCAAGATGCTCAGCACATGTTTGCTGAAATATAAAGCCCTTAGTTATCTGTGAGGCTTTTTTTTTCGTTTGTTGTGTGAGGAAAGAGAGAGAGGATGGTGATTGTGATGTGGAAGGCGATTGAGTGAAAAAGAGAAAAAGGAAGGAAGGAGAGGAGAGTGAGTGAGTGAGTGGGTGAGTGAGGGGTGTGTGAAGTGTGTTTGTAATGAACAGCAGAAAAAGACGGATCCAGTCGGAAGAAGGAAGGGAGAGAGAGAGATGATGTCAACGAACAGCAAGGGGGTGTGTTTGTTGATTGTTGCAATGGGGGGCAAAGGGGGACGAGGAAGTTGATGATGGAAAGGAAGAGAGTAGAGGGGTGGATGGGATGAAGGAGAGAGAGGGGAAAGGATGATGGACAGAAGAGGAAGGAAAGAAGACGTAAGAGTGAGAGGAAGGTGTGCCCTTTATGACTTTAACTGTCTCTCTTGTTGAACACGAGTGTCATTATTGGACAGGGAGATGTGTGGATGGACAGTTGTGTGTTGTTTTAGTGCCGTTCTCTGCCACTTACAGCTTTTCAATTCATTACCCAGGGTTTGCCCAAGGCAGTCATTTTCTCATCTCTCTTCTCTGCCTCACCTCTGCCCCTTCTCTGCCTCTCCTCTGCCCCTTCTCTGCCTCTTCCTTCTCGTCTATTTGGTGCTCGGCTCTCTTTCCGATCTCTGACTGGCTGTTTGTTTATTAGCCATTGTCCTTATCATTGACATTGCCAGTGTTGCTTCTTGTTTAGACTCTAGTTTGTCGTCGTTTGTGTTCATCTGTCAATCCTTCCTAGAAGTGTGTGCAAGAGTATTGGATGGAAGTGCTGACTTTTCTTGAAGTGATGCTCTCAAAAAAAAAAAAGACGAGGGATGCATTTGGCAAAATTCCCTCTACTGTCTCCCCTTCTTGGCAGACCCCATTGGCTCGATATGGACTCTAAGCCGTCTTCGTTCACTGTCGTGCTCCCTACTTTTTTTCTCATCCCGCAAACAAGACGAGAGGGGGTAAACAAGTAGCCGCCACGTCGTGCGCAATTGCTATTGACACAGGGATAGTAGGCAGCGATTGATGCGTGTGTACCGTTTTTTTTATGCGAGGAAGAAAAAAAAAAAAGAGGGACAAAGGGCGTCAGAGTCAATTGGAGGGACTATGAAGACGAAAGAGAGAGAGGGAGACAGAAGTTTTGAGAGCCAACACTCTTTGAAGGGAAATACACAACAACAATAACAACAACGGGAACCAAAACAACAGCGAAAGCAGAAGCAAATCTCGTCGATTGAAGCGATTGAAGTGTTCTTTTCTTCTTATCCTCTTCTTTGTTCAATGAAAAGTGCGAGAAAGAGAAAAGAGAGAGAGAAAAAGAGAGAAAGAGAAAGAAAGGCAGAGAAAGAGAGAAAGAGAGAGAAAGAGAGAGAAAGAAGAACATGGCATCGAAGGAGGATGCATGGCAGGTATGCCTGTGTGCCAAGATGCGACCGAGACAAACAAATCTGCATCATCCCCCTGATCCACTTCTTCCTTCTCCAGTTAGTGCCTTTCCCTTCATCACTCTGAAAGAAAAGAGCGCCCAAAAATAACAACAGAGAAAACACCGCGGATGGGTTGACACTGTTCACAGGCGCCGAAATGTCTTCTTTTGGGAACATCAGTCCATGTCCTACCCATTCTAGTTCTTCTTGTCCCTCTCACCCATGTTTCCCGCCCTCGGTTTCTTCACTTCCGATCGAGATCAATGAGAAACATGATGTGATGATGCAAGCAACATACAACGTCCGAGGTACCAACCTAATCCACCTCACACACTACATTTTAATCATTCTCAGCTAAGCCTGTTCATACAATTGTGAACCGATAACAGCTCCCAGTCATCATTGTATTCAAAGATATGCAAAAAGTGGTATGCGAAGTTGTTTATTACGGCCGCCTGACTCGGCGGTTGTCTGCAAGCGCTTCACTCTCCTCCGAGATGAGTTCCTCCGACAATGGTGGCATCGCACGCCTTCCCGATTGTTGCTGCTGCTGCGATTGGTTCTGGCTCTGGTTCTGCTGTCCTTTGCCTTGTCCTGCTCCTGGTGCTGCCCCTGCTCCGGATAGTTCAGCAGCCTTGGCCTTAGCTTTGGCAGCCTTGATGGCATTGAGCTTCGTGATCGACCCTCCAACACCTGGCTGATAGAGCTCCTCATCGTCATCATCGTTCAACTCGGCCTTGGAGGGGATATTACTAAACCTATGTGAAATCCCCCTCATCGGCATCGGCGGTGTATGTCCAATCGGCGATGTAGGTCCAGTCGGTGATATAAGATAACTGCCTTGATCGTCCAGATGACTCGACACCAAGATCGTCCCTGTCTCGAGCGACTGCAGAGGAGTCATGATCGACTCCTCGCCCATTTCCACGTCCTTCAACTGCAAAACCGCCGTCGCCAGCTCGATGTCGTCGTGGTACCCGTCATTGAGGATCGCATACTGGTTCGACGTGATCTTCCGGTTGAGTCCATTGTTAGGCTGTTGTCGGTTGAGATCGATCTGCCGCTTCTCGTACTGCTTGTTGTGTAGTGTTGTCTTGACATAGTATCCGTACTGCATATCGGCTATTGTCTGCGGCAACCGTTCGCTCTCGGGCAGCGACCCTTTGGATTTGGCACCTTTGCTCTTGTAACTGTTCCAGGTCGGGGTCGATCCTCGCTCGGGCGAATCTGTTCCTGCAACTGAAAGCGATGAGGAGTTGTAGGTGGTCGACGCCGGATAGGGGATGATCATCAAAGGAAGTGACCTCCCGTCCTTGGTCGATGTCAGAGATGCCGAATGAAATTCAGATCCCATTTTACCGGAGATAGGGCCTGAGGAAGGTGAGGGTGAGATCAGATTGCGGGTGCTGTGGAAACGGTCGTTGCTGTCGTTCGTGAGGGCCGAGTCACTGCCCATGAGTGGGTGTGCCGAGACTGAATCCCGGTTGATTTTCCTGTCGGTGTCGGACTTGCGTCTCTTCCAGAGCGTGCGTCCTGCAAAGAACAAGGCGATGCCCAATAATAGACAGCTGCCGACGATGATCCCGATGATGGCGCCGAGTGGTAGTCCTGGGCGCGGTGGTGTATATGTTGCTGTCCACACCCACTGTTTAGTGTCAATGATGCCAATTTGGGGCTGAGAAAATGTTCGTACGGGATTGTTAATCACCGCACTGTATCCTATTTAAAGATACAAGCAGTGTGAACAAACTGGGGTTAAAAAGGTGTAGCTTGGACCAGTCACCAGGCAAACAAACAAGAAAAAGTATGAGATCCCAAGGAAAAAGGAGAGCGACCATCGGTCTTCACTCCCCTCCTATGTTTTTGATATCCCAGTTTTCTACTCGAGCATGAGCCTCTCAACAAGAGTTTTACACTGTAAATTTAGGTGGACTTGCCTCCAACAACCATGATGTGGTTTGGTGATATCCGTTGACAGGTAGCTCCTGCTCGCCCTGCTGTAGGGTTTTGGCCGATAGACATCATCTTCCATGACAGGTCGCCAGCATTGAGAATCCAGGCTTCGTTTAAACTGCTTGAGAATGTCGCTCCTCCGTACATAAACAGGTCGCCGTTTTCCAGAACAGTATAGCAGGGCGACAATCGACTCACGGGCACCGCCATTTCAGATGCTGTGAGATTGACGATGGCGTTGCTCACTGTTGTGATACCTTTGACGGTGGAAGTGGTGACGAGGTATCCAGAGTCGAGTTTTTGGAGTCCTGCGATGTTGTTGTTTTCAAAATTGGTGCCACCAATGATGAGGGTGGCCTTTCGTGTCGGTAGGTAGACGACGATGGGCTGAAAGATGGGTCTCAATGGCGTCGTTGGCGCACCCTTTCTCCATGCCCACTGGGCCATACCTCCATTTGAGGTTAGAATGTCGATTTCTGACGACAGAGGGGCACCGAAGTTCCTGATAAAGCCTCCCTGGACGACAATGACGCCTGTCTCTAGATCGAGAGCCGCACCGACAGCAGAGCGTGGTGGGTCGGGATCTGAACGGAAGGGAGCCCACGAGTCGGCACCGATGTCGTAGGACATGAGGAGGGGATCGCCTTGACCGCTTGCGCCCAGGAAAACGAGGTGGGATTGATCTATTGTTGGTACGACGGTGGCATCGGATCCGTTCATAGAAAATGGTCTGGTTGCGATCCAAGGGGGTTTAACGGCCGTCCAGGGGACAGAGTCGTTGGAGAAGGGGCGGTCGAGGGGCACAAACATGGAGTCGCCTACTGCGTCCGAGGGAAAAAACTCAGAGGTGTAGCCAGAGACAATATAGAGTCGATTGTTGGCGATGGCTGAGCCGGAGGAGAAGCGTGGTTTGTAAAGGTAAGGCTGTGGTGATGGTGTTTGCTGTTGGGCATGGATCGGGCGGGAAAGGGAGAGGGATAGGATCAGACTAGCGGCGACGAGGGAGAGACGTTGGTGTGGGACAAAAAGTGTTCGCCGTTGTTGATATTGTTGTTTCCTTTTGCTCCGCTGCGGGCTTGTGGTCCTATGCATTGTCCGTAACCGGCAGCCGTTGCAGTGGCTGCAGAGCGATGGTATCATTTCTCTCTTTCTCTTTTTTTGTTGGTGTGAGCGGAGGGGTTTTTTTTTTTTGCGTTTTTGCGTTTTTCGTGGGTTCAAAAAGAAGGTGTGTCTGGAGTGTGACAAGGTAAAAGGGACTAAGTCGAGTTTGAATGTAATGGAAAAAGAACCTGTGGTGAGATGGGAGACAATGCGATGAGCGTGGAAGCAGAAAGGGGAGAGAGAAAGAAAAGAAGAAGACGAAATGTATACTTCAGTTGTAGTTGTTTTGAGGTGTGATGAGGCGAAGATGGGTGACAGTGGAAAGAGAAGACGAAAAGTGGAGAGTTTGGGTAAGTGTGGGCGGGGTAGGTGAGAGAGTATATATAGAGCGGATGGGCTAGTGTGGCGATGAGGGGTACAGCCTGGAATGGGAAAGAAAGAGAAAGAGAAAGAGATGATGATCTAGTGAGGGGTCAAGGGGCGTATATGACAAAGCAGGAGGGTGAAGGAAGGAAGGTCAAGGTGGAAGGACAGAGGGCCAGAAAGAAGGGACGGCACAGAAAGAAGAAAGAATGATAGCATGCAGGACAATGGTCCTTTTAGTAAGACAGTCAGTGCTGTGGAAATACAAGACCAAGTCTCTTCTGTCCTTTTTTTCGACTGTGGGTCTTGTTGCTTACTTTGTTGCACTGTGAGCACAAAGCATCGAAAGGCAGGCTGCTGTCAGGTCAGTTGTTTGAATTTTTTTCATACCCGAGCATCGATCCCAAGGTCCGTTCTATTTTCCTCCGCCCCTTTTTTCTCTTTTTCTTGGTCATGTAATTTACACTTGCACTCACCTGTAGACACTTCCGCGGATAAGTAATCAAGCCCACACTAAAACACGACAGACACGCCCAATAAACTACTTGGTTCACTTCCATCATGTTCCATCCTTCTCTCAACGCATACTCTTTGTCATTCTCCTTTCTCGCTTTTTCTTTGTTTTCTCTTAGTCATTGAATGGTCGGAGTCAGCCAACCAAGAAAGAAGAAAACGAGAGTAGGAAGGTTCAGCCCAGAAGGAAGGTTCAGCCCAGAAGGGATGGCTGCATTTCAACAAAGGTCATGCAAAGAAAAACCAGAGCGAAAGAGTAGCAAGGAACGTTTTATATCGCCAGCAGCAACGCGGTTATTCTTGCCTTCGCCGCTATCAGCATATGAACGTATGGTTTAATCAGATCCCAACGGTCCGTCGTTAAGTGAGGTTATCAGTTCTTGGATCCAGGTTCCTGGGTTGGTGGCGACAACAAATAACTCCTGAAATGTGCATCGCTTGCGATTATTCAGAGTACCAAGACGGAAGTGTCTCTACCTTGGACAGGTTGTATGTCTTTACGCTTCTCTTCAACAGCCTCTCCACACAACCGACCATCGCACAATGACTACCGCTGCCAGGTGCGTACCTCAACTTCAAATCCTCGTTGCTCTTTTCCAGTCAGTCAAAACTGTCAACACGACTTACACGAGACACTAACTTGGCCATTCTTAATCTCAATTAAAAACAACTTAGGCCCACATTTGATCCAGCCCGTGGAAAGGGAAGCCAAGCTCCCACTCGCATCTACAGCTCCCGCGATCTCGCCTCCCACACAAAGCTCAAGTTCAGGTATGCACTTCATGACAAACTCGAAGATAGTCTTGTGTCGCTAGACTTTCGATTTGTATCCATGAACACTTAGTTGATAGCGTTTTTGACTCTCTCTTTTTTTGTGGACAACTCTAATAGACAGACGGGTCAGACAACTCAGGATGAACTCAACCGTGTGGATTTGAAGGCTCAGCTGAAGAAGGCAGAACAGGATCATTATGAAAAAGTCAACAAGGTCGCGAAGTTGGGCGCCGGACTTTCCAATTCCTTCAAGGACGTCAATGATGACGATCAAGAGCAGGAAGCAGCAGCAGAGTCTTCTACAGAGACCCCTCTTGAGAGGAAACAGAGGCTGTTGCAGGAGGCCGAGCGGTTAGACAAGGATGATAGCGACGACAGCGATGCAAACAAGGGTAGCGACGACAGTGATAGTGATGACAGTGACAGGTGCGTGTGATTTCGAGTTATTTGCAGAGTTTTGTCTTGTTGACATGGATATGAAATGGATGTGCTACTATTTTGCCCTAGTTAAACTGACATCTTTGTCACATTTTTCATTATACCAAAGTAGCGATGATGAAGATGACACTGCAGAGCTGTTGCGTGAGCTGGAAAAGATCAAGCGGGAACGTGCAGAGGAGAAGGAGCGCCAGGAGAGGATTCAGCGCGAAGAAGAAGAAAAGGCACGGGAGGCACAGGTTGCTGCAGGAAACCCCCTGTTGGAAATGCCTGAGGCATCTGCGGCATCATCAGGACCCAAAGACTTTTCGGTCAAGAGGCGATGGGACGAGGATGTGATCTTCAAGAACCAGGCCCGTGGCATGGACGATAAGCCCAAGAAGCGGTTCATCAACGATACTCTTCGCTCGGACTTTCACCGCAAGTTCATGAACAAATATGTACAGTAAACACCTAATAAAACAGCAAACTTGAAGTTGTTGCACTTTCGCCGAACTCTTAAACAATGACTATCTTTGGGTTGTGCAACATGCGGCATTAGGGCCATAAGACCTAAAAAGGCTAAGCCACCAAGACTTTTTAAAGGGTCCAAGGGAGCAGCACTTCTCCCTTCGAACACTCACCTCTTCTACAACCACAATCAACCATGGCAAAAGATGGCTTCTTGACCGCCAAAGCTGTAAGCTCACTGCATTCATTGACTCTCGCCTCCTTGCATGTCACACAATGCCACGAATGCAAAAAAAAGACTCATCTTCTCGTCTACGTTTCCTTCCAACATAAAATAGATTGGCAACCGCATTAAATCAAAGGGGCTTCAGAAACTGAGATGGTACTGCCAGATCTGCGAGAAGCAATGCCGAGACGAGAACGGATTCAAGGTATATATAACACCAACAGAAGCCTACGAAGAGGACGGCGACGGTACACCGTATATTACTATGCCTGGTAATCTCTGTTGAAGACTTTTCTTCTTTCTCACATACAGCTTTTTTATTACTATTTTCATTGAAAATTAGTGCCACTGCGCTTCAGAGTCGCATCAGCGCAAGATCCTGTTGGTGGCCGAGTCTCCCGAGAAATACATCAATGACTATTCTGCGGAGTTTCTGAAGGACTTTATGAAGCTGCTCTCCACCAGGTACCTTTCAACCCGCTGTTCGCCAAACCCCTTTACTGCCTCGTCTCGCAAAACAACTACCTGGATGACAAATCAAAACATCATCTCTAACTATAACCCTTGCCCGTTGTTTGCCGCTCATAGATACGGAACTCGTCGAGTCAATGCAAACCTCGTGTACCAGGAATTCATTGCTGACCGGACACATCTCCACATGAACTCCACCAAATGGGCGACCCTCTCCGAGTTCATAATGAACCTTGGAAAAGAAGGACTGGCTATAGTAGATGAGACCCCTAAGGGATGGTTCATCCAGTGGATCGATAACTCACCCAAGACTCTGGCAAGACAGGAAGCTATTGCAAAGAAAGAGCGCATGGAGCTCGACGACGAGCAGCGGGAGCAAAGATTGATCCAACAGCAGATCGATAAGGCTTTGGCACTCAAGCAACAACAGGACGAGACTGATGGTGTCACAACAGAGTTGGTCAGGGAGAATGAGGAGGAGAAGATTAAGCTGGATATCTCGATTAAGTCGGTTAGTCTGACTGGTGGTCTTGGTGGTCTTGGTATCAAGTTGGGCGGCGGTGGGTTGCTGAAACCCAAGAGTTTGAACGCGCTTGCAGCCAAAAAGCCGAACCCCTTTTCGTCCAAGAACGCTTCTACATCCACCGCTACCGCCGTCTCTGGAAATGGAAATGTGGCAAGTACAACCACATCTTTAACACCCACCAAGAAGCGGTCGCCAGTCGAAGAGATCATGGAGCGGGAAATGGCTAAGAAGAAGCGCTTGGAGGAATTGAACAATAGCGGTAGTGGGCGCTCAGCTACGCAGCAACCAGAACCGGAGAAGGATAGATCCAGAGATTCGACCCGAGATGACCGCGACCGAGACTACAGGTCAAGCCGTGACAGTCGAGACAGCAGAGACACTCGAGATCGGGAACGGGATCGGGATTATCGCACAAGTCGAGATGACCGTGATGACAGGGATCGGGATAACCGGTCAAGTCGAGACAACAGAGACGATCGGGACCGAGACTACAAATCTAATCGGGACGACCGTGACAGAGAGAGTTACAGGTCTAGTCGTGACAGCAGAGATGATCGTGATCGTGGTCGCGAATATGGATCATCAAATCGAGACTCTCGTCCTGACAGGGATTTCAAGGACCGGGAACGGGATCGCGATAGCAGCAACAGAGATCGCGGTCGTGATTAAAGAAACAGTTTCTTTTTCTATTTCTTTGTTTCGTTTTGCAAACCAAGGAGTTGCTTCTGGAGATAGGATGGGGACAGGCCACTTTTCTATTGGTGCATCCTTGTTTGCTTCTCCTAAGCTCTGTCATAGCTTTGTGTTGGAAACCAGAGCCACTAAAAATATAACTTCTTTCTTTGGTCTTGGAATGTTGGTTGTCCTGGGCTTCGAGAGGCCTATAAACCTTTGTACTTCCAACTCCACTATGGCAATTTGGGACTGAACTCTTATCTTTCTGAGAAAGGAAGGAAGGAAGAACTAATTGTTTTTGGACCTTCACGTTGCTCTGTACAGGATATGGATGCATTCACCGCGCACAAACACGTTACGCCGACTCGTCTGCTTTTCATGCATTTGTCACAACGCGAACTAGAAAAAGAGATCAAAAAGAATAGGGACGCATTGGACTTGACAATGACAGACAGTAATGCCACGACTGATCATATTCCACGGACGGCGATCACTGTTTAAAAGTGAGACTATTAGAAATGAAACCGGCCGTTGAGTCGTTCACCTTGAGCAAGATCAGTAAAAGAAGATTTGAAGCATGTGAGTTATTGCTTTTTTATGAGAAATGATGTAAAAGGGGTGTTTGTTGCTACACGGGGTAATTATGTATAAATAAATATGAGATTCGTTTTTTGTTTTGGTCATTATTCTACCAGCCCGCAAGGAGCCATTCGACAACCCGGTCCTCATCGTCGTCGTCCTCAACAGGTGCCACGGCTGGGGTCTCAACAGCGGCATCGACCCATGTCTTCTTCTTGTCGCCCTGTTGCAAATCATCAGTCTCGGTAGAGGTCGATGTAGAGACAGAGACGCCCTTGACGATAGGGGTCTCGCCCTTCTTGGCCTCATCGACAGCGACGACACCGGTAACGGCGGCAACATCTGCCTTCTCTTGAACCTGGGCCTGGACATCGGAAACAGTCATGGGCTCGGTCTGCATACCACGCTCACGACCCTCGACCATCTTGGCCATAGCGGCATGGAAGATCGTGTCCAGCATCCGCATCGACGCCTCAAAGTTGCCAGCGGCAAAGAGCTTCTGGCGGATGAGAACAAAATCCGTTGGCGTAAGAGGGATGATCTGAGTGGTGGGGACAGGTGTAGTGGGGGTCTGAGGTCGGTCCTGATCCCGGAGGTTTTCCTTGGAATGGCCCTTCCGAAGGGTCTTCTTCTTGAGACCACTGCCACCAGTCGAATCAAGACTGGGGACCTTTTTGATAAAGCGACCGCCTGCATTGCTGGTAGTTGTTGTTGTTGTATCATTACTGTAGTTGTTGCTGTTGTTCTTCTTCTTGTTCTTAGAGTCGACTCCGCCGTTAGCCAATCGTTCCTGACGACGGGCCTCGCGGGCCTGGTGACGGAGCTGCTGGAGGTAGATGCGACGGTCCTGACCTTCCTCGTCATCGTTATCCTCCAGATCCTCAGAGTCCTCACTCTCATCCTCGTCCTCACCATTCCTGTCCTCCTCGTCGTCCGATCCACCGACAGGGATCAAACGGTCCGCCGTGTATTCGTCGCCCTTGACGAAATCGCTGGGTGTCAGATCTTGGTGGGGCGAGGACATATCCTGTTGCTGCTGTTTCTCGGGCGAGGACTGGACTTCCAGGGACTGAATCTCTCGTTCGCGGATTTGGTCTCCCTCGACCTCCTCCTGGGTATCTTTGTGAAGGCGGCGGCGGCTGCTGCTGTTGCCGCCCTCAATGCTGCTATCGTCATCGTCGTCGTCCTGACCGGCATAGGCCGAAACCAGACTGACAGAGGAGCCGTTGGGCATGAATGTGCTCTTGGCCGACATGAATGACTCGTGGCGTCTCCGGCGTTCTCCGGTTACAGAATCGTCATCGTTCTCGTCCTCCTCCTCCTCCTCGTATTCCTCCTCGTCCTCCAGATCAGAGTAGTGCCACTTCTCTGGAGGGGTAATGCCGTGAGGATAGTCTTCATCGTCATCCTCCTCGTCGTCATCATCGTCGACCTCTTCGCCCTCAAGACGCATGCTCTGGCGATGGCGAGCTCTGGACAGGGCATCCATGGCTTGGGCGGCCTCGTCGACAAAGATCGAGTGACGGTTGGCTCCACCAGGTACAGAGCGAGGGACGACTGCGACATATGGAGTCTCCTCTTCTTCTTCCTCCTCCTCCTCCTCATCCTCTTCTTCCTCCTCGGGGCTAAGAGTCTCCTCACCAGCAGCATTATTGTCGGCGTAGACATGGAACTGTCTGTTAGTCGTAGCGTTCTGGGATCCGACACTGCCTCTCCTCTTAGTGGGCGAAGAAAGAGAGGCGTCGTCGTCCTGGTCGGCAGCCTCGGTTGACTTGAACTGCTGGTTGCTCTCGGAGGCAGGGGGTGTGGCCGTCTGATGCTGCTGGTGCTGGTGCTTGCCGGCAAAGAGGGCGGCGGCGGATGCAGAGGTGGCAGCCAAAGTCCTGGTCGTAGCCGAGGGGAGGCGATCCTTGAGAGTACCCAATTCAGGAGAGGCGGCAGGCGAAACCATACCGTCCCTGATGGACATTCCACGCTTCTCATCATCATCCCTCATGTCGGTGCTGTCCGAGTCACTGTTAGATCCGACTGCTGCTGAAGTTCCAGGCGTAGGAGTGGCTGCGACCTTGAGGAATGCGCTCGTAGGCAGAGCAGGGGGCGTGCCAGGAGTAGAGCCAGATTTGTAGTTGTTGCCTTGAGCCGGGATTTCGGCAGAGTTGGGGCTGGATCCTGCAGTCGACGACAAGTCTGCAAGACTGGAGCGAACCGATGAACGGTCCTGCTGGTAGAAGGGGTTGGCACGGATGGTTCCTTCGAGCGAGATCCTGTTGGGGTGCTTCTGCAGGTGCTCCTGGGGCTTGAATCCATGGGCGGGTGGTTGCGCAATCTTGGTCAACTGGTCCTGGATATTACTGACCTTGCCATACATGATCAGACTGGTACTGCTGCCCGATGGGCTTACGTTGCTTCCAGAGATCGAGTTCGACAAGGGTGAAGGTGCAAGGATACCACCGGGACCAGCCCCCTGGCCATTGCTCTCAAAGGAGTTGTTGCGGAGTGGGTGTGGGTGGTGATTTTGGGGCGACTGCGACGGTGAGCTTGGCCGAGGAGAAGCAGGTCGAGGAGAAAGGGGACGAGGCGAAAGAGGACGGGGAAGACCAGCCTCAAGTCCGGTGCGCGCATCATAGCTGTTGGTGAATGTCGTCTTGGTGGGTGAAGTCAAGTCGTGGTTCAACGAGGCATTACGCGAGGGGATGGGGAATCCGTTCAAATCGGGGCTCATGGGCTTTTGCTGATGCTGATGGTGCATTGCTGTAGGAGATGCGGCAAAGTTGTTGGCGTGAGCAGCAACCACGTTGAGAGGCGTGGGAATGCTTGGTGGAGGCTTGTTGTAAGCACCAGAGGAAGGCTTCTTATTAGCAGACGAGCTGTCGGGTGGCAAAGGGAAGCCCATGTTTTGGCGTTGGTCAGTGGGGGAAGGTCTGCTGGGCGACAATGGGGGCTGATCATACACGTTCTGTCCCAAACCCTGATAAGGCGCCGTCGTGACAGAGGTTTGCCCAGAGTGGCCACTGCTGACGCTTCCGTTCGTCGATCCAGAGGTTGATCCGGATCCTGGTGCACCTGTATTGAAGCTGCGGATGGACGTTGGTGAAGGAGCCGGGTTGCTGATATTGCTGTCCATGGATGTCCTCTGGAGTGAGTTGCGACCCAAACGACCCATAAAGCTCTTGATCGGGTTTTCCTTCTTGGCTTGTCCGGCCTCGAATGTGGGGGACATGGGGGGTTCGCCGTGCTCCGGGAACATAGACTGAGATGAATTGCCGCCGATAAGGTTGACCAGGTCGTTGGTGGCCTGGGCGGGTGACTTTATGCTTCCAGTAGGCGAAACGGGACTCCTGGAGGTGACTGGTGAGAGAGCAGCCACGCTAGAAGCACCTGCTGTCGACAAAGTGAGTTGAGATTCAAAGGTCGACGTAGAGGCGCGTCCGTTCTCCATCTGGGTGCCGGATGACTTGTTGGCAATACCGAGACCATGGTGCTCGGGTGCCTGTTGACCTTTGGCGGACTGCTGTTGGCGGAGTTGCACGTTTTGCATGGGCGTGAGTGGTGGTGCATCCGGTGTAGCGCCATGCTGCCCTTGTTTTTTCAAAATAGGCTGAGACACTCCAAAGTTCGCTGGGATGGCGGGTACGTTGGGTGTTGCTGGGAGAGGAGGTTGTGCATGGGTATCGACTGCCGTTGGTGCTTGGCTACTCTTGCGAGCTCCAATAGCTGGAGGGCCATTGGCATTGGCCGCCGCCGCTGCTGCTGCTGCTGCAGTGGCTCCATGACTGGGACGACGGCCGTGCGATTTGCCGTCCTTGCCACCAATCACAGAGGCAGCCCGTGAGTGTGAACGTGCCATAGCACCACCAGCTCCTCCAGCCTTGCGATGGACCTCGATAGTACGAAGACGATTGGGCGTCAATGAGACTTTCATAGTCTCTCCAGAACTGAACAGCATCTCGAAATCGCTCTTCTTCTTTGCCTTGTTTTCCTCATCCTATTTCGGTCAAGAAAGAAGGGAACTGTTGTTAATAACAAGGCCTCACTTGCTATTGGAATTCAGACGCATCTCATATACATTAGTGAAACGTACTGGTGGTTCATCCCAGTCACCGAACTGGGGTCGATTTGGGTCAATTGGGGTATCATCTTCTTCGACATCTGTGGGCAACTGAACATCCAGCTTGGGTTTGTCGGCATTACCCAATCGCAGCTGCTTGCCCCAACTTCCTGAACGCTTGACAGTTGCAGGTTGCAGCTCTTCCGCTAATGAAAAATAAAATAAAATAGAACAGCACATTAGTTAGCTCCCTGTCTTTTATCCATGGGCTCATTTCGCAGCCCATATTATAGCAGTTTCACACAACAGGACACTTCAGAGATACATGGACAAAACAAGTGGTGCTAATACGTACGCCGTGGACCTGTTCCTGGCATAATGAGTGAATGGCGGAATCGCTTTTGAAGTTGAGACTTGAGAATCATGATCTCGAAGGTGTGCTCGATCTGACGATCCTCCAATAAAGCAACGTAAATCTCGCGAACGGTCACCATGTCGGCGTGGTCTTGACGGTCGGCAATTGTCGAGGCGATTTGAAGCACATACTCTGCAATATGCTCCAGCACTGCGGTGACATAGATGGCGATCAAGGTTGGCACGGCAATCGCATTGTTGGGATTCCCTGCCGGTGATCCCAGACGTTCGCCCAGTTTGCTGTAGTATTGGCATTTTGTGCGGAATTGTTCGAAGACTTGTTCCACACGGGTTTCATCTGAGTCTGCGTTGAATAAGGAAGACGTTGCTGACTGGCCTGAGTTCCCGAGATGGTTACTGGTGTCCTTGCCTCCCATGTCGATGTAGCTCTTGGCTTCCAGCTCCGCTTCGACGATGGCGTTTTTTCCGAGGGCCGTGGGGAATATTTGGTAGACGGCGGATTTGATCCTGGTGGTTTCGAGGCCCTTTGCGGTATCGACGAGGATGAAGAGGAGTTCGTCGAGGAAAGCATTGAGGGCCTGCAGACCGTCTGTGGAGATGATGTAGGAGGATGTGTCTGCTAGGATGGCATTTGCAAATTTTTGGGCAATATAGCGCACCTCTGTAATAGCAGTAGACAGGATAAGCAAGAAGGAAGAAAGGTCGGTCAATTAGTGGACTGGACGCGTGCAATTAAGCGAGGGGGCCTCGGCTACGACAATCCCGGAGATTATTGGGCGACTCTTGATCAGTACCGAATCGACGCCCTCCCAACGGTCAGGTTCGAAAAAATGCTTGTTATACAGCACACTAATCTGAGTGTGTAATTATGGACGATTTCTTACCTTTACGCTTTTCTGACATGGTCAAGGGCGATCGTCAGTCTATCCAGGGTTGAGAGCACTAATTCACTCACTTGTCAGGATGAAAGGTGGGAAGAGGAAAAGAGAGAGTGACAAAAAAGGAGGGAAGGTTGGGGTGTTCGAGTGTCTGTACAGGTCGGGGATTGTGGAGCAGGCACGTTCTCTCTATTTCTCTATTGGATCTGTCCTTTGTTGTCAATGTCTTCTAGGTGGGTAGGTTACGCAAAGAGCCAAAAAAAAAAAGTAGAGAGAGAGTGTGTCAGAAAAAAGAACGCTAATAAGCATTGAGCGGTGTGGTGCAGGTGGCACAATGGCTATTAATTGTGTGTTTGTGTATGGGTACAAACAGAGAGCACTCCACTTGAGGAGAGAGAAAGAGACTGGAAGGAGCTGCTGTTCGCAGAAGAGTGAAGGAGTGAGAGATGCAGTAACACCAGGGGCAGAGAGGAGAGATGAAGCGACATCCAGGCAACAGCAACAACAACAAAAACAAAAACAAAAACAACGAAACGATCAACAAGCTGAACTGAATCAGGTTGGAAAGGTCAGAAAGTGTTTCGTGAGTTGAGAAAGCAAGGTAGGCGAGGCTAAGGGTAGTTTTTTTTTGCCGCCCAAACGTGGACCCAAAAGTGGTCTCGAATGATAGTATAGAGCCAAAGGGAAAAAAAGGAGACAGAGGAAGGAAGGGGGAAGAAGACTAAAGAGACTATGCGAAAAAGGGGGGCAGGTTGGGCCAAAGGGAGGAAGTCATGGATATTAACCAGGGACAGGTGTCGAAGGGTAAGAAGTGGAAGAAAGGGTAAGAGGAGTTGCACCTTTACACCGTCTCCGACGCATAGAAAAACATAAATGACCCATACGCATTGAACAGAAACGCAGGGGAAGGAGAGGAAGAAGCAGTGGAGGAAGAAGGAGAGGAGCAGAAAATCCACCGATTGGTACAAAGTGACAAGTAGGCGTCGTGATGACCCAACTCTCATGGAGGAGACGGAAGGAAGGGATGAGCTGAGTCGAGTTGTGTTGGCTTGAGGCGTAAGGTATAGTAGATAGGGTTTGAGTGGTGAGAGTAGGTGGGTGAGTGGGTGCAATACCTGTTGGACAAGGATGGGAGTGGATGAGTCGTCAATGAGAAGAGAAAGTAAGTGAAGGGAATAGAGAGTGATGAGGTGATGAAGTGGCGGGAAAGAAGAGGATGAGAGCCGATGAAAGTCGATGGAGGAGGATGGATGGGGGAGAAGGATAGGGATGGAGGAAGAGTAGGGTGAAGAAGGATGGAGAGGAGAGGAGAGGGAAGAAAGGTGAAGAGGAGAACGGAAAAAGGAGAGAGGAAGAAAAGAAGAACGAGGTAGGGTTGAGGGTTGAAAGAGGACGAAGGGAGGATAGTGCACCGAGGAAGAAGAAAATTACGCAAACACACAAAGAGGATGGACTGGAACAAGCGCACGTTTGCTCCATTCAGTATGGTATGGTTGTTGACTTTGCCCTCTTTTTTCCCCCTTCTGCGACGACCGTATTTTATATTTGATCAACAATTGTGTCTTATCCCATAGGGGTGCATCAGTTATGACAACCTCAACATCAATATCAGAGACAGAGAGTTATGATGGTGCCTGGATGGGGATTGATCGTCGATTATTCTTTTGGGTGATGGAAGGACGGACCATTACCTGTCATGTATCCCATGTCCACACTTTCTCATTCCTTAAGGCACCATCCCATTTTCCTTAAAACAAGTCCGCCTCGTATACTTTGTGTGGACATCTGGCGAATGGGAGACGGCATGTTCAGGGAGTGAGAGGACATAAAAAACGTGGTCAATGCCAGTCATATCCCACCACCTTGTGTCCGCCTCCCTCTTCTTTCACTCCCCTACTCGACTCAGCTCTCCTCAATCCTCACTGCCTTATTACTATGGTGAAGGTGTACCATGCCCTGCCATGGGATAGACTACATGGTATTGTATACCTCGACACACCTACGAATCTGGGTGAGTGTCCAACTTTATTAGGGTGGACGGAAGAAAAATAATAAACACGAGAGCCTGTTGTTGTTGTCACCATGTTCATGTTCATGTTCATGTTCCACTCTCCACCTCGGTGGTTCTTGTTATTGTTGTTGTATGTCGATGACAATGAGAGCTTTCAAATCTTCCTTGTTATGTTTATTCTCTTCGTCAATGTGCTCCTTTGTAACCCGCAAAAAATAATGAAGAGAACCACTCGCTACTCTCCACTTCTACTCATACAACATTCATCGGCAACGAACAACGAGAATAACAGCATTAACAACAACTACAAAGACACGCCCAAAAATGCCATTTACTCTTCTACTTTCATGTTTTCTAAAGGTGGGTAGAGGAAGAACTAGTCTCGATAGAGTTTCTTTGCCTGGGCATGAATGAATGTTCCTGAGAGCACTTTGTTCATCCCTCCCTAAATGAGCGCTGGTTTGAAAACGCAACAAAGGAAACAACATTTTTTTCATTGTGGTCTTCCATTTTGTCACTTTCCTATCTGTCTCTTTGTCTCTTTTGTACCTTTCGAGAAAGCGAACATGGAATGGTCATAGCTCTATAGGACGAGACATCCAAACTGTCCTAAAAAAAACTGACCACTTGGCCATCGCAAAAATAATAGTGCAAAGAGCACACACAACATGCACCCAACCCCCTTTTTGTTTCTAACTGTCATTGATGCACGCCCTTCCCCTACTACTATCCTCCATCACCTTCAACCCCTGCACTCTCTCAGGTACACAGTGTCCTCCTGTGTATCAAACGTAACCGAGAGAGCAGGATCAAGGATTGCCTTCTGGAGCATAGCCAGTCAACCAGCAATAGCCTCACTTTCCCCACCATCGTTTCGTAATCGCCACGGATGGAGTAAAAAAAGTGCATCGCAGCGATCGATTGGGCGTCAATTCATCACTGCATTGCATTGACAATTAATCGCCTGGGTGTTAGTGCAACCCAAATGAACAAATCTATCCTCTCGGCCATTTATTTTGTGTCCCAACGGTTATTTTTTATCTTATACCTTCATCGTCCGTTTCATCGTCCCTCCTCTTCACACAAACAAATACACGAACACAAACGTAATAAACAGAGCATAACCTTTGCAATGAGCTCTTTGCATGAGAAAACAGAGGACGTACACAATCAACAACAATAGCTTACAACAACTACGACAACAACCAAGGCTGCTCCTTCTGTTTACCATACCAACCGGTTTTCGACCCCTTTCTTTCGTCTCTTTTCAATTTGCTGCCCACGGACAATTGTCAGTCAAACCCTGAAAACGAAGAATAAAGTGGGGTTGCCATTTTATTTCTTCCTTCCTCTCTCATTTTTACTAGCATTCGCGCTAACATCGCTGCTCATTGTCTCTTTCCCTTTGTTCTTCCCTGGGGTGTACATTTGTTCTTTCAATGACTTCGTGGTAGAAACCAAGACAATACTAAAAAGATTACATTCGTGAGCAGAACCCACCGCCGCTGCCACTGAGATGAGAAACGTATGGGTTGATTGCATCTGTTGCAGTTTCAATTAACTTTTTCCCTTTCTCTTTCCGTCTTTTTTGACTGGGGTTGGACATGTAGGTGGATGGATGGGTGGTGAATGAGAGCCAGAAGGGTGCAACACAACACACTTGAACAAAACTAAAGCATGCGCGAAGACATCCATTATTACCATTTTGACTCCTTAATTCTAATGCGGAGTTCGAGCACCCACCCTACCTGTCAGCGAAACATGGCTAATTATTCATGCTACATGCTACTTATCCAGGTGTACCTGATCCTTTTGTCTCTCCCTTGAACAATGGAAGGAAACAAACACGATTGAATATTCAAATACAAAGAGGACGATAACCTGGAGAGCAGAGCAACAGGAACCGATAGACCAAGGGGAGGAGGGAAGTGAGCAAAAAGATCATCTCGTTCTTGAATTTGAGCTGTTTGCAAAAGTACTTTCTTCTCTTCAAAGAGTACCTACTACCTTACATCCTCTCCTTGGGCCCAATGTTTTGTTTGTTTGTTTGTTTGTTTGTTTCTTTGTTTGTTTTGTTGTCCATGTGCCATTCTAATTATTGCCATTCTTCTCTTATTACTCTGGGGCTTTTGCATATGTGTATCCCCTACCCTTCCTTCTTTATTATTACTCAAGCAAAGACAAAACAATGCAAAAAAAGAAAGCGTTCTCAAAAATAACCACCGACGTCGCGTTCTCAAGAATAATAAACCACCAAACCACCAAACCACCAAACCACCAAACCACCTCTTCTCTCGTCTCCTTCTCTCTTCTTGCCTCGCTGAATACAGAATCCTGGGGACACCACACGTCGGAGAATATCACAAATATAATTGAATCCCCTTCAGAGGAGAATAGGAAAAGCAAACAGTCTCCAGCCAGGCTCCGATTTGTTATGAAAAGAACCAAAGCTAATCGCATTTGCAGATCCAGCTCACCTTTAACAAGAATGTTCTCTTTTTTTCGACCTCTGTCCAAACGGCCGGGTTTTTTCCTTTCCCACTTCTTTTATTCCTATCACATCTATTTCGCTCACTTCTTTTTCTTCCTCCTTGAACACTCCGCGGTCAAGGACAAAAAAAATATGGCGATTGGTACACAGCCCTCGTGGAAAAGCTCTCTCAACAAGCCAACGACACGTCGTCTCTTGACCAGCAGCTTGTTCACACTTCCGTTCCTTCCCTTCCTCCGCCTGCCAAACAAGAATAAACAGTGAGCTTCAGGTCCCTCCCTTTGTCCCAATTCGCAATCGACATGACAAATGAATATGCCAGACCGTGTGTATGGAAAACAACCGAAAAAAAAGAAAAAAAGAAAAAAAAATGAGCACCAGCTTCGTTGAGTGCTCTCAACAATATCAACAATGGGGGACACCACAACAGCTCAAGCTCCACTATCCCATACAGCTGAATGAGGACCGCACAATACAAAAATAAACTCGCTTCCTGCCCACTTTATTTTTTCCCTCCATTATCCTCATTCAGGTGGCGCCCATCTCGTTAAAATAGAAGACAGCTTTCCAACAAACTTAGCGACATTCATTACCCGTTTTCTTGTGCTTCTTCTTGTCGCTGACACAATGTGCTGAGAGCGTTATTTTCTTTTGTATGCCTTGGAAGATGTCACCGTCTACAAGAAACAAGACGCCACCAACTTTAATTTCCCGCGAAAAAGAAGGCCTATGAGAAGAAAAGAGGGAAAGCAGAGATAACGGGAAGAAAGGAGAGAAGAGGCAAAAAGAACACCAAAGGAAAAACCAGAATTTCAAGGAATGGACCGATCGCAAAGACCGCTCAGATCCGGGTACTTGGGCGGCTGGCCTCCGAGACTAATCGCCAACTGGTGGAACGCAATCATCTCCCAGAACATGTCCAGAATCAACGTATCATTCAGTGTCAATGTATGCGGCACGTACTCAATCGACATCTCGTCACTCCTGTCCAACCCAAAGAACGAAGTCTCCTGGCGATGGACAATCAACATGTCCTTGGCGACGACAAACTTACTCTTGATCGAACTGTAGACCACATCCACCGTGTCCGTCAACGCATCTCCGTACTTTGCAAAGAAGAAGTAAGGCTGCTCGCCGTCGGGGTTGGTATATGTCATCGATTCGATCATCCAGGTGAAATTGGTTGAGTACTTGACGCCGGACATGAGCTGCCGGATGTCTTCTCGGCGGGGGAGGTCTTCGAAATCGACAACGTCTTCGACAAGGGGACCCATGTCCTTGGACGCGACACCTTGCATCACACCTGTCGACGCCTTGTAATCGAGGGCATCAAAGCCAAGACAAACGCGGCGTTGGATAGTCGTGACGGAGCTGGATCCGATCGCCTTGGCAAGCTTTTCCCAGGTATCGGCAAACTTGCCGATCGAATCCATCAATGAGTCAAAGGAGAGGCTCGACGTCGGAGAAGTAGTATATTTGGGGACTTGGTACTGCCGCACGAAGGACGGACGCTTGTCATAGACTGAGGCCTTGAGGTAGGACGACGCGGAGGCAATGCGACAAAAATCCATGAGCGCCTTGCTGACATAACTGGGGTAATCCTTCCATCCCGTAATGTACTGCATAGATCGGAAAGTGCCTTCGGCGAGCTCGACATAGGCCCAGCGGATCATGGAATCGGTGAAATCTTGGTCATCGTCAACAGAAGCGAATCGCGCATGGACTGACCCCGCGACATCATCTTGGTCGTCATACTCCAAGGGCTCGCAATCCTTGAATGTAACGCTGACCTCACCTTCCATGAAAAGGATGTCAAAGAGATCGTCACGAGGCGCGATCAGAGCCCAGGTATACTTGGTATAGGTAGTGACATTGGCGCTGGTAACACATCCTATTCCGGACGGAACGGTAGGCATCCTTTCCTGAGTGGCAAACTCGCACTCGACAGAGACAGGATCGCTTGGGCCTTCGACATAGACTCGTCTCCACCATTCTTCAATCGATTATTCAATGCCAGCCATGCTGAAGCAGGTTGACATCATGTCCTGAAGCATCGGAACGACGCCTTGCTCACGAACAACCCATTCCATGTTGTGAAAGCCTTGACGGTGGGAGAGAGTTGCATTCTGGACGGCGGCGAGTAAACCCGATCGGTAGGTCTTGCGCGCATCGCGGTTCTCGGCTGAGTTGCCAAGGAAGTGACGCAACAGACTTTCGAATCGACCAGGCCAAAGAGGTGCCTCAGAAGACGACGACAGAGAAACTTCGGTTCTGCCAGCGAATAAGTCTGCTGGCGGGTCTGGGAGATGGTTCAAAGCCCAATCGGCATGGAAGGTGGAAATGGCAGCGATAATATTCTCCCGGTTTCGTAGGTCCTCGGCCGTGTTGCGGCAGCAAGGCTTGAACCAGCACCGATAGCAGACAATGGTGTTGGCATCTGAAGATACGGGAATGTGTCCGATTTCAGCAATCCAAGCATCGTCGCCGCCATGCACATCGGACAACTTCACGACCACCAACAGAGTCGACAGGCGTGTGGTTTCAGCACCATTGTCTTGAGTGGAGATCCAGTTGAGTGAGAACCCCTGGGCGGAATAGACAGCCTCCCCAATAGCACGCTCGATACTTTTGTGGATACGATCGTACGCCTGATCAAGAGCGCCGTCTTCAAGACCCCAGTTCTGCATGACCGGTCTGAGATCATTCGCTGCAACCATCTCGATGCGTGACGACCCAGTGGTCGAGAGGTCTTGCAGTAAGTTCTCCGAGCCGTCTGAGACGCCTTGATTTAGATTGGAGGCAACCTGGTGGAGGACCGCTTGGACGTTATCGCCATGGAGGAGATTCGACGGCAAGAGGTGTTTCTGGACTGGCAGCTCAGGAGTTCTCAGTGGAGCTTGGGGAGGCGGAAGCGAAGCTGGGGTTGGAGTGACGGCTAGTAGTGCGCTCCTAAGAAAAGAAAAAAGTGCGCGGTGAGCGAATGGTCAATTTGACAGTATGAGAGGAAGATAAGTCAAAAGAAGGAATCAAGGCTTTCCACACAAAAAAAATCTTACGCGAGGATCGCGAATAAAGCGCGCATCAGACGAGGTGTGTGTTTGTGGAGGATAGAGAGGATGAGGATGGTTTGAGGAAAAGAAGAAAGACATACAGGGAAACAACGTAACACTTACAGCCTTTTATACAAATACAAAACGAAAAAAAAATCGTCTGCCTCATCACAAAAGCTGAAGTAGAGGGAGTACGGGGTGAATGGATGAATATATAGGATGGGTTCCTTGACTCATCATTTTTCACTTAAGTCACCGAACAGGGTACGTCAAGAAATAGAAAAAAAAAGGCTTGCAAAAGAAACAAAAAATATACCTGACATTGATACGTACATTGGCCTTTCCATGGCTACCAGTCACCATTGTCACCAAAAATCCCAGCCTTGCATCCAGCATTCTTTGCTTGCCTGGTTGCTACCTTGACTTTTCTATTTGCTGCTCTGAGTGCCCTGTATGAATGATTAAGTGGCTGCGTGAGTGAGTGAGTGAGTGCGTTTACAAGTCCCTGTCCAAGTGCCGCGTTTCTTTTTGATAGCTCGAGCATGGTCTCTGCCGGTGGAGTCGACAAGGCGATCAAAGCGCCACCAATTTTTTTTATCGATACTTAATATTTTCCTGGTCAGAACCGTGCAAAAAAAAAGAAAAAAAATGAGAGAGAGCTCTCTCATTCGCTACCATAAACAAAATCTCCATGCAATCTAATTCTTCGGGGGGAACTGGGTGTAGCCATAGTCGTGCCATCGACTGTTTCGAGATAAGATTAGTCAACAGACAACATGCATTATTCCTTATTTCAAGGTGTGCAAACAATTTCTGTGACTAAAGTTGAAGCATATTTATTTTAAGTTCTATACCCAGCCGCTACTTTCGAAAAAAAAGACAGAGGAGAGCATGGAAAGAACAAAATAAACGGAAGAGTTACTTCAAGTACAGATTGTAACGAGGCCGACGTTAACGCACACCCCATTTGCAAGAACATGAGCGGGCTCGATGGATTCAACCATCACGGCCTCCTCGGAGGGGCTCACGCCGGATCTGCCTCCATAGACAATTCTCTCCAAGTACTTGGCATACTTCTCGATCTCTTTAAAAATAACATCGAAGGAGGGGATCGTCAACAAAGACTCTGTGGCGGTAGCAGGACCTTTTGGAACTTGGTCTTGCAGGTGCATGAGGATAGACTGGGCGGTAGGTGTTACACTGCATCCGTACAACTTGGCGGCCATTCTCCAGTCCTCGCCAGAGATCTTGAGAGTCTTCCTCAGAGTTTCAAGGATGGAGCACCACTTTGATGGTGCCTTGACAGCAGCAGTGCTGACAGGGGCCTGGCTTTTCTGAAAGCTGGCGGCAGGCATGTCGTAGATAGGGATCTTGAGGTACGACGACGCGGAAGCACGGCGCAAAAATTGAGAACTACTTTGGTGACATAGCTAGGGTACTCACGCCATTCTGCCAGGTACTGCATAGATCGGAACGAACCGTCGATGGGTTCGACAATGGCCCAGCGGACCATCGAACCAGAGGACTCTTGGTCGTCAAGAAGAACGGAGGACGTATGGACTTCGCCGTCGCTATCTTGATCGTCTCCCTTGAGAGGCACGCATTCATCGAATGTAACGCCGACATCGCCCTCCATGAAAAGGATGTCAAAGAGATCGTCACGTGGTGCGATCAGGCTCCAGGCGTAGGAGGTATCGACAGCAAAATCGGTGCTGGTAGTGCATCCGGTTCTTGCAGGCACGACGGACACCTTTTTCTGGCCGGCAAAATCGCACTCGAGAGAGATGGGCTCGGTCTGGCCCTTCACGTAGGCGCGTCTCCACCACTCCTCAATCGACTCCTTGATGTCTGCATTACTGAAGCAAGTTGACAGCATGTTGTCCAACATTGGAACAACGCCTTACTCGCGAACAGTCAACTCCATGTTGTGAAAGCCTTGGCGGTGGGACAGGGTCGCGTTTTGGATGGCGGCGAGCAAACCTCCTTGATAGATCTTGCTCACATCACTGTTCTCGACCGGGTTGCGGAGGAAGAGTCGCAACAGGTTGTCAAACCGGCCAGGCCAAAGAAGAGAAGAAGTAGCGTCCAAGGCTGAAGAAAGAGAAACGTCGGTTCTGGTGAAAGACATCTCTGCTGCGGGATTTGGGAAATGATTCAAAGTCCAATCGGCCTGGAAAGTGGACATGACGGCCTTGACCACTTCAAGTTCCCCAGTGCTGAGGTTTCTCGGATCCGCACCGTCATGGCAACATCTTTTGAACCAGCAATTGTGGCATTTGTGCCAGGGAACCCACTGCTGCAGCGTCTCGGCGGCTGTGGAGATGTAGATGTGTCCGACCTCAGCTTTCCAAGCACCGTCATCACCGATCGCATCGGGCACCTTGACGACAACCATGAGTGTCGCCAAACAGGCGGGGTGATCACCGCCACCTTGGCAGGGCTCCAGTTGTACGAAAACCCCTGGGCGAAGTAGGCGGTCTCGCTGACAGCAAGTTCGATGGCCATATGGACGCGGTCGTAGGCCTGGCCAAGAACACCTCCGTCAAGACCCCAGGTTTGCATGGCCGACTTGAGGTTGTCCGCCGTGACCATCTCGATGCTTGATGAACCGCTGCTGCCAGGAGCACGAGTGAAACGCTCCCATCCATTTGGGTAACCCTGATTGAGACCTGAGGCAATGTTGCGGAGGACCTGCTGAACATCGTCGCATTGGATGTAGGCAGAGGCGGAAAGGCGCGAGACAGGTAGCTCAAGAGCATTCAGCGGGACCTGAGGAGGCGGAAGGGACATGACAGTAGGGGTAGCGGCTAGAAAGGCGCTCCTGCAAGAAAAATAATACGGGATGTGTAGATAGAAGTGTGATGGTCAGTTTGAGAATATGAGGGGAGTACAGTTCGGAATAAACATCATCAAGGCTTGCCATACAAAAACTTTCTCCTACCCGAGGATCGCCGCGATGGCGAAAAAAGTCTTCATAGTGGATGAAGAGTGGTTGGTGTTTGACGAATGTGTGCGTGTGAAGATGGGAGAGATAGAGAATGGTGGAGGATGGGGAAAGAAAGAAAAAGAGAGAGGACAAGAGTTCTTGGTCACTGCCTTTTATACATAACAAATGCGAAAAAAATCGAGAAGCTATAAAAAACCGCCAAGCCCCATCAAAAAACGTCGAGCATTGGGTGCATGAAGGATGCATGGAATGCGTAGTAAACAGGGTCCTTGACAAATATGTTCTACTCTGGTTCACCGAGCAGCGTATCATCAACCCGAAAGCAAGCCTTGCTCAGTAAAACAAAAACATTAAAAGTGTGCATACAACAAGGTCCTAACACAGGTCGATTTATCAAGGGTCACCATCCACAAGTACCACAAAAATCAAAGCCTTGCATTCCTCGCTTGATTGCTTACTTGTTGGCGCCTTTCTTTTTTTTTTTTTTTTTTTTTTTTTTTTGGAGGTGCGTTGATATCTATGTTGTCCGTTCGTTCGTATGTGTACTCACAATGCTTTTGCAAGTTTTCTCAGTTCGGCTTGGTTCTTTCGCGACACGGTCTTATTGGTTGAGCCGCGAAAAGGGCAGCGCCACCAAATTTTTCTCGATACTCGCGCTCGCGTTACCCAAAACATTTTCTTTCTTGCAAAGCACCAGTCGCATTACTTTTTCATGTCGTCATTATTTCCAAGAATCCATTTTCAATGGGAAAGAGGAAGGCTTTTTTATTCAGGATTGAGCAAAGTAAAGTATAATTGTTTTTGGAGAATACGGCGACTTTACGTCGTTTTTTTTGCTTGTTACGCAGTAAATGCTACACTGGAATCTTCCTGGAAAAAATACATAGACCAGGCAATGGGCAAGGGGAACAAGCACACGAACACAGCTTTCCTCCGCATTGTCTATTTGCCTTTCCCATCCACCGAGAGAACACTCCCTCAGAGCGCTTTTCCTATCATACAGGAAGACAAAAACAAACACACGAATGAACAATAACAATAACAACAACAAAGGTGGTTTTTATTCAAATCCAAAAAAAAACAACACTGAGAAGAAAAGGTGACGGAAGAGAATGAGGGAGGAGACCACTTCAACTTATTTCTAAGGAATGGATCGGTCGCAATACCCGCTCAGATCTGGATACATGGGCGGGTCGCCTCCAAGAGTAATCGCCAACTGGTGGAAAGCAACCATCTCCCAGAACATCTCCAACACCAACGTATCATTCAGCGTCAACGTGTGCGGCACATACTCAATCGACGTCTCATCGCTCTTACGGAACCCAAACCACGAACTCTTTTGGCGCCGGACGATTAACATATCGGGCGCCAGGGTAAATTTACTCTTTACCGCACTGTACACCACATTAGCCATACCAGTGCTCCCATCGCCTCCGTACTTTGAAAAGAAGAAGTACGACGACTCGCCGGCGGGATTGGTGAACGTCATCGATTCGGCGAGCCAAGTGAAATTGGTCGAGTAATTGATGCCGGTCATGAGGTGTTTGATGTCCTCTCGGCGGGGGAGTTCTTCCAAGTCGACGACCTCTTCGACAAGTTCAGCGAGGTTATTGTGAGCGACTCCTTGCATGACGCTCGAACTTGCTTTGTAGTCGAGGGTGTCAAAACCGAGACAGACGCGGCGCTTGATGGTGGTCGAGGTCGTGGATCCGATCACCTTGACAAGCTTCTCCCAGGTCTCGGCAAACAACTTGATGGACTCCATTAGGGCGAGAAAGGACGGGTCCATGGCTAAGGGTGCGACTACGGCACCAGTGCTGGCGTCTTGTAGTCGGAGCTGCTGCCGTTGATGTTGATGGAAGATGGGATGTCGATGAGGACAAGGAGACGGAGATAAAGACGGAGGCGACAAGGTCTTCCTGTAGATTGGGATCTTGAGATAGGATGCAGCGGATGCAAAGCGCAAGAAATCCAAGAGTACCTTGCTGACATGACTCGGATAGGATTCCCACTTTGCCAAATACTGCACGGAACCGAAAGAGCCATCATTGGAGTCGACATAACCCCAGCGTATCATCGAGCCGGATTCTTGGATAGCCATTGGAATGCGTACAGGAGTCGTCCATGAACCCAGATCTTCCTCATCATTGTCCTCCTCCTCGGGCTCGCAGCCCTCAAAAGCCATTCCAAGATCGACTTCCATAAATAAGATATCAAACAGACCATTGTCATGCGGCGCAACCAGGATCCAAGAGTACGAGTTGTCGATCGTGACATTCGTGCTGGTGATGCACCTGTCTCTTGGAGGCACAATCGAGACTCTCCTCTGACTGGCAAATTCGCACTCAAGGGAGATTGGATCGCCTTGGTCCTCGGTATAGACACGCCTCCACCACTCCTCGACTGACTCCTCGATGCCTGCTCTGTCAAAGCAACTCGACAACATATCCTCCAACAGCGGAACGATCCCTCGCTCAGAGACAGTCAATTGCATGTTGTGAAAGCCTTGCCGGCGGGAGAGGGTAGCATTTTGGATGGCTTCGAGCAAACCTCCTCTGTACACCTTGTGAACATCACGATTCTCGGCAGAGTTGCCAATAAACAGACGCAGCAGACGATCGAATAGACCAGGCCACACAGGAGCGTCGTCTGAAGCAGAAAACAGAGATGTGCCAGGCTTGGCACTGTACAAGGTTGGTTGAGCCTGATGCAGCTGCTGCGAGAGAAGCTCCAAGGCCCAATTAGACTGAAAGGTCGACATGACCGCCTGGACATCCTGGAGTTCCTGCGTGTCAAGGTTCCTTGGGGTGTAAACGTCGTGGCAGCATGTCTTGAATCACCATCTGTGGCAAGGATGAGAAGAGATATATTGCTGCACTGTCTCGGCAGTCGTAGTGACATAAATGTGTCCGAGCTCTGCTTTCGAAGCAGTACCGTCACTTCCCTCATTCGGCACATAAGGCACTCTCACGACTACAATAAGAGTCGAGAGACATGCAGGATGATTACCACCTCCTTGACAATGCGACCAATTGTACGAGAACCCCTGTGCGATATAAACACCCTCACCGACAGCGAGTCGAATCAGCGTATTGATGTCGCGGTAGGCCTGGTCGAACATGTCGTTGTCTAGTCCCCAGGACCGGATGATCGATTCGAGGTCAGAGGAGGCTATCATGTCAATACTCGAGGACCCTTGGCTGATGGGTGCATGCGTGAGACGTTCCCAGCGGTCGGGGAGACCTTGGTTGAGACGGGATGCGATCTGGGATAACACATCTTGGACGTCGTTGCCTTGATCGACGGTGCTTGCGGAAAATGATGGACGGTTGATAGGGATGACGACGTTGTCGTCGGGGGCTCTCATAAGTACTTGTGGAGGAGACGGTATGGCGAACACATTGGTGGATGCACATATGAGAATGCACCTACAAAAATTATAAAGGTATGAATGACAAGTTGTGAACGTTTGATTGAGGAGGATCAGCTCGAATAAAAAAGAGCCTGGTAGTGTGATGAGAGCCTCTTACCCAAGGATCGCTGTGAGGGCGAGGAAGGACCGCATGGAGTGAGAAAGGGGGCCAGGGTGTACTGCAAGGGCTGTATATGTTTCTATTAGTGTGAGAGGACCGGATTTATTTTTGTGTGAATAGGACTGGTTGTGTGGTGAAAGACAAATAAACCAAAAAATATGACTGCTTTTATACTGGAAATGAGGTCTTCGCCATTGCAAAGTCGACAGGCGATGGAACACCGGGGACTGTCAAACGTGGTGCAAAGGGGGAGTGGTAGATGGTTGAACGGGATCGGGGTATTTGGACCCTGTGCTAGCAAAATTTGGCACAGCAACATCAATAACAAACAAAAAAAATGGCGCATCCACACCGAAGAAAATACTGTGGGTGGCAGAGAAGTACGTATGGATCCATTTGCTGTCCCATTCATGCAAATCGGGTTGTTTTTTCATGGGTGGCCCATTGGTGTCACAAAAAAAAATGCCTTGCGCACTTGCTTTCTCGCTTTTTTGCATATATGCATGTTGTTTGCCTACCCTGCCTCACAAAGTTGTTTTGAGATTATTTTTTTGTTTACTTCGAATTAATACCGCTGCAGCTAGTTCGAAAAGGTGGGAGTGGGAAGAGGGAGAAAATGGCGAAGACGAACACATGAAAAAATCAACGGGAAAAAAAGAGGACAGCTCCCAACTTTCTTCTAAAGCATGGACCGATTGCAAAGTCCGCTCATATCCGGGGTCTTGGGCGGCTCTTCTCCCAGACTAATCATAATCTGACGGAACGCAATCATCTCCCAGTACATCTCCAACACCAGCGTATCGTTCAACGTCATCGTATGTGGCACATACTCGATATATGTCTCCTCGCTGCCGAAGAGCCCCAGAACGAACTCGACTGGCGATGAAGAATCAGCATGTCTTGCGCAAGGACAAACTGGCTCTTAACTGACGAGTACACAACATCTGACCTCTCCGAGCCCTCTTTACCACCATACTTTGCAAAAATGAAATAAGACTGCTCACCGGCCGGGTTGGTGAATGTCATCGACTCGGCCGTCCAAGTAAAGTCAGTCGAGTACTTGACGCCAGACATGAGGCGTTTAACGTCTTCTTGTCGGGGGAGGCTGTCCCTGTCAACGACATAATTCACAAGGCGCGGCATGTTACTTGTCGGCACTCCCTGCAGCACGTTTGAGGTGGATTGGTAGTCGAGGGCATCAAAGCCGAGACATACCCGTCGCTGGACGTCCGAGTTGACTCTGGATCCGACCTCTCCGATGACTTTTCCCCAGGACTCGGCATACTTGTGAATCGACTCCTTCAAGGCGTCAAAGGAAGGGCTCATCGTCAATGCAGCTGTGGAGGTATCAGAATCACCGACGACTTGGTACTGCTGAAAAGGGTAGGGGAGCTGGTCATCGACTGGGATCTTGTCATAGATAGGGATCTTGAAGTAAGACGACGCCGACGCAACGCGCAAAAACCCCATGAGCACCTTGGGGTCTAGGGTCGCTGCAAGCAAACCTCCTCGGTACGCCTGGCGCACATCGCGATTCTCTGCCGCTTTTCTGCGGAAGAGCCGCAACAGGCGGTCGAATCGACTACGCCGAAGAGGAGATGAAGGAGCGGCCAAAGATTGGGGATGAGAAACGTCGGTAGTGGCGAAGGGTACGTCTGCTGGAGGCTTTGGGAGATGGTTTAGAGCCCAGCCGGCCTGGGAGGCTGACATGACGGCAATAATATGCAAGAGTCTTTTAGGGTCTTCGGCGTGGTCGTGACAGCGAGCCTCGCATAAGCCAAACATGCATTGATGACAGATGTAAGTTTTGGCGCCTGAAGATATGTAAACGTGTCCAACTTCGGCTCTCCAGACGTAGCCACTGACCACATACGGCACCCTCGCAACAACCATCAGAGTCGAAAAGCATGTGTGATGAGACGTATGACCCAGGCAGCGCGACCAGTTGTACGAAAGGCCCTGGGCAATGTAGATACCTTCATCAACAGCTGACCGAATTAAAACCTGAACATCGTGGTAAGCCTTGCCAAACAAGTCGATGTCGAGTCCCCAGGTTTGCATGACGGACTTGAGATCAGACGGCTCAATTGTCTGGGTACTTGAAGATCCATTGGTAGTCAGGTTTGTCATCAGACTTTCCCAGTCGTTTGGATAGCTTTGGTCCAGACCTGAGGCGATCTGGCGGAGGACGACTCGGATGCTGTTGCCACATATGATCCCTTGAGGCAAATGGGGCTGGATTCCATGCTCAGGAGCTTTAAGTGGAACTTGGGGAGGCGGAAGTGGGGTAACGGTTGGAATGGCGGTTAGCAATGTGCTTCTACAACGGAAAAAAACATGACGTAGTGAAGGATATGATGGTCAGCTTGAGGGTGTGGCAGAATGACATGTCAATTGAAGGAATCAAGGTTGTCGTGCAACATTTTTTCTTACCCGAGGATCACCGTGAGGGCGAATAAAGCACGCATGATGAAGCGTGTGTGTGTGTGTGTGTGTGTTGGGGGGGGGGGAGAGGGAGATGAGAAGAGAGAGAGAATGTGGATGGTTGTTGGGGGAAGAGAGGAGGAAAACAAATAATAGTTGTTGTTGTTACCACTTATACAAATACAAAACGACAAAAATATCTGCCATGCCGGAAAAAAAATCGTTTACCCCACCACAACAGTCAAGGCAGAGGGGTTCCTTGACCCATAATTTTTCACTTGAGTCACCGAGCAGGGTACGTCAGGAAATAGGAAAAAAAGGCTTGTACCTGACACTGCGCGTGCATTAACCATTTTTATGGGCAACCAGCCACCGTTGCCACAGAAAGATGGAAGCCTAGAATCCATGCGTTCTTTGCTTACTTCTTTGCTTCCGTATCTTCATTTCGCTACTCTGAGTACTCTTTGCGAGTGAGAGAGTGACTGAGTGTGTACACTAATCTCCAGTCCTGGTATCGCGCTTCCTTTTGAAAGTTCGAGCATGGCTACTGATGGAGTCGACAAGGTGATCAAGCGCCACCAAAAAAAATTATCGGTGCCCTTTTTTTTCCTCTTTCAGAACCAAGCGAGAAAAAAAGACTGAGATAGAAAAACGATGCCTCTAATCCTCCTCACCACACTCCTATTTCACCACAACACCATTCGCTACTATAAACAAAACCCCGTGTAATCCAATTCCTCAGGGAGAACAAGTTGTAAACATAGTCACGATGAGTTGAAGTGCATTTATTATGACCTCTGTCCAGCCTCTTCAGCTAACTTCGAAAAAAAGGCAGAGAAAGGAAAGGACGAAAGAAACAAATAAAAAGAAAGAACTACTTCAAACACAGACTCTAACGAAAGGACCAACGTTAACGCACACCCCATTCGCAAGTGCTTTGGCCGTCTCGAAGGACTCGACCATGGTCTCCTCAGAGGAGGTTTCACGGTATACGGCTTCCTTGGCAAGCTCTTCACATGCCGCGGCGAATTTCCTGATCGCCTCTAACATGGCGCCGGAGGAGAGGTTGAGCACCAAAGGCTCAGCGGCAGTAGCAGGGCCGTTGACGTTGGGAACTCGGTGAATCTCCAGGAGGGAAATGCGAGCGATACGCTCCAATCCTTCCGGGAATCCCTGGTTCATGCCAGAGCCGACGTCGCGGTGGACGGGCTGCTCAGGAGCTCTCATCGGGGCTCACGCGGCAGGAAGGGTGGTGACGGTTGGAACAGTGGCCAGGAGAGCGCTTCAGTAGGAAAAAGGGATGTGTGGAGATGGTCAGTTTCAGGGGGTGCAGATGTGGATATGTTGAGTGGAGTGGAAAAATCAAGACCTGTCATGTAAAAACCGTTGCTTACCCGAGGATCGCAGCGATGGCAAAAGAGGTCTTCATAGCGGATGAAATGGTAGGTATTTGGTGGATCTGTGTGTCAGGGTGAGGAGAAAGATTGATGGTGAGAAAAGATAGGAATAAAATGAAAGAGAACAAGAGGCATTGGCCTTTGCCATTTATACCAAGAAAATAATTACGAAAGGTAATCGAACATGCAAGGAAAAAGACGTCCCGCGCCATCAAACAGAAATCGAGACTGGTGGCATGAGGGTCGAGTGGATGGAAATAGAGGATGGGTCCCATGACCGATAAGTTCTATTCAGGTTCGCCGAGCAGGGTGCACTACCTAATGAAAAGCAAGCCTTGCTCAGCGAACACAAGAACATCATTTAGGTGCATGAAAAATAATAAGCCTGACACAGACGCGTGAATCGGCCCATGCTGGAGTCCCATTATTATTTTCAAGCAAAAATAGACAGCTTTTGTTCACACAAATCAAAGATTCACGATCCTGCATTCCTCACTTGCTTTCTTACTTGTTTGCTTCCTTCTCACTTGATCTACTTTGACTGCTGTTTGTCGTTCTCATGGGTGTACTCCAAGTGCTTGTGTAAGTTTTCTTGATTCGCGTAGGTCGTTCACGACGTGGTTCGTGTTTCACATTGCGCGTCAAAGCGCCGCCAAAATCTTCTTGATGCTCACGTTCATGTTTCGTGACACCTTTTCGTTCTTGCAGAGCATCAAGTCGCGCGATTTTTTTCATGTCATCATTATTTCCAAGAGTCCTTTTCGAATGGGAAAGAGAAAGGTTGTTTATTCAAGAAAGATGGATTATGCAAAGTAAAAGTACAATGTTTTTGAGGGTTATTTGGTTTATTTGGTTTATTTTGGAGGACTTCATGTTTTGTTGCGTTTGTGTATGGATAGCAAAGATGACAAACCAATGATGAAAGTTATGAATGCGAGTTAAAAAAAAAGAGTAATGATTACTATGATTACTATGAGCTAGGAGGAAAGAATCAAGAGTGAGTAGAGTACAAGTCGAAACGGCCATAAATGGTCAAAAAGGGTGGATTCCTTGACGAGGACCGTGGTGAGAATGAAGAGAGAGTGATAAAGAGGATAATGAGGATGAGGATGAAGGCTCGGGAGGGAGATTACAATTGGCGGTGCGCCTTGGTGGCAACGCGAGTGATGTGAGACGGACCAATGGTATTAGATGTGTGGGCGGTTGTCGGCAGTGACGTCAAGTCCTGAGGGCATCATTCCTCACAACTGATAGTGACGGCGGCTGCGGCGGTAATTGATGGAGCGACCATAGGCGTTACTTTGAATGACATTCGTGCCGTTGCCGTATCTGTCGTCACTGTGGGCGTTGTACTTGATATTGCTAGTGTTGCTGTTGATGGGGACATGAGCGAGAGGCGCACGGCCACCCTGCTTGAGGTCGGAAAAATTGGTTGCCAGAGCCATGGAAGGTAGCAAATGTGTGGCGCGGTTGCTATAGGTGCTCTTGTCCGAGAAGTCCCTGTAACTGTTGCGCGTCTGAGAAACCACATCGACGCTGGACGACGCGCGAGACAGGGTGTTTGAGGCATGGGCGAGGCTGGCAAGGATGGTAGCGGCGGCGAGGGTATCGACGATGATCATCGCCATTTGTATTGTTGCTGGTGGGAACGCTGCTGCTGTCAGTGAAGGAGTTGCCAGTAGGCTGTTGGATATTGATGGTGTTATTGACTTTGGTGGTCTCCTTGTCCTGCTTGCTCTCAGTTATCAAGGTGCTGTGGTGAGGTGTCGATACGTACACAGCAAATGCCACACTGGAATCTTCCTGGAAGAAATCAATGCAATGAGGGTGTATCTGGGGACAGAGGTTTTCCACCCCCAACCTCCTCTCTCTCTCTCTCTCTTTCTGACCCCGGTCTTGAACATTTTTTCCATATCAATAAGTAGAAGAGGAGTCATGTTGACCATTGCTTTCTCTTCCAAATGTATTACTCAAGCACCATGGAGTCTAGCAACCTTTTAACCTTACAAACTATCAACCCCACGCTCACCAAGTGTCAGCAAGACAGAATTGAATCAGCGACACAAACTGCCGTAGTTTCTTGAACGCACCAATGTAAGCGCGCCATTGCAGAAAATAGAGAGAGAAGGGAAAAGACCGGAGGTTCAAGTTCTATTTCTTCTCTAAAAGGAAATCAGAGACCACCAGATGCGCAAGAGGGGGAACAAACCGGAGACACGAAGCGAATTGAGTTGCTTTCTGTCAGTGTGTATGTGTCAGCTAAAGAAGAATAAGCAACGCCCGGTCTCTTTGTGAGCACCTCTTTCTTTTTGGTCAATGGGTGAATAGTGTGATGCTGAGAAATCTTGTCTGCAAGCCACCCATTGCAGCCACACCAACACCCAATTGGTCTTCTCTTTTGCATAAATACACGCTTCCACCCCTCTTCTTTCACATCCAAACAATACTATCCCTCCTCAGCAAAACAACACTCCCTCAACAAACACACTATGGCTCAGACAACACAGGACATCAGGATCGGCTGGATCGGACTGGGCGAGATGGGATACGGCATGGCCAAGAGTCTCCACTCATACCTCGCCTCCCACGGATCCCACCTCACCGTCTGGAACCGTTCCCCCGGAAAAACCGACGCCATCAAGGAACAAGGAGCCCATGTCGCCACCTCCATCGAAAACCTCGCTTCGACCTCCAACGTCATCTTCACCTCCCTCGCCAACGATGCCGCCGTCGAGAACGTCTACGAACAACTCGTCCAGTTGACCAGCAAGGTCCAAGAACAGATCATCTTTGTCGATACCTCGACCATACACCCAACCACAGCGACCAAAGTCAGCCAGCTCGTCGCCGCGTACCCTCAACACCGCTACCTCCAGTGCCCCGTCTTTGGTCGCCCGGACCGTGCTCATGCCGCTCAACTTGTCTGGGTCGCCTCTGGAGATTCCGCGACGATCGAGAAGCTCCAGCCCTACTTTGGATCCATGTCGAAGAACACCATCGACCTCAAGACCACCGACGTGAGCAAGGCCAGTTCGTTCAAACTGATGGGCAACTTTTTCGTCGTTGGGACGATTGAGTTACTCGCAGAAGGATTCGCGTTGGCAGAGAAGGTCGACATTGACAAGAATGCGATGCTGCAATTTATCGAGTCTTTCTTCCCTACACCTTCCTGGATCGGTTACAGTCAAAAGATTGCCGCAGGATCGACAGAGAAGGCTGGCGGATTCCCAGTTACTCTTGGGTTGAAGGATGTGGGTCACATGAGGACATTGGCTGCTGATCATGGAGCGACCTTGCCGACTGCTGATATTGCGTACAGGAACTTGGAGAAGCTGAAGGCTCAGGGCAAGGGTGACCAGGATTGGTCGTCTATCATTGAGGTCTTGAGGGAGGGACCTGAGGGACAGAAGTGAGAAACATCCAACTGAAGAGAGCGTGAGAATATTTGTCCAACAAGCAATTGCAATAAATAAAGAACAATCGAACAAAATATACATCCTCGTTCGCTTTGCGCATGCCGTTAAACACGTTCACCTGGCTTCGCCGGGAGCGAAGCACAAGAGCTGTCAACGAGAGTTTAAAACGGGTATCATGGGTCGCGCAGTACATGCTGAAGAGATGATAGGTCGAGGAGGATAAACAGGCATTGATGAAGAAGCTACTAAGAGCACCTGAAAATATCAGAAATCGATCATAGAACAAAAATATCACCGACTGTAACCGCACCGCCAACAAGGCAGAAAACTTCAGTACCTTCTCCGCCCCGGAGTTCATGTCGTCTACTCGCTCGAGGAATTCTTCGTCTCTACCCTGACGGGTCCTGCGCCAAGGCCATCATCAATTTCACCTCCCTCATTAACGACGCTGCCATCGAGACCTCCCTCCGCTGTGCCGCGACTGCTCAGGAGCAGATCGTCTTTGTTGAGGCCGGAACCCTCCGCCCCGAGCTCAGCCTCCGCCTCCAGAAAGAACTCGCCGACTTGTCCCACGCCATGTCTACTTGCAGTGTCCCGTCTTTAGTCGACCAGACTCCGCTCGAGCAGCTCAATTGCTCTGGGTCGTCAGTGGTGGCACGAACGCGGTTGACAGACTCCCATATTTCGAAACCATGTCGCGCAAGATTCTGGACCTCAAGACGACCGATGTTGCTGCTGCCTCGATATTGAAGCTGCGAGCTACACTATCATATCGAGCACGTCGATCCTGTCTGAGACTGTCAATATTGCACGCAAGTCGGGTATCGATCCACAGCACCTAATTTCGTGGGTTGATGCTTTCTTGCCGGTCCCGGTGTTGATGGGGTACTGTGGGAGGACAGACGATGAAGCGAGAGAGAACATGACGGTTGGCATGGCGACGAAGGATGTTGGATGTGTTCGTCATTGGACCAAGACCAAACGTGCGCCTACACCTGTTACGGATGCCTTTTGCGAGAACTTTGCAATCGCCAAGGAGAAGGAGAATGAGCACAGCGGTTAGGAGGGCTTTTTGTTGGATCGCGACGAAGGTAACTCTTCGTAGAATAGTTATTAATTAATAAGGTATGCGCGTATGTTTCGCACATTGCTCAATTGTTTGCTTCTTCTCTTGGCTGACAGAGGACATCTCTTTGTCATCATAGTTTCATACACAATGTACCATGACGTGCGAACAAGCAAGAATCGTCGTGCGTAGAACGAATCACTAACCCGCACTTTTTCCCAGAGAGACAGCAACTCACACACTCACAAAAAAAAAGCGTTCAAAAATGACCTTCAGTCGCCGCCTTCTCTTCTCCGCAAAAACCTTCCTCTCCTTCTCTTCCTCCTCCCCTTTCTCTCTCACTTCCACTCTCATTCTCCCTTTTCGACTTATTCACACCACACCAACAAACAACATGCCTGCCACCATCATTAAGGTCCCCGTCATCGAAGACATCCACCGCGCCATTAACAAGGCCGTCGATGACCACAAGGACAAAGACGTCTTTGTCTACTTTTACGCATCCATCGATCCCGCCACCGGGAAGTCATGGTGCCCCGACTGTGTCACCGGTAAACATCTCTCATTCCTCTTCTTTTTTCTCTTCTCAACCCTCGTTACTTTTACCCTTAAAGGTTCAACTGGACAGGACTATGAATACTAACGGCTTAATCGTTATGTATTGTTGTATGATGGAATAGCTGGTCCCATTGTTGAGGAGTACTTCTCCAAGATCGATAACGCCGTCCTTGTGGACGCCCCCGTTGGTGATCGCCCCAAGTAAGCATCGCATCGAGCAAGGAACAGTTCAAGATTTTGCGATGCAGCTGGATCTGTCCGTTGGACTCAGTTGATATCAAGGATGCCAAGGAAGTAATGATAAAGAGAACTGATGCCAACTTTTTTTTTTCTCCCACGATATCATAGGTGGAAGGATCCCAACCACTTCCTCCGTCACGACAACGTTCTCAAGATCACCGCCGTCCCCACCCTCGTCAACTGGACCACGGTAAGAACAATGGATTGTGCGGATCGCAGTTGGACCGAGAAAGCCTGACGTGGTTGAACGCGATACTTACTCTTCATTATTTTTGTATGATAGAAATCTCAATTGGTTGAGAACGACTGCGAAGACCTTGCCAAGCTGGACAAGTTTGTCAAGCGCGCATAAAGTAAAACACACCAACACAGGACCCGGCATGACCTTTTTTTTTACACAATAGAAAACAGCCTCAACATTGAAGCGTGTACAATAAAAAATAAGCAACAACATACATACAACTATGTCCATTTGTCGTGAAGAGTTGTGTCTGTCCATCAATGTATGAAGGAGTGGGAATGTGCGATCGGAGTAGGAGGCGCCCTTAAGAAATTTTCTGTCCGCCAGTTGAGAGCAGCGGGGAGAACAAGGATTTGAGGAGTGTCGCAGCGCGCACAGAGTTGAACTCCCTCTTTTGATCAAAAACCATGGCAAGTCCTTAGGAAAGGATTGGCAGTCACAACAGAGCATCGAGGAGAGGAGGATCCCACCCATGGGCACCTCGACAACCATCCATCCAACGACGTATCGACCGATACACTCGGCAACAACCATCGACTCATCATCGTCTCGGCACCATGCACCAGAATCAATTGTTGCACTTATATCGGACTTGGTAGCAGGAAACAAAATCGTCGAGATGGTGGGAGGCCGGAGAGGGCTCTAGGTGGGAGGAGGATTCATCATCGGACAGAGGTCAAGGGCAGGGAGGAAGTGGAGGAACCCCTCGCCCACTTCCCTCGATTGTCTCAAGGATGCTGTCGAAGCCCCGTCAGGAAGAACGGAGGAATGCTGAAAGAGGGCGATTCCAGGAACTATTCAACTTTCGGGAGACATGAACAGTGAACCAGGATGGTGGCACTTACATCTCGGGATCACCTTTACCACAAGAACGATTGTGCTGACTCTAGTGTTCTATTACATCGTGAATGTGCGTTTTATTAGGCTGATTCCACTGCTACCATCAGAACCCGCAAGTTCTTGACCAACCGCCTTTTGGCCAGAAAGCAAATGGTAAGGAAGACGACTACAACTTCGGGATCGTTTCGAGGGACGTCTTTGTTGGCAGGAGCCTAGCAATGGTCGTCTCTAGGAGTGCCTTCAAGCATCAGGACAGCGATCGGACATCCTGTGGACGACACGTCTCCTTTTCCCACCTCCACCTTGAACCAGCACCTTGCATCGCGTTTTTGTCCTCCTTGGACCTTCCCTTCGACAACATTTTCTTTCGCACCACCGTTCAAACGACGTGAACTCTCCTTCCTTGAGCCGACTACACCTCCGACACGAACACTCGCCGAATACACACAGCAGCGCTTCCACAAGGAACCATGAAGGAACCACATACTCACCCGTGAACTCTCACTATTCCTCCCATTGAAACCTTTAGGTCGTGGATATTATCCACCCTGCCCGCGCCAACATCTCCAAGGATGAGCTCCGCGAGAAGCTCGCCAAGATGTACAAGGTCGATAAGGAGGTTGTCTTCGTCTTCGGTTTCCGCACTGCTTTCGGAGGCGGAAAGTCCACTGGCTTCGCTTTGATCTACGACAACTTGGAGTCTGCCAAGAAGTTCGAGCCCAAGTACCGCCTCGTCCGTGTACGTAATCTCTCGCCTCTTTTCTCTCTTGTTTCAAGCATACTTCGGGAACTTCATCAACAGACGACAGCAGTATCTATCAGGAGCGGGATCCTTTTTTTTGCAACACTTGACCGCCTGACGGGATCGACATTGTGATGTTACACGGTTTACTCGTATCAATGGCAATCGCCCTTTGACATTTGAGGCTGCACCGACACTCCCCATTATCAAAGTTCTCGACAACACTGGAGGTTCAATTTACTCCAGGGCCCCATTGCTGCGTAGGATCGCCACAACATTCACAAACTATCTGACCCGCCGCAGCAACCTCGGCAAACTCATTTCTGAGGATCATAAATTGAACAACACAACCACAGTCACTCTACATAACTATAGAAAGAAGACTAACCTTTATATCCTATTCAATATCGCCATCCCTCTAATAGCACGGTCTTATGGAGATCAAGAAGGCTTCCCGCAAGCAGCGCAAGGAGCGCAAGAACCGCAGCAAGAAGCTCCGTGGCACCAAGAAGGTCAAGGCTGCTGTTGCCAAGAAGTAAAGCGATGTTTATCTCTAGACCTCTTAGTGTACTCGTACATCTTCACAACAATACTGATGTTCAGCCCAAAGAATTCCAAACAAAAAACCTTTGCACAAAAATTGAAAGTTCTTTATTTTTCTATGTAACATTGGCTTCTACTTTCGCTTCTCGTGTGTTATATGGTGCGATGCTCTGGGAATGGGTGATCGAAGAGGTTTGAGGGGGGTGCTTAGTACCTTTGGTGTAAGTGTGAGCGTGAGTGTGCGGATATTGAGACTGATAGTTGTCTCGTGTTCGAAGCTCGGTTTCAGGTACAGGTGTTGATTGCCTACGTTAAATATTCAAGTCGCGTCGGAGCTACCTGTAGTATTTCTTATCGTTGAGATCCAGCGAACAGCAGCGCAATCAAATAATAATCGGGCACGCGACACATAATTCACCTCCGGTGTCCTTGGGGCATGTTAAATGGGGACATTGACATGCGCTGTGGTGTCAGGTAAAGTATGCATGTTCACCCTGCTCTGAATCAACTTGGACGGCTAGTAGTAGGGATTATGCGGAAGCGAGTACAAAGAAGGTTGGAGTATTCGAGGTGCGAGGGGGTACCGAGATGGCCTAGGACGCGGAAGATTAAGGAGACGGGATTTCGAGGGTTTGAACGTCGTGCGCTCTTGGGGCCGCTGTGGAGCAGAAAAAGGGGGGTGTGGGTGAGATAAGAAGACACACATTCGCCACTTTGGGAAAGTTAGTGGCACTCGTTGTGGCTTAGGGATATCGATATAATTATTTTTTTTCGCCTTTTTCGTCTGTAGTGTCTTCTAGTGCATCCTTTTGTTTGTATGCAAAGAAAAAACTTGTTTGTGCTCACACTCACTTCTCCCGCTACTTCTTTCTCCCTGCTAATCCTATTGCACTTTTCTCCTTTTACGCCCATTCCTTGTCATTCCCACCACCCTCCTCGACATACTCGACGCAATCACCAGCATACTCCTGTCTTTGTTGTCAACATTTACACACTTTCCTTGACGCACACTCTCACTCCCCCATTTGTCTCAACAAACCTCTCCTGACCTGCCTGGTGAGTGCCTTTAACCTTCACCGACAGACGCAACCTCAAGGACGAAACAACAAGAGAGAACAGCAGCAGCAGCAGCAGCAGCAGCAGCAACAGCAGCAGCATGGGCAACAAATGGCCCTCGTATGCTGTCAGCGTCAGCACCATATCGTTGTTTTCTTCCCCTCCGCAGCGGTGCCCTCTTTTTACTCACCTTGATTTTCTATCTCTCATTATTCTTTGTACATTAAATAGCTCAACGTTTTTAGTGTTGTCGTTATTTTCTGACTCAGCTTCGTCGTCCTTGTCCATACATCATTATCATCATCACCCGCCCAAACTCCTCTCCCTCTTTCTTCCTTCCTCTCCTTCCCTTCCCTTCCCTTCCCTTCTTCGTCTTCAACCCCAACGATCACAAACCACTCTCAGCTCAACATCTGTCAAGCACACCATCCTCAGGAGTCACACACGTCCAAAACAACCCGACTGTGCTCCTCGTCAACCTTTGAACCAGCAACCATCCTCGGCTTACTCTTTCGATCGACCAGCCATTTGATTTCGACAGTCTCGTTGCATTCGTCTTAAGCACATCATCGCATCATTTTTCTTTGTGTATCTCTCCCTGATCGATCTGCACAAACAAAGGATAAACATTTCCTTCATTTTTTTTTCTTCTCACGACTCGGTGGAATCAAACCCGATCCTTCCCACCTCGCCTCTTCCTTCACTTTTCTCTCACTCACACACAACTCTCACAAATAGTAATGCCTTCAACGGCTGTGGCGAATCATGAACGGCCTGCCCTGGTCTCTTCAATTGCACAGCTCCCCTCTTCCTCCTCCTCCTCCTCCACAACAGCAACTTCCACAACAACAACAGCGCCCAACTCAGAAGTCAGTCAGGGTTCAGCTCCACTTCAACCCTCACCAGCTCATCGAATGATATCTGCCTGCGCTGGTTCCCTTCTCACATCCCTCCTCGGTAAGTCTAGTGTACACTCTCGTATAGTCGCTGTTCCGCCTTATCGTCCTTTCACCTGATTATCGTATTTTGCATAAAAGAAGGACGAAGAGATATCACCTATCGTTATCTCGAGAAGGACACACGGTGCTGTATGATACGATTGATCTGAATCCCTCCTTTTTCTCTCTCCTTACTTCCTCATCACTGACTAACCCTTATTACGTTTTTACTTTCTATTTCGGACTTAACGTAGTGACACCACTCGATGTTGTCAAGACAAGGCTTCAGTCACAAACGGTCGTCGCGACCCCAACCTGTGCCGCCCCTTTCACCTACACAAACAACGCCTCCGCCTACGAGAAACTCTGCACATGCTGTCGAGAAGTCTTCTTTGCACCCTCGAATTCGTCAACATTGTCTGCAGGAACGGCAGGTGTCAGACAGAACCTTGCAGGTGTCTTCGCAGGAGTAACAGGGGCAGGAAGAGCTCATAACCACGATCACCACCATCCCCATAACCATCGTCATACACGTGGAACAGCGGCTGGATGTGGACCGAGTATCCTGCAACAGCACCGAGAGGGCACTGTGGTCGGAATGAAGGCTTCTAGAGCCCAGCAACAACTATTGGAGCAACTGGCGGCCAGCTGTGTAGAGAACAACCATGCGGCTAGGGCTGCTCAGGAACGGTATTTCCATGGGACCTGGGATGGTGTGAAAAAGATTGCTCGGTATGAGGGCGCTTCATCGCTTTGGAGAGGTCTATCGCCGACTCTTGCCATGTCCATTCCAGCGACGGTGATTTACTTTGTGGGGTATGATTACCTCAAGGATGTGTTGTCGGAACAGGCGGCGGCTTTGTCTCCTGGATTCGTCTTTGGGAAGACGTTTTTCTATGACTACCGAGAGTCTTTGGCGCCCTTGGTCGCCGGAGGATTCGCACGCAGTAAGTCTTTCCTTCTTTTCAACGGAGGTTCCAACGTTCGTTTCGCGTATCGTGTCACTATGGCGTATTTTGGGTCCTTATTATTAATATCAATGCATGGTTGTTATTTTCGATCCTTTAGCTGTGGCGGCAACGGTGATTTCACCGATAGAGTTGTTCAGGACGAGGATGCAGAGTGTACACACGGATACCAAGGGCAATGCAGGACTGTTTCGGGGTGTTTCCCAAGGCATTGTTGCAATGGTGCGGACGGAAGGCGTCTTGTCCCTCTGGCGTGGCCTTGCACCTACCCTCTGGCGCGACGTTCCCTTTAGTGGTACGTATCTTCTTATTTGATATTGTTGAAGTTGATGATCAAATGTAGCACTGCGAATGGTTGATACTAACGATGGTTATCCGATTGCTTTCATTGACTCTGGAGAATAGCGTTGTACTGGGTGGGATATGAGAATATCAAAAAGAGAATCATAGCATGGGACCGCCAAAAGACCCACCGAGAACCCATCCTGAATGAATTCGAAGTCGCCTTTGCCTCCGGCGCCCTCTCAGGCATGATCGCAGCAACCCTCACAACGCCGTTTGACGTCGCCAAGACTAGACGACAAGTTGATCTGTTGCAACCGGTCCATACAAAAATGTTTTCGATGATGAAGGCCATTGTTGCGGAGGAAGGTTATCGCGGGTTGTGGAGGGGGTTGACGGCGAGGGTTGCTAAGGTCGCGCCGAGTTGTGCAATCATGATTTCGAGTTATGAGATTGGTAAGAAGGCGCTTTCGGAGCATTGGTGGGGGCTGGGGGATCCCTCTGACGGATCTTCTTCGTCTTCCTCTTCTTCCTCCTCTTCATCCTCGGGATCTTCGCCATCGGCATCGGTCTCCTCCTCTGGCAGTTCAGGAACATCATCAACTGGTGGAGTAGAGGACCAGGTGCTGTTGATGCGTGATCGGACCACAACTTTTGCACGCTTTGCTGGTGTCGCCACCGCCTCGTCTTCCGTGTAGACAAAACCCCTCTCTTTTCTTACATTGCATTCAACCTCGCATTTTTGCATCCTTTTTTTTCTTTTTTCGAAACCCGTGTATTTTTATGTAGAACTTGAACGAACAATACAAAACTACAAAACTACAAAAGCTGCCAGACTTTGTCAGAGTGAAGAATCGAAAAAAAAAAAAGAAAAAAGAGAAAAAGAAAGGTTGGTTGGTTTGGTTGGATGCATGGTGGGGAGGGGGGGGTGGAAAGAGGTATATACAGGTAGAGGTGGTGGTGATGGGTTGCGATCATAGGATCAATCACAACACAGAGAGTGTTCTAAACAAACAAAATCGTTTAAAACACGAGAGCAGAGTCCCTCATGAGGGAGGCAGAAAAGTCCTTGGTGTACTGATCCTGCTGCTGCTTCAACATCTGATGCTCCTCCTCGCCGCCCTGTCCATCATCAACCCCACTGTTCGGTGTACTGGCACCGGTTCCAGGAACCATCGAGGGTCGCACAACGTCCGCAATATCGTTCAACAACGCTGCCGTGATCGCGTTGGACGGCAGGATCAAATCAATCGCAGGGTCGAGATGCGACTGGCCAGTGTAGACCTTGAACTTGATGTTAGGGATCTCAGCCGCACAGAGCAGGTTGAACAGGGTCTGGGACGAGTGTGCAGGGATGAGCCGGTCCTGCTCTCCATGGACGATAAGAATAGTCTTGGGGAGGACCTGCTCCAACAACTCGGGCTGTTGCAAGTTCTCGGTCGCGGTCGACAGAATCCAGGAAGGCGAGCAGGCGAGGTAGTTGTTGGCAGAATGGTGCATCACTCGGGGCATCGCCGAGACCTCCTCGATTCCGCGCTTGTGTAGGTATGCATAGTAGAATGTGATATCAAACACTCCCGAGAAGAGGATCAATCCCTGGACACGCTCCTTGAGTCGAGGCTGTTTTTGTTGCTGCTGGGCGGTGGTGTGCAAGTTGGCAAGTTGATCGGGCCACGAGGGGATCTTGACCAAAGGCGAGCTGTCACCTTCGACAGCGGGGGCAGGGATACCTCCCAGTTGCTCAATCGCATCATTCATAATCGCCAATGAAGCGACATGCGCACCAGATCCAGAGCCCATGAGGTAGATGTTCGATGGGTCACCTCCATACCGAGTCGCGTTCTGCGACGTCCACACAACAGCATCCTGAACATCCCGGACCATACCCTCAATCTTGGCCTGAGGGTACCGTGTGTAATCAGGGACGATCACAATGTATCCTTGGTTGGCGAGGTTCTGGGCCATGGGCATCATCATGCTCTTATGACCCGAATCCCACGCGCCTCCATAGACATAAATGATCACTGGGTTTCCGTTCGACTCGACGGTGTGGTCCGATTCTGCATCATCATCGGCATGGCTGCTGAGTGAAGTCACAGCAGGCGAGGGGCCGCCAATATAAATGTCCAACAAGTTGTTTCCACGTCCGTATGCGACATTTCTATTATGTTTAGTATAGTATCAATTTGGTCAGCAATAGAACACGAATAGTAGATGTGATATGATAGATAGGTGGAGGGATGGGGAAGGGGGGAATTGACTCGATGGTTATGGTCATGATACTACATGATGTCAGGTTGATCATTCACAAGGATAGAGCAAAGCGAGGAGAGGAGAAAGGAGAGGGATTAATAATGGAATGACGGTGTGTGTGGGTGGACACTTACTTGATCATGTCGGTTTTCTTGCCATTGGTGAGTTGGAAGCGTGCAAAGTGACCAAACATGGGCACGAGCCGCATGAGTTTGTTGAACTGCAGTTCGGCATATGTGCTGACCACCTTGTACACACGGATAGGATGGTATGGCAAATATGGATATGCCTGAGGTGCGTCTGTGTTTAGGGAAAAAAAGAATGGTGAGTCGCATGAGATTTTTTCTTTCCAGGTGCTAGTTTAGGCATGCGCTATTACACCTCTATTTTGGCTGCTCCTAATCCAAGTTTTTTTTCCTTCATCGCTCCTATCTAAAGTCGCCATTTTGCGAAACGTGTATTCAATGAATGAGGGACTCCGACATAGCGAGACAACCCAAATTGCTCTGAACATGAAAGCGACAGTCGAGAAAAAAAATGGTCGGCGCAATGAAACGAGACATGGCCACTGCTACAGTGCCAAGCCAAGTCATATTGATATGTGCCGAATAAGAAATTTCATGTGCAAGACGGGCCCAAGGGACGAGAGGGAGGAAACGATATAAATGAGCAGAGTTCCATTGCATTGAGTGTTGGGTCGTGTGTAACCAACACACTGTTTCTTACCTGTCTGAGCTGTTGGGGTAGAAAGGTCGCATTGGCATCAAACAGACAAAAGGACAGGTCGACGACGTCGTGGAGATGAATGAGAGCACAATATGCAACGATGCACAGTTCATCCAATTTCAAAGAACAGAGCCGAAGAGAAAAGAAGTAGATAAGAAGGTGATCGTTAGTTATTTTTCGGTGTTATCAATTGTCTCGATAGTGTTACAGAAAACAATAACGCGATATAGGGGGGGAGGGAGTTGTAGCAACAAAAGAAAAAGAAAGGGTGAAAGGGGAGCCTCCTCTTCGTTTGTTCGCGTCGTATCAGAATGACAAGTAGATCTGGGAGAGAGAGAGAAAAAAATAGTTCGTTCTTGAAGATAAAGCCAATGCAAGACACAGGGCATGAAGAGGGTGTTTTTTTCTTTTCTATCGCAGAGATAGGTTGGCCTAGAACCATCCCCAAGCCATCACTATGCAATCAATGATGATCCTCCACTCTTCTATCTTGCTGGCTATCTGCGGAAACCTATCGTCTCGCTCTTTTTTTCACTCTATCTCTCCTCCTGGACCACGCGGTAAGGGGTTTATGGGGAGAGTAGAATACAAGAAGTGGAGGCGCTCGTTCATCACCTAATCGGCAAGTCTGGCATACATACAAACAAAAAATAGCACGCTCCAGCGATAGTGCATATCAACCGAACACCGGTTTGGATAGACACGCACGCACGAAAGTGGGAAGGAGGATGAGGGAGGAAGGGATGAGGGAGGAAGGGATGAGGCCTTACCATAGACACATGTCTATGGTGTGAAAAAAGGGTGCGGGAGGAGCGTGGAGACCCTTGCTTCCAGAATCACGCTTAGGCAACAAGCCAAATGGTATTCTGACGCTTTGCTGTTTGTTGAGATGATTTGTTGGCATGCTTTGTTTACACTTTTTCTTTGCTAGCATGAGAGCGAGCAAAGTGAGGGGGAAGGATGGCTGACTCGGGGAGGACTGAAAAAGACAACAAAAACAACAACAATAGCCGCAAGGGCAACTGTGAGCGAGCACAATTAAACTATGCGCCCGTGAGAGCAAAAGGCTACCCCACCCATTCACCACTTTTCTACAACACCTCCCTCTTTGTTCCTTCTGCCCCCGTTTTAGTTACGATTTTTGTCGGATTGAGTTGGATCAAAAAAACGAGTTGAGTTAGTGAGCCGAAGACCAGCTCCTGCCCTGGTCCAGGTCCAAGTCCATGCCAGCCAACCGAGTGAAGAGAGCTGGCGGAGGAGTATGAATTGATATTAGAGAGAGAGTGGAGGGAGTCGAGAGCGTGTTGTAAAGTGGAGGAAAGAGAGTGTGATGTGGAGTATTTTTCTTTTTCAGTTCGGAGCTGAACAGGGTATTGCAGAATATAAAAGAGAGTTGAGAGGTTGGTTTGTTCACACTTCATGCAAAAAAAAGGCAGGGTGCTTGTGCAAAGGAAGGGTAAGGGACCCCTGTGTATGTCTGTGATGTATGTGTTGATGTAGATGTTGATTATGGATGGGGGTACTGAGATAGCGAAAGAGTGTATGCGTATGAAAGGGAAAACGAGGGTAGATACTTGCCATAGCGGAGATAGATGAGCCATGCGACAACGTACACCACGCCTGTAAAATGAGATAGAGAGGGAGAGAGGGAGAGAGAGAGAGAGAGAGAAGGGGATAATAGAAGGAACCGGGGTTAGTTGTTTGTTGTTTGTTGTTGCCAAGACTCAAGAGGAGATTGTATGAGTGTGAATAAGAGGAAGAGGCGTACAGGTGAGTGCGATCCAGACGGGGAGGAAGAAGGAAGCGAGGAAGGCGAGCCACATGCGCTGCCTGCGCGAGTATGTGGTCGACATTGCTGTGTGTGAGAGTGAGTGTGAGAGTGAGTGAGTGTGAGTGTTGGTTGTGAGTGAGAGTGAATGCAAAAAGAGGGAATGAAAAGTGGCTGTGGGAGTGAAGTAAAAAGGAAGAGTGAGAGTGAGAGTGAGAGTGTGAGTGTGGGATGGTACGAAGAAAAGGAAAAAGCGGGAGGGAGAAAGAAAGAAAGAGGAATCAAAGAGGGCTTATTGGCACGAATACGTGGATGTGTGGGATGAATCGGTGGCTGACACCCTGTCGTGGGATAGGGCTTAAGAAAAGATGGGGAAGAAACCTGATAAAAAGGTCTTACACGAAATCAACCTCAAAGGCGCTCTAGAGGAATGGTCTTTTGCACACACCTGTCGGAAATCATTGGATCTCCAGTCTGGTCCACCCTTGCTCGTCATTGTCAGGAGCAGATCTACAACTATAAAACCCAAGGCTCCCATGCATCCATTCATTCATATCTATCAACCATACACATGTCATAGTAAATTGTATATTAGGGTGAACTAACTATGAAGGTACCAAACATAATTAGGGGATGCAAAGGGATAAGTAGGGGATGCAAGAAAAAAAAAGGGATATAAATAAGAATAAGAAGCTAAACTACACGTCATAGCCCTTGACATCAGACTCAGTGGCGCCAAGGACCTCCTCGACTGCAATGACATTGCCAGCAGCAGCCGCAGCGGCCAACTGCCTCAACAGCGCCGCATTTGCTGGGCCAGTCTCATCCACCATGCTCGAGAACACAGAGTCGGGTCTGCTCAACAGGTTCGCAGGGGTATCAAACTCCTTGATCTCGCCATGGTCCAACACAAGAACTCTAGAATAATCAATCACAGTGTTCAGCCGATGCGCAATCGTCAACACCGTCGACTGTGCGAAATCCACACGGATCGCCTTCTGCAACATCACATCCGTGGCCACATCCACCGACGCCGTCGCCTCGTCCATAATAATCACCCGTGCGCGCGTCAACATGGCTCGAGCAAGGCACAACAGCTGACGCTGACCCACACTCAAATTCTCGCCAAACTCGGTCACCTGAGAGTCAAGTCCGCCATCACACGAGGTCACATATGCCTTCAGATCCGAACGCTCCAAAACCTCCCACAGCTCCTGATCCGTGCGCTTCTCAAAGGGATCCAAGTTGGACCGGATGGTACCACTGAACAGGACAGGGTCCTGGGGGATAATCGCCAAACGGGTACGGAGATCAAACAACCCAATCTTGCAGATATCGACTCCATCAATCTTCATCGTACCCTTAGTGGGCTCGACCAAACGGAATAGAGCCATCATAATCGACGACTTGCCGGCACCAGTACGACCGACAACTCCAATCTTCTCGCCTCCCTGGATGTCGAGCGAGAGGTCGTGGAGAACAGAGGGCAACTCAGGGCGATAACGCATCTCGAGGTTGCGGATGGAGATCGCACCTGCGCTGGGCCAGTTATCCGAGGGGCGGTTGTCGGGAATCACAGCATCAGCCTCGACCGCCAGCACCTCGGAGTAGTGGTACAAACGCTCAACTGCATTCATGTTGTTTTCCTATTTGAAATAGTTGTTAACGCAACATATTCAAAATGTTAGATATCAATTCATGAAAAGGCTCATACCAACAATCATAGCCAAACATCTATACGCATGATGAAGAGGACTTACGACTTCGGCGAATTGGCGGACACACCAGTTGAAGGTACCAGTGACAGACATGGAGTAACTGAGGACAAGACCAATGGTAGCGGGTTCGATGGTATAACGTCCACAAACACCGAGGATAGACGTACAGAAGACCAAGGTGTTGGCAATGGTCTCAATGCGGACACCGAGCCAGCGCTGAATCGAGTAACTCATAAAGTAAGGACGGTTCTCCAGATCGATAAAGTAAGCATTGCGGCCAATAAACCGCTCTTGCTCACGGTAGGCACGGATGGTAGCCAAACCACTGAGAGTCTCTGAGAAATGGGCATACAACGACGAACGCAGGATCGAGTCGATACGCTTGATCTCGCGGGACGATGAACGGTAGTAGATGGCGGCATAGTAGTAAAAGATCAGCATGGGGACTAAAGGGATCAAGAAGTAAGGGAAGATGGCCGAGATCAAGATGAAGGTCGACAGGACAATGGCAGCGGTACCGGTGAACATTCTGTAGGCCTCCGAGAGCAAATTGTCCGTGGCGTCGACATCCTTGGAGAAACGGTTGATGATACGGCCGAGAGGGGTGGTGTCAAAGAAAGATGAGGGAGCGCGGAAGATGTTCTGGAGGGCACGCTGGTGGAGTGCCTTGGCGGCATTAGCTCCGGCAATCGAGAAGAAGAAACCGTTGATGAACTGGAAGACTCCCTGTGCGATACCCCAGACGGCGTACAGAATCATGTAGAACTTTTGCGACTGATTGAAGGTGTTTGCAGTCCACCAACTCAACCAGAGATCGTTTCTATTCGAGGCAAGTAAGGAAAATTAGGAGTGTGTAAAAAAGAGACTTAAGAGCAATATTACCGAAGAATGAATGACAAAAAAGAGTACTTACCCAACCTTGGCAACTTGGGTGATGATGAGGATGAACAGTAAGAGGGGGACAAGGTACTTGCCACCGGCAGCTTCGACATAGGTCTTGTAGATATTTCCGTCAACCGATCCGGTAGCACGCTCCTCCTGGGACATCAGCCCCTTCTTGGCCTTGCCACCCTCCTTCTTTTCATCGGTTTTCTCATCCTTGGCATCCTCCGAGACCTCACCGGCAACCTTCTCGGCACCAGCTGCAGTGGCAGCAGAGTCGACGCTGTTATCGTCGGCAACTTCCTCGGACTCCTCGATACCTCCGTGGGCCTTCATCAACGAGGCAAACTCGCCGTCATTGCCCATCAACTCGTGAAAGGTTCCGCGCTCGACAATCTCGCCGTCTTTCATGCAGATAACATAATCGACCTGGGGCAAGACATGGAGCTGGTGAGTGACCAGAACACGGGTCTTTCCTTGGAGCGCTCCCAAGATACAGTTCTTGAACAAGTACTTGCCGACGTGGGCATCAACGGCCGACAGAGGGTCATCCAGCAAGACGACATCGGCATCATAGTAGACGGCACGGGCAATGTTAACACGCTGCTTCTGACCACCAGACAAGTTGATACCGCGCTCTCCGATCTCGGTCTGGTCTCCGTCGGGCAGGATCTGGATATCGCGCTCAAGGGCACAGTCTTTGATGACGCGCTGGTAGCGGGCCTCGTCCAAGGGAAGACCAAACAGAATATTGTCCTTGACAGTCGCGTTCTGAATCCAGGCCGACTGGGGGCAGTAACCGATGGTGCCACCGTACGACATTGTGCCGCTGACTTTCTTCATCTCTCCGACCAAGGCGTTCAATAGCGACGACTTTCCGCTTCCGACAGCTCCGACAATCGCAACCAGCTGGCCACGAGGAATCTTGAGGTCAATGTTCTTGAGTATAAAAGTGCCCTTCTCCTCCGAGTGGATCGATCCCTGGCGCTCAACACCGCTCTCCTGCTGGGAATTCTCGCCATTGTCGCTTTCATGGGAAGAGGTCAAAATCGACTCGGTGTCGGGTGAGGGGTCCTTCTCCTGAAGCTTGGACAGCATCTTTTCTTGGATCGACATAGTCTCGCTCGACTGCTCCGAGGTAGTCTTCTCTCGACCCTCCTGGTAAAGCATCTCGGCCTCCTGCTGCGAAATACCGTTGGCCTTGGCAAGTTTCTTGATCTCCTTCTTCTCTGCCTTCTCCTTGGCCTTGAGTTCCTTCTTGTGCTCCTTCTTGTTGGCTCCGCGCTTGCGCTCCTCCTTCTCCTGCTTCTGCAACTCCTCCATAGTCAGAGTCTTGAGGGTGGTCTCCCAATGGAAGTTGCCGTTGGTAATGTCAATAGCATGCTCCAGATCGGGGTTGACGGGGGGCAAGTCCTCGAGCTCCTCAGCCATGAAGAGATCCTCGATACGGCGAGCAGAGACCTGAGCATCGACCATGGCACTGACGATCTGGGGCAAGATCATCAAGGGCATTCTCATGATGTTGAACAGAGAAAGGGATGAAAAGACGATCGCGGGAGTGAGCTCGTTGCCGGCAAGAGAGTAGGCAACAAAGGTCAAGGTGGCAGCCAGGACAGGGACGGTCAGATTGATGGCGGCAATACCGGAGCGGGAGATCAGCAGGGTCCGGACGTACTTCAGTTCCTTGTTTCGAAGATCCTCGAGCTTGCTCAAGAAGGCATCTTCCCAACCGTAGAACTTGATGACACGCATACCCTGGAGAACCTCCTGTGTAAGCTTGACACGAGCATCAGTGATGAGGGTCGACTTGCGACGGATGACGGAGAGGGCGGCGACAATCTTTGCCTGGAGTGGGCCGACGATGAGGAGGAAGACGAAACCGACCAGGGCCGTGGGACCCATGTTGACGATGAGGAGGATGAGGATGAGGGCGATCATAAGGGGCGCAGTCCAGATGACATGAAAGTATCCTGCGACAAAGTCGAGACGGGTAGCATCGGTTGACATGAGGTTGGTGACCTTTCCAGTCGAGAAGTCCTGCTTGGCTTTGGAGCTTAGGAGGAGGCCCTTGCGGTAGATGTTGGTGATGAGGACGGTACGGATACCGACACCAGTGCTGGTCGAGCGCTGCCAGAACTGGTGAAGGGCGAGCGAGGCAAAGATACCCATGAAATAGAGACCGATGGCCATCAAAATACCATGCCACAATGGTGGCTCCTCTCCAGCTGGACGTTTCAACACACTAATTGCGAGAGAGATAAAGTACATACGTTAGTCAGAGCCATGAACTGCCATGTGGTAGTGGCTGTGTGTCATCAATTGAATACGAGCATTGTGTTTACCTCTCTGTGACAAATTTGAGGATGGCCTTGGTAACGAGGGGTTGGAAGACCTATGGTAGCAATGAACAAGTGTGCAAAAAAAGGGGGTGTGAGTGAGACGGAAAAGACACGTTACAACGTGATGATTGCCAAGTAAGAGGAGACAGATCAAAATGAACGGGGAGAATATCCGTTCCTGTCAACTCTGCAGGGGAACAGAAGAGAAGAAGGGAGGAAGGATGGTCCAACAAGCGTAATGAGCAACAAAGTAACTGAGATCATAACCATATCAAGGGCTGAAGAATGAAGCAATAAGAGAAGAAACAAGGTTGTACGTTTGCATGGATGAGGTGGACTTTACCTGGAGTGAATCTCCGATAACCTTGAGGACACCAGCCGACCAGAACTGATAAAAGAAGGTGCGATTGAACGCCTTCCACAGCTTGGGCCTGTACTCCTTGCTCTTGTTCTTGTTCTTTTTCTTCAATCCAGAAGAGGAGGCGTTGTTGAGGTCGGCATCCTTGTTCTTTTCCTCGTCGAGACTGGCATTGTGCTTGGCCATCTCCTTGGCCCACTCCTGACGGAAGAGAGCCGAAAGGTACTCGGCGCGTCGACGTTCGATCAGCTCCCAGATATCCTCCTTTTCCAGAGGACGAGTTGAGCCGATGGACATGAGTGGTTGGACCCAGGTGAAGGTGAGACGGGAGAAGAAGTTGGCGGTCTCTTCAGGACAGACACCAGGGGTGGTGCCAGGTTCTGGGACTGGTGGGGGGACCTTCTTCTTGAAGATCTTTGACATATTGCGAATAGACAAGGGTAAAGGTAAAGGTAGGGGTATCGGTTGTTGTTGGGTATGTGTATTAGGAGTTGAGAGGAGGGGGAGAGGGAGGGTTTATCCGGGGTAAAGTCGAGAGGCAGAGAAGAGGGCGAAGTGGAAGGGGGGGGGGGGGGGGGGGGGGAAGAGAGGGGAAAAGGAGTTGCGTGTTCACGACCTCGGTTGGACACGAATGAAGGGAGAAAAAAGGAGATCAACACGAAAGTGATTGTTGAGATGGAGAATGAAGAAGAGGAAGAGGTGAATGAGAAGAAAGAAAAGAGGAAAAGAGGTAAAGGAGGACAAGAAACCAGGGTAGGGGATGCTCTTTTATATTAGTCTTTAAGGCGAGAGGGTGCTGAAGCTGGGTAAAAGAGAAGAAAAGAAGGTTGGAAAAAAGAGAGAAGAGGGTGGTGAAGAAAGGATAAAAGCAGAGGGCATGATGCCCAAAAGGAGTAACTTTGAGCAAGCGAACAGGAGGGTACTGTACTCCCTGTTAAACATATACACAAACACACGACAACAAAGCAAAAAAGAAGCAACCCTGTTGTTTGTATTGATCGATTTGTAATTATGAACAGGACGATGAAAGAAGTTCTTCCCGATAAATCATACAGTCTCCGTTCCCCCCATTGCCAGGCAATGGCAATTCTTCCGGTTCTCGTCTTTTTGTTCATGGCTTTCTTACGTTTTCATTTCCTGCTTAGCCCCCCTCCCACTCTTTTTAAAATCGCGACATGTTTGTCGACTGTGATCTTGAGTCGCTGTCTCTCGTTTCTTTGCTTCCTGTTCATTTCTCGTACAGTCTTTGTCAGATCCCCTTGAAAGAAATACAAAAAAAAATGCCGATCTTGCCTCGTCATCGCTTTACAAATTGTCCACCTGGTGTCTGCGCACCTTTTTTTTTTTTTTTTTTTTTTTTTTTTGATCTTCGATCTCTTCTTCCCCACTCTTCTCTTCTTTTCATCGTCGGGGTGTTTTATTTTTTTAATTGCACGTTTACCCTCTCCCTCCTTTCGCCCTTTCGGACAAACTGAAATGAAAAAAAGGACGATTCGAGAACATCTCTCTCCCCCTTCCTCTATTTTGCCGTTACACATTCACCTTCCCTTACTTCAAAAACGCGTAAAGGTAGAAAAGAAAGAGGAAAAGGGGAAACCATTCCACCAGCCTTGCGCAGTAAAGGGAACAGAAGGAGGAACAAGTCGAAGCGAGGCAGGGAAACGCTCTTGTTTATTCTCTTGGTAATCTCCAGTTTCTGGGTAAACGTAATGACGGGAGAAAACGAAAACCGTTTGCTATATGTTATTTTGACCAATTTAGCCCATGTGGACACAGAACACTTTTTTCTGTCTAAACCACCTTCCTTATATTTTACCCCTACTCCTTTGTTTCTTACCCCCTGCAATCTATAGCCTCCCTTTTTTCCTCTTTCCTGAAAAAGGAAGCGTCAAATGGAAGCGTGCGGCGACAGAGTTGGAGGTACGAGAGCATTGACTTTTTTTTTTCTCGTGCAGGTTGATTTGTGTTTGTTGGTTGCATCTTGTTAGTCGTTTTAGGTAACGTTTCTCTTTCCTTCTAATTCTCTCTTAGCCAATTTGCCGAGCCCTATCCACCGAACCACACAATACCATACCACTACCAGTACACACATAAGAAGATCGCCATCTCCAGGGTTGACAAGGACAGAGACGCGAAAATGCAAATGAGCGATTTGGTTGAGGATGAAGAAATGAGGCACACGAAGAGAAAGAAAACCATAACGCATGACAGAAAAAGATTTGTGAGCGTCCTTTCTTTTTTTGCTTTGGCTATTTGAGTTTTGTGATGTTGTGCTTGCTTTTCTCTCGCTCTTCCAATCAAGGACGCTTCCATGGACTCACGGTCGGCATAGGTAAGGCGATGGGAGGGGGGGTAAGGAAAGAGGAGAGATGTTTCCATGGTCACGGCTGTTTCTCACGAGGTAGGGGTATGTTGTGTATCCCTGTATCACTGCCAAAAGAAGAGTCCATCTGCCATACGATCTGATAAGGAAGCGGACACTGTTTCTGCCGAGGGGGAATAGAAGAGAGGGTGGACAAAGGTAAGGAACTCATGCACTTCTTCATAAACTATCACCCACATTGTTTTGTTTTTTTTTTTGGTTCTTCCTTTTGTTCTTTTATTCTTTTGTTTCCTTCTTGCTGCAAAAATCAACCGTTTTCTATCACCGCCTACTATTTCTTTTGCCCTTTGTCCACTTTAAACACATTTCGATTCTGCTTCTCCTTTTTCTTTCTGTTCGTTCTCAGTCTCCGAAACGATATGTATTTGATTCGCCGTCTGTTCGACATGCAATAGGTCACAAGCAATTTCAACCTTCTTCACGGTCCGCCCACACATGCGTTTTCCACGCTCTCCAAAGAAGAAAAAGAAGGGAGGAGGTGCGCGCAACAATAATGTCTGTCTCGAGACACCTCCCACACAAGACCGTGCCACGAATGATAGCATCTTTTTTCTGTTCATTAATCCCTGGCGATGATCCTGGTGATACGGGAGTATGAGTGGGTTACCAGGATGATCATGCGGGTGAATCCTGGGATGGTGGCGCTAAATAAGAGTGAGGCGTCGTACCCTGGTGAACAATTGCGAAGCATACACTCTGATCGAAACCCTTCGCTTCGATCGGATAAACCTTTTTGTTGACCAATCAACGACATTACAAATTTCTCTGGGCTAAAGCAGGTTAAGGGTTCTTTAATAATATTTCAACGCGAGGCATGATGAAAATGAGGTTGTCAACTAAAAAATTACACGCCCTGGGGGATGGGGCATCGAACAACTCCACGGTTCGAGAACGCAGTTCCGATCAACATCACTCCCCGCTTCCGATCCACAGCCGCTACCGTACCTGTCGAAATCAATTTCCCATCATCCTCCAACACCGTCTCCACCTTATGTCCACCGCCCACCACATCCTTCGAAATCTTGACAACCTTGGAAGGTCCATCCAACTGGACACCCTTCTTCTTCAACCCCACCGTCAGTGTCAAGGGCTTAACATGTCCTGTCAAAAACACCGAGTCCGTCTCGGGGTCGTAGGACGGGTTGTCGTTATAAAAGTCCAGCTTGATATATTCTTGGTCGACGAGAGTGTGGTCGGGTGTGGGGCGGAGGATGTGGAGGGCTCCGCCGTGGCAGGCGGAGAGGTAGATGAGGGATTGGTCGCTGTTGGATGTGATGCCGTTGGCAGAGGCGACCTTGTCGTAAGCGATATGTGTGCTTTCGGGTGAGTAGTAAATCACATTACTCAACGGTCTTCTCAGCGATTCTATGTATCGTTTGGTTTTTTAAGAGGAGAGAGAAAGGAAAAATCAGTTAGGAGAATGAAAAACAAGAGGATGATGAACAAAAATTTAGTTTTCGCTCTAACGTCATGAGGGGCAGGGGAGCGACCAATGAAAACCACGCGGTAAAAAAAAACTCCCAGCTATGTTGCCCCTGAACAAAAAAAAAAGCACTACTCGGTTTCGATCATCTCGGTAAGAAACCCCTTCTCTTTTCCTCCATTGACTTCATAACACTGCACTATACCTTCGTACTCGCGCATGGCGCCATCCTTATACTTGTGATCGTTCGAGACGTAAAACGACCGAGGACCCGTCGCAAGGATATCATTAGGGGTATGGATCAACTCGTGGCGGATGGTTTCCTTGTACTGGACGACCTTATCGCCAACCGTGTACTCGAGCACCTCGACCACACTGCCGCCTCGACGGTGGTTCACTGCAAAGATGGTCAGCTCGGTGGGGGACCGCTCGTGGATACCCAGGCCGTGAAAGACGCGGTCGGTACCATTTGGCAGGCCTGCCAACTCCATCTCTTCGTACTTTCCCGTCTGTATTATTACACAAAGGTATGCAAGAGCAATAAAGTTGTCAACTGGTCAGTACAAGAGTCTCATTCACGTACATGCAAATATATCTCTCACTTTTCACAAGCAAGCAAAAACCGCAAGAAAATAATATGTATCAAAAACCGTACAGCAACGTTGTAGATAACAAACTTATCCTGGAAGGCAGCATCAGCGGCCGAGGCATTCATCTTGGCCATGGGCGGAAACCATTCCTTCCTCATTTCAGCATGACCACAGGTCATAAACGCCAATCCAGACTCGCGATGGAGATGGATATCCTCGCAGGCCTCCAATCCACCGGGGACGACTTCACAGCCTGCTGTGTTGAACGGCTGGATGTCGCCGAGGAAGAGACCCAGGTCTGTAACGGCGTTACGGATAAAATTTTGGGTGAGGGCGACAGTGATGGCGACAATTGCTACGCCGACACGGATGTAGTCCTTCTTTGTGGTCTTGGGGGCGGTTGGCTTGGTAGAGCCGGCGGTGGAAGCCTTCTTGAGCTTTGTGGAGTCGGTAGCCATTGTGTGTGAGACGTGTGAAAGGTGTGAAGTTGTGAGTAAGTGGGTGAGTGAGTTAAGAGAAGGAGGTTGTTGATATTTTGAGGAATTGAAGGAATGAAAAGAAAAGAAGAAAGGAAGAAGTGAGATGTGGAGGAAGAAGAACTATAATAATAAATAGATGAGCACAAAACAAAACACAACGGAATGGTCAGCATTGAGTTTGCACAGGTGGAAATCCCCGATAAGGCACAGGGGACTGCCCGACCCGAATAAGAGAGGAATGATCGAGCTCGTTGCGCAGGTCAAGGGCCTACTTATGACTGGTTTGCACATCGAGCCGAGCAACGAGGAGACAAGGAAAGACAAACCAAGAGACTCGTGAACAGTGTATTGATTATGCTCTCTTTTCCCACACTTTCCCCCTTGACCTCCTGTTATTTCTTCGCGAAGTTCATTGTCCTTGCAGTTGAACGAGAAACGAGAAGGCGCTTCTGGTTACATGCAGGGTGAACAAACATTGTATCGAAAAGGTATGGGAAAGGTGGTATAACGGGGTGCCTGGCCATTCGCGATCAATGGGGAGTGCATTCAATGGTACCACATGCGCTTTAGTACCATCGGTTTGTTTGTTACTGGCACTTTTCCTTCAATGTCGCGTCTTCGATATGTCCAGGGTATCATCCTCCTTACGTAACTTTTATTGACGCGACCTTCAAGCAGCCGACATTGGTAGTATACATTATGAAACTGCTAAGCTTTGATCGATCAGCCGTTGCGTTGACGATGGTGGTGGGAGTAGTCCGCGCCCAAGCGATCAAATAGGTTCTCCTGATGATCGCGAACTTGATCGCACAACGTGTGGAGAAAACGGACTGTCAAGAGGCGAAGGAGATAGCGAGAGACAGAGGGAGAAAGAGAGAGAGAAAGAGAGAGAGAAAGAGAGAGAGAAAGAGAGAGAGAAAGAGAGAGAGAAAGAGAGAGAGAGAGAGAGAGATGCAAGAGAGAGGGAGAGAGAGAGAGAGAGAGAGAGAGAGAGAGAGAGAGAGACAGAAGAGAGAGACAGAGAAGAGAGAGACAGAGAGACCAGTTAATTTTCGTCTCTTCCAGTCAAACAACGTTGTTCCTGCTTACATCTTCCAGCGTCATGGCTTGCTCTTTTTTTTCTTCTCTTTTCTTTACTTTAATCTACGCTCTCTCTCTTGTCTCCCATCCACCCCCTTCCTAATTCACACCATCTCCACTCTCTCACATACTCATCACGACCCCTAACGTCAGCTCATCTCTCTCAAAGTTTCCATTTCACCTGCGCAAAACGTTTACCTCACTCAACGCCACTGCCTCTTTCAACCCTGCGCAACAGACTTTTCTTCCCTCCATTCACGTTACCTCACAGCAATGGGAATACGAGCGGCACACATGCGGTCAGGAAAGCCAGTGCCCTTTGTGGTCGCTGTCCTTCCTGCACTCTTCTACTTTGGACTCGTCGGCGTCGGTTACTACGTCTATGTCGTCACACTCTGCGGTAATGACACACCTAACCAACTCGTAAACGTTCAGTACCCAACTTTCCAACGACACACAGAATGACTGACCCACCTCCTTGTTTTTTTGTCTTGGCTGCTCTTGTTCATAGTACGGTTACTTCGGGATGACAGAGTTGCACTTGGAGGTATATGGTTATTCCCTTTTAGACCATGTGTCGCTATTCAGAGTAGCAGATGATAGGACAATGACGCCCTTGCATCACCCTTTTTAACCACCACCACAGCCGCGGAAGAGCACAATTGACACCTCCTATCCTTTGCTTGCATCGTTGGCGAATAGTTGTTCTACTGGTGCTGTACCATATTACATTCGTTGTGATGCTCTGGGCGTATGCGATGGTTGTTCTGACAGACCCCGGAAGAGTGACCCCCGAGGTAAGATAATATGTTTCGATCATTCATAGTTGACATGATGATATCACTCCTTCACCCACCGTTGGCAGGTTGCATCATTTTTATTTTGCGCTCTGGACCGTGCCCTGAATGGACATACTTGTCAACTGATCATATTTTTGATTGTTACTGATTTCGTTATCACACTTCTATGTCCTCATAGCTTCAGCCCTCACCCCAACTCTACGTCCAACAACAACAACAACAACAACAACAACAACAACAACAACAACAACAACAACAACAACAACAGCAGCCAGCTTTGTCCCAGGATCAGGAACATGGACAAGCGGCGGAGCAGGAACCTACTCATCCACAAACAAAATCTGCCGGCTCAGTGTCATCCCTCGGCTCCGTTGGAGTATTGATCCCAGGAGCACAAATCAACAGGACTGGATACATCCATGTCACGGAAGACCCCTCTGCACAGAGCCACCCCCTCTGGTGTAGTAAATGCCAACACAGTAAGGATCATACAGCGTTCTCTGCTTACTTTGGTCAAGGACTCGCCATGGTCTCGAATCTTAAGAGGGCTAATTCACTCTTCTCCTGTCAATTGGCACATCTAGTCAAGCCTGAGAGAGCACACCATTGCCGTGTCTGCAAGCGGTGCGTGCTAAAGATGGACCAGTACGTTCTCAATTTTCGAACCATCGCAGGCTATCGTTTTGGAGACCTTTAGTTGTTGTCTGCGCTTACTAACGTACACTTATTTGACTCCCTTTTTTTTATAGTCATTGTCCATGGGTGCTCAACTGTGTGGGTCAGGACAACTACAAGTTTTTTGTCCTTTTCGTCTTTTACACCTCCGTGCACTGCATCTTCATCTTGGCTTCTCTTATCCCCCTTTACCTGCGGCTCCCTGACGATGTAAGGCCATTCTATTTCACTTAGCTTTGAGATCGAATCGCTCAAATTCACTTGCTCCAACTCCGAGTTGCACCCAACAAAGGAAAACGTCAAGAACGTTTTTTTTCTAACACAGTGTTGCCGGTTGCTATAACTTTATCATATATAGACTTATGCGCACCAAGCCCAGGTCGTCGGGATGGTCATAGCTGGCGTGTTTGGTTTCGCCCTTATTGTGTTTACGATCACCCATGTCCGCCTGATTTTGGTCAACAGAACGACTATCGAGGATCATTCGACGCCACATGAGGAAGGAATGTTGCCATGTCTCCGGAAGGGATGGGCGAAAAGCGAAGGCGAGGTCAATCAAGGAAACGAGCGACTGTACGACATAGGATACCGAGAGAACTGGGAGCAATGCATGGGTAAAGGATGGAAGGCAATGATCCCAGTGCGGTTCCCTCGGCCCGAGGGACCCATTTACAATCAGTCAGTGGTTGCGAGACAATGGAGAGACTACAATCAACAGACAGAGGCAAGAAGACAGCAACAGCAAGAACAGCAGCCATCGAGTACTATGGACAATACAGCGATGGGCACGGCAAGACTAACGCCAATCGAGCAGGAAATGTACCACCGATCACCTTCGGTGGGAGACCAACCCAGGGGAGAGGGTGGTGCTACCGCATGAAACGAGCATTGCTTGCAATAATTGTAATAAAAAAAGAAAGGAGCAATGCCATAGAATTGAGCCCTAAGATCCAACCGAATTTGCTTGCTTGACAGCCAACCCCATCTAAAAATGACATTAGTTCTACGTACATGACGGCAGGACACGTACTTATGTGGACCAATCAACAAGCGACCTTGTGATTGGATTGACAGGCGAGAAAGGAAGGACTTCCCCTTTCGTCGTCGTCTTGGTCTTCCCTGGTCGTTGTTTCCCTTTTTATTATTTTCCATTCCTTCGTTTCCATTCTTTTCTTTTCTTCCCCATCAAACACAACCTCTAACATTCTGTTACTCAGCAAACTCACTCGCTTTCCCTTCTTCCCGCCTTGACCACTTCCAATTCTACATACCTCACTCCTCCTCCTCCTCCTACCTCTACCCTGGCTCCTTCACTCCTTCACAACTACAACTTCCACTCCATACCTCCCCCACTTCCTTCAATACCTTCTTCTTTACAGACATACCCACATACACAATGCTTATCGAAATCAACTGTGCGTCCGACTTTCTCTGCAGATACGTTGCCAGTGCTTCTTCTTGCACACCTCAGATCATGGAGTCCTTCAAGTCCCAGATCATGGCCCTGATGCAGGAAAAGTACACCAACCACTGGGACCCCCAGAGACCCCACTACGGCAACGGATACAGGGCCATCACCTCCTTTGGTGGCAAGGTCGATCCTCTCCTCTGCGAGGTAAATCAATCCTTTTGTTCTCTTTTTTCTCTTACTCGCTATTGCCACTCTCTTCCAGTCTCGTTCTTTGTGTTCCCGTCCTTTCGTCTTTTCAGGGCACACACAAGCACACACACAACCCCCTTCTCTTTCTATCCCCTTTCTTCAACCCCCTGTCCACAATTCTGTGGCCCTTTTTGTTTCTATTCCTATTTGTCTATCCACAGTGTGCAACACACTCATAAGAAAACAGCCAAACTCAGTCGCCCTATCACCCCTTTTCTGAAAGTGAAGAGTTCGTCTTTCCTTTGTCCGTTACAGTCTGGGTCTTGTGCAAATCCACATCAACCATGTCTTTTTTTTTCATTCCCTTTTTGCATAATGAACAACCCCTCCTCTTCATTGCCCCCCTTCTCCAGGCACTCTGTCATAGTTGGAGTGAATGGGCATCTCTTCTCTTCAACTGTATTTTTTTTGGGGTGCTTGTTTGTATGTTTGTTTTCACGGGGTAGCTTAAACTAGCTTGCTAGTAGTAGCCTTGAGGTGCGCAAGCAGTTGATACGATGGAGTGGATGGGAATAGTTTGTTATCGAACAGTTCCTACTGTTTGACCCAGCAAATCGTCCCTTTATTCTCTTTACTGGCACACTGTGGTCACAACCCACTTGGACCACTTGTTTATCTGACTCTGTCTGTTTGTCTGGTGTCTTTTCGTTCGTTCGTTCGTTCGTTCCTACTTGTCTCTTCCCTTCTCCCTCCAATGGTCAAATGACGCTTACCCATTTTGAGTGTGGTGCTTTGTGCCTTGCTCTGCTCTGTTCTCTTCCCATTGACAAATTCACCGCCCAAAAGAGGCGAAAACCTTGTTCGGATCTGCTCTAAGACCGTCTTTTATTCGTCCATTGTCTCCTTCCTCACTAACGTCTTCTTTTCTCTTTGTGTGCGTCTAATGACAATCAATTGTTGTCCATGCTACTATTCCCTCCTTTCGTTATCTCTTGCATATGATATACATACATAGGCTGCTCAAAAGAGTGACTTGCCCTTGGCGACCCTTGAAGGTCACATCCCCCGCGACCTCGTCCTCTGGGTCGAGCCCTTCAACGTCTCCTTCAGAGTCGGCGACCACGGCTCCATCAACACCATCTACGACAGCACCCGCGGCAAGGTCTCCATGAAGCCCGACAACGCCATCACTCCCCAGTTCCACCAAAAGAACGGCCTCAACAACACCATCAACGGTCGCCCCTCCTACGCCGCCCGCATCTCCCCTCCTCCTTCGCCTCCTAACCGTGCTGCTCGCATCTCCCACGCCATCCCCATCACCAGCCCCTTGAACAAGAGCCAGGTCATCACCCCCAGCGCCACCCCCTCGCCCCCCTCCAGCAAGATTGCCATCATGGCCCACTAATTCAGGTGGTCCTTCTCTCCCAGGGGATCCATTGAGGCACCCGTTTTTTTTTACCCGATACCGCTCAATGGGGCGGAGATGTTACCCATCGACTCGATCACAAGAAACAACACCAACAGCAACACAACACATCACAACAGCAGCGACAATAACAACAACCGACTCTAGAAACAAACAAAGACGCCAGACTCTTCAACTACACCAGATACAGGATCTACTTTCATTTGTTCACATTAGTCCTAGAATTCGACCCCAATTGTACAGCATACAACAGAAAAATCGGCCATCGACCAAGGACTCTCGATTTCGATTGAGAACGGAGGAATGGCAGGAACAGGAGTCGTAGGAAAGGAAAGGAGGAAGGGGGTAGTTCTTTCCCGCTTGACCCATCATTGCATGGCTTTCCTTGCTTTGATCTATGTGGATCTCTTCTCATCTAATGTGCTGCTTAATTGCGGCACACTATTCCCATGGAGACCCCTTATTTTGGTCCAATGGGCGAATCTCTTGTACTTTTTATCCAACATCCCCCTATGTTCCTTCTCATGTTCTTTTCTCTTCCTCTTTTTATTTCTTCCAGTTACCCAACTTGCATCTTGTTCTAGTAGTTTCCTTAATCTCTTTCCTTTTTCTTTGTACGCATTCTTTTTGTTTCTTGTTTTATTAGCATGTTTTTTTTCCTACTGTGTGCACTAGATTTTTTTCCCTTGTGTTCTCGTTTTAGTTTTATTCGTTTTACTTGCATCCCTCTTCTGTTGTTGTTGCAGTCGTTGCTCTTGTTAGTTTTGTTGTTGTTGTCGTTTCTTGTGTTTTGGCTGAGTAGTAATCTCTTTACCCTATTTTTGTTCGTATCACCTTTGTGCTACTATCCTTTGTACATTCCTTCCAACCTTTTCTTTACTCTTTCTTACCCTATGTGTACCATCAGTATGTTCTTCCTAGTTTTGCTGCTTTTTGTTCTTTCTTTCGTTTTTCTTATATCTCAAAAAAGAATAAAAATTGCATTTTGTTGTTCCATTCTTTTTAAACTTGTTCGATGACACGACCTTGCATGCTCGTGTATGGTCAGCTTGGGGGAATTAAGATTTGCTCCTTTTCCGGAAGAATCTAGCGGAGCATTTACTGCGTGACGGCCATAAATTGCGCCCAAGTCCGTGCGTCGAGATTCTCAGCACAGGACGCAAACAGGAACCAACCGACGAACAAACTAGCGGACAAATGCCTTCTTACCTCTCCAACATACACAACACACAACCAACAACAAACAAACAGCACTCAACCCAATTGCTTCAATACTGCAAATGCGGACAACGTTTTTTCATTTTGAATGAAACCTCACTTAGACATCGATTTGGGAATGAGGAAAAATGCCTAAAGAGAGAAAACTGATATGCTAAAAAGTAGTATCTTCTTAATGGCCATGAGATGAAGAAGAAGTGCACTCCCGAATGAATTCAATCAAGGTCGTTCAATCCTGATCTCCCCCTCCCCCCTGACTCCTCATCCTTTCCAAATGCCCCATACGCAACATCTGTCGTCGGTAAAAACCCGCCCCCATGTTCTTCTGCCAACCTCCTCATATGCCCCTACATCCTCCAACCCTAACTCTACAGGGTAATCCTCCCCTCCTTCACTCTTCTTGCCTTCAACAATCTTTTGACTATACCTCGATCCAGACTGGGGGGACCCGAAGAGACCGTTGATGAGGGTCCAGGACGGAAGATTGGGAGGGAGAGAGAGTTTTTTTTTTTTTTTTTTTTTTTTTTTTTTTTCGCCGAGTACACGACCTTCAGCGAGGAGTTCGATAGATCCGGCGACGAAAAAGTTTCCGAGGGAATTTGAAAGAACTTGGCTTTTTTGTTACGTCTGGGGTGTGGAGGTCGATAGTGGATTTTGAACGTGGAGGCGATGAGGGGGGTGTGGATTCTTGAGAGTGCCGCGGTTGGGCCGGAGGTGATAAAGACGAGTTGGCCGACAAGGGCGCGATTCGGGGACGGCCAAAGTCTGGGCATTGGAAGGTAGGTGAAGATGACATTGGAGGTCGAAGCGAGGTTTTCGATGGGGGTGGCGACATGGGCGCCTTGTTCTTTGAGGGCGTCGGTTTTGCTGGGGGTGCGGTTCCAGACGGTGAGGGTGGGATCCGTTAGAGGCGAGGTGAGAGTGGGGGTTCTTGGCCATGCCGTATCCTATTTCTCTGATGCCTATCTAGCCGACTTTGAGGGGTTGAGGGGTGTTGGTGGTGGTGGTGGTGGTGGTGATGTTTGTGCTGGCCATTTTGTTGGTTTGTGGTTGAGGTAGTTTCGTGGTTATGTCGAAAAATGTGGAGAGATGAGAAGATGGCTGGTTTGAAATGGAGGGAACAAAAGAAGTGATGAACGCAGTCGCTTTTATACCGCGCCCGACAATCAGATAAGGCTTGTTGTTTTTTGTGAACTTGCAACGAGCGGCGCGTTTGGAGGGAGAGCCAGGAAAGTAAACATACGGTAAAAAAAGTGGTGCTATGCATATCTTTCAATTGCGTGCCCGTCGCTTCTAATCATTTCATCATTCCTGTTACTAATTACACAGGGTACAACCGATAATATTAGAAAGAACATGAACAAAAAGAGTTGCGTTCTATGCCGATGATTATTGCTTGTTATTTTTTATTCTATCACCTACAACTGCAATCTTATCGTCCCGTCTGTTCTTCTACAGGTCATCAAAGAAGCTAGGGTTATTGGCAGCAGGTGCTTGCTTCTTTGGCCGCTTGTTACTGCTCTTCTTGGGCGCGTCCGAATCATCTGAGTCCACATCCATACCGCCACCGTTCTTTCCTGGCTTATCATCCTCATCATCATCATCATCATCGGAATCGGAATCCTTATCTCCAGATGCGTCCTTTGCATCATCGCTATCGTCGTCGGCATCCTCTCTCTCACTGGTCAGGTAGCGGACATCCCAGAACCGGACGGTGTCGTCGTGTGAGCAACTGGCGAGGAAGGTCTTGTCGTGAGACATTTTGATCCGCTCGATGGGGAAGTCTTCGTGCTCTCCTACGATTCCTTGAAACTTGTTTGGCAAAATGTCGATGATTCTAGTTGCATTGAGAAGTAAGACAGGAAAATGATGTTAGTACGTCTGACAACTGTCTCCGTATATCCACTCAAGATCCTCCTTGGACTTGGCATAGAACAAGAAAGAAAAAAAAACGCATATGGTACCTGATGATTCCATCGCTGGATCCTGTGGCGACAGTATCCTCATCAATCTTGCAAATGGTATCAATCGAATTTGGGTGTCCAATAAACCGATCCGTACAATCGCCCCAATCGCCCCAACTATAAATGTTCAACACTCCCTCCTGCGATCCTACAACGACTTTACGACGATCCTTGACAATACAGATCGACATCAACTCATCGTCCTGATTGGCGGACATGGCCAGCATCTTAGGTTTGCGAATATCGTAGATCGAGATGGTGCCTTGTCCACTAGAGGCGACGAGGGTCTTGGAGTCGGTGTCGTAGTCGAAATCGGAGATGAAGTCGTCGTGCTCGGTGTATTGCATGGTCTCGGTTCCTGTCCTGACGTCCCACAACTTGATCACTCCGCTGTCATCTCCTGTCGCCAGTGTCGTCTCTGTCAGCAACCTGACCGCGTTGATTGGGTTGCTGATAGTAAGTGAGGGAAATGATGATAAGTTGTTGGTTAGCATATAAAGCGTGACATTGCCTGTTCAGTGACATGGGTTCTCCTGAAGGTAACGGTTGTAGAGTTGATCCTGTCGACTTACTCATGGGCGTCCGACTTTTTGATCAAAACATCTCCCGTGTTGACATCCAATGCTCTGATAGCTCCATCCTTGAAGACAGTGAAAAGTCCTATTGGTGCCAATTGAAGTGAGGTAAGGGTTAGCAACTTGGTTGTAAAGCCCATAACATAGGTCGATGCCGATCTTTTGTCACGTACCAGCACCATCGTTGCTGAAGGCAAGGCCGCGGCACGACTTTTTTGTGGGACGAATGCTCCACGCGGTCTCGTTATTTCCAGCTCCGGGTGCGTACTTGACACTATCATTTACATACGCGGTTCAATGGCAAAAAATGTTAGCTGGTATAGTTCGTTGGCTGTTAAGTAAAGAAATAGTCGAAAGCGTTCTGAGGGAGTTCGTGGATGAAATGGCATATTACCAGTTGATATGTCCGGTGATGAGCCCGGTGGCGATGATGTCGAGGGTTGGGTGGAAGGCAAAGTCAAAAACCATGTCCTTGTACGAAAGGGTATCGACTAGCAGATTTGCAGGCTAACAACGAACGTTGTTGCAGTGTGCAAGAAAGAGAGGAGAGTGGTATTTTTTGTCGGTCAGTTCGCATGTTATCTTCCTGGAACTGAATAGATATGTCCTTGCATGGTTATGTTCTCCTTGTGTTGAGTGCTGTTTTTTTTTACCATGGCGGAATGTTGCGAATGTTGTTGAGAAGGCGAAAAGGTGAAGAGGCGTTTGTTTCGTCAAACGGTCAAAGGTCAACAAAAAAAAAAGAAAAAAATCGTAGCACAAAAAACAAGTGTGACTGCGAAGCTTTTATTTCTCATGTTCTCCATCCTCTGCACGTGTTGCGACACGATTCCAAGCGGAGCAAGGGTCCAAAGGGACAGGAGCACAAGAAACGACAAGGGAAAGGGGAAGGGGAAAGGAAGAGGAAGGGGTATGTCCATGCTACTGCAAAGGTTGGAACCCAACTCTCTTGTGAGGGCGACCTCACCTCCTACTCTAGCCAGGCTGTAGTAGTTTATGTGTAACTAGGCTGCCAATTAGATAAGCTCGGCAAGGTCAAGTGGCAAACGAGAAAAGAAGAGCGGATCCCCAAGCCACGGTCTCCTTTGTCCTGGACCCTTCCTTCTCTTCTTTCTTTCTCACTTCTCCACTTCTCCACTTCTCCACTTCTCCTCCACCCTCTCTCCACTCACTCTTTCACTCACACGCACTCCCCCTCCTCCATTTGTCGGTACTTGCCTAGCATCCATTCCCATCTGCCCCTTCTTTTTCATTCTCTCTCCTTCTTTTTGGCATTCAACACAGCTCACTCTTCATCCTTTTCCTTCTCTTTTGTAACCAACTTAACCTTTTTTTGTTCCTCCGACACTCACTCTCAGACACATGGCCACCCCACAGGACAAGAAAGCCTCTATCCAGGTCGCCGACAGCTCAAGTACCCTATACCAGAACGGAGTAGACCAGCGCTTGACATCAGCCTACTTGAAACCAAAACCCGTCACCTTTAAAGACTCTATCTCACATCCTATCAACGTCAGCTGGATCATTCCCCCCTGGATCGGGGCCCTTCTTCATGAAGACATGTCCATCCCCAGTCATATGCAGCTCGTCCCCTTTGCCCAGCGTGAAGCAAAGGCTATGCAGCTGACAGATATGGCAGAGGACGCCGAATCACGAGCCAAGAGGATTTACGCAAACTGGCGACCCAGAGGCAACCTTGGTCTTTCGTCCTGTCCAGGCAAGAAGGTTCGACTCGATGGGCCCGTCAATGGGCGTGCCAAGATTGTGCGTGATCTGGACATGGACTTTAATCGTCTGAACATGCTAGGCTTCACGCGTGTCGTTTGGTAAGCATAAGCACAGTGGTGATGCTATGAGATAAAGTGGGAGATGGATCGATTACCATTAGGGAATGGTACAACGCACTAACGGTCCAGCGACACACAATAACAATTGATTGGACACAGGACATCATGATAACGCTTCGTTGCATTGTGCACACGACAGCACGCAGAAAAACAACAACGACAACAAGCAATGCAAAATAAGAAAAAAAGGGAAAAGCGATCCAAACCAAAGGGGGAAGAGAAAGAGGGAGTGAAGGGGGGCATGTTTTTGAGACTTTCTCTCCTGATTCACAGACATGGGCATATACTGAGACGATCTCTATCTCTCTTTCCTCTTGCTTTTTGCACGGATGAACTATCCAGCTGCCTCTTTGATGAAGAGCTGGAGCTCCTGGGATCGCCTTTTCCAAGGTACTTGGAAGCAGCAAACCGCCACGGGCTCGATGTCGTCAGGTAAAGCACTCATACATCATCGAGATCATTGGTTATCGCCTTCATTCCAACTATGTCTCTCTCGCTCTCTTTGCATCCTGGTATAATCAACTCAAATCTAATCCATACCTGTTGCGATTTAGAATCCCTATGCTCGAAGGAAGCACACCGTACTCCTTTGCGGAGATGGATCTTGTTCTCGACAGGATGGACGAAACCGCAAAGAAAGGACAGAATGTCCTTGCTCACTGCAGAGGAGGTAAGCAAAGAGTTGGCATGTTTTCTTATTTGGTCTAGTACTCTTCTTCCCGATTTTTATTTAAACGTCGTCATCCGTCATCTCAGCTATATCAAACTGTAAAATTACTTTCGTATGCGCCGATACTCACATGTCACCTCCTTCTTTCACGACATCATAATGTATAGGTGTCGGACGTGCTGCAGTTGTCGCCTGCTGTTGGTTGCTTCGACTCCGTTATTTCAAAGATCACCGCGAGGTCATTGGCTGGGTCAGGGCACAGCGATCACCCAAAGCCATTGAGACGGTGGAGCAGGCTCATTTTGTCGCAGGATTTCAACTCTGGACCAAAGGAGGTTTGGATCGAAGCAACAGCAAAGCTTACGAGACCGAAATCCAACGGAGGATAAACATGAGTGAAGCCTATATGGCCAAGGCGCGGGAGGATGCGGCCGCCAAGAACTCGCGTGGACATCGTGCAGACTCTCCTCGTCAACACCACGCACAGTTGTACCAACAACAACATCAGCAACAACAAAACCACATTCACTCATCGCACCAGGACTATGTCAGAGAGAGCCCTCAGTCTTCTCATTCGTCAATCTCATCGACAGCAGCAGTTTCATCCCGTCGGTCAGAACCCATATCGCCAGCATTGCCTTTAGAACAGGCGCAGTCGCAGTCGCACACCCACTCAACAAAAAATGGCTCGGGTGCAACTCACCGGTCAGCAGCGTAGTCGTTTTTGGACACATGTGTCTTCTTGAAGAAACAGAATAAACCATGTCGTCAGGGGGCACATGCATATCAAACAACAGAGGATCAATGTGAGCAGGGGCATTGACATTCATCCCAGCCACATATGTTACAAACAATGTTCGTTGCTCAAGACTCGTTGTGATAATCTTTCGGCACACCAACAACAACATTCCCAACACCGTCATGTCGACCCCCCAGCGAGCGTTTCTTCTACATCCCAAACTCGTAGGCCTTTTGTGGGACACCTCCTCAAAGATGTCACGAATCTCACCCAGACCAGTGGAAAGATGCACAGGAACTGCGTCCCGTCACTCCGCAGGACGTTGGATCTCTGTTTGGGCAAGATGTTGAGAACCTTCCACTCCCTCCCGAGCTTGCACGCCCTTGCCAGGAACACCAGACATGTCTAGATACTGATGAACTTGTTTATTACTACGAATTAATACCAGGGCCGATGCTTGCCAATTGGTCGCCCTGTACCCTCTGATCCGCCTGTGGTATCTTACTGTGGATTTTGAGACCTTCCAGGGCGCGACGATATTGAACGTCGAGCGCTGATGCAAGGACTCCTACCTTATCACGTCCAACTTCGACCAACGTTACCAAGGCGGAAATGCAGCACCTAATCCCACTTGAACGTTTTTACTGACAGATTGGCGCATTGTCAGGACTGGTGCTGCTGAACATGGTCACGATACAACTTGACGATGAGGGCGATGTGGACCTCAACAGGACGGGTGAGCCCCAGCCGGCTATGCTGAGTCTTGGAGATACTTGGACCAGACGACCAGGATATCTTCATCTGCTCTCGAAACTCGAGCTTCCTTCAAGAGCTGTCGGCTTGATCCGTGCGGATGCAGAGGGGAGTGATTGGACGATGAAATGGATGGAGTGGATGGAAGCGACGTGAATGCATCAGCATTGGTCGGCACTCGAACATGCGACGTTGTTTGCGTTAGCAGAAGACGTAACGGCGCCCGTTTGCATGGCTTAGGAAGCACACAGATGACTGAGCGAAGCTTGATTTGCTATGTCCAAGTTTTTTGCTGATAAACGCGATGGCACCAATTACTAGTAGAATTCAAGATCGAGGCTATGCTGTGAGCAGTTGAAAGACGGCGGGGTCAAAGAGGACAAATGTAAATGGGCGTGCGTCACCTTCCATTTTCTTGTACCCCCTTATCTCGCAAACGAGTGAAATAAAAAAATAAAGATGGCGAAGGTGCTACTTCTCTCCTTTTCCCATCCTTTCTCATAAACCTAACCACCATGTCCACCTCTTGCGAGCAATTCTTCGACATACGAGAACTCGTCGACCTTTTGAGTCCACACCTCAGCCAGAAGGATGTCTCACACCTCAGCCGTACCAGCAAGAGAACACATCACACATCTCTACCATCGCTCTTCCGGTATCTGGAAGCTCGTGGCAACAACAAGATCAAGATATTCTCCTCGATCCCCGGCCTCTACGCCCTTGCAAGGAACATCAGTCATGTCAGAATACTAGAACTCGAGACGGACGAACTCGTCTTCTACTACCACTGTGTGTTGGCGTTCGAGGAGCTGAATCCAGGAACCGTGCAGGAACCCTTGCCACGACCGTCCTGGTTACCGCTCCCCGACATCCATGCCTGCCAGCTTGTCGCATTGCCACCCGTGACCTGTCTTTCGGAGCTCACTATCCATTTGGGCCTTTTTAAAGGCTGCAGCTATACCTTGCCCAGCGCTAAAGATCCTCGCGCGACATTCGCCCAACTCTGCTGGTTGGTGTCCATCAATCCTGGATTGAGCCTTCTGGACTTGGAAAGTGTTCCCGTGAAGGATCTTGGAGGAGGCCGGCGTCTTGGAAGGGTCATTGCTGGGCTATCCAAGATACGACAACTGCGTCTTGGGATCATCTGTAGCGACGACAATTATTTGGAGCTGGGATCGTTGCTCTTGTTCAGCTGCCAGCCGTCGATTCAGGAATTGGCCATGACTGTCTGCCTTAATGGCAAGGACGATGCCACTCAATACCACAGCAGTCATTGGCAGGAAGTAGGCGATGATGCGATAGCGGTTCCCAGGATGAAGGAGCCATTGGTTCATCTGGAGGTTCTGAAGGCTCACTACTTGCGCGATTGGCACTCTTTGACCGCTATCCATACGGTTTTTGCGCATTGCCCCAACATCCGGAAACTGGAAGTCACCATCGCTGGGGACCAGAGCGCAGATATGATTGGATTGATGATTGCCGCGGTGTGTCGCAAGATCGAGTCGTTAACCTATGGAGACGTCTGCGCGACCGTGTACGATCCTGTGCCATTCAAAATCCTGGATTCTTTACCCGCCCGACAGGTTACCGAATTTCGTTACGGCGGGCTCCTCTCCAACGTCAACGCTCCTGAGGTAAACTTGTCCCTGCAGCGACACTCAACAACATTGAGAAGGATTGTGGTCCAAGGAGACGGTATTCATGGTAGAATCTCCCTTTCTGCAATCTTCAGTGAGTGTCAGAACCTTGAGATCCTCCATATCAAATTCGACAGAAATGCTGGACACTACATCACGTTGTCAGATGCCGTGGAGGCTCCTTGGAGATGCACCAAACTGAGCGAGCTCGTCCTCGGTATCAGCGGATGCGACCTGCCCGCCCTCCGCCAAGGGATCCTGGCCTACTACCTCCGTCCATCTCCAGTCGCACTCACCCCAGCAGAGACGCAGCACTTTTCCCGACTCGAGACTCTCTACAAACAGATCGGCAAACTGACAAGCCTACAAACCCTAGGCCTGCAAATGGTCATGCTTGGTCAACATGAACGAGTGGATAGGGAGTTACAGAAGGTTCCCAGGTCGTTCCCTGCCTTGATGAGCGTTGGAGATCCGTTCGGAGGCCGACCTGGCTATCTTCACCACCTTTGTGGGTTGAAGAGATTGGAGAGGCTTGAGGGATCGGTGAGGGTGGATGCGAAAGAGACAAAATTGACGGTTGACTGGCCGGAAGCGTCGTGGATGAGTGAGCATTGGCCGCTGCTTAGGAGGGCTGAGTTTTTTGCGCGGGGAGGGGAAATTAGGTATCCGTTCAAGTGGCTACAAGACCAGCGCAAGATGAGTGGGCGGGAGCAACTTGTACTGGTTTAATGGCGATAGTTGAAAGGGGGGGAGGGGGGTAAGAAGGATGGCGTAGTTTTCGATATTTAACAGCAACAATGACAACTATTTCTTGGCGATGTTACTAAGAAGATGGAGACGCTTTGCTGACACAGGGGAGAAAGAAGCAGTCGATGGGGAGGCCATGAGTCATGAGGCGAAATAGATGGACGACAGTACGAGCACTGGACACCACTTGGGTATATGGATTTTTTACACCAAGAAAGGGGTCAGGGACGCTGTTTGTGCGGTTGAAAGATAAGCGTTTGGAGGGCGGGCGTGGTGAACTATTGGTGCTGTGGTAGGATCATTGATGGCAGCGTTGTATTTGTATGTCGTTGCAAAACAAAAAAAAAGAAAAAAGAGTGCTCGTTCGGCACGAACAAGACTGAGAGCAATGACGAAGATGTTGATCAATGAAACGCATAAAGTTATCAGTTTAACCGTTGGCAACTAAGACCCAGTGCTAGCAGGAGACACGCTTAAGGAAAGAGGATTGATATTAATCCATTTAGTCGCGCTGGAAGACCTCAATCCAAAAGAAGTTTTGTCTGGAGGGAAGAAACCTCTCCTTGCTACACGATACTGTAGAATCACGTGCTTTTTTTGCCCACACAAACTGCACGTCGCCAACTGCTGTCGTCTCGTCTAACGACTAACCAAACGCTTTCCTCAAGACATCCATGTCCGCGCGCTTCTCTTCTCCTTCGCTTCACCCTCCTTGTCCCGTTGTCCTCTACTAGAGCCATCTCTTTTCTTTTCTGTTACTGCTCAGGAGTCAGGAACTGATTGAACCTCCGCCCACCCAGGACTCCCACGGACCATCATCGGCCTTTCTTATTCTCACCGCACAAGCATATGCTCACATTGCTTCGCCCAAGAGATCTTGAGCGGCTGATGTAGCCTCTTTGCTTATTTTGATCTACTGTATCAAATTGTGCAGTCCAGTTCCAGTCCAGTCAGTCTAACAGATCATGCCCTTCAACAATCTCGACTGAACAAAGGTACAGAAGATATGCCAGACCCTCCCCCCTAGCCACCCGTCGTAATGTGCCTCAAGTTGGACAACCTTTGGTGACGCCACCTCTAATCCCAAACATGCACGCAAATCCTGGATATGGTGCAGCACAAAACACTCACTTCCTGCATTTGCTCTCTCGCTATCTTTTTTATTTTTTTTTCGCTTGCAGCTAACTCGCTCTGGTTGATAAACACCACCATGTCTAATCCAAAACAAGAAACCCTTCAGTCTTCCTTTCATTTATCGCCGAGTCAAAGTGAGAGGCTCAAAGTCAATTATTTTCACATTTACTTTCCTGGCTGTTGGTAGATAGACGTGAAACAGTCGCGCAATGCAAACAAAGATCGCGACAAACCATCTATAGCATATCATCATCTCTGTCCCCATCCTGCGGAGATCACGACACATTTAGCCAGGTCGAATAAAAAAGACGGATACGGTATTCTCTCCTTCCTTGCATCAATACCACAAAAACACTATGGTTGCCACGTTCGTCGTGTAAACAACAGCAAGAGCAGACTGACAGTGATGACAACTGTTGCATCTCAGTGTGTCTCCACTATCTTCATTAAGTATAGTAAAGAAGAAAGAGTACGAATGGTATGAAGAAGCGAAGGAAGGGGGGAAGAAAGACGAGTTTGGGGGAGGCATGGGAATGAGAGCATGTGTCGAGAAACTAGACTAGAACAAGGCAGTGTTGACTTTTTCTTAGGGCGGGACCAGGGAGAGAGGTGGAGGAAAGAGAACAAAGGAGCAGAGTCTGAGATGATGTTGCAAGGACTTAGACAAAGTACTCAAGCAACTGCTGCTGCTACTACTTGCACTAAAGGGAAGTGTGTCTGTGTGACCCGCGTGACCGCTTTAATTTTTTTTGGTCTCGATTTGAATATGAAGGCAGAACATTGGTGGCAAAAAAAGAAGGTCAGTGGACTCGAAAAAAGAAAAAAAAACAAAAGATTACTGAGCGGACGCACCCCCACACTACTGCCATAGTGCTGCGTCCTTTAATTGCTCAGATAATGGAGGTTGCACGGACAGGTTTGAACCCGCGGCTGTTCATCCCCGAGGACGATAAGTAGAACACCTATACTAGACGCGGGCAGTTCTTTTATCGCCGCTCCAACCAATTGAGCCATTGCAACCTCGCTTACTTATCCCCGGAAAAGCCTCAAATTTAAACACTCAACCCTGCATCTTTGAATGCCTCCAGTAACTCCAACCTACAGCCGTCTACCCTCTTTTTTACGACCAGAGGTTTGTCTTGACAAGGCACACATTCTGCACTTTGACAGACCATGCACTTTAGCATTGCAAAGGCATACGTTTCCTCGAAGACTTAGTTTCACCCGTTTCTATCTCTACATTGCGTCCTAGAAAATGGTCAAGACAGCCTTTTTTGAATAAAAGTAGGGAGGAGAAAGGGCCTCGGGAAGGCTGCACGATGTATGTCAAGAAAAAGGAACATAGAAGGACAACTCGTAGCTGTGTGTAAAAGATGAAGGGTTGACAATAGAAGGCGAAGAGGCTGAGTTGGCAATAGCTAAAATGAAACAAAAAAGAAAGAGTCGGTGTAGGTATGGGAATTGGAGGGTCAAGAAAGAGACAATGAAGTGGGGGGGGGGCAGAAAGGAGAGTAATGGGGGAATGAAAGAAGGAAAGATAGACGATGGAGCAGGAAAGAAATGGCAACTCTAACAACTCTAGACTAATGACAACAAACGCTGGTGGCGGAAGGCCAAGAACAGCAAGAACAAGGCGTTTGGTCTCTCCAACAATCATCTTTTGCTCTGAGAATGGTAGTAGTAAGAAACTTGGGCCATGGACACAAAAAGAAACACGTATGCCTTTGCCGCCCTTCTTGATATAACCATTGTATGGTTCTTTGGGGGGGGGGGGGTTGGCCTTGCTGTGAACACAGATAACCAGAGTAGACACTCGCACTTGTCCGAGTCATTGTTCTGTTGATTCGAGAACGAGAAGGAGAGTGAGAGCGAGATTGAAAAGTAAGTGAATAGAGCGGAGGAGAGAGTGCAAAGACAAAAGGGAAATGGGATGACTGCTTAGAGAGCCGAGGGGAATGAAAGTGGCTGCAAAAGAGAATGAGAGAATGAGAGAATGAGATGAGTGAAGTAGCATCGGTAGCGACAACAGAAGAAGAGACAGACAAGGAACAGTGTGGGAGTGAAGCAGTGAAATTGTTGTTGTTCTGAGAGAATAAAAAAAGAGAGGGAGAAAAAGACAGGGAGAGAGAGATTATCGACAAGAGAAGGGAAAAAAAAGAGAGAGAGAGAAGTATCGACAAGAGAAGAGAAAAAAAGAGAGAGACAAGGGAACGGAAAAAGAGACACAGTAAGAATAGCGAAGGAAGGAAAAAAGCAAAGGGCACACACACACACACACACACACACACACACACACACACAACTCAGACACAATTGTCTACATCCACCCTTTCGCTTTTTCTTCACATGGTCCACGGTCAATGTCAACGTGGTTGGTTTGGCACGATGAACGGTTCAGATGAGACTGTATTGTTGATCGCTGCAGTGATCGGTGAAGCAAAAAGTTCCACTACAAGGTGTATTGATACATTTGTTAGTATGCTACGATCGGATGGATACCCATGCAACAGCACGAAAGGGGCGCAAGGAGCAAGACGAAAATGTCTGCATTTGCGAGAATTACTTTTAACCAAGGGTCCTAGGAGACTTGAATTTTAATGAGTAGACGTCAAGAACGAGAAGGACAAAGAGAAAGCAAGTCAAGGAGCGAGGAGCAGGGAAATAGAGGTAGAGATAATGTAGGTAGAGGCGAACGAGATATTAGTTTTGTGTAAGCATAACCAGCGAGCCGTTCCATCCGCAGGCAGAGACGGTAGCAGAAAAGGGTTGTCCAAGAAAGCGTAATGTAAAAAGGAGTGAACAAGAGAATAGTTGCAAGCATGACTATTTTTGAACTTGAACATGCACTGTTGGTAAAAGCATATATTTGCAGGTGGCCAACACGGTTGCTGCTTTGAAGTGCATACCACGGCCGACTGCAGAGTAGAAATGATTGGTATAGGTGGTGGTGATGGCGGTGGTGATGGTAGTGGTGTAGCGAGGTGGCGTCTGAGTCATATAAAGGAGTTGAAAGAAAGGAAGTAGGGAGGAAAGCAAACTGTAGTGAATGAGAGATGACGAGGAGATAAAGTGAGGGAGTGAAATGAAAAGAAAAGAAAAAGAGGAAAGGAAAGAAAAGCATGAAGAAGGGGAAGGAAAAGTCAGATTTGATTAGCTGTAGCCAGAGCAGAAGCAGCTTCACCCAGACTCAGCACTCCACTCCCACGATCAATGCAGAGGAAAACAGACTCTTCTTTGCCTTCCCCCTCTCATTAATCCCTCTACTCCTTTGCATCCCAGTGGATACCCGCCATGAGAGCCTTATACTTTCCTGTAGCCATGTTTATGTATGCGTTGAGTCTCTGCTCCAACGACTTCATTATTTTGCTGCTGGCGTGCATGATGGCAAAACAATGATGGAAAAACAAAGCCAGTGAACGCTTCAGCGTGGGCTTGAGAAAGAAAAAAGAAAATGCTAGGGTCAGGGCCGTTGTCAATGACTTCGGTCAGTACCAATCCAACGTGAATGAGAATGCGACATTAGTATCTCCCTACTTTTTATCCGTCAAAGTAATTCTGCTACTTGCAAACCAGTCCAGTCGATCTGCTTATGATATGTGTTACCTCGCTATCACATTGTACGTCACCTATGGATTCAGAAACAAAGCAACGCGACATGTACGTACCTCGATGCGCTGTTGGGGGCGAGGCAGCCTGGCCTTGATGGCTGATTTGGGAACGTTCTTCAGGAATACACTAAGCGAGACTCTAGGAAGGGTAGGCAAGGGCTTAGACGAGATGTCCAGGGACCTGAGCAGTTGGTCGTCCTTTCCAAGAGCCGAGGGGAAGGTGAGGGCGTTACCAGCAGCTGCGTCTTGATCGACTTGTTTGAAGGGACGGATGGTCATAGTGTCCGAGAAATAGGTCTATGGTGCGCCAATAGCAAAGTCGATGAACCCGACAAGCATAAATGTCAGCAATTGTGGTTGTGAAGCATGCTGAGCTGAGTGTAATACTGAATTGCTTCTGTTTGTTCTTCTTATCTTGCTTGTTTGTGTGTTTGGTTCAAAAGCGGAGATGGTGTCGATTGTTTAGGGGTATGGATGTTGGCGACTGAAGGAAGTCAGTGTTAAAGAGGTAAAGCGACTGAAAGAACGTCTGATCAAGGGAGACAGGAAAACTTCATTTCGAATAGGGAGGTGCATCGCCACTGAAGACAACATATTTTTAAAAGGGGACTTTCGAAGAGTGAGAGCAGACAAGCACAGTTCCAGAGCTGGAAGCACTTTTTTCTTTCCTTCCACTTCAAAGCTTGCTGTGGTTCCCGCTCTCATCCTTTTTTTTTTGCGCTACCGTTTTTTTTTGCAATCTGACAGGTCGTACTGAACTGATGTGTGGCGGATAAGATGTCACTCGACTTTTGGTAGGTCTATCATTTCTTACGGAGAGAGCGAGAGTGAATGACGCGTGAAGTATTCTTTTCAAATTGTACAATCTGGAGATATCTAGTCGGATCTGTCTTGCGCATCTTCTTTGTCCAGGTCTGGAGAGGGAGTAACAGTCCTTTGCTGGGGTCACCGTTCTCCTATTGATTGACAGCTTCTTGCCACATCGAGACGGTAGGAATACGCGGAGCAGGTGGTGGTGGTTTGACATGCTGCTGTTGAATCACTGGATCAGCACGCAGAGGCAAATGGCGCACATTGTGTCGCTTGGCGACTGGATATGAAGGTGGGTGCGCTGTTGCTGACTCCTGCACTTGTGGCATTGCTTTATTCTGTGCTCGAGATGGCTATTGACGTTGCTAATGCGATAGTTGAGTTACAATGGTTGTCAATCCATCGACAGCGGCTTGAATTGATGTAACAAGTGATGAAGCCACATTATCAAATCGGTTATCGATCTCTTCGTTCTGGATTGATAGCCGGTGATTAATATCTCTGGCAATGTTGTTCGCAGTGTTTCCAAATATGATGCCAGGATTTTTTTCAGTGATCGAGTTCGTCCCTGGAGTGTCGTTGAGGAGACAAGACAAGAAAAGCACGGAAAAAGAGGAAAGGTGATTGTCAAGATGTGCAAGCAGGTATAACAAGAATGAACATGTCAAGATAGAAATGTGGTGCAAAGAGATGTAACAAGAATAAGAATAATATGCAGCAGGAACGACAAAAGTGAATATCAAGAAATGTGAGCCCAGGTTCGCGGCATAGACCATCCTCCCCACCATTTCACTGCCTCCAGTGACCATTTCTCATTGGCAAACATGGAACGGTATTGGGCTCCACCGCGACGAAAGCAATGCACAGTGAATAATGGCCTTTGAAGAAGTACACCAAAGCAATGACATTGACCATCAGAGTGGGTCGTGTTAAGCATATCCCATCTGCGGTGCAGAATAAAAGATTCCTCTCTTTCTGCCCATTGACACACCCACTAGGTTTGTGTGTTTTAAAAACACTACAGAAAAAGAAAAAGACTACAGAGAAAGAGAAAAAAATAAAAGATTAATTGAGACCACAATCCATCACTGCTGCTCCAGTGCTACACGTTACTCAACTAAGAGGTTGCACGACCCCAGATTCGAACCTGGTTCGAATTCGGGAACACGCTGTTGACGTTAGCAGGTCTATCAGCGCGGCTTAACCGATAAAGCCATTGCAACCTCAGTTACTTATCCCCCGGAAAACTCTCAAATTTAAACACTCAACCCTGCATCTTTGAATGCCTCTATCAACTCCAATCTACAGCCGTCTGCCTTTTGTTTTATGACCAGAGGTTTGCCTTGCCAAGGCACTTCATTCGCTTTATCCCCTCGTCATCTCTCATTCACTACAGTTTGCTTCCCTCCCTACTTCCTTCCCTTCAACTCCTTTATATGACTCAGACACCACCTCGCTACACCACCACCATCACCACCGCCATCACCACCACCTATACCAATCGTTTCTACTCTGCAGTCGGCCGTGGTATGCACTTCAAAGCAGCAACAGTGTTGGCCACCTGCAAATATATGCTTTTACCAACAGTACATGTTCAAGTTCAAAAATAGTCATGCTTGCAACTATTCTCTTGTTCACTCCTTTTTACATTACGCTTCTTGGACAGCCCTTCTCTGCTGCCGTCTCTGCCCGCGGATGGAACAGCTCGCTGGTTATGCTTACACAAAACTAATATCTCGTTCGCCTCTACCTGCATTATCCCTACCTCTATTTCCCTGCTCCTCGCTCCTTGACTTGCTTTCTCTTTGTCCTTCTCGTTCTTGACGTCCACTCGTTAAAATTCAAAGCCTCCTGGGACCCTTTGTTTAGCACCATTCTCGCAAATGCAGATATTTTCGCCTTGCTCCTTGCGCCCCTTTCGTGCTGTTGCCTGGGTATCCATCCGATCATAGCATAGGTACAAATATATCAATACACCTTGTAGAGGAATTCTTTGCTTCATCGATCGCTACAGCCATCGACAATACAGTTTTACTTGAATCGTTGGTGGTGCCAAGCTAACCACATTGACATTGACCGTGGACCATGTGAAGAAAAAGCGAAAGGGTGGATGTAGACAATTGTATCTGAGTTGTGTGTGTGTGTGTGTGTGTGTGTGTGTGTGTGTGTGTGCCCTTTGCTTTTCTCCTTCTTTCACTATTCTTCCTGTGTCTCTTTTTCCGTTCCCTTGTCTCTCTCTTTTTTTCTCTCTCTCTTTTTTTTCCCTTCTCTTGTCGATAATCTCTCTCTCCCTGTCTTTTTCTCCCTCTCTTTTTTTATTCTCTCAGAACAACAACAATTTCACTGCTTCACTCCCACACTGTTCCTTGTCTGTCTCTTCTTCTGTTGTCGCTACCGATGCTACTTCACTCATCTCATTCTCTCATTCTCTCATTCTCTTTTGCAGCCACTTTCATTCCCCTCGGCTCTCTAAGCAGTCATCCCATTTCCCTTTTGTCTTTGCACTCTCTCCTCCGCTCTATTCACTTACTTTTCAATCTCGCTCTCACTCTCCTTCTCGTTCTCGAATCAACAGAACAATGACTCGGACAAGTGCGAGTGTCTACTCTGGTTATCTGTGTTCACAGCAAGGCCAACCCCCCCCCCCCCAAAGAACCATACAATGGTTATATCAAGAAGGGCGGCAAAGGCATACGTGTTTCTTTTTGTGTCCATGGCCCAAGTTTCTTACTACTACCATTCTCAGAGCAAAAGATGATTGTTGGAGAGACCAAACGCCTTGTTCTTGCTGTTCTTGGCCTTCCGCCACCAGCGTTTGTTGTCATTAGTCTAGAGTTGTTAGAGTTGCCATTTCTTTCCTGCTCCATCGTCTATCTTTCCTTCTTTCATTCCCCCATTACTCTCCTTTCTGCCCCCCCCCCACTTCATTGTCTCTTTCTTGACCCTCCAATTCCCATACCTACACCGACTCTTTCTTTTTTGTTTCATTTTAGCTATTGCCAACTCAGCCTCTTCGCCTTCTATTGTCAACCCTTCATCTTTTACACACAGCTACGAGTTGTCCTTCTATGTTCCTTTTTCTTGACATACATCGTGCAGCCTTCCCGAGGCCCTTTCTCCTCCCTACTTTTATTCAAAAAAGGCTGTCTTGACCATTTTCTAGGACGCAATGTAGAGATAGAAACGGGTGAAACTAAGTCTTCGAGGAAACGTATGCCTTTGCAATGCTAAAGTGCATGGTCTGTCAAAGTGCAGAATGTGTGCCTTGTCAAGACAAACCTCTGTCGTAAAAAAGAGGGTAGACGGCTGTAGGTTGGAGTTGCTGGAGGCATTCAAAGATGCAGGGTTGAGTGTTTAAATTTGAGGCTTTTCCGGGGATAAGTAAGCGAGGTTGCAATGGCTCAATTGGTTGGAGCGGCGATAAAAGAACTGCCCGCGTCTAGTATAGGTGTTCTACTTATCGTCCTCGGGGATGAACAGCCGCGGGTTCAAACCTGTCCGTGCAACCTTCATTATCTGAGCAATTAAAGGACGCAGCACTATGGCAGTAGTGTGGGGGTGCGTCCGCTCAGTAATCTTTTCTTTTTTCGAGTCCACTGACCTTCTTTTTTTGCCACCAACGTTCTGCCTTCATATGCAAATCGAGACCAAAAAAATTAAAGCGGTCACGCGGGTCACACAGACACACTTCCCTTTAGTGCAAGCAGTAACCGTAGTAGCTCTTCACCTAGTAACTTGAGTACCTTGTCCAACACCATATCAGACGCTCTGCTCCTTTGTTCTCTTCCCTCCACCTCTCTCCTTGATCCTGCCTTAGGAAACTGTCAACCCGGCCTTGTTCTAGTTTTGTTTTTTTTTGTAAAAATCTCCTGTCTCTTTTCAAGAGATATTCTGATATTATCTTTTCCTCTCATTTTTTGTCCATGTGTCCCTTTGTGCTTCCCTCATCCCCACTCTCTCGTATGTGTCCTTCTGTCATCACTCACCCATGCGCTGCTATCTGTTCTCTGCATAGCATCTCTCTCTTTTTCAGAATTTCTCATTCACCATATCCCCTCACCCTTCCTCCTCATCTTCATTTGTCTTTGTGACATCTCGGGTATGATGCAGAAAACAACAGCAAGAGAAAGCAAATTGAATCGACGCCACCAACTTGCTACAGGGGCGAAGTCACGCAAGGAAAAGAAAATCAATCGTGCGCAAATTAACTTTACGACTATATGCATTTCTGTGCAACAAACGATCGGCGTAATGATCTTATGGGCAACACGATTCCTGACCTCCCTCACACCTTCCCCCCCCCCTTTCACCAAGTCATCTACTTCACTTGCAACAACTGGTCCTCGCCAATGAGCGACTCCCTCTTTTCGACCTTGCATTTTCAAAAACACTCGACAACCCCCCTACCGCCAGATACGTATTCAATCACAACGTCAATTCGTTCACAGGATTTCGTCGGCCTCGACCATCCTCAAGCAATATGTTGCCCTAGAAATACTCCATGTAGGCCTCAACTACGACGTCAGACACTTAAATCACCCTTGGCGACGCTATGGAGCACCCCTGTGGTTTGCGCCATGCTGACCCCACCTGACTCTTCCCATCAGTGGATGCTTCCTCCCCGACAACAACGACCTTAAGCCTGTCATTCTTTGCCCCCCCCCCCCCCCCCCCCCCCCACCTCCTCGATCACATTCACCGACGCCGAGGAATACCTCTTCACCCGCTTGGAGACTCTCTACCGACAGTTCGGCACATCAACAAACTTGCAGAACTAGAGATGGGGAGCACCGGTACACCGTGGGTTGGAGTGAAGCGAACCTGGATTGACCAGAATTGGCCATCACTTTGTCATGGTGCATTCTTTTTCCCCTGCCAAAACTCATCAACAAAAAGTCGCCCTGAACTTTAGGTGATATTAGTGACGCAGGCGGGGTTCAGGACCGTAACTGAAAACTGGTCATTCTCGATTTTACAAAGTGTGATTGTTAAATGCCTTTTTATGTTTTTTTTTTTGAGGGGAAATGAATGGATATGCAGATGAAATAAAAGGGAGCTACCAAGATTTACCGATGAGTAGAGATGGCAGATTTCTCGTCACGTCGATACCCGTTGACGCCCCTGGATGTCCGACCACGGCTGTTCCTGCTGCTGCTGACGCTGTTCGACCGACTACTCCGACGGCTATCATTCTCCTCCTCCTCCTCCTCACGCTCATACTCGCCATAAAACTCCTGCCGGTATCCCTTGCGAGGGGTTGTTCCAGTAGATCCATGACGCTTGCTGTCCTTCAAAGACGCCTGGTCAACTGCCATCCTGGTGGTGGATGATCTTGCGCTGCGGGGTCTGGTCAGACCTCGCGAAGGCTTACCGCGGAGCTCGAGCAAAGCGGACCAGATCGAGGGGACGGCGGCAAAGAAGACAGGTCCGAGCAAGAGACCCTTGGGTCCCCACTTCATGCCGCCCAAGAAGACCCACAGACCCAACCAGAAGGCCGACGAGACACCTGGACGAGCATTCTTGACCACATGCGAATCCCAAACGGCGCCATCGACCAAGTTGCCCAAGAGGAAATGTCCGACGACCATGGCAACGGCTTCCTTGGTTCTCTGACCGTAGATGTAAAAGTGAACGAGTCCTCCTGGAATGGCGACGAGCCAGTTGGGCGCAATTGGGAATAAGGTCAAGACAATGCCAAAGAGGGACGTCAACCATGCATACTTGATGGGGACAAAGTCGGGAGACGCCTCTCCTGTAGCGACCATGAGTGTGACGCGGTCGGTCAAGAAATGAGTCCAGGCAAGCGTGAACAAGGTGTGGTAGATAGAAAGCTTGAACATCGAGATGAACGTTCCAGAGATCGAAAACTCGAGGCTCTTGGCAAGGATGCGTCCGGGTGAATAGGTGTCCGAGAGGTGGAATGATCCAAAGGTAGTCGACGAGCTCAAAGCTTGGTCGATGATCCAGCCGAGACGTTGCAGAGGCGAAACCTTGAGCCCGGTGAACGTCATCAGAACCAGCATAAAGAGGATCCCGCGGAAGAGGAGGTCGTTGAAGACGTTGAAGCCCCAGAGCATCATGGGGGTATCGAGACCCTTGTATCCAAAGATGATGCTCAGCAGGTATTTCGCCTGCGAGATGTTGATAGCCCTTTGGCGCGGCGTGTTGTTGATGTCGTTGTCGGAAAGGGTACCGAAGGCAGCTTTGTTGTCTGATCCAGACAGAAGGAGCGATTGCAATGTGGGAATAGGCCACAATTCCGGCTCCTCCAGAGTCATGTGGTCGTGAATTTCGTTAGTGTCGTTAATGTCGTTGTCGTCGTTATGATCGTTATTGTCGTTATTGTCGTTATTGTCGTTATGGTTGTTGTGTTCCTCCTTGTCTACGCGAGTGGAAGCGAAATCCAGCGAGGAAAGTGTGGTTTGATCGGCAGGATGAAGAAGCAGCTCGTTCAAGTCAACCTTCTTCTCCTCAGGTGCCTCGCATGTCGCCTTGGCCTTGGCATCCGCCGCCGCCGCCGCTGCTGCTGCTGCTGATGCCCGCGCTGATGCTGCCGATGCCTGTGCTGCTGCCGCTGCTGCCGCTGCTGCATTCTGAAAGTGATCCAAATCGACGACGACATGGGCCAACTGGAACGCCCATTCTGTCGCACCCCATGTGAGGTCTGGGAAGGCTTCCTTCAGAATAGGGTCGAACCATTGGAGTCCTGTGTCGTATGCCTGCGACAAGGCATCGTCCACTTGACTAACCAGGGTTGATTTAGGTACTGGTGGTACTCTTGCACTCTGAGCATTCTCGAGCGTCCATTGTGCCTGCTCCTCTCTGAAGCCCATGACTCTGTGATGTGTTTGTGCGAGAAGTCCTTGAACATCATGGGCGACGCCGATGGACAGAATAGCAACGAGAGTTCCAACGACAGCGATTGTTGACAGCACAATGGTGGTAGTGAGTGCAGAGTTGAGACTCTCCTGCAAGACTTTCCTGAACATCTTGGGAACTGTGTTGATGATGGACCGCTCCTTGTACTGGTCTGGCGTCAGCTTAGGGTAGATAACACGCTCAATCACGGCAACAATACGGCCCAAGCAAGAGTACTGAATGTGGAACATGAAGGCAACTATCAGGATGTTGAACTGCTGTTGAGTCCCGAACTCGATTTCGCTCCAGATGGCCTTGACTCCTGACCAGAGTTCCGAAGGGGTGCCCACCTGCAGCAAGCCATAGATGAAAGCTGCTCGCAGGAGGTTGGTGTATGATGGCCAATTGGCGGGGCGCGCATATCCGTCCTGTTCCTGATCGACAAGTGTTTGGTAATCGGGGTGGAGTTCGTAGTCATCATCATCGATCCTGTTCAATTGCCTCTCCTCCGAGAAGTCCTCCTCACGATCGACGCTGTCGTTTGCACACGATTCGTCTTTGGTAGGAGCTGTAGTCTTTTTGCCCATGTTGTCGCGTGGCCGGCCATCGCAAAGCATGTACACGACATAGCAGTAGCCGAGGAAGACGGACTTGACAGCATTGGCAATGTGGCTCCCAACAAAGAACTAAATAAAGTCACAAAAAGTAAAATTAAATGCAACGAGTGAGCGCTCTGACATATGCTATCGCACAATAGGGGTGTTCTTTGCAAAACAAGCAAAGGTCTGCCTTACCCTCAGGATATAGGTCGCTACTCCTCCGATGGCCGAGGCAATGGTATCCATGAGGTCGTTCTCCAGTGCATTATGGAGCGGAGGCAGCAACCTTGACTTCAGCGCATGCTACAAGTAGGGTGAGAAATAATACAAATAGGTCGAGTCAGCTCGCAAGTCAATTGGCCATGGCGATGATTGTATTACTGATACGTGTCTCGCTTGCTTACCAGAGGTACAGAGAGTGCTGTCGCCCAAAAGATGGGTGTCCAGAAAGGGATGATACTTCGCGCAGTTAAAAGTCAAGTGAGAAGGATGAATGAGTATCTTTTGTCCCTGTAGGGTGCCCTTTGTTTTGCTTCACCAGCAGTTTGTTTCTGGTGCCGAGTCCTGACATGAGTGGGGAGTTTTTTTTCATGGCATTGTTCTGCTTGCTTTCTTACATGGCATAGTTTGTCCAGAGGATGATTCCAAAGTAAATGAAGAGGACGGTGACAGTGCAGAGGACGAGCGCGTCCTTTGGTTGCATGGTGTGCAGAAGTGTCATGAAGGTATGCTTTTTCTTGCAGAGAGTTGGCGAGAGTGAGTGTGTGTGCGCCAAGAGTGAAGGTGAATGCTGTTGTGTAATTGCGTGTTGCCTGTGTAAAGAGCAATAAGGGTAAGCAAAGAGGAGTGTAGGGGAGCGAAAGTGAAGAAGGGTGAATGTAAAAGGCAGGGGTAACGGATTTTTTTTGTTTTTTGTCAACGAAAGTTGCAGGTGACTGCCACTGAAAAAATGAACGAACCGGGTCAGGGGTCAAAGCACACACGACATTGACGCGTCGACATTCATGAAAACTTTTCTGTCAAAGCAAAATCATGTCGAGTAAAGAAAAATAGCTTGTGTATTATTTATGCAGTGGTAGAGTCAATGTTCATGGCAGTGTCCGCCTCAGCTTCAGTAGAGGCAGTCTCTTCTCCTGCTTCTTCTGCCTTGGCCTTGTCCGTCTTTCCGTTCTTCGAAGGCTTTGCACTATCATCATCACTGGAAGGCACGAAAACAAGGACGGTACACTCAATGTCAGTCCAAACACCTAAGAGTCACTCAAGAGTTGCAAACAATTACCTTGTCCATAATAGTGCCAAAACTTACGCCTTTCGCTTGTTGGCACCGCCGGCCCTGGCCTGTGGTCCCCAGTTCTTGGTAGGGTTCATCTGGTAGCGCACCAAGTTGGTCTTTCTTGACTCTGATTTTGCGTCCGGGTGCATTTCAAAGTTGGCAATGGTCTTGGGCTCAACAGCCAAAATGCGACCAGCAGGCGACTCGGGCTTGATGTTCTTCACAGGGTTCAGCTTGACCCAGGAGCGCATGATATCCCAAAGAGCCGAAGGGGGCGCGTTTGTCTTGATCGATCCCTGGGCAGCATGAGATCCAGAAACCTTGTACTCTTGATGGAGAAGTGCAGATCTACGTGAATAGCGACAGTCAGGGTTAGATTTGACTGGTCGATAGTTCAATTGAAAGCCACAGTACTCTCAAGCGTCACTTACGAGATATGAAGGAGAGGAATGCTGGTGCAGTGCACAGTTCCTGAGAGTCCGTTGGCGGTGTAGTAAAATGGTGCCTCAATCTCCTCCTTGCAGACACTGAGCATTCCTAAAATACGAGGCTGAGTCTTGTAAAGATGAGACGCGTCCTTGACGTGCTTCAACATGCGATCAATGAAAGGCACCGAGTGAAGCTCCTTGCCCCACATAGGTCCAGCAATCTATACAAAAGTCGGTAAGTTAGCCCATTGTCTGTGATAGGTTGAAACGTGCTGCTTTTGATTGACCCTCTGTTCGGTATGCATCCTGCTTACATGGAACCGACTGTTGCAGTGCTCGCAGCGGCCGTCGACTGGTGGTCCAGTGCTGACACCAAACTTCAAGTTTCCTTTGGCACCTTCCGTTGCCTTTCCGAGAGCCTGAGTGTAGGTAGATTGGCATCCAGTGCAGACATAGGCAACGCATGTTTTGCTATCAAGTAAAAATGCAAGAAAATGATCAGCTGCGTTGAAGACGCGAAATATGATCATTACCCGAGAACATAAGTAGTGCCTATGCTCTTACCTTCCAAGCAACTTGACTTGCGCGGCAGAGGTGTAAACGCGGACGAAAACACGAAGATAATAATCAATGCTGAGAGAGACCATAGGGACGATGTGTCTCTTGTAGCGAGCAGCAGAGATGGACAGAGTGTTCAAAACCAAGCGAAGTGCAACTTCATGGCAGAACTCGGCCTTGACAGGGTGACCTCCGTACTTGGCGTAACTATTGTCGATATTATGACCCAGAGTTGTGTTAGACAAGTGATCCCCCGCTTATTGATTTCGTCCGCATGCAGCCATGACATATCCCCAAAATTCCAGCTGCAATAGTATTCCATCGTACCAAGTCTCGGTGTAGTTGGTTCCGGCGAGGACAGCGAGATCCGTGCAAGTAACACAGAGCAATCCTACATAGTGTTGAAAGGATAGAGAGTGGAATGTCAGTTCACGTGGATGCTGAATGGATGTGTGGATGATCGTATATGTTGGGAGAGTTCATACCTCCGTCGGAGACTGCTTGGACAGCGCCATCGATGAAGGGTGAAGCAGTTCCGTAAGGGTCCAGATCAATGACATTGTAACGTTTCAAAGGATCGCGGTGTTGGTACAGGACATCACTAAAAAGAGGGGCAGTGGACATCCAAAAGAGTGCATGCTGGGTGAGTCGGTGGCGAAGTCGATTAATGATTGATCAAAGGTTCAACCCTTTCCTTCAAGTGTAGACATCCTGCAAAAGTGTCCTTACATGGCGTCTCCTTTGTGAGGCTCTAAAAGATCGGGGCTGACTCCGTTGAACTCTGCGTTGCGCTTGATCGAGGTGACAGCATCGGCTTCCAGATCGTTGGTGAGGATGTGACGGACATTGGGGATCTCTTTTGCGTAGCGAATGGATCGAAGTCCTGAGGCAGAGAGTGCTTCCAAAATGGTGATTCCACGAGTAGCCGTGGGGTCGCTTCCCTCGGGAAACTCCTTCTCTGGCAAGGGGTCAAGACCATCGATGGCTCTCTTGGCGGCATTGGCCTCCTTGCGAGCCTTCTTCTCGGCGAGGCGAGCAGATCGCTCTTCCTGGTAGATCTCGTCCCAGGTGCGAATGGCGGCGATGGAGATATCGCGGTTGAACTCCTGGATGGGGTTGTAGAAGACCTCGTTGGTGTCGGGGAAGAGGATGGTTGCCTTTCCCTCGGTGACCTTCTTGAAGCCTGCGGGGGCGGGTCCCTCGGTTTGATCAGCCATGGTTGATTTGTATCGACGTTGAAGAGAGTTGAAGGGTAGAATAGAAAGGCGTTGTGTTGTTCCGTAGAGGTTGGTGACTGTGCTCTGTTTAGGGTGGGAGGAGAAGAACTGTGTCCTGAGTACTGGTGGTGGTGGTGAGGGCAAGAAGAAGAGGCGTTTGGCGGTGGTTGACAGACGTGGCAGGGCGAATGAACCAAGGAGCATGTAATGTTCAGTTCGGTGAATGAATGAACAAACAAACAAAAAAAAAAGAAAAAAAATCGAATACGGTTAGTTGTATTGAGCCAGTGCGTGGCTTAGATCAAGGGATTGGCACAAGCAAGATTTGTGATTTGCGCACGCGGGCGGGGAAGAGGGAAGGTGGTGGATGGAGACACACAGAGCAGCTGGCTGGCTCGAATCTGGAAGAAGGGTTGAACTGGGTGGAAGGTCGTCGACTTTTCTCTTTTTTCGTTATTCACCCGCCGCCATAAAACACCCTCACAAACACACCTTCCCCTTCCCGTTTCCCCTTTCACTCACTCACACTTACCCCTCCATCCACATCATGAACTCACCCAACTCTGTACAGCACCGCGCCTTCGACGAGCACTCTCGTCTGTAAGTATCTTTATTCTCTCTTCATCCACACTCACTCACTCACACTCACTCCGCTCCTACTCACCCGCCCAACCTCTATGGCTAATGACCAACAACAACAACAACAACAAAAACCACCTCTCGGCAGTCTGTTAACTCACACACCTCTCGCTTTCCCATGACATAAACCCAATAGTCAGTCCAAACCCCAGACTCTCGACGATATCTACGGCGAGCCCGAGAACTTTTTGGAGATTGAGGTCAGGAATCCTCAGAACCACGGTAAGGGACAACGCAATGACAAACGGCCAATGGACAACCTCTTCATCTCATTTCAACCACCCCACCGGCAGGAAGACCACCACTTGGTTGCTCTCTCTCTTACTTGACGTAGACAACAGTGGAGGTTAAGAGTTAAAAGATACGATGAATAGCAAACGACACACGGCGGACGTGTGAAAAATGAAACGTTTTTTTGTACTCGGCACGCTCTGTTATAGTAGACTTTCTCTCGCTTGCTCTTTGTTGGCTCGACTTTCTCGCTAGAAGAGACTATCAAGGAGTACCAAGGGTGAACTTTCGACGGTCTTTTTCTCCTTTGGCTGACCTCAATCCCTTTGGACCTCCTTTTTTTTGGATCGTTGTTGCCAATACGCTCGATAAACTCCTATTTGTATGCCAGGTGTCGCCCGCAAGATGTTCACTGATTATGAGATTGTCTGCCGAGTAAGTACTTTCTGCATCCACATGATCATATGTCCTCTCTTACCGCCTTCCTTCTCCTTCTTCCCCTTTCCTGGTTGTTATTTTTCACTGCTGTGCCCGCTCACTCTTTCCCCGTCTTGCCGATGTGGCATGGTTGTCTGTGTATCTATCGGAGTGAACATCCGCGTTTTCCAAAGGATGACCACTGACGACGACACTTGCAGCAACAGGAAAAAGAAACAGAAAACACATGGCAGCACCAGTCTTGTGTGGAACACAGGAAAAGAGAACGATCAAAATACCAACACAGCGCCAGTCTTGTGAGAACACAGGAAATAGAAATGACCCAGGTGTCAATATCATGTCACAACATGACATATACTCACATGCTCTCTTTTATTGGCCGTTGTCTCTGGTTCTTCCTGGATTCTTGAAACTTGGTAACATTGTTTCTCGTGCTATAGACCAATATCCCTGCCTTCAAGCTGAAGTCTTCGACTGTTCGCCGCCGTTACTCTGATTTCGAGTGGTTCAGGGATGTGTTGGAGAGAGAGTCCTCCAGAGTCAACATCCCCCCACTGCCCGGAAAGGTCTTCACCAACCGCTTCACGGATGAGGTCATTGAGCAACGCCGCGAGGGATTGGAGCGTTTCCTTCAGATGTAAGTCTCACGAGTCATGACAATTCAGGGGAAAGAAAAGAGATGCCCTGCAGATGGAAGTCCTCGTCACAAAGAGTGTTTTTATTATGATGCAATCGTACTTTTTTTGCTCACTTGTGCACGGGGTCGATAGATAGTGGGGTATCATGGTATCTGACCAAACTTCTCTTATCATTGTGTCGTTGATAGTGTTGCTGGACACCCTCTGTTGCAGACAGGAAGCAAGGTGTTGGCGGCCTTTATTCAGGACCCTAGCTTCAGCAAGGACTACTACCACTATTAAAAACATCAGTCCTTCGGCAGTGCGCGCAGATCAAATGGAGCAAGGATCATGGGGCTTTTAGGCGGTAATACGCTCTTTTACATCTGGAAAGTTGTGTCGCTACCAATATTCTACTTTTGCTCCAAACTACTTGCCAGCATGAACCCCTCTTTTTACTTTTCTTCTTTCCCGAATCTACCTGTACACTACTCGACACAAACAGCACACTCACTCGCACACATGGACACAGATATAAGCGCAACACAACAAAAAGGCGAATAAAAGCAACATGGCATTTTTGGCGGGAGATAACAACACAGTTCGCCGATACTTTCTTCTTATCAAACATCCTCACTTCCCCACGAACCCAAGAAAAAAAAATAAAAAAAAATGATGGCTGACCATAGTGTGCTGTGGTCGTGGTCTACGTATGTAGGAGCACACTACAGGCGGAGTGGGGAATTGACGATTGGAGGGACAAGGTTATCATTAATGAGAAGAGATTATCAGGAAAGATATGGCTCAGGGACCATTTTACAGGCGAGATGCGCATGAGGTAGGGATACTATCGCGCACTTGCAAGGCAAGACTGAATAGCAATAACAAAGCGGCAGGCTGTGCTTGCGTTAACTGCAGCTGGGCGCTTGAGCAAAGAGCACAGAGCAGTTCTTTTCGCCTACCGCCGACTAGAGGTCCATAGTGAACGCGTCATTCTGGTGGTCAAGATTCGATCTCTAGAAGACCTCGACATCTGCATGGCATTTGTTCAACTTGCAGTCGAGTGGAGGGGTGCTATCAAGATCTGGACGAGAAGGTTACTTGCCCTGCCACCTTTAAACGGGTTAAACTGGAAAAACTTGTTTCCCGGTATCATCATTATTTATCCCCTTTTAACATGATTAATTGAGCCAAGAGAAGGGGGTAAAAGCTGAACGTGAAGCACGACGAAGAGAAAAAACAGAGATGAAGGCGAAATCTCCTTCACGGATAAACAATACGGATACGGAGATAACAATTGAACAAAGGCAATGTCGATCAGCGCATTGTTCTTTTTAGTGCGTGTTTATATGTGTCTGTGATGAAGAAAAGAAAAGAAGGTCTGAAGGTGCAAGGGAAAGGAACGCGTCAAGTCTTCGTAGAATCGCGCCATAGTCCATAGATCGCGCCTCCTTTTTTTTCAGTTTGAATTTCGTTTTTAACCATTGGTTTGTGTTCGGTCCTCTTCTGTAGTCAGTACAAGAAGGGGGGGTTGAATGGAGTCGACCCGCCGCTTTCATTCTCTTTTGGAAAGAAAAGGAAACATGTATAGGAGGTGTTTGCCTTCAGATTCTGCGATAGTGGAGCGAAACAAGACGTGTGCCTATCGGGGATCTGAAGGTGTAGATGATGGCGTCTTTTTGCACCAAATGCACATTTACTTTCCGGATAGAGCCGATTGGTCGAGGTTTATCCACCCCAACTCCATCGCCAATTGCTCCCTTTCCATTATGTTCTATGATGAGGAGTGTGCTTTCTTTGCATATTCTCATGTTTCTATATCCTCGTGAACCCTGCAAATACTACCAGTGCTAGTGAGCATGCAGTTGAATTTGACAAGGAAAACAAAGATTCAAAGTTCCATTGGGACGAGAAGAGAGGGTTATCGTTGCTCCTTGAGTGGCCATGTTTCGGTGTCATTGGAAGGTTTTCACACACACAGAGGGAGAGAGAGGGGAAAAGGGAAAAAAGGCGCTACCAAGATCCTTGAAGCAAACCCCTTGAGCGGAGAGGATCGGCGAATGACAATGTCGAATTTTTTTTTGATTTGGTGGAAGGGAAAGACTCAGGTACGCACGCCACGAGTATTGTTTGTTTTTTGTTGTCGCACAGGACTGTGTGTGTATTTACTCTCCGTACAGTACATGTTTGCACCAGTGCTTACACATTGCCCTCAGAAAAAGTGCGACAAAAGAGGAGGACACAGTGAGCGGGGCCTGGATTTCTCTCACTCTCTTTCGCAGAAAGGCATCCTTCCTTTATCATCGACGATAAACGGTATCATGGCTATCTGCTGACTGACAGCGCAGAAGGGTGCTGTACACGTTGTTACGGCCATGGAAGAAAAGGGCACTAACATTTCATTCCCAGTCAGTCAAATGTTTCCTTCCCTCCTCCCTCCCTCCCTCTTCTCTCTTCTTCTTTCCTTCTTTTTTCTTTCCTTCTTTCCTTCTCTCCTCCTCCTCCCCTCTCTCATTCTCTCTCCCTCATTCCACTTCCACTCCATTTGCATTTGCTTTAGAATCTCCTTCACCTCATTCCTTTCCTTTCTTCTCTGCCCAACAAATTCTTTTTCTCCTGCAGTGTCACCCACCCCGTTTGGTTGATCGTACCTGAATCTGCTCTTAATAATTCTTCACACGATCAGATTACAACTTTGCCCGCCCACTTCACTTCAACTCCACTTGCCTCCTCTCTATCTCTCTCTCTCTCTTCAACACGCCCCACTTTTATCTATCGCCACCTTCTCTCCTGCACCTCCCGCATTGGCCTGAAATCCCTCTCCCTCAACCGACCAAGACAAAAGACCCCCCCCCCCCCCCACACGCACACACACACACACACACACATCCACGTTGGAATGCTGCGGCCGATAAAGTCTCTTACTGCACTGCTCGTCGGCTGCCTCTTCCTCTTCACCTTCATCCTCATCTCCACCACATCCACCTCTCAACACAGCTACTACAGCCCTCGTCGTCCTTCCTCTCTCAGAGCAAGCCTCAACAGCGACGCATCCTGTGGATCCTCTTCTTCTTCTTCTTCTTCGTCAACACCAGTTTCTGTTGATAACGGCCTTCCAAAGAAGCAAGGAGGGCGCCCTGTCCCGACCAAGGTCACTCGTCAAGTCAGGCCCCTAGCCATCCTTATCGCACCCACCCCTCTTGGAAGAGATCGGTCATCCAATGTCGTCAACATCAATTACAACCAGGAACAGGAAGAGGAAGAGCGGTACCTGATGTACGTCCCCTACGCAGGAGTCACCAACCAACTCATCTCGATCTGGCACGGATCCCTGATCGCCAAGGCTCTGAATCGGACCTTGCTTATCCCTAACCTGAGCCCAAACGTCCACGTCGAATCTTCTGGAGGACAACAGCAGCAGCAGGAGCCCACAACAACGAAATGGTCAGAGTTTTTTGATCTGGACGAGTACGCGCGTAGAACTGGGGTGAAGATCGAGGAGCTGGATAACTTTTTGGAGCGGAGGGGGATTGTTGATCAGGCTACTGTTCACCCGGCGGTTGATGCTGCTATCACAAAGGTCCGGGAGGAGGGTCGGTTGAAGAGGAGGAGCTTGAAGATGATGATGAAGAAGCGGTCGGAGGACTTGGCGGAGCCTGGAAATCCTCATGCTGATAGAGAGGACAAGGGAACTGAGCAGGAGAGTCAAAAGAGGCAGAAGAAGACGAGAAGGGCTCACAAGAAGCGATGGATCCAGTTCGAGTCCCTTGTCCAGCAGAGCAACCCCATCGTCTCCAAATCGTCATCGTCCTCCTCCTCCTCCGCAGCAGCAGCAGCAACAGAAGCAGCAGGATTTCAGGAACCGGAATCAAACCAACCCTTCAAAGCACCAACCGTGATTACCTCCACAAAGAAAACAACCGTCCGCCCGATTCGCTTCCCGACAGTCCAGAAATGCTTCAGCGAAGCCGGCTATGGGACCGACCGCAGGATCGACATGACAGGCCGTCGCTTCATGCAACGCTACAATATCGACTCTACACTCACACCCACACCCTTCCTGGACCCTCTTCGGGATAACAGTTCGATCTGGTCACGGTGGAGGATGGATAAAGTCATTGAACGGTATCAACAGCCTCAGTACGCCCAGGAGGAGATTCTGTGTCTGGGACATGTTTATCGGTTGTTGCCCGGAGGGAACAACAGGGTTTGGACAGAGTTTGGTCAGTACTTTCGCTATACTGAGAGGGTCCAGGATTTTGTTGATCAGATCTTGGAGGAGCTCTTACCCAAGGATCAGGACCAAGCCCAAGAACAGAAACAAAAGCACAAAGTGCAGCCGTTTGTGGGACTCCACCTGCGAAGAGGCGACTTTTACCGCCACTGCCTCGGAATCACATCCCCCGCAGATCCTAACGGCTGGAACCGGTGCTACCCCTCGACCGATCACATCATCTCCCTCCTCGACTCTCCCCCCACCGCTTCAACCAAGAAACTCCCAGTCCTAGTCCTGACAAACGAACACGACCCCAAGGAGCTCGCAAAAGCCGATGCCCAGCACTGGATCCGCGTCGATCACGCAAAACTCGGAACGATCGAAAAATTCGGCCGGTACGGGCCGATTCTGATGGATGGCGCACTGCTGGCGAGGGCCTCGTTGCTGGTGGGAGTTGAGTACTCGACGTACTTTAGGACCGCTAGTAAACGTGCCGAGACTTGGTATCGTGGCCAGACTCTCTTTGTCACCTAGAACGCACACGCACACTCACACTCACACCATGTATAGTCATTTTCACCCTTTTACGCTCTCCTCTCCTCTCCTCTACTCTCTTTTCTTTTTTTCACTTCATACTTTTGCATCCTTGTACTCTAACCACCAGACAAATAAACAATCCACCAGCATTTTATCATTCACACTTTGCATAAAATCATCGTTTACGAGAAAGAAACATAGACTTTGGCCGGAGCAATAGTTTTTAATCAGGTAGAGGGTATGGTGTAGGAAGAGCGCGGCGTCCAGCGAAAGAACAAACTAGGGTGCAAAAAGACAGTTAAAGATACAAAGGAGAGTGGGAGTGTCGTAAAATGTACAAAAAAGAAAAAGGTAGGGGGACATGCGAACAAAAAAAAACAGGCAAACGTGCCGATCAAGAAGAGGAAAAAAAAAGAGGAATCAGAAGGGTCCTACTCGACATAGACCAAGAATCGATCAGTGCCAAGGTACTGCCGTGCAAGAGCCTTGCCATCACCTGTGGGCTGTGAGAACGCCATATCCTTGGTCTCCAACTTGCAGGCATAGATGAACCGCTCTCGAACCGCATCCAACATGCGACTCGCAATCTTTTGACGACGGTGTTGTGACGAGACCCATATCCGATTAATCCCACAGATCGCTGGTTGAGGCACTTTGCTGCAAAAGATAGCTGCTCCTCCACGATCTTGATCCAATTGCTGCACCTGCACGTGTCTTTCGGTAGACTTGGAGTCGCCTGAGAGTAAGGAATCAGACGGCAAAGTTGTAGATGTAGACGTGGCGGTGCCTATCTTGAACTCCAAGAGCGCCTCTCCTGATCCTGACCCTGCCGTCTGTGTCATGATCTCAAACCCCTCCTTGATCCGTTCTGCAATGACACAGCCCACGACCTTCTTCTTGCCAGAGATGTATAAAAACACCTTGCAAGAGTACAATTGCTCCGGATCGAATTCCACAGAACCCAGCTCCCTGTTTACAACCTCCAACACCTCCTTAACCTAATACAATGAAACCGAATTAATAACAGTTCGTTAATATTATACAAACCAAAGAATCACACAAACAAATTAGCAATGGAGAAGTCTTACCTTCTTCTTTTCAAAATTGGAGCTGCCGGCAGAGACAGAAGAGGCACGACCAGCATCCGACATCGAAACCATGACGATCCGTGAACTCGATGCTTCTCCCCACAATAATGACGACGACGACGACGACGACGAAGAAGATGTTGATACCGAATTGCCCTTGGCACTACCACCATTACGCCCAGCAGAAGCAACACACGACTCAACTTCCTGATCCCTGAATCGAGCAACAACGACCTCATTCTTGTAACCAGGATAATCGATCCCACCCAGCGCAGCTCGATGGTACCTGTCATGAATTTGTTCGTCTTCAGGCTGACCGCGGACATAGGGCATACCGCACTGCGGGCAATGGTACCGTTTCAGTTTGTCGTCCTCGCGCTGCAGTTGGTTGGGTCGACGGGCTGGTGTGATAGGCCGTTGCTTTGACGTAGTAGATGTCACGCTAGTGGCGTTGGATTTGGTCCGATCCTTTGAAAATGCCAAAAATAGTTGTTCTAGCTTCTTGGGTGCCTCATGCGGTGCGCTGGGTCCAGAGGTTGTCCTTTTGGCCACTTGTTGGTTGCTATCTTCTGTGCCTGCGGTGGTAGTAGAGGTGGCCTCACGACCAGTAGGTTTCTGGTTGTTGGTCAATCCAGCCTTCCCCTTCAAAATCCCTGTTCCTGTTCCTGCCTTGGTAGCGAAGAATGATGATATCGTAGCCTGCTGTGCTGGTTTCTTTGCATCACTCTTAACGGTAGAGATCGAAGGTTTTGACGATGTTGATGTTGTGGAAGCTGAGCTGGCAGGTGTCACTAAACAAGGAAAGACAACGCTCGTCCTGGTAGACCTCCTTGACGGCGACGCTGGCGGTGAGGGCGACGATGACCTCGGAGTCAAAATATCCTTGATGTCGTGTAAATCCACCTTGTCCCGTCCCTGAACGGATCGTGGAGACCTCCTGACAGGAGAAGAACTGTCCAAATCGAGAAGCTGCCGTTTCCGCTGTCTCAAAGGAGTCGTCTGCTCGCAAGCCCTGTCAGATCCTGCATTATCGCTTATATCCTCTCCACTCACATCCTCCTCCTCGTCGTCCACCTGTTGCCGTTTCCGACTGGGTGTGGTACTTATTGAGGCTTTTCGCACCTTGAAGACATTATCCAGCTGTTGTGAGCCCTCCTCCTTATCCTCACCACTGTCACTGCTATCACTGTCACTGTCAAGATCCAGTTTAGCACGCTTCAGCTCATCAATCAGCTTGAGAGTGCCTCGAGTCGGGGTCATCCAAGCCTCAGAAGAAGCTGGCTCTCCAAAGGACCCTGACAGCCGTGATCGACGTTGCTGGACAGGACTGGTGTTGGTGCTGTTGGAGGGTGAGAAGGAGAGTTGACTGAACCATGGGTCTGGGGAGGATGACCTCTGCTGTTCTGCAGGTTTTGCCCTTCCATAAGTCTTCCTGACAGGCGCGTGGAACTTGTACTCTCTAGAAGCGAGTTACAAAGACTCCAAACGTTAGTAAGTTCAAAGAGTGGATGCATGTGCAAAGATGAATTCTGATTGCTGTGTAAACAAGAGGGGTATTCACCTCTTGGGAGTGTCTGGCCCTGGACTGGAGGTGACATCAGAGCCAGAGCTGGCAGTCGAGGACGATGCAGGCGTGTTCATTGGCACACGTCGACGGGGGGTTGATCAGAACCAAAACAAAAAGGGTTGTGGCAGAGAAGAAGAGTTGTGAAAGGGAGACGCCACTACTTTTGCTCGTCTGAGCGTTAAATTTTGTGACCTGCAGCAGCAAAGAAAAATCCCTCATTTCACTTTCTCACCTCCCTCCATTGTGCACATGCTAAGAATGGCTGTTCCAAGAATCTACACACTCTCCAATGGTGTCCAAATGCCCTCTGTCGGACGTATGTCTCTCCCCATGACCAACAACGTAAGCTACCTTTGGCGACCTTTCTCACCTCTACTGTCTGAAGAGTCTCACCCAACTTTTCTTATTATTTTTTTGGCGAAAACAAAAACCTGTAGTGGGCACGTACAGGGTTCGGGACCAAGCGACTCTCGACACCTGCCTCCTTGAAGCTCTCCGGTCAGGGTATCGACTCATCGGTAAAAAAAAAAAAAAAAAAGTCATGTTCCTTACAAGAACATTTTCATGCACTTGTGTACCTATCATTTGAGCGCAAACTTCTCACGCAGACAACTTTTCATTTACTCGCTCTTTCATTAACTTCCAGATACCGCGTCAGTCTACAGGAATGAAGCCGCGATCGGCAACAGTCTCAAACGCATCCTTGAACAAAACCTGGTTCATGGACTGACTCGCCAGGACATCTTTCTAACCAGTAAACTCGGTAAGTTTATAGCACTCCTGTAACTATGCTCTTCATTCTTGGCAGTCATTTCATGGTGTCGTCATTTTGCCAAGCAGCGAATAACGACAAAACGAGGATAATTAATTACCGCACCAAATAATATCCTTTTCGCAGCTCCTAAGGATCAAGGCTACGATGCATGTTACCAAGGTGAGTAAGCACGAAAGAACGCGTATCTCCCGGATCGATAAGTAGACAAGATAACCATTTGAAGAAGGACACTCTTTCTAACAGCACAGGTTCTTCGCATCTCCATGTAACACTAGCTGTTACGGATTCGCTTCGTAACCTTCAGGTGGACTACATCGACCTCTACCTGATCCACTGGCCAGGGTAAGAAAATTGCAACTTACAGAACATCCAAAACCATGACCAAGTCTGTTCAAGAAAACCGTACAACAACATCAATCCAGTCCTGACATCCTTCCTTCCCATTTGTTTCCCAATCTCCTTTATTAGCACTGCAAAACTAAAGCTCCCAGACCCACAGAACGCGATCAACAGGATGGAAAGCTGGCGCGCTCTCGAAGGCCTCTACCACGCCAAGAAACTCCGTGCCATCGGCGTCAGCAACTACACCCTCGCCCACCTCGCACAGCTTATCGAACGACCGCACAAAAGTCATGCCCCTCACCAAAACTCTACCACAACAGCAACAGAAACAGCAGCACCACTTGCACGGACCATGGTAATCCCACATGTCCACCAATTCGAAATGCATCCACGCCTGTTCCAAAAACCCTTGGTCGACTACTGTCAAGCCCACAGGATCCAAGTCCAGGCATACTCCAGTCTTGGTGAATCGCGGCTCGTCTCTTTGACACCTCCACCTCCACCCGCAATGGACTCCAACTACAATACTGCACCTTTACCTGGGGCACTTGATATCATGCCTGGGTTGATCCGCAAGTACTTTGCGCATGTCACTTCAACAACGGCACATTTATCAGAGGAGGAGGAGAAGGAGGAATACCCGCGACGCGCTGCTCAGATCTTGCTCCGTTGGGGCCTTCAACATGGCGCTGTTGTCATCCCCAAATCCACGCATCCTGAAAGGATTCGGAACAACATCGACCTCTTTTCCTTCGCGATTGACAACCAGGTAAATCCTGTCTTGTCCTGCTATCTTACTGATCTTGATATTCGCGTGTATCTACCTGTTCAAGCTCTAACATACGATCATTGACTGATGGGTCGACTGTTAGGATATGGCTGCCCTGGACGCATACTCAGTAGAAGGCGAAAGAACGCGCTACTGCTGGGACAGCACCGACGTCTGTTAGTACATCGACCATAACAATCGAAATGCAAGTGTTTTTTAATGTTTTAGATTTATTGCTTTGTTGTTGTTGTTGTTGTTGTGCTCTATCCCTCTTTTTTCTTATGCCTGGAAAGAGTCCAGTGTGTCCGTAATCGTACATGAAGGTCCAGGCATAATACCTTTTGTCCCTTAAAAAAAATGCCCAAAGAAAAGTAAAAAATAAAATAAAATTAAAAAGACGCGAAAAAAGTGAAAGTAAGAAGAAAAAAAAAAGTTGCCTCTTGTGAAAGTAAAAACGTAGAAAATGGTTGACCTTTTTTTTTTTGTTTTGTGATGTTTTATGAATGTTGAAAAGAAAAAAAATCCCAAACCCAAACCCTCTTGTAAGTATTCCTTTGTTTTTGTAGAGTCCTATTGTCCTTGTGCTCGTTTTTTTGGAGTTTTGGTTGCTTGGGCGGGGCGCTGCATGTGGACTCGATCTGATCCTGGCAGCCACCCGCCATTGTCCGTTGTGGTGTTTTTACAATTGGTAGCGCTGAGCGAGGCGGTTCCTGGTATCGGGCGCCAATGAAGCGGCAAAGGCATCCCATGCGGCTCCCATCATGTTCTTGTATCCCAACAAGATCTATTAAGTGACACGAACATAATATACATGTTAAAAACTCATTCATTCGCCTCCTTAATGTTCAGATTGATTTGGAAAAACAAAAAGTAGATAAGAACATACCTTGCCGAACTGCTGGTCGAGCTCCTGGGGAACCTCGCTCCATTGAGCAACAGCATCACAGAAAGGAGCAAGGCTCTTGATCAAACCCTGGGGGTTGACCTGAATCATCTCGCAGAGACCACGGAAAGCAGTGTCCTTCTCTTCGTTGTCGCGAATAGTACGGCAAGTGTGACACCAGGCCTCAGCAAACACCTCCAGGTGAGGTCCGACCAACTGAGGGCAGACCAATCCGAGACGGCCAATGGTGATGGCAGAGTTGTCCAAAAGGGTGCGGGGAGTGGTCTCGCTGGTGAGCAAGGGGATCAAGCGCTCAAGCAGAGGCTGGACCCAGACGGCCATACCCTCGCGGTACTGAAGAGCAATCTCTCCGGCAGCCCAGGCGGCATTGTTGCAGACAGAGACGTACTCGGTGTTGGGCTGGATCTGGTTGATCAACTCGTTCATGAAAGCGTTCAAGTATGGCTTGATGTGCAAGAAGCAGCTGATGGCGAGATCTCCCAAGAGAGCATAGGACGACTGGCGCACTTCGGCCGAAGAATCCTACAAAAAAAAGACAACCAAAAACCACACCGTTAGTTTCTGAACATGAGAATGTGAGAGTCAACATCATTAATGACCAGCAGCTGAGCACTTACAGCGAGACAGATGCTCAAGATCTGAAGAACGCTAGGCTGGCTAGAGGCAACCAAGCTCTCGACGCTGGTGTTCAAACCCTGGGTCAAACCGCTGAGAAGATCCAAGGCGACAATCATAAAGTCTTTGTCGGGAGCGGGGACGCTATCGGGGTTCTGGGTGTGCATCTGGGACTGCATCAAGTTGGAGTGGACAATCTTGACGCAACGCTCGAAAACTGGGGGAGCAAAAGGCAAGAAGCCCTGGCCCAAGGATGTGGTGACAGAGGACAAGCACTCGAACAGTGGGAACAAATCTCTGTCGTCGTCCTGCAAAAGCTGCCACTTCTCAATCAAGCAGGGCATCAAAAGGTCAATGTACTCTTTCTTGTTGAGGGCGTTTCCAACGCTGTCGGCAAGAGTTCCGATGGCGTCGTACAAAATGAGCAAGTTCTTCTGCTGGTAGGTCGAAAAGGCGTGGACCAAAGTCTGGAGAATGCCGAAAAGGTATGGGACCAAGGCATCGCAAGCTTCCTCCTCCAAGGTAGCGAAGGCACTGCATCCAGCCTCCTGAACACGCTTGTTGTTGTCGCTGACCATGCTCAAAAGACCCTCAATCAGGGGAACGAGGTAGAGGGGGCGATCCTCGGCCTTGGTGGGGAAGACGCACCAGCGGGCGTAACGACCCAAAGTCCAGCAGGTGATAGCACGGACCAAAGACTTGGGGTCCTTGAGGGTCTGGATGAGGTAGGGGATCAAAGTGGGAAGGTGGGGCTCGATTCCGGACATGCAGCCCTCAGCAACAGCTCCCAAGGCCAAGATACCGCACTCTCTGTGCTGCCACTCGGCGTGGAAGAGCTCGTTCTGGAGAAGGGGCAGGAGGATATCGAGCATGGAGTTTCCATAGACAGCCGAAAGCACATCCAAGGCTGATGCAGAGCATTTGCGGAGGTTCCACTCCATGTAGATATCGTCCTCATCATCATCGTCCTCATCGTCATCCTCATCATCGTCATCCAAGCCATCGTCGCTGCCAGCACCATCGGTGGGTCCTGAGGCAGTGTTCTGGGCGGTGTGAGTCTTGGCGTGATGGAAGCGAGGTTTCATGTCCTCAATGCGATCGGGAACGGAGGCATCCTCGTCGTCGTTGTCGAGAGTGATAATGTCGAGTTCGCTGTAGACCATGCCCTGGAGAAGGACGGGGATAACGCGGTTCAAGTGTGGGCGCAAGTGGTCGGTCAAGGCATCCTGCTCAGCAAAGGCCAACCAGAACTCGCAAGCCTCCAATGCAACAGTGTCGTCTTCGTCCTTGGTTGAGTAAAGCATGTACTCGACAACGTTGTTGATCTGGGGGATAAGCTTGTCGGGGCGAACCTCGAGCAACATGACCATAGCCTGGCACACATGCTTGCGAACATCGGGGTGGTTGTCGTTCGAAAGCTGGCCCAAACCCTCGACAAACGCGTCGACGTTGACCATGAAGGACTGCGACTTTCTGGTGATAAACTGGTTGATGCAAGTCAAAGCGCAGACGCGAATGGAGACGACGGGCGACTGGAAGTAGGTGATGATCTTGGGGATCATGAAGTTGAGGGGCCTTTCGCCGTTAATCTCTAAGTCGAGCTCGTCGCTGGAATCTTCGCAAATCTTGACCAAGGCCTTGAACGAACCCTAGAATATCATGATGCGGTCATGAAAGACGAGAGGCGCAGTTTAGTAGCGGCTAGGTAACCACATAACGATCCACGTGGAAGGCGTGGTAATAGGTCAATACAATGGCGATAAAACAGGAGCGTACCTCGACGACGTTGGGGTCCTGAGAATCCAAGAGGCTCATCAGGTGAGGCAAAACCTCGGGCCAGCTCATAATGGAGTTCCTGGAGAGGATGGTGGTGATAACTGTTCCGAGAGTGTTGCGAACGTCGGCATCGGGATCTCCAACGTGGCGAAGGGCCAGGGCCTTGACGTACTCCAGGACATCATCCCTGATATCACTGCTGTACAGCTGAATGTTGGTCTTGAGTAAAAGTCCAGCAATCAGGCGAGTCGTAGGAAGCTCCTGAGGCATCTGGGTCAAGATGTAGATAAGGTAGTTGTTGTAATCGGGGACATTTCTGAACGACTCGAGTTGCTATACGATGTGTGAGAAAGTCAATGAAAGGGTATGTGGTTAGCCGATTGCGTAAGACATCTTTGTGTGTGTGTGTGTGTATGTGTGTGTGGTGAACACGCGCTGCTCGGCAACACAACGAAAAGACTTTGTTGCCGTGATTTTGTCGACGCAGACTTGAAGATCCAGTTTGTTGAAACGTCGATCTCTCGAGGCAAAGCACCTTCTCATCATCTGGTGGCAATAGCTTCTTCCTCCAAGTGACTGAAGCGCCCATCCCTGAATCCTCGTCTAGTAATTTTTCGCAACTGCGTCCTGAATGAAAGAAAAGGTGTCGACCAGACACGACAAGGCGCATATATAGATTAAGGTGTATATGTTCAAGAGACCCTTCTCGTGTTGCTGACACATACCTCGCGAACTTGGCTCTGAACAGCGTTGTTGGAGGACATGGAATCCTTCAAGAGCTGGATGAGCTGGTTAAGCCCCTCGGGCTGAGGTTGCCAGTTGAGCATGGTTGTTGTTTCGTCTGGTTCTAGAAAATGAAAAAAGAGAGAGTGCACACGGACCAATGGACGGTTAGTGAAATAGCCCATGAGAACACCGACCTGGGTGTACACCACATCGGCATCCTTGTTTTTTTTCCTCGGGAAGAAAGAAAGAGAGTGAGTTTCGTACACAGGGTACAACGGGTAACGACGATTATTGCTGTAAAGAGTACAAGTGTGGTAAAAAAAACACACAATAAGGGGAACACGAGAGACACAAAGACGGAAGAGTGGATGTGTGATTGTCACTTGCGAAGTGTGCAAAAAAGAGAGAAAGAAAAACAAAGAGAGGGTTTTTGTTTTCTTTAAAAAAAAGTCTATGCCAGGGGGAGAAGGCGGTACAAAACAAACAAAATAATAAATAAAAAAAAATATTCTGCTGCATGCAAAACAAAGACAGCAAACTGGTGGCAAGAAAGTCTACTCTTTGCTCATCGACCACGGAACACAGGCGAAAGAAGGGAAAGGGAGCAAGGAAAAGAAGGTAGACCATGTGTTCCCAGGGAGAAAGAAACACAGGGGGAGAGGGGACATCCATAGCTTCGCAATCGTGGTAAGGTCGACTGGGAAGCACACCAAGTGTATTTTTGAGTGTGGTTTTTTTCGTGAAAAGGTGTGGTACTGATGCCGTTGTCTTTCTCGCTATAGTTGTTGCTACTGTAGCTGTAGTCGTGGGGTGGTCGATTTGCTTACGTTTTGTTGAAGTGGAGTGGGAGAAGGAAGGAGGAGAAACAACCGAGTGGCGTCAGAGCGAACACAAATCAGTACTTCTTGTGAGTGTCGAGTGATGGTGGCGCGAAAAGGTTAAAGAAAAGTGGAAAAAAACGTGGGAGGAGTATTGTTGTTCGTTGAGCTTGCCTAGAGGACAGTGGAGGGTATCTGACTCAAGGGAAGGAGAAGAAGGATGGACAAGGGGAGGAAGAAGAGGAAGAAGAAGGGGTGATGAGAGGTTGGGGGAGAGTGGGAGGAGGAAGAAGAGAGAAGAGAGAAGAAATCTCGCATTCAACTCGCCTCACTCCACTCACTCGTTCACCACCCACCCTCTCGCTTCGACCACCTCCACTACCCATTTTTTTCTTCTTCCTGACAGGCACTCAAGAAGAAAAATCCTTTTTCTCCTTATTTCTAATCAACATATAAACGTCACCAACGTAAAAAAAACCTATTTCCATGCACAATCAGGTGACCCTAGGCACCCGTGAACTACGAAGTTTTTGCATGCTTTTTGCTTTGGAATTATGTGTGTAGTTATGCTATTAGACCTTCTTTGCTGCCAATGCCCTGGTTGCGGTGGTTGCCTTCTGCTTCTTTGTGAACGCCAGAGGAAGCTGGTTTTCCTTGTCTTGGACAAGCTTCCGCTTGACTACCGTCCTCTCTGCTGCTGCTGCTGTTGACCTGGTCACAGTCCTTTCCGTCTCTGCCGTCTTCTTCTCCACTGTCTTCTTCCCGCTCGTCTTTTTCACGACAGACCTCTTCTTCTCCTTCTCCATCTCCTTTTCGCCCCCCACTGCCTCGTCTACCTTTGCCTTCGCCATTTGTGTCTGTGCATCTGCCTGAGCAGGGGTCAAGGGCTTGAACGGCAACTTGGTCTGGACCTTGACCTGGCGAATCGCGTTCTCGACAATGCTGCACCAACCGTCCGTCTCGCCCTCGACAAAGTAGTCAAACACACCTGCCCACTCCTTGCCGACAATCGGGGTCTTGTTGACCAAGATGACGCATCCCTTCTTGTTCCCGTGCACAATCTTGGCTGCCTTTCTGACCAACAGACGCAATCCATGGACCTTGAGCGATGTTCCCATCACCAACAGGACATCCGGTGATCGCGAAAGATCGCTGCTCTGAATCTTGCCAATCGCGTCTCCAAAGGGGTGGTTCTCATTGTAGAGAACAATGTCTGGTCGCAGTGTCCCGGTAGCCACCTTCCGCTTTCCCTGCGCAACACGAATACCATCTAATAGGACATAAGTCAAAAGAAAAATTAATTCCTGGTCTTCGATCAATTGCCAACATCCATCAACCAGTCCGAATGAATTGACTGGTTAGATATTTTGTTTTTTGTCTCAATTTCCTCCCAACTTACCATACAGCTCGCACTTTGGGCATCCGGGTGCATCTCCCTCCTTGAAAACCTTCTGGTAATCCGTCTGGAAGCCATAGGGCTCACTGCAGAGCGTGCACTTGAGCCTCCTGAGGGACCCATGAAGCTGAACTACGTTGACATCCTTCTTGACCTTGCCCTTGTCGCACACCAGACTAGTATCCATCCCCAATTCCTCCTCAAGACAATCAATGTTCTGTGTATAGCACCGCAGGAGCTTGCCGCGTTCCGAAAGCATCTTGATGAAGTGGTGGGTCGGTGTTGGCTTGGCCTTCAATGTCTGAGCATGGAGCTCTGAGATGAAGGTGTAAAAAACTGCCGTGGTTTTGCAATCGCGGAACAGGTTGGCGTCGAAAAGATCCTTGCCTTTCAAAACTGTGTCGGGATATTGCTTTTTGACCAGATTGTATAATCCATCCGCTGAGCGGAAATCCTATTGAAAGGTAACAAAGGAAAACCAATTGCCATCGTTATGCAGTCGGAAAAAAAGGGGTAGAGAAGGAAGTGGAAACGAGGTGAGTGGGCGTGCGAGTGAGTGTGTGTATGCAAAAAAAAAAAAAAAAAAAAAAAAAGGAGCAGAAGTACCACCATGAAATATACAAAAGAAGCGTAGAAAATATGTGCCTCCTTAATCCATTCAATCCATCCGTCAGTCAAGTTGTTTTTCAGCTTAACGTTGTTGTGCTGGGTGGTGTCGGCTTTAGTCTGCTGGTAGCTCCACAGTCGGCACAGGAAGAAAGGGCGAAAGGGGCGATACACATAACACACGCACTATGCTCTCACAAAGAGAGCCGCCGGTAGCTTACAGCAGCTGAAAGACAAAAGAAAAAAAAACTAGTCCTGAAGACCTACCGGAATACCACTGCTGCAAGAAATGCCTGCACCAGTAACAACAATGGTCTTTTTAGCCTTGAGCATGACGTCGGTCACTTTCTGGAGGTGTCTATCCGACAGGACGTCCTCTGATTGCTGGCTGAGGTCGATCGTCAACATGATGAGGGTCTAGAATATGTGTATGTGTTGTGAGAGGTGGGCAAAATTCCTGGTCCTGTTAAGTGCCGGAAAACAACGCGTCAGAGTATGCTTTGTATGAGCTGTATGAGTGCTGTCTGTGAGAGAGAGGGAGTTGAGTGTTGTTGTGTTTTTGGTTTTGTTGGATGAGTGTCGGGTCGGGATGGGTAATTGAATGTGTATGAAGATGAGTCAAAAAGGTGGATGAAGGATGAGAGAGTGAAGGAAGGATGAGTAAGGTTGTCAGAATGGCCAGGTGGGTTTTGAGGAGAAAGGGGAGTTTACCGCCGACGAAGGTAAGGAGAAGGAGGAGGAGGAAGGGGGAAACAAGCAAAGGTGGATGGCAATAAGTATATGTGTATGGGAGAGGGGAAAAGGAGGATGTGTGAAAGAGAAGGGAGCAACAGAAAACAAACAAGTTGTTGCCACACCAGACACACAGAAGAAAGGGTTGCAGAACGCTCACTGAGAGAGCAGAAAAAAATTGTCCCTCGTGGGTTGAGGATGCAATTGCGATACCTAGAAATTCCAGTACGACACGCGAAGCGATGAAAGCGGGGGGAAGAAAGCACAACACTCTTTGTGAAAACGAAATATTATTGTGTTTGTTTGTGGGCGCACTAGAGATAAATTTACAAAGCATGATGGAAAGGCAAAGGAGATAGGGAAAAAAGGAGATGTGGGTGTTCTTTCTTTCTTTTTTACAGGTGAGGGGCAAAGGTGGTGATCTCCTCCTCGACCTCGTCGGTGGTCCACATGTTGCTGTTGACAAACTTCAACAAGGCACTCCTGTCATGGGCGTTGACCAACTTGATAGTCTCTTCATTCCTGCATGAACCCTCGGCTACAGACTCGGTAACGACAGCAGCAGCAACCTCAGCAGAGACCTGGCGAATGCGAGGCAAGACGGGGTAAAGGAGTCCCTGCGAACGCTCTTCGACAGTCAAGGCATTGGCGCAGGCACGAGCAGCCGAGTAGATCAAGCGGTCGCTGATGGTGTCGGGCTGGGCGAGGATGCCTCCCAAACCAAGACCGGGGAAGATGTACATGTTGTTGCCCTGACCAGGAGCACTCATGAGACCAGTGTTGGGGTCGGTGTACTTAGGGAAGGCTGTTCCAGAGGCAAAAATGACCTTGCCCTTGGTGTGGGTCATGGCCTGCTCGAACGTGCACTCGGCCTGGTAGGCGGGGTTGGACAGGGGGAAGACAATAGGGCGCTCATTCAAGCCGGCCATAGACTTCAAGACCTGCTCAGAGAAGGCACCAGACTGGGAGGAGAGACCGAACAAGGCAGTGGGGCGGACGTGCTCAATGACGGAGGCAATGTCGGGGTACTGGGAGCCAGAGTTGTCCTTGCGGGCAAAGTACAACTTGTGTTCGGCCAAGCGATCGCCACGGTCGAGGGTGACAAGACCCTTGGAGTCGACCAACCAGACCATCTCGCGGGCCTCGTCCTCGCTCATCCCGTGGTCGTTGACGAAGTAGGCAGCCAACTGCTTGGCAACACCGACAGCAGCGGATCCAGCTCCAAAGAAGAGAATCTTGTGGTCCTTGGCGGGGATTCCGGCAAGGTTGATAGCGTTCATGAATCCAGCCAAGATGACAGCGCCAGTTCCCTGAATATCGTCATTGAAGCAGAAGTTGGTGGGCTGGTACTTTTCGAGGAGCTGGAAAGCGTGCTCGGAAGAGAAGTCCTCAAACTGGATCAACAACTTGGGGTAAAGAGAAGTCAAGGACTGGATGACGGCATCAACAAAGGGGAAAAACTGGTCGTCGCCAACACGCTTCTGGCGCAATCCGAGGTAGAACTCGTCCTTAAGCTTGTCCTCGTTGTTAGTGCCGAGGTCGAGGGTGATGGGAATGGTGCGGCGGGGATCGATACCGGCACCAGCGACGTAGAGCTGGAGCTTTCCGACGGGGATACCCATGCCGCCGACACCGAGATCACCCAATCCGAGAATGCGAGAGCCGTCGGTGATGACGGCAATCTGGGGAGTGAGCTCAGGGTTCTGGGGGTAGGGTCTGTAGTTCTGGATGATTTGGGTGAGGTTGGGGAGGTCGTTGATGGAGAGGAAGAGACCGTCGGGCTGGCCGGGAGGGGCGAGGAAAGGGTAGATGCTGGAGTAGTTTTGGCAAGCAGTGCCAACGGTGGGGGTGTAGATCAAGGGGAGAGTTTCCTAAAGAAAATGAAATTGGATGGGAAATGAGGGAAGAAGGCCATTGGTTAGGACGATGATGTTGCTTTCTGTGTTTTTGTGCAATGCATGCAAGATGGTGCCATTTGAGACACAAGGGGAGACAGACGTATAATAGGGTGCTGATCTCTCGTTCCTCTTTTGATTTTGATCACTAATGAGCCCAATGCCGTCTTGCCCATGCATTCATCTCCAGTCAACAGCATATCCTGTCGAAAACGAATGAGGGTTTGTCGGGGTGGAGTAGATTGGCAACATCCTTGAATAGTAGGAATAGTAAACCAAGCCGAGTTGCCAGATGGGTGGTGGTGGTGATAATCCTCTTGTCAATTGGCAACAATTAGAGAAAAAATAAAGCTGAGATGAAGGCTGAGAATAAAAATATAGCTCATCAAGACGAGAACAAGAGTGAGGTGAGAAATGGCAAATTGTTCGTCGTTCACGTTCTCGCCGAGACAGAACAAGAAAGTTGAACGGTTGTTGGCCCACTTTTTTCTTGTCGTTGTTTTGTTAGGGTTCTCCGGAGGGGAACGACGGGGCGGACCAGTGCGGGGAATGATTCTCCATTCAAAGTCAAATATAATTTTTACCCCAAGAAAATGGAAGGGAGAAAAAGGCGCAAAGAAACACTGTATACAGAAAAGCCCTCGGCAATGAAACTCCAGACGTCCTTTTAGTGTTATTGTGCTCCAGTTTGTTTTGTACGTCGGTTGTTCTGTCCGTGGGTTAATTTACCCTTCTCCTCTTTGTCTTGACACTAGAAGGCTTCTTTTTTCCCACAGTATCCTTCTTGGGGAATATTCGATCTTGATGGTTCTCGCCTTAATCCAGGACGATGTCAACCTTGAAAAAAGCAATGTGTGGAAGACAAGGTTGCGGGGAGGGGGGAAGTGGAAAAGGAACAATGGAAAAAAAGGGGGAAAGGCTTTCTTACCTCGAGCTGGTCGCCGATGAGTCCGTAGAAGAGACGGACGTTGGTATTCCTGAGCCAGGCGAGGAAGACGTACTTTTCAATGTCGGAACTCTTGCTCCTGAGCTGGGCGAGGGCACGCTTTTTCTGGGTGTCGAAGGACTCAACCTTGGCAGGGCTCAATCCATGGAGACGAAGGATATTGCGAAGCTCGGCGGGGGTAGCAGTACCTATTATTGTTGATAGAACGATAGCAATTGATGATTAGTTTGGGTGTGCAATTGACGACCATGTGTGCTTTCATTGGATGATCGAGTCTTAACGGTGCTTGGTAGCAGTGATGATATCAGTAAAAGTGAAAGTGAAGGATGATGATGCTGAATGATATACTACTCATAGCTCATATTCTTCTCTCTCTTTCTTCTTGTTCCTTTGCGCGACAGTGTACAGGTTGCTGTTGGCATTAACAATAATGATCGAGAGACATGAATAAAAGAGGGAAAGGGGGAACAATGATCGCACAAAAAATGCCGTTTATGGGTTTGTGTTTGTGGGTAGAAGTGAATTGAATCGCCAAAATCATTATTGTAAAAAATATAAAGAAAAAAAATGTCCGTGGGTCAAGTGGCCAAGAAACAGTCCACCCACTCGTTCTTATTTTCAGTCTTCATTTGCAGCAAAGATGAAAGAAAGGAAGGAAACTCATCACTCCAAAGGAGGAGGAGGAGGAGGAGTAGAAGAAGGAACAAGGAGGAGACCAAGGAGATGAAGGGAGCATCACAAAGCAAACAGAGGAGAAAGAAGACACGGAAAAAAGAATACTTACTCTGGTTGAGGTACGACGATTTCGAGATCTGCTGGATGTTGTTGATTTCGCTGACAGTCATTGTGTTGGTATGTGTTGGTTGTTGTTGTTGGTGTTGGTGATGGACGTCGGCAAGGGGGGCAGGCGAGGCTGAGGATAGAGCGCGGATGAAGGTGTGTTTTGAAAGAGAGGATGAAAGAGGAGAAGAAGAAGAGTTGGGAGAAAGAGTGGAGAAAGAAGAGAAAGAGAAGGGGGAACGGGAAGTAGAAATACTCGAGGAAGAAATGGAAGAAGAGGAGGAGCCGAGGCGAGAAGAAGAAGAAGTGGAGGAGAGATGAAGACGTGGTGATGAAATACGGGTTGAGAAGGAAGCAGAAGGTGAAGTTGATGTTGACAAAGGAGAGCGATGGAACTTTTTGCTTGTGGTGGTGGTGGTTGAGCGAAGGACGGTCGAGGAGCGAGTGACCCAGGATCGGGACAAGGAGGAGGATGTCGAAGCCATTTTTTTTTTCTTTCTTTGATTCTTTTTTAGAATAAGGTAAATTCTTTTGTTTGTGTTGCGTGTTGTGTGTTAAATTAGTGTCCAGTGGATATGTAATAATGAAGGAGGATGTTGGGGTATTTAATAGGGTCGGAGAGAACGGAACGAAGAAGGGATAGATGGTTAAAAAAGCGGATGATGTGATCTGTGTCTGTTGTCTGTTGGTTGATTGTGTGGGGTGTAGAAAGAGGAGAAGAGGTGGGCAGGGTGCAAAAGGGGTTGGTGGTTGAAAAAGAAAAAAAAGAAAGAGAAAAAGACACGCAAAGAGCGCTGGTTAATAAACGGTGTTTGTTTGTCAATTCATGGAAAAAGCATTCCATATTTGAATGCGTCGTTGTACAGAGGTACACATGGACCCACTCCACTTCTACTCTATTCACATTCATTCAATTAGAAAGACACAATCGAGTCATCCCACTCCTCTCACTCAAGGTCTGTGAGTGCCTTGACACTCACTCACTCGCACCACTTGGGCACCCTCTTTCGCCCACTATGACTGACGCATATCCATTCATTGCACACACCCCAGATTTCCATATTCTTCACCACTCACACCTTTCCTACATGTTGTCCAATTGACCCATCAACAATCCTACTTTATACAAAAGACAAAAGGTCATGCAAAAAGAAAAATAGAGCCGAGAACGAATGGAGCAAGAAGACATTTGCGCATTAGAGTCCAAGACATATCACTAAAGATAAAATAAAGGAACGACCAAAGCCAAGTCTCCGACCTACCAACCCTTTTCTTTCTCTCCTCATCGACCATTCATTCCGTCATGGGCCAATTGGACTAAAATGCCACCTTGGGGCGACTAAACTAAATTGGTCGTTACCTCCAAGTGGAAGAAGATTGTTCAGGGCTGGCTGGCTGGGCGCAGAGATGGGCAATGGGTGAATTCAATGGGGTGAGCGAGGGTATGATGGAAGGGTATGATGGAAGGGTATGAGGATGAATGGTGTGCGTGTGAATGGTAAGGACAACAAATAATCGATCGAATCGAGTAATGTTTTTACATGAGTCCGGACTCAACAAAAACAAGGTGCTTCACTGCACACGGAGCAATCAAATAGACAGCCAAAAATAACGACCACCTACAAAACCGCGTCTATTTCGTTCATGTTACTGGACCGACCTCCTTCGTCTTGCACTCACCTTGTTACTCATAACTTTGCACAATATGAAGAGAGAATGAGAGAGAAGGATACATGAGAGGCCAATAACTAACCAAACTCCACAAACGGACAATTCTTTTTTTGTTGGTCCTTTTTCTTTTTTTTTCTTCTTGTTCATTGCACAGATGACTCAAGTATGAGTTACAATTTTCTGCAGCGCTGCCAACAAACCTCTAGAAACGGCCTTTTCTTTACTGACAAATAGATACCACAAACCAAACTCCATCGAATTCATCCCCCATCCCAACATCAGCAAAAAATAAAAAATAAAAAATAAAAAATAAAAAAATACCTTCAATGGTCGTTAGTTTTGTTATTGTTCTTTGGAAGGCTACACACTCACACAGAAACAAACAGACCATTTGAGCCGGCCCCCAAAAGGCGTGGGATTCCTCCGTGTTTGGTAGCTGCCAATTCTTGGGGCAATGGCAAAGCCAAAGCTAAGGACACAATGGACAGCAGCAAGGAACAACTGACAAAATAACTAATCTTGTTTTCGAACGGCAGATGGACGGCCTCTTGTGCCATCAATTGTGTCAACCCATTGGCAACCCAACCCAATCCAGCCCAATCCAATCAACCAACATGCCACTTCTTCTATCCCCCCCGCGAATACAAGCAGAAAGGTAGCCCGCCCTGTCCATTCGTCTTTTGTTCAGGTCAACCTTATTGACAGTGGGGAAAAGGGCAAGTCGATCGGTTCGAATTGTCGGTCTCTTGGGCTTATTACAAGAAACAGTCTCCTGCCTCAAAAGGTGAGCAATATTTTATTTTCGACCTCCGGATCATTCCGACAGAATACACCTCAGGGAGATTAAAAAACACACCTACACGCAGTTTGTGCCCAGCTTGCGTACGTTTGTCCAGGGACTAGTGTTCAGGGGTGTTGCCCCACCAACGAATTGAGGGAAGAGAATACGGTCAAAGCGGGCAAACAAAATCATAGTAGCGGCAGTAATGTGCAAACGGCATCAGTACAGTACTCTCATCACCCCCAAAAACATGGCTGAAAGCTAAGGGCAAGTGACAATAGGGTTATTACAAATAGTTCTCTTCTCTAACAATGTAAGGAAGAATCGTACGATAGAGAGAGAGGAGTACAGAGCGTGGAGGCTCTTGGGAGGAAGAGAGGTGTCAAGATCTAGTGTACGACCGAGGTTGAGGTTCCGCTACATATCCATAAACCACGCGTCTTGCTCTATTTCCCATTGTTGCAACAGTAACTCTTTTTATTTCTCTCAATTGAGTGCGACAAGATGATTGAATGAATGTGTGTCTCTTTCTATGTTTGCGTGTGTTTGTGCATTTGCGTGCCTATGTGTTGTTGATTGGTGCGCATCAAAAAGGTAAACCCTGGCATGGGAATGAAGTATAGTTTACTTGCTTGTTGTCATTTAGAAAAACAAAACAATTGCCTTCCACGGATACAGCAAAGAGTGTCAAAAACGACATATGACTGACACACTTGACTCATCTATGTCCGATCTTTAAGGTGTAATGAGAGGCAGGAACCAATTGAGAGTAGGAAAATCCCCGGGCACTTTGACCTCTCTCCCTTCCGTTTCCCTTTGTTAATGCACATGCATTTTTCACATGTAGATCGAGACAAACGCGTGTTTGCATACAATGAGTTAAAATGCTTCTCTTGCTGTTGTTGTCACTTTTTTCTTATGTTTTATTTTTGTCATCTTTTTAGCTTCGAGAGAACTAACATTAGCAAAATGCAAGACAAACAATACACACCAGAGGTGCGTGGACAAGGTCGTCTTGTCATTGGATTGGTTGCACTTCTTTCTTGTTGTCAAAAAAGGGAAAATGCGGGGTTGTCCATTGTAGGTCCACAAGGGCCTTGGTTTTGGACACTCCATCATCGCATCGCATTGCATGGCTTTGTTGTTCTTGCCTTTCTTTCCTTCGATCATTTCGCCCATCTCCAAGACCGAGGCGAGGTAGGCCTACAGAAAAAAATGGGCAGCAACTATAGAGCGATTCCACCCTCGTTCCTTCCTTCCTTCCTTCCTTCCTTACTTCCTTCCTTCCTTACGTCCTTTCGTATAGAAGGGAGGTGTATTAGGAGTGGAGGTATGTGAGCGTTTCGTTCCCTATTTCTCAGGGGTTGCGTAACTTTGACGTTAGTCAGACGCCGCGTTCTTTTTGGTTCTAGGGAGCAGCAAGTATGATCTGTCCTTTGACTCGAAGGAAGTGGTTGCGTGTGTATATACCAAATAAATGAAGAACCTGCACCCGTTCCATCGATGTGGAACTCCTTTTCGTGTCTGATCAAACCATTCCTTCCATGCTTAAATTTAGTGGCGCCTCCATCACTTCAATCTCTCCTCGCCTTTTCTCTTTCCCTTCAGCCTTTCGTTTCTTGCGCTTTTAACCAACTCGCATTGTGTTCTAGTCGACCTAGACTAGATAATTTCCTCGCAAAGAAAGTCCACTCCTGCATTCTTTGCCAATGTGTTTTACCTAGCGTCGAAATGTCTGTCTAAACTCAAACGTGTCCTCCAACCTGAAGCGCGCCTCAAACATAATCCTTTTGGATATCAATGCTGTTGATCTGTTACACGTTCGTCGACTCTTAATCCTTCTCTTTTGCACACCGCTATTGGAGTCTTTGTATATTATGGCACCCTGCGGTTTTCCCTTTCCGACTCAGTGTGGACACGCTTTTCTACATGCGCCGTGCGTGAATAGTTAGTTACCTTTGAATCCTAGGTTTGAGTTCTTTCTACATTTTGCATGCTTGTCATGTGTGCCATCCTTGTGCGATCCATTGGTGGAGGAATGAGTATCAGCTGTCGCTGTGGAGGCATGACATCGCGGCTTGACCCTTTTTTTGCTCAAAGCATGCACAGGTGGCACAAGTCAAGAAGAAAATGTGATCGCTTGTGCTACACCACCAAAGAGACGTCACCTCGACGAATACCAACCTTGTTCGACTTCTCCTTCAGTCTTCTACGCTCACTCAACTTCTTAACCATCCTGGAACAACGACGACACACATCCATCAACATAAACTCAACCTATACAATGCGTGCCACTGTACTCTTATCCCTCCTCCTGGCATCCCTCTACGAGGTCTCTGCTGTCGAGAACACCAGCCCCTTCCTCGCATGGTCACCACAAGAGTACGATTCTTCTACGTTGGAGATAACGAACAATGCAGGACATATCACGCTGGAGGACAGAGGCTTGTTGGACTTGCTGATACTGATGCGATGCTATCATTCGCAATCCTTTTACTTCCACTTTGTCTGAGTAGGTTTTCTTCCAGAAGCCTTGACACCCAAGTGATTTCAGTCCAGGATCTGCATGAGGGACTGAATGATCTCGCCGACTGCTCTCACAGAGCCATTTTGATTATCGACGAGCCAGAGGTAAACACTTGCTACATAGGCTGGACGAAGTTTCCAATGGGAGGATACGAGAGGATTGCCAATTGATGTGCTTCGAAACTACCTTGGTTAATACCTGACGGCGAATACGACGCTAACCAATGCCTTGTTCTTCTCATCGCATAGCTTCGCGCTACTGATTTGGGACGTGGTGGACGTAACAAGCTGAAGGTACGGACTGCAGGACTTCTTTGGAGCCACTACAGGATATGAATAGACATTGCCATTCCGGATGCCAGTTGACTGACTGAATGACTGAATAATGGATCGATACTGGTCTACATTTATTGCCCGCAATAGAACCAGGTCCAGGGCGCTGAGAGCTCGCTCCAGATTCCCTTTGTCAACGGAGCTGTCGATCTGGAGACCTTGGCAGAGCGTCTCTCTCAGAAGTGCAACGCTGTTCTGGTGAACGGCAACGTCGACTCTGGTAAAGGACAAATGGATATACTGTAGAGTTGTCAGGGAAACTGGCGCAAGACGCTGCTGAACGAAGGACAGGAAGCAAAGCTGACATGTCTGATCTTGTATCGTTATATTAGATGCCCTGAGCTCTGTCGAGGGTCCTTCAGTTATCTACAAGAAGCTTGCAACTGGATCCGTCGATGAAAAGGGTAAGCAGAGACACATTCGTGGTGCTGCGTTTGTGGAGCAATTGGGTTTACAGTGCCTGTTACATGGACGATAGTTGCATTCTGTTCTAACGACTATTGCCACAACATATTCATTTGCTATAGATGAGGCTGTCGAGGAGATTATTGCTCAGATTCACAAGAAGTACCAGGATGACTACTTGGTTCTGTACTCGTCCAGCCAGATCAAGGAATTGCCTACACACCACTTCAGCCCCAGACAGTTGCCAGATGAGCCAACACCCACTACCAAGCCCTCAGGACTCTTCCATCACTACACATTCTTCTCCCAGGGCATCTTTATGGGCTTGTTGATCTCTGTCATCGTTGTCCCCATTGCCATGATGGGTATCTTCTGGAACTTGAGCGTCCAACAGCCACAGCGTTTTGAGAAGAAGCAGAACTAAATAGAAGTAACGGTCGTTGTTTCATTTTTGTTCTGATCTTCTTTTCACTTTTCACATATATTCTTCTCCTCTCTCCTCATTGCCCTGTAGCCTTTTCTCTTCATTAAAGCAGAATAGCTTATATTCCCAGTTCATGAGAACGCGAATGAGGTCAGCTAGGACGAGTGGAAGTTAGCAAGGTCAGTTAGGACTGGTGCTGGGCTGAAAGGAAGAAAGTTGGTTTATTATATATCTTCGATCTTTTCTCCTCATAACTTTATCAACAAGAAAGAAGAAGGAGGGAATAGTGATTAAGTACGAGAGCAGAATGTTGGCCAAGTCCAGGCCCTGACGTTTATTTGTAATTTGTAAGTGATTAGCGGAATACCTGATGGTGGCCGGTCGGCACCCCCTGGCGCGCAGGCATGTGCACTTTAGTTAGCACCCAAAGTACCCCGGCAAGAGTGCCCAATTGGGTTGCCATGGATCCAATGGAAACGAGAGAATAATAAAAGATGAGTTCATGGTCCGTTGGCCTGTACAGTGCGATCGATTGTCATTTTGCTATTGTGCCTTGGTTATCCGAAGAGGTGTCTTTGTTCCTGTGAGAGCGAGGTGTGATTTGATTTGATTTGATGCAGAATCAAAACCGAATCTCTCCAAACCGTTTCCCTCAACCAATCGTGCGCTGAGCCTGAGCGGTGAAGAATGAAAAATGAGAACGCAAACAACCACATAACCTGGCGTTCAAAAGTGGAGTTCAGTCTTAGGATGGAAGGAGAAGATTGGTGCGTGTTAGACGGATTAAAAAAAGTCCCTGACTGCCGGGGTAGTGGCAGGGTCCCTTCTCTATTCCGATTCAAAACTCTGCCCATTTCGCTAACCCTTCCATTCCTTGTTTATGAATTGATGAATTGACACCCGCTTGGACCTCGGACTAGTAAATAACTCGATTGTCTTTTTTTCTTTCAATGGGTTCAGTGGTCAAAAAGATAACTACATGCGACGAGAGACCAGCGGACAAAAGAAAATAAAGTGCAGACCTGTGTATGAGAGTGAGAGATACATGTACCCAGATGAGATCCAGACCAGGCAACTAGGATAAAATAAGGATTGTTGTTGAGCGAGCGATGAAAAACGTTCATGTGCGTGTGAGCACTTTTTCCCTCGTGTGTTGCTGCCGTTGATAGTTCAGTCTTTTTATTATTGGCCAACGGCTACTGGCGACTTGGATCCAGTCAGATTGTCTCTGTCCCAGAGGAGTGATCATAGAACAAAGAACGAAAAAAATCTTCTTTCTACCAGGAGCCGATTGATTGACTGATTGAATAATAACTGATGTGATCAGTCGTTGAAAAGGTCATCCAGGAACCGACAGCCAGCCAGGGGAGGGTGGCCTTTAAGTCTCGTTTTTGTTTACATTGTTTGTTTGCCTTTTGCTCCTTCTGTTCCTTCTTCTTTTTCCGCCCTTCCTCTCTTGTTTGTCCACCCTAGTTTAATTAGCTTTGCTCAGTTGCCTCTGCTCTCTCTTCTCCCTCTTCTGTCCACCTTGTTGCTCCTCTCCTGCCCTCTTCCTCTCCCTCTTTCACGCCGCTCTCTTTCTTGCCTCCTTCCCCTCTTCTCCCTTTTCTTTCCTCCCTTCATTCATTCATTCATTCATTCATTCACCCGCACACACAAACAACTCCATCTTCCTTTCACTTCGCAATCAGATTCACGTCCTGTAATGTTTGCTACAGGTGCACTCCCTACTTCCTCCTAATGACCCATCTCCACACTTTCCCACATACCTCTTCTGAGGAACAGCAGCAACAACTTTACAACCACTACAGTACACATACCCTGCCTAAACTATCGCCACCAAGGCGCTGCCACAACCACAATAATCCTTCCTTCCTCAACCAATTCACCTCTGCCTCCCTTTCGACAATTCTCCTTCCTTTTCTTCTCCTTGTCCTGCTCTCTCCTTTCCCAATCGACAGCCAGGGCACCTCTCTATATCAGCCAATCTCCTTTGCTGCTTCGGCAGTCCTGGCGGATGGCTACTTTTACCTCTATGGAGGAGTCATCAAGTTTTCAAATACCACCAACACAGGATCGAACCAGTTTCTCAAACTCGACCTCGCACAGTCCTTCGACACGGCAACCACTCCCTGGACGTCCCTTCAAGGAAACTTGCCCTTCACCATGGTCCAAGCTGTGCCTAGCAAGGATGGACTACACTTTGTGACCGGCGGCAACAGGGGGATCTATGGCCCTCTCTCCTATATATACAGCACCCAAAGCGAGACTTGGACCACAACCTCGACTTTGCCTGGTCTGGCCAGCCAAGTAGGATACAAGAGATTCAACGTCGGGATGGCCCTGGACAAGGTTACTGGTCTGGTATATATCTATGGTGGACTTCAGGAAGCGAGATTCTCAAAAGAACTCACTGTTTTGGACACGTCGCCCTCGAATGCAGCGAAGATGAGCTGGACACTCTCCACCAACAATACATTCTTACCGGCACTTTATGAGCCCTTTGCGGTCTTTCTTCCAACTCGGAACAAGACGTTGGTCTTTGGAGGATGCGACTATTTAGATCCATCAAACGGATTGGTCGGCAACTGCTACCCTCTCAGCGCCGGATTCCTGATCTCGAACGGACAGAGTGTGAGTCAATTATTGATTGAAAGCCGACCATTCAACACCCCATTGAATCCGCCCTCGCCGCGGTATCAGTCTTGCAGGGTGGTCCTGCCCGATGGCAACGTCTTTGTCCAGGGCGGCAAAAATAGACCCAACAACATAGATATTTACTTTTCCGATGCTTGGATTCTCAATGTGACGGATTGGACGTGGAGGGTTGTCAACATCACTGGCCCTATGACGGAGATGGTTCGAGCAGGACACGCCTGTCAGTTGGGCGCCTATGGCCAGATTGTCATTGTTGGAGGTAAGGCTTTTATTACGATGATTTAGACTGAAAAAAATGGAGCACGATTGTATGGACGATCAGCCGAATTGCCGCAGGGGATGGATATGGTCCTCATGCGGTGGTCGACTCAGCGGCGGCATTAGACCACTCTTTCAACGGACTATGCCGTTTTTACCGCAGTCAACTCAAAACGCAGTGCATTTGATTCATGGATGCTAATGCACTCAATTTTTCTATTTTTTTGACTACATGATTCTAGGTCAAAATAAGAAGAACAACCTTGACGTTTTTGCAACACCAGCCGTGGCTGTAATCGATACTGGGACATGGACATGGAAAAATAAATACACCGGTGGCCCTGTTCCTGGGGTAGGCGGCGGCGGCAGCGGTGACCCTAACGACAACAACGACAACAACAACAACAACAACAACAACAACAACAACAATAATAATAACGACAGCTCAGGACTGTCTGCAGGCGCCAAAGGAGGAATAGGTGCAGGAGTTGCACTTGCCATTTTGGCTGCAGGCGTGGCCGGATTCATTTTCTGGAGGAGACACCGGTCGTCATCGCAGCCGACGCCTCATGCTCAAAAGCCCGACGCGCCGTCGTCCAGGCTACAAGGGGGTGGCGGTGATTTCGAGAAGAACGAGGCTGGTTTCAGCAGGACGATTTATGCGCCAAGGGGTCCAGCCTACATCTCTTCATCCCAGCCTACTGTCCAGGCCGTGTACACCCCGCCGCCACCACCACATGCGATTGTTGAAGGTTCGGAGCCGCCCTCACCCGCCATGACGACACTCCCGCTCTACGCAGGATACGCCGCCAGCGACGAGATTGTCTCGACGCCGTCCACAGTCGTCAGCAAGAAACGCAGCTTGTTTGGAATCACCAAATCGTCGTCAAAGTCTAACTTGGGAGGAACTAACAGTAACGGCAACGGTGACGCAGGGTCAGACGCCGCTCTGGCAGCAGCACTTCTCCAGGCAGAGGACTCGTCGTCATCATGGAATACCAGCAGCCGCAAGGGAACGTTTTCCGACAACAAGGATTATATCCCCTTCCAGCAGATGACAGTAAACCATATCCGAGTCCCGTCTACCAAGTCAAACCAACAGAAACCACAGTTGGACCCGTATGGATCCTCGTCGACATCCTCACCGGCCTCGCCACCAGACAACCGACCACCTACGATTCACACATTTGTCAAGAACACGGTCCAGCTTTCCTCAGCGGCACCTCGCCATATTGCCGGCCCCCAGAGTCTTGTTCCCGAGGAGGAGGCCACGATCCAGCGGTTCTCTCCCGGAGTTCCCATACGGACCGTTACTGCTCAGGATCTGGACCAGGATGGTCACTACCCGCCCCTGACCCCCACGCGTGGGTATGGCCCTTCGTCGATCTTGATCGGATCCTCAGGACCTGCGACGCCGACTACTTTGGTCACGTCGCCACTCCACCACTCGGCAGTCATGGCGTACCCAGATCTTGTCGCGATGGGAGCTCAGTCATTGCCTGGTCATCCGGCAGCCATCGAGGGAGGTACGAGGGTATCTGCGTACTTTGGACAGCCTGCTTACAGTCATAGTGGCAGCGCCAGTACCACTAACGTCAACAGCAACAACAGTGGCGATGGGAATGGATCGTCATTGTACCGCGACCCGCGGATGGCGAAGGATCTGGATCAAATTGCCAGGGAGATCGAGAGTCAGACGGTCCTGGAGCCAAAGGGACCTCACGCTCTCGTCCCTCCTTCCTTCCGGAAACCTTGAAGTCAGATGCTTTTTTTTTTTCCTTTTCAGTCAAGTTACCCCCCCTTTCTTTCTCTCTTACAAAATCCTAGTAACACGCATTAGGGGCAATCCCAATGTTACCTTACCATATCGCTATTCTTATGTTCATTATTAAACAATTCCTTCCTGTTCTTGCCGTATTCCTCAGTTCCTTCAGTGCAAGGATAAAGACTCTTTTGTGGGAAGACTTTGAATGGTCGGTGGGGTCAGCCACAAGTGGCAAAAAGGCGACCTGTGGACGGGTTACTGTCTCAGACTATATGTATATATGTGGGACGTCCTTGGCCACATTGACGTATTATTTCGACATGAGAAAGGAAAAAAAAAAAAAAAAAAAAAAAAGTTCAAGGGCTTAGCGGGCATATGTGAAGAGGCGATGTTTGGGCTAGCAACAAAATGACAATCCGCTCTGTCTTGATCTTTTTTTTTGTTCTGCCTTGCGGAAGAGTCGCTGGCAACCGTTCGCTGGTATCGTATGCTTGTGGGCGGATGCGAAGCGCTCCTGGCGATACTCTTCAAACGCGATGAAGATGGTTGTATGTCTGCGGTTTCATCCTGCATCGCGTAGTAGTAGTTCCTCAACACGATCGCGTCCTGAATTGCTGCATTCGCTCCTATGAAATCAGAGAAATGTTTGGAGAGATGTGGTCAAGGCTGGATTAGTGAAGGAATGAGGTTAAGAATGTTAGAGTTTCGTCGAAGGCTGTGCTCCACATTGAGAATTCATGCGTACAAAGAACGTTTATCTTGCACAAGAATTGGTAAAGCAAATAAACAGCAAATCGACAGAGGAGGGACAATGGCAGTGCACTTTGTAGGTGATCGGTCGACTGGCACCCTTGAATTTTTCCTCGGCTCCCTTGAAATTTTCTTTGGCAACCATGATACATCATACTCCCGCGTTAAGTTGCCCCTTCTGACATTCCTCACATCCCCTCCGTTTGTTTGCTGTAGACCATGTTAATCTGTTGTCTCGAAAGCGTGATAGCTCTGAAAGAAAGGGAGGCCTCATGGAAGTTGCCAAATCGTATGAATTGCTTGAACAATATGTCATGCGATCTTTTTCTTGCCTTCTCCACTTTCCCCATGCACTCTTGTCTCTCTCTCCTTCCTTCTCTTACTCATTCCCTCATTCACACTCTCTTTCTCTGTCGCATTTACAATTAGTGTCTGTCGTCATTGACAACTCAACATCATTGTCATTTTGCTTATCCTCTTCATTTCGTTCTTTCTTCCTTACCTCCTTTTCCTCATTCCTTCGTTATCGCACCTTCTTGTGACCCATCATCACTCTACTCGTCATCCCCGTCACGATCACGTTCTTCAGCTTTATGAATAAGATATTCCAGACACATCCCCTCGATCTACATGAGATTCGCTCAAGAATTGCCAGCAGCCTTGGCCTCAAAGATCTCGCGACCTGTGCGCGTGTGAGTCAGGATTGGAACGACTCTTTCACGCCTTCACTCTACAGATCTGTCGTCTTGTCGGAACATGGCCCCAGCCTGGAATCTGTTGAGAGAAACAAGCACCTTATACAAAGCCTGAGGATTACGAGCTCTGCCTATGGAAAACGATCACTGACATCTGGCAGAGACAAATTAGTTCTTAGTGTCATGGCTACCTCGACTCTGACCACTTTGGACTTGTCGGGCAACTTGATCGGAGACAACGGAGCTCAGGCACTGTCTGAGGCACTCAAGGTCAACTCGACCTTGACCACTTTGGACTTGAGGGGCAACTCGATCGGAAAAAACGGAGCTCAGGCACTGTCTGAGGCACTCAAGGTCAACTCGACCCTGACCACTTTAAACTTGTTGGGCAACTTGATCGGAGAAAACGGAGCTCAGGCGCTGTCTGAGGCACTCAAGGTCAACTCGACCCTGACCACTTTGGACTTGGAGGACAACGCGATCGGAGACAACGGAGCTCAGGCACTCTCTGAGGCACTCAAGGTCAACTCGACCTTGACCACTTTGTACTTGTGGGGCAACTCGATCGGAGATAATGGAGCTCAGGCACTCTCTGAGGCACTCAAGGCCAACTCGACCCTGACCACTTTGGGCTTGAGGGGCAACTCGATCGGAGATAATGGAGCTCAGGCACTCTCTGAGGCACTCAAGGCCAACTCGACCCTGACCACTTTGGACTTGAGGGGCAACTCGATCGGAAAAAACGGAGCTCAGGCACTGTCTGAGGCACTCAAGGTCAACTCGACCCTGACCACTTTAGACTTGTTGGGCAACTTGATCGGAGAAAACGGAGCTCAGGCGCTGTCTGAGGCACTCAAGGTCAACTCGACCCTGACCACTTTGGACTTGGAGGACAACGCGATCGGAGACAACGGAGCTCAGGCACTGTCTGAGGCACTCAAGGTCAACTCAACCTTGACCACTTTGTACTTGTGGGGCAACTCGATCGGAGATAATGGAGCTCAGGCACTCTCTGAGGCACTCAAGGCCAACTCGACCCTGACCACTTTGGACTTGTGGGGCAACTCGATCGGAGACAACGGAGCTCAGGCACTGTCTGAGGCACTCAAGGCCAACTCGACCCTGACCACTTTGGACTTGGAGGACAACGCAATCGGAGACGACGGAGCTCAGGCGCTGTCTGAGGCACTCAGGACCAACTCGACTGTGACCATTATTGGCGTCATATTTTAGCAATGTCCATATTGTGATGGTAAAGTAGACTGTTCTCTTACTTCGCCTCCGCTCTTCACAACAACCGCGCCTCCATTCTAACCAGGCCCAACCGCGCGTTCACTCTCCCTAACAACCTCGCCTCCTAGCACCTGTATAAATGCCTTTCTCTCCCTGTACAATAAACAGCATCCGTTTCTAGCCCTTCCTCCCAATCACTAGCTCTCGTTATCCCCACTCTCGTTAGTATCTCCCTCTATTCCCCTGTTCGCATCTCCTTGCTCTGTTGCTGTTACTGATACCCCGGAACAAAAAAACCAACAGGGATCATCAGCCAGATAGCCAAATGAAAAGCCGGACAGCCAAGCCGCTACAAGAGCCCCGCTATCGCTGTTGTCACGCCGTCATAGGGCTCCTAATCACACGTAGCTCATCATGAATTTTTGGTGCAGAACATACTCTGTCATATCGTTCCACAAGAGAGCGAAAGTTTAAGAGTAAAAGTTAGCAAAGTTGAAAACTCCAATTGCGTACACGAGCACAACTTGGACAAGTATGGCCAAAGCCTGGATTGAACGACTCACCTGAATCATGACAATGACCTCGATATCCTTTTTCTCGTAGTTCTCGGCAACATCCTGGGATCCCAAGAGACCAGCCTCCTCGGCAGAGTACCAATGAAACTCGACGCGGCGGGTGGGCCGGAATCCAGTACCAACAAAGGAGCGGAAGACCTCCAAGGTAGTGACGGTTCTTGAACCATCGCCATCGGCGCCAGGGGAACGACCCCAGAGAGGGTTCCGGCGGTTGACAGAATCCTGATGGGCACCGACAATGGCGGGCTGGCTAGCGAGTGACTCGTCCTTTCCCTCGAAACGAACTATATTATTAAAAGTGATGGTTCCCCTCAAGTGGGAAATAAAAAACAAGAACCGAGTTTTTAACAACGGACGACAGCATGGGAAGGAAAGAGGGTCGATACCAATGATGGAGAACTGGTCCCACTTGTGCTGGAACTTGCGAATGCTGACATCCGAGTCGGCGTCGGACTCCTCGATCAAGTCGCTAATCTGCTTGTAAAGCCATTGGGCAGACAGCTAGTCAGTCTTGGATCTGCAGTAGCGATTGTGGAATGAAGTAAACTCCTTGAGGGCAACTTCCATGTTGGCAGCCGAGAGGCTTTTGACATAACGACTGTATTTGGCCTATTGCACCTCCTTCTTAGGAAGGGTTACAAAGAAGGGAAACATAAAAAGAAAAACGCGGCGTTGGTTGTCAGTGCGAACCGAGCGAAGAGAAGAAGAAGAGAAAAAGAAAAGACACGAGCCTAAAGACAGTGTTAATGTTGTTTGGAACGTCGCAACACAATTTTGGGACCTCACAATCCTCTCCCTGTGGACCATTGTTGTCACGCATACGCCAAGACATGCCAAACAAGCAAACAAATACACAGAACAAAAACAACGGCGAACACGTACGCAAATGAATCATGGAGCGGAGGGAGGGCTTAAAGTCCTGGTGGTCGGTGATGTGCATTATCCGATGTTCTTGCGGAGGAACTCCATGCGCTGGCCCACGGTCATCCAAAGGGGGGTCTTGTCCTCTGCGGTCTGGACGAGACGGAGGGTGCTGTCGCCGTTGGTGTTGTTGCTGAAGTGGATGGCGTGGGAGATGACTGTGTCCTTGACCATGTCGAGGGTCTACTGCTCCCATTAGGCGGGGGCAGTCGAGGCAGTCGAGGCGAGGGACAAGAAAGCGAGAGTCTGGACCTTGACCATTCTTGCTGTTTGTTTGTTTTTCTGATATTGCTTTTGTTGTGAGTGAGTAAGTGAGTGAGTAGGAAGGAGGTGTTGAGGAGAAGAAAGGCTGAATAAAGAAATGATCGATTGAAGGAAGGAGAGGTGAAGAAAGAAAGGAGGTCAAGTATTTGTGTTGAGCGCTGGAAGGAACAGAACAACGGACTGCTTTTGATCCCTGTTGCTGATATCAGTAAAGGTCCCCTGCCTTCCCTCTCACCGACTCTTATCCACACACTTCTTTCTGCTCATTTTTACTCATTTCATTTTCTAGCACAATGGGCTTTTAGTAAATCTGTAAGGTTTGGGATAGCAACTCACGATGACTCTCGTCAATGAGACCCGCCAGAGTCAGGGTCACGCCGGTGCCGCCGCTGGGAATGTGGTCAAATCTGGACCTGCTCTGCATTATTGATAGCAGGGCTGCGAGCGGCTGCGGTGGGGAAATAAGGGGTTATGAAGAACAGAAGAAGAGGAATGCGAAGGGTGAGATGAAGTGTAAGTCGCAGTTTTCATTTCTTTCTTGAATGACACTGATCTGGCCTATCAAACTCTCATGATAGCTGATGCAGGGTTGTTGAGTGAATGGGAAGAATGAAGTAATAAATGAAAACAATGAAAACTAAACATGCGATCAAGCGTGTGTTTTCAATAGACAGCAGCCCAAGATTCAGAGTAGGCAAAATAACAAATGTCGTTGTCTTCAGGACCTGTGCATTGTGGTTGTAAGTGCGCCACCAACTTTATTTTTTGAATGTAACGTCTCAGACCCCTTAACGAACATATCTCCTCACCTGTCTGTGGAAGCACCTTACAACCAACCCCTTTCGGGCTCCCTCCCTTTCTATTTCTTTTTCTTTTGGTTGCTGCTCATCATCGCCATCCCCTTGCACACCACCTCCCCCTTGACCTTTACTTTTTACGTGTGTCAAACCAACTCCTCGATAGCTTTCACCGACCCTCAACGACACGAACCTCCAGAATACCCAACAAAGAGTCAGCCTCCAGGAGCATCACAACACACAACAACGATGCAGTTCAAGGAATTCGATGCGTTTCCAAAGGTCGAGTCCGGCTTTGTGAAGCGGACAGGGTCCGGCGGCATCTTGACGCTTGTTGTCTCGGCCATCCTGTGCATCTTAGTGATGGGCGAAATCAAGGACTACATGACCCTTCGAAACGACTACAATTTTATTGTCGACCCGCTCGTCAACCACCAACTCCAGATCAACCTCGACATCACCATCGCTATGCCCTGCGAGAGTTAGTTTGCTTGGATATCATTTTTTTTTACACGGGAGTGTCTCTTGTTTCGCATATTCTCTGCATGTTAGACTTGGCTCGCTAATACTGGTTCTGTAATATCAATCGGCCATTGTTAGCATTGAGAATTGACCTTCGAGATATCGCGGATGTCCAGCTCGGGCTTTCAGAAAAAGTGGAAAAGATCCCCACTGTAAGTAGCCAATTATACTGCACCTGAATTGTGCTCAACTCCTTTTAACGCATTGGTATAATTAATTCGTCCGGCTTTTCTTTCTTTTCTTCTGCCATGTTACGTCTTACAGCACTTCAAGGTGTACTCGTCGACACACGCAGAAAAGATCCGCCACGCACCTCTCAACGTCCAAAAGATGATCCGTGCAGCTAGTAGGAAAGAGGCACTGGACCACGCCTCCAAGGGTATGTGGAGAGCGAGGATCAAGGCGATAGCAGGAAACCAAATGATAAACGCCAATTGCTTTCTTTTTTTTTGGGTATCGGTGTATTAACGCGAACAACTCTTCTTTGTTGTGGACGAAACAGGAAACACGGACTTCAAGGCCTGCAGGATCACTGGAAGTTTTGAGGCGAACAAATTGAGCGGAAACATGCACATCACGGCAGTCGGACATGGATACTATGGAGCTCACAGCGACCATTCAGGTGAGTTCAGGAATCACACAAAAGCAAGCATGAAAATTGGATGGAAAAGTGCTGTAGGCAGACAGGTATTACCATCACCGGTATGATGTGGCTAATTGCTTCTTGCTTATCCTTATTGTGATCAATTTAGTCATGAATATGACCCATAGTATCCACGAGTTGTCGTTTGGAGAACTCTACCCTGCCATCGTCAACCCCTTGGATGATAGCTTTGAACTCTCGCGCACATGTAAGGGATTTTTGCCAAATCATTTGCTTTCATTAAATCATACGGTTTGTGGACTGAAGAAGTGGGTTGCAAGGTTCGACACTTACACAAACGTTCGCTCTCACTTTGATCATATAGCATTCGAGGCGTTCCAGTACTTCTTGGTTGTTGTTCCTACGATCTATATCGGTAGGTTTACGAAACGACTCATTGCACAGTTTCAGGACAGGGACCATGCGCTGAAAGGATCTATAGGAACATCGTGACAACAATACCCGTTACCAACATCAATCTCATTCATCATGAATAATAGATCGCTCGAAAAAGCAACTGCTGACGAACCAGTACTCGGTCAGCGAATATCGCCGAACATTTGACGAGCATCAAGGCATCCCGGGCTTGTTCTTCAAATACGAATTCGAACCCATGACGCTGGTGATCTCGGAAGAATCGTCCATGTCATTTGGACACTTGTTGGTCCGACTTGCAGGTCTGGTCGGAGGGTATTATGTTACTGCAGGTATGGCACACAAGGTCTTGAGTGCCATTTATTACACCATCCGACCGGAGCAGGCTCCCCTCAAGAGACATAATGTATAAGGGAATGGAATGTTTCTTAGTTTCCTTGATACCCCCTTCACATACTGCCAGATTTGATGAGGAAAAAAAAACAGGGACAAACATGCCAAGGTACAAGCAATCAAGCAGCTATAGAATAAAAAATATCGTTTACTTTCTCCTTGCATTCTCACCCTTTCCTATCACACCAACAATCTTCATCCTAAACAATCCCTCCCTTCCTCACTAGCTGTTGGAAAAGGTGGCGGCGGGAGGGATACAAGTTTGGGCGCATTTCTGGAACATATTGGCGACTTCTAGGTTACAGTTGTTCCTGCCGTAGTAGTAGTCAAGGTTTGGGTTGGGGAACTTGACGACGCAGTTGGTCATCTCGTGGTCGTAGATCAAGGAGTACCGTTTGATGCACGAACCGGATGTGTCTGTCACCGCCGCCGGGAAGTGGCCACCCTTGGCTGATACTGGTGTCAGGGTTGTTGTTGTGAGGAGTAGCAGGACCGCGGTGGCGAGGATGGATGATATGCGGAGGGTCAGTGCTGGCTTGGAGGAGGACGAAGAGGCGGTGTGGTGTGATGACATGTTGGCGTGGACGCGTGAAAGAGTCGGAGAGGTAGTGAGAAAGAAGAGTGTGTGTGGTACGTGCGGTGTGTTAAGAAGTATGGAGTGTACATTGAAAAAGTGTAGGTAAAAAAAAAAGGAGATCGCCAGAAAGGATGGCCAATTCGTTGACCATTTTATGCCTCCAGCCCTACCCGGACTGCCCATCTGCCCAGTCAATGCAGCTGCTCCAATTCTATCCAGTTCCCAGTCTTGACCCTTCGGCACTACATAAGTACAGCATTGCTGTTATTGAACTCAGCTTGTCCGTTTTATTTCGTTTTTCTCCTGACTCCTACTCCAGTGAGCCTTGTAAAAAAAAGTATGTGAGTTTTCTGACCCTCCTTGCTTTTTGTATTCGTCTTCTATTCATTTCATGCTGTTCCCTCTTTCTGTTGTCCCTTTCCCCTTGATGTGAAAAAACCTAGGCGCCTGGTCGTGTCTATTCATGGTGAATGGTACCTTCACGTGGAGCGTCCACCTGTCCTTCTCTTTTCTTCATACGCGCTAGCTACATACATCTTACAACTAGAACGACCACATACAAAGCACAAGCCCACTTTCGTCTCTTTCATTCTCATGGGATGGTTGGCAGAGGGCTCAATGTTTTTTTGGGGGGGAAATGTTTTTTTATTTTGTGTTATCATACAGTGGTTATTAAAGAGAGAGAAAAAAAAAAGAGTACAAGAGGGAAGAAAGTTCACGAAGTTCAAAGTTTCCTGAAGAGAAAAAAAACCGATGCAAGTTTGAAGCGAAGAGGATGAGTGTGCTAGAAAAAGAACCTGGTGTTTGTATTGTCACATTTAAGCAACGGGGGTCTCGGAAGCGGGGGCAGCGATGGGAGCCTTGCCCTTCTTCTCATCGGCAAGGCGACGGGCCTCGTAGTGGACAGCGGCGATCTGCTCCTTGACCTGAGTGGCAACACCGGCGACCTTCTGGCCGGGGGCGGTCTGAAGGGCCTGTTTTACCGCAAATTGAAAGAGTTGAAAAGAATGAGTGACGTCGTATATGAAAAGACAATACGAAAAAGACGACGCACAACCCTTTTCGCGAACAGAGAAGGCAAGAAAAAAATGCATACCTGGTTAGAGTAGTCGATACCCTGGCCGACAGCAGCGGTGACACGGTCCTGGACGTGGTACTTGTGGTCAATCTCGGTGGCCTTGGCAGTGACCTGGAACTTCTCGTCCAAAGTCTTGGCCTGGGCCTTGGCAGCCTCGACGTAGGCCTGGATCTTGCTAGTAAGACCATACTTGGCATCGATATCAAGACCCTTCTCGATGATCTGGTCCTGGAGAGTGTATCCGGCAGCGAGAATCTCGGCCAAGACAGTAACCTTGGGCTTGTTCTCCTGAGCAGTGTGGTCGTCGCCGGTGGCCTCCTCAAAGTAGGGCTTGACCGAGATCTGGCTGTTGACAATCATGGCGTTGGTCAACATGCAGGCAGTCTTGGCAGCAGATTCTATAATACCATACGATCAACGATAGCAATAGTGAGTAGGATGATCAAAAGCACGAGACGCAGGGACTGACTGAGCGAAGGCGGGAGAGAGGGGAGAGAAGGTCCAACGTTATCAAAAACGTCCCAAACAAACAACACACTCTCGTGGTCGAGAAAGTGGGAGAAAATCGTGCTGCATGAGGCAGGGGCGTGGTGGTTGAGCGAGGGCAGGGCTTGATGTTATGATAAGGCACGGAATGAAGCCCTTTTTTTGTATTTGATGACGCCAATGCCCACCCTCTCTGCGTAATCCCCAACATAATCCGCATTGAACATTCACACGTAGCAGATAAACTTACCACGCTCGAAGAGGACAAGGGCAACTTGGCGATCTCCCTCCCTAATGATGCAAAAAAAGAAACACATCATACAGCAAAACTTGGGTCAGTCATGCCTCTTTGTCTCATATCTTTCTGTTGTCCTCTTCTGGTCCCGTCTGATTGTGGTTGCAGAGGGTCCTGCATCGGTAGGTCCCTTTATGTCATTGCAGACGTATTGCTTGGCAAAAAGAGAAGGAAACGAAAAAGACGGCGGTAATTACTTTTGGAGCTCGAACTCGAGGATCTTTCCGCAGAACAAGAAGAAGTCCTTGACTGTTTGAAGTGAGAAAGAAAGGACGAAGGAAATATTGGTCAGAGAAAGAAAACTTTTCTTGTCGTGTTTCCGACGATTGTCTTTGATTTAGACATATTCGCAAGCAAGAAAAGTAGCATACCAGTCTTCTCGGAGGCCTCCTCGCTAATGTTGTTAACGATGATGAGGTTGGGGGTGGGGGTAGCAGGGATCTGTTTGCGTATAAAAGAAAAACGCGTGAAAAGGTGTGAGTAAGTAAAAGGTGTGTAAATAGGGAGAAGTAATAAGCGTGCATTATGGTGTGCATGTGAGCGGAAGGAGTATCGACGCGGCTTTTTTCTTTTCGAGAGTGGTAAGAGTGGAAGTAAGTAAGTACCTTGACGTGGGCCCAGTTGGTCATTTTGAGTATGTGTTGTGTGTGGGGTGAGTGTGAGTGGGAGAGAAGGTTGAGGGTTGTTGTTGTTGTTGGAATGAATGAAAGAGAGAGAAGGTGTGAGAAAAGTGAATGAAGAAGCCAAAAAAAGAGCGGCCAACGGAGAACCTTTTTATACCCTGCCTATGTCAACCCTCCGATGATGTCAGTCACATGAAATTGCTGGCCTTTGATTAATCAAACGCTCTATTTGCGATTTTGCTTTCCCACACGCCCATTATGACAGTAGTGTGTGTGCGTACCTGCGGCTCCCTTGTCCTTGTCTCTTCGCCTGCCCTATGTCTCTCACCTGTCGCTCTCGCTCACATGAAAACGCTCATTTCATAATCAAAGCGACTCTCTACTGTACTGTACACACCCCATCCAAGACAATATGACAATAACCAACAACCACTGTGTTCACAATGGCTGGAGTTTGTAGCTGTGGCTCAAAGGGTCGCCTATCCACGGTAAAGACAACAACACACCATTCACCATGCTCCAACACTTCCTCATCATCGGAATAGCACGAGATCGCTCACTCTCCCACCAAAATTCGTCAATAGCACACAATTGCCTGAGCCCTTTCCTTTCCTTCTCATGTTGAACTATAAGCAGCGAGTAGCACAAGGAGACGATAGGGCAAAGTCGTCTCGTCAGCAGCTGATCCGTACTCTGTTGCCCGCACGAAAAATTGACTCGTGCATTTGTGTCTCCGTTCTTCTTCACGTTTATCTTTTTAATGACGGCGTGTGTTTGTCCAAATGTCAATGCGCCTTCTATGCCACTGACGCCTAAATTGTTGGGAATGAAAGGCCTTCTCCTTGTCTAATAGATCGTCAGCAGTAGATCATTCCTACAAAATGAAATGAAAAAGGGTCCGCCCCTCTTTACTTGTGACAATGGACGAAGCTTGGAACCAGAGGCAAGATGATTCGTCGATCGAACCCCCTCTCAGATAGAACAAACAACGCACGGGACAGTCCGAAATAAAAAAAAATGACAATCGAATGAAGATGAAGCAGCATGCCAAGGCAAGAATATTCTAGATTTTGGTGGCGCATGTTAATCCTATTAAAAGAAGAAAAATGACGATGATGCTTGATGTTTGCTGGTACCCAGTCAAACTATGACACCGCTTGGAGCGAAAAAGCTTTGGTTTTCCTTCGTCATCATTCCACTAGAGGGCTACACGTTGGTCATTGGATCCTTCTTTGTCTTCTTTCCTCTTCTTCAATGGCATCATATTCTCGAATGATGAAAAGAAAAAAAACCCTCGGCGCGATCCTTGACAAAGGGATAAGGCACTAAACCTATAGGAGTGCCAAGAGCTACCTGCAGCTACCCTGTCAACTTCTTTCTTTCTTCAAGGCAGTATGCCCAAAACATGTTGTATTTGATATATTCAATTGGAGATTCCCGCTCCTGCGTTCTAATCGTTGTCGACGTCGTCGGTGTCGTCGGCAACATCAAACTGTCGAAGCACAAGCCTCACTCGGCCATCCTTACTCCGCTTGTCTCGAACTGTCCCATCCGGAAAAAAACTGGCCTACTCGATTCTCCGATGTGAGTGAGGCATTCTCCTCGAGGACCGGCACGCAATTGCATAGGCGAGCTCAAGTGCTCCAGCGTCAAGTGCTCTGATATGTTGAATATTCCGTGCTAGGGCGTGAAGGGCAGGGGTGGACGTGAACAGTATGACCCAGCGATAAAAGGTCGTGTATCCTTCCAACATTTTTTGGTGGTGAGGAAAACAAAGCGCGATAGGTCCGCCATTGCTTTTTATACACATTAGTGTCTGGGTACCACCCCTACAAACTCTTCTTGAAAAACTCGGTCAACTTGGGGACACAGTCGTTGACCTTGCGGTCATAAAGGTCTATGTGTGTGGCCCCGGCAATAGTAAATAGCTCGCTCGGTTTTCCTGCTTTAGCAATCGCGATTCGACTGTGCTCAATGGTATCTGCATCCGTTCCTGCAATCACCAATAGTGGACGAGGGGAGATCCTTTCGATCCTGGCGAATGCATCGAATGCGACCAGAGTATCATAACTCCAAAGAGCAAACTTGTTGACAGACCGGCTGTGGGATCCACGAGACGTCAAGTAGTAGTCGTGAGCCTCCTTCATCAGGACCGGGCTGTCCTTCTCCACCGGGGGGATGTACGGAAGGTACTTGACCTCGGCCCCCTTGGCGTACTCTGTCCTGTTCTCTCCAGCTTGAGCAACTAACGAAGTGAGGGTCTCCTTCGGAATCGATCGGGCGAAAAGCAATCCGGTATCGACCATACTGACAGTGGCAACGGCCTTGACACGAGCATCAGCAGAGGCCGTAGCAATTGCGTATCCACCTCCCGCGCAGATACCTAAAATTCCAATCCTCTTGGGGTCCACCTTATCACTGGTCGCGAGGTATGTCACCGCAGACTTAGCGTCTTCAATGGCGGCATAGGGGTCCTCGACACATCTGGGAGTACCCTCACTAGCTCCTTGAGTTCGACGGTCAAAGGCCAGGGTGATGAAACCGTGTTTGGAGAGCTCGGCAGCATAGGTACCGGAGGTTTGTTCCTTGACACCGCCGCCTGGGTGGAGGACGACAATTCCGGGCAGGCTTTCACCTTCCTTGTACGAGCCCGGGACGTAGAGGTGGCCGGCAAGCTTGATGTTGTTGCTTGGGAAAGTGACGTCGATTGGAGCCATTCTTGATACAGACCGGAATGTGAGAGAGAAAGAGAGAGAGACAAAAAAAACGAAGTAAGATAAAGATCGGTGCGTGAGTGTGTGTGGAGAGTAAAAGAGTGCGTTGGTTAATGTGTAATAGCAACAGAGGGAACGACAAGGGGTCAGGCAGGATTGAAGATGGGAATTGCGAGTGTCGTTGAGAAAAGGAGAGGTGGAAGTATTTATGTTTGGAGAGTAGGATTGAGTCTAGGAATCGTCGAGGAAAGTAGCGGCGGTCTAAAGTGGATTAGGGGTGAGTATCGTCGAAGAAAGTAACGTTGGTGAAGATAGGAATAATGGGAATCTTTTCTTTTGTTAGTACCAAACAACCGGTAGCACTCCCGCAAGGTGTTTCTTTTCAACGGCGGATAACTATTTCACGCTCGAGTTGCAACGCTTTGGCCGAAGATGCTGCGATAGTTCTTTTTCAATCCTGCGAGACACTCGATACGTTCAATGTTTCGACTTTTTCATACCAAAGTTCGCTTACCCAGGGCCGTGAGACTATACCAATGCTATATATCTCATGTATTTCACTGTGAAGGTGCAGTTTTTCAAGTTTTATGCTAGACTGTGTTTCTCAACCTAACATGTCCAAATAAAAGTGTCCCTTACCCATCATCTCTATGGTTCTGCTTGAGCCATTTTTGGTAAGATGTTGGACTTCAGCATCAGAAAGAACGAGGGGACTTGTGCGAGTGTAATAAGGTGGTACATCTACAGATCCAGAGTGTGACCCATCTTAGATTATTGCAGCCTCAGGTGGGATCAATTCCCTTCTTCAGATCGACATAGGATCCCGTGCGGTCGTCGCATTCGATGTTGAGTTCGTCCAAATGTCTGCACTCCCTGAGAGTAATCGCCGGAAAGATCCTGCCAATACTCCCTGAACGGTCGATAACAATTCGTCGCAAAGGAGAGATAATGTCGTTGGAAAGGGGGGCAGGTTGTCAGAGAGGTCGTCCAATGCGGTTCAATATCCGCGACAGTCAAGGCTGTCCAATTGCTGAGGAGGCAATGCGTCCAGGACCTTGAATCCGGCAGAACAATACTTGAGCGATTGATATCCTCTCCAGTGACTTTGATCTCGTGGTCGCCGATGACAGAAGATATGTCAAGTCTCCAGATGTTGGAGCAATGTGGCAAAAACGGACATGATCTCGGATGTCGAGGCTCCTTCTGTAGCATCCTACAGCGTCAGGGCTTCCAGATAGTTCAAGGGCTCCTGCCTCATCTTACATGGCGCCAACAGCTCATCACAGTCGTCATCCTCTTGGTCGCTGGAAACAAGCTTGTTCCACGTCGGATTGTCATCAAGTCCCTAAAAGGGCGCTTGACCCGACTGCTGGCAAAGAAAAGAAAAGAAAATGTCGGAGTAATACCGAAACTGTGTAGCGTCCTCCGTTTGAATCACAATACCCAGATCTGCCAAAGCTGGTTAAACTTGAGGCGATCCTTCAGAAACTCGAAAGCCGCGATTGTATAACATTGGAGTGACGTCGATGTATAGGCGAGAGAGTTGTGAGTTGAGGCAATTTGTTAGTTTAGGCCATCAATAGATGTCCTTAGACCTTCACTCCTGCGCTTGTCCTCAAGCCATCGAAACTCCTCTCTAACGTGAAAAGAGTAATTGAAAAAATCTGCTTGCCGGAGCTTTGGCCAATTCTGATCCATCCACTTGGTCTCAGCCCACCCCATTGTCGCCTTGGTCTCATCCGTTTCTGCACTGACCGAACCGTGAAGTGCTTTCAGCTGCTTCAATCCTGAGAGGTGGTGTAGAAATCCTGGTCGGTTTGTCGAGGTGTTCCTGATACTGAGCATGGCAGGGAACGACGTGCTCGACTTGTGCACCAGCAACATACCGTCTAGACCTTCGTCGGGAGGAACCATTGCCAAATCCAGCTCCCGCAAAGCCGTCAAGGAGCCGATCTGTCGGTACAAGAACTCCAGTCGAGAAAAGTGTTGCGCCTCGACCTCGGTAAGTGTGATCGGGGTTGGGCGATGGTAGTATGGCTTGACCCCGGGCTCGACGGGCAGCTCACATCCACTGATCCCGAGGGCGAGGGAAGTCAACTTGGTGCAGGCCCAAGGGGTCTGCAAAGCGTCGTCGAAAGTGATGTGAGAATCCGAGCAACGTCCGAATCCGATGAGAAGCTCGTCCAAGTTACAGCATTCCTTGACAATCATTGGAAACAAAGCCTGCGGGAGAATGCCATGTCCACTGATGATAATTGATCGCAACGTCGTCGAGTGCCTTTGGAACGCCACGTCAGTCTTGAACTTGCTGTCATAGGGAAGAGCTCCACGGTACACAAACTCGGTGATTTGTTGAGGAGGCAACGACCCCATGATCCGGAAAGGGAAAGGCTCGACCGAATCCATGTAGTAACCACAGAAATCCAACGACTCGATCCTGGGACAGTGCTTGCTGATGAACTGCTCGATCTCGTCGGTCTCCTGATGTCCCATGACGACAGACAGAGACAGTTTGTTGATGTTGGGACAATGTGCGAAAATGGAGCGAATGTCGGTAGCCGAGTTCCAATCGTGAATGCCCCGAATCAACAGCTCCCTCAGGTTGATTAACGCTTCCTGCTTTCGTGGCACCGCTATTACGTTTCCTCTCTCATCCTCATCAGTCGAACGCCCAGGAAAGTACAAGCGAAGGCGCTGGAGGGACGAGGGACAGCTGAAGAAAAGCCGAGAAAAAATAGCGAACCTCATGTTGACCTCAGACTCAATCGAAAGTTCCAGTTTCTTTATCGCGTGCAGTTTAGCTATGACGTCTTCTAGGCGTCGACATTCGGCCATGTCTGCAATCGAGACTTCCTGCAGTGAAAGAGAGGTCAGGCGCGGGCTGAGAGAAATCAACAAAGTCAACTGGGCCAATGTCCCTCCACTGTTGTCGGCGCTTGGCAACTTGTAAGGGGGAAGGGGGTAGTTTGTGCGATGGGAATGGAAAGAGAGTCGCGACAGGCGGGTCATGGGTGGTAAGGCGACCAACTGATAGGCGTGGATGTCGGGTGGCGGCAGCCAAGGGGGTCGTGTTGGTGGTGTGTTCGAGAGATGTGAGTTCATATCCTGGAAAGTAAGGAGGCAGTTGTAGTAGAAGACGAGATCGTACAGATAAAGGTTCAACTCCCTGACATGCTGACTGTTCCGTGAAAGAGCGAGCAAGGCTGGGGTAGATGTGAACAGTCTGGGAATAGAGCCATCATCAGCCAACAGAGTCCTGAAGAGAGAAAGGGTGCACCGCGTGTGCATCTTCCTGCAGGTGCGGGCGAGTTTCGAGATGTCGTTCTTGGCGAGGTATGGTGTCAAATGGTCGACGAGCTCTGTTATGTTGAAGAAGCATCCAAAGGCGTCCGGCATCATGGTGGTGGTGGTGATGAATGAAGATCCATTGAATTAAAAAGAAGTGAACTGGAAAAAAAAGGCCAGTTCACTTGATTTTTGATGTCTGTACCTGAATATGAACATTTCAGGGGCATCAGCAAACCTTATCAGTCGATCAGCTGTTTTGTTTCTTGTGAAATGGGTGTTGCAAGTCCACACCCGTCCTCCTTTCACAATATCTATCGCTTCCAAGCATGTTTCTACAAAAAAAACAATAGTAGGACTGATACTCCATTCAAGCCATGCAACAAAGGGGGGAAAAACAAGGTCACAAGGTCTTTATTTCATGAACATTCAGTCAAAAGGTGCAACATTCACGCTACCAAGTCGATATCCCCTTTTCATCTCCACGAACGGCACACTGACATCCTCCCGCTTCGCAAAGAATCCAGCATGTCGAAGACAAGGTCACTGTCAATAGATCCAATTCGTTTCAGAAACCTTCATCGCCTTCCTAATCTCCTCCGAATCTGCCGTGGGCCAATCCTTACAGTACTTCGAGATATTCTGGCATGCCTGTCTGTGGGTCTGGAAGACTCAGTATCGCGGGGAACGACATGCAATCATCCTGCATTCTCTCAACATCCACTTCGCCACTCTCGCACAGCAAGGGAATCATCCTCAAGTTCAACTCCTTCAGCGCGGTCAACGCACCGATCCTCCTGTAAAGATCCTCCTGTAGAGATCCTCCAATCGAGAAAAGTTCCGCGTCTCGTTCGCGGTAAGTATGATAGGAGTTGGGCGACGGTGGTAAGGCTCGACTCCAGGCTCCTCAGGCACCTCACATCCACTGATCCCGAGCGCGAGGCGAGTCAAGACCAAGGGCGTTCTAGAGCATCATCTAGAGTGACGTAGAATCCGCTAGCGCGTGTGCATAGTATATGAAGCACTTCCAGATTATAGCACTCCTTGAGGATGGTGGAGACTGATATGTCGAACATATAGTTGTCCTTTTGAAACCGTAGCTCCCGCAAGGATGTCGGGTGTCACTGTATGGCCAAGTTCATCATATGCCGATCAATCCCGGAACGTCCAGCGCGCAACTCAACACTGACCACCTGCTGTGCGGGCAATGCGCCCATGATCCTGAGTGGCAACATCATCTGGTCCCCCGCATGGTCCGCTCCATACGCAAACACTTCAATCCTGGGACACGCCTCCGCAACGAGCCGCGCAACAACCTCGACATCCAGGACCCAGTTTGAGATCTGCAAGTGCGCGTGGAACTTCTTGAGTCTGGGGCAATGAGCCAACATCGCCGCGAGATCGACCGTTTCCCTCCACCAATGACCCCGTCCCACGAAACGACAGCTCCTCGAGATGGAGCAATGGCTCCAGTCGCCGTTCCATAACCGCGCCTTATCCTCGCGATGCGAACTGTCTTTCAATCGCCCCACTGCAGAGACCTGTTCGTATCGCCAAACTCTCCCGTTCTTCTTGAAATCCACGGCAACTTTTCGAATCGACGACGGGAGGCAGAAGAACAGTTGTCGCCATATCTCTAACCAATAGTGGTTCCTGCAATGGATGTCGAGAGCCAATGTCCCCAACCTGGAGAGCCCCGCCAATATCTCAGCCAAACTCCAGACTCGATGCTCTAGGATTGGGATGCCAGACAAGGTCAGCGAGACCAAACCGGGATTTCGGGATATCGGCCATCGGGTCTGGGCCAGTCTGGCTCGAAAGTCCTTGACGCTGGGGACCGAGTAGGATTTTTCGCTGATAGGGTCGATGGTGATATCGAGTTGGAACAGGCGGGTCATTGAAAGTAAGGCGGCCATCTGGGAGGAGTGGGTGTCGGCTGGTGGCAAACGCGCTGGTCCTGAAAGTCGAAGGGAGTCCATGGTGGTTTGTGACTGAGGGTCCTGCTCGAAGGCGAGAACCCATTTGTTGTAGTAGGCGACTTCAATTATACCGATATCCAGTATCCTGACGTGTTTTATGTTCCACGCAAGGGCGTGAAGGGCCGGCAAAGTATCGAAAACCCTGAAGTCGCGGCTTTCAACAGCCTGGCCTTCAACACACCACAATTCGTTAGAGAGTGATGGCGTGCATCTGGCGGTTGGTGAGGATGAGGCTTAAGGCATGCCATCAAAATTTCGAGGAGTTCCGGCAAGTCAAAAAACCGTTTGCAAGCGTCTGACATGGTGGTGGCGTTGGCAAGTGAATGAATGGAAGATGTTGAACGAGGAATCACCTGTCGTTCTTTTTTTCTTGCCTGTTCCTGCTGCGTTTGTGGCAACCACATGGTGTTTAATAATAAAAAATCCCTTGTGGGCAAAGTGGCCACTCTTCTAGCAAATACCCTTAAGCCAAAGATTCCCATTGGCCCGTCTTTCACTCAGCCATTTGAACGGCGCTGACAGTTTGGCAGAGAGGGGGTAAAACGCGGCGTATTTGAGAAGAGGCCAGTGTCTTTCCATCCAGGTCACCTCCAACCAGTCAATCGTCCTCTCTGTCTCCTCGGTATCAGCCCAAACCGACCCTCGAATCACCCTCAGGTTCTCCAGTCCAGCCAGGTGGTGAAGAAATCCTGGCATGCCTGTCCGCGGGTCAGGTAGGTTCAGCATCGCAGGGAATGATATGTGGTTATTATCCAATGCATCATAGTCCACCTCGCCGTCCTCGTCCAGTGGCACCATCTTCAGATCCAGTTCCTCCAACGCCGTCAATGATCCAATCCGCTTGTACAGATCCTCCAGTCGGGAGAGGTGCTCAGCTTCGACCTTGTCAAGGGTGATCGGGTTTGGACGACGGTAGTACGGTTCGACATCAGACTCGTAGGGTATCTCGCACCCTCCAATTGCGAGAATGAGTTGCTTCAGCTTGGTGCAGGCCCAAGGATGTTCCAAAACATCATCCAGGGGGATAACGAGGCCCTCGGTCTTCCTGCATGAGGCATCAAGGATTTCCAGGTTAACGCACTCCTTGAGAATGGTGGCGGCAGAGAACCAATTGACACCTATGCGTCCTTCGAGATGAAGCACTCGTAGTGTTGTTGAGTGTCGATGGATGGCCAAGTTCACCGCAGACATGTCGAACTCGGGAGACCCGATCCTCAACTCCAACCGGGCAACTTGTGCGGGCAATGAGCTCATGATACTGACCGATAACCGCTCGTCATACTCGACCATCCCAAACCCTAGCCATTCGATCTTGGGACACCCTTCTGCAATAAATCGCCCAAGAGCTTCGATCTTGCCGTGGTCTGCAAGATTAATATCGCCATTCAATCTCTTGAGATTAGGGCAATGAGCCAACATCGCACGGAGATCGTTCGTCGTCTCCCATCGGTACCCCCTCATGCCAAGAAACACCATGTCCGCCAAATGAATCAATGGCTCCTGTCGCTCAGCAACCGCTTCCACTTCCGCGCCCTTCCACCCGTTCGCGTGCACCACTTCCTCCAGTGCATCTTGGTAGTGCGAATGCCTCTCACAGTTCTCGAAGTTCAAGAATAGCCATCGGATCGAAGATGGGAGGCGAAAGAATATATACTTCCATAGCTCAACCCAATCGTCATTCCTGCAAAAAATCCAGAGTGACAACGTCTTCAACTTGGACAGTCCAGCAAGGGCTCTAGCAAACATCCGTCCGCCTCGAAGACTCAGAAGTGGGACCGAGGTCAAGGTCAGATGGGTCAAGCCGGGGTTTTGGGACATAACCCAACAGAGTTGAGGCAATGCCGCTCGAAAGTCGCTGGCGCTGGGCATCGTAAGGGGTCCTTCGTCCAAAGGGTCAAGGTTTAAACGAAGAGACGACAGGCGGGTTATGGGAGGCAGAGCGACCACCTGGCATGTGCGGATGTCGAGGGGCGGTAGCCAGGGGGGTCGGGGGAGTGGAGTGCCCAAGGTACGTGAGTAAAGCTCCTCGAAAGCGAGTGCGCAGTTGTAGTAGTAGGTAAGCATAACCATTCCGGTGTCCAGCTTCCTGACGTGCTGGACGTTCCGTGCAAGTGCGAGCAGAGCCGGTAAACTCTCCCAAATCTTGCACTCCATGCCGTGACTTCGCTCCAGGCTCGTGTAGAGTGAGGGTGTGCAAAGACTGTTCATTCTGCGGTTGGTGCGGGCGAGTCTCGAGACATCCTTCCGGTCGAGGAACACCGTCAGAAGCCTAGGAAGCTCCGGTATATCAAAGAACTGCTCGCTGGCGGTCGAGATCGACATGGTGGCGAGTAATGCGCATTGAGTTTGTGAATGATCGCAAAACGGAGTCAGCAGGAACCTTTTTTTTATTTTATGATTTGTATGCGTGACTGACCATATCAAAAAAAAAATCTGGTTGTTTAAACAACCAGAAACAATCGAAGGGATACCTTTCCCTCTCTGTTACTTATGTTTATCGTAATGTCTATTCGAGCTGCAGGAGCTGTTACCAGAGATTTTTTCTTTGATTAAAAGCTCTTTGTGATCAGTGAAACAAAGTGATCGGTGACGGGTACCTGAGATCGATGCCAATATCAAAACAGAGAAGGCTATGATGCCTTGATGTAGGCTCGACCTTCTAATGATCGACGATAACTTTTTGAGTGAAAGAAGAAGGAGCTCGTCAGCAGAAGCCCGTGTAACTCTAGTATGTCGATGAGCTGGTCCTAAGTGGTCGAGGTCGAGGTCGAAATGGTGGTAGGTGAATGCCGTGCTTGAAGGGTCATCAACACAATAAAAAGACTGTTCGTGCGTTTGAAGCGCAAAGCGGGAAAAAATTAGAGAAAGAGATAAAAGACGTTTATTTTAGGGCATACATTTCTACACAATACCAACCTTCCCTCTCACTCTACTCGGCATCGTCGTCGTACTTATCTGCCACAATACGAAGTTCCTCCACATCATCATGAACACCCCCTTGCCGCCTATTCGCAAGCCAGGCAAACGGTGCACTAACAAGCTCCTCTTCATGAAAGAAACCAACATACTTTAGTCGGCCAATCATACTTTCTGGTCGATCCATACCGCTTCAGGCCATTCCATCATCACCTCCGTCTCGTCCGACCATACACAGACCAATCCTCGAAGCGTTTCCAGTTTCTTCAATCCCAAAAGATGCTGAAGAAATCCTGGTCGACCCCTCCGTGCATCCTCGAGGTTCAACATGGTCGGGAACAACATTGGATCGTCTAAGCAAGAGATATCCACCTCGCCGGCTTCGTTGAATGATGGCATATGCAGACCCAGCTCCCGTAACCCCTTTAGTCCTCCTATCCTCCTGTGCAGCTCCTCGAGTCGGGCGAAATGCTGGGTCTCGTCCTCGGTAAGGGTGATGGGAGTTAGTTGACGATAGTATGGTTGGACTCCAGGCTCATCAGGCAGCTCGCACCCACTGATCGCGAGGGTAAGGTGAGTCGACTTGTTACAGCCTCAAGGGTGCTCCAGAGTGTCATCCGAGGGTAAAAAGAGTCCACCGTCGTGGAGGAACGGAATACAGAATTTCTCCAGGTCCGACACTCTTTGAGGATGGTGGAGGCAGAGATGTAGCAGTGGCCGTCGGCTCTGGCGAGGCGAATCTCTCGTAGGGATGTCGAGTGTTGTAGAACGGAGGCGTTGAGAGTTGGAATGTTGAAGGCTGAGAGGATGCCGCTGTAGCTGAACTTTATGATTTGTTGTGGCGGAAGCGAATCCTGAATCCTGAACCCGAGAGGATCGTGCTCCTTACAGTTTGCCATTAATGTTGTGTGGCTTTTATCACCTTGTGATACCTAATTTGAGGTGGAGGAGGAACTTTCTCCTCAAAGTGGTATGAAATCAATCCACTTATTAACACCAATGCTTCACCATCAAGATATCCTTTTTGTGTGTGAAAGAAAATAATTGTTTATAGAGCAAGAAAAGATGAAAACTATTTATGAAAAAAACGCAAACAAGCACCTCCTGTGAATGTGCCAATGGATAATATTACATGAACAAAATAAATATTAGATGGCCGAGAATGAACAAAAAAAAAACGAAGTAAAGGTATAGTCTAAAGAAAAAGCTAGAAAAAACATCGCATCACAAGTGCGCAGGTCTTTGTTTCTTGCTTCATCTTGAAGACAAAGAAAATACTCCTGCTTCTTTTCTTTGTGAGGCAAAAGTGTCCTCTTTGAATCGTCAAATCTCGTTATTTTAATCCTGGTGGTTGCGGGGAGCGCTTCCGATGAGTCCCTCTTCTTCCTCAGATTGCTGCGCTACAAGGGTAAGCGAAAAACAAACGCATGAGATATTTTAGACCTCAAACAAACAACGTTTTAAGGCGCCTCGGTGATATCCATGGCCCGCTTGTCAAACATTGTCAAGTAAATAAAACGCGACATTAAAAAAAGCAAAAGAAGGGGATCACAAACCTTTGGGTCTGGGAATAGACAGGCACTTGATGCCAAGGTAGGTGCAGAACCTGTCAATGACAACAACGGCCCATTGGGCATAGGCGACTGCGACAAAGATGAAGTAGGCCCAAAGGAAGTAGTACTCGGTTTCCGCGGTGAAGATGGGGTCCCATCCGAACAGCACTGGGGCGTTGGTGATGAAGGCTCCAAAGATGAGGGGAATCAACTGGACGGTGAAGTAAGGGAAGGCGCTCTTAGTGACGTGGGCCAAGATGATTTTGGTGGCCATGCGACCAAAGACAATGCCGATGGTGACAGCAAAGAGGATAAAGTGCTGCTCCTGGAAGATGTACGAGTAAGGAGACGAGAGCCAGGCATAGGCGCTGACAAGGAACAATGACATAGGCAAAAGCTCAGAGTAGGCAGCAATGACCGACTTGTTCTGCTCCTTGCATGACTTGTACACAGCAATCAAGCTATAGGCATGAAAGAGTGAGGATTAGTCAATATCATTATTGTAGTAACAGTATTGTTCACAGGAACTGAAGAATCGCTGATTTTTACCAAGGGGGAATGTGACCGACAACCATGAGGATGGTCATACCGGCAACCATGAGGTCCAAGAGAATCCAGTCGTCGGGGATGATGCCAAAACCGGTGCCAAAGAGCGCGACGGCGTTAGATCTCCAGAAGAGAGGCCCCATAAAGCCAGAGACCGCCATAACGAGGCAGGCAAGGATAAGACCCTCGGTGGGACCGTTGACATATCCGAGGTAGAGGACTCCAGTGTGGTACTCCTCCCAGGTGGACAGGAAGAAAGGGAGGGTGGTAAGGAGCAAGAGGAAGGCCGAGTACCAGGAGTGACCCATCGACATACAGGCGGCCTGGTTGACGGAACCAATGCAGCAGTTCAAGGCGTCACATCCGTGATCAAACAACTCTCCCAAGGGCGACGAGGTTCCAGTGCGACGAGCCTGCTTTCCATCAACATTGTCAAAAGTCGAGTACAACCACAATCCAATGGAGCAGCTATTTGTTGTCGAAGATGACGAAGAGGAGTGGAGTAGGGCGCAGGGTTAGATCATGATCATTCGTCTCACTTTCATGACATTGTTTACTTTCTCCTTTGTTTTAGAGTGATTCGTCCCGAGATAGTCGACCGTGAACAAGTAATAATTCCGAGGGGAGAAGAAAGGGGAAGGAAAAAAGGTCCGTGGCACTTTTTTCTTCTCTTCCCATTCCATTCGATGAAGAGTCCTGTCGAGGAGTCCATGGGAAACCCAGTAACAAATAGCACAACCACTACTTTTCTGAATCCTCTGCCGTCTCTCTCCTTTTTGTCCTGCGGGTCGGCCTGTGTTTGTTTTTGCATAGACCAGTGAATCCGCTCCTGATGACCGCATGAAGTGAAGCATAGGCTGAGAGACAATGTCGACTCAATATCGCTGGGGAGAAAAAATAGATACCGACGAGGGTTGTTGAGTTACCTGAAGTAGACCCAGGTAGGGCCGGGGGAGTACAGATCAGGGACAAAGTACATGACGACGAACAAGTTCGAGACCACGAATCCAAAGCCGATCAGCGTAATCAAGTTGGGGCTATTTTTGCATAAAGAGGACAATGGGTTAGGTATTGTGCAAAGTTCAATGGTGTAAGGAGAAAGAGGCGAGCCAAAGCGATCACCTCTGCCAAGGCCAGGGCTGTCATATACATGCACAAAAATAACACACACAATCTCTCTTTTGCACTTTCGGACTAGTGAAGTGAGAGATGACTTGGGCTGTTCCTTGTTGCCGTCATTTGTTGTTTACAGCGATTCCTTCCCCTCCACAAACAACCAGCGACAACCAAGCATCCTTGCTGCTTCAATTGATCCGTATCGCACTCTGCCTTGTCGTCGCTGTTCACTTGAATAGTCCATCAACCCATTCTGCCTTGCTGCTGTTGTTGTTGTTGCTTGTTGTTGCTTCTTCTTGTTGTTGTTATTGTTGTTGTTGCTGTTCGCTCCGTAAATAGGGTTCTTGTTTATGTCCGCAAGAGTTCTTCCTTCGTCGCCATCCTTGCTAAAGTCACTCTTCAACCGCTTTGGAGCAAAAAAAAGTAACTGCTGCCTGTTCAGTTCTACTCCGCCGAGTTAACAGGGTGAAGGGGACAATAAAAGGCGAATCGAGCGCTTGTCCTTGTAGTGCTGAGAGACGGGGATGTAAACTGTGCGTGGTTCCTCCTTCCAGATGATGACCGAGCGACCACAACCAAGAGATGATGATGCATTCCCGCTGAAGCCTCCTTGATTGCTGAATTGAACAGACTGACTGTTCACAACAAACAACCCCATTTTTCTCATCTCGCTACTTCTACCCCACTCCAAAAGAGAAGTAAGGCTCTGATGGACCAGTCGGGTGGACTCTTTTACGCTTTTTTTTTCTACTCCAAAGGCTGAGCGAGCTTACACAAACAAGAACAAAAGTAAATCCAATCGCAAATAGCAACAAAAACAACAGCTCGAACAGAGAAGTAAGGATACTTACGCCATCCACATGGGGAAGAGGGTGACGGCCCAGTTCCAGTAATGACTGAGGACGTATTTGGTGACGGGCGACTTGTCGACGCAGCCGTACTTGTAGAGACGGAGGTTAGCCAGACCGGCATCGCTCACATACTCTGACTCGTGGATGCGACTTCCGAACCCAAACATTTCTCTTTATGCTGTTGTCGATATGGAGGAAGGAGAGGGAGAGGGAGAGGAGAAGGAAAGAAAGTCGAAGGGGAAAGGAGGAGGGGGAGGGTCGTTAGGAGAGTGGGGAGTATGGGAGGAGAGCGAGAAGAAGGGTAAAGAAGAAGAGAAGGAAGAGAAGAGAAGAGAAGAGAAAAGAGGAAAGGAGAGAAATCAAGAAATGATTTTATTTTTTTATCCTTGATCCCAGCCCCCCTGTTCGCCCTCTCGGCTTCCTCGCCTCTTGTTACTCTCCCCGACCGACCGAGACGGACTTTTCTTTTGCTGTCCCTTGGGGCAACTTTTCTTCTTCGCTAGCAAGCTGAACTACGAGGCTAGTGACATTTCCTCTCCTACTTTCTCCTCCCTTGCACAGTATCAATTGGCACTATCCCTTGACACGGACCGAAGGACACTCAACATCACTTTATGGCATCCCTCGGTCTCCTTACAGTACTTCACCCCTGTTTTATTCTTGCAACCAGTCGCTGCCTTGATTTCATTCAAACAAGGCAGCCAAAGCGAAAGCCAAGCTAACCAACCACAGCCATCTCCATTCAACAACCTCGTCTCGTCTCCGACCAAGTTGTCTGTGGTAAACAGTCGTTTGCCCAATCAACAGCCAATGCATTCAGGTACCATGTGCAGTACACCATCTAATTAAACATCCTTATCCGCCTTCATGACATGAGAGTATCCATAGTGATGGTTTACCACGGATTCATATGTATCTCAATTACTGGCACACGACAAAGAAGAGACAATGGACTGTCCATCTGCCTAGGTTTCTACAAGTTCATGTCCCTTGTCTTTGTCACTGTTCGCTCTCACATGGAGAAGTTCAAGTCCGATCTCTGTGAAAGAAAAAAAGGTTTTTTTTGCCCCAACAACTTCCCTACACTTGCTCTCTTTCTTTTCTTTTCCCGCTCATCCTTTCATTGTGCATTCTATGTGGCTTCCTTCCTCTCCTTTTCCTTTCTCATTTTCTTTTCTTTTTTTTGATACTTGGGTGCTTGATGCCATGCAATGCCATGCGGTCTTCATGTCTATTTTTCACTCTCTCTTCTCCCTCTCATTTCACTCCCCCCACAAAAATATCTCTGAAAGGAACATGCAAAATGCTCGTGCTCGCACGCACTCTCTTACATCGTGCACGCACTTTTTTTAGAAGTCGACACACAGACCGACAGGTCGACGATTGTTATTATTGAAGTGACGAAAACTAGCTCAACGGGAGAAAAAGATGGTTGAGATACAATGCCCTTTTCCACGCGAGATTATACAAGATCCCATACAATCCTCTCACCGCCACTCTCCGGTCATCGTCATCGCCATCTCTCTCATCCTCTCCGCACTCAGACCGACAACCATACACTTGCCTGCCTACGATTCCTTCTTACTGCTCCTTCCTCAGTTGTCAGCATTTGCTTCCTGGTGGATATCTGTTCATTGCCTTACCTCTGACCCTTTAGGAGCCATTTTTCTCTCTTTATTTTCACACCTCTCTTGACCTCCCAACCCCCTTCACTTTCCATCCTTCGCCCCCTTTTACATTTTCCACAGGGCACATCGTTCATCTCTGTCCACCTTTCAAAGCAAAGCACTTCTTGGGGCAATTGACTCCTCTCCCCATTGTTCATGCCTTTGTGTACGTTATTTACCTCTGCCGCGTTACACAACAACCATCTTTCACGATCTAAAAAATTGTTCACGTTATGTTTTTGTTGACCTTCCACTCTTTTTTTCTCTTTTCCAAAAACCCTTTGTCCGCCCAGCCCGCTCCACAATCTCTTTTCTCCACACGCACATGCGAAAAGAACCTACAGCAGGAGGAAATAACCTAAACTGACTATTGTGATCCATCCTTTCCTTTTTTTCCTTCTCGTTCGCTGACCACAACAAACAATGTTTACTTTACTCACCCAATGTTTCCGTAGACCGAGGGTTGGCTGGCAGCTTGACTGACTGACAAGGCAAAATGAATGCAGGTATGCCCAGAAGTATTGACATGAAACGAAGCATGGTATAGGAATCACAAGAGAGGAAATCAACTACTTCCTTCCCTGTAAGGTGTGAAAAAAGGTACATATTTCGAAATTGAGGTTCATTTCGACCATGAACGTTGAAATGTACAAGTCTGTGTACGTGCGTGCATAGTGTTGTTTTTCTTCGTGTAATGCTGCTTAGCAATAGATATGTGCCTTGTTGGAGTGGCTTTGAATGGACAAGGTGGTCGTGAACACAACTATTTTTTTCAAGATGGACAAATTCACAAACAAACATATCACGGTTGCCGCGTGAAATAAACTACGATCGCCATACTTTCTTGTGTTTTTTTTTTCGCGGCTGCTGCTGAAGTTACTAGGACGCATATAATCTACTGGCTTTAAGCAAACAAACCAACGCAATGAACTATACTGTATGCACGATACTATACGTAGGATACTTATACTTTACGCACCGCATACGCACACCTAGCAACCTTGCCCATGGACCTAATATAAACCATTGAGAAACCAATTAGGCCAAAGCCCTGGTCCATGCGTGTCCGCAATAAACAACCTATTACATCATTACCTTCCTCTTTCTTCTTCAACGAGCTTGCTCTCAATGCTGGAAATAAAGCAATATGAGGATAGTGAATAAGAAAGTCGGGTATTTGACGGCTTTCAGGGGTTAAGGTTGCCATGGTTGGAGTGGATACCAATTAGCAAAGATTGAAGGCAAATAAAAGTAGAGCAAGAGAAATGGACATGCCGTTTTTATACCAGATTCCTGGAAGAGAGCTTCTAGATCGGGACGGTGGAAGGAAACCCATTCAACAAAGAAAAAGATGAAAGAGCAATGGTTGTCCCCTATATACGACCGTAGTCGCCTCTTCTCCACTGAGCGTTAGCTATGAGCAAATAGCATAAGGTCTTGAAGGAAATAGGTAGAGAAGAACGTACGAAAGAAGTAAATGAGGCGGACAGTTGGATACGTTTGAGCCTTTTGGCGATATGTTCATCTGTGAGAGCATAAGACAAGGGTGTATTTTCGAGAATCGAGATAGACGGCACCGAAGGGCGGGTTCCAGACCCGCACACGTTTCCCCCTTTCATCTCTCTATTTCTCACGTCGGTTTCCCTTGTCCGCCTATCCGTCTGTTTACGCCATGTTTTTTTGTTTACTATTTTTGATTTTTATCAGGGAGATATGTGCGGCATAGACAAATGGACCATATCTCTGCTCTTTGCAACAACAGTCACCCGTCCATTCTTCTTCTCAGTACCCATCTCTCGCACTCGTGGTTGCTTTTCAATATTGAGCTATCCAACGTTATGGGAGCTAGACATTGTTCCAACTTGGCTCTGTTCGAACTCTGTCTTTGCATTCATTCCAAATCGTGGGAATCTCTACTAGCCATTATTTCTCAGAGCTAGTTAGCCTGGTTCACACAAGGTGAGCCATTGTAGCGCTGTGGGTAACGAATAAAAGATGATAAAGAAGGTTAGAGACACCCTTTAGTTCTCTGTTCCTGAACAGAGGATAGTGTGAGTTGAACAAGGACGGTAAAGGCATTTTGATTCAGGAACAACCAAGGTCAAGGGGCTTTATTGAATGTCGGAAAGAGGGGCGCGGACTTGAATGAAAGGAAGTGAGTCCTGCTGGAATGAAAGGAAGGAAGGAAGGAGAGGGATGTTGTCGGCAACTGACTTAACCGGCACGGCAACGACAGCAACAACAACAACACCATGCACAGTAGCAACAAAAACCCAATCTTTCTTTTTTTTTCTTTCTTTCATAACATGACCTGTTTACTGTTGTCCGTCTTAATTGCGTTCCCGATGACTGAGTGAGCCCTTCCCTTCATGTCCAAGGAGTCAAGGGGTACATGATATCTCCTTTCATGAGCAGTCGACTCTCTCTTCTCTTTCCTCCTTTCTCTTCTCTGCCTCCTTCCATCTCACTCACACACACACACTCTCTCTCTCTCTCTACCCACTTTTCCCTTCACTTTCTCTCTTTCCTCCACTCACTCTCTTTGTCCACTTTCCTCCACTTACTCTCATTGTCCACCATCCTCATTTCATTCCTCTTCTCCTTCCTCTCTTCCTCATCTCCACCATCTCATTCCTCACTTTTTATTTCTTTTCCTTGTGGAACCCATGATAAATCAAGCCACCACGCGTCAATATTCCTGAACACAAACTATTTTCTTCTCCACTTCCCATTCAGAATACAACAAACCATACCATGCGAATCGAACATCCTTCCTCTGTACGACTCGCAGCCGCACTCCTCATCATGACCCTCGCCTCCTCCTCCTCCTCCCCTTTCACCTCAGGCGTCAACGCTCTCAACATCAACAACCACGACAAACTCTCGCTATCTCACAACGACGACGAACCATCCTCTTTACCACCCTCACTCCCACCTCACATCCAACAATACCTCCACCACAACCAGCACCAACAACTCCTCAAACGCCTCTTACCCTCCTCACAACCCCCCATCCTCTCCAAACGAGCGACCCCACAAGGGTGGATAGACTACTACACTTCCTCAGGCGCATTCATCGACGAATCAACCCTAACCTCAGGCTCCTGCCTCACCCTCCCCTCCACCTGGGGGATCCTCGACATCACCCTTGCAACCCGCCCCAACCCCGCCAACAGCGAACGTGATGTGCTACAGCTCTTTAACGATAAGAACTGTATCACGGTCAATCGGGAACCGGCAACCCAGACGGGTTGGGTGATCATTGCGATGTATTTTAACAAAGTCCCTCAGAGCTTACAGTGGGCTCGTATTGGGGCTTCGGCAACGACACAGACGACGACGACGACGACGACGACGGCGAGCTCTCAATCTACAGCATCAACAGCATCCAAACCAGCATCTTCTTCCTCTTTTGCATCAACACAAACACTCTCAGTTTCAACATCTTCAATACCCTCCCCCTTACCAACAGACCAACTCATTCCACCAGATGGCCTCGCAAACCCACAACCCTCGCACCACACAACCTTCCCCAGCGCCCTTATCCCTCCAAAACCTGTCCCAGACTCCTCGTCCTCCTCCGCATGGGGCGACAACTGTGGCGGTCCCGAAAACGATCCCGACTCACCCGGTTGCAGAGGCGCCCGTCAAGTATCGCACATTCTCATTACCGGGATCACGATCGCCCTCGTGGTTGTAGCGTTGATGGCCGCTGGAGCGTTTTATATCTACAGGAAGTTTTATGCGAATGCCTTGCCGACCACCACGACTGGGAACTCGTCTTCTTACCGACCCAACCAACTCAACAATCAAAGCCATACCGGAGGAGGAGGAGGAGGAGGAGGAGGGAGCTACGCGTTCAGCGGAACACACAATATGAACAGCTCGGCCTCAGGTTCTGGAACCCGCTTCGGCTCCGGAACTGCAAGCGGCACGTTAACAGGAACAGGAACAGGAACAGGAACAGGAACAGGAACAGGAACAGGAACAGGAACAGGAACAGGAACAGGAATACAACTAGGAGACGACGCGAACCCAGACTACGAGTACTGCCACGACCAGGACGAGAACGAACCACCCCGGTTCATGTTTGATCATCGCCGCGATAACGTGGACACTAACCGCAACCCCCTGGCCGCGCCACCATCCTCGGTTCCTTACCCGAACAATTCGTCGGATATCAATCTCATCGAACGCGTTCGAAAATAAACCGCCATACCGGCATTTACTATCTTTTTTTTTTTTTTACACACCGCAGTCTTGCTTATTCATATTGCCAAGCACCCCCCTCTCTCTCTCTCTCTCATAAAGATAAATGCAATGCAATGCAATGCAACGAAAACCTCTATTTTTATTTTAAACCAAAAGAGTAATACTTTTTATCTGCAAGACATGTCCTGCGCAGAAACAAAGAAGGGGGTACTAATATTATATTTTTTTTTATATCCAAGGGAAGGACGCGTGGGGGGCAATAGAAAAGAAGTGAAAATGGTACAAGGGGAAGGAAAGAAAAGGTAGAAGCACATGTAGAAGGGTTTTTTTTTCATATTGTTTTTTGCTGTATTTTGTAAATAGGTTTTGAATTTCAATTGAAAGTGTTGTTTTGTTTGTTGTTTGTTGTTTGTTGTGAGAGATATGTCCAAGTAAGAGAGAGAGAGAAAGAGAGATGTCAATTGTCGATCGCGTCGCGGAGGGTATCAAAAAAGGTCCGGGGATTCCAATGCACCAAAGAGGGAGAAGGAACAAGAAGAAAGTGGAAAGTAAAACAATGTCGGAAGAAGAAAATGTAAAGAAAAAAAAGATATCCTGTTTCTCCTGTCAGATTGAAATTCCATGCTGGCTTTCTTGCTAGATGTCCTCCCCATTTACGCCTTGATCTTGCGTTCCTCCACCTCGACCTCAACAGCGGCAACCCAGCGAGCCAACTCGTCAGCCTTCTCAAAGACCTTGCCAAAGTAGACCACGGCCTGTTCGCCATCCTTGGCAGCCTTCTCCTGCTCGGCGCGGCGTCTCTCGTGAGCCTCAATCTCCTTCTGGAATCGGTTCTGGATCTCCCAGGCGTTGCTCTTGAAAACGCGACGGCAATCCTTAGTGATGCGCATAGCCTCATCGTGGACCATAGTGCCCTCGCGAACGTGGGCGCGGAGCTTGCGAGCAGTCTTGCGGGCAAGGGCGTGCTTCATGTCGGCAGCAATGTAAACCAACACTCCCAAACCAGCCACCGTCACAACGGGCACGGCCCACTTGCGGACATTCGAGACACCGACCGTGCTGGTAATGTCAAACAGGCTGTGGATCAACGACTTGTAGCCAAGGGCCTTGCTCGAAAACATCGTGACAGCTCCGAGCGAAACACTGGCCATGCCCAGCTTGTCCTGAACCTCAAAGATGTCAGTGAACTCGAGAGAGAGCTCATCCTTGAGCTTTCCGGTGGTGATGCGGTTGGCGTCGGGCTTGGTGAAGAGGGTGAGGGCATCCATCTGGTTGGCGGCCGAGGCATCGTCGGCAAGGGTGTGAATATCGTTGACGCAGTTCTTTGCCTTCTCCTTGGCCTCGACCTCGCAGCTCTTGACGCGGTCGACAAAGAGATCGGCCATGACATAGCGGAGATCGTTGGCGTACTGCCAGATGTGCAACAATCCGTTCCAGGGAACCAGGGCAGAGACAACATTCTCGATATCGTCCACAGCGTTGGTCAACTTCTCGCGGGTCATTGTATCAATCAACACGCAGGTCTCCTCAGCAAGACGATCGACTCTCTCCAAAACAACTTCGCGACGGATCAGCGTATCCTTGTACTCGGGCTCGCCACGCTCCAACTCCAAGCGGACCTTGGCCAATTCCTCGGCAGCCATGTGGCGGTTGGACTCGGAGAGGACGCTGACGTCGCTCAAGATGTTCTCAAGGTAGACCTTGGCAGGGGCCAACTTGGACTTGCAGCGCTTCTCGAGAACGAACGAACGAAGGCACTCCTCGAGGCGGAGGAAGTCAGCGGGGAGATCACCACCCTGGATGACCTCGGGCAAGCACGAGCCAGCAGAGACAAAGTGGACGAGCTCGTCGGCATCCTCGTAAGTCTTGGCGGAGAGCTGCTTGATCTGGTCGAGAATGACGCGCTTACAGCGCTCCTTGTCACGGATCGAGTCGAAGCGGTTGACAACGATGAAGATGTGAGTTTTTTCGTTGGCGGCATTCCAGAGGAACTCCTTGCCCTATTGATCATTGTAGATGAATGTACGAAGGAAAATGTACCATAGATGAAAGAGAAATATTGTCAATGTCAATGAAAATATAATAATGACTACAAGAGCGTTGACTCTTAAAATCATAAAAAAACAACTGATGGTCATAAAAGGCAGTTCCCATGAAATAACGTGGTAACACAAGAACTGTTGTTTTGCTGTCGTCGATGTTGTGTTGTTGACCCACTGTGCAAAAAAAGTGAGTTCGAGATGGTATGGATGTAACTCAGCTCGAGAGACAGGGACGGAGGGAAGGGTGGTTGAGTGACATCAGCGTCAACACAAGAAAATACCTCTCTCCCCACTATCCTCTCTCATTCCCCATCTCCTTTGATACTACCAGCTCATTTTACCCTCCATTCTGAGTGCAAAATACAAGTTTGTCAGCCTAGCAGTAAAAGCAAAGACTGACATCCAGCCAGTGCAAAATAAAACTCATTCTCCCTCCATTGCTCACGATGGTGTTCAAGTGGCTCACCCGCCCAATCAACTCTATTGCCCTACCCTCAACACATCGCCCTCTGGCCATGTAAAAAATGTACCCTCCGCCGACACGAGGGAGAATCAGAAGGGATCGGAGAAGAAGAAAGGGAAACAAGCGGGGGAAGGGGGAATACATCGGGGTCACTCACTCACTTCACTCCGAGTCCAGTCCGAGTCAAAGAGAATAAGCCCTTTTTCCAACTCACGGTCCAATGTCCATTCAGGTTAGGCTGACATGAATTGGGGTCCTCCTCCCTTCACCGTGACAAAGCCCTGACCTTTTTCATATACTCTACTTTCTGCGTCATCACTTACTCATCCACGCGAGAAATCAACACCCATCCCCACAAACACACACACATAACACTCACTCACTTGTACACATGCCCCTGCCCAATAATACAACAAAGGAACTACCCCTGAGCAAGAGGCACGTCGACTCATCATCACATACATTCAGCCCTGACAGATACATATCACCCCCTCACAAGCACATACACAGCAAATTCACATATAGATAATTCAAACAAACTTACAGAAAGAGTAAAGTGGTTCTCGGCAGAGACGACAAAGACGACAACATCAATCTCCTGCTGGCGAGCAAAGAGGGCAGTCGTCTTGACAGAGTCGCGGTTCAAACCGGGCGAATCAATCAGTGCAATATCGACGACTCCGTTGTGCAGCAAAGAGTCGTTGACGAGGCGGCGATCGGTGCAGTAGACCTTGACCTGGGCATAGTCCTCGTAACCATCAATGACATCGTTCATGAACTTCTCCAAATGGCGCATGTCCACAACGGTGAACGTGTTGGGGTCCTGGCGGTTGTAGGTCGAGGCATCCTTAATAGCGTGGACCGCCTCCTGGCCCTCATTTTCCTGAGCGTCCAAGACCTCGCAGAAGAGCGACGTGCAGGGTTGCTGGTCAATGGGCAAAATGGTACGCTGCATCAATGCGTTGACAAGGGTAGACTTGCCGGCGTTCAAATCTCCAGTGATCAAGACCTTGGAGCTCTTGTCAGAGACACGCTGGTAGAGGTTGTCGAGGTGCTTGACGCTCTGCTGAATGCGTCCATCGAGGAGGTGGGCGATGGCGTTGCGCTCCAATCCACGGAGGAGGGCATCATTGCCAGTGGCATAGTTGCCGACCTTCAAGTCCAGCTTCAGAACATTGAGCTCGGGGAACAGGCGACCGACCAAGGGGGTGTGAGAATCGGCGGCGTTGTTGTTGTGCTGAAGGGGGGATCCAGGTGCAGAGGTGAAGGAACGTTGGAGACGCTGCTGGAGAGAGACAGGCGAGGCACGTTCGCTGTCGTCCTCGGGATGGAAGGATGTGGAGCGACGGAGGGGGTTGGACGAGGCTGCGGAGGCTGTGGCTGTGGAAGAGCTGTTTGCGGTGGCGGCGGCGGCAGCGACGGAGGGGATCTGGAGGTTTGGGTAGTAGGTTTGCCATGGGCGGGTAGCGTTTGTCTCGCGGATCTCTTCGAGGAGGCCCTTTGTGCTTTGGATCAAGTTCAAGAGGCGGTTGGACTTGTCAGCGAAGACCTGTTGTTGGAGGAAGAGGTTCTGGTTGAAGGGGTTCTCGTGGGGGACCGAGGTGGCTGCTGCGTAGGAGAGGGAGGGGAGGACGTGGTGTGATGGTGTGGGAAGGATGGTGGTGGTAGGTCTGTCCGAGTCGTCCATGCTGAGGCGTGGGAGAGAGTTCCTCCTCTGGGTCGAGGCTGTTGACTGGGCGGGTTGAGCAGAGAAGTATGAAGTCATGATTGGATTGATTGGATTCTATTGTTGATGGAGTGATATGTACAGTATGTGTTTTTTTAGATTCGAGATCGAAGGAATGAGGAGAAAGAGAGAGAAAGAGAGGGCGAGAAGGAAAGAGTGAGAGTGAAGGGAAGGGGAAGTGTAATAGTCAGAGTAGAGAGTGGGAGTGCAGAGAAGAAAGTGAGCAGAATTAATAAAGAAAAAGAGAAAAGAAGAGGGGAGAGAAAGGTGAGTATGCCGGAAGGGAAGTAAGGAACGGAAGGAAGAAAAAAAAAAGGGACGGAAGGAGGAGGAAGTGAGAAGTTAATCAGACAAGGACGAGAAGTGAGAGACAACAAAAAAACCAGAGACAAAAAAATAGTTGAGCCCTCTTTCGGTTGATGTCCGAAATGGAAAAGAAGGCAGACAGGCACAATGCGAAACGGAGGGTGAATATTTGGACGACAAGAAGACAAGGATGAGATAAATAATAGGATGGAGGATTACACAAACAACGAGGAAAGGAAAAGGACGAGAGCAGATAGAGAAGGGAGAAGGATAACACACATACACCATAATGAGAAACAGAGACAACGGAGGAATGATATGAAGACAGAGAACACAAGAGAGCAGGAAGGAGAAAAGGAATGAAAGGTAGACAATGGTCGTCTTTCGGATAGTATCATATAATATTAGGAGACAGAAATTAGAGAGTGAGATCGACAATCGGGTATGTGATATGATGGATATCAGGAATGAACACTGATGATCAGCGTTGATGGTGAAACTGGTGATAACTGGTGATTAGGAAGGAAGGAAGGAAGGGGGTGGCCACAGTGGATATGTATGGATCAAACGGAAGGTGAACACCACCACATTCACCCAGAAGGGGTCGGTGCATGCAAGGGGTGTGTGAACTGGATGGTGTGATTCTATAATGATGAGAACAAATCGCTTCAATGGTGTATGTTGTGTGTGCCTGGCTGGTGAGTAAACAAGTTGGAGTGTGCATTTCTTTGCGGACAGGGCACCCCGGAGGATGAAGGGTGTAGTGACTGTCTTTTTGGCTCTCTTCTCCCCTTTTTGTGCGCTTAGAAAGCTTTGCGGGCTAACTGGCCTCCTGGGTAGAAGAAGGACGAGTGGTATGATAGGCAGGGAGGGGATGGAACAAGAGCAATAGGATCTTGTTTGACAAGGAGTGACAACACTTTGAAATAAAAAAAAATCAATAGGGGAGTGAAAGGCAGGACAAGGAGGAAAGGGAACAAAAGAATGGGAGATAGATAGGCTCAAGGGTATGTGTCTGAGTTGCGTGTATGTCTGTAAGGTGGCAGGGTGATGTAAAAACCTGATCATACTCTTATTGTTTTGTTTGTCGCAAGGGGCGAATGTGTACATGTGTGGTCTGTGTGTGTGAGAAAGAGAGTGTTGGAAGGTGTGCAGAGTGTGTTGTAATCAGGAGGTGAGAGTAAGGACAGATCGTTACCTGAGTGAATGTGCACGAGTAGAGAGAGTATCGTTGTTTGTTGTTCGTTCGTTGTTGCCCCGTCTAGATTCAAATATGGTACGTGAACCTCAAGCGAGAATCGGGATCTTCTTTCAAACGAGTGGGAAGGAAGGAAGGGCGTAAGTGTGTGCGTGAGAATGAACACCCAGGGGTGTGTGAGGTGGATCCCTGGATACGAGAGAAGGATGAGGATGTGAGGGATGAAAGGGATGAAGGATGGATGAAGATTCCGACAAAAGAGAGAGGTAAAAGAACAACGACCTTTAGCCAAAAGTGTGGAAAAGGGAGGGAAGAGAGAAAGAAGGATCAGCTTCGTCGTTGAGCAAGAACCTTTTTTTTTCTTTTCTTTCCCTTTGTGTCTCCTGTTCTTGTCGGACTCACTCTGGACGGAAAAGTGACAGGCTCTCTGTCCATGCGAAAAATGAAGACAGAGTGGCTTTGCTCTTCAGAGGCATCTATCCGGCCCCATTCAACACCCGAGACACCGAAGGGGTACCACTCACAAATCATGCTGTCTTCTTCTACCTCCTGCAAGCTCGCTCACTCCCGACGACACCCGCCTCGGCGATGTATATGTATTCGTAGCGACGATGGAAAAGTACGATGGTGAAGAGTAAAGATGGCAATCTTCTTACTGTTGAATGGCGGTAGATGTGATATAGATCAAATGCTTGTTGTCTTTTATTTCGGGAATGGTAGTTGCAAAAATCGCTATTAGGTGCATGTCTTCTTCTTGAACAACCCACTCTCTCTCTCTCTCTCTCTCTCTCTAGACACCCTGGTTCTTCTTCAAGCGGTCCTCAAGATCATCGAGCTCCTTGGTCAACTTGGCTGGGAAGCGATCGCCAAATTGCTTGAAGTAGTCGCGCGCCTTGCCAACTTCAGACAGATACGACTTCGCGTCCACCTTCAACAACTTTTCCATCACTCCACCACCAACATCTTTCTCAATTCCAGAAAGATCCAATGACGATACCGTGGGCACATATCCAATCGGCGTTGACGTAAACAGGTTCTTGTCCTCGGGCTTTTCCAACCGGTCAACAATCCACTTCAAAACTCTACAAAAAAGGGAATAAAAACAGTCGGCGATAAGTGTACATGTTACTTTACGTCTCCATTGGGGCTTGTGGTCACATTGAATCGAAAGGTACCTGGAGTTGTCGCCGAATCCAGGCCACATGAAGGATCCGTTGGTGTCTTTGCGGAACCAGTTGACGTGGAAAATCTTGGGCAGTTGCGACGGATCGTTGACGCGACCAGGCATCGACAACCAATGGCCAAAGTAGTCCCCCATGTTGTATCCTGCAAAGGGGAGCATCGCGAACGGGTCAAACCTAGACAGACAATTGAACATGCATGATAGTTGCAACAGTCAGACATGTTACACACACACGTGTGACTCGCTTTGTAAAAAAAAACCCCCCCCCCCCCTTAAAAATCATGATTGACAAAGTTACCTGAGTTGACCAATATCGCTTCCATCAGCAGCTGCAGTCTTCTCGCTGGCTACGGTTGCACCAACAAGGACACCGTGGTTCCAGTCCTTGGTCTGGAAGACAAGGGGCACAGTCGTCTCGCGTCGACCGCCAAAGATAATGGCTGAGATTGGGACACCGTTGGGGTCATTCCAGGCTGGGTCCTTGGCGGGGCATTGGTCCACAGAGACTGTGAAGCGAGAGTTAGGATGAGCCAGAGGCGTACCCTTGTCTCCCATCGAAGGGTCCCAGACCTCACCCTTCCAGTTCACCACTTTTCCATCAGGTCGCTTCTTGGTCATTCCCTCCCACCAGACATCGCCGTCCTCGGTCAATGCGACGTTGGTAAAGACAGTGTTCTTCTGGATCGTCTCCATGGCGTTAGGGTTCGTCTTACCCGAGGTGCCTGGCGCCACCCCAAAGAAACCAGCTTCGGGGTTGATCGCATACAGGCGTGAGTCATTCGGGTTGAACTTCATCCTACAATAGTTGTAAATGCAATGTAGCAAATGTACATGAGTGCCTTCATTTCGTAAGAGATCATATGCAAATATAGTATGTATGCATCGAGGATAGAGAGACAACTCACCAGTTAATATCGTCCCCAACCACTTGTACTTTCCATCCTGGTAATGTCGGCTGTAACATGGCCAGATTCGTTTTGCCGCAAGCGCTATTTCAAGAATTTTTTCTGGCATAAGCTCTCATTGTCCTCAAGTACATTGACGGTAATAAATCATTAGAAGATGAGCGCCATGTGGACTATAGCATGGCCCCTTTTCGTATTTCTCACCTTGGGAAGGCTGCAGCGACATAGTACTTCTTTCCAGCGGGGCTTGTCAACCCCAGGATGAGCATGTGCTCTGCTAACGAACCCTCATCACGGGCCATCACGGAAGCGATTCTCAGAGCAAGGCATTTCTTTCCTAACAAGGAGTTGCCGCCATATCTATTCCATTGAGGGTCATGATAGGAGGGATGTGAGTAGCATTGTCAGCTATGCAATGAGCTGTGAAGTTGAAAGAGGAAAGGTCTGATGTTGAGCGACAGGGTTGCAAAAAAAGATCGTACCCACTACCAAAGCTCCAGATTTCACGTGATTCGGGGAAATGCACGACCTTGCGTTGGGCAATGTTGCATGGCCAGAGTGAGTCCTTGTCTCCGGACTCCAAGGGCTTTCCCACAGAGTGCACACAAGGCACAAACTCCTTGTCGTCACCTAGGACATCGAGCACAGGCTGACCAATGCGGGTCATGATGCGCATATTGACCACGACAAATGGGGAGTCCGTGACCTATTTCAAGAAAGGGTAGGTACGATGTGAGTGCTCCAATGCTACGATTTCCGGTCATTCCTAGTCGCACGCTCCATCAACCCCATCACCATGTCACAATCAAGTCGATATTGCATTTTCTTACCTGCACACCAATGCGGGCAAGAGGCGATCCGATGGGACCCATGCTGAACGGGATCACATACATCGTGCGACCTGCATAATATCATTTGTGGAGAAATGAAGTAAGGGGGTTATTTTTGTCAGTCAATGAGGACACTCCGTCGCGTTAAATAGACACCAAGAGAAGCAAGACTGCATGTGAATTACCTCGCATTGAACCGCGAAAGGACTTTTCGAGCTCAGTCCTCATTTGGTTGGGATCGACCCAATTGTTCGTTGGACTGTGCGCGCGTAAATGAAAAGAGCAACAAAAGGTGGGAAAATGAGGATTAGTTAGACTCTGTCGTCACGTTCAACTCCTTTTTTTTCTCACTCTCTGTTTATCCTTCTTTCGTCCTTTCGTGCTGTAAGCATGATGTCAAGGAGCATCCTATTTATCCCGATCCTCGCTCTCCCCTTTGACAAAACATTCATTCCCGTCATCGAACATGGTGTTTCTCATTCAATGTCTCCTCTACAATAATAAATAACTCTTCCTAGTTGAAAGGACTTACCCAGCATCGATCTCCTTCTCACTACAGATAAAAGTGGAACTCTCGGATCGGGCAACATCAGCAGAATCAGTTCGGGTGAGATAGGATCCTGGGCGAAGTTTACTGTTGAGCGGGATCATGACACCCTTTTCGACCAGGTCGCCCACAAGGCTGTCGTATTCTTCCTGGGAACCATCGCACCAGTGAACATTGTCGGGTTCGAGAAGGGACTGCTGAGCTCGAACCCAGTCGACGAGCTTCATGTGGGTGGTCGGAGCCGGGTCGTGGTGGATAGCGGCTTCTTCGGCATGGGAGTGTTGATGAAAGGTGGCGGAGGCCGAGATGGGAGAGGAGTGGCTGGCAAAGAGGGCCTGTCTGGCCAATGGTTTGGAGATGGCACCCAATAGGCGGACTTGAGAGGCTAAAAAGGGCGAGCGAAAGTGGGTTGTCCCCTTGCCGGTTGTCCAGACCGAGCTTGTGTGGAGGGTGCGAGCGGCGCGGACAGAGCTGGCTGTTGCTGATGGGTAAGTCCTCGTTGCAAGGACAGACACCATTCTTGCAGAGGCTGAAGGACTATTTGTCCCATGGTTTACGAAGGAAGGAGAAGAAAAGGCAGGTACGGGAAGAGTTGACAAGGTGTGAGTAACCACAGACCACCCTCGGTTGTGAACGTTGTGTGAGTGTTTGAGTGACGGACATTGAAAAATGACAAGGGAAAAGGCGCTCACAACCACAAACCAGCCTTTTGTTCCCACACACACAGTCGCATGCTCATGTCTAAGTTCATTGCAAGGCGAGGAAGAATGAGAATGACGACATTCAAGAAGCAGTAGGGTAGGTACCTTAAGAAGAGCATGGTCGTAGTATTTCAAAGAGTTTGTTTTGTTGTTGTTATTGTTACAAGAGTGAAGGTTGCTATTGTTTTGCAATGCAGGCGCGTGTGAATGGAATGAATGAGGAGTGAAGCAGAATTGGACTATGTACAGAAAGGGAGAAGGAGAAGGAGTTAGGAGGAGAGGAGACAAAGAAACAAAGAAACAAAAGGTAAAGAGTGCGGAGCAGGGTGCATTTAACTTGAAGCGAAACCGTGGAAAAGGAAAGCCCTACACCTTTTTTGCATTCATAGGGTCCATTGAACGAACAGAGGTACAAACAGGCGCACATCCACACCGAATCATCAACAACAACGACGGCCACCTGTCTCTCACCCTCGCCATCCATATGCAACTCCTCTTGCAGATGTCAGTAATAATAAGTTCACTCTCGTTTCTTCCATCTCCTTTTATTCTGCAAAGCGAGTGTCTCCCACGTAACAATCTGAGTGTGTCTTCTGCCACTCCGCCTTGTGCTCGAATGTCCAACCAACACAGTCCATAATCCACGTCAATTGCTGTAGCTTTGGCCCGTTCATGAGTCGTGTGCCTCTTTTTTTTCCCTATTATTTACCTTTCGGAATCAGACGATCAAATCCTTCATCAAAGGAAACACTCAATCCCAAGTATGTCCTTTGTTTTACCTAGTCATCTTTTGCTCAGCTAACGAAACCCTTGGTCGGTCAGGTCAGGAGTAGCTAGCTTTTTTTTTTGGTGGGGAGTAAAGGAGGAATAACAGGGGTCAAGTTAGCCATCCTGGCATTCAATGAAAATGGATTCTCTTGATTTCCCTTGTCCATTTGCGTCTTGGCTTGTCCTCGAAAGCGTTTGAAGTTGGATGATGAAGCCCGAAGCCAGCAACGCCGACAGTTTTTTATTCTCACGGGTCCTTCGCCTCTTGGTGTTGTTGTTTATAGTGGTGATGGTGGGTCCAATAGAGGTGAAGCCCTCAGCATCATCATCATCGGATGTGTCGGTCGACCCTAAAAAAAATACAAATACCGAAAGGAAAGGACGAGCGCATTGATCGTTTTTTTCGTTCATTGGCACAGTGGTATTATTACCCCAACGGAGTCGCCCGACATGGTCTTGGGCTTGGACTTGACTTGGCAGGGTACGAGTATTTCAAGGGGTGTATTGAGAAAGGGGTTCGATGAAGGTGAGAATGGGATAGATGGAAGGATGGAAGGGATGATTCTCTCTCCTTGTGGTCATCATCAGCAGCATCCTATTCAATGAGTAAAGCCTTGCGCTGTTTTACCCCGCACTCTCTACACCAATGGGCCAGCGCTTGTGCTCACAACCCAGTGTCAACAAAGTGGGCACAAGACATGGCGTGTGTTGGTGGTTTGTAGAAATGAAATGGAAGGAATACCTTCTTCTTCCACCTTTGCCCTTTCACTTACCCCACAAAATGCCGTTTATGTCTTCATCACATCCTTTGGGGTTTCTTTTTCCTCGTCTTGAAAGAGTACTCTCTCATGCGCAAAAAGAGAATTGCTTTCAAACTCCCTCTACAAAGAAAGCACATACCACAATCTTTATTTTTACTCATTTATTCACACATTCGTAATTCTCCTAGGCACATAACAAAAACAAGTGAGTAGTGTCTCCTTTGTTTCGAAAAGTGTGTCCGTGGTCAGTCTTAAGAACACACCATCTCTCTCCCTTCTCTCTCCCCAACGTATCCCTGTCTCTTTCCTCTCGCTGCCTTTGCGCTTGCCCTCAGATGCAAAAGCACAACCATACACAAACCTCACTCCCTTCTCCTTTTTTGTTGTCATCCTTACTTTTTTTCACCCACGGCACGGACAGACACAATGGTCTCAGACTATGACTCGGAGAGGCGTCTGGAAAAGAAAAATCACGAACGAACAGACCTTTTCGTCCTCCCTCCTTTCCTTTGAGGCCATTTTTTTCCTTACCCTTTCGGAATCCGTGAACAATTGAGGATTGGGTGTCAATCCCTTCCCTTCCTCTTTTGTTCTTGCAGTCGTTGTCAAGTAATTTCTTTTTATTTGGAGTTTACAAGAGCAAGGTGCCCTGATGGCAGTTCTGCCTACTCTTCCTCCATGGAAGACTGAGACCTCATCAACGCGCCGACCCCACTCTCAGGTCCGAAAAAGAACAAAAGAGAGTGTGTTCGGATGCATGGATGACACGAGAATAACAAATGAACCGAGCTTATTAAAAAAAGGCGCAATTGGCATGATCCTCCACCCCTTCTCTCCCCCAATACACCCTTCCTTCATTTCATTGACCCCTTCGTAGATGGAGAGGGAGGTTAGGTTTGAAAGGAAAAAAAAACAATCCAAAAAGGTCTTGTCCGCGTGAGGGGTTAGACCTATGTCGTTCCTATTTCTTCCACTGGTTCGTTGGCCCAAGCTCAAAAAGGACTGGGTAAAAGAACAAGTGGCGAGGGATGAAGAGAAGGTAAAACAACAAAAGTGAGAATAAGAAGTAAGGTGGAGGTTCATTTGCATGTGTGTTACGTATCTCCCGCTCCCTTCCCCCACTCCTCGCTCTTCCATGATGGTTACTCCATTCTTCCACCAAGGTCAGGTTCCCTTCATCCTCGTTTTCATGAGCTTGGCCCTATTTTTATTTTGTTATGGCAGTTGGGCCGAAAATATCCCGATGGTTCTAGGAGGTTGTTGCTCAATAGGTGTGGTGATTTCTATCCATCTTAAACTGAGTGTGGAAAATGGCCATCAGTGACGGAGGCAAAGGTGGTTTTATGCAAACAGGCATGAGCAAAGTGGTGAGGATTTGACAGAGAGAGAGAGAGAGAGAGAGAGAGGTCATATCGAATTGTTTCCAGGCTGGTTGCGGAGCGCTTTGCAAGGAGGTAATTGGGCAGTCATTCTGTTTCTCCTGGTGCGGGCACATCTTTGCTTTTTTTATATATATATATAGACAGTGTAGACAGTGCGTCTTTGACATGCCTGTGGGAGATATGTAGAGTGAAGTTAGAGTGAAGTGAACAATCACACGCCGCCTTTCTATCTTGTCCGCCTCAATTAACGAAACAAGATAGGAATTCGGCGTTAACCATGTTTGTGATTGTGAGAACGTAATACATAGGACACGCCGCGCTCTTTGTTGCTTTGAGTTTGCTAGATTTGAATTTGTTCCATGATCGAACCTCTTTGACTGCTTTCTCAAGGTAACATCCTGCCGTCTTGGGGTGCACAGAGGTGGTTCCTAACGTTTCATTTGTTCAATAACCCCATCATAGGAACACAATTGCTCTCAGTTCTCTGTTTTGAAATTGCCACACACACCTTAGTTTGTGCCAGAGAGAGAGAGAGAGAGAGAGAGAGAGAGAGGGGGGGCCTAGGCCGTTGGATCTCCAGCACCACTTCACTGAGCATTCTTATTTTCCAAAGTCAGAAGCCACCCAACAGTCGAAAAAAAAGGATAGTGGGCTCCTTCATCTCATGCCCTAATGTGGAACAAATTTAAGCGTGATCAGTCTTCAATCCTTTATGCATTGGAAATAAGCAAAAAGAGGTGAAAGGAAAACCGTGGCAAAACAGGGGGTAAAGGTGAGAGAAGAAGGTCATCAGTATTTTTTATTACACAGAGTATGGAATTATAGACAAGAACGAGAGAAAAGTAAAAAGGCAAATAATGCAGTGGGCGAGGACATGAAAAAAAGAAAAAAAGAGCTTTTTTTTAAAGTGGCATGGTTATTAGAAAAAAATAAGAAAAGGGAGATAGAAGGATGGCTCGGAGAAAAAAAAAAAGTGAGCCGCCGTAATTCTAAAAACTACGGCAACCTCCCAAGGAAGCCTTTTTTCAAGGGTCACTGGCTGATCACTGCATTTAGTGCATCTCGATGGTCTTGCCACCCTCAACATCACCGCCGCTCAACTTGGCCAAAAGGACTCTCTGATAAGAAACCAGGCAGCAGCAGAAGTAGTACTGGAGAGCCAAACCGATCAAGAATGGGATAATCCAGCCAGCCCAACCGAAACCGCAGGAGTAACCATAGTAGGTGGAGAGGTTTGAGCAGTAGTTGGAGTAGTAGGCGACACTAATACCCATTTGGATGAGCTGGATGATGGCCCAGACAAAGTAGCCGATGACATAGAACTTGACAAAGATATTGACCCACTTGGGGTCTTCCCTGTATGCGCCCATGAAACCAGCGGCGGAGATGGCGGCGACACCGAGGTAGACGATTCCGAGGATGATGAAAACGATGCCATACCAAGCTAATTTTTTTTGGAGGGTGCGGTAATGGGTCGTTGAAAAGATGAACGAGGTTAATATACAGTCAGACTTGTTTTTCTTCATTCGTGGTGAATGAGCGACACCCGCTTACATTCCAAAGCAAATCACTTACTTCCACTATAGGTGCTAGAAACCAGGAGGGCGAGACCAAAACCTCCATAAAGGAAGACACTCAAGATAGCAATGATCATGGCACCAGTGTGAAGAGGAATGAAGCCACAGCACATCTCGAACTGGTGCATCTTGCCCATCAAACCACGGCGCTCGATACCATCAACATTAATCACCACAGGCTGGGCGGGGTGGGCCTCGGTCGCGTAGATGGCTGCGGGTTGTTCCTTGAACTCGGGGGAGATCACAGTAGAGGGTTGTGCGAATCCAGGGGCGGGAGACTGGGCAGGGTAGTAGGGCTGCTGGAGGATTGTTCCGGGAGGGGATTGTTGTGCGTATTGCTGTTGTTGTTGGTATTGTTGCTGGGAAGGGTCGAGGGGTTGTGGGGTGACATATTGATAGCTAGGGGTGCCAGGAACGGGTACTTGTCCTCCAGCGGGGGCGGGGGAGTAGTAGCCGGGTTGTTCTTGAGACATGGTGTAAGATGTATGTAAATGTAAGGTTGGTGGTTGGTGAGGGAGGAGGCTGAGGGAGAGTCGAGGAGAGATGAAAAAGTTAGTTTCAATTAAGGATTTTGCTGTTGGTTGGTAAGAATGATGAGGACGAGGGACAATGAAAGTGGGTGGGGATGGGGCCACCTTTATAGAGAAAAGATGGAGGTGAGTAGAAAGGTGGCTCTAGGGACTGGGGGCTGAAATGAATTGATGCTGCGGGAGTGTATTGAGATGGAGGAACTCAATGATTACAAGCAAAAGTAACAAAAGGCTCAACAAACTAAACAAGGAGGTGCATGCATACTGCACTTGTTTGATGGCCAGGTTCGAGTAGATGATGATTATGTGCCTTGTCCTTGATGTGGCAACAAACAGACGGACCGAAGAGGTGAGGGACAGTCAAGACAAGGCAAGGCAGACAAAGAAAAATCTACTCTCTCTGTCTGTCTCTGTGTATGATAGGTGTCCTTCCTAAAAAAAGATTGCCACTTTTTTTTCGACTCTTGCTCACGCTCTCCCTTCCCTCACAAATCAACAACATGGACACTCACATACCCACACATACTCAAACACGCATACACGGGTCAATGCCCATCAACAACAACACCGACACTCTTCCTCTCTCGCCGCAAAAAACTTTATTGCTTTGCCACAATGTGAAGAGAAGGGCACTGTTCTTTTCTTTTTTTTCCTTTTTGCTTTTCTATCTCTGTCATCGTTAATAGCTTTCTGTTTTTCCGGTAATCTAATCGGTTATGCCCTTTTGTATTTGCCACTAAAGGGCGTTCATTTGAACGCAGTGTCCAGTGGAGGCACTTGTGCACTCACGCACAAGTAAAGAAAGAGATCTCAGAAAGAGGAATGTGCACTAGTTCAACAGGGGGATAACAGTGTCCACGAAACAAATAGAAGGAAAAAGGTGTTGGAGAAACATTTTTTATGCAATCCAACCGTCGTCGTTAAACTATTCTTCGAGGCTTCTTCTTCACGTTGTTCACATCCATCCATTCGTGAAGTATGAGTGCGGGTTTGCCTTTTCATGCAAACTTGCAATATAAAACAACAAACTGTGAACCAATTAAGCATGGTCGTCGCCTTGTCTTCTTTCTGCTCTCCACAAACAGCAGCAGGGACACGAGGTCTAGTACGCCCTCCTTCTTACTGTTCGCTACGCTGACAATGCCATGGTCAAGCAGTCAAAAAATGAGGCTGCAAAAGAAGAAACGTTTGCTGGTTCTCCCATTCTGTTCGATCGCTTTTTTTGCAATTGCAAGAACAACAGTGGCACACAAAACGTATCCTCGTGTCATTCCTCCATCCATATACACTGTACGACGCAACAAAGGAAAAAAAAATGGTAGGAAAATCTGCTCTCATAAAATATGTTCCTTACCGCTCGCCCACCACCACCACCACTGCCACCACTGGGACGAATGACTGATCCATTGAGGAAAGATATGGGTCTAGTGGCGGGGCGGATGGAGACCCATAAACAACACAACCATGACGATAGACTAATCTATTCAACAGGAAAAATAAATGAGAGCATTGTTCTGTCATACAACCTCCGAAGGTAGACGGAGAGGACAAGGGCTCGTTGCAGAAATGGGATGGGTGAAGGTTCGAGACCGCAGTCAGTTCATCGAAATTCGATGCAAATAAAAACCTTATCGTGTTTTGGCTGGGAGAGAACAGTGCCGCTTGGTGTCCCAGTAGTAAACAAAAAGGAGAAACCCAACTCAAAAAAAAAAGACATGCGGTGTGTGCCTTTTCCCCCACTTCGCCTTTTCTCTCCTACTCTCAAATCCTTTTTTTTCATGATCGAGGGTGCCATGATGAATCAATTGCTATCCTTCAAAAAGTTCGAGAAAGGACGATGAGAACATGAAAGCGAGCGAAATTGCCTCTTCACCTAGACTCTAATTTCTTCTTGCGCCGATGGTAGTTATGTAGGCTGTCAGATTCATAGAGAACGTAAACGGACGCATTCTCCAGTTTAGCTTTAAGCTGCTGTTATTCTCCGAGAACTCCATCCTATCCACCGCCTCCATTGACTCTCTTAATCTCTACACTACCTTCCACCTTGAAGTAAGTAGAGTACAGAAAAATATTCCCAGGCGTCCCTTTGTGGTTGCCCTTTGTTCAATTGCTATTATCATATCAAAAAAGGGAGGGGGGTTGGGGAGAAATGAGTTTGCAGGAGGGAGACAAGGTGGTCGGACTTTTGACGATAATTTTGCGGTCGACTCTTACAACCCTGCAAGTACAGTACAGTACAGTAAAGTGTGATGAAAAAATGGAAGAGCTGCTCGTTCGTCAAGACCGACAGGTGGGCGCTCAATGCCATAAAAAAAAGATTTGGAGTTTGTGTACCCATGGAGTTTCGAGAAAGTGTTTTATTGATTACTGATACTGCGCATGGCAACAGAGGAGAAGGGAGGACTGTGTGGATATGATTCGGGCGATGTGTCGACAAATAAATGGATGCCGAGGAGCGGCGGGCGGTGACCTTTTGCTCGAAACAACAACAAAGTGGTTGATGAGCAATGAAATAATGAATTGGAGCGACAATTTGAAGGGGGAGATGGTGAGCCTTGACAATAACGGACAAAAGTTATTGAACCCACTTCCAATGAGTCCAATAACGAGAGTGATGTTGGGTGACCATTTGCCCGAAAGTCCGTTTTTGCTAGCATTTGTTGACGCCACTCTCTCCCCCACCCCTTACTCTTTCACTCAGCAGACACAATAAACAAAACATGCAAACAAATCGACAAACTCTAAAGTCCACGCTCGCCATCACCCATACTTTCTTCCGCTTTCTCAATAGCTATTTGTTGTTTGCTTTTTCAGCCTTCCGATCACCTTTTCATCGTTGCATTCAGCCACGCTCAGACTCTTCCTTGAAGGGGGACCAAAATCGCGGTTATTTTTGGTAGACTTGATTCTCTTCTTTTCGTATCGACCTTGTCCTCTGTCACCCAACAACTAATAAACAACACAGGTCATTTCCATGTTTAGTGGCTGCATCAGTAAATATAGGTTGTTCTATTGAACCCAATAAAGAAGAGCGAGAATATCTATCATTTGGAAGAGTAAAAGTCTAAAGAATCCGTAAGAATGGCACGAACATGGACGTGTTGGAAGGATCCCGTCTCAGCGGAAGCATTCGTCTCGTAGATCACTCCTTCGCGTGTCTTGGTTTGGTTGGGTGCCAGGTAGTAGACTTGTTGAATCTTCATTTGGTCCAGGTACTGCTTCAATTCGGGGTTGTAAAACATGCCCACGTCATCTGGGCCGTGAGAGTCATCGGAGAGGGTTACCCTTCCGTTCCTGGACAAGATATACTATTAGGAAAGGAGAGAGCTCTGTGTTAGCGCTTTTGAACCCGCTTCTTTTTCTTTCTTTTCCCTTCATGGACACTAGTTTGATGGATCGTATTGTTGGTGACACAAAATGATAGGATAAAAGAGAACTCACCTCGAGAATATCGCGTTGTGGGTAGGCGTCAGCAAGACCCTTCTTCCAAGCCCGCGAGTTGAGCTCAAACAATCCTCCATACCCTATCACAAAGTCAACATTCCGCTTGACCAGTGTCCATAACTCCTCCGTCAATCTGTTCTGGTTCAACTCCTGTCCACTTTCCTCGCGTCCATCCTCATGACCGTGACCATGACCGTGACCATGGCATCCTTTGATGGCTCCGAAAAAGATACGGACCAAATCCAAATGTCCCACAACCTCGGGTTCCAGTCCCTGGAGCATCTCGTACTGGGAATCAAAATATTCCCGGAACAAGGTCTCCCATGATCCCTTTCCGACAGTTTCCAATGCCTTGAGGTACAATTCTTGAGAGAAATCCAAGGGCACGCCGTGGACGTGGTGCAGCGATCCGACAATGTACTGCACTTGTGGCAACTCAACCGCCGTCGCTCCTGTTGTTGTAGAATCGTCCTGTGAGGGTCTCAGCTTGTACTGTCGGCGGGGTTGACGCAGTGTCCTGACAAGTCCGACAGAGTCGCGATTGAAATATTCGGTCTCGAGTCCGATGAGGAGGCAGATCTGGTCCTGGTATTTGGATTGCAGACGGACGGCTTCTTGGAGGAATTGGTCGTACATGTTTTCCAGATCCTGCACCGTCAAGTGCGACTATCGATTTGAATGATATATAAAGATAATTCCTCGTCATTAGCTTTTGTCTGTCCATATCTTTTGTGTGTCCAATTGCTTCATATACACACTGTACGCAAAGGTGTAAGAAAAAAGAGTAAGGGTTACCTCCTCGGGATAAAGCTGATCAGGGCTGTATCGGGGCATGTGTTCGGAGAGACCGTAGGTTGTGAAGCGCCTGTCTATGGCAGACTGGATGACCTGCTCCAGGGTGCCCTTGGCGTGCATGCAGAACTGGCCTGAATGAGAGTGGAATGAGAACATGGCAAGGGCGAGTTGAATGAATGAATGAATGAGGAAGAAGAAGAGGTGAGTTGGTTGTTGTCGGAGGTGTGATTTTTTAAAGAGTCATAACTGATAATTGAGCTGGGCAAATTGTTACGTTCGAACCATTGTCGTGACTGCCGGTCATAAAGTCGTTCGTGTTTTTTTTATGTGGTGGAGAAAGGAGAAGCGCGTTCTTGCCTCTTACAACCAACAGGAAACGCCACCCTCCCGCAGGACCACACAGGACACCATTTGCGCCCTCAGGAAGGAAAGAAGGAAGAAGGAATGGACTTTACGGAACCCTACAGGCACTCGCAGTTCCTGACGCTCTACTCGCCCAATGGCAAATACCTCGCCTCATACCATCTCGCCGAAGAGGGCTTCACCCGCCTCCATCCCTCCACACCGATCCAGCCCCACGAACAAGGAGGCCGAGGAGTGATCGTCTTTCGCTTTGCCGCAACCATGCAGGTCATGCGCGTCATCGAGATTCGACTCTTCCGCGACTCACTCCCGACCATCAACGAGATTGGCTGGTCGCCCGATTCCACAATGCTCCTTGCTGCTTGTCCCATAACGGGGACTGTGCTTGTCTTTTCAGTCGAGGACGAAGGATTCAAGGCTACTATCACTGCACCTGGGATTGTTTCCGCAGGAAGTTACTCAGGAGGTGGTGGTGGATCACCGAATAGTTCTGGAGGAACAGGTCATAGGGGCGGCAACACTCCAAAAGCTGAGGCAGCGGCAGCCAAGGCGGCGCAGGCACTCAGGGCGTTGGGATATACACCTCCAGGAGCGGAGATCCTGCGCGGGGTTCGGTTCAGCGCTGATTCTCGACATGTCCTTATCTGGGAAGACAACCTCCTACGCCTCTCCATCTGGTCACTAGAACACCACAACGTCACCATCCCCACATACTCCATCTCGGCCCCACCGCGTTCACCATCATCACACGTACAACTGCATCAGCAACCTGAGCGACAAGTAGGAGCAAAAGTCTTTGGGATCCAACACCCAAAGGCAATGTCCAAATCATTCGTCACCTCGGCATCCGTACCACCTTACAGCACTCTGGGGACTACTGCCACTTCAGCAGCAGGACCACAATCACAATACGCTCACAGTGTCCGAGGAGACCTTCAATACTTTGCAATCGTCGAGCGGCACAAAAAAGAGTGTCGGGATTACGTCTCGATCTACGCAACAGAGAACTACTGGAACGGACCACCGATTCACTCGTTTGGTGTTGCAGAGGGCGAAGGAGGGCTCAAGGATGTGGATGGCATTGTCTGGAGTCCTGACGGGCGATACTTGGTCCTGTGGGAGAACCCTTATCTGGGGTTCAAAATGGCGGCTTACTCAATGGACGGTCGATGTGTAGGGTCGTATGAAGTCAAACCAGATGGCGAGCACCAACAGCCTACTCATGGTCATGGAAGCGGGGGGCTTCCTGGATTCAGTCATGGTGGTGGCGGAATGGGAGTCAAGAGTGTTTGCTGGCATCCAAAGTCCAAGCTCCTGGCATTAGGGGGATACGATCAAAAGGTACAGTTATTTGCGAAAGTAATTAATTAGAGTGTTGCGTTTCAAAAGTCGACCCTGGCGTGTTTATTCACTATCCTCCTCCCACTGTGCGTTTTTCACGCATCTTGTCGTAGATCCGGATCTTGAACCACTTGACATGGAAACCCATTTTGGAGTTCAACCACGTCGCTCACGCTCACTATGGACCAAAGACTGTTCTATGGCGAGAGTCTGATTCAACTGTTGCTGTGACGGGATCTGTACGACAACAAGGAGGCATCGAATGTAAGGAACATTTTTTATTTACGAAGCCGATAGATCACCGCGTCATGGTCGCAATGGAAGTAGTATGCTCACTTTTGAGAAACTCATTCACTTTCCCCAAAAATACCATAGATACCATGGTCATTGAACACTCAGCGTGGGTGCTTCCGACAATCCGCATCGATACCCAAAAGCCGAATGCAAAGATTGGAGTCGGCTGGTGTGATTTTAACTGCGACGGTACTCTGCTCGCGTCACGGAATGGTATGTTCTTTAGCAATAGGAAGAGAATTGCTCTGAATGTCAACTGAGAGCGATGGATGACAAAAAACTCTAACGCTTTTGTACCTTTTTTTTTTTTTTTTTTTGTATCCGCTTCACAGACAGTATGCCGAACGTACTCTGGATTTGGTCAATGACAGAGCTGAGACTGATCGTCATTATCCAGCAACAGTCTCCGATCCGGGTGATTCGATGGGACCCTACCACGCCGTCAAGGATAGTCTGGTGTTGTGGCTCAAATCGAGTATATACCTGGCGGGCAGGCACTTCTGCGACAACAGCAGCAATAGGTGATGCTCAACAGCAGCAGTTGGGTGGATCTGTGGAGGCAGTTGAGGTGCCGGCGGAGAACTTTGTGGTGTCGTCGCTGAAGTGGTGTCCTGATGGGAAGGGTCTTTTGCTGTTGGACAAGGACATGTTTTGTATTGGATTCCCGATCGAAGATGGGGACCAGCACACCATCCATGACAACACTGCGTCCATCTTTCAGCGACTTCGGTAGATACTCTCCATTCATAAACATTCATGTACACTACAAATTGTTTTTGTGAAGTGGGTGGTTTAATATGCTTTAAAAACGATTAGAAATATGCAAGAAAAAAGAAGAAAGGTATAGCGATGAAGAGTAGGAAAAGGTGCTACGAGTGAGTTTTACTCTTCCTTGGAGTGTTGCTCTCCATAGACAGGGACCGAGGGGTTCTTCTTCTGAGCCTCGACCTCACCTCCAAACTCGACTACAGCCACACGCATCAAGCTAAGCAAGTTACGTGCAGCGTTGCTGTGGTCATACATCCCACCGTTGAAAGCCGCCGTCATATCCTTGCCAATACCAATCTTGATATATTTCTCTCCACCAGGGTGCTCGGCCATGAAATCCGCAACATCGTACACAACACCCTCCAACAGAATCCACTTCTTGTTGTCGTTCTTGAAGGCGTGCTCGAAATCTTCAAAGGACATGATGGGCAACTCTGCAATGGGGGTTCCCCACTGGAGCTTTGTCTTTTTCTCCATGACGCGCTTCTCGATCATTTGGAGCTGACCCTTGCGGACTTCGTTCTCGGGGAAGGTCTTGAGGTGGGAGGCGAAGCCGAAGAAGGCGCAGGTAGCGATTAACCATTTGGTGGGGTCGTACTGGTAGAATCGAATGGCGTTACGGTAATCCTGAGGGAACTGGTGATGGAAGTTGTGGTAGCCCTCACCGAGAGTCACGAAAGCCGTAATGAAATGATCGCGGGGGGAGTGGCGGTCATCAAAGGGACCCTCACCGAGCCAGTGGGCAAGCGAGTTGACACAGAAGGTGGCATGGTGAACAAAGACCAGACGCAAGATCGCCGCAAAGAAGTAACCTCCACGCCAATCACCCCAGCCCAACCCAGCGACGGCAGTAGGGAAGACGACGCCCATAAGGATGATGAGGGCGACGTAGTTGTTGTGTTGCCAGACGACCAGCTTGCTCTTGTTGAGATCATCGACATCGGCGTGGCCGATCTTCCATCCGGGCCGCTTGACAAGCATCCAGCCAACGTGGGAGAAGAACAGGCCGCGATGGGCAGAGTAAGGGTCTTTCTCGGTGTCGGTCCAGCGGTGGTGGGCGCGGTGGCCACGGGACCACCACTTGATTGACCCCTCGACGGCTCCGGCGCCCAGTAGGGCCAGGATGAATGACATTGCGGGACCTGCGCTGTATGAACGATGAGCCCACAAACGATGGTATCCTATTATCATTTTTAGGTCAATGCAATAACAAAAGAAATAAGTAACCTGATTTCCTGGCACTAAAGTGTCATCCTCCTCGCCTTGTATATGCAAGTCTATCTTACCGGCGGTGATGCCAAGACCGGTGGCAAAGTAATAGATAATAGACCAGATCAGAGTCTTTGTCTGGACCTCGGTCGTCAAGATTCCATAAAAGGCGATCAGAGGGGTGAGTCCGAGGGCGAGGACGTGCTTCCAATCCAGGTTCTTCCAGACGTTCTTGGCAGTGAGGCCGCCTTCGAGGAGTGGCGGCAGTTCACCGTGTTGAAGAGGGTCCCGACGGGTTTCTGTGGTGGTGGCGGGGATGGTGAATGAGGGGGGGAGAGGGGTCGCCATTTTGTGAAAGGGGGTGCGTGCGTGTGAAGGAAGAGGAAGGCGGGAAGTGGGAGAGAGGGTAGGAGGAATGAACTTTTTTTTTTTGCTTCTACTGTAAGGGAGAGTAGAAGTAAGAAAATAATTCAAAGGTGTCTGGGAGGAGGAGGAAACAAGAAAGAGTAAAGAACAAATAATTGAGGGGGGCATGGAGGATCTTTATATGAAAGAGGAACGCCTTTGTCAAGGTCCAGGAACCAGCTGGGCACGATTGGATATGTCTTACGGCGAGGTTTTTTTATTTTTATTTTTTTGTTGGGTGAGGATAATGATTGCGATTGTGCTGCATACAATATTTGATCGTTTTAGCTTTGGTGGCGTCTGTCTGTTTGTCAATTAGAGAAATGTTGTAGGGGCAAGAATGGAGTAAGCGGAATTAAAGCGCGTTGCCTTTCTCGGAAAACGAGTTACAAATTCCCAATGCACCGACTGAGACATACCCCAGAGCAATGAGCACCCTCGGAGGGAGGGAGAAGGGGACATTGACCGGAAGAGGGCACATACACATTCAACTGCAAAGCAGCAGTTACCCGTTCTACCCAGGAGGATTCAGGTCAGTCATCAAATCATCAATCATGTCATGGACACAAAACACCCTCGGATGTTGTTATTGTTGTGTTCACTCTTGGCAAAAAAGGTACAACGTCGGATGTTTTGTAGGCTTATCAACCGCCAATGATTTTATTTGGTCTTTTTCTTTTTCCTAGACAAGGCGGGTGTGAATAGACACTTTGATATCAACAATGTTTCTCGCTGAACGACGTTGTTGGTTGACTGGCGCTAAGCGTAGGAAAGGACACGCATATACCGAACACGCACGCACGTCTACGCATTGTGGCGGATGCAATTGAAGACAATACATGAACCGAGAGGTGGGAGGAAGAAAAAATAATCTCGGATATGGCAAGTGGAGGGTCATCGGGGGGTTTGGGTTCCAAACTTAAATGCAATCAAAAGATATCACACATCCAGTACTAGGTTATCGGATAACAACGCGCTTGCAATGGAGAGACCATCGCCCATTGCCGTTGCCAAGCCTGGCTATGTCAGGGGGGTGGAACAGGTTGGCAATAAATGCGTTTTTCGACAACCAAATGGACCGCTTCCAAGGAGTGACAAGCAGTATAAGCGTGTTGGATCGTCGAGAGGAGACATGCTTGAATGTCAACACGAAACTTGTTTGATGTTCCTTCGTGTCGTTGTGACCGAACGTAACGGAGAGAAGGTTTGTGTTTCTTCTTAGTGAAAAAGCGCCACAGGGATCGGCACCCCATGACTGATAGAAGGTAGGAGAGTCAAAGCAGAGGTCATGTACAAAGTTGGTTATAGACGAAGAAGAGATGGGGATAGTATTCGTGGCGCTTGTATTACCCTAACTTGAAAAATGGGTAATTCCCATGCCTAGTTTCAGCCAAGAGGCGAACTATGGCGTCCATTGTCCTCTACCCAATAAGAATTTGATGTCATTAATATTTTTTTTGTTACATCTTTACCTTCTCATGCAAACACGTTCACTCTTTTTTCCATCTCCTCATTCTATCTCTCGCTCTTGCATACTCTTCACTGCCTTCGCTGTTTCGCTCTCACACTCACGCTCACTCGCTCTCTCTCCCACCCACACACAAAGGTACTGTTACTAGGATCTCTGAATCTTATTTTGCTTCGGATCATGCAGGAAGACCTCAATTACACATACCCTGGTCATAACAGACTGGCTCATTCTTAGCTGGCTCCTGCTTAGCTCCGCGGCGGGAGGGCGGAATGTGGGGGTTGAGTGGGGTCGTTATTTGGTGTCAGAATGTTACAGCATACCGCTACTGGTTCTTTCTTAGCTGGCTCCTGCTTAGCTCTGCGGCGGGAGGGCGGAAAGTGGAGTGTGGCTTATTAGATCGACATCAACATCAATTGTCTCATTATTTCACGGTTGGAAGTTAACTTGGCTGCTCGTCTTAATCTTTTTGCAAGCATCATTAGGACATCATGACCAAGACATCCAACAAATAACATCAATAACCTTGACGACATTAATTTGCGGCCAGCCGCAGCCTTGGCGTGGTTCAAGAAGAAGTTGACCTCAAACGAGGTAATAAGCATGCCTGAATTTTCCAAGGACTTTGGATACACACACGAGCAGGATGCCCACACAGCGCTCTCGCACGCACTTTGCTCAAGCGAAATACCGCAGTTAGCCAGGACAAAGTTTTCCAAAGAGTACGAGTCATGGCGTCGAAATGAAGGCGCGGATTACTGGGCCTCGCGTATCACGGACCACAAAATTCAAGTTTCAACAAAAAAGACAGCTGAACAATTTTCAACAAGAAATTGCGAGAAGAGACGTATCCAAGATGTCAAAAATCTATTGGCTGATATTCTGGCCAATAAACCCCACAGGTATTTGTGTATGGTCTCAAGACGATTCATTGTGGAAGGAAAGGGTGGTTTGAAAGAGAAGAAATACTCCAAGAAAACAAGAAGATGGAGAAAAGTACTATATAATATCATCCGATTAGTTGATTTTAGACATGTTCTTGAGTAAAGATTTTACTTTGTATCCTTTGAGCCAATTTTGGATATATATTCAAAAAAACCTCCTTGAAGAGGGTTTCCGCCGCCGCGGTATGCCTCGAGTATCTGTATTGGCTTTACCGGGTTGCTGCCAATCTACACGTTTCGCCGTCAATCGCAGAGAAGCCAGTCCTCACATCCTTGACTCCCGCCGGACACTTTGGCGCTTTAGCGGTTCCCATCTGGTGGACCTTCCGTTCCTCGAAGGCGTCACCCTTCCCTTGGTGCCGAAAGCTCCGCCTTTTTATATCAAACGCACCAACACGGCCAGCAAGCTTCGATACAAGAGCGAAGTAAGACACGAGGACAGTACCGTGGCGCCAATACCGATCTCGCCTTCCTCGAAGTTCATTCTCTGGGCAAGATGCTTATTCCGAAATTCTGGCAGCAGGGTTCCATATGGATTCTGGTTCTTCTCTAATGAGCAGTACGCTGGCTCTCTTACTGTCTCACTGAACAGTGGCCCATTCCAGCAGAGAACAAGCGCAGAGGGGAAAAGATTGCCAGCGATATTCGTCGCTGCTTTCTGCGAGGACACAATGGCATTCCTTCCGACCTCAAGGGCACACTTCGCATTTACTCCTGGCGTCCAGGAACATCCAATGACAGATGAGAAGAAAACCAGGGACGGCGCTGGGAATGCGATGGTGCATATCAATCATTCCAACATGGACGGCTCCTTACACGAAGGTTATGTGGCAAACAATGATGACATTGTCCTCCTACAAAAGACGATCGCGTTTGTCGTGACACAAGGGTATTTATCCTCACATATCTGTGTGAGACGCTAAAGCCAATAGCGAAATGTACAGATGAAATAGAAAGGGAAACGCGTTGCGGACCAATTTTTTTTCTTCGCTTTGGTGAGAGTTACCAACGTTTTATTTAAGTAGGAGGAAGGGAATGGAGAGGGAATGGCATGCACCGTCGTGCTAGTGAAAGATAAAAATATACAGATATGCTACAGTGGCCGAGGTGCGCAGACGAGATAAATAACATGACCATTCCTTCTACAAGGAGAGCGAGTTGGTGGTTGCATCGAGAACAAGCGGAGGAATGTCCTCGATTGAGGTGGTAGGCTGGCTTGTGGAGGTGTAGGGGGGCGATATGAGTGTTGCAGCAATCCAGTTGCCGTTGTCGCTGTCTTCAGGGGCACTACCGTCAAGGGGCAGAGCAGTCCAGTCAAGAACCCGACCTGCTATAGCCACGATGGCCTTGCGCATCGCCAGAACCCGGCCAGGACGGCCAGCAATGACTTTGCCATGGTCACATCCGTCCACGAAGCCGGAAGCGAGATAAGCCCTTCATCGCGGAGCTGGCTGAACCAACCTGGCCTCTGGCGCAGAGTATAAAAAGGTGGCGGTGGGTCCCGCGATGCGCATACCATACACGACCAAGCAATCGCGGAAATTCACCATGGCAAGCTTGCGGATCTCATCTCCTATGTCTTTCATCATCTTGGCGAGTTTGCGAGTGTCTTTCAAGGCCTTGGTGGTGAACTGCCCCTGATCCTTCTTGGCCATTTCCAGCACGCAGTACTCCAGACCCTTGGCGGTGCCATAGACGAGGCCGTCGGCTTTTAGGCCAGTAACCTGCTTTAAATCCAGTGCACGACCGTCGTTGCGGTGATGCTGCGACGCTTGCGGTACTATCTCGCCTGGCTCAGTGCGGGCTGAAGAGTGCAAGACTCAGAAACCACCAGAGCCGGTGGTTAAACCACGACTCGCTGGATCCACGCGGCAGGGAAAAGTCCACCTGTCGATACGCCGTCAGGATAGCCCACATGCACTCATGGGTCGCACGACAAAACTCCTCTGTCGGCTTCTCGTCCAGCTCAGCACCCATTGCCCGAGTGCCAGCAGCCTATCTTGCTTGTCTGGGGCCTTATTAAGGGTTTCAAACGTTGACATGCCCACATTCGAATCGAAGCATATTTCAATGGCGTATTTGAAATACATCAGCCATCGAGGAAACGTTATTCCATGGCGGGTTTCCTTGACAGCGCATTTACTTACACGTCAAACGTCAAGGTTTAAGACTCCCTATTACATCGCGGCTGATGGATCCAAAGCGTGCTTTGACATTGTTGGATGTTGTTGATCTGTTTATCAAATTCACAAGTTGATTGGTTAGTTAATTGATATTGTTGATGACTTATGGATGTCGTACTGGTTCATAGCAAATTCAGGATGTTGGAGCCTTACCGCGCGGATATGAGTTGCGCTCTGATGAGCGTTCATGCATTCAGCATCGGCTGGATCAATGTAACTCTCATACAGGACAATGGGCGCGAAAATTACGTCGTACCATTTCGGTGACGTAATTTTCGCGCCCATTGTCCTAGAATCTTTTCAGTCATGAGCACAAGATGATAATGGATAACGTTCCCATCTTCAGCAATACTCACCATCAACACTATTCTGCAGCAACAAGTATCGCGCGCCGATTTGGACAAGAACGTCAACGACGATGAAAACAACGGCAATAATCAAGAAGGTAATGGTAGTCTCTTAGAAGGTCAAGCATGGCGTGTTGAACGGATTTGGTGGATGGATGCGAGCAGGGTCCTCCGTGGGTCCATGAGAGGCACATAGGCTAGGCGCGCCTCTTGCTATGACCTCTCCTCGGGCGTATGGCTGCGATTTGAGCGGCTGCTTGGGATTGCTCCTTGGGTCCATGGGGAGCTATAGGCTAGGCGTGGGCGCTGGACTGCTCCCTTACTATGACCTCTCCGTGGCTGGGGTTATCTCCAGCCATGGTGGTGCTGCATTTCAATCAGTTTGTTCTCCATCAGACTCGTGGGTACATGAGGATAGAGGATGAAGGAGATTTCCTCCATACGACCCCATCCGTTCTCGAGTCCGCTTCTCTCTGGGAAGAGCAGGGATCTGTATCGCAACAGTGAATGGCCAGTTCCTTGGGTCCATGAGAAGCTATAGGCTAGGCGTGGGCGCTGGACTGCTTCTTGCTATGACCTCTCCATGAACCATTCCTTGGTTCATGATGGTGCTGCTGGTCACGAGCTGTTGCGTGTTGGTTGCTCCTTGGGTCCATGAAAGGCGCATAGGCTAGGCGTGGGCGCTGGCTTGTCTTTCCATATGACCTCTCCAAGTAACCAAGGTGTCAAAAGCCGCGGTTCACTTGGTGGTGCTGCAGCCGATGCCGTCCTCTTGAGGACAGCTATAGAGAACAGAAGTCTTTGCCCAGCAGCGGTTGTTTTCACCGTTGGGTGACTGGGACCACCGTATTTATGCGGGTTAATAGCTGTGCCATCGTGTTTGTCTCTTCTATTTGCTAACCATTACACCTTTTTTTTTTTGCCCTTTACAGACCTTTCCAGACCCATCTTCTAGGCAATGGTTCTTTTGGTGTCGATGAAGAGTGACATTTTACACGGATGGATCGAGCATGGATATGACAACGGACTATGGATCCATGACAGATGATCGAATGAGAAAGGAGCAAGAATACGCTCTTCTTGGGCCAGCTCTGCGGATGTGCTTGTGTCTCTTCCGTTCCCTCCGCCATTGTAATTAGTTTTATCTCCTACGTCTTCGGTATTCGTCAAGGTCATGGCCTGTATGAACAGTACGAAGGATGTATTTGAGGTCACACTTGCACCCACAGGAAGTGGAATGCATTCTACAAAAACAACACGTCGCCCACGACTCGTCGGCACTGGCACTGTGCCATGGAGAGCCCTATCCATGACCAACATTTTCTTCGGTAAGATTCCTCTGTTTAATGGTTATGTGTGAATCGTAGGTCTTTCTCGTCACCAGAAGAGAGCCCTGACGAGCATCTATCCAGTGCAACTACTCATATCACGCTCGCGTGTCTGTAGGCTGAGCAACTGTTCGCCCAAAATAACCTATGTAAACTGACATTCGTTTAGCACATATAAAATATAAATTGAAAAAATTCCAAATCAAGGTTACGAACAACTTCTTCAAATTGAAAACGAACAAGGATTTTTTTGAGCGGACCTTCTCTTCTCTTTCATCCATCAACAAGTACATTCACTCACCATGGCAACACAATGCGAACAGTTCTTCGGCATTCAGGAGCTAGTCGACATCCTCACGTCTTTTCTCACTCAGCTGGACCTCTCGAGGCTCGCCCGCACCAGCCGGACTATCTACACGTGCTGCACCCCGGCGCTTTACAAGGAGCTGAGCATTGTTGTGAGAAACGGAAAACTCAACGTCTTCAACTCAAAAACCGGCATGGCTGCCCTCGCACGGAACATTCAGCATGTCAGGAAGGCATTCTTTGGAGTAGAGGAGCAAGCATACTACTACAATTGCGTCCTGGCATTTGAGAAGCTCCAGTTCCACCAACCCACTGACATGTATCCTCCGCAGCAACGACCCAAGTGGTTGCCTCCAGCAGATCCCCTCCAACACGAATTGGTCCCCCTCCCACCATTGACCAACCTGCAGGACTTTTTCTTTACGTTCGACACAGCCAACAACCCCTACAAGCTTCCAAGCAGCCTTGACCACCGAGCAATGGTGGCACAACTCTCGTGGATGATATCCCTCAACCACCGCAATCTCGTCAACCTTAGTATAGCTGACATCCCAAAGTATGGCGTTCGCGAAGGCGAGTTTCGGGATCTTTGCAGAGCCATCTCAGAATTGACAGAGTTGAGGGAGTTGGATGTCTCTTTCGAGACCCGGGAGGTCGATATTTTCCAGACAGGCTTAGATGTTTTCTTCTCTTGCCGCCCGTCGATTCGGCACTTGATGATACATGTGTTTGAGGGTGGCGAGGAGGATGACGAGGTGGAGGAAGAGGACGATGGAGACGATGGCACCGAATCGGACAAAGAAGGTCAGCAGGAGTACCAGAGCAGATCAAGGAAAGACAGTCACAAGGTCCGAGATTTGGTGCCTTTGCCGAGGAGACAGGAACCGTTGAGTAATCTGGAGATGCTAAAGTTGTGGGCCATTGGAGCTCAGGATTCGACGTCGGACATCCTATCAGTTTTCGCGCATTGCCCCAACATCGAGGAGCTGTCGATCTTCTCCTTGGCTGGGTATCACGAGGTTGATGTCATTGGAGAGTATATCGGAAAAATGTGTCCCAGGATCGAGTCGCTCAGTTACGGTTCCAGATATGACTCAGCGGCGAACGACTCTTTGCCTTTCAGGATCATGGATGCGCTACCCGCTCAGCAGCTCCGGGAGGTTCGGTGCTATGGGCGTTTTGCAGAGGCTACGACGCTCTCCGACAACTTCCCACGGCTTGCTCGGCATTTCGACACGCTACAGCAACTCGCTCTCCATCGCACTGGGAGCATTTCTAGGATATCTATTGCCAGCGTTTTCAGAGAGTGCAACAACCTGGAGAGCCTCTTAATCGAATGCCTCGGCTGTATAGGCTGCTTTATCGAGCTGTCGGATGCGATCGATGGCCCTTGGAACTGTTTAAAGTTGAGGCAGCTTAAAGTCAGCATTAGCGAATGTGGGCTTCCTGTGGAGGCGGGCGTAAAGCCGTACTACTCTCGTCCTACCCCCATAGCACTTAGCGCGGACGAGACGCGGCATTTTGCCCGATTAGGTTCCCTCTACCAGCGGATTGGGGCGTTGACAGAATTGCGAGAGTTGGATCTAAGGATGGTAACTCGTATCGGACAAAGTCACCGCGGCACCAGACTGGACAGCGAGTGGGTGTTTCATGCTATGCTAAGTCTCGGAGACGCCGAGGCAGGTCGACCAGGGTTTTTGAACCAACTAGCTGGGCTGTCCAAGCTGGAGATACTTAATGGGTCTGTCTGCCTGGACGAGGAGGAGGCCAAGGTCACGATCGGATGGGATGAGGTCCGTTGGATGGACATGCACTGGCCGCGACTGGTGAAGGCGAAGTTTCTCACGCACAGGAAGCATATTACAGCGCCGTTCCAATGGTTTAGTGACAGGGGCAAGGACAACCAAGCATAATCACTTTATGGGTATCTGCAGTAGTAACCCCTCCCCTACTTGTTTGATACTCCTTTAGTTTTATTCTGTAATAAAAAAAAGCGTTTTGAACCCTGTGCTGTCGCATTCGTTTGTAGTCGGTGAAAAGGGCAAATGTCTAGCACTTCAAAGGGTTGCCAGGACCAGTAGAATACCTGTCAGGCAAGCTGCCAACATGGATACGGATATGAATACTGCAATACCCAGCGCGTCGTTCTTTGCACCCCAAAGTACGTCGGCCACACCCTGTCCTGTTCAAAGTCCAGCATACAATTCCAAAAAAAAAAGGATATCGATTTTATTAGCTCAACATAGGCAGGGCACTGTCGGTTGTTCTCTACCGCCGATTCTTCTTGAGCTCCTGGTACTCCTGGTCCCTCCGCTCATCTGTGCGCTGCAAGAAGGCCACCTTTTCCATGTAACCATCCTTGTTATGATGCTTCAATTCATCCTCAATGCCTTCTTTGCCCACAAAGTTCTTCCAGTCGAGTTTTGATTTCTCGAGCGTGTTGAGTTTGGGTGGTTTCTTGACACCGTAGGTGGCCGCAAGTTCGTCGAGGTTGGATTTCTTGCGGATGTAGCGAACGGGGGCTTTTGTCTTTGTCGCGAGCGAGTCGAGGATTGAGGGGCGGGTTGTGATTTTGGGGCCTCCTGGTGCTGGATTTGATCTTGGTATTGATGATGCATCTGAGGCTTCTGAGGGTTCTATGCTAGATGTTGCTGATGATGATGACGATGATGTAATGCTTGTGGTGTCGAGGTTTTGTGCTGTTGATATTATTGAGTCCGTTGTTGTTGCTGTTGTCGTTGGTGCGCTCGTCGTTGTACCAGATCCAGATCCAGAACCAGACGAATTAGCGCCAACAGGGGCTTTGCCGTTCTTGGCCGCATACTCCTTTGCCTCCTTCGAGTCCTCGGGAACATCCTTGGTCACCGTAACCGTCTCGCCCGCAAAATCATATGTCGTCGTAATCGTCACCAACCTTCCCGACCCCCCCGTTCCTCCCGCTCCTGCTGCCTTATCTGATGATGATGTTCCAAGGCCTGAAAGTTCAAGTCGCCGTGTAGAAAGTGGTGGTTTTGAGGCAGGAGCGTTCATCTCTGCCCAGAGGGCGTCAAGATGAGACTTTTTGTTGGTGGCTTCGGCTTGTTCCTGGGGTGTTGGGTCCTGTTGAGGTTTGGGTTTTTTGTGTGAAGAGGAGGAGGCGTCGGCGCCGGCACGCCGTTTACCGGATCGTGATGTAGATGTTGGCGTGTCTGCGTCGTTTGTATGATTTTCGTCATCGTCACTGCCGTCGCCCAAGTCCTCTCCGTCACTCTGAAAGTCCTTCTCTATTATAATTAAGAAAAGGAGGGGCATGTTAGTTTATGAGAAAAGTTGGGTTGTTCGAAGCAGAAGGCGGAAAAGAGGGGGTTGGGTTGGTTATTACCATCGGGAGCGTAATCCTCGTCGTCGCTCTCATCGTCCGAATCTGATTCCATCTCGTCTGGTTTTGGTGGTTTCTCTGGTACTTTTGGTTTTGCCATTCCTGCCTTTGCTCGTCCTTGTTTGTTGATGCGTGTGTGGGGTGTCTGTAGTGTTTGATGTAATGAAGAGAGAAAGTCAGTGAGTGAGTTGATCAAGGTTTCTAAATTATTGGTGGCTAAACTTTGACTGTGGCTTGTACCACTCACCCCCGCAATTTGTTCGTTCCTGGACCACCCCCCAAAACTGATCTCTCTTTTCCTTTCACACAATCCTTTAATACTTCCATTCACCACCGAAACCCCACATCACAGCAAGGAGAATGTCATCAACAAGCACGACCTCTCTACAACAGACACAAAAGGTCCTAGGCCTTTACAGGAAGCTCCTTAAAATCGGAAAAGCCATGCCGACCGAGACCCGGCAAGCCCTCGTCCTCTCCCGCGTCAAGGGCGACTTCCGTGCCAACGCTGCCGAAAAGGACCTCCAGGAGATTGAAGGCATGATCCAATTGGCAGAACTCCAGGTCGATAACCTTGAAGTAAGTTAGTTTTTTTTTGTTACTATTAATTAGCATTGATGAGGAAAAGGAGAAAAGTGGGGTCGATTTTGACTAAAGTTATTAACGACACGCGTTTTTTTTTCTTCTTCTGCGGATCGCGGATATGTGCATTTTATAGATCCAAAGAGACCACTTGACGGAACTGTCAAAGAACCCAAACCTAATCATCCCAGTCGACATCCACAAGAACGCTAAACCAAGGATCTCGAGGTTCATGCGTGGACCGCCTCTCAGCTGGGAACGGAAAGCCGCTCAGGAAGCAAAGGATAAAGCCAAACAACAACAACAACAACAACAACAACAACAACAACAACAACAGCAGCAGCAGCAACCACAGACACAGAAGGCGGACAACCCACGACATGGGTCTCCAGGACACGTTTGCAAGAACCACAAGCATTGAGGAAAAAAAAAGAAAACATTTTTGTTTTGATTCCGCTTTTTGCTCAGGATGTGTAGAAACTCGCTGATTCAGTCGGGATGCTGCACATAATCGACCTACCCCCTCCCCCCTTTCTTCTTCCAACCAGCACAGCCCCGGATTCACCCAGCTCTGCTCTCAGGAGAAACAATCATAATGCAAAAGTGACAGGATCTGCACGCGTGAACCAGGAATCGGGGGACCAGGAACTGAAAGTCTTCATTTCGGGCCGTGACAATGCTGGCTTCACCTGTCCTATCGCGTCGGTCAGTCGCCCCTATCAAGCACCTCCAGATCGGGCTATTCAATGAACTCGATTCGTTTGCATTTTAACCAGCGACCAGAAAAGTCAGGATGTTGTGTATTAAAGATTTTGTTTATTAGTGTACAAGGTGTTTTTGCTTACTGTTGTCCAATGGCCAAACAAAGACATGGAAAGTAAAAGCAAAAGACATAAAACGAGGTATTGGGTTTTGGGCTTCACAAAATGAAGAGTAGGGAGGTGTGGCCATTAGAGGCTCAGAAAGGGAGAAGCAAGGAGTAAGTGGGCAAGTGAGAAAGTTGAGAAAGAGATGATACGATGTGTATGAGAGGAGTGCCTTCTATGAAGAAAAGTACTGTACAGGAAGAAAAAGAGAGGTGATATGAAAGTAAAAAGAAATGAAAGGGTTTTTACATTGTACAATTCGAAGGGGGAAAAAAATCAAGACTGAAAAGCAAAACTGAAAAGCATCGACGCTTTTCTAGATCTGTTCTTCGCGTCTTGCGATCACGCCGGTGGTTATTGAGGACGTCGATGACGACGAGGGGGACGAAGAGGAGGAAGTGCTTTCGTCCCTGGGGTGGAGGGTGTGGGAGGATGATTTGGTGGCCTCGACTGGGCCTGAGCCCTCGATGAGTTGACGCTTCAACATGCCCAAGAAGACAAATGTCAGGGTGAAATGGGGTCCGATACGCATAAAGTGTGTCGAGAAGCCCTTGTAGAACGCCATGGGGCCTTCGGTCGTCAGGATGTGGCGAACTGACTGCATAGTCGTCTGCGATGAAGACTGCGACGATCGGTTGTAGAGGCGGATGCGACTAAAGGTTACAATAACGAAAGAAGGGTGACATTAGTCACTGGCTTGCCAGAATTACAAAAGCGGGCTCAGCTGAGAAGTGAAGAAAAAAACAACACTACGACGACTTACACAACATCCATGGGGTTCATGACGACAACACTGATAAAGGCGCTGACGAGGGAGCTAGCCATATCCAGCATGATTCCGTCCTTTGCGCCCCAATTGTTCCTGGCATGGTCCTTGAGGAGTGAATAGGTCGTCAAGTTGGCAGCACTTCCAAGCATCGACCGAGCGATCGAGATCACAGATCCACGGTAGAGGGTCATTGCTCCGTCGTTCACGATAATGGTCCGGAGTGCAGAGAAAGTGCCAGTGTAGGCGTATTGGTTCCCGACAGCAAGTCCTCCGGTGGAATGGGACTGGAGTCGGGTCTTGATGAGCTCAAAGGGGTTCGCACTGATAGCTCCCATTGCACCACAGGCCGCTCCCGCGATCATCCGTTTCCATGCTGGAGCAGTGCTTGCCTCTCCGGGGTAGTTCAGTGGGTGCATTGCGTTGAGGATGGGGTCGTAGAGTCCAAGTCGGAAAATGTTTTTCGATGACTCCTTGAGAATGGCAGGGAAGAGACCCTTTTGCAGACCACGGATTCCCTCGTGTCGAAAGGTCTTTTGCAGGCAGTCGAGAGAAGATTTATAGACCTATTGTTGATTTTAAAATGAATAGGAAGGAGGTCAGTGGATGAGAAAAGAAAAGAAAACGATGAAGGGTGTTGTTGTCTCCAAGGGGCGAGATGTCATATTCGGAAAGGAATGAATGAAAAGCGCAACCAATACCACACTCCAACAGTGTCAGTCTTTGACACCCGTGGGAGAAATACATGCCTTTATCGTTCCCTCCCCTGACTCTCATTTGTTGCAGGGGGTGGCATTATCGACAAAGTGCACTTCCGTGCGTCCGTGTGCACACAAACGAAGAAAAAAAAAAAAAAAGGGTCGAGGAAAGTTGCAACTCCACCTGGACTCCACTTGGCCATTGTTTTTTATATCCACCTCTCTTCACCTTCCTATTTGTCCTCTTCCGATCGATCCCCCAACAAAAAATAAAAATATCTCATTTGCACGACTTGTCCATACTCAGACGCATTGACAAAGGGTCAGGAAGGTGCCCCGTTCCTGTTGTCCATGTTGCTGTTGATGTTGTTATAGATGTTACTGTTGTAGATATTGTTGTCCCTCATGCTGTTTCAATTGCTTTCTGTGTCTTTGTGAGACATGTTGCCGATGGTATTTTTTGAGTTGCGACTGAGAATGTCTATGCGTACATAGGCTGTTTGTTTGTTGTTTCTGTTTGAGGGTGCATGTTGGGAGAATGATATATTGGGCAGTATAGGCAATGTTGAATGTGGTTGACATGCATTCCTTGTCCAATTGGCATGCGATTCAATAAACAAGATCCCGATCCTTCTTCAAGTCAATGTCGTGCTGCGAGGTTGGTGGTGGTCGTGTGTGCCCCTTGTATGCATGTGTTGTGTATGTGTGTGATGTATCGTTGTTGTTCTGTCGATTGTAATTATGTGCTCACACTTCATTTTCCTCCTCACCCTCACGAGGAGTGTAAAGTAAAAAAAAAAAAAAAAAAAAAAAAAAGTTCAAATGGGCCAAAGAAAACAAGAAAGTGGAAACACAAAAAAGACCCCGATTATGGTGTGTGATGGTGCGGGGTAAAATCTCTTCCCGCGTGTTTGCTCCTCCTCACACAACTCTCACTTTCTTTTGGCTCTCACATCCATCTCTCTCTTTTGTCCATAAGAGTCACTCGATGATTACCTTCTCAGACACTCTGACGACTTCTTTGCCATTGCGGCCGGGCTCCCTTGTCTTGACAAACTCGCCTTGGAGCTGGAGGCGGACCTTGACGGTGTCGAAGGGGTTGGTGAAGAGGACGGCTATGGAGGGAGCCAGGGCAGACACGCCAAAGTTCTCTAGCTGAGTCAATTCCTTCTTGACGGCGACCTTGTTCTCCAGGCTAGTATTGGGCGAGGTTACTTTGCTGTTGTTGTCGGCCAAGTCGTGGAGGTTGTCGGAGGAATTGGAGCGACCCAACAACGGGGTACTTTTTGTCGTAAACGTATTCATTCTTTTGTTGGTTGGGCTGAAAGAAGGAGGAGGTAAGAGTAGAGGAAGAGCGGAAGTGTGATGAAGGGCGAGGGAGGTTGTTGATGAGTTAAGTGACCTTGGAGTCGAGAGCTGATCAGTTGAGAGAGCAGTGGTAGTTGATGGAGTAACAAGTTAATTTTCGGTTCGGCGGAAGGAGAAGTTGCGTTGTGTTTGTATGCAAGGAGGGTGAAGAGTTGAAAGGGCAGGAAGAGTAGGAGTGGGGCGGACTGTATGGTGGCAAGTCGATGAGATGATGGGAGTGAATGAAGGAAAGAAAGAAAGAAGAAGAGAGAAAAGATGAATGAGAACCAGGTCTCTTTTTGAGGACAAAGACAAGAGAGTGAGGGGTGACACCCATTTCGGGACAGCCCGAAATCTAGATATTTTATGTTTTCAGGGACCACTTGTCCCTGGTCGATGTCACCCTGACGGACGGACATCGCTCACACGGGCAGACATGTCGGTCGACTGTTGTGCTTCTTCTTCTTCTTCTTCTTCTTCTTCTTGTTGTTGTTGTCCATCTGTCCATGTTTGTTTGTTTGTTTGTTTGTTTTTTCTTTTTTTTTTTTTTTTTTTTTTTTGCTCGCCTGAGTCACCTCATTATTATCCCTACTATTGTGATCGATGCATCGGATTGACTACTCCCCTCGCATGCCCGTCTACCTTTGAACCTTCGACTCTGCCTATGGCTGTTCCTAATGAAACCAACCAACTCATCCTGCCATCTCCTCCCTCAAGAAAACGCACTTCGTTTTGGTTCCTTCCTGCGTCTTTGAAACCATCCTTTGATCTCTCTTCAACTCCCAAGGATACCTTCCATACCGATCACCATCGGAAAGAAACAATGGAAATATGCAACGTTGCCCACGGACACAAAGAGAAACACACACAGACTGACGAGTGGTTTTGTTTACTTGGGCTGTCAACTGTTGTTTATTTTTGCGTTTGTATTTCGAGGGACAAGGTAATCATTGGCTGGTATAGTGTGGGGGACATGACATCCAACTCTTCATTAGCCCACCTTGCCAATTCAACGAGGTATCTTTTTATATATATGTTACTGCTTTATTCATGTTGGTTGGACGGATTGAAGGTGTGCTACGCCCACCAACAACGAGAAGGGATGGGCAACCCATGATGACATCAAATAATAGAACCTGGAATCCAGTGCCGGTATTTCCAAGAAGAATCGATTGGCAGCGCTTGTTTATGAAGAAGCCCATTGGATATGAGTGACGGAGAATAATAAGCCGCGTGGAGCGATTGCTCACTGGAGCAGAGTGTACATATGGGTGTATGCCCCCATGTTTCCCTTTTAGTAATGTACCGGTACATGTAGTGTGAACTGCACACAATAATACAAGGGCAGCCAGTGGGGGAGTCAGTGGACCACTGACAGAGGTGAACACAAACATGGACGGATGGCCATGTCATCCTGTCATCCTCCAGGAACGCATTCCATTTTTCGCACGTGAAACCTTCAAGATCCAAGGCGGCAGAAAAGCAGTCCCCACCCGCCCCTCCCTCACTTTGTCCCGTCGCCCTTGAATCTGACTGGCTGGGCCTGCAGTAAGGTTCGCTCCTCACCTCTCCACCTCTTCCACGGACAACAAATCATTCGAAATAACCCCTTCCGCTCTCCTCTCTTTTCCCTTTCTTCTTTTTCCCATTCATCCATCACTCACTCCCCACTCTTCAATCAACAATGTTCGCCGCCATCCGTCCCCGCCTCGCCTCCGTCGTCGCCAAGCCCGCCGTCTTGAACGCCGTCCGCCCCAGGTAACAACACCAACACTACTTTCAAAATAAAATATCATACTCAGCGCCATTCGCGACTCTCCCGCGACATACGAAAGCAAACAGAGATGAACGGGATCAACTCACCAAGGAATGGGCGAACATCAGAGGAAAAAAAACATATACGGGACTGATCAGCTTCCATGAGAGTCTACTTCACAACAGGAAATAAACAGAACAAACCACAAGTGGACGTTTCACACACATACGCACAACAAGACTCTACATGAAATACATACGTTGGTTTCATTGCTGAAGAGACGTGACGGAAGAGAAGTGACAGAAGGAAAAGGCTACTGCAGAGATCTGACACTCTTTACTCTTATAACCTCATAGATTCTTCTCCCAGGCTGCCGTTGCTCGCTCCAACATTGCCTCGCTCCACACCTTGACCGAGGATGAGACACTCTTGAAGGAGTCCGGTAAGTTCTGACTAAAACAAGAGATCAACCCGGACACGCTGTTATCGATGATTTGACCATCCCTGTTTTTGGTTCTGTTTGCCACACTGGGTTTCTCTGTACTCATCTCGATCGACCTTTCAACTCTGAACGACTTTTCACCAATTAGTTGCTCGCTTTGCTCAGGAGCAGCTTTTGCCCAAGGTCCAGCAGATGGACGAGGCCGAGAAGGTCGATGCTGATGTCCTCAAGGGCTTGTTCGAGCAGGGTGTAAGTTTGCATTTCCTTACTTGTGGATCGGAGAACCGAGGAAATTATTTTTGTTTTCCCACGCATATTCATATTGAGGGACACCTCGGGTGAGTGTGGCCCTGAGTATTTTATGTTCCGACGATCGCACCAAATAACTGACCTTTATCCCCCTCTCTTCCCACACCAATAACTAGTTGATGGGTATTGAGACTGATGCCAAGTACGATGGTTCCGAGTCCTCTTTCATGTCCGCCATCTTGACCATCGAGGAGCTCGCCAAGGTCGATCCCTCCATCTCCGTTCTTTGCGACGTCCAGGTACCTTGATTCTTTTTATTGCTTTTCCTGTTTTTTTTTGTTTACATATTCATGCACCCTGCATGTCACCCGGGACCATGTCGAAGAAAAGAAGGAGTACTAATGCACGCCGACATCTTATTAGAACACCCTGGTCAACACCTTGTTCCGTAAGTACGCCTCGGATGATATCAAGGAGAGATACTTGCCCCGCCTCGCCACCGACACCGTCGGATGCTTCTGCTTGTCCGAGGCCGGATCCGGCTCTGATGCCTTTGCCCTCCAGACCCGCGCAGTCAAGGACGGCGATAACTACATCCTCAACGGCACCAAGATGTGGATCACCAACTCTGGTGAGGCCGAGATCTTCCTCGTTTTTGCCAACGTTGCCCCCGAGAAGGGCTACAAGGGCATCACTTGCTTTGTCGTCGACAAGTCGATGGGTGTCAAGGTCAACAAGAAGGAGTCCAAGCTCGGAATCCGCGCCTCGTCAACCTGCACCCTCAACTTTGACGACATTGTTGTCCCCGCCGCCAACGTCCTCGGAGAGGTCGGAAAGGGTTACAAGTATGCTATTGAGATCTTGAACGAGGGTCGTATCGGTATTGCTGCCCAGATGTTGGGTCTTGCCCAGGGCGCCTTCGATGCCACTCTCCCTTACCTCTTCCAGCGCAAGCAGTTCGGTCAGAACATTGGTTCCTTCCAGGGTATGCAGCACCAGTATGCCCAGGTTGCTATGGAGATCGAGGCTGCTCGTCTCTTGACCTACAACGCTGCTCGTCTCAAGGAGGAGGGCAAGCCTTTCGTCAAGGAGGCTGCCATGGCTAAGCTCTATGCTTCCCAGGTCGCCGAGAAGACCGCCTCCCGCTGCATCGAGTGGGCCGGTGGAATCGGCTTCACTCGTGACTTCCCCATCGAGAAGTTCTACCGTGACTGCAAGATCGGTGCCATCTACGAGGGGTAATTTCACTTTTCTTCTTTCTCTTTGCTCTGGCTTGATCGCAATAGCTCCTTTTTTTTGACTTGAGGAGTACCGGCTAACCATGGTTTCTTTCTTTTTTTCCGAACAATAGAACCAGCAACATTCAGCTCCAGACCATCGCCAAGATCGTCGAGAAGCAGTACTCTTCTTAAGTGTCTCTTTCTCTACCATCTCTCAACTTGTATATCCTCTAGAACGCCAATGAAAACCAATCGTTTTTTTTTTTGCAAAATACCTGTTTTTATTGCTTTTTCATGGTGTTGTTTTGAAAGTATGTACACGTCGTTTTTCTGTTTGCTTTTGTGTTAAAAAGTACTGAATGCTGAAGAAAAGGGAACAACTGCTGGTGGCTATCGAAAGAGTGATCGTGCTTTTTTACTTGCGAAGAGGATGGGGGCAGACCTTGAGTTGATCGTTCTCGACCTTGACATCGACTTGCTCTCCAACCTTGACCTTGCCCTCAATAATCAACTTTGCCAATGGCTGCAACAACTGCTTCTGGATCACACGGTTCAGAGGACGTGCACCATATGCAGAAGAATAACCCCGGTTGGCCAACCATTCCTTGGCCTCGGGGTCAGCCTCAATCGAGATCCGACGGTCCTCCACACGGGCCTGGACTTCCTTCAGACGAACATCGACAATATCCCGGATCGCACTGTGGGAGAGGCGGTTGAAGACCACCATGTCGTCGATACGGTTCACAAACTCGGGCGCGAAATGGCGACGGACGACCTGCATGACGGCCTCCTTCTCCTCCTCTGTCACCTTACCCTCATCATCGGCCGACCCGTGCGTCCTCTTGGCCAGCTTACCGGCCAAGGAAGGCGTCCTGGCTGAGGCATCATCCTCAGCGAGGGCCAGCATATCGGCTCCCAAGTTGGATGTCATGATAATAATCGTATTCCTGAAATTGATGGTCCGGCCCTGCGAATCCGTCAACCGACCGTCGTCCAAGACCTGGAGCATCAAGTTGAAAACATCCTTGTTGGCCTTTTCCATCTCATCGAAAAGAATGACCGAGTAGGGTTTACGACGGATCGCCTCGGTCAGTTCACCACCTTCCTCATGACCGACGTATCCGGGCGGGGCGCCAATGAGACGAGAGGTCGAGAACTTTTCCATATACTCCGACATGTCGATTCGTACGATCGCATTCTCGGTGTCGAACAAGAACTTGGCAATCGCCTTGCACAATTCCGTCTATTAGCAGGCGTCATTCATAATATATATATATATGAGAATATGGTAAGTACTGGTATCTATGCATTACAAGACATCCACGTAGCGGAAGAAAAAAGAAGACCATAGAGATGACATATTTCTTTACCTTTCCGACACCGGTAGGTCCGAGGAAGAGGAATGAGGCAATGGGACGAGTAGGGCTAGAGAGTCCAGCACGGCTCAAGCGCACAGCCTCGGCAACCGCAGAGATGGCCTCATCCTGACCAACCACACGCTCTGCCAGCGCCGACTCCATGCCCAACAAGCGCTCCTTCTCGCCTTTCAACAAGTTCTACAAAGGAACGAAAGAGAATACACAACGCACATAGTTAGTACTCATATCAGCAACATCAACCAAGTGATCGTTCAAATAAAAACGAGATTCGTACCTGGACAGGAATGCCAGTCATGCGAGCAACGACGCGCGAGATATCGTCGGCGGTAACACGCTCGTGGATCAAACTCTCGACTTCCTCCTGAGTTCCCAAGGGTCGCATAGGCTGTTCAGGCGCCTCGGTGTCATTCAATGCTCCCTCAATGGCCTCCATAGGGACCGTCTCCTCCTTAGGCAGCTTGGCTTCCAATGTGGGGATGACTCCATAACGAAGCTCTGAAGCGCGCGTAAAGTCTCCCTTGCGCTGAGCTGCCTCCAAATCAATACGGGCCTGCTCCAATTCCGCCTTGGTGCTCTTGATCTTGTCCAGCTTCTCTCTAGTAGTAGAGTTAAATAACAAATAGACAATGTCAGATAATTTGTCTCGCAACTCCTCTAGTCAACATATTAATTACAACTCATTTTTTGCATGTCCTTACCTCTCCTCCTTCCAGATTTGCGTCAATCGCTGGGACTCTTGTTTCCTCTTGGTCAGATCATCCTCCAGCTTGTTGCGTCTCGAGACCGAAAGTGGATCAGTCTCCTTCTTCAAACTCTCGAGCTCAATCTCCATGGTCACAATACCACGGTCCAAACTCTCAATCACATCAGGCTTGCTCTCCTGCTGCAGTCTAAGCTTGGAGCAGGCCTCATCCACCAGATCGATCGCTTTATCGGGCAAGAACCGGTCCGTGATATATCGGTGACTTTGAACTGCAGCCGCAACAAGAGCAGAATCCGCAATTCGGACTCCGTGATGAACTTCATACCGTTCCTTCAATCCACGCAGAATCGAGATAGTATCCTCGACAGAGGGCTCGGTGACCATGACGGACTGGAATCGACGGGCCAATGCGGGGTCCTTCTCGATATACTTGCGGTACTCATCAATGGTCGTGGCTCCACAGCAGTGCAGAGTCCCTCTGGCCAACGCGGGCTTGAGCATGTTTCCTGCATCCATCGCTCCTTCAGACTTTCCCAGTCCCAACAAAGTGTGCAGCTCATCAATAAACAAAATGATCTTACCCTCCTGTTCCGTCACATCCTGCAACACCGCTTTCAATCTCTCCTCAAACTCGCCCCTAAAATGATTTGGGAATGGTACGGACGATTGGGAATTGTTATTCCCAACAACAAAATAAATGCATAGCACATTCATTACATTTGAACATAACACCGGCTTTACCTGTATTTGGCTCCAGCAACCAACGCACCCAAATCCAGCGAGATGACTCGTTTGTCCTTGATCGACTCGGGGACTTCGCCATTGACGATTCTCTGAGCGAGACCCTCTGCAATACTGGTCTTTCCCACACCAGCCTCTCCGATCAGCACCGGGTTGTTCTTTGTACGACGCGACAACACTATCCACATTAAGAAACACCAGGACGATGGTTAGGCACTCTGATCCAACCAGCAACTGTCTTTTGCAGCAGAACATAACTTTCTGCTGAAGAAAATGGGGTGGGCCATTTTATTTTTTTTTTACCTTGAATGGTTCGACGAATCTCTTCTTCGCGTCCAATGACGGGATCGAGCTTGCCTTCACTGGCGAGCTTTGTCAGATCGGTACCCTACATGGGGGGGTCAATGCGTCGACGAAATAAATGTGGATCAATATCCCATAATCTCATTATCATATCTTTTTACTTCATTCATTATGTCAGAGTGATGAGAGATCGACTTACGAACTGTTCAAGGGCCTTGCCCTTCTCACTCTGCTGGGGAGTAGGCTGAATCCGAAATCCCTGTGGCCCTCCTAATATATATTTTGTTGCATTAACAGATTATCATATAGTAAGTATCCCCACTCACTCCCTTTTGACAACGGTATGGACACTATCCTTCACAACACATGAAAACTTTAAAAAAGAAAACTTTTGGCTTACCTTGCGCGTACAGGCGGATAGCACCCAAACGGGAAGCCATCTTTGGCACAGATCGGGATCCTTGGAGGGCGTACGCGGTGACCAAAAGACCATGTCTGGGAGCTGTCGAGATAGCCGTCGTGTAATTGTTGTTGGCAGAGCCTGTTGTTGTAAGAGTTCTCTTGTTGGAGGCTCGTCGAAACGCAGCGGTGGTGGCGGTAAAGGGTGACCTGACCACGCGAACTGCAGTCGAGCGCGTTGTGAGTGACGAAAACATGTTGTTTTGTATAGTGGTTCTGTAAAGTTTCTTGTGGTTGAAAAAGTTGTGTGTGTGTTAATTGCTGCTGCTGCTGCGGAGGGGCAAGCGTAAAAGTGGATAGACAAGCCAACTGTCTTTATAGTTGTTGAATGGGGGTGTTTGGGTTGAAGGGAATGAGAACAAGAATGAAAAAGAGCGAGTGAACCCATGGCGCTCCAGTCCCCCCGACGCATGTCTCGCAAAATTCTCACTCCGCTCACAACAGTCACTGCATGATTGGGGAGGGAGATTTCCAGAAGACACTTTTTTTTCGGAGAGCTCGATCCCACGGTAGAAAATGCTAGAAAGCTTCTTTGCGAGGTAGCCATGGGACCTCTTTTCACTCTTCTCTTCTCTTTCCTCGTCATACCCCCCTTTCTCTCTTCTGCAACATATACCACTCAAGGCCATCCTTGGCACCCTTCTCTTTCGCCGATCCTTCACTCTTCCACCCTCTCTTGACCCTTTACAACTCTCTCTCTCTCTCTCCTCATGCTGTCCGTTACCACGACTCAGCGTCCTTTTTGACTGTGCCTCCACATGATGACACCCAGCAGCCAACAGCAAGATCCCACGTTAAAAACAACGAGAAGGAACCAGAAGGAATTGTTTAAATAGAAATCGCGTTATTTTTTATTATTTGTCGATAAGAAAGAGTAAAGAAAGAAGGAAAAGGTGGTGTAGTCCTAATCTGTTGTTGTTTTTTTAGGCAGCGACCTCGATAGCGACTGCGACCTTGGTCTCCTCGACTGCGACCTCAGTCTCGGTAGTCGTCGTCGTCTCTTCAGCAATGACTTCCTCCTCGGTAACCGTCTCCTCGACCTTGACCTCCTCGGTCGCAGCCAGCGTCGCGCGCACCACTCCACTCAATCTGTAGATCGATGAATGAAAGAATGTAAGAACGTTAGTTTCAGAGAAAGCATAAATAAAAAAAAATTGGTGGCAAAAAAAACCATTCAACAGTAAACAAAACTTACCGCTTGAGAAGAGAAGGCTTGCGTTCAATTTTCTCCTCTGTCGAAAGCGTCTCATCGGTTGTCGAGAGGTCAACACGCTGCTCGCCATCAGAGATAGCAATGCTGGCATCAGTGCCCTCAATGTGCTGCTCATGCGTGATATTTTCGGCCGTGATCACATCCTCCGAGCTAACCTCGCCCGACTTGACTTCTACCTCGTTCTTGTCCTTGCCCTTGGTCACTCTGGAGAAGAAGCCGCCCGAGGATTGGGAGGTAACTTCTCCTTCGGCGGTGACTACATCTGAGAGGGTCTTTTCGGATGAGATGACTACAGTCTCTTCGTTCGCCACTGGTGGTGGGGCTGGTGCGGGTACCTATTGATTGGAGAGAGCGAGGATGAAGTGGATTAGCATTCAAGTAGAATAAATGCATGATGCGAAAATGGAAGACGATCACGAATAAAGAAGAACAAACAACAGGAGGAAGAGAAAAGGCGAAGGTGACAAAGAGAGAGGGAGAACGTACAGGTTTCTTGCCAAAGAGGCCGGCAAGGAAACCGGGCTTCTTCTCGGGAGTGGGAGGAGCAGGTGGGGTCTCTTTCTTGGCCTCGGCCTCCTTGGCCTTGCTAGCAGCAATAGCATCATCAACAGCCTTGAGGGCTTGATCCTTGGCTTCGTCAACAGTCAAGGGGTGAGGAGCTGGAGCTGGTGGGGGAGCAGGTTCCTCCTTGACAGGCTTCTTTCCAAACAACTTGAATCCTCCGCTCTTGGCCTTGGGAGACTTGGGAGACTCTGGAGCAGCAGGAGGGGTGACAGCGTCAGTGGTATGGGAGACGGCGTTCTCGGACTCGTGGGTCTTGAGGGCATCGACATCTCCTTCCTGGACGTGGGTGAGGTCCTTCTTTTGCTCGGTCGAGACCTCGGTGGTGATTCCGTCGGCTTTTTTCTTCTCGTGGGAGGTGGCGACGGCGGAGAAGCCAAAGAAGGACTTGCGCTTCTTGACGACGGGGGTGCCGTTCTCGACCTCGATGTCGTCGGGCTCGCCGTCTGAGTTGATCTCGTTGTCGGAGATGATGCTTGCCGCGTTTTTGGCGTGATCGAATGCCTCGCGAGCAACTATGTGAGAAGAAAAAGGGGGGGTACACAATGGTTGTTGTTGTTGTTGTTGTTAGTGAAATTGGGCAAAGTATGGATGGCACAATAGAAATGAGAAAAGAGAAGCCCCTATTTTTCGGATCACACCACCACCGCCACGCCCTTTTGTTGATTTTTTGCTACTCTTACCAAGCTTCTTGTAGACATCCTGGAATGCAGCGTTGGAGTAAGGATCAGGCTCTGCCTTGGCTTCATCCGACTTCTCCTTGATCGCCTTGACCCACACTTTGGCCTTCTGGGGTGACTCTGCCGAGAAGTGATAATCGCGGTTCTTGGTGCTGACCTTGAACGATCGGTTCTTGGTCGACTTCTCAACATGCTCCACAGAGTTGACATCCCGCAGGTTAATAATTCCCAACACGTTCTGGCGGCTCAGAGAATCGTCCGATTTGTGATAGTACAACAAACCCTTTCCGCTGGCGTTGGCCTGCGCGACATTCACCAGAAGGTCATGGTTGGCCTCCTCGTAGATCTCCTGGACCGTCTTGGGTGGTTCAGCTGGAGCAGCAGCAGCGGCGGCGGCGGGGGTCTCCTTATCAGGGACCTTTCCAGCAGCAACCTCAGAGGTAGGGACGGCAGCAACCTCGGTAGTAGCAGGGGCAGCGGCGACAGGTGCAGCGGCCTTGGGGGCAGCCTTGACACGACGCTCGTTACGCTTGTGAACGGTCTGGAGGTTACTCAGACTGACGGGCTCTGTTCCAAAGGCAAAGTAGCGCTTGTTCCAGGGGTTGATGGGATTGGATCCCTTCTTTTGGAGGTAACCGCCGTCAATGTCAATATCCAAGTCTTCTTCTTCCTCGGTGTGGGAGGCAGCAGGGGAGGCAGCGGAGGCGGCATCAGCAACAGGTGCCTCGGTGGCGGCGACTTCCTCGTTCTTGGTCATGGCTGAAAAGTAATGTGTCGGTGGTGGTGGTTGAAGAGAGGGGGGATGGTTTTTTTTGTTGACTTCGTAAGTGGGGAGAAGAAGAGAAGGGAAAGGTGAGGTTTGTATAGAGAAAGTGCTAAGAACTGTGGAGAGAGAGAGAAATGATTTTCCGTTGATCTGCTGAGAGGATAGTAAAGAGTGCTCTGGCAGTAGTTTTTTTTTTGTTATACGTTTCAGCAAAGGAGAAAGAACGTGAAGTAATTGAGGGTTGGAAGATTAAATGGTCAGTGAGAAAGAAAGAAAGACAGGGAGTAAGGGGAGAAGAGGAGGAAAGGATGAACTTTTTTGACTGTTAGTGAAACTATTTCGCGCCTTGATCGCTCGCCTTTTAAACAAAGCGCCCAACTGCAGTTAGAAAGAAGGCAAGAAATAGGGACATGCAGTTTGAAAGGGGAAGAAGGGGGGGGGGGGGATGAGGGGACCACGGGGATGAGGAAGGGGAAGGAGACAACAAAGGGGCTTCCCTCGGACAGACATGACCTCCACCGTGTCCAATGCCCATTTCTGTTTGTTATTGTCCCATTGTTACTGTTATTTCATCAGCTCACTTTTAGTCGACTAGTGTACTGGCTGGTAGAAAGAGTGAGTGCCAGGGCAAATACAATCCCTCTCGTCTTCGTCACCCACAACGACAATGGCTTGACCAATTGACAATAGAACACCTCCTCGACCATCAAGGAGGGCATGCCTGCTTGTTTCTTATTTGGCGTAGATTGAACGAGATGCATGTCGTCCTTTTTGTTTCTGACCCCTATGTTGCTAACCTCCAGTCCATCATCCATTTAACAGTAGTAGCGAAGGAGGAGAAGGCAAGAAAGAAGAGTAAAGTTTATTTTGAACTTCTTTAGGTCAGGAGAGATGTTCAAGTGGCCACCTCGCCTCTCGTTTCTTGTTCATGTTCATGTTCCCTGTTCCCGTTTGTTGATTTTTTTTTCATTCACACGGACAGCCCAAGAGATTGAAGAGGTATGTACTTTATGTCAGTGCATCGCATTTGTATGCATGCACGCTCATCATCATCCAGGCACATGTATTCATGTATTCCGTCCCTGAGTTCTGATCCTCCCTTCTTCAACCCCTTTTACCCTGCTCCGCTCCATTTTACTCTTCCTCCACGCCCACTGTTGTCACAAGGTCGATCATCTGTTACCTCCTACTGTTCGTTCACCGAGAAGAGGACAAGAGAGAAGAACAGAAAAATAAAAAATAAAAAAAAGAAGGGGTAAGGTCAGTCAGTGACCACAACGCGTGCTCTCCTTTTTTTTGTTACTTATTGTTCACATCCGTTACCAGATATCGCCTTAGTCCTGAGGAGTGCATGATGGGCAAATGGAAAAATAGAAAACGAGTGGAAACGTGAATATTGGTACCTGAATAGGAAAGGGGAAGAGAGAAACGTTGACATACTTGCTTTTGGTTGGGTGTGGTTGATTCAGCCGAGAGATGCTTTGTTCTCCACCTGCTCTGTCTGTGCTCCTAGGGACGTAAACAGCTACCAGTGATTCCTGTGGAGGAAGAAACAGATATGTAAAAGCACCCGTACTTGCTCAAGATCACGCCCTTGTACGCGAGAAGGAACCAGGCACACCAACACCAAGCATAGCTACGCCTAATAAAAACGGGTTGGGTCAGTACACTAATAGAAAGACGCGTGTCACTCTTCCGTTTTTATCTATCCCTGTAGCACAACGTGCTCTCATCGCCGCCTTGCATGGACTGAACGTCAATTGGATTTGACGTCCAAAAGCAACTATCACCATCGTGAAAATAAGACTGCAATTTCTCTTTTTTAATCGACTCATCTCTGTCAAGGTCTGCCATCCTTACTTCCCCCTTATACCCCGACAACTCTGTTCGCATAGGGGTCAGAGATCTCCGACGCTCCAGGACATAATGTGGTCTGTCCGAGTCGCCCAACACGACGCCAAGTACTGTTCCGTCATCCAATCGACTTTTACTGCACTCGAACACCTGGACATCTATGTCTCCTACTCCCGCACCACCAAGCCTCATATGGCTGCATACTCACACATGAACCTTGACGCAATTTTCAGCATTGGGTACGCACTCGAGCACCGATTCAACCAGCTAACTCTCACTGTTATGACAGAGGAGCGCCAGGAGTGGGACCCTTGGTTCCTGACAGGAACTCATCGAGAGCCAGACAGCAGCGAGAGAACCGCCTTTTCTCAAGTCACCTCCCTTCATGTCAGACCAATTGATAACATGGACAGACTATAGTTTGATGGTCTACCATCGCCAATCTCGTGCGCGACATCTTCCCAAGCTTGGAGCGGCTGGCCTTTCCCGGCATCATATCGAGTAACGATAACACGTTCGATGACATCCCTGAGTTGGAGGGTGGTGGGTTTGTGATCGATGGCGTTACCTCGACAAAGCTGACGCACCTCGACCTTGCGGACATGCGTCTGTCGTTGGAGGTGATCTGTCGACTCAACAGATATTTCCCAAACCTCGAGAGGCTGACTGTTGGAGGACGGAACCTTACAGAGCCATTGTCGGATCAACAAAATACTGACTTTGTTGCGACCCCCCTCTCTGTCAAGTCGTTCGCGCTCCACTTTGGAACTGTAGACGATTTGTTGGTACTCCTCCCGTTGATGGTACTTGATCTTGCTGGATCTGAGTCGAGGGTCACCCACTGATCTCGTTGACGGGTTTTCAAAGATTGCAGGACGGAATCGATTCAAAGCAGTTTACTTTCACAGAGCTGAAACACGGTATTATGAAGCAGATGGAAATGATCGCGCGTCTTCGAGCCAAGTGTCTCCAAGATCTCGAATGCCTGACGCTCAAGTGCCACTCCGCATGGGCGTTTCTGAATTTTGCGCCAGGAAACGTCTCACCTCATCCATCCATTTCCCTGAGCACTCTCGAACTTGGAGTTATTAAGACCAAACTTCAGTAAACCCATGTCCGAGGAGAGCGCTATCAAATTTAACCCCATGCTGAAGTCCAAACCTCGCCTCAAGCACCTTGTCGTTCGCACGCCTTTGCTTGGATTTGAGGTTTTCGAAGGGTTAGGACGGGTCAAAACAGGGACAGGAATGCCTCGCTCTACTAACGAATGGGGTCCAAGCCAGGCATGGTCTCACTGTCTGCAAGAAGAGTCCACCGGACCCTGGCTGGAGACGATCGAGATCTTTTAGTGTTATCAGGATGATAAGCCGGAGGAATTTGAGGAGAACATTTTTAAATCGGTTTTATCTTGGTTAGAGAAGCTGACAATCTCGATGTATAGTGAGGAGACAAGGAACTCATCATATGAGGCACCGTTGGAGCGCCAGCAGGAATGGGGAGATACCACGACAAAGGAGCGACTCGCGTCTGACGGAGTTCAGGTCTCGGTCGTGTTCCAGTGCTGAGTTTGACTTTGAGTGAGTGCACACAGCAGCGGCGATAATGGGAGCTTCGAATAGTGGTCACATATCAACACATATAAAAAAAAATTTTCTCGTGGTTGTTTTCTTTTCTCTTCTTCTCTTCTTCAACCCACTCCCCCACACCATTACCTCTTCTTTTTTCTTGGTAAGTAGTCAGTGACCCCTATCTTCCATCCTCATCTTTACAAGAGTGCGTGCGCGCGTGTTTTGATCGGCTTCATCTGATGAAAAGTTGTACGTAAAATGATACCCCGAATACACGATGTGGATCTTTCGTAAACAAATGGAATTCCTCGTTTCTGACCACTCAAAAGTCAAAACACCCTCTCATACTCCTCTTTGCAAAGAGGAAGGAACTACATATTCGCGGTCAAAACTTCAGTCTCCTAACGCGACTTTTTGCTTTTTGTTCTTTGCTGAATGTAGATCTCGACTCGAGCTGTTTTTCATTTCGCCATGGAACGGAATTCACTTGATCGGAATCTGGAAAGAAAAAGGAATGGATCTTGATTCAGTTCTGATCTTCGATCAGTTTTCTCTTTTGGTAAGTCAACCAACCCACTCTCTTCCCTTCACCCTTCTCAACAACGAGGATCATTGATTCGAATGAGGATATCTCCATACCGTTTCCTAGTGAGCACCTGAGCAAATGAAACATGCACTACCATCTGACGATTCATCAATTGACCTTCAACTCTTGTTGTGGTAACATTGAACCTATTCAACAGTGCAAGAAAAGAGATGTTAACCCTCATCGTTCTTTTCTATCTTTTTATCTTCCAGATGTTACTTCAATCGGCGTCTATTTGATCGGGTCTGACATTAAGTCGTGAGCGATATCAATCGTCATTTGTAAGTTTTCTCCTTCCAACGCGTCCACCTACTCTTTCTCTTTCCTTCGACATTGGCGACCGTTCGTCTAAAGTGATGACACAATTTATTCAGTTCTGCTTCCGACCTGAGACCGTGGTGGATAACCCTTTTATACCAAAACATATTCTGATCTATCGATTCGTTCGCCTTTCAATGACGACGAAGAGAAGAGAGCAACCAGCGACTTTCACTGAATAAGTGCGCGCTCTTTTGAATGATATTCTAACGAAGTTTCATCAATTTTTTTTAAATTTTCTTTCAGGTTGAGCAACACCTTCAATTGGCATATGTCATTCGCATGCATGCCGCGTCAAGCAGACACAAAGCGTAAGTCATCCCATCCCCTTTCATCCTCCTCTTACCCTTGGCGCTCCCCGAGTATCTAAAGTGATGACACAATTATTCAGTTCTGCTTCCGACCTGAGACCGTGGTGGATAACCCTTTTATACCAAAACTATTCTGATCCATTTACTCGAAAGCTTCTCATGGCATTCAAAGTAATACGATGCGTTGATGCTTTGGATCTGATCATTAACGTATTTTCTCTCTTCTTCCAGTCTATCATATGCTAGCCTCTTTAGTGTCTGTCTGCTCGCGTTCGTCAAGCGTGTTGCCATGTTGAACAACTTTTGTAAGTGTCCATATCTCCATCCTCGCAACACCATGTTATGGAAGGGCAATATGATGTCTAATTCGATCATCCGTGTTTCATCTGACTCAATTGAGAAGACAAACTTGATCTCTGATACCCTTCACATCCGCATACAGCTATTGTATTTGCATTTCATGATGTTTCTCGAGTCGCGTATCTAACCAGTTCTGTCTGTTATCATCTCGACTTTAGATTGTTCTCCAATGGCATGTGAAGTCAAGCTTCGATCTGTCTGGTCTCCATTATTATACAAGGTATGCATTGTCTCCATTCTTTTCTTCCATCTTATTCCCCATTCCTTTCAACATCAATATGCCAAATGATGAAAACTAGTTAAATCCATTCTACGAAGACGCTACATTTCTTTCTGATCGTGGGTTGGCAATTCTTTCGAGGTTTTCTTGACTGATGCGTTGGCTCATGTGATGGGGAGGTGGGAGTCTTTTCATTGTCAGTTTTCCTCTCGATCGTCGTTGTTGGTGGCCATTTGAAGTGGAGGAGGTTCTTCTTTTTCGTGTTATGATTTGCGGAACTTGATTTCGTGAGTGTTGGGGCTGTGCTCTCTGGGGGAACAGTAGTTCCTCGTCAAGTGCAGTGGGTGTTCATCTTTTTCTCTCTTCTGAGAGATTGAGTGGGCATTAGTGGGTCTCTAGACCTGCTTCGATGCGTTAAAAGCGGATCTTGGTATCGTTTGATTTTAGCATGGAAGGGAAGGGCTTTTTTCTCTTTTGGGTCGTTGACAGTTAAGATGGTTGTCCTGGGTTCTGGCGGTGGATTGACTTTTCTATGCATCTAAAGATTAAAACTAGCTCCTGACTCCTTCATATTGAACACTACTTCTTGTGAACGGTTGAGCGTTTTTTTGTTTTTGAATCGTTTTCTAACGTTTTTTTCTCATTCTCTTTGAACTTGTTTCTTAGGTAAGTGCCTTATTGTAGACCCATCATCGGTTCGAGAAATGAATAAATTAGGACTTTTCCAGGTATTTCTCTCATTATGGTAATGTCTTGTCTCCCCTTTCCATTCCCTTCCCACACACACACACACACACACACACCATGCCGATACTCTAATGACCAGCGGTCTACAACGTTGTAGATACCATCGCAGGCTATTTTTTTTTCACGGCAAAGATTAAAAGCACCTTTACTCACGCACGGTAACTATCTATTTACCGATGTCGTCTACGAGAAGTTCGATATCCCTTCCCCTCTCTTTCTTCCTCCTCTTTCCCTCATTTGTCGCCAATGTTTGTACAGTAGTTGAAGGAAAAAATAAACAAAGTGTCAAAGAAATCAAAGAATAGTTTGAAATGTGTTATGATTATTATGATTCATGAACGCCCAAGAATGCATACCCTTCTGAATCATGACCCCTGCTGCGTATAGCATGGGTGTCTTAATTCAACTTCAAGGAAGCGTTTATCTCGTATTCATGATGTCAAAGTAGAGTAGAATTGAGCACACAGAGACGCGGCGTTCACATCAAGGACTTCACCATATTTAGAAAGAAAGCTGTAGGATGCATTGTTGCTGTTTGTTGTGTGACTCAAGGTGTTGATAGTCTCGGCGTTTGTTCATATCCGCCGCTCGCCCGCAGCATTGCCTTTTCTTTTGTTCGTGTGAACTTGTGTTCAGCAGACAAAAGTTGTGGAGTCACCCGTGTGTCAAAACATTCATTTTTTTTTATGACCATGACTCGAGCGAATGTTTGTTGAGAAAAGCGATGACACAGAGAGAAAGGTGAGATACGACAGCAAGTCGTTGTGAGAACCAAAGTCCGTGCAAAGAAAGAGGATGATAACGAATGGGTACTATTGGCTGACTCCTTCCCAGGGAGAACCACGCCGTCTCTGATCGACTCTAATGCTATCCCGCAGAACTTAATCCGTGAATGAACCAACAAACGAAGGGAAAAGCAGAGGGTGAAAGGGACAGAGGGACGGCGGGTGAGGAGCAATTAAGGCATCGAAACTGTCACACTCGCCACACTCAAAATAAAAGGAGCTTGTCCATCTCTCTCTCTCTTCTCTTTTCTCATTCCTCATTCCCAACTTTCGGACGCACCTCTCCTTTCTCGTAAAGACCTAATCTCCCTTCTCTCACTCTCACTCCTGCTTCCGGTCTTCAAGGACACTCCAGCACGCACTGCTTTCCATGGCATAAGTTTCTCCTTACTCTCTCCTTTATCCATGCCACAACCAAAACCACCCTTACAACCCGCCAACGCCCCTCTCCTTCCAGAGGGCAGTGGCCAACAACCTTCCAACGGTCGAGGGGACTATGGCACATCCACCCCAACCCCTTCATCCAACTCTACTACTACTGCCACACCTTCCACCTCAAAAGATACCTCCACCGCCAACACCAACCCCAACAAGGACACTTCCAAACCATCCGCAGCGAGTTCAAAAAACAGATGGAGCCGATACGCAAAATACATCTATACTGAAGAAGGCGCAGAAGAGAGTCCGGAGGCCCACGCATCGATCTGGTCATTGATGTTTGTCACCTGGTTGACCCCCATCTTCCGACGTGGGTACGATCATACCCTCCAAGAAGAGGACCTTTTTGCGATTGTGCCTGAACGGAAAACAGAGCTCCAGGGGCCGCGGTTGGAGAGGCTCTGGAAGGAGGAGCAGGAGAGGGTTAGGAAGAGAGGAAAGGGAGAGACACCTTCGTTGATAAGGGCTTTGTTCTGGTTCCTTTTGCCGACTTACTGGTCGGGAATTGTGTCCTTGCTTACTTTTGGTGAGTGTGCAGTTACAGTTACAATTTGTACATTGGGTTAAGACAATGCAGGGAACGATGTTTATATTCTTTGGCATCACAAACTGACACTTCATGGGTGTATGGGACGTGCGGACTAAATAGATGCATTGGCCAAGGTGATCCCCTTCTTCCTCCTTTGGGTAAGTCATCTCCAAGCTTTCGATTCAATGGAAACACCATACGTTTCCCCTTTTGTTGCCAATTCATCAACTCACCATGTCCCTCCCCTCATTTCTCACTTAAATAGGTGATCCAATACTTGAAGGACAATCAGTCTGACGAGACACCAAAACCCTCAGCATGGTATGGTTACGGCCTGGCGATCTCATACCTCATCGTCTGTCTTGCTCAAATAGCCCTGACCCAACTCTGGGTCCGCTCCGTCGTCGGTTCAGGAACCCTGTGCCGTAGCGCGCTCGTCGATCTCATCTTCCAAAAATCTACCAGGATTTCGTCAAAGGACCGACTTGATTACCCAGACGGGACCATCTTCAACATCATATCCAGCGACGCGACCCGTGTCGACTTTTGTCTCGAGGGACTAGGTCTCCTGTACACTGTTCCCATGACGGTTGTGGTGACTGTGGGGTTGTTGGTGTATTGGATGGGCCCCTCGGCTCTTGTTGGAGCTGCGGTCTTGATCTTTTCGAATCCGTTGCAGACTTGGGCGATGACGTTGTTGAACCCGATTCGGATCCAGGTTGCAAAATTGACAGATTCGAGGATGGGCTTGGTAACGGAGATTTTGCAGGGTATCAAGGTCATCAAGTTCTTTGCATACGAGCCCAGGTATGCAAAACATAGCACTATGTGCGGAGTAATTGTTCGTTTGACATGGGTGTCTATGTTATTTCTCTCAATGTTCGCCACAGCTAATATGCATGCATACATTATGTTCGACGCCTGTAGTTTCTGGAAAAAGTTGGCGGATATTCGTCTTTCGGAGATCAAATGCATCTCTTGGCTCCTGCAAGTCCGTGGATTCATCTACAGCACCTCTTCGGTAAGTGTCTGACAAGTGCCACGTAATCCACATGCTATTCTCCATCCTAAATAATAATATCCATTCTCAATCGTCACTCATCGGTATAATAGTCGCTGCCTGTGTTCGCTAGTGCGTTGACATTCGTGTTGTATGCAGCCCTCGGAAACAAGCTGGAGCCAGAGATTGTCTTTCCTTCATTGGCGTTCTTCACAGGATTGCGCGTTCCCTTGTTGGTCTTGCCCTACTGCTACAGTGACGCCATGGATGGTTATGTCAGTACCAAGCGTATCCAAAAGTTCCTCCTTACTGAAGATATTCAGCCTTTGCCACCCATCGACAAGTCTCACGACAGCGCTCTTAGCATCAAGGACGCGGACTTTTACTGGGATCAGTTGCCTTCCACAACAGTTGCTGTCGCTCTATCGGCCGATGGGAAGCAAGGAGCAACATCTATAGGTTCAGAATTAACATCGCCTTCGACATCACCTAGTTCGTCACGTAACTCGATCACAGAGGACAGTGAGGCGGACGAACGACAGCCACTTTTGAGTGCCAGCAACACAGCACAGGAATCGACTCCAATGATTAGGCCATTCTTGAGGGACATTAACCTTCATGTTCCTCGCGGCTCTCTTGTCGCGGTTGTCGGGCCAGTTGGAAGTGGCAAGTCTTCGCTGCTGCAGGCCATGGTCGGTAACATGATGAAGTCTCAAGGAGAGGTTATTCGCGGCGCGACTATCAGTTATGCATCCCAAACGCCCTGGATCCAGAACGCCACCATTATGGACAACATCCTGTTCGATACCCCTATGGAAGAAGAACGATACTGGCGAGTGATCAAGGCCTGCTCGTTAGAACAGGATCTGACCCAGTTCACGTCCGGAGACAAGACCGAGATTGGAGAACGCGGTGTCAACATGTCGGGCGGCCAAAAGGCTCGTTTGTCGTTGGCCAGGAGTGTTTACTACAACGCGGAGATGGTGATCATGGACGACCCGCTTTCGGCAGTGGATGCACATGTTGGCAGGCGATTGTGGGAGGACTGTGTACTCCATGAGCTGAGCAACAAGACTAGGGTTATTGCGACACATCAACTCCATGTCCTGCCGGATGTCGATTACGTGATCTGCATGAAGCACGGCCGTATCGCCGAACAGGGAACTTTCCGGGAGTTGATTTCCCACAAGGGTGATTTCTTCAAGTTAATGAAGCAATATGGCGGTCATCATCACGACGATGATGACGATCATCGACCACGCAGGCGAGTTCTCAAGAGGAACAAGTCATCGACGGGCAAGGTTGTTATTACGTCTACTGCCGGATCGACAGTGACGGCGACTACAACGAAAAGCGACGATGATTTGACGGTACTGCAAGAGTTAGAGGAAACTGTCTCGGAGGACGACAGCGAGTCGACCAAAGAGATTCCCAAGGGCCAGATGACGGATGAGGAGAGGGCGAGCGGTGCAGTGTCGAGAAAGGTTTATCGCGAGTACTTCCGCCTGGGTGGTGACTGGAACTGGGTCGTTATCGTCTTTTTGCTCTCTGCCCAACAGGCTGCTGGTGTCGCGTAAGTCTTTCAAATCGTTTTTGCTATTTCATTATTCACCCAGTGCCATGTGTTGTAGGTTGGATGGGATAACAGAGATACTCATGCCATCACTTTCTCCACTGGCGAAATAGCATGAACGTATGGTTGAGCTTCTGGAGTTCGGACAAATTCGGCTGGACGGTCTGGGAGTACATCAACGTGTATGTGGCAACGGCTGTGATCCAACTTCTCATTGTTATGCTCGGATCCTACATGTTGGTCTTGGCTATCCTGAAGGGATCTAGAATGATCCACGACAACGCGTTTCTCAGTGTTTTGCGTTCACCCATGTCTTTCTTTGACACCACGCCTGCTGGGCGCATTCTTAACAGGTACGCATGTTTTGATATTACCTGCAGTTTTCTTGACTGACTACATGCATCTGTGCTAATGTAATCGGTATGCCTTTTTCTACTTTTGTTTAGATTCAGCAAGGACGTGGGCACGGTGGATAACATGGCAGCGGTCAACTCTCTCCTGATTACGGCGACAGGGATCTTGAGTGTGCTCATCCTATCAGCGGCGTTCTTGCCCTGGATCATCCCTGTCATGGTGCCCCTGTCAATCATGTACTACTACATTGCCTTGTACTACCAAATGACCAGTCGCGAGCTCAAGCGTATAGACGCCCTTGTCCGATCGCACCTGTTCTCGTACTTTTCTGAAACTCTGAACGGTATGGGCACTCTCAAGGCCTACCACCCTCATGGAATCGACTGTGCGATTGAACGGAACCGGGTCAACATGGATCGATCGCATCATGTGTACTATATTCAGATCCTGGGCACGAAATGGATCGGGGCTCGTGTATTTGTGGTCGGCCATGTGTTGAACTTTGTGGCGCTGGTCTTGATTATCTGGGCGCGTGATGATATTGACCCGGCGACTGCGGGGTTGATCCTGAGTTATTTGGCGCGTTTGGCCTCAGAGATGAGTTGGGCGATTCAGTGTGCGGCTGATCTGGAGAACAACATGACTTCGGCTGAGAGGCTGTTTTATTACACCAACTCGTTGGAGCAGGAACCACCCGCCGAGATTCTGGATCGCAAGCCTGTTGCGAGTTGGCCTCAGCAAGGACATATCTCATTTCAAGAAGTATCGCTGAGGTATCGACCTGAATTGCCTCTGGTGTTGGACAAGATTTCGTTCGACATCCAGGCTGGTCACAAAGTCGGTGTTGTTGGCAGGACGGGCGCCGGCAAGTCCTCCTTGATACAGGCCTTATTCCTTTTGGTTCCCTTAGACCCTGGCAGCAAAATTGTGATGGATGGTGTCGAGACGGATACGATTGGAACAGCAGATTTGAGATCTAGGATGTCGATCATCCCTCAGGACCCCGTCCTATTCCAAGGGACATTCCGGTATAATTTGGATCCGTTGAACAAGCATACGGAGCAAGCGTTGTGGCGGGTGTTGGAGGCGAGTGATTTGAAGGGGTATGTTCAACAGCAGGAAGGTGGATTGGATGCGGTTGTTGCGGCCCAGGGCGAGAACTTGAGTGTTGGGCAGAGGCAGCTTGTCTGTCTTTCTCGCGCATTGTTGTCCAAGTCCAAGGTCGTGATTCTTGATGAAGGTAAAAGATCCTATTTTGGATGTTTTTGTTTTGTTTTGTTTTGTTTAGTAATGATCTGTTTGTTACATCCTTGTTTCTAACTTTAGTTTTTGGTATCGTTCGTTCTTTGAAATAATAGCGACGGCGAGTGTGGACTTGGCGACGGATAGTTTGATTCAGAAGGCGATCCGGGTTGACTTTTCGGATTCGACGGTGATTACGATTGCGCACCGCCTCAACACCGTGATCGACTATAATCAGTAAGTTTCCATCCTTCATAATCCAATCCATTCAGAGAGAGAGTGTGTGTGTGAGACATGATGGCCCCATCTGGTTGGTTGGCCCTAGCGTTGTCATGTATGTTCCAAAGAAATTAAAACTAACCCGATTGTCTCTTTTGGTGGCGTTCTTTTTTTATTTTCTTGGCATTTTTTTTGCTTTTGCTGACATAGCATTCTGGTGATGGACAGGGGCCAGGTGGCTGAATACGATACTCCGCGTGATTTACTCAAGAACCGGCAGTCGCTGTTCTCGAAGATGGTCGATGAGACCGGCGAGGCCAATGCGGCCCTTCTTCGATCTCTTGCCGGCTGTTAGAGCGGAAGGGTGTTTAAAAAATAGATTTTCTTCTTTTTCCTTTTCCTCTTGTGACACATGCCAGCAGTCGTTCGTGGTTTGAACTCCCTCTAAAGTGAAAGAAAAAAAAAAAAAGAGTGGGAAAAGAAGGAATGGAGGGAAGTCTCAGATGTAGGCTCCCCCAAAACTCCAAAAGCAAACTATTTCTGTGCTCCCCCCCTCACCCTTTCTTTTGTATTTTCTTGGACTTTGGTTGGGAGCTTCCATCGTAACCCTTGGCACTCTTTGCTTTCTCATCACGGCCATCTTTTTTTTCTTTTTTCTTTTCCTTTCCATTCCTCATCACAGTCTAATTGATCTAACTTGAACCAACAGTTCATCTCCAAACAAACGACAACTGTGACATAGACCTTTTGACCAAAAAAAGGGTGCTCTATTCCTATTGATCTAGCCTTTCTCGTATGCTTTCATGGTCACCTTGACGTAAGTATGGTATAGCGGGAAATGCGACACTGGAAATGACAGGGGCAAGGGAGAGTCTAGTCCAGATGTAGCCAGTGGGAGAGCAGAAGGAATTCAAAGCAAGGCATTCCTGCACCCTGGAAATTGTGTTGTAAGAGTGTGCAACACTCTCAAACAAATAAAAGCAAGGCAAGGCAAGGCAAAGCAAAGCAAAGCAAAGCTATATATTGACCAAACTCTTTTCTATTCCCCTCCTCTTTTCTTCTTCTTCACTTTCTCTCCTCCTCTTTCCTCTCGCTCATTCCTCTCTCATCTCCACACTCACACACACACACCTCTTCTCCCTCCACACATTCGCACACTCACTTACCCCTGTCCATAGTTGGCCCTCATTCCTCACAACCCCTTCCTCTTCCTCTTCTTCCCCTACTTCCTCATCCCACACCTACACCCCTCTCCCAACAACCACTCCCACTCCCATAACCATGGCAACCACACAACACCAAATCTCCCACCCCGCTCAAGTCGAACCCAAGGGCTCAAAATTCAAGAGCTTCTTCACCGGCGGAAACAAGAAGAAACAGATTGTCCTCTCGGCCCGTGATGCTGAGATTTTGGCACAGGTCAAGAAGAGGGCCAAGGTCCTTGATACCGCCATTAACTTGGGATTTGCGAAGATTGGATTGGATCCCATCCTTGGTAAGTCTGAACGAAAGGGAAATACTACCCACTCTCCTTTTTCTCTCTTTTTTTTTTTTTTTTTTGCGGATTTCACCCTCAGTCTCTGTTTTTGTCCTCCCTCCTTTCTTTTTTCTTGCTTCACAGATCTCTCCCTCAATCTCTCCAATCCTTGGTTTTCTTTTCTTTTTTCTTCTTTACCGTTACAATATGTGCTTGCCTTTTCACTAACCGAAAGCAATCCAAAAATTCATGCAAACCTTCCTTCACGTAGGTCTGATCCCCGTTGCAGGAGATGGCATCACCTTGATGATTGCCATGCGCTTGATTCACACTGCCCAAAAGGCAGATATCCCCAAGTCGCTCTCTCACCAGATGTACTTCAATGTGCTCATTGACTTTGGCGTAAGTTTCCTCTTGAAACGTCTTTGCTTGTTCTTGCTTAGGAGTATTGACATTCTCATTTCGGTTTTTGTTACGAAATCCCCCCTCGTTTTGCTTTTCGCTTGATTGCATTGGAAATAATACCCGAACATTTGATTTCATTGGAACAAGAGACATACGCTAACGCATGCCTTTTCACCCTCCTTTTCTCACTTTTCTAAACCCTTTCCGTTGGAACGAATTAGATGGGTCTGGTTCCAGTGGTAGGAGATTTCGCAGATTTCCTGTTCAAGGCGAACCGGAGGAACGCCAAGCTGTTCGAGGATTACTTGTACGAGCGTGCAGCTGAACAGGCCGCCGAGGCCGAACTTCAAGCAGCAGCCAACCTCCGCCACCAACAGTTACATCAACAAGCTCTCGCCAACTTTAACGGAGTGAATGGAGGACCATCGGCCCATCAGCAACAACAGCAGCAACAGCAGCCTGCAAAGAAGGGCTGGTTCTCGCGTGGTGGCGGCAAGGATACTGTTATTGAGATGGGTTCTCCTGCCGGCCACGTCGTCAAGTAGAATAGATGTCACTACTTTCTGCAAACCTCTTTATTGTTTTATACCACACCCCATCTTGTCCAAAGTCATCTACCTTCCCCATTTTAATCTAGTTCCTCATTGTAATAAAAGAATCATTTTTCCACATGGATACTGTGTACAGGTCGTTCGTTTTTTTTTTATTTACAAGGAAAGGGAGGGAGGAAGTATCGTACAAAAGAGAAAGAGAAAGTCGTGGCAATGAAAGGAAAATAATAATAATAAAAAGAGGTATGAGACGCGAGAGATATCTGCTATGGGATCATTGAGGGCGTTCTGTCTCAGATGAGAAACAGCCCAAAATTCTTGTCGCCCTATTCAAGCGTCACCGCCACTCGTGCGCCAGATGCAGAGGTCGACATGGTCGTTGATTGTCGCTTCTTCGACCTGTTGAGCACAGACTGGGCATGCTACCATTGACACTGGAGATTTGTCTTGTTCAGAAGATGACTTTTGGTGTGGTGGGGGAGGGGAGGTTGCGTTAATAAATATCACGTCATCCTCGTCATTGTTCTTGTTGTCAGACTTCATTTTCTTCCAACTGTCAGTGTCGTCATCGCTGTCTAATGACAAGGCTCGTTCCAACTGCTTGCGCTTAATTTGCGCGGTCGCTATCGTCGGTGCTGTTGGTGTTGTTGGCGTCGTTGGTATAGCAGTGGTCGACGGCGAAGAGCGTGATGTCGACGGGCCACTGGTTTGGTTGTTTGAGGCGAGGTGGCGCTCGAATCGAGCTAGTGCAGCAGCTGCAGCAGCCTCCTTTGGCGAGATGTGGTGGCTCGTTCCTGGTGAAGACTCGGAGAGTTCCTTTTTGTCGTCTTGCCCATTCTCTACTGATAATGACTTTCCGTGAACACCATTCCAAAGGCCTGTCGCTTTCAAGTGGTCCTCTAAAGCCGAGATTGACGGCGACGACGTCCGAGGAGTCGATGGTGTTGAGGAAGATGATGTTGACGTCGAAGGGGATGACGAAGATGTCGTCCCTGGCCCCATCTGGGGGACCAGAAAGTTGTCGAGCATCGTCCGTGGTTTCGGTTTCGGTTTTACTTTGGGTTCTGTCGTCGCATCTTTTGTCGTCTTTGTCGATTTCTTTTTGGGAGTCGGGTCTGGTTCCGAGATCTTTGTGTACGTACCACCGCACGATTCCTGGTGCTCCGCGTACCATCTGTCTGCTGGCTGTGGTGGCCTATGCCCAAGTAACATAAAATGAGTCAATATCCAGCTGGCAGTACTGTCAAGAGCTACGACATACTAATACGGAATGAAAAGCGGCAAAAGGAATTACCTGTTCATAGATCGCTTTACGATTCCATAATACGGCGGGCGGTGTAGACAAGGCCCGTCGCACTTCCAGACATGGGTCTTGTAATACCGAACCTCATCATGAAAAGTATGGTAAATTGTGATGGTCGTCCCTGCAATCGTATTGATCCTGTTCATGTGACGTTGAAACTACGAGACATACAAGCAACAAAACCAAGAAAACATGCAGTGGTTAGCTTGCTGCGCGAATATCACAGTATGATATGGGAGGGCGACCAAGAGTCCCTGTAAGCACACTTACATCAGCTCCATGCCCGTCATGGTCCTGGATCGCTTGGGTGACGAAAAGGTACGCGCTATCAAAAAATTTGGTGGCAAATTAATTCAATGAAGCTTGAAGTCGGATCGCTCGCTTCCAATACCAACTCCCCACCATGACAGCGCAACAAGAGGCAAAAGAGAAGAGATACTCACTGGATCATCTCATGCAGCAGAGTATCGATGTAGTCAGACTCTGGCCGAAACTTGAGTAAAGGCTCCGACAGTCGAATCGAACAGTACTGGGCTGCCGACTGGTACACGCATAGTCCTGCGCTACATTGCCCAGTACACGAAAAGAAATATGGCTCTTAGTTGATTGACATTTTTTTATGCGAGGAGAGGAACGCCCCCCCTGGAGGAGAACAATGCTGCGCTGGGCAAAGTCAAATTAAGTGTACCAGACGGTCATGCGAGGACTCCACCGGACTTCGCAGGCGCTCAGTTTTGATTCAAAGTAGAGGTCGTTGAAGGCAAGGAAGAGGCCGTGAAGATCCTTGAATGGTGCGTCAGTCTGGAAGGCAAGCGAATCGTTGTTGTCAGCAAAGTCGATGTCGTTGCTGATGGCAATAGGGGTGCTTGAAGACGACCCCTGAGCACCGGCAGCCTCGTATTCCTGAGACTGGAGCAAACGAGCCAATTCTTCGTCTGACTGCTCCATGGCTAATTGTGAACACAGTCGACAGGGAAGCAACAAGGGTTGTGCGTGGAAGACAAGAGAGACGCTGTAGACAGGGTTACTTTGGTAGTGAGTAGGTGATGATGTTATGAAGAGCGGAGAGAAAAAAAAAAAAAAAAAAAAAGACGTTGCGGATGCACAAGAGAAAGAACGAACGACGCCACCAAATTAATGTATGGAATAGGAGTAAGTGGTGTGAGAGGGGAGGAGGAGGGATAAAACTGATTTGAGGCGGGGACGAATTGGAGCCTCCTTTCCTCTATCTCTTATTCCAAAGGTAGAGACCTTCAAAAGACAGTCACAGAAGGCCTCTTGGGCGGACGGATCCATTGGAGGAAGGGGCGCATCATACACACGCAGGAGGACCACGACCATCCATCGACCATACTAGCCATCTATCCATCGATACTCATCATCCCTGCAGGAGCCGTCATCAGCCAACCCATCGGGAACATATGCACCCGATTTTTGGGACAGAGGACTTCATGAGTTTTCCATGGCGGTTGGAGGCAAGGTGTGAGATGGGAGGCGTCTTACATTCTGTCTGACGGGGAGGGGAGTTGATGGAGAACCGATCGGGGAGCTTTGTTGGTGGAGTATCCGTTAGGTGGTACAGCATCAACCCGTCAACACCGATTCTCTTGTCTCCACAGGAAACACAAGTGGCCACCAACTTCCGTCAGCACAGACATCAGTTGAAGTGAACGGTGAATCTATGATGCAGGAGGCAGTGGTGGATAACAACCGCTTCGACGGTTCAGAGTGAAGGGTGGAGGCTTCAGGAAGGACGGCGGATACCCCCCGCAGCACTACAGGATCCCATCAACCATCGTCAAACTGGACAGACCTCTAATCGAACTGCTCGACCTTTGCTTCTTTCTGTGTTTGTAGGACAATATGGTGAGATACGCTGCCACCCCAGCCAACAGCTCCAAGAGTAAGTAAACCGACCCAGGAAGACAATCTGATCAGGAGCAGGAATCTTGTTTTTGTCTTTTGGCTGGAAGAACACAGCAGCAGGAAGGATGAACCCAACATCAACTCGATTCAAACTGGACACACACACCCACCTCTCAAAGTCAATCAGATCTCTAATCGATCCCCCACCAATACCCCCTCCCATCAACCCCAATAGCTGCTTTGTCGCGCGGTTCGTACCTCCGCGTTCACTTCAAGAACACCCGTGAGGTCGCTGCTGCCATCTCCGGTATGAAGTTGAAGAAGGCCCTCACCTACCTCGAGGACGTCAAGGAGCACAAGCAGGCCATCCCTTTCCGTCGCTTCCACGGCGGTATCGGTCGCACTGCCCAGGCCAAGCCCTTCGGCATGACCATGGCCCGCTGGCCCGCCAAGTCTTGCGAGTTCGTTTTGGACTTGCTCAAGAACGCTGAGTCCAACGCCGAGGTACATTTTTCTCCTTTCAGTTGAGCGGACATACAAACGGGAGCATCAGGAGCAACAAAGAGGAAACGAAAATCGGGAAAGTCAACACGACGATGTGGCTAAACGACTCACATTCGGGCGACGTAAACGTTGTTCGTCTGTGGGATGTCAATTGCTATTCCGCGCCCCAGAAGAGGAGTTATTATCCACCGTTTCCAAAAGCACACGCCGCACTCTACGAAATTCGGCAGGATCACATCGACTCGAGAGCACGCTTGTTCATTGCACATTGGAGTATCACAAGTAGTCCGTCTTCTCGGCACTTTTTCAACATACCGACATCTCCAAGCGACGCATGACAGGATACTCTATCAAAACATGGCCCAAACAAACACCTTTCCGTTCAACAAAACCTCCCTTTCAACGTTCCAGGAATTAACATTTCTTTCCCACTTCTATATTCCAAAAATAACAGGTCAAGGGCTTGGAGCAGGAGGCTCTTGTTATCAAGCACATCCAGGTCAACCAGGCCCCTCGCCAGCGTCGCCGCACCTACCGTGCTCACGGTCGCATCAACCCCTACATGTCGTCCCCCTGCCACATCGAGATCATCCTCGCTGAGGAGAACGAGGGCGTCAAGCGCGAGGTTGAGGCCAAGAAGCCCAAGCTCAACGCTCGCCAGCTCGCTGCCCGTGCTCGCCGTGCTTAAGCGATTTGATGAAGTCTCCCATTCATTGCAATAAACTACACCACCCTCCTGCCGTTGTCCTTTTCTTTGATTAAAAACCAAGCAGATATCACTCAGAAACAGTTCTTTTCATTTTGCTTTTTGACGCTTTGTGAACGTATTCAAAGGATTCATATGGAGGAAAAAAACGTGTGTGTGTGTGTGTGTGTGTGTGTTGATGCACGGGTCGGGTGATTGGGAATGCGGGCGACCGTTATTGAGAAACACCCTCGTGTTCAGAAATAATGGGCGAAGTTGTTTTGCTATCGTTTGGAGTGTTAGTTTGTTACACGGGTAAAAGGGGGTGCCTTATGGTACAAGTGTTTTTTATTCGTCATAGTTTAGGGGTCAACCATCATGTCCGAGTTTTGAGTATCATCATCGTCCTCCACTAAGGACTGGAAGGGCCGATAATGCGGATGTTGTTGTAGCTGTTGTTCCTGTACCCGCAGTTGATGTGCCTGCTGCTCCACCAGATCCAAGGTCACTCGACTCAAGAACGCAGGGATGCTTCCCAGTTGGTTCACCCAATGGTCAAACGACTCCTTGTGCTCCTCCATATACTTTTGGCTTCCGGATCCGATCAGTTGCATCGTGCCCTCGTCGTTTTGACCAGACGTAAACACAAACGATTGTTGCTCTTCAGCATTGTAGACTGAGATCAATTCTACCCGTCCGTTGTCCAAAAAGTTGACCTTGTAGCCCAAAAGCGACCGAACCGCATCCAAGAATTCGTCTGCCTTGAGTGTCCACGACTGTTGAAAGGAAAATATAGCAAGCGCGTGTTAGTTGTTTACGCGGTTCGAATCAATACACGCACGAGAAAGGCGAAAGACAAGTAATCAAAGCATTACCTGCTTGAGACGTTTGGAGCGTTTGTCATTATCAGCGAATTCCTCCTGTAACAGCTTAAAGTCTCCCAAGAGACGATTGTAGCTGGCAGCGGGGACAACATTCTTGTCTTGAAGGGCAACCTCCTGATCACCAAAGGCTTCCTGCTGTAGTCCAAGTAGGTGTCCAGCTGACTGTTGTTGTTGTTGCAGGCCAGTGAGGGACTGCAAGAGAGCTGCATTCTCCTCCTTCAGGGCATCAAGCATCTGCTGTCGGACGGCCTGGTGTCTAGCTGCAGGACTATCTTTGATTTCCAAGACTCGGGATATTGCTGGGTTGAAGGCTCCTGCTCCAATGGCGATCTCGTGCTCCAGAATCTTGGCATCCAATGAAGAGTTCTCCTTGCGCAATAACTCCAACTCGCTTTGAATCGCCAGCTTGGCTAATGAGGGTGAAAATGAATACGGTATTAGCAATCGTATGAGACCTTTCATCTCAGCGCCTCCCGCGTGCAAGTTGTACGTGACTTACATTCCACAAGGGATTGTTTCTCGGCACAAAGCTTGCTGAAGGTGACAGAACTCTGGTTTTGAATTGTTTGCAAGAATGCTAGCGTAGCAGCTGATCCTGCAGATGACTCCTCGGCCGCGCTGTTGGCGCTGGCAGCCATGCTCTCCAACTTAGCTTGGCACTCCTGAACTAGTTTTTCCAGTTGTTCAATCCTGATATTCTTTTGGTTATCGTACGAGCCTCCCATCAACTGAACCTCCTCCGTATCATACGATTTCTACGTTGCATGAAAGATTAAAACACAAGTCGGTCAGCTTCATACTTCGCAAATGAAAATTATAGGTTCTTGCGCCATGATAATTTTGTTATCCACATACCAGCTGTTCCTTCAGACTCTCGACTTGACGAAGAGCGAAATCCTTGGTCATCTCGTGTCGACGCGCGATAGAGCTCAGTTTCGCACAGAACTCCTCTTGTTCAACCAGTTTCGTCTTGAGTTCTGAAAGTTGCTGCTCCAACTGCTCAATGTACGCGTCGCGTGCCTTGAGGGCCTCCTGAAACTCATCCCTGACCTCCACCAATGCCGCCTTGTCTCCGCGCAGAGTCGCAATCATCTTGGCAAGTTCATAAGGCGAGTTGTAATCCGTCTTGTCCGACTTTTCCAAGAATGCAGTCCTATTCATCAGTAATCAAATATGCGTTAGAGCACTCATATTTGCAGATATTCTTTCCTTGAGTACGACAACTGCCGAATTTTTCCAGATGGCGTGCTGCTTTACCATTGCTCTTTTTCCTTGAGAAGAACGCCGTTCTGCACCTCATATTTCCCGCACTTGATACGAAGGTCGTCCATCAACTTCAGCTTCTGTTCCAAACTCAATTTCTCCTCCTTGAGCACCTCAACATTCCTGTACGTGTCCTTCAAGTGCTTGCATTCTGTTGTCAATTGCCGGTTGGTGCCTTCGAGCTGCTTGATATAGGCGACCTGGTTCTGAAGCTCCTTCTGGACTCGTACGACATCCTCCATCCCTTGGGTATTGAGCTTCAGTTGTCTGTTTTGGTCTTCCAGTTCCATAATCCTGTCAAGAGCCTCGACCAGCTTTTGGTGTTTTTCTGCGACAAGGCTGCTCTGGGAATGACTACTGTCCTGAGTCTCTGCGAGCGTCTGTTGTTGATGTGTTAGGGATGCGGCGAGAGTCCGGACTCGTTGGGTCAATTCACTTTGCTTCTCGCGACTCTCCTCCTGTGTTTGCGAAAGGCGATCCTTAATGCTCATGTTCTCATCCCGCAGATCCTTGATAATCTCATTTGATGCCATCTAAAATAACACGAGAAAAAACAATGATGGTCAGGATTTGTCGTCAACTTGAAAAGTCTCCTGAGTGTACAAATGCGATGCAAGCGCTTATTATTATTTTTTTACCTTGGACTGTATCGAGTCCTCCTCAAGAGCTTGGACCTTCTTGGTAAGACTCCTCTCCTGCTCGTACAAGAACCGACGATCGCTCTCCAACGAGTCGACTCTAGCCATCAGCTTCCGCTTCAGAATGTCGGATTCACGCGCAGCCTGCTCCATGGTGACGATCTTTCGCTCCAGTTCTGTCTTGGTGCTTGACAATTCGTACTGTGTGTCCCTCAACTTTTTCCGCGTCGACTCGTACTCTATTGCAAAACAATGATCCAACGAAAAATGGCTGCTTGTCAATTAATCTTGCCGTTGTTTTCGATTTGGGGGTGATGGGGTGAAAGGGACGCGGACCGTTGGAATCACAAGCTAAAGTCGGCTCATACCATCAGGCTCAACGGTACGGGTTCTTATCCTTGACGGTGGGTATTGATTCTCTTGATCCTGTTCTCCTGCTGCTGCTGCCGGGGATCTGTTTGACGCGTTCGTGTATTGTCCAAAAATACTCTATTGTGAACACCATGAAAAAAAGGTCATAGTATGAATTGAGTGTTCGCGAAGGAGGAATGGCACCTGGACAGGTCTGATGCAAACCACTTATTACGTAGAAAAGCAAAAAATAATACCATAGCAGGGCTTGCATTCTCTGACCCTGACCACAAAGGCTGAAATGAGCTTCCAGGACCGAGTCGAGAAGGGGTCGGGGGTGTGGCAGAAGGCGTAGGTCGTTTCTCGCTAAAGGGTGTCCTGACTTCTGCAGAGCCTGGTGCTGCTGTGTTTGAGTTCCCTGTGAATGGTGAGTGCTGAGGTCTGTTCATGAAGCGACGCACCAGGTCTGGGTCGCTGGTTGGTGAACTCATCGTAGTATGGATGTGTGTGTATGTCTGTGGAGTTGAAGGTCGAGGGGATGGAAGAGAGAAGGCGTTGTGAAAGTTCATGAATGAAGTCGTGACTGTTTGGAGATGACCAAGATGCTTGACCCCTTAAGCAAATCGAGTAAACAAACTGCACCACATATTCCACCCCCGGATATCACTCTGAACACAACTCTAACCACTCACAGCAACCAACACTTACAACAACCATGTCCGCCATCGCCAAGGAGGTCCTCATTAAGACCGGCAATGCCCTCCCCATCATCACAAAGTCCACTCAGCCCAAGAGCCTCTACAGGGCTCTCAAGGTCATGGACAGCAACGGCGTCGGAGAGGCTGTTGTAAGTTCCGCTCTCCCTCTCTCTCTCGCCTTACAACACAGTCGACAACTTGCAGTACACTCAAGTGCTTAATATCGGAGGACAGGGCGACTCAGCGTTATCAGCACACAATAACAAAGCGTTGGAGGTCTTATAGTTGCCTTGTTTGCCGGCAGGAATTCGTCGAAAGGAGGCAACTATAGGACAAGGAGTGGTATCGAAGGCGCATTTCTTGTAAATCCTCAGGCCAATGTGTTCAGGAACGCTTCAGGAACTCTTCGGGAACGTCCCGGAACTCTTCAGGGGGGAGTCAATACGTATCTATCACCACCACCGAAGCGCCACCGCCTCTCGCAAATGCTCACAATCAATGTGACAGGATACAGCATGGGATCAGGATCAAAAAAAAACACGCACAGCAATTGGTCAGGAGCCCCCATATCTCACAGACCTCTAACCCGGTCCCCCTTACTACCTCTCTCGCCAAACATTAGACAACGACAAAGCTCTTGAACAAGGGATTCACAGACTGCTACTATAAGGTGACCTCGGTCAAGCTCCGCGGGCCCGAGTTGAACCACGGCAAGGCATACGGAGTCGAGGTCTGGAAGGGCAAGGTCTTGAACGAGGGCAACCCCGTCGAGATTCGTGGAGGATTGAAGTGGAACTGGACCAAGTACACCCCATCAGTGGAGCACGTCCCAGCAGCACCGGTCAAGGCATAAAACATACTCATCCAGCAACAACAAACCAAAATATCCCAACATTAAAGCAGTAAATCTATAACGTTAAAAACTATAACATGGCACATCTTTTGTCAATTGCAAGTAGGTGCGCCGTGATGGTATCATGGTATTCAAAGATTAATTACATTTTGTAGTATAGAAAAAGGAAGGTGCGTCTATCTGTGGAGGAATGACCAGTCTAAACGAGCTCTGAGTGGGGTGGTGGTAGTGACAGTGAAGCCGTATGGCTTGAGGTATGGCTTTTAGTAATTGTAGTGTGAGGACATGTCGTTCAGCATGTCGTTGAGAAGATCTGCTCCCTTCATCACTGCGTTTCCAATGGCAGCAAAGTCAGCGCTAAGTTGATCAACTAGATAAACGAGAAATATCAAAAAAATCAACGTTAATAAATGCACGAGTTTTTATGTCAACGATACAGCAGACTGAAAAGAGAGGGATGATGTACCTTCTTCATCTTGAGGTGCAGACTCGTCACGGCCAAAGTATTGGCTGCTGCTGATAGACGTAGCTCCTGAGAATGATTGGAGGCGCTGGTTAGCCTCGGACTGGGCCTTGGAATCGTAATTGTTGCGACCAAAGTACTGGTCAGAGGAGATGGCCTTCTGTCCACTAAACTTGTCACGAGCGGTCGTAGATTCAACTATTGGCAATTGATAGTAAAAGTGAAAAAGAAGCGAATTAGTTACTGTCTTCGGCAACGTACAACTCACGTTCTCACCAACCATCGAATTTGAAGGCTACCTTGTGGTGCGTAAGTGTTGGCGGGGCGTGCGCTGGGGGCAGCTCCGAATCCCATACGACCCATTCCCATGCCAAGACGAGCAAGACCATCCTCGTTAGCCCTGGTGTTGGCGTTTCCTGCACCGTTGGCCTGGTAGTAGTTGGTAAGTTGTGGTGCAGTCTTGGGCTGGTTTCTGGCGTTTTCCTGATCAGCAACTCTTTGTGAAGCTCTTTCGGCAGCAGCCTTCTTCTCCAACCTCTCCTGCTCGGCAGCCTCAGCACCCAGGGTGGCAATGCGATCAGCCTCAGCCTTGGCTCTGGCCTCAGCCTCCTCAAAGCTGACACCAGCAACCTTCTTGACACCGAGCTTCATGGGCTTGGTGGCTCCGAGGGTTGTCTTCTTGGGGGTCAAGGTCGAACGTGCGGGACGGACCAATCCGGCGCGAGGAGAAGCAGTTCCAGCCATACCCAAGACTGGAGGAGGAGTGGAGGAAGATGTTGGGGTCGACGTTCCAGATGTAGGCTTCTTGGGCTCGTTCCAGGTGTTGAAGAAGTCGTCCTCGTCGGCAGCAGTGGCGGCGGCGGGCTTGGCTGCCTCTGGGATCATACGGCCAGGGTTGCTGGAAATTGAAGTGAGACGAATAATGTGTTGGTTAGGTGATGTGAGATCTGATCAAAAACACAACCAAACGGCCACCCTGCATGATCATTATGGCACAGTAATAAAAATAAAAATGTTCTGGATCGCCCCTGATTCTGATTTCTTAATGGAAATGTGCATACCTGGCTGCATCCTCAACCTTGCGCTGCTCCAGCTTCTCCTTGTACGTAACGGCAACCTTGGAGGTATACTTTGTCTTGGCGTCCTTGCTGCTGCTCAACGGCGACTTGCTGAAGAACTCATTCAATGCCGCATTGCCTCCAACCTTCATCGTACGGAGCTGATCCCATGACCACGAGTCCAACACGGAAGAACTATCAATTGACAGCAACCGAGAGAGAGAGAGAGAGAGTGGTTAGTTATTCACCTTTCATCGCTCTAGAAAGTGAATTGTTGCACAAGGATATCAATCAAACAAAAAAGATATCACCTTGCACACTTACCGGACAAAGGAGATGTGGACGCCCAAGTTGCGGTGGACTGAACTGCAGTCATAGCAGAGGAAGATACCAAAGGGGATACTGCACCAGTCGGGGTTCTTGGAGTTGCAGTCCGCACACATCTATTTTAAAAAACGGACATCGTTATTTCAAAAACTAGCATTAGTCTTTCGTCTTCTTTAAAAGTTCATCTGAAGATGAATAGAAGTTCCTTGGAGTCCTGTCATCAGCCTCCAGTTGGTCGCGAGACAAATAAGGAGGTGCGTTTGTTGAAGGAATCTCGTTCTTCCGGTCCGTCATTGCGACATAAACTGATCAGGAGACAAGTGTGCTGCATTCAAACGACAGGTTTTTGGTTGGCCCTCTGTCCTTTGTAACGCTTTGACGCTTTTATCGTATTGGTTATTCTTCGCCTTTTGTCGTTCGAGAAATTCTGGCACTGCCAAAGGTATTGTTTCCTGTTCTGCTGTCCTTCGGTGCCTGTCCTGTTCGTTGAGTCGATAAGAAAAAAAGAATTAAAAAAAAAGTGGAAGGTAGCTTGCCTTGTTAGCATGCTGGGCTTTGAGGCGCTTGAAGAAGTCGGTTGTTTCTTGTTTTGTGGGTTCAGAGATGGTCATGGTGGGCATGGTCGGTTGGTTGGTTGAGAAGAGGGATGAAGAAGAAAAAAGAGGAAGAAAGGAGCGGCAAGCCGGCACTGAAGAGACTTCACATAGGAGTCACGTGTAGATAATGAATGAATGAATACGAAAGGCGAAATTGCATTCAGAAAGAGTGAACGAGAGCCTTGTCAACCTCCGACAGCCCTCTCACCTTCAAGGCTGGAAGAGGAAGCACCAATACCAGGGCGAGAAACTCTATTCTTTCAGGGCAAGAGAACAAAAGTAAAACAAGAAAGCACGTTTGTGCTGACAACATACAATCCTCTTCTCTTTGCTGGCAAATCAGTGTCCTTTGTGCGATAAATGACATGGCTGTATCTCTTACTTTATGCTTTGCCCCTGAACTAAGAGGACCCGGTCCGCCGCCGCTCTGTTCGCCCTTTGGCGATCGAAAGTGTTCTTCCCAATTGCCACCGTCAAAAATAGTTTCTTGCTTGCAGCTTGGTCTAAAATGCTTTGGAGTGTGGAATCACAAACACAAACCATCGGTCCTTTTCGATTCATTCCTGCAGCTCTCACGGTCAGTCATTCGGCTGTTTTGCCACATCATCGCCACTTTCTCTCGCTATAAAATGGTGAGTGTTCTGGGGAAGTTTTCTGCTCTTTCTCTTGCTTTTCTTGACCCCCTTCTGACCCCCCCCAAAACTTCTTTTCAACTGTCTCGTCCTCGCCAACTGCTGCTCTGATTCCCCTTACCACCACCCCTTCAGATTAAAAGGAAGGAAAGGGCAATAAGCCTGCCTCTTTTACGTCCTTCTGCACCTCCAAGGTTCTTTCCCTTCTTTCTCGCTCTTCTTTGCACCGCCAACCCTTTCTTGTTATTGCTCCTTCACACAAAAAGGCAAAAGAAGCCAGCGGCAGGAAAAGACACTTGGACTTAAAGGTGTAGTCGGATAGTATTTTTCGCTTGCTTTCCCTCTTTTTTTTCTCCCCTCTATATCTGTCGGAGACAAGGGGAACCAACTTCAAGAACAGCCGAGGACTGAGTGCCGTTAACGAAAGGAACGTCGAGCAAGGGCAACCACCTCAGAATCAACAACCCTTAGAAACACTTAATGCATCCTACCTCAGACATACACACTTTACAACCACGACTTCACGGCGACCCTGCTCCTTCTCTCCCAACACCGACTTCATCTCCTCTACTCCGCGACACTTGCTCTCCTCCTCCCGTACCGACTCTTCCGCTTACGGCTCTGACGCGTAAGCGGTCGCTGTTCGACGAGCCTGAGTTGAACAAGCGTATCCGACCGGACATAGCACATTGCTTCCAGGCGGTGCAGATGAGGGATGAGGTCAAGGATGTCCCTGTCCGAGAAGACGATGATGGCCTCCCTTATGTTCTTGTGGAGGACATCCTCGATGCGTTTTCTGCCTATGGAGAGGACTTCCTGCTTGATGGCCAGCCTGTGCCGTACCTCCTGGACCGCCATCGACAAAGGTTTGTTTCTTGTGGCCCTCTGATATTCGATAGAGCTGATTGTACCTGAAAATGAAATTGCAAGTCTGTTTCCCTTCGATACTAATCTGTCGTTTTATTATCCGTAACTACATCACTCATAGACACTCTCCAAGGCGGATTGCCTACCACCCGGGCCAGCTCTTGACCATGTCTCCCTCCAACACCGCCGCCCTCGCTCCCTCGCCGCTGCAGACTCCTTTGATGATGACACGCAGTGTCAGCCCCGTCACCGAAGAAGTCCTCGTCAGCATGTTCGACCGCGTGCACCAGGACCAGGACATGCACACCGTCATCCTCAAGGCAGAGGTTCACTCTATCCAGGTCAAGCTCGATCAGATGGAGCACGCCCTCCTCGCTTCCAACGCCAAGAACGCCGAACTGCTCCAGCAAATCTTCGATCTCCACAGCACGCTCCATGTACTCGTCAACCGCTTGAACGAGGTCCAGACCCTGACCTTAGACCACCTGGTCGCCCTTCAACAACAGGTCCATGCGGTTTTCACACAGTCGTACGAGTTGCACGAGTACTCGTCCCCGCGGTTGTTTATTGTCCTGCCCGAGGTTGACTACCAGGGCAACAACCCATTGTCGATCCTTTCGAGCCATACCCATCAAAAGTTCCGGTTGTACTTTCTCTGTGAGTGCGGACTTCATACGCACCCAACAGGACCTAACCAGGCGAACTATGTCCATGTCGCTCGCCATGAAGGGTATGAGATCACCCGCCCTAACGAGTTCTTCCGCAAGTATGGACACCGAACCTTGCAGATGCTCCGGATCCTCAAGGGTGGATTAACTGTTGCCGGGATGGTCATCCCTGCCTTGAAGACTATTGCTGCCATTGATCTTCCTGGCGGCATACTCAAGGATTTGGACGCTCGAGTGACCGACTCAATCCGTTACCTCGATCAGTATCAAAGCGGTCTCGACAAGAATGCCCCCGGTATGGACAATGGTGGTGGTCTCACCAATAAGGTCAATGTGAGCCAGCTGGCGAGTTCCGTCCCCGCCACCGACGGAAGTCAAACCGTCATCGACGCACTCTTTCAGGAGTCCTTTATCCAGATGGAAGGCGCTGATCTTCGTCGTCTCCAGTCGTTCTTGAAACGTAAGGATCAGGATGGCGCTCACGGCAACCTCTTCCGAACTGTGGACGCACAGGGCCATGTCCGCTGGATCTGTCTCGACCACTACCGCGCGACCTACCACCAACGACAGGACCGCGAGTTTGAGAACGAGATCACGTTAAACCGGGGCGTCTACGACAAACACCTGGGAATTGTCAAAATCACGCTGTCCTCTGGCGAGGCCTTTGACCGATTCATGGGCGCGATGACTCGGGCTGGAGCTTTCAACGAGTTAGAAATCAACCTCCGGAACTATTCGTATCAGGAACTCAAGATGTTGGCCGAGTCCCTCAAGAAGACCAATATCTCAAAGTTGACCCTGACCTGTCACGAGTACCGCGAGATTGCATCCATGGGCAAGAAGAAGCTCCTCGGGATCCTCCGGATGATGACCGCAGGGAAAGTGAGGTACTTTCACTTCAAGGATATCAAGGACCTGATCCCCAGTCGTGGTCTGACCATCCCCAAGGAGCTGCCGTATGTTCGATCCCTGGAACTGACCGAGGTCTCGCTTAAGGACGGTCATGAGCTGCTTGGTGACTTGTTGAGTGTGTGTACCAACTTGTCGATCTTGCGCTTGACCGACATCTCCCTCAAGTCCACCCGCCTGGTCTCGGTGTTAAAGGGTCTCCTTGGTTGCCGGCAATTGACCGTTTTGTCGCTTCGCAACTGTGACATCTCAGAGGCCCATTCAGCGATCCTTGCATGCCACCTTGAACGGTACGCATCGTTGAAGGAGCTCGACCTTGGTCACAACTACTTGGACGATGCGGGATGTTGTGCCATTATCGAAGCCGTCGGTGATCGTCTTGAAAGGCTTGCTCTGCCTTCCTCTGGATTCGGAAATGAGTCGGCCATGGCATTGGATCGGGCCATCAGCGGGAAGAACCTCAGGAGATTGGATATTTCCGAGTCCGAGAACGAGCTGGACCTGGAGGCGATGGAGAGGACTATCCATCTTGTGAGTCGACTCTCCTGTACCGAGTTGATTTTGCCTAGGACTGCCTGGCCGTCGGACGAACCTTGCTCTAGGATGGTTCGTGCGATCGATACAGGCAAACTGGAGCACCTGGAACTACAGAACGGAGGATGCGGTGACCTGACCGCAGAAGCCCTTGCGAGTCTGTTCTCTCAACCAGACGGGCGCTGCAGCGCGCTGTCGTGGTTCGAAGTCGATTTGCGCCGTGCTACCTTTGCAGGAGCACAAGTATTTGCCAGGTCGCTGATTGACTGTCCACATGCCAAGGTGTCCTTCAATGGCTCCATGCTCTTCAACAAGGCTGTCCTCATCCCTGGTGACCTTCAGGGAGTATTCACGAGTTTCTGTTCCCACTTGTCGATCCTCCACCTGAAGGGCACCTGTATGAACGACCAGGTGGTCTCGGTTCTCTGCAAGGCCCTCGAGGAGACAAGTTCCCTCAGTCGTCTCAAGTCTCTAGACGTCTCTGACAACGAGATGACCGCCCAAGGAGGAAGCAAGCTTCTCGACTGCCTCGTCTACCATCCGACCCTGTGCGCCCTTCGGATGGAAAGTCCTTCCTTCACCCAGCTTGGAAGCATGGGCCCCGCAGTCCAGCGATTCCTCGAGGCGAACCGCACCCTAGCTCGCCTCTCAGTCTCACATGTGAACCTCCGGGAACTCACCATGGGTCTGAATCGGAACGCTAGCAAGCTGCTGTCGATCGAGGTACATGCTCTGGACGGAGATGCTGCCGACGATATCCTCGCCTTTGGAGATTTCCTCCGGTCGAGCCACAACACCCTCTTGCGTCTGTCCGTCAAGCGCGCCAGGGTCTGTGACAACGAGCCGTCGTTGGAGCACCTAAGCCAGTGTTTGAAGCAGAACCAGACGCTCCTCGACCTTGAGTGGGAGTTTGACAAGGGCTATTACGATGCTATCGATACCCATGTTCTGCAGCGCTACATTGATCGCAACCGGGATCTGTGGCGCAGAAACGCTGGTGCTGCTGCCAAGGTCGAGGATCTGGTCCTGACTGGGATTGACCCTTGGACTATGCGAGTCATTGGTCGTAATGCTGAGCATTGATGCTGTTTTTCTTAACTGTTTCCCGTCCCTTTTTGTTATGATATTATGAAAAAAGAAAAAAAAAATTGTTCTGGTTCTTTTAGTTTTTTTCTCCTTTCTTTTCAGTGCTTTCAATTGTTGAATGATTAAAATGCGACGTTTCTGCTCGCCAAAATAATGCTCGATCGTTAAACGTCTTGCCGTGGTATTGTCTATTATTTTTATTGCAGACATGGGTGAGGGTTTACACTCGCCTTGCTCTCCAGTCCATCATGGCTTCAATGTCCTCGTCGTCCTCATCACTCTCATCCTCGTCGCCATTCGAGTTATCATCGCCACCGCCCATTTTGCTGTCTCCTCGATCCGCATTCGCCTTAGCGAACGCTGCAGCCGCTTGACGCTCCTTTTCCTTCTTGGCGAGTTCCTGCTCTCTGACAAGGTCCAAAATCGACTTGCCTTTGGCCTTCCTCGGTTTGCTCTTTGTGCTAGACGAAATTCCCGAAGGTGATGATGATGCTCCGACTGCTGCTGTTGTTGCTACACTGGGTGACTTTTGGAGTACAAGGAGACGGTTCTTCTTTTCCCGCAACGCGTCCAGTCTCTCCTGCATCTCCACAAAGAGCAGGTACTCTTCCTCCGAACGCGCCATGATACTCTCCTCCAGCTCCTGTTCTTCCAGTTCCACTTTCTCCTCATAAGGAATGTGTTCGCTGGACGCACTATTCGCAGTCGTGATGTGTTTCGTTTCCACTGCCTGACCAGCTCGAATCTGAGCATCCTGCCTCTCCTGACGCTCCAAATCCCGAGCCAGCTCGGCCTCCAGAGCCTTGAACTCCACATCGACCTGACGTTGCTGCTGATCTGCCGTCGCGCCTCCAACTTCAACGCGAACCCTCGCATCCTCCTCTGGGTTATCAAAGAACCCTGCAGGCAGCACACCCTCCATGTTCTCTGGCTCTGGCTCTGGCTCCTCCTCCTCCTGGGGTATGCTATCTTGTGTTGCCTCTGATTGTAATGGCGCTGCGTCAAAGAACCCAGCGGGTAGACCAGCCATAGTTTCCTCTTCGTCCTCAATATCCTGCTCCTGTTCCCGTCGGTGGTCCTCCTGCTCTGGTGCCTCATCGTCGATTTTGACACGTTTGAAATCTGAGGTCACTGCGGATTGGCTGTTTGTTGCAGGCGCTGGTGCTGCCGATCCAGTCTCTTCGTCATCACTATCGCTCTCACTGTCGTCCGCATAGGCGACCAGTCCTCCAGCAGCTTTCCTCTTGACGCCTTGTCCCTGTGCCTGAGCCTGAGCCTGCTGCTGTTGTTGTTGTTGCTGCCAAAGTTTCCGTTGTTCTGCAGCCTCGGCCTCTTTCCGTTGCATCTGCTCCTTGACGGCTCGCAGCTTGGCGACGGCTTCCTGATGAGCCTTGGAGACCAAATGGGCGTTCCAGAGACTGTCGGACTTGATGGGCACGGCTGGCCCACAAATGGCACATGTCAGGCGAAAGGTCTTGGGGTCGTATTTGGCCAAGGGGTGGGTGACCCGCTTTGAGACTGAGGCTGAGAGTGAAGATGGCGAAGAAGAAGATGGTGAGGCGGCTGCTGCTGCTCCTGCTTTGGCTGCCTTCTGGGCGGCGAACAACCGGCGGACGTCCTTTGACATGTGTAAGGAAGGTGGAATGGCGAAAGGGTGTGAAGGGAGGTGGGAAGAGAGAGAGAGGCGATCAACTGTGAGTTATTCAACAAGTTTGTACCGAAAAAAGCAGTCGTTTGAGTCACGTGAAAAATAACGTTGTTTTCCCTGGATAGTTTGACCCTCTTTGCCCAACGCGACAAATGCACAAACGGCACCATCTCTTCTTTTTACATCACCCAACAAACAAAAAAAAAAAGAAACAGGACGCCATGCCCGAACCAAGAAAGAGGCGGATGATTGAGGAGGAAGAGGAGGAAGAGGAATATGTCGCCAAGAGAACCCCGAGCAATGGAACAAAGTCAGCAAAGGAGAAGGTGAGTCCAAAAAGACTCCTTTTGTTGATTTGAACCCTTTGCCACCAAAATGACAACTTCACCAATCTCGGCGAAAACCTCCATCTCGAACGTTTGAGAATGTTGCAGGGATAATGTTTTTGCTAACAATCAATTAATATTGTTGTATATTAGGCACCCAAGAGAGCAAAGCACAAGGAGGTGGCGGTAGAAGAAAGCCCGGAAGAGCTCGAGGAAGAAGAGGAGGATGACGATGAAGTCGGTCGAGAGGAACCTGAGGGCTGGCATGATGTCGAGGATACTCACGAGAAGAATGCCGATGATTTGGAGTGGCTCGAAAAGGCGAACCGTGATTTTGAGACCTCAAAGACCACCCCCGGCCGCCATGGTGTATGTTTGCTGTTGTACTTGTAGGGCAAGGGCTTAAAGTTCACTGTCTCTTGCAGAACTTAACCGATAATCCTTCTATCGTTATCATAGGCCGTTGCAGAGATGGGTGTCATTGAAATGATTGAAATGCATGACTTTATGTGCCATCGTCATCTCAAGGTGCCATTCGGACCCAAAATCAACTTCATTATCGGACATAACGGAAGTAAGTGGCATGGCCTACACAGGAAGTACGTTGCTACTTTTCTGTGCCTGGATTGGAACTAACAAAATTACCACTTAATCATTTGAATACATAGGTGGAAAGAGTGCTATTTTGACCGCTATCATGGTCTGCCTTGGAGGAAAAGCATCCGTCACCAACCGTGGTCACAGTCTTAAGGCCCTTATTCGTGAGGGTGCCACCCAGACGGACGTTCGGCTGCAGCTTCGGAACAGAGGCAACGACGGATACAAACCAGATATCTACGGAGAGAGTATCATTGTTGAGCGCCGCATTTCTCTGGACGGAGGCTCGAGCTACAAGATCAAGAACGCCAAGGGCAAGACAATTTCGACCAAGCGCGATGATCTAGCTGCTATCCTCGACCACATGAACATCCAGGTCGACAACCCCATCAACGTTCTCTCACAGGACTCGGCTCGTCAGTTTCTCCAATCTTCCACCCCCGCAGACAAGTACATCTCCTTCAACAAGGGAACTCAGCTCCACCAACTGAGCCAGGACTATGAGCACATCCGCGACTGTATCGACATGATGCAGACGACCATGAAGAAAAAAAACGAGGCTCTTCCTGAACTCCTCCACCTTGCCAAGGAGGCCCAGGCTCGGTTCAAGGACAGTCAGCAGGCGGCGACATTGGAGCTCAAAGTCGAGGAGATGAAGAAGGAAATTGTATGGGTTCAGATCGAGGATTTGGAAGGGATAGTGACTGAGTTGAGGAAGGAGCTGGAGGGTCACGAGGCCCGAGTTCCTGCCATCGAAAACAGACGCACAGGAGAGGAGCAAAAGCTGGCCACACTTGACGAGGAAGTTCGCGCTCTTGAGCTGACTGCCAGGGAGCAAACAGACTCGACGGCGCCATTTCAGGAGGAGAAAAGGGGTTTGGAGTTGAAGATGCGCGAGAAACGGGAAGAGCTCAAGACGCTGCACGAGGAGGAGAAGACGGTCAATGATGAGATTAAGGTTCTGAAGGATCGGATCCGCGGCTACGAACAAACAATCGAGCAGGAATTAAAGAAGCTCCAGTCGAATGGCCAACCACGCAAGGCCGAGATCGAGAACAACATCAAGCAGCTTGAGGACGAGATGGAGGTTGGCAAGCGGAGGTATGCAGAGACCAAGGAAAACCTCGCTTTGCTGGAGCAGAAACAGGAAGATCTTAACAATCGATCCGAGCAGGCCAACTCCCTTGTGGCTCGAGCGCAGAGGGAGCGGAAGGATAACAACGAGCGAATCCAACAACTCATGAGTCAGAAGCAGAATTCGCTCAGAGCATTTGGACAGTATATTCCCGATGTTCTGCGAGATATCGACGAGGTGACCAAGCGGAGAGGATGGAGAGGCGAGCCTCCTACAGGACCCCTCGGTCGTCATGTCAAGTTGAAGGAGAAGGCCTACAAGGACATTATTGAGGCGGTGCTCAGCCCAGTTATGAACGCTTTCGCTGTGACGCATGACCAGGACAGATCTACTCTTCTGAACATCCTCAGGAGAAACAAATGGTACATTTCTGTTCACAAAAGCGATTTTTTTTTATATTCAACATGTTGGTAGGCGATAATCTCATATTAATGCGACCTTCTTGTTGGTCATTCTACTAGTCAATCGGACATCATCCTGACCAGAAAGGTCATCTTTGACTACAGAGACAAGGAGCCATCGGACCGGTATCTCACGATCAATAGAGCCCTGGAGTTTGACGATGAGTGGGTTCGACGCCTGATGATTGACAAGAACGCCATCGAGTCTACCATTCTAGTCGCGACCCGTCGCGAGGGTGATGTTGTGACCAGCTCAGGTCCGGGTGGTCGGTTCCCTACCAATGTTAGTGCATGTTTTTCGATGGACATGTGGCGTGTCGGAGACCGGGCAGGTGGTGCCTCCAGTTCGTCGGTGAACAGATACCGTGGACCTCCTCGTCTCGCCGTGAACGTGGAGCAGGAAGCGCAGCAATTGGAGGGCAATGGCCGACGCCTTGAAGAGACTCTTCGCTATCGGATGAAGGAATTCAACGAACTTGGCAAGGAGGTTGAAACTACGGATAGGGAGCGCATCCAGACTAAGAGGCAGTTGGCGAACATGGAGAAAGAGTTAAAACTCAAGACCAAGGCCATTGACGAGTTGAAGGTGGGCTTGGAAGAGGACGAGCCTGTCAACATTCAAATGTACGAGGAGTCGAAGCAGAAGGATGTGGAGGAGATGGAGACCATGAAGAAGCAGTATGAGCCTATTCTTGCCCAGAAGCAAGTCATCAAGGACAGTATGAGAGCCCTCCAGCAACAGGTGGTCGAGCTGAACGAGTCCATCCAGTCCCAGGAATCCAAGGCGAACAGGCTTCAGGTACGTCGTTTGTTTTTGTGATATTTTGTATTAGAACACAGTCGGTATCGATTTGTACGTATCTCGATTGACTGACAAGATTCCGCGCGTAACTTTTGACGTTTGTAGGATGACCTCGAGACTCTCAATCAAAAGCGTGAAGAATATCTCACAAGGATCCAGCACTGGGATAAAAAACTGGATCGGGAACGAGCTATTATCGCGCAAAGCGAGAAGGAATTGCAAGCTAGCATCCAAAAATTGGAAGTTTCGACCGAGCAAGCACTGGAATACTGTGAGCGAGTCGAGGTCACTAAATCGAAGAAGGATCTGGAAACGAAGATCAAAGCGATGCAGGCGAAACTACTAGCGCAAGAGAAAGCGCGTGGCGCCACTGTGGAGGAGATTGTCCTTGACATGCAACGCAAGCAGGACGAGTACAAGACAGCCAGGGACAGCATTAACCACATGAACCAATTTATCGACGTAAGTTCAGTGTTGCCTTTTCATTATTTTCTTTGTTGTGGTAGATGTTTGAGTACGGTCAAGGGTCATGTGTACCTTGTCTTTCCATTACTGACCCTCGTTTTACTATTCCTCCTTTTTTCACTTTTTTTTGCAACGTATGATAGCATCTTAAACCGACTCTGCATCACAGAATTTCGCGCTGGCGCGAATTCCGGAATCAAATGTCTCTTCGTTCTGCGATCAACTTTAGTCTCTTGCTTGCTTTTCGCAAGTATTCTGGCGAGCTCCAGTTTAAGCACCCGGAGAAGGAACTGACCATCAAGGTAAGAGCAAGGTTGTTCATATCTTGTCATTTTTGGCGGGCTACTACAGAATAGGGGAGTAACGACATATCTTTGCTTTAATAGGTTGAGACGGATGATCCAAACTCTGCCCAGGCGGGTGTCTCGAGAGACAAGGATCCCAAGTCGTTGTCTGGAGGAGAAAAGTCGTTTTCGACCATCTGTTTCCTTTTGGCCCTCTGGAACTCGATGGCCAGTACCATTCGCTGGTGAGTCTCGACATTTTTTTGGTCTCTTTCTATTGTCAGTGCGTGCCTGACAGGCCAAGCCTTTGTCATGCTTACTAATGTTTTTTTTTTCTACTCGAACGAATAGTTTGGACGAGTTTGATGTGTTCATGGATGCTGTGAACCGTCGAATTAGTATGAGTATGCTGATTGATGCAGCACGGGAAGCTGACGGAGTGCAGTTCATTCTGATTACGCCCCAGGATGCCAGCAGTGTCAACCCTGGTCCAGATGTTCGTGTCCATCGCCTACACGATCCCGAGCGTAACCAAGGTGTCCTTATGTAGGGAGTCCTTTTGTACAGTATACACACATAAAAAGAAATCTAATACAACTTTCCGCATAACCAAAACCCCCACCTCTTTCACACATGTATGCAAAGATACAAGAGAGGCTAGAAAGTGGACGGAGGACAAATGTCGCGTTCGGGAAATCGTGTTTCCGTGGACCTGTCAAGGCAAGGCAGGGAGCAGGACCTCTTTCCATTCCACCCAAATTGATCCCCTTTTAGGTGTCGTGTCTCGTCGTTTGCCATTTTTGTTCCGCCCGTGTGTTACCACTGTTGATGTCATTGCGAGTGGCAAGGTGACTGTGTATTTGAGAAGGAAAAAAAAGGCGTGGTTGGGTGGTCCATGCATTCAGGGTTTTAAACCCTGTCATCATCGCCTTCTCTTTTCGTTTCGTCTTTTTCTTTCTTCACTCTGTTCCTGACTTTCTTCTTCACCTCTTCCTTTTCTCCTCCTCGTCATATTCACACCCACTTATTCTCTTTTCACATACCTTCACTCTCCCTTCCTTCTTTCTTGCTTTCGTTCTTTCACACAAAGTCGCATTGACCATTCTTAACCTCACACTGGCACCAACGGTCACAACTGCTGATCCATCGACACTACCTCACTTTCACTTCACTTTCACTCCTTTCACTTCAGCCTTTCACTTCATTCAAGAACAGTCAGGTACCCAACACAACGGCAGATAACAATAATCCTCCGCCAATTCACCTTATCACCCAACTCTCAAACGCCAACAACAGCATATCATCACGCAATCCTTGCCCCTCTCGCTTATTATTCTACCCTCAACCCACCAAAACGGAGATACAATGGATGAGCATCAAGCATATACCATTTTGGCACTCAGCCTATTCCTCACCCCTTTTCAACGTCAACACAGATCGGAGTCGAGACTACATGCACATTTGTATCCGCAAAGGGGGCATTGTTATCTTCACTTCACGCTATCTCTCTTTCCTTTCTTCACCTCTTGCTCACCTGTCTCTTGCACTGCAATCTTCACGATTTTACTCCGACTCGCCCAATTTTACCTTTCACAATATGAAACAAGAAGCTATTTTATTTTGTGAAGAGCACCATTGCCAATAGGGGTTAGCTAGCTGCTACTCTTATCTTTTTTGTCCGTTACATCAACCTTTTGCAACTTCCACGTTCCGACCATGGCCGTGAGCTTATGGCCATGTTCATACATTTTGTCCGATTTTTACTTAACCCGCCACCATTGATCCATTTTTTCTAATATATGTCCCCCCCCCCCACCCCACCCCTTGTATGTGTCATCTCTTATTGTCCCAATTTCCCTCCTGCGCAATACTACGCCCATTTGGTTTTTTTTCTTGTTCTGCGAAGCGAAGAGTTGTGGATAGGAAAGGAGAATGGGCGGGAGAAAGAGACAGGAGGTAGGGGGAGGGGGGGATCAGTCGAGAGTGGCAGGGGTCTGTTTGTTTGTCTATTTGAGAGAAAGAAAGGGCTGTCGAGTGAGGCAAACACGAGGGAAACGGATGCGTGCCACCAAAATATCTTTTTAAACAGACAAAGGGACAGAAATCATGTCATCAAGCAGCAGGATGATGTTGATGATGATGGTGGTGACCAAACCAAGGTTACTTTACCCTCGTGATGAGATTTATGTATTCAGGGCTAGATACCTTCCCTTGCCCTTTGTCAATTCCTTGATGTCCTTTCCCCTGCCCGATCTGACGCTCTTCTTGTAAAAAATGCAGAGGTGACACGGTGTGTATGGTGTGTTTGTCCTGAATGTCCAAATGGACAACCCCTGGCGTGTGTGATGTGACACTTGGACACAGCATGCAATAACCCCATGCGACATTATCCTATGATCGGACGTGTGTCTACTCGGGCTGAAAAAAGAGAAGGAAGAAGAAAAGTAGATGATGAACGACAAAAGAGAGCGAGGGGAAAGAGCACGACTCTGCCGATGATGATATGAGAAAGGAGTTCTTCGAGGGGGGAAGAGTAAAAGAGTGACTGAAGATGTGTCCAACAGCGAAGGGCAAGATTCTGCCTGCCATAAGCAAAAAAGCGCGTATGCGCGGTTTCACATTTGTTGGAAGTAAGTACAGTAGAAGGGATCAAGAAGGAAGAATCGCGACAACGAGAAGAATATAAAAGGTTCTTACCCTTTTTCTTCACCCTTTCTTATGGTATCATATCCCTTTCTTTCTCTTCTTTCCTCTCCTTCCTCTCTTTCCTTCCTTCCCCGCATCCCTTGCCTCTGCATTGCAATTACCAATTGGATTCTTTGTTGTGTCTCGTGCATTGCTTTTTTTTTCTCCTGGCGTGGCATAGCTGCATGGTAAAATGCTATTCTCGGCAGGGGCATGAAAAAGTGACAGAAACAGAGACAACAAATAAGGGTTTATTTAGGCTGCCCTTTGGAACAACTCCTCTCGAATAAACAGCAAACAACAGCAACGGCTGGCATGTCCTGTTTGTCCGCTCTGGAAAAAGAGACCCTGTCAACAATAATGGGAGATACCCAGGGCCCGATCCTTTTTTTTTTATGCTCCTTCCACCCTCGGGTAATTCTTTTGGTCTCTTGAGATCTGCCTCTCTCCGCAACACAACTTCTCTTCCCTTCTTCTCTATCGTCACTTCTCTTTCCTTCTTCTTGGCGATCGTCGCACTCTTCTTCCCTTCTTTTTTTCTCACACTCCTCCTTGCTCAATTGACAATTCATTCCTCACACATATACTCACATCACTATTTGCTCACCAAAGAACCTTTGTATTTCAATTGCTCCCATCCTTCTAGAGTTACACACACTACCCATATACAACAACATCATCAACAACAACATACCAGCATTAATAACAGATAATAGCAGTAATATGGCATCAACAACAACTGCCATCCAGCAGGAGGTGTTGATCCCAACTCACGACGACGACCAACCCTTTGAATATCGTCGTCATCTTATTCATCGTCTACTCCACACTCCTTCTCCTCCTCCTCTCACTCCTCGAGAGCAGCAAGACGCACAATGGCATGACAACAGCAGTAACAACAACAAAAATTCGCACAATGCTCATAACCGACATCATGGCTCAGACTCCGACCACGCGCTGCAGCCAGTCAAAGTCAAGGATCAGTACCTTCAGGTACCATCAGTATTCTCACCATCAGCGCCAGCAGAGAAAGCTCAGAAACGAGATTTGATCGACGATTGCTGCTGCTGCTGCTGGAGTGGCACTCCTGACGAGCCCGTTGACGACCCGCCACAGTGGCAGCAACTGCATCAACAAGAACAGGGACACCAACCACCACGCCACCTTCAGTCTCAACTAGCACCCCAACAGCAACAGCAACTAGCATCACCGTCTACACAACAGGAATCGTGGATTGGATCCGGTTCTAGATCCTCCTTAGACCCACCCTTGCCCTTGTCCTTGGCGTCACCGTCTCCTTGTTTTCCAACATCCAGTGCTACTACGGTCGTCGTCGTCGACTCTCCTTCGTTATTATTTTCTCCACCATCGTCGTCGTCGTCACATGCACCCTGTGGATATGGCTGCCCGTGTTTATCGATTCCATTGGATGCTGACCAGCAACAGCGACTACCATGCGTTGTTGGCAACAACACCCCCTCGTCTTCTATTACCCCATCTTCATCTAATTCAGCATATTACCCAGCAGCAACAACAGCAACAGGAACAGTTAAAACAGAAGCGGCAACAATTGACTTTTCTCGCTCTGATCCCGCCATCTCACCTTCAACAACAACACCTCCTTTTCTTTTCGCGCAACAGCGACAACAACTGCATGCTGCTGCTGCTGCTTGGACATCCTTGCCACCATCCTCCCCCTCATTTCCGTCCAATCAGCCTTTTCCTTTGACCTCTTCCTCCTCTTCCTTTTCTTCATCATCGTCAACCGAACGAACATCAACGGAGATCTTGCAAGGTAATTTTTCTTTTTATGCCGACAGTTGCCTTGATTTTCTTTTTGTTTTTTATTTTAGACGCTGCTGTTGGCGTGCGTATAAAAAAGATCAAGAGAGTGAGATACACCAAGTGAGAATGGTGAGATTTGAAAAGGGGGGGGGGGGGGGGGATCGATCCGGCAAACAAAACAGTGTTGGTGTTTTATGAACGCGTGTGCCCTCATCCATCCATCCATCCATGTGTTTGCCGACATAATGGCATTCGCACGGTTCAAAATATTTCAGGAGATGAGTCCTAAGCAAAGTGGCATCCGTTCAACCTTTATCCTTTCTTTCATTTTGCATCGTGAGTGTGTTTTTGCTTTACCAGCGAGATGCATGATTTCCCGCTTGCATTCTTCTCACAAGAGAGCGTGAAGAAAAAGTGAACAGGGATCGAGAGGGAAAGGGACGAAGGGAGGACGGGGGATAAAACTAGAACCAAAGACAACCTAAACATAAACAACAAACAACAAGAAAAAAAGGGTGAATGGGATGCTGGCTGACCTGAGAGCACAGATGCAATGGTAATCCTTTGGTTACAAGCTTGCAAAAAGGGACAACAAGAACAAAAGAAAACACCTGAATGGGCTTATTTATTTTGTTCGCATTGCTGGTACCGGATTGAACCTTGTGAGAGGATGGAGGCAAATGGAAAGTGAAAAAGGGGATGGAAAAGGGGAAGGGATGAGGTGGAAAAGAGACGGAGACAGAGTGAAAAGAATACAAAAGGTGAATAGGAAAAGAGAGGGGGCAGACACACGTACATGGTAGATACATGTATATAAGTCAAAGGGAAAAAAAACATGGGAGCGAAGAAGTTCATTTGTCATATTACTTAGGATTAAGAACAAGGAGAGGGGATGTCCATTATCATGGTATGGAGCGTTGTTCTGTCCTTAATGCAGTGTATGTGAGTGTGCGTGTTGAGGAGAGCAAAGCCCAAATTCAATGGCCACCACGTACCGCAGGGAACTCTTTTTTTCCTCGTCAATTTCCTTCTTTCTTCCTTTTTTTCTTCCTTTCTTCCCTTTGCACAACCAGCATTGGTGACCCTTCCCTTCCTCTCGTCTTCTTTCTCGTCTTCCTTCTCTGTTGGCACCTTCGCCTGTCATTGATTGCACCCTCCCGCTGTTCTCTTCACAGTAGACCCTTGCACGTTTTGCACAAATCCGCATTATTAAACCCACACTTCCTTCTTTCACTTCTCATTCATTCGTTCGTCCAATTAACATTACCATTGGCATTGGCATTGGCATTGGCATTGGCATTGTAAGACGTGCATTTATCTCTCCTATCCTCTCTCGCTCGCGCGCGTTTCTCTATCTCCCTCTATCTCCTGTTTCCCTGACTGATAACCACATTCACATACAATCGCACTTCCACAAATTACACCCTGACTTTGCACCCGGCCTCGCTCATATTACTTCATTACTTGACAAGCAACTGACATCCATCCCTCCCCCTTCCTTCATCCTCGCCTCCGCCCCTTTACGATTCCCCGATACGATCCATCCTTTTCGCATTGCAGGATCGCATCCCACGGCAACAGCAACAGAATCATTTTCACCTTCATCCTATCTCCGGCCTGTGCACCAAATTTCACGACCCCATTCGACCAATTCCAGCCAGTCCTTCCTCACATCCTCCTCATTATCCTCTTCGTCTTCCGCCGCATCGTCGTTATCCTTTCTTTCATCGTCAACCTCATTATCATCATCGCCTTCGACAACACGACCACCTACCCTTGCGCCATCCCCTCATTCATCGGCGCCGTGCCACCACTGCACTAGTTGTCCAGACTCGCAGCAGCAGCAGCAGCACCAACCATCTATTGCCCCGAAAGCTCTCTGTTTAGGTAAAATACAGCCACAAAATTTGTCTTTTGCGCACTGTTCACTTTGTGTGTTTTGTTTGTGGTTTTCGAGATGTTGGAATTGATATCGACACAAACGACAAACACCATGTCATTTTATCTCATTTTCTTTTTCTTCTCCTTCAAAATATCTATCGCCCTTTCTCCCTTCTTCCTCTGTATTATCATCTTCCTTCCTGTCTTCCTGTATATTATCGCTATCCCCCCCTTGTCTTTTCCATCTCTTTCTTTTTCATTCCCTCCAATCCCTCAATACCTTTTGCTTTACTCATCTCTCATATCCAACGTGTACCCATTCAAACTCGTATGTGTGCTCGCTCGTGGATGTCAAAAGCTTGCGTTTTAGCTAGCCCTTGACCAAAAATACTGTCCCGTTCATCGCTCACGCACTCAAACGCACAACCCCCATTCTTCACCGAAAGAAAAAAAAACCCTCCGTGCTCACACACAGCAGGTTATAATTACTCACTCTGTCCCTACTCATCTGCTGCAAACTATAGGGCAATCGTCAGGCTCTTTCTTCGCCCCTTCTTCTTCTTCTCCCTCCACTTCCCCTGTCTCAGAAGCAGGAACACCAATACCAACAACAACCCCTACCGAGACAACCGTCACCATCACAACCACAGACATCAACTGTCGCTGTCCCCCTGAAAAACTCGCCTCCTGCCCTCATCAACTCTCATTACCTTCTTCTCCTTCTTCCCCCTCCACTGCCACTTCCCTTCCGCATCAACAACAACAACAATTAACAGTAACCCCGTCATTAATTTACGCCGACATCCAGCCCTTGCGTTACTTTCGTCCCCAGGAAGACTACTCGATTGAGCCTCCATTCCCAACCGACCTGGAAATTCAAGTCCAAAACTCGCTCGACTACCTCTCCTCACTAGAGACTTATCCCTTGTCCGAGCAGGAGGTCATCAAAAGGTCCCTTTCGAAACGCAAAAAGCGCCCTCAGAGCTGGATTGCCCTGAAAGAGTTTGTCAGTAATCGCGTCCTTGGCCACCACAAAGAAAGGGATAGTAAGCAGCAGCAACAAGATTGTCCTACTCCGACGGACCGACCCCCTCTTCTTTTTCTTGGTCACAGCCGTAACCACAGCACACCACTTCTTGGGAATCACCAGCAGCAAGAAGGCCAGCAAGAGCTTCTTCTTCGTTCGCCTTCTCCTTCTCCTTCGTTACCTGTTACTTCCTCTGGTGTTACCGGTACCCCTCGTTCGGCACCGAATTCGTTCTCGCGTGCAACCTCTCGTCTTTTGAGGACAGGTTCAGGTCGTAGGTCAGAAGACTCTCAGCGTCAGCAGCAGGTAAAGAATGGCGATCCAAAGAGGTCATAACAGGTCATAAAAACTGGGTTTGTGACCCCAAATCAAATCCTCATTTTTTATGCTCCGAGACAAGCGCGTCCTTTGGTTTTATCGCACGAGCCAATCAGCTCCCCACCCACGATGTTCCACCCTCGTTAACCCTGATTGCGTCTACCTATCCTCTTTTGCCAACTAGCTACCCTGTGCTCGTACCCGTTCTCCTTCAAGTTCACCCGCCAATTCTAGCACGGTCTCCTTACCCAACCATAACAACAACTCCTTCTACCACCACAGCTTTGGTGGTCACGCCTCCGCCACACGCCCATCCATGCGAGACTGGACTACAACCTCCTTGGTCAACATAAGAGCTCCAAGCTCCAGGGCCACCTCCCCCCAACCATCCATCATCTCTCCTTCCCCCATTTCCCTTTCATCTTCACCTCGCTCGTCTTCTCCTCCTCCTCACTCTTACACCTCCTTTCAACAAAGTCCACGCACCGAGTCAGGATCATCGCCTACACACAAAACCGCCACTTTTAGTCCCTCGACTTCGTTTTCCCAGCTTCAATCTCGCTTTGAACCCAGCACCTCCTCAGTCACCTCAACCGGTTCTATCACATCGTCGTCATCACTCTCCTACAACCACCCTCCTCTACCTCACACCTCATCTTCGACTTCCATGTCCAACTACGCATCGTCTTCGATGAGCTCACTTTCTACTCTCTCAGCAACTTCCAACGTCTCGCCCATGTTAAGTCCCAGTCCTTCAAACATCTCGTTGTACGCGACATTGCCCAGGAGCCCCCTGCGCAAAACCGCAACTGGAGGCCAACACCCTTTGGCGACAGTATCGACATTCGAGTCAGACCCAGCAACAGCAATCAACGAGGCCACTGAGAGTGTCGAGGCGGATAAGTCTTGCACAGATACTCAACAGCCAACAGTCGACTCATCAGCAGCAAAAGCACCGTCGACCCTGAATGAGAGCATCCAGTTATCTTTGAAAGTCGCTGCTCCCAGTCTGAAGGACACGTCATTGGACCATCCCAAGAGCCGTCTCCTCAGTGAGGGACAACGGCAAACTGGATCGTCTAATATAGACAAGAAACAGGAGGACTTAAGGGTACTAAAAAGCGCTGTTCTTTCAGGATCTCATAACATCCTGATGCTCCAAATCAAGGCCGGTACCCAGAGCAGGAATCTCGAAATGGCCGCCGCTGTCGAACTAGGCGATAACCAGGAGACCAGCGATCCGGATTGGGAAAGTGTTGCCGTGACATCTGGAGACACTCAACCTCTGTCCCCTCTCACCGCCTCATACCCAGTCTCGATTCATTGTCCTCTGGCCCCTTCCAGCACATCAGTCGATACCTCTGCCGATGAAAGCACCCCAACTGAGTCGGTCGCTGAATCAGAGCCGCAAACACAAACGCTTGCAGAGACTACGCGAACGACAGCTACACCCTCGCCAACAGGAGCAACCACTGTCACGGCGCCATCTGAACCAAAACGGGAGTTTGAGATGTGGATGCCACCACCACCCAGACCACGACAGACACAGGACACCCATCGAGCTCAGCCCCAACCCCAGCACCATTCTCGACTTCATTTCCCTCGACTCTTGAAACAGCGCTCGTTCAACTTTCCTTTTACAACGTCTTCATCATCGGCTTCTGGTACTTCCTCGTTGCAGAGTGGATCTGGTGCTAACCCAGCTTCGAGGGCATCAGTCGATGGCGGCTCTTCCTCGCAGGCAGCAGGGTCAAGGTCAGAGGGTCAGGATCGGGCAGAACGAACGTCGTCATGTGATATCCCTCGCCCTGTTGGACCACCAGATCCTATCCCGCCGCACTACCAGCATCTTCAAAACCGCCAGAACCGGAGAAGTTCCTCGTTCCGTCGACGGTCACACGCCGGAGAGCTGGAGCGGTTCTCACCTGGATGGGTCGTCGTGGAGAACTCTCATCAGGGTAGTGGCCAAACAGGAGGAGCAACGTCGCCCACTAGGGCTTCTATGAGCGACGATCAAGCGGCGGCGGCTACTTCTACGGAGGCGCATCAGCGACGGAGCTCAGCAACTACATCTCGTCGTCATGTGTCCTTGGGAGTACAGCCTCACTTGACGTCCATGTGGGGTCGTCTGTTGACGTCCATTCTTCCTTCAGGAAATGACCATCATCAGCATGCGCAGGATACCGACAGCGCACCTCTCAGGGACCGGGACAACTCTGCAGCAGCATCAGCACTTCCGTTGAGTGGAGATGTCGACCCGTACCTGCAACAACAGCGCCTGCTCTTGACACCTCTGAGCCAGCAACAGCAGATCCACCCTCTCTACCAACAACAGCTGTTCTTCTATGCAGATGAAGTCGTGAGCGAACCTACGCGACGAATTTCAGAGTCGTCGGATCCTCCCTGTTTCCAATCAGGTTCCGAGGACGCCTCTAACAACCAGCCAAGGCGGTCTATGGCCAGCGAGAGTCTCCGAAGTTCAGATTCCCTTTCATTCTTCCCAGCCCTGGCCCACAATGCACATCTGCAAGGAGAACTTGCCCAAGAAGACGGTCGTGAGAGTCTAGAGATGAGCTCATCGGACTCGGGAGTCTCCATGAGACCCGATTCGTTTTTCGGTCCGGCTGTTGTTGTGGGTAGCGACACTATCCTGTCACCGAGGTCATTGTCAGCGGATGGCAAGATCCCCGTCTCTAGTCTGGCATTGTCGCAGCCTCCTTCTTACTGGGAGGCCGAAATCAAGTACAAGGGTTGGCCCAAGATTGTGCCCCGCCCCGAGCTAGGTCAAGAAGCTCTACCCCGGTACACGTGCTCGGTCTTCCGAGAGGGTTGTGTTAATCGCAAGACGGAGCTTGTTGGCAACTGGCGACCTTATCGCCGTCCTTGGAAGTAAGTCGACACATCGTTTGGCTGTTGTTGTTGTTTTTAATGTAACACGAAGGAAGTACTGACTATGGTTTGGTGTATTATCTGACATGAATAGGAGGACGTTTGCTCATCTTCGCGGTACGGCGTTAAGGTTATACGCTGTCGATATGGAAGACGTGCCCCGACTCCATGTCCGCAACATCAGTCTCCAACTTGCGAAATGTGAGATTGCGACCGACTACAAGCAACGACCCAACGTGATCCGAATCCGAGCCTGCGATCGTACTGTTTTGATCGAGTGCAAGGACAGGGTTGATGCCTTGACCTGGTTGGAGCACTTGCAGGCCGCTGCCAACATTGCGACCAGTCTTGAGGATAGGTCTATGCCAAAGTTTTATACCTTGCCTCGAGCTCCGCCACAGTCCCAACATCAGCAACAGAGCAGTCGATCTGCGGCGTCGTCGAATGCACAGTCGAGCGGTGCTGGGTCGAATGTCTCTGCACGGAACCATCAACAAACTCCTCAGCCACTGCCGCCAGTTCCGCCATTGTTGGCACAGCAGCAGCAGCGTCGTGCGTCTGTGGTGCCGATGGTTGCTTCTCCTCGTAGCAGCACTGAAGTGGATGCAGGCGCAGGTTCTGAGCGTCGAGTTCGACGATCGAGAAGTGGTGGACTCTTGGCGACGACAACGACAACAACACGGTCAGAGCGGAATTCTTCAGACCAAGAAAGAAGGAGGAGGGATCGACGAAGCAACAACGCGTTGAGTGACGAGGCGGTACTACGGAATGTTCTCCATGCTCTGGGTCATACGCCGGAATTGAACTCGGGCTCCTCACCTTCGACGGATGAGAATGAGGTTGATGAGGAAGATGACAGTGAGGATGATGAGGATGACGGTCAGGCCACGGATGTTGAGGCGTATCCTTCTTCTGCGGCTTCCATGACTGCAGCGGCGGTTGCGGCGCAAGGGTCAGTGAGGCTTAGGAGATCGGCTGGGCATCGGTGTGGTGGCACCTGTCATCATCATCACAGCCACAGTCGCAGCCACAGACACCGGGGTCACCACCACCATGACCATAATATGACGGATGCTGTTGCGGACGGTCCAGCTATGGTCAGTGTTATTGCGACGGATGATGAAGGAGGTCATCCTCCTGCTGGTGGAAGGCGGAGTGAGGGTCATTCGGGTCTAGAGACACCTACATCGACGCGTGGTCTTCCTCGACTTGTGACTTCGCCCAGCGCACAGACTGCAACACGCCAGCAGCAAAGGGCGAGTTGGAACAGGAGGCTGTTTGGAGGTCTCTGGAATCATCACCATGAATCTTCCTCTTCGCAGCAGCAGCAGCAGCAACATACTCCCGAGCCTTTGACCGCTGCAACCTAATAGAAGGATGTTGGACGAGTTTTTTTTTTTACTATTTCTAATTTATATTTCTTTTTTTACACATCTTCTCCTTGCCAGTAATACCTGCAAGTTGCAGTCAATTAACCTACCAATACTACAATAATAAAGAAAAAAGCATGTCGTTTTAGTAGTCCTTGTAAATACGGAAGGAAAAGAGAAAGGTAAAGCCCTCAATTGTCAACAATCACTGAGAAAGAAGCAAAGAACAAAAAAAAAAAACGCGAAAAACAAGAAACCAAAAACAAAAGACAAAGAGAAAGCAAATTACAAGACAAGAAGGAAAAAAATAAAAAAAAGACAAGCTGTCAGTTGCCAAAGTTTATCGCTGCTACTTTCAGAGACTTTGAGACAAAAGTCTCCTTTCTTCAATCAAGGAAAGAAGAAATCAAGAGTAAATGAAAAAATGAGAATTCACCCTTAAGAAAATTGACGGTCAAACAGGAGGTGGTCGATCCCATCACTGGTAACTTTTCCTGTGCCATTCAACGGTCGCAGTCGAAGGGAAAGAGAAAAAAAAATGCGCAACATTCACTTCTCTGTCTCTCTTTTACTCTATTTGCAGTTCGAATGGACAGAAAGGCAATTGCACTGAACGAAGCAATGAGGAAAGTAGTTGGGGGGTAGAAAGGATTAAAGAAGAGAGAGAGAGAGAGTGAAAGAGAGAGAGAGGAAATTTGACGGAGAAGGAGGGTGGGATGGAATCAGGACAAATATGTGCACGATTCCTCTCAAAATAGGGTCATTGACTAAAAGCGTGGTCAGGAAAAAACAAGGGGGTTGGTTGTGTTGACAGCAAACCCAGCAGGACAATAGGGGGAGAAAGAGAAAAGAGAAAGGGGAGGACAAAGAAATAGACCACATGGGACAGGATAAAGCTAACATTGATGCATGCATACTTTTGGTCCTTGGTGGTCTAAGGATTGAGAGCGCGCTCGAAACTATTGAGGTAAAAAAAAAATAAAAAAAAGCGAGAGATGGAGAGAAGAGATTGACGGAGGAGGGGTGGTGTTGAAGACAGAGAAAAGGGGGGAGAGAGAGGAAGGAGAGCATTCCAGGCGGCATTCCTCCTTTGCCTCGACGCCTCAACAAACATGAGAATCCTAAAGAAAGAGCAGAAAAAATGAAGGTTGAGCGGATGGTGAAAAAATAGAAAAAAAAAATGGAGAGGAGAATAAATTTGTCTGCCGCATTGGACCATGGGCACCATTGAGATTTCTTTGTTTTGTTTTGTTTTGTTTTGTTTTTTCTGCATGGAGTACCACGGTGTAATGTGGATGGGCGCTGGATCGGTCTCTCCGCTGTGGTTGTCCTGTATGGTTAATGGTTGCATGCACTAGGCTTATTGATTGCCTTTTGTTCTTGTTGTTTGGACGATGGAGTGCAGTCGTACAATGGTGTATGCCAGGGCTGTCTCGAATCCAACGGTGCACACATCAAAAAAAAAAAAAAAAAAGTGTCAGCTCAATTGCATGTACGCAGATATACGATTCAGTTGCCCCCAACTTGTCTTCCTGTCTTTCTTCTTCGTTTTCTAATTCTTTCTTCTCTTTCTTCATTCTTTTTTTTTCTCCTTCATCTCACTTTCATTCCCTCCTTCAACTAATCCCAATACCCTCCTTCATTCACTCCCTGCTCTCATTCACCACACACTATACCCCTACACATGAACAGAGATCGAGACCCTACCCAGGTGATCGGCTCTCCTGCCACACCGACACCCTCCTCTATAACCATCACAGATACACCCTCAATCCCACTCCAAGCACCAACACCCTCAACTCCAGCAGAACCACTAACTGGCCTCTCAAAGATCAAGCAAACCGCCCTCCTCCTCAAACAAAAGGTCGCCGGGACCAACAACAAACCCCAGAAGCAGCCCAACAAGATCTCTCACCCCTGGGCCATCAATCCTTCCTCTCGCTCTGCCTCCTTCCCCTCCCCTACTAGTTCGCCTTCTTCTCCCTATTCCCCTAATCATATCCCAGCCCCTTCACCCTCCTCTTTACCAACTAGCCCTGCGCATTCTATGGGAGGGAGTGGAGGGAAGGCGGTGGGGATCAAGGCCATGATTGCTGCGAGGGAGGACCCGTCGTTGAGTTGCAACAAGATGGCCCCTCCTGGGACTCAGCCCATCCCAGCACCGCAGAAACGTGAAGCGAGAGCTGGTATGACCAAACTTCAGCTGTCACAGCCTCCCTCTTCTTCCCCTTCTTTGACTATTCAGTCATCTTCTGCTGCTACTGCCATGGCTGTGGGCGGACAGGATCGAAATGACGGAGAGAGCAAGGAGGAGGAACAGAAGGAGAGTGAGGAGAGGGAGGAGAGGGAGGGGCGACGGAGGCAGAAAAAGAGAGAATCTATCCAGGAACAGCAGCAGCAGCAGCAGGAAACAACACCATCGACAACTGCCACAACCACACCACCCGCTGCAAAGGTAGCAATGTTGGAAAGTATACCCACACTAGACTTTGCCACGACAGAATCGACGACAACAACAACAGCAGAGAAGAGGTCAAGCAGACGGAGGAATGGAGGAGTTTCCTTGATCCCTAGTCAGTTCACCTCCACTCCTTCCCCTTCTTCGTCGTCGTCGTCTTCATCCACCCCTTCGCCCCTATCTTCAACCTCGACCACCACGCCTTCCTTGGATTCACCTGTTCAGCCTGCGTTTATGAAGGCATTTGAGGATATCCGACCAATTGAAACCGTCAAGACCGCCAGCGCCAGTGAGGAGAGACTTTCCACGTTATCCACGACGACGACTCCAACAAAAACAACGACGACGACAGGGACGACCACTCGTTCTCCTTTGACCTCGGCCCTTCCGCCTCTGTCACCTTCATTGGCATCCCCTTCTTTAAATACAACAACGGGAAAGACGCAGCCTGCCTCCCTCTCTGTATTTGACCGCCCCTCAATGTCAGCCCGTCGTCATACGACCACCAACAGTCCAAGCTCCCCCTTGATCTCTTCACCATTTGTCCCAACCCGCCACCCGACTCCTCCTGTCCCTGGCCTTCCCGCTGCCGGGATGACCTCCCATAATCATCACCCTATGAGTGTGATCAACCCGACCCTTCGCCAGCTGCAGACCCCCAATATCCCGACCAACCTGGTCCAGGCCCGCATCTTGCAGCAAGAGGCGGAAAAACGGAAAGCCGAGGAACTGGCCAAGATCCCTATCACCGCAAACTTGCGGCAGGTGAAGAAGATCCAGGCCGTCCTTGTCTCGGACGATGAAGATGATGACCCTAAAGCAGGAAGATCGTCTTCGGCCGGTTCTTCGGCGTCCTCTTCACTCAGCGCAGGGACTTCGACAAGACCTCGATCCAAGACTGCGACGGCGACATCACAGACTTCGGTGCCTGTGTCAGTCTTGGTGGGCGGAAAGCGACGAGGCGATCGGAACCATGTCGAGCCTGTTGCGATCCCGAAGCGATTGGCGGATCAGGTCGAGCACATCTTGGGACGCAAGCTTGCAGGCAAGGGAAGCGTCCTAGACGAGCGCGAGCAAGAGCGCGAGGTAACAATAAGCACTGCTCGATTTTTTTTGTTTCATGTTCTTGAGACTGGTTTCTATACTCGCTTTTTTTTGTTTGAAATTGGCTTTGCAATTGACTAACTGATTACTGCTAATTAGGAGGAAGAAGCGCGAAAGGCAGCCGAGCCATTGCCGCCCATTGTCCTGGGCAAACCGCGCAAGCGTGCCGTCACATCAGCCCACATCCGCAACCTGGTCTCATCGTGGGATACCAAGGTCGAAGAAGCCAAGGAACTGACCTCAGAGGCCGAACGGATCCGACTCTTCTTGGAGGCACGCAGTACGGCGCACGCAGAAATGCCCAAGCCTAAAGTGGCCCCTACTGCTGAAGAGTTGTTGAGACCCCTTCCCGCTCTCCCACCACCTCCTACACCCTCGGAACTCCATCAACTGCTGGTCAATGGTGGAGTGGCTTCCTCAGGTTCTAATTTGGATGTTGCTGGTGGAAGCATTGGAAGGCGACGTGGAAGGACTGTGGCGACTTCGAATGGTACTGGTAGCAGTAGGTCGTTTGGACATTCGAAGGGCGCCAGTGTTGCGTCTGCTTCTCCGTCGACGTCAGCACAGCCGCTGCAAAAGACAAAGATCCTGTTGTCTACGCCCTCTCAGAGCAGTTTTGTTTCTACGACCACTACGTCAAGTAGTGACAAGGGAGCTAAGCTCTTGGAACAGGTACCAGACCAGAAGGATGTTGAAGCTAGCACTCACCGACCAACTCTCTCGGTAATTGTTATATTGCTTTTTGTGTATTCGACTAATCGACAGGAATCGCCATCAGGAAAACTTAACTTACCATCCACCTTTGTATGTTTTTGGTTTCATCTTAGACGGAGGCGTTGGACACGTCAAAGAGGACAGGCGAGTTGTTGGTCAGCAAGACGGCAATCAATCGACCCCGTCGTAAGCGCAACCCTACCATCACCCAAGAAGCTATGTAAAACTACTTACCCCCTAACTCTTCTCCCGATCCCTTTCCCATTTCCACCCTTTCTCCTCCTCCTCCTCCTCCTCCTCCTCCTCCTCCTCCTCCTCACCCCAATTTACGACAAAAATATTTTGAAAACGATGCCACCTTGTAAGAAACGAAAACAAAACCAAAAACGCAAACAGTAACGCTCTCGAGCATCATGAATAATAAAACAAAAATATGTTATGAATATTTATATACTCTCTTTTTTTCTTATTTGGTGAAACGTTGAAGAGAACAAGGGTACAAGTACAATGGATTGAGGATGATGGGTATTTTTGGTGTGTGAAGGGTAAAACAAATATGGGCAAAATGAGTGAGAGATGAATGAATGAAGAAAAAATAAAGCAGGGGAGGAAAGGGGGGCGGGGGGTGAAATCCCTAGGGAAAGTTAATAGCGACGTTCTTGTTGGCTTGGATCATCAACTGTGCCGGGATCGAGGATCCACCAGCACCCAGGGCAGAACCCCCCGGAGACATCGTTGCCGCAGGAGCCGTCATCGTCACCGTTGGTGTAGCCGAAGAAGACTTGGTGACCGTACCAGTAACACGGGGAGGTGCTGACGCAGATGCTCCACCTTGGGGTTGGAACGACCCCGTCAAGGAATGCTGGCCCTCAGAAGCCTTGAGTCCATTCACGTTGACGTCCGTCTGGTTATGGGATACACCAAAGGGCAAGATGATGCCCCCGGCCTTGGACAGCTGGATATCGGGTGAGTCAATCTGGAAGGTCGAGGATTGGTTCCATCCATTACTGATGTCCAACCGAATCTGGCCGTCCAATGTGTTCAAATTCACTGTCGTCGGTGTCGTCGATCCTCCTCCTCCTCCTGAACCAGAAGAAGATGAAGCACTGGAAGAGACGGCATCAAAGCCAACGGTGGCATTGATATCCCCACTTACGCTCATAACTGCCAATTGATCCCTCACAATAACGGACTGTAGCACCACACTCGCCGGAGAACCGGAATTCGACGTGTACGAAATCGAAAGCGCATTGATGTTGAGGGATTGGACAACCATGTTGCGGTTTGAGACGCCGCGGAACTTGTAGGTCGCGTTCCTGTGTAGGGTTTGGTCCAGGTTGATGAGGACGTCTTGCTGGTCCAGCAGGATATCCAGTCCTATTTCGTGGGTGTAGTTGGCGGAGGAGGATGAGGATGAGGATGAGGAGAGGGGTTTAGGGCGGGGCATCTCGATGGTGAGAATGGAGTCCGAGCAGAGGACCGAGGATATGAAGAATTCTCGGTGGTTGTTCGCCTCGTCCTATTAGAAGTGGTAAAAATTATAACATGCTGTGAGTAATCAAACGCGCAAAGGACAGAGTTAACAAAAAAAAACATTGAAGAAAAGACTTACGTCCATGACAAAGCTCGAGAAGCCATTGTCGAGTGTCGAGACCTTGAACCCAGTCAGATCCTGCCGATTCTTCATATTGTAGAATTGGCGACTGAGTTTCATGATCACCCTTGTCTCTGTCAAACTTGGCGAGTCCACAATATTAATGACTCCTTTCTATTAACGACGTGCATCCAAATAGCATTGAAGAATAAAGATGCGTAAGTCAGGGGTGCTTGAAGTAAAGAGGTTGTGGAACATGCCATAAGGAGAAAAGGATGAAAAATGGGCGTACGGTGCGGGTTTGGTAGTCGAGGGAGATGCCTTGGACGGTGGCGGGGTCAATGGTATAGATAATGGGCTCAACGGTGTTGGGGTCAATTGCAATGCATACACGGAACCAGTGCAATAAGAAGGCCTATTGCGCACACATTCATAAAACGTTAATTAAATTTTACATAATCCCCGATATGTATTCAATATCACGAACAACACAAAAGTGAAATAGCATGCATGGCAACATTGAATGAATAGTTAACGAACTTACGGTGGCGACGGCAATGAGACCGGCAGGAATGAGAATGATCAGCAAAAGCACCCACCATCGACATCCTCCACAGAAGAATTTACAAAACTTGCGCTTGGGTACTCGGGTATAGGCGGGCCCCTGCTGGAAGGGCGGTAAGGGTGCGAGGTAGTTGTGTTCGTCAGTAGAGACCACCGTGTCATGAACACTCCAGGCATCAGCGTTTCCATTCTTGGAACTCCGGTGGTTGTAGGGTTGGTAGTTGGTGGCTCGAGACCCGGCCTTGGCTCGAAGGAGTTCCGCGGCCGTGGCTGCTGTCGAAGAACTGGCTGTGTTGTTGTGATCGCTTCCGTCGTGGTGCTGGAAATAGATGTTGGTATTGTTGCTATCGTGGCGGTGATGACGCGAATGACGCGAATGGGGTCGATGGTTCGATGTGGACGAGTGGATGTTGGAGTTGTCGGGGGAGGTCGATCGGGCGTGGTGAAGGTACCGTTCTACACGCGGGTCCTTGTACTTGGGGCCTCCTCCTTCACGTCCTGCAGTGTACCGACTCATGCTGGAGTGGGGCCGGATGATATCCTCACCACGCCCATCGAATTCTGGTGATAGTCCGGTGACGACTCCTGTGGTCGACATGTTGTTCAATGGCCAAGACTGGTGGTTTGGCTTGCCGTCGCCACCGATCTCATCCATTTCTAGCGAGACGTGGTGTGATTTGCTCGAGTCTGGGTGGATCTGTTGGGAGATGCTATTCATTGTCGACTGATGGTGAGGATGATGATGATGGCTCCTTGACTGAGAGTGGCGAGAAGAGGCGACGGAGGACGGGGAAAGGGGCCGTTCTGGAATCTGCCAGACGATAGATGTGGAGCCATTGGTCCTGTAACTGCTGCTGGTGTCGATGGAGGCCTTTCGTTGACGATCCTCTGATTCCCTTCCTTCTTCGCGATCACGGTCATCACGGACGCCTTGATTGGTGTAATGGCTCAGGTTTTCATCGTCGTTGTCGCTGTTACTGTCCCAGTGATCTGACAGCATGCTCTCAGCGTCAAGACCCTCCAAAACGTTCATGTGAGGGTGGGTGTGGAAGTAGTCCGCGGGCATGGCAACAATTTCGCCCAATGGACTGGTGGGACGACTGTGACCATGCCCATTCCTGTGTCCGTTACCGTTCCCGTTCCCGCTTCCGTTCCCGTTCCCGTTATGATGAACGTAACTGCCATTCCGCGAATTCGTATAGAATGACGATGCCGAGGACCGTGTAGAGGCTCGCGAGGCGGATCTGGGTTCGGGCGAGACGACTCTGCTGGAGCTGACACTACCCTGCTGGTGCCTGTTGCTCAATCTGCTGGCAGACCGCGACCGTTCGATGTGTTGGTGATCATGTTGGTGTGGCACCCGGTGTGTATGTACCTGGCCTTGGCTGTGTCCTGGAGGATGGTACTCGCCGTGTTTGCGTCGGATGGCCTCGTTGGCTTCTTCCTTCAACCGCTGTTGCTCTCGCTCCTCCTCCTCTCGCTGCAGTCGCTTTTTTTTCCTGCTCAAACCAAACTTACTTGAGATGCCCTCTGATGATTCTTCTATCTTTGCTGGTGCTTTTGATGCTGATCTTGTTGTTGGGGATGTTGGAGAGGTAGCTGAAGAAGTCGAGGGTCTGTGCTGATTGTAATAATGGCTATTGTTGTGGTTGTTGGGGTCTGCGGCCGAGGGTGTTGCGGTGCTAATGGTGATGTGGGCGGCGGCAGCAGAGGAGGAATTTGCCCTCCGGACCTTGAGAGTTTCTGTCGAGGACCGATGGCTAATGGTTTTGTTGTTGAGACGAGGGGTCTTGTCGACATACTCTTTTGATGACCGATGCCCGATAGTCTGGTTGTGAGGGCGAGGAGTTTTGTCGAGGGTTTCTATTGATGGCTGGTGACCGATGGTCCGGTTGAAAGCACGAGGGGTCTTGTCGAGAGAATCTTTTGAGGAGCGATGGCCGATGGTTTGGTTGAGGGGACGAGGGGTCTTGTCGAGGTCCTCGGCGTCGGAGGTATCGACACCAAGAGGTCCGACCGCAGCTGGAGGCGGCACCATGGTGAGACTGGTGTGAAATCAAAGGTATTTGGGGTATGAGACGAGGGGACGGGTTGGTTCCTGGATTGAGGGTGGCTGTGCTCTGACTGATGGCGCTGATAGATGGAGCTGATAGATGGTTGGGTGTGGGAAAGATGTGAGGCTGGGACGCGGTTTGATGTGTCTCAGTCAGTTTGAGAATTCAGGTACAGAGTGAAAGACGAAGAAGGTTGTCTGTCCTGGTTATGGAAAAGTGGAGGAGATAAAATGAAAGTTGAAATTGCTTATGAAAGCGATGTATGTACAAGTCTCCGGTCTCCGCAACAATTGGTATTTGTTGGTGAATGGTGTAAAGGAACGAGAGTTGTCGTTGTTGCTGCTGTTGTTTGTTGTTGTTGTTTTTACTGTTGTTGTCGTTGTTGTTGTTGCTGTTGTCGATGGGCACCAGGTGGTGGGAGAGAGGGGTATATAGCAATGGGGAAAGAGGAAGGTTGACAGAAAAAAATATAACGGAGAGAAGAGAAGAGAAGATCAAGTATCTAGTGAATGAGTGTCAATGGAAAAGGGGAGAGGAGGGAATGAGCGAATGAGTGAATGACGCAGAAAGGATAAGGAGGATAGGGGATGATGAGAGAGAAAGAGTAGGGAGAGAAACAATGAGCAGAAAGAGCAAAGAGACTAGTTGAGGAGGAAAAGTTCCCTTTGTTCGGTGGTGCCTATTTGTATGACTGCCGTTGTTGCTTGTACTTGCCCCTGCCTCGTTTCCCAATCCCTTGTCCATGTTTTTTTGCAATGTATCTGGTGCGACATGAATCACGTGAGATGAGCCTTCCTTCCTCACCTTGCAAGCCAACGAGGGTGAGTGAGCCTTTGGGTGTCAGGGGGATACACACACGCGAACGCCACACGAAAAAGAAAAAGACATTAGGGAAAGGCTTGTTGATTAAGTTTTGGTTGTTATTTGTTTTAATGCGCAATATTACTTCGTGCTCAAGTGCCTTTTCAACAGTTCCATCTTGTTCCTGAGATGCGTGCTGTCCGTTGGGTAGTAGGTGTTTCTTGGTTGTTATTTATTACTCACTCTGAGTCTGTGACAAGTGCATTAAAAAAGAAGCCCCTGCGTGCGCGTGCTTGATTCCTTTACTTCTTCATTACTTCACGCCACTCTCGCTGTCACTACGTACTTTACTGTTCACGGAAGGGTCAAAGCATGCCGGAAAACCGAACAGAAGAGAACATCGCAGAACTTCCCCCACTTCCCCCACTCCCCCCCAAAAAACGTCGCCTGTAGTATCAATCGACAAGAGAGACAGACAAGCCCTACATGCATGACCTGTCTGCACGCTCTGTCTGGTCTTGGCGCATAGCTCTACCATGCCCCGACTCTTGCATCTATTATGTATCTCTCCCTCTCCCCTCTTGGTCTCACACCCAAACGAAAAAAGAAAAAAAAAACCACGTCTGTTTTTTTGAGATTGTCTTTAGCCCTTCGTTTGGTTTTGCTCTCCTTTATTCCCTCTTGTTCCTTCACTCTTCCTCGTACTCTCACTCGCTCTCTATCCATGTGCTGGTGTTCATGTCGGTGTTGGTGTTGTCATTCCCCTTCGGTGTAACTGTGCTACCAAAAAAAAAAAAGCGAGCAGCGCTTTTTGAACACCACAAAAAATCGTGCCCTGAGAAGAGTATACAGCGTTGCAACCACGCGTACTGCACCTTACAGACATACCCATTTTTGCTTACAAACGTACTGTACACAACACCACGCACCGACCTCCCTTATTTTGCGTTCGCGGTTAATGATTCATTCTTCATCACACACACACCTCACTCTTTCTTTATCCTTTACAATCACAAAACACAAACGCAATGATCTGGGTCCCCTCCTTACCTTGTGATATATTAATTTGTGTCTTGGAGTCATAGCTTCATAGGCCTAAGAAAACAGGGATCCCCTACAAACAACAAAATCGCGAGCAGCTGGTTGATTTCTTCCCGTTCTAAAACAAAAGATGCATGTGCATGCACACTCATCTGCACTGTCTCATAACAAAGTTGGGACGAAAAAAAAAAAAAGGAAGGAAGGAATGTAAAACGATCTCACTCTCCTACTCTATCAGCCCCAATCTCTCATACTCGCGCCGCGGAGTCCAAGTAAAATTGTAAATGCAATTGTATAGCAATGGAACAAGACAAAACGATAGAAACGTGAAAGGGGGATAACGGATACAGTGAGATACGAATGTGACAGAAAGGCTTAGTCTTCTGGTCTACTGTTTGGTGTTTATGAAGAAATAGATCTATGCTGTTAAGAATAATAAAAGAAACGTGCTACTATACAATGTGTGTGGTCAGGATGACTCCTCCTCCTCCTCCTCCTCCTCGTGCCCTGCCCCTGAAACTGCAAATTACAACTTGCGGAGGACTTCGATCTTCTTGATGCTCTGGATCATATCGCCTTCCTTAAAGTCCTGGAACCCTTCAAACTCCATACCACACTCCGTTCCCTTTTTGGCCTCCTGGATATCTTCTTTGATCCTCTTCAGCGTCGAGAGTCGTCCCTCCCAGACAACTTCGCCATTGCGAACAATCCGGACATCTTCCTTCCGGCTCACTCCTCCATTGGTAATACGACAACCAGCCACATTCTGCACCGCTCCGCCCTTCATCTTGATCGGGAAAATCTGAGCAACCTTGGCCTCTCCCGCCACCTGAATCTCAATGTCCTTGGGCAGCAATTGTGCCATCTCGATCTTGACATCGTCCAGAAGCTTGTAGATGACGTTATACGACTTGAGAGTCACTCCCATCTGTCGAGCCGTCTGCATCAGCTTCTTGTCAGCCTTCACATTGAAGCCCAGCACCATGGCTATTTTTGAGTCGAAATGGTGGCGAAGAGAATGCAATTGATGGATGGTTGATGCAGGGGTACAAAAAAAAAGGATGCGTAATATAAAACACCAAACGGTTAGACCTCAATTTCCCAAGGAATGCCTTTGTTTTTGCTTCTCCAATTGCCCACAAGATCGCATTAATCAGTAGTAGTGCCACAGAGTGGACACAAACGTTCTCAATCTTACCATTGCAGGATGACGCAAATTGGATATCGCTCTCGGCAATGTTGCCAACTCCAGACTGAATCACGCTGACCTTGACCTGGTTAGCAGGCAATCCCGAGACTGCATCGCATACGGCTTCGACTGTTCCACTCACATCGCCCTTCACCACCATCCGCAGGTGCTTGATATCGCTCTCCTCTTCCTCCTTGGCGGCCATGGCGGCCACAGAGAGCAGCCTCTTGACCTGAGGAGCGTCAGGATAGACGTCCAGCATGCCCTGATGGAAGAGCCAAGCCTTGCGCTTGTGTTCTCGGACGGCCATCTTCTCCTCATCCTCCTCCTCGGCGGTGATACGACGCTTCTCGTTGATCGCCACCAAGGTCTTCAATTGCTCTTGACGCTCCTTCTTGAGGGCTCGAGTCGAAATCGCCTGCTTGGCCTGGTCTTCCGACTCGGCTCCGAGCATCTCATCTCCGGCCTTGGGCAAGTCCTTCCATCCCATGACCTTGACAGGTGTACCCGGTGGTGCCTCCTTGACGTTCTTGCCAGTGTCGTTGACTAGAGCCTTGACCTTACACCACGCGTTTCCAGCAACAATGGTATCTCCGACGCGGAGTGTTCCACGCTTCACCAACACCGTGGCAACGTTTCCGCGTCCCTTTTCGATCTGTGACTCGATGATGTGTCCCTCTCCTTTCATATCGACCTCGGCTCTCAGATCCAGAACCTCGGCCAGGGTCAAAATGGCTTCCTCCAGCTTGTCCAAGTTCTTGCCCGTCAATCCCGAGACCTCGATACACTGCGTCTCACCTCCCAAATCTTCAACAGTGATACCGTACTTCAACAATGCCTGCTTTGCCTTTTCGGGCTCTGCGCCATACTTGTCACACTTGTTGATGGCGACAATCACAGGGACACCTGCATCCTCAGCATGCTTGATCGCCTCTGCAGTCTGGGGCATGACACCATCCTCAGCGGCCACCACAAGGACGACAATATCGGTCGTGTGAGCTCCACGGGCGCGCATGGCCGAGAAGGCGGCGTGTCCAGGAGTATCCAAGAACGTGATGCGTTGCTTTGATGGCAAAACAACAGAGAAGGCACCAATGTGCTGGGTGATACCGCCAGCCTCCCCTGCAGCGACCGAAGTCTTGCGCAGCGAGTCCAAAAGGGTCGTCTTGCCGTGATCAACATGTCCCATGATAGTAACAACTGGTGGGCGCAATGGGTAAATCGACATGTCCTCCGGCTCTGGCCTACATCATACCATGAAAACCCAATTGAGATGGTTAGATCCTGAATAAAGAGTCCCATAAAAAGAAACGGCTAGACTTGAAAAGATACGTACTGGGAGGTCAAGTCGAAAAGGCTCTCCGTGCTTCCGACAACAGGGTTAACATTATACTCCAGGGCCAAAAGCGATGCCTCCTCGGCAGTCAGAACTATAGTTGATAATGACAGTGTAAATATTAGAGCTTTTCTCGACAGAGATCCATGTGGTATATAGTTCCGCTATGTCTTCGAGGTTCTTGACTTACTGTGATCGTGACGGGTGATCGCCATGCCCATGGCCTTCATGGTGTTCTCAAAGTGACCCATGCGTGCTCCCAAGAGTCCAGCCAAATTGGAGACATTGATCGCCCCAGGGATAAAAACGTCCTTGGCGGGCTTCTGTCTCTGCTTGCGCTGTCTCGATCGCTGCTCCACCTGTCTCTTGGCGTTTTCCTTGGCAGTGCGAGTCGACTTGACGAATGTCTGTGCTGCTGGCGCTGCTCGTGTAGAGGTCGAGGCTACTGGCGCTGATGCCGGCGTAAGTGCTGGTGCTGAAGCGGGTGTTGGGTTTGCGGTAGTTGTTGCAGGTGCTGAGGGGGCCTCCTTCTTGATCACGACCTTGGCGATGGGCTGTGCTGTTGGTTGAGGGGTACCTTTAGGAACAGGCTGTTGTGCTGCAGGACGAGTGGTCGGTGCTGCGCTTGGCTTGGGTGCTCCAAATCCAAAGCCCGACGATGTCGCGAATGAGGACGGTGGTGCTGGTGCCTTAGGGCGGGCAGCAGGAGCAGGTGCTGAGAATCCAAATCCTGAGGATGTAGCAAACGATGAAGGAGGGGTAGGACGTGACTGTTTCTGCTGCTGCTGATGTCCCTGTGCTGCTGATCCCTGTGCTGCTGATCCCTTGGAGTTGTTGTTGGCATCGTAGTACCGTCCTGCTCTCCGTCCATCCTGACCTTGCTGCTGCTGCCTCCTGTTTCCAGCGTTGTTGTTTCCTCCACCGGAACCGGAACGAGACGAGAAGGATCGGTTTTGGGCCTCCTCATAAGCGCGGCGATAGGGGCTATCCTGAGATCTGGCAGCGTGATCGGGTGAGCGGGCCCACTTGTCGCCTCCATTACCGCTGTTACCGGACGATTTGGCTCCATTGCCATTGTTGCTCATAGCCTCCTTGCGGATCTCCATACGCAGCTTGGTCTGAGGATCGATCGTGATCTTTTCACTCAACATCTTTCCTCCAACAAGACCGTTTGCTCTATCATTGCCGCCGGTGTTCATCATGACTCTTGGGGTTCCGGTCTGGAAGGTGCGGTGATGGCCCTGAAGACCTCTTGACCTGGAGTGAGACGCCCAAAGGACGAGGCGCGATTGTGAGGCCGCCTGCCCACAACCGACGGTACCTCGACAACCGAGACCTCCTGCTGCTTTCCACATTCTTGTTGACGTGATGTTATCCTCCTGAGGTATGTATGGGTGCGGGAGGTATGGTATCTTTGTGCTTGGTATGTGTGTCGCCCTGCTGTTGTCCGGCAGCAAAATTCTTGAGGCGGGTTTCGAGGATGGATTCCGAAGAGAGATTCCGAAGAGAGATTCGAGAAGGAATGGAAGATCGCGAAGTGCGAGGAAGGGCGGGTGAGGCGTGGGGGAGGGGGAACGAGAGTAAAGGAAAGGGGGGAGGAAATCGCAGGCGAAGAATAGGGAGCACAGTCAAGAAAGGCAATTCCCATTTTATTTGTGGCTTGGTGCGGATGATGGGGCCAGAAAGCACATTTTTTAGTGGCACACCACCCATTGTACCCAGCAAAAGCAGTCCGCTTGTGTTGTCTCCCAGGCAGCCTGATCACTCCCGAAGCACCTATTCTCAGGCACACCCATTTGGTCTACTTCCCTCTCTACTCTTCCAGTCGACACATTCAACACTAACAACACACACACAGCCATGTCTCAAGCCATTGGAAAGACTGCCCTCGCATACGCCCGTGTCTGGCACCTCGTCGACGCCAAGCAGAGAGTCCTCGGACGCATGTCCGTCGGAATCGCAGAGACCCTCATGGGAAAGCACAAGCCGATCTACGACCCCGCATGTAATGTCTCCTTCCTCACTCTTTCTCGCTCTACTTGATCTCCTTCACAGCAGGACGCGGGAGTACAGGAACTGGGTGAAAACTACAGAACACTTGAGCAGCACTATCAAGGACCATTACACAGCGTATAGGACCTGAAGGCTATCACTTGTTCTCCTCGGATCACGACACAGGACCATCCTACAGTGTACTAGGCGTTACTTTGATCCCTGTCCCTCACATTCAGCAAGAGGCATCAATTCCCAACCAGAAACCCACCAAATTCCATACCGTACCCCCTTTCAAAGACATCTGACCGAACGCCAAAACTTATCTCTTTCTCCAAATTCGTCCCTTTCTTAATAGCTGACTGTGGAGACTATGTGGTTGTGATCAACGCCAAGGCAGTCAAGACAACAGGAACCAAAGCACAGGACAAACTCTACAGACGCCATTCGGGATACCCTGGAGGACTCAAGGAGACGACGTTCGAGAACATGATGGAGAAGGACCCCGACGCAATCATCCGCAAGGCCGTCTCGGGCATGTTGCCCAAGAACCGTCTTCGTGAACCTCGTCTCGGACGTCTCTTTGTTTTTGAGGGCGAAGACCACCCCTATGAACAAAACATCATCAAGCGGTACGATGCCCTTGGAAAGGAGACCCTTCTTGACCCATCAAAAGTTGAGGCATAAGTCGATCGCAGAGCGAAGGATTTCGGAAAACGAGGAAGTGATTTGTTGAGCATGGACAAAGGATAACAGCATACATTTTATATATTAGACATTAAATTTTTTAACCAGCACTCTCTCATCGCCTGCTTTTTGTGTTCAAAAGGGGTCCCACCTTTCAAGGAGCAATCCAGAGGGGATCACCGACAACTCCGCCTGTAATTTCAATGGGTAACAAAAAAAACGGCGGAGCGAAGAAACACACGACCACGACATAACAGGACCACAACTCATTTCAGCTACCTTGTATGTGTATGCTCGCCACAGACAAGTCTACCATATTTCGGGTGAGAGTGGTTGACTAAGCCGGTTGTCATCTCCAACGTGTGGTAAAAGACAGGTGAGGAAACCAAATCCTTACAAAACCTTGATTTTCACCACAGTCATTAAATGAACACGTTGGTTTCCGATGACAATAGGAGGAGGAGTGGAAATGTCGATAGTAATGGGCGAGAGATCGAAACGATCCCACCCATCTTGGCGCGCTCTTTTTTTTTTCTGACGTCTTTGTGAGGTAGTAGTACAGTAAAGAAGAGAAAAAACACCGAGGAAAAAGAATATCATCTGAACGGGCATGAGTCTGCGTGCCTCCTCAAAAAGAGACAACAACTACAGGACAGACGCGATTGCTTCGTTTACAACAGGAGTGATAACTTCTGAGAATTGATCCGACGCGCTAAAGGTATGCATTGGATACTGCGCTTTTTTTCGGGATTAGCCTCGAACACTGAAGGGGAAAGCAAAGAGAAGGGAAAAAAGCCCTGGTAATGAAAATAAAAAAACTGGAGGGTCCAAAGGGTACAAGCAGCCAAACTAGGAATAAAAAACGAGGTGCAGGGGTGCAAAACCAAAGGACATTCAAAGATCACGCCAAGAGGAAATCATCCGAACGTGCATGAAAATTTGCAACAAGAAAAAGACGTGAATAACCCCACGAGTCCCCGCCAGTGCGTTCTTCTTTTTCGTGTATTTGTTCGTGTTGCAGCAGTTCAAATCATATCCTCTAATACTCTCCCCTAATCATAAACACACTTCAGCGCGTGATACCTACTCACACAAAGGATAACGTGCGTCCGGTGTCGTTGGTTGTGAAAAAGGACCAAGTTCAATAGTTAAGGAAAAGATATAAGCGCGTTCTTATTTTTTATTATTAAACTTAATTCCTTCGCCATTACCATGACACTCATACTTGTCCTCTCACCACCTCTCGCCTACGTCGATCGCCAAGCAACAGACCCATCAGACGCCAAGATTGCAACATGTCCATCGTCTTCAACAACCAACACGTACTGATCCTCCTTCTTGGCCGTCTCCGTAATACAACTAACCCGCGAATGAACCGAGGCAGTCCCCACACACAAGTTCCCGTCCTTCCCCAGCTCAATCGTATACTCCCCCTTCACTAGCCTACCGCCTAACTGCCACACCGTCGTCGCGTCACTGGTCTTGCGAAGAACGAGACCACCGGTCTCGGTTGCTACGAGCGAAAACTGTCCATTGGCGGACTTGATTTCTTTCAGCATGGGTTTGAACTCTCCTGCGCGGAGGGTGTTCGTCTCCGACAGAGTCTGTACTCCTCCACGTTGCCAGACCAGTTCCTCGGCACTGTTGTAGATCTTTAGGAATCCATCGTTGTGGACCACTGCGATGTAGGATGTCTCGACGCCCACGTTTCTGGAACAGCTGGAACTCAGGGGTCCGCCGGTCGTGCGCAGGATACAGATGGACCCACGAGTTGTGAGTGTAAATCTGACCTCGGGGTTGTCGCCTGCAGGTGGAGGGAGACACCATGTTTGGAACTTGAAACTGTTGTAGAGACAGAGTTTGGCGTCCTTGAACTCGAGCGTGGTCTTGCCGTTGGTCGATGTCAACTTGGATTCGGTTATCGAGTCGAGGGACTTGAAGCTGTTGGTCTCTGTCAGGACCGTGCCGGCGATTTCATGGGAGGTAGGGGTGGCTCGAGGGTCGGTCGTCCAAACAACCGTCCCACCGTTCTTGATGTACACGGCTCCCATCTTGGAGACTGTCAATTGGTAGGTGGGGCCCAATGGAGACACAGGGCCAGCACACTTAAGAACCACACCAGCAAGGGTTCGACTGCAGATCTGACCGCTCGCATTGACTTCAGCAATGTAGGAGGAATCACGAGGACCATTGGCGCCCAGTCTCCAGACCGCGATACTGGACGGCTCTGAGGATCCGGACGCGGTGTCATAGGCAATCACGTCGCCGGTGCTTCCAAGAACCACCAAACGGTAACGACCGCCTTCCTCACTAGCAACAAAGTCGGTCGTAACCAGAGTTTCGCCAACGTTCAACGCCGCCTTGGCTGTGCCCTTGACACACTCGGCCCTTTTCTTCAACGTGTTCTCAATTGTGACCATGGCATCAGGGCCAAATTCGAAGAGCCGAAGGGTCAAGAGAAGAGGCTCAACAGTCTCAGCAGGATCCTTGTCTCCGACCTTGGCAGGCTTGTGGACGACACTTACAGCGTTGTTGTTGACGATCCGATAGCACCCCGTGTCGGAGATCGACTTGCAATTCGGGAAGAGCGTATGGGTCGTCATATCGCAGTACCGTTCCTCCTCTATCGACAGGTAGTTGGGTCCACGCGACGAGGAGGACTCGCAAAGGACCTTGGCAGACAAGGGACCAAAGTTGGCATGGTTATACCCTTCCGGCTTCACGTCCACATCGCGCTTGGTGGGTGCCGTCGCTGCTCCTGCAGCTTGTCGAGCAGACCGCGTAATTTTGACACTCCCCGGAGCTGGCAACTTGGCCTCAGGCGCCGCCAACAGCGCAACATACTCTGGGATATTATCCAGCTCGATCGAATACACGGGGGTGTAGTCCTTCTTGACAAACTGGGACAGCCAGAAGCAAACACCAGGGATTCGAACGGGGCGGCAATCATTCGATGGGATGTGAGCGTAGGACTGTTGGCCCGAGTAGTACCAGGGGACACTGTTGTCGACAGAGACGATCAATTCCGCGGAGATGGCGTAGGTTGGGCTGCCGGATAGCTCATCAGGGCTCACGGCGATCGACGAGATACCTTTTCGTTGGTTGTTTGTTTCGCGCACAGACAGAAAAAACAGTTTGGTTAAAGGTTACTTTGATTCAAGAAAACATGAACACCAAATAGAAGAAAAATAGGGTGAGACAAAACTTACAAGCAGCATTGGGGTTCAGAGCACCATCATCCCCCGCAGTGACCTTCATCCGATAATGCTTTCCACCCGCAAAAACAACCTTTGAACTCGTCCTGTTAAACTCCCCTGAATCCAGATACGGCTCCCTCTTCCCCCCCTCCGTGCTCGTCAAAACCGTTCCCGTACTATCAAAAACTTCAATCAAAGGGAACGGCCCATCCATCCCAGAGCTCCCATCACTCTTGACGGGTGTTCCGGTGCTGCCGATACCGTTGGTACCGACTCGTGCGAAATAGTTGGTCTCGGCCTTGTTGTACTTCTTGTGTTTGGTCATCATCTTGGTGGCCTCTTGGGCTGCGGTGGTGACGATCTCGTAGACGTAGGAGAGGCCAAAGTGGAGGCCGAATGCTGGTTCGGGGGATGTTGCCTGAGCGTTACTTGTGGCAGCGACGGCGAGTAGGAGTGCCGCTGTGATGTGAAGGGTCTTCATTTTGGGTTTGGAGGGCTTAAGTGTATGGTGCTTGAAAGGAAGAGTGGGAGGGGAACCGCTTACGACCGGCAGTGATAATGTATGAATGTGGATGTGAGTGTCGAAAAGAAGAGTCAAGAGACAGAGGTGACGGGCAAAAAAACACAAGTAGGACCCAGACACGGTCTCCACCATGGCGTTACTCCACCCCCTCTTCTCCAGTCTCGGCCACAGCATTCTCTTTTGCTTCCTCCTTAAGTCAGGAGCATCTAAAATAGAAGCAGCCCCTACCATACAAAAGAAAAAACGGATCTCAATCATCAATCTCGGGGGATAAAACGCATAAGAAAATCCTAACACAAGCATGTCACTCACCTCCGCATAAAAAAAAAGAAGGGAGGAGGAAAGGCAGGCAGGAGAAAGATGAAGGGATGGAAGGAAAAATGCAGAACCCTTGTTATTGTGCAGGGGCAGCTGTTTGAACCATTGGTTCCGTCTCCACATTGGACATAATGAGTATTTAAGGTTCAGCTTCATCCATCTCTCGCCTGCCGCTCGGTCTCACTCGTAAGAAATGTTAGTGGCGTTCTTCGCGTAAAGCGCCAGATTCCTGGATTACCCTGAAGGCCAAAGACGCAGAGAACAAGCAGTGTACTTTATTTGACAGTTTGTTCACTTTCTTACTTCAGGCACTTGCTGTGAGAGAGCTCCAAAGGAAGCCTCGGCCATGAAGCAGAGACAGTTCCGCAAGTTGGTAACAAATCCAGTATCATTATCAACCAACTGCACTAAGTCAATCGTATGCAACTGTTCCTTGATGGCAATGAACCGCAGATTCAGGTTCTGACAGGTCAATGGGTATAACGGACTAAGAAATGGAAAAGATGGACAATTAGCATATAAGCTCATATTCATGTTACGAGCCGATGCATCCTCCATTGACATAAGAAAAAGAGAGGTTACCTCAGGCGAACATTGTTCTCCAGACAGATGATATCGGCTTCGGTAGTCTCATTGTCCACATGGCGGCGAAGGAGCTCGGGCTCTTCCATATAAGGGTCGATCGGCACATTCTGCAAAACTTGCTCTCCAGTAGGCAGAGGGGGCAGGACCTTGGACCCTTGACTTGGGTCGCTGCCCTTAGCACGCTTCCTGTTGGGCACTACGAGAGTGTAGCGCCGGATATGTCTTGACCGGTTGACAATAAAAATCTCCAAATTAAAAATTTTACCAACAACCACGCGATCCGTGACTATGTGAGAGAACGATGAATTGAAACTATGGTTAGGACAGACTTCATCAAAAACATTAGCAATAGTCAACAACAAGCATTCACAAGGGCAAAATACTGACCAGCAAAGGAGACAACAATGCCGTCGCCAGTGTCATTTTCCCTGCCCTGAGTGACTCCACTGAGAGCCTGAGATACCATGTCGATTCCCAATCCAGGCGAGAGGCCGCCTTGGTTCACTGCGGGCCGACCGCTGTTGTTGTTCACAGGTCCATGTGGTGCGTCATCCTCATAGCTAGCAGTCTCGCCCGTTGGGCCGTTTCCGACACGAGGCGAGTGATGTGAGGATCCCTCATGGACAGGTGCAAGACTTTGACCAGTCTCTGACCGTCCGTGACCCCATCCTGTAGGGCCGCTTCTCCTGTTGGTACTGTGCATAGCACCACCACGCTGCGATCCTGGAGCCCCTTCAGAGATAAGCGACGAACGACGGGCTCTAGGCTCTGCTGGACCGCTGTTTCCCATAGATTGGCGACCGCTTTGGTTTGGCGACGCACTTGCCGAGACGCGCCGGACCAAGGATGTGCCCTTGTTCATGGCTGCCTGAGGTTGTGGGCTCGATGAAAGAGACCGATTCCTGTGATGCAGCTGGTGATGTTGGTTTTGTCCATTAGGGCCTGGGTGTGGAGGGAGCAACGTTGACGGATGTGAAGGCTGGGGTGCGTAGAGTTGCTTCTGTCCTCCATAAGCGCCCAGTGGATTATCCCGCTTGGTCATGTCTGAGACATCCAAAAAGCAGTTCCAGCGCGAATGGATGATTTGTCCTTGAACACCATCCACCTCGGGAGTACCCTGAAGGATAATAGTCACCTGGCGCTGAGCATCTCGGGGCGATCCTACCTGTGTCAAACCATCGCTAGAGTTCCGATGACGCGAACCGTAGGGGTCGTTTCCGTTAGGTTGATTGTCGGCATTCCACTCTGGGTTGTCAAGCAGTGAGATTGAGAATAGGAATGTGACATGATCTGAAGAGTGTAACACCATAGGAAGCTATGCGATATGGGTTTTGTATAAGTGGCGATAAGTGATTAATACTGTGCGTAAATAATGTGCGATCCCGCCTCAAAAGCATCTTGCCTCAAATATTGACTTACTTTGGTGAGCTCTGCAGAATCAAGAGGCGTCACGACTGCGTTGGTAACATCAACTTCCAGCTGGGTCATCTTGAACTTTGCTCCGTGCTCCGAGTTGTTTTCGACTTCAATTGACATCATCAACGGGTTCTCCATGGGCGACACACGCGTTGTCCGCATCCGCACGTTCAATGCTGAACGAACAGCGATCGTTCGTCTCACACTCCTTCTCAAAACTGGTGCCATGGGTGGAGGTTGAACTCTGGCGCGTGGTGTATCAGGTCGGTAATGATGCTGTGGAACGACCGCCGAAACAAAGTTGGGATCTGTTGAACATGATAAGAAAGCGAAATGTCAACGGAGTGTCCAAGATATGTTACTCAACGTGATGAGAAAATGGTGGTGCCTGTTCCTTACCATCTGATAAGCCCTCCAACAGGTTGACCATACTGAAGCATTCCAGATTGTACTGATCGTCCATGGGCACTGCAGCGGGCACGACCTGATCCGTTGGTCGGAGAATAACGTGTGTGCTCAGCATCAGCATTGTGTTTGCGCTCTTGGTCCTGACAAAGGCTATTCAGAGAACGGAGTTGTCCACGATATGAACAAAGAGCGACCAACGCTGTCAGATCTCGACTTCTTACTCGAATGCACCCTGCAGATAGTTACGACACTTCCTATTTGGTTTCGCTCATCCCTTGGAAGCAAACTTACAGACTGGGACGGAGAAGGGGAAAATTGCAGTCCAGAGGCCGTTGATGGGTCTAATCTCGGGCTCCTTGCCAGGCTCAGCCGCGTTGTAGGTGTAGGAGGAAAGAATGGTCGAGTCCGTGCGTCCTTGGTCATATCCTAAATTGCGTCCAGCAAAAGGTCCAGGCGATCCTCCTGCTGACGTGCGCTTGTCGACGGCACTGCCTGGGCGCGAACCATTGGGACTCTTGTACATTGTGTTCTGGACTGTGGGAGCGGAGGCCACAAGGGAAAGAGAGTCGACAAAGGCAGCCTCGACCTGGATTTCCAGGGTCTTGAAGAAGTCTTCCACTTGTTTTGCAGTCTCCTCGTGCTGAGTTGAGAGGTCATCCGGAAGGGAGATCTGCAGGAAGAACAACACCGTCTCATCTATTTCGTGGCAACACAAAAAAGAAGCTCATGTTAGGGCGACTTGACTGGACCGTGGGGCCGACTGAACTCATCGTCTGACGAAGGCGACGGCGTGCAAAGTAACAGAAGACAGCAAAAGAACGTGCCATAGAAGACGTGTGTTCGTGGCTTTGCCTGGATGACGGCCTTGTAGTCCTCGCTGAGGTTGTCGATGCGAGCGTTGGGGATGCGCACCTCCCAGTGCGAGTCGTTGAAGAGAGAATCAATGGACCTCATCTGGAAGTATGGTGGGTTATGTGTCCTGTGTATTTGGTTGCTGACGCTGAGTGTGTCCGCGGTTGTTCCCTTGTCTGTGTGAGCTTGGTGGTGCTGTCCTGTGTCAGAGTAACAAGAAGAAGGAGGGAGAATGAGGATGTGGTCGAGCGAGGGCGGAGATGATGGAAAAGAAGGAACACCAAAAAGTGGTAGAAATAAAGAAGCGCGAAGGCATGGTCCACAGGCACACCAAAGGAAAACTTGTCACGGGATCAATTCGTTGCTCTTTGTCTTTTTTTTGCTTTTCTTCCTCATGAACAATCCTCCGTTCTCATCCTGACTGCAGCCTGAATTCTCTATTCTCTCTCTCTCTCTCTCTCTCACTCACTCTCACTCTCTCACCTCTCTTTCAATTCACCAAACAGCAGACACAGCTACATTACAGCAATGTCGTCTGCCATTCCAAGGAGAATCCGCCTGAAAAGCCCCCTCGCCATCATAGCCCTCTGCTTCATTGGCCTCGTCACAATACCCTCCCTCTTCTTCCTCAATCCCAAACCCACTTTCTCCCTGCAGGAACAACCGCAACAACAACAACGCTCAAGCCCTGCTAAAGGAGATATATATGTCGACCCGTCCCTCAGCGAAGGAGGGATCATCATGCCCCAGTTAGGCAACGCTACCGCTAAGTACGATACTCTTCCTTCCCTCTTTACACCTCAGCCACAAGGGAGCAAAATGGGCCTGAACTGACCTATCCTTATCAACGTTGATCTTTTATGAAAAATAGGGCGGAGCTAGGCAGAGCAACGTGGAAGCTGCTCCACACAATGGCGTCCCGATACCCTCTCAAGCCCAAGCCAGACGAACGTGCGGCCGTCAAGCAGTGGATTTATCTCCTCTCACGCCTCTATCCATGTGGTGAATGGTAACTTACAACTTCTTTCCTCTTGTTTGGATTTGCCCCTTTGTGCTTGTGCGATTGCTTCGTCACACTTGTTCTCTTTAACTTCAACGGAGGCGGTTTGTCCACACACTCTACTCTCTCTCCCCTTTGTTCACCTAAAGGAGACACGCACATCTCCTTGTCCCTGACTCAGCTCCTCTCTACTCTTCTCTTCATGTTTCTGTGCATATTAAACCTTTCGGCCCTCCCTTCTTCTTTACCTTGGATCTAACTCCCACGCCCTTCATTTCTCAATCATAGTGCTGACCACTTTCAGGAAATGTTGAAGCAGCACCCACCACAGACGTCCTCCCGTGCGTCGCTGTCCAATTGGACATGCTCTGTCCACAACATCGTCAATGTCAGATTAGGCAAACCCGAGTTTGACTGCAGCACGCTGGCCGATGTTTACAAATGCGGGTGTGCAGATGAGCCTGAAGAAGGTGGTGTCAGACCTGCCGATGCTGCTGCTGCTGGTCTTGTAGAAGGAATTGACGCTCTTGCTGCTTTGGCCTCGAGCCAGCGGGATCGAGATACTATTGTGGATTCTGTAGCGAATGAACAGGAGGATGCGCGACGGTAATCCCCTTTTTGACTGTATTTGATAAGTTGAAAGCAAAGTAAAATAAAAAGCATTTTGCCCAAAAGTTAAAGGGCTGGCAGGAAGGTTAAGGGGCGAGCCTGAATCGGTAAATTGAAAACGCGTGCCTGTGTGGCCACCAAAAAACACAAACAACACCACTTTCCCTCTTTCTGCATTCACTATTCACATCCATGACCACCGCAGTACAGGAAGACAGCGCCATGGACCAGGCATTGCAACCCCAAGAACAACAGCAGCAAGCAGAACTCACGGAAGCAACCATTAAACCGGAACGAGTCTTCGATGCACGGCAACAAAGAGTCAACGAGATTCGCCTCAAGTTTTGTGTCCGGGACGAGTTTCCCATCACCAAGAACATGATTCATCCCGACGGCACGCTCAACCAGGAGTACGTCTCTCTCTCTCTCTCCCCCTTCTTCTTTTCTCCTTTCTTTCTACCCTTGAGTTATAGCGGCGAATCGTATATGGCAAAAAAACTTGGCGGATCAATGGGAGCATATGTACAATCAATAACTAACGAAGCCTTTTCTATTTCGTCTATTTAATTAGTTACTTCCGACCACCAAAGGGTGCAAAGGCAGAGGTGGCCCGGAAATGGACCGAGAAGGAGCGTGAGCTGCTCATCAAGGGTATTGAGAAACACGGCATTGGACATTTCAGAGAGATCTCGGAAGAGTTCTTATCTGCTTGGGTAAGGGTTCTTCTTTACCGTTCTGCTTTAATTACTGATCAATTGGAAATAATTATCCGCATCTAATCATCACTCACTCACCCTACTCACCCCCCCCACTCGCCTGTCTCATCCATCAACTCCTTCAAAACCAACAACGTACAACAACAAAAAATAGAGTGGAAACGACCTGCGTGTGAAATCAATCCGATTGATGGGCCGTCAGAACTTGCAGATGTACAAGGACTGGAAGGGCAATGAACAGGACATTGCCCAAGAGTTTGAACTCAACAAGGCCATTGGATTGAAATACGGCGCTTGGAAGGGCGGTTGTCTGGTCGCCGATGACGAGGGCCTTGTCGCCAAGGCTATTGAGGAGCAATGGCCCAATACTGCAGGAAAGGGTTCCGCAGTTGTTGCGTCGGCTGGTGGATCAGAAGAGAATTCGGTCGTTTCTACTCCCAATGATGAAGACATTGAGATGGAGGTAATGACGGTCATGATGTATATTTGTAGAAGATGTAGAAGCCTGCTAATGTTATTCGCGAATCCCACTAACCCTTGTTCCCACCCTCTGTTATTTCCAATCGTACTAGTAAACCTCGGCATATCATCTAAGAAACAGGAAATAACACTAAACTTGTATTTTTATCAGAAAAATAAACTCATCAATGAACAGGATCGTCTGGGAAACATGTTTATTTTTAATGGGTGGCTCTCCTCTCCAAACAAGACAAAACAAGACTCTACTGAGCGGCCTTGGTGTCCTCAATACCCTCAGCCTTCTTCTCGTCGACATAGGAGCTGTTGACCAACATATCCGAGAAGGGCACCAACTTGTCAACACCACGGATCTCGGTCGTCAACAGGGGTAACCTGGTAATATGGAAATCGTCGTAGAGATCATAGATCTGGTCGAGGTACTTCTTCTGCATCGCATGACGGACCTGGCACTGCTCACAGTTGGAATCCTTCTTAGGGAATAACAACTGGTTGACGACAATGTTGTGGGTATCGATGTGGTACGAGGTCAGCTCCTGGATCATACGCTCGGTCTCGTACAGCGACAAGAATTCGGAGATGCAGACACAGACAAAGGTGGTCTTGTCAGCGTCTTTGAACTGATTGTTGACCTCTGTGATGACCTCGCGCATGCCCTCCAGCTTGCCAAACATGTCCTCGGGGTTGCCCTGCATGCCCATCATGCCCGACATCTGCTGCATCATGGGGCCGAACCGTCCGCTGAGCTGCGCGACCTTGGCCAGAGCCTTTTCCAGGACGCTGGGGAAGGAGAGGAAGCGAAGGGTGTGTCCCGTAGGGGCGGTATCGAAAATGATCACAGAGTACTCCATTGACTTGACCTGCCTATTGGAAAAGGAAAAGGTTGAGATGCCCCCAAAGAAATGTGAAAATATCACATGAATGCATGGACTCGTTAGATTTTTTTGCCAGGTGTCAGAATGAATGACTGAGCACAACGGATATGAACCACGTTTATCCAATGACACACGTACTTCATGACCTCAGCAAAGCCCATGGCCTCGTCAACACCGGGAATAGCGAAGGCAAGATCCTGCATCATTGACGAAATACCGCTTCCTTGATCGTCCGCTACATAACGATAAAAATGGCCAGAATGTACGTCGGCGTTAATGACGACTATTTTCCTTGTGTACGTTCCTCTCATACATATCCATGAATGCCGAGCGCAATGATCACTGCTTTCAGCAAGTCTTACAGTTATCAATCATCTCCTGGATCGAGGAGTTGGGGTCAATTTCCTATTTGTTCAACAATCAACACAAGAAGAGAGGTTAGACAATTTCCACACCTGAATCATTTAATACAAAGAAAACGAACAAGTGTTCAGGAACAAACCGATGCCTATTGCATACCATAGCAGAGAGGTTGGTGAATCCATTAACGAGGGTGGCATCCTTGCTGAACTTCTGTCCAAAGGCATCAGACAAGTTGTGGGCGGGATCCGTGGAGATCAAGAGGACACTAGGGCGGACCTTGGCCAACTGGATAGCAAGAGAGCAAGAGGTGGTCGTCTTTCCTATTGCCGTGCCAGAGATGATAAAGAGAAGCTCGGATGAGTAAAGAGTGGTTTGTCGTGGTCATGTCTTTTCTGTCCTGAGGGCTTGCGAGTTGTCACGCCCTGCCAATAGTTGAGAGCCATCCGGGCCCAGGCTGAGTGCGAGAAAGAGTGAGGAGATGCTCTCATGGGAGAGGAATGTTCCGCCATCTGTCTGTCCGTGTCGCTCGTGTCCAGTTGTGCTGTAGACTTACCGACACCTCCCTTTCCTCCGACAAAGATCCACTGGAGCGAGGTCTGGTCGATGACGTTCTGGAGGGTGGGGTCAAGGGGCTCGAGATCTTCAATGTCGGACATGGTTGTCAGTGTATATTGTTGGTTGGTTGGTGAATGAGAGTAAAGAAGAGAGATGACACCAGTGAAGGGTCCTTACTTTGTGGAAGTTGATGGAAGTAGAACGACAGCGAAGGTTTGGGTTGGGTGGCTTGGCGCAGCTGCATACCTGTCTCACCTGCACAGGGGAATATCCGATCCTCTCAACTGACTGGTTTACTCGATAGGCTCGTGTTGTCACACGCGTCAAAACGCGGTTTGTTACCTCTTCTCTCACCGTGCAGAGTAAAATATGACGAGTTCTTCTCTAGGTTTCCTAGAGAAAGAAAAACAGAAGTGGTCCGCCATCTAACGCGCAACTTATCTTGGCCTCCAGTACCGTCTTTCTCATTATTTCATTCTCCCTCAATTTGGACACGATAGTCTCGGCTACGTTCCTGTATGTGTTTGTCCTTCTTCTTCTCTCGCCTACCACTACTTTGAAGAACCGACGTAAGTTCAGGCCCACAGATATTGCGCGAATATCAGACAGTACGCGAATATCAGACTTTGCGCACATCCGCGATCATTGTCGTTGTCGCCGTTTGTTACACCGGCAGCATCCTGCCGGAGAAGCATTCGCGACACAAATAAAAAGACCAAAAACCCACCCCCACATGCAACTGTTCCCCTCCTTCATCTAGCATTCTTCAAAAATATCCGATAGAAAAAATACAACGTTCGTGTCAACCTGCAAAATTTTGAGGGCGCTGCACAGGCTACTCCTCTTTCTCTTTTGCTCTCTCCCATTCCTTGTCTTTTTTCCTCGTTATGTTTTCTCTCGCTCTTTTTCTTGAATGCCTTTATTAATTTGCGATCTTGCCTCAACCCCGCATGGCATATATGTTTTTTTCTCTCTCTCTCCTCCTTCGTTACTCCTTTAACGAACAAGAACACCTCCTCGCGACAACACTGTTAAAACTAAATACTGAGGAGTTAGTATATGTTAGATAAGTACTTGTTCTACACCTAGGTGAGCCACATCGAGCTCATTTTCATTACAAACAGAATGAGGATAAAACTGGTTCCGGCAGGTCTTTTGGGGTGGTGACTTTCTCTTCTTCCTCCCCTAAGCACAGTAGTTCATAGACAGTCCAAACTAGACTAATGTCATAAAAGATAGCGAGGTAGTAATAAATCTGCGCATGTCACAACAAAAAAAGCAAGAAGTGGGCACGAGACGGATGCGAGAACACGAGGGGGCGATTGGAAAGCAGGTTGAATGTTTACGGAAAAAAAGCAAGGAAGGTAACGCGAGAAAAGGTACAGGCAGGGCTGGACTACGCCCGCACTAATTCATGATACATAATAACATTATTAAAATTGTACACAGAAGGTGCATGGAGGCGATGAGAGTATGACAGGAGGTATGGGAGGAATCAAGTCGTACAAACAGAGGAGGTGGTTGTTCACTACCATCTCAAAAATGAGGAGGCGAAGAGAGAGATGTAAATGTAGGAAGGGGAAGGGAGAGGGAAGGATAGAGGGATAAATGGAGGAGTAAAAAAGAGAGGGTAAAGGAGAACGGCAAGAGACCCGAGTAGAGTTACTTGGTTAGAGACTGCAATAAGGACAACAGTCAAGATGTGGAAGTGAGATGAAAGGAGAAAAAAAATGAGCTCAGGGGACAGAGGGGGGAGAAAAGAGGGGCGAGTGGGAGGGCTATTCCTAGCTTCCGTGGCGCCGCTCTTCTTGACGTGAAAGCAATCCCAAAGCTGAAGGTGAGATGTGGAGAGAAGGAAGTAAACGAACAAAACAAGTAGGTTGCGAGCCGCGAGAGAGATAGAAAGAGAAGGAGAGAAGGAGAGAAGGAATGAGAAGACGAGAGAGAGCAAGTGAGCACAAGAGGGGGAGAAAGAAAAGGGAGACGAAAACCGGGAGACCCAAGCGAGAGAGCGTGTTTAGTTGAGGATCTCACCTGGTTACGGAGCAAGAAAAAGAAGGGGAATTGCTGGAAAAGATAAATTGGGAAATTGGAGTTGGGAGGAGAAAAGGGATAGAATAGACATAGGAAATGCACAAATTAGAACGCAGCCAGGAAAAACAGCTTGGCTATGTTGAATGAATAAAAATCGTAGACCGCAATGAATATGCGTACAGTGCATGACTACCTTATACTTACGGGAGGTATGTCATGGATACGTGCCCAGTGCACGCCGGTTTGGGTAATTTCATAGAAAAATCGCTTAGAAAGACACGATGATTCTCCTGTTGCCCGCTACTAGTTTTCCTGGTCTTTTACTTGCACTTTTTTCATCATTGACAAATGGTTCGAATGAATCAACTGCAACGACGACATTGCGCACAATTCCAGCAAAGCTATTGAACCCAACGAGATAAAAGGGCAAATGCTTGCAATGCAATCAAGGCATGAGGTTGACAGGTGGATAGCTATCGTTTATCGTGACAGAGCTTCAACAGCAAACCGCCATCTGATTGTAATAAAAATACATGAGCACCGTTAACTCTTTTCTCTGTCGGTGTTGTTTTGTTACCGGTTGTTACCTCTTGCAGATGGCTTGTTTTTCTTTCATTGCTCTTCATTCGAGCTATTGCTTTTTCCTGGTTCTTTCTTTGTCTCCCAAATTAACCTCTGTCGGCTTTTCTTCAACCGCGATTCCTTCTCCGTGGAAGCGCGGTGGTCATGCTAGATGCTTCAAGCGTGAAGGAAGCATAAAAGAATATCGTTATGGATAAATTGATAAGTTTTATGAGCGAGAGCGTTACAATGGTTACTAAAAGGACATTTCATTTCAAACAATACAACGATGGTCGTTTCTTTGTCCTTTAGACCTATTAGGAAACCGAGAGCCAGAATATGTTCATTGATGACCACAGTGGGACAAAGGACTTTCTTCGCGTTCATCATTCACGCGGTATCTTCGTCTCGTTGACTTTCTGTTGGCTACCTTTGCCCCGTTTCCTTTATTTTTTTGCCCCGCCTTTTTTTTTTCCCATTCCCTGCGCCCTCATGAAGGACACAAGAGACAAGAGACAAAAAGCTCTTCTCATTCGTTCAATGTTTTGACCCTCGAAAATTCCAGGAGAAGCAAAAGGAGCAAAAAAAAGGAATGCGCCCTTGTTTCCACCTTTGACCTCTGCTCGCTCGTTCGTTGAGAAATATATTATTGAGGGGGGTGCATGCAATATCATCTATTTTCAGAGAGAAAAAGGGATACAGACACACAGACAAGCATCAGGGCAAAACGCGCTCTTTTTTAATTGAATCCTGTTCTGTCCATCCCCTCCACACGGACACTCGAACACATGCAATAATACAAACAAACAAAAAAGTAACACCTGGGCCATATCGAAGGAAAGCCCGATGCATGGACAACTGGGTCCACAGTCATGCAATTATACAATTCCGTCTGTACGCATCTTCCTTTTTTCTTTGTGCAACACGCCCCCGCGTGTCCGTGTAACAGTCTCGAGCCTCTGTTGTCTGATTCATCCCCACCGCAATATCGAAACTCAAAACACAATAACCACGAAACGTATCCTCAAGGAGATCCTATAATATACCAGTTGCTCAGCAACATGAAAAAAACTCCTATAAAAGCTAGCATCCACCCACGATTTCTTTTTTGTTCCTCAGCCCAACAACACTCCACAGCTTCCACAGCAACCAAACCCTTCCCTACCTACCTTACCCTCTTCAACCTCTCTGACTCTTCCCTCCCCCACCAACCCCACCAACCCCACCTCTTCCTTCCAACATGAGAATCGCCGCCTTCATCCCCGCCGTCTTGGCCCTCACCCTCTTCTCCGCCACCCAGGCCGCCCCTGCCCAGCATGACACCACTGCCATCTCGATGCTCAAGAAGCGTGGTCCCAGCGGTATCGATGCCGTCATCAACTTGTACACCAAGGTCGTCGCTGACGTCGCTGTCGAAACCTGCGACAAGATCGAGGTCGACCTCTGCGCTGATGTTGTCGTCGACCTTGATGTCGAAGCCAAGGCACTCGGTATCCTCTCCGCCAAGGTCGATGTTCCCAAGCTCAAGATCCAGACCAAGGACAAGGTCGATATTGATGTCAAGGCCGAGGCCAAGGCTCACGTCAAGGTCGAGGCTGTTGCCCCTATCAAGGTCATCGTCCACGAGTCGATCGTTGCTCTCTGCCCCCACGTCAACAACGACTGCCTCATCAAGCATGCCAACGCCATCGTTGCCGACATCAATGCCAAGATCGAAGTCCACGTCTCCAAGGTCTTTGTCAACCTCAAGACCCACATTGATGCCCATGTTCGCCTTCGCATCAAGGCCATCGTTAAGGAGGTCTGCGTCAACCTCGGACTTGCTAATGTCACCGTCCACGCTCGTGCCTGGGTTGCCTCCAACATCGACATCCACGTCCAGCTCTGGGTCAAGGTCTGGGTCAAGCTCTGGGCCAAGGTTAACCTTGCTGCCAAGATCCGTGCCTTGTAAAAGAAGCCTCTGCGGTTTCCTTTCTATCATAGTGCATATGGCCGTTCATACCAAAGCATATCGCATTGTTCCATCGTCCTTCTTTACGCACACACCTCGCATCACCCTCCTCCTCCCTTCGCCTTTCCCATACTAGAGTCAGAGTTGAACCTTTTATCCTTCCTTTCCTCCTTCCTTCTCCGCTCCTCTGTTCCTGAACCACAACCTTGACCCAAACACATTCGATTGGATTGTCCCCCCTCTAGCCAGTTGTGTTTATTCTTGAACGCATACGCATATTTACTTCAGAGTTTTTTTTCCTACAAATAAAATTCGCATAAAATCAACGCGTCCTTGTGAATGAGCATTGGAATTAGCTGTCTTGGTCTGTGCCTCCTCTGCTCCTCCCAGATAGCCAATCAAAAAATCCTTTGCTATGTAGCCGGTACGATGATGATTGATGGTATGGTGGTCATCAAGAGAGACTCGTGACCCGCCCTTCCTGAGCCAGGGTCTGACTTGCTTGCGCCCAAACGACTATTTGCTTGTTCTCCATTTTTTTTCCCTTCTCCCCCTTATTCGTTCATTCATTCATTCCCGACCCCTCCATCACTCCAACCTTCCCTCCTCCTCCTCCCATTCACTTTGCTAATCACTCACCCTTCTTTCTCCTCTTTCTCTCTTTTCTACGCCTGCTCTACTTCTACTTTGAACAGAGACAACGACAACTGCAATAACAACAACAGGAAATAAATTCACTCTTAGCCTCCTTCAAACCCTCCTTGTTTCCTAACCACCTCTCTTTACTCTTCCTCCAACTCACGTCCTACCTCTGCACATATTACAACAAGAGCGACAACAACAACAACAACAACAAACCTTCGCAATGCTCTCTTCATGTCACCGAACCCAGCACATCAGCAGCCTATGCCTAGGTCTCCTCCTACTCCAACATACACTCGTCCTCGTATCAGGCACAATCACCATCTCACAACCAGCAGCAAGCACCACCTGGTTTCCTGGTGAATCCTACGACATTGTTATATCCTCAGACTCTCAGGACACTGCCGTTCAGACCTGGCAAGTAGACCTTGTTGTCATTGGAGGCGAATGTGATGGGTTCTGTCTCCATGACGGCGTTGTCAAGGAAATTTCTCAGGACCACAACCTCCAGTCTACCCTTCGATTCAAGGTTCCAACAGATCTTGTACAACACGGCGAGGTATATACTAAAAAGCCCTTTTGTTAGCCCTCGTAAGCCCTGATGATTTTAACTTATTTTTTTCTCACGCTAATGTTGATGTGGTTTGTGATACTTCATAGGGATTCCAAGTGCAGCTCTCGAATGGTGGGTCGGTACCTGTCTACCACTCGGAGACATTTACGATCGAAAAGGCAAACAAGGGACCGGCGGGTACAGCCACGGTCACAGCAACAGCCAGAGCAACAGCCACAGCAACAGCGTCTGTTGCACCAGAGGGAGCACAGGCGACGACGACTGCTCACAACGAAAATGCCGCCTCGTATGTTCTCCCTGCGGCGCTTGTTACCGCGTTCTCTTGCGTCTTTGCCTTCATGCTGATATGATTCGTAGCTGATTGATTTAGAGGAAAATCAAACGTCAACCGTTATTTCCACAATCAATTAAAAGCTTATTTAAATCCCATCAGATTCAAATCAGTGACGTGTGTGTCATCAAAAACAATGTTTTCTGCTGCCTCCCGCCTATCCGATCCCCGTCCCGCCTTTGAAGGAAGCCATCCTACTTATCAGGCACACTGCGTCTTTTCTCGCTTCTTCTCCTCTCTCCTCATCACCCCCTCTCCTCATATCCGCATTATCCACCATGCTCAGATCTCTCAGCCGTGCTGCCCGCCCCGCTGCCATCGCCTTGGCCCGCAGCGCCCCCGTGGTACGTTCAACTTTACTCGACTCAGCTAATCTACATCGATCATCCATCCATAACAAACGGATCGAGATCGACAATCAATATTGTATTTTTATTATTTTCCATCATCCAAGAGCTCCACCCACATACCCTGTCACCCCAACACCCCCTTTTCCTATGGCACCCCAACCTTTCATATCCACTCCTCTCTCTACAACCTGAAGCCTCCTCACCTCCACCTTCAACAATAAGACCAACGACAACGACGACTACCTCAACAAACAACAAGAAACCACGTCCCATCACACATATGCCGTTCACATCATCACGTCTCCACCGTGCGTAGTGCCCCCTGGATACATCATCACGTTAAGAGTGATCACTGGTATAAAGAGGAACCCGACTACGCTTTTTTCTATACGACACGACAACAAAGACAGCGCTGACGCACCCGTCGCCCTTCAGCCTGCCGCGTTGCAACAACTCACACGCTCGCTCACACGCAGGACGGATGGTGTGAACTATTTTGTGCCTGAGATCGGCCACTTGTTTTGATCCACCGCGTCTGCAGACGTTGAGCGGCAGGACATATGAGTAGAACTGTTCCTCCATACCTTCCTTCCTTCCTTCCTGATCACCAACGTTGTGGATGATCGTCAATACCTGTTATTACGTGTCATTATTGCTTTATTTTATTTTTATTTTTTGATTATGTGCTGATTCGGGTCCAGTCGGATCTCCAATCGGGGAGCTCGATCTGTGGGTGATCAGAGCGACCACAACCCTACACATTTTTTTTCTTGTCCTCTACAGTTTCAATGGCCCCTTCGATTATCTACATTCTACATATACCCATCGATATATTCTCGCGACAGTGGCCCAGCTGCGAACTATTCGCCTGTACTACACCCTGCATAGACTAAAAAGACTAACAATTGCTTCTCTATATTGATTATATTATCAATTCAATAGGTTCGCGCCAACGTCGGTGCCTTCTCTGCCATCCGCAACTATGCTACCGCAAAGCCTGGTATGAACCAACAATTCCACTCAGTAGCCAACCCTGCTGAAAGCACCGCAACCATCTTTTGCAGTCTGACTAATTTGCAAATATGACTTTTACCTTGGCAATTAAAATAGCTACCTCTGAGGTCACCTCTATCCTCGAGGACCGCATCAGCGGCCTCAACTCCTCCGTCGATATCCAGGAGACCGGCCGTGTCTTGTCCATTGGAGACGGTATTGCCCGTGTCTACGGTTTGAAGAACTGCCAGGCCGAGGAGATGGTTGAGTTCTCCAGCGGTGTCAAGGTAAACAGCATGGCTGGAAGATTCTTTGCTAAAAAGTGATCAGGAACCTGCTTCGCCCCCAGGCGTCGTATGGATAACTCCCCAGCTGGAGGCTGGAACGATATGATCCAATGTATAAGAATCATCGCTAACCCTACCGCCTCTACCAATTGCAATTTGGAACTTGTCAATAGGGTATGGCCATGAACTTGGAGGCTGACAACGTCGGTATTGTCGTCTTCGGTAACGATCGTCTCATTCGCGAGGGTGATACCGTCAAGCGTACCGGTAACATTGTCGATCTCCCCGTCGGTGAGGCTCTTTTGGGCCGTGTCATCGATGCCCTCGGTAACCCCATCGACGGAAAGGGCCCCATCGCCGCCTCTGAGCGTCGCCGTGCCCAGGTCAAGGCCCCCGGTATTCTCCCCCGTGAGTCCGTCCGTGAGCCCATGTTGACTGGAATCAAGTGCATTGACTCCATGGTCCCCGTCGGTCGTGGTCAGCGTGAGTTGATTATTGGTGATCGTCAGACCGGAAAGACCTCCGTCGCCCTCGACACCATTCTTAACCAGAAGAAGTGGAACGATGGCACTGAGGAGTCCAAGAAGTTGTACTGTGTCTACGTCGCCGTTGGTCAGAAGCGTTCCACCGTCGCTCAGTTCGTCCAGACCCTCGAGGAGAACGATGCCATGAAGTACTCCGTCGTCGTCGCTGCCACCGCCTCCGAGGCCGCCCCTCTTCAGTACCTCGCTCCTTTCTCTGGATGCGCTGTCGGAGAGTACTTCCGTGACAACGGCAAGCACGCTTTGATCGTTTTCGACGATTTGTCCAAGCAGGCCGTCGCCTACCGTCAGATGTCTCTTTTGCTTCGTCGTCCCCCAGGTCGTGAGGCTTACCCCGGTGATGTCTTCTACCTTCACTCCCGTCTTTTGGAGCGTTCCGCCAAGATGAACCGCAAGCTCGGCGGTGGTTCCATGACCGCTCTCCCCATTATTGAGACCCAGGGAGGAGATGTCTCTGCCTACATTCCCACCAACGTCATTTCCATTACCGATGGTCAGATCTTCTTGGAGGCTGAGTTGTTCTTCAAGGGTATCCGTCCCGCCATTAACGTCGGTCTTTCCGTCTCCCGTGTCGGATCCCACGCCCAGACCAAGTCGATGAAGAAGATTGCTGGTTCCATGAAGTTGTACCTCGCCCAGTACCGTGAGGTCGCTGCCTTCGCCCAGTTCGGTTCCGATTTGGATGCTTCGACCCAGTTCTTGCTGAACCGTGGTGCCCGTCTTACCGAGTTGCTCAAGCAGCCCCAGTACAAGCCTCTCCCCCTTGAGCACCAGGTTGCCATCGTTTTCGCCGGTGTCAACGGATTCCTCGACAAGATCCCCGTCAACCGTGTCGGCGAGTACGAGCGTGCCTTCATCCCCCACTTGATCTCCAACCACAAGGAACTCCTCGAGGAGATCCGCAAGTCTGGTGATTTGAGCACCGAGTCCTTCGCCCAGCTTAAGGATATCACCACCGAGTTCACCAAGAACTTCTAAGGTTTCTGTCCCTAGCTCACTCCCCTCTCCCTTCTCTGCCTCCAACAACAACACCACTCTCACTCTCATACAGATAACAACCACTACCACACCCTCCCCATTTGTCTCTTGAAAAACAGAATCAAAAAAACAAAAAAGGCTTTGGCCACCATTACATCCTGCAGGCTACTGTGTTTACGAAATAAATTGTCCAACGTTTTCATACAACTTTGCGCGTTCCATTTTTTCATCTCGTTCGCGTATGTGTTTTTACGGCATTCTTTGGTGTTCGCAGTCACGGGGGACCCCTTTGTGGTTCTTCTCCAAGTATCATTCTATCAGCTTCTTGTCCTTCTCATCAACTCATTCAACAGAACAATCAAAAACAACAACAAAAACTCCATCATGGATGACCTTGACATGGAAGAGGATTTTGATTTCGGGGGCCTGACTCTTGGCGAGTTCCCAAGAAGCAGCACCTCCCACTCAACCGAAGTCCTCCACCTAAGCGACTCTCTCTCAGCAGCCACCCTCTCAGACCAGAGTTCTGCTGCTCAAGCACAACAAGCACAACAAGCACAGGCGGTGTCGACGTCAAGTACGACGCCTTCGACCACCGTAACGGCGCCACCTTCTGGAGAACGAGAGGGACTAACACCCGATAACGGACCGTGGGCAAAGTTGCCATCCGTTGATGCGGGCGACATCAATCCGTACTTGCCTGGAGTCACGCCGCAGAAGCTGGACGCCATGGCCATGGACCCATATCATATCTTCAAATCTGCCCCACCCCAGTCAGGGGATTCTCCTTTTTCTATCCCGCCGCCATCGTCATCATCAGCATCATTATCGCAGGATCAGAAGGACAAGGATAAGAGTCGGAAACAAGACAAAAGGACCGATGACGGGGGGAAGAAGGACAAGATCCCGGATTGGATGTTGGCAGACCCAGAACTCAAACCTACCGCCACCGATCTTGGCTGGTCCACCACAACAACATCGCAGAAAGACGATGGGTTGGGTTGGGGGGACCCAGGGACGTTTGGAGGGTTCGGATATTCGGGTGCCGATCTGTCGACGACTGTGGATTCGAATGCGCTGTTTGGGTTCTCGTCCTACCCGACCTACGAGACTTTGTCGTTTGCGAACGCGATTGCGGAGGAACAGCATCGGAAGCATACTATCCTTGCCTCGGGGGGCACCTATGATCCCTTTTCTTCCTCTTCTTCGAATTCTTTAGGAGCTGATGGTGGAGGGGAGACGCGGACGACGCGGGAAGGCGGATTTGCGAGGTTCGGAAATACGGTGAGGGGGGATGGACAGATTGCACCCGTGTTTGGACGGCGTCCGTCCTCATCTTTAGGTTCTGGTTCTTCTGGGAGTGGAGTCGATGGTGGGTCGGGTAATGAGCATGGATTTACGTGGGATGACCAGGATCAAAGGAAGAGTCCGAGTGCTGCTGCTGGTTCTGAACAGCAGGGACAAGTTCAATGGCAGACGTGGCGGTCGAGAGGTGGACCTACTCAGGGTGTTCAGGATCTGGATCAGCTTATGGATGAGGATGATCTCGAGGAAGATCCCTTTGATGGGCCCCAGATCAAGTAAGTACTCTTTCTGGATTAACTCGTGTGTATTTCCCGTGTGGTCTCTTGTTTGAAATGTGTTCTTGATATGGATACATGTCAGGAGTTGATGCTGATATTGAGGCTTGCTTGTAATCTGATTTGATCTGATTTTGCATAGGGCGACTCCTGGCTTTGCCCCTGCACAGTACAAACATTAATCTTACACCATCACAACCAATGTACAACACACTCTCACACAAATACATATCATCATGGGTATCGTAGTCACCTTTGCTCTCCTGCAAAATAAAAAAGAAGGAAACAAGGCTGAAGAAAAAAAAATGTATTATTGTACATGGGGTTTGCTCTCTTTTCGTAATGGTTTGGTAGGTTGTGCTGTAGTGTTGACTAGTCTCCCGATCGGTAAATGTCCATCAGTAAAAGAAAAAGAAGGCTGATCCCGATCCAAATCCCAACGGTCTCCATTCATCTGTTGCAAACGGCGAAGGGAGGCGAAGGTTGTGCAGAGAAGCAAATGTTAACGGGGTGGCGAAGGGGGGTGATGAAGGGGCCAGTTTGCTTTTACTCGGACATTTCTGAACCAGAGTCAGAGTCTGCTTCCCTCTCCCGTTTTGCAGCCGATGCTGAGATATTAGTCGTCTGATCTCCTGCCCCTGAGCCGATCTTCTTCATGGGTGGTTGCTTGAACGTTCCATCCAGCTTGGCGATAGCATCTGATTTCGTCTTTGCATATTGGATCTCCTGTTATATCATACGGAAAAAGTAAAGTGTGTTAGCCATCAGACAATATCTACGCTTCATCATTAGATCATTCCGTCATCAGACGCGAAGAAAAAGACAACCATGTTGGAAGAAACGTACCATTGGCCGATCGTAAAAGTTGAATCCTTGGAGTCCACGAAGCGCCGCTGTTGCAGAGACGATATCTGAGAAGGCGATGAAGGCTTGTCCACGGTCCCGTTTTGTCTTTGAGGCGACAATTGAGATGACCTTGCCGTAGGCCGAGAATAGACAGTACAGACTACGCTTCAGCTCTGTTTTGTTTCGTTGGTTGAGTTGAGTTGAGTTGGAGTCCGATTGAGTTATGGTTGTGGTTGCAGTTGAGAAGTCGTTGATATCGATTGAAGATGACAGAAAGAAAAGAGAGTTAGTTTCTGATCTGGTGGATACGCGTTGGATTATGAGTGAGGAAGAAAGGGATATCTGAAATAGTGGCAAATATAATAAGGGCACACGACAGACAGACAAAACATACCAATCTTGTTGATCTTTTCGTTGAGGTTGCGGACGTAGATCGTCTGGTTGGGGTCGATGACGGGGGCGGTGGATGCCATTTTGTAATGTATTGTGTTGATGTCTGTGCTGTTTATCTTCCTGGCCTTGATTGAGTTGTCGCGGTGGTGGGTTCCTTGTTGTGGACTGAAGAGGGATCGCTTTCCTTTCCTTGATGGCAAAAAGAAAGAATGAGAGTGTTGGAGATAACTTCTAGAATTAGAATTCGTGTGACGTCACTCTGGCAGCTTGGCTGCTGTTGGACCTGATCGGACATGCCCGTGGACGCTTTCTTTTCTCTTTTCCATTCACTTCACTTCTTCACTCTCACACTTATCCTTCTATTCACCATGACCAAGTCTGCCAAGGTTTTCTTCGACCTCGCCATCAACCAGAAGCCTGGTATGTCTCCCATTCATTCGCTTTTTCAATTCACACATCTACAACCACATGACAAATACACCACCGCGCAACTCCCACTCTGATTTCCACGGCTTTCTCTCACTCGTGGCGGAAACGACAAAAACTAAAAGCCGCCGCCAGGACTCTGTCCCCTTTCGCCTCTGGTTCCTAAACGAAAATTCTCACACTTTTTTTTTCACTTTCGTATAGCTGGTCGTTTGACCTTCAAGCTCTTTAACGAGACCGTCCCCAAGACTGCCGAGAACTTCAGAGCTCTCTGCACCGGTGAGAAGGGCAAGTCCGCCCTCTCTGGCATGCCCCTCACCTACAAGGGCAGCAAGTTGTAAGTCTTCTCTCGGATGCAGTGGGTTGACCTTTCTCAAAGGAAGGGATATCCCCGGAACTAGTTTAACAGAGGAACTTGACTGACTTGTTTACTCTTTTCTTACTTTGCGCTTCTATAGCCACCGTATCATTCCCGGCTTCATGGCTCAGGGTAAACATTCGGGACTATGTTTTTGCTTGATTTTTCGAGAGGCTCCTCGGGACAGACAGCAGGACCAAACCAAAAACCTTGAAGCGCGAGAAAGGAATACACCAGCCACGGATCGAATGGAACTAACGTCATTTTTTTCTTGCTCTTCCTCTTTTACTTTCGCCTACGTTTTCTCCGCTCTGTGACCCATTGTACATTTCATTCCGATCTGGATAGGCGGTGGTAAGTGAAGCTGCCACATACACATGAAAACTTCCTTTTTTGATTTTTCTTTTTTTTTGGTGGCAACCTCAGGCTGCGGGCAAACGTGACATTACAGGTAATCTGATATGAACACGTCTATTTGCTCTATTCAACTTTTACAGACTTCACCCGTGGCGATGGACGTGGCGGTGAGTCCATCTATGGTGCCAAGTTCGCCGAGTAAGTGCTCTCTCTTCTTCTCACCGCATACATGAATGTCACGTCGCATCAAGGAAAATGTCTCTAGCCCTACCCAGCCAACCGATACAACTTTCTAACGAAATCTGGTTTTGACGTCCACAAAAAAAAACAGTGAGAACTTCAAGATCGCTCACAAAGGCCCCGTTCTGTCGATGGCCAACGCCGGCCCCAACACCAACGGCTCGCAGTTCTTTATCTGCTTCCAGGACACCCCTTGGTTGGATGGAAAGCACACTGTCTTTGGAAAGATTGAACAGGGTGAGGAGCTCTTGAAGAAGCTCGAGTCCATCGGTACCCCCAGCGGCGCCCCCACCGCCACCGTCGAGATTGTCGACTGCGGTGAGATCCATGAGTAAAGACGTTTCACTTACACATAGGATACGAAACGGATTGACGGATTTTTGCATTTTGATACAGGAAGTTAATAAACACAATACAATAACTTAAGCGACACATTTGCAATTTTTAATATGGTCGAGCAGCGTTGGCTCTGGCAGCAGCTCGCGCACTTGCTGGTAGTGCTACAACCTCACCCTCACCGTCATCGAAATCGTCGATAAAGATGGGGGCTGTACGAGTTCCGACGCCCACATTCCGAACGGGACCCACATCACGAACTGGAGTTGCTGGAGCTGTACGAATCGGAGCTGGACCAGAAGATGCAACTGCAGCGGCAGCGTGAGTAGTCGCGACAGCAGCAACCTGTCGCCTCCCTTCTGCTGCTGCTGCTACCACGTCTCGTCCTCCTCCACCTACTCTTCCCTGTCCCTGTGCCTGTTCTTGGCCCTGTCTCGCCCTCTGCGCTTGTCCCTGCGCTTGTCCCTGTGCTTGCCTCTGTCTCGGCGCCGGCGCAGCCTGACCCTCCCTCGGGGGCCAATGCCCCCCAAAAGCCGGCACCTTATAAAATCCTCTCCCACTATCCATCATCGTCATCGGATACCGCTTCGAAATCTTCTCCGCCCTCTTCCTCTCCGAGGCCTCCAACCGACTCCCTGTCTTCAATTTCGCCTCCAGAAAACTTTCATCCAAATAATACAACTCTTCCGCAAACTTCATCAATTTCGTCGTCTCCATATCCCCTCCCCCTCTCCCAGAGGCCAACATGGAATGGACCTGACCATACTTTACAATTATCTGGTCATACATCCAAAAGAGGGCTTCGCCAGTGACGTTATGGAGGCAGGGTTCTAGTGCTGCTAATTTTCCCGCAAGGATTGCGAAAAAGTCGCCGTCGCTGGCATAAGAGTCGTATTTGTCACCCTCGATCGTGTTGACCCAGTCGGATTCGAGGAATTGGGCTGCGAGGTAGATTCGCGTGGCGTTTGTGCCGGCGTTGTCGAATTCTAGGCCGTGATAGACGCCGTTTGCGTCTACTTGGACCGGTGCTGGGAATTTCATTGCTGTTGTGATTTTTTTTTGTTTTGTGCGTGCAAAGAAAAAAAAAAAAAAAAAAAAAAAAAAAAAGAACAGAAATAGGGTTAGTTTTAAGCCTGGACCTAGGGAAGACGCTTGTTTTGGTGTTTTCTGGTCGTGGGAACGGGGGAAGAGAGCAGAACCGGAAAACGCGCGTGTGTTTGTGAATAAAACTTACGGTTGCGTGGCTTGCCGTTGTATTTGAACCCACGGGTGTTGGGTGGGTCCTGGAAGAAGGTCTCAAAGACATCAGAGATATACCAGACCATTGCGAAATGACAAAAGGAAACAATGGAGAGTGTTGTAGCAATTCAAAGTCTAATGTCAGCTTTTTGAATTGTCATTATTGTGAAAGAAATCCCTTATGTCCAATTTTCATGATGTCACACAAAATAACTTGCAAGGCGATCATGTGTCACTGCAAAGTGCTCGAGATAAGACACCATGTGTATGCGCTTTTTTCATATTTTTTATTTGTAGGGCGATGGGACAAAGGAGTCGACCAAAGCGGAGAACGAGTCAAATCTCCACCTCTGAAAGTAGAGGAGATTCGACATCAGTGTTGTGCAAGAGTATTGTGCTTATTGTGTTGTGTGTTGTTGGGTTGTGTACAGAGAAGGTGTTTTGCAAGAGGGAAAGGTGAATATGGGAAAAAGAAAGAAAAAAAAAAAAAGAAAAGCAAAGCCAAAAAAAAACAAACTGGAAAAAAAGTATAAAAAAAAAAACTATCGGTTATCGAAGAAATGTTTTGACATTGCTTATATCCCAATATCTTGATCGGGTCAGTAAGAAGAAACAAACTCGTGCATCTTCAATCGTGACGACAACTTAAGGCCGACGCGTGGGGATGGGGTTGGTGACAGGAGGTGCTGCAGGTGGAACAGCTGCCGCCTGAGGTTTGGGTGGCAACGGGATAGGGCGGTACGATGTTGCCGCAGGTGGTGGCGCCACCGAAGCACTTGGCGGAGGATGACCTCCTCGAGGCTTCTCTCCTCGACGATCATCGGGATTGTAGCCGCCGCCGCCGTTGTTGCCGTGGCCGCGGTAAGGTGCGGCACCACCGCCGTTTCCTCCACCTCCTGCTGGCAGACTGGACCCATGGCGTCCTGAAGGGTGATGGCCATGTGATTGTTGCGCACCGTGGAAGTTGGCGGTAGTGTTGTTGTTGTTACGACGGTCTTGGTGCGCCTCATTTCTCCTCTGGCGGTCGTATTCGTGACTCGCCTCGTATTGTGGCAACCTAACATTGACGAATGATATTGTTAGTTACTGTGTCTCAACTTTCTCGTATTCGACACATGGCAAACAAGACAGGGTCGGTCGATCCTTACATTCCGATCTCGGCAGGCAATGGCTCCGTCCAAAGGTAGTCGTGATCCGAGGCTGCAAATGCTGTCAATCGCTTCTTGGGATCCAACACCAGCAGTTTGTCCATGAGGTCGGCACCCACGATTCCTCCATAGCTGAATCGTTTGTTGATTAATCCGTAAGCGCAAAAAAGAGTATGAGGAAGAAAGTGGTAGCGCAATAAGTAAAAAAAACACGTATCCCAAATGAATACCATGAAACGATTAACACTGATATACATACGGGAGGAAGTAGTCATATACGCCGCGTGAATGAGGCTTCACTTGGTAAATGACACCCTTCTCCTCCAGGCCAGGCAGAGATGTCCATCCAGGCATGGTCTCTTCCGTTGGTGATCCGCAAAGATTAAAGATCTTGTCCAACTGGTCCTGATCCGAGTTTCCTTGCAGAATGGGTCCCCCACACAACATCTCACCAAACACACATCTATTTGAGTGAACAAAAGCATTGTCAGAAGGTATATCTTAATTCACGGATCAAATTCACAATTGCAGTTAGATATCAAATACAAATTGGCTTGGTAACGTACCCAATACCCCACATGTCAACTGCGGGACCATACTTCTTCTCTCCCAGGAAGAGCTCTGGTGGGCGGTACCAACGAGTGACGACTTTGGATGTGTAATCTTCACCCTCGGGCTTGAATGGTCTCGCAAGTCCGAAATCGGCAATCTTCAACGTTCCATCGTTGCTGATCAGCAAGTTTGCAGCCTTCATATCACGGTGAATGATCTTGTTCTGTGATAAGGACGATTGAAGAAGAAAAAATAAAGTCAGCATTCTCCATTACTCGACAAAGATAAGCCGCCTTCCTAACACATACATGTCGACAATATTGTACAGCAAGACTGAGGACACTTACGGCGTGCATGTAGATGGTACCCTCCAAGAGCTGCTTCATGTATAGCTTGATCTGAGGCTGCGTGAGTCGGACACGGGGGTTGTTCAACAGTCCACTCAAGTCGTGATCCATGTATGGGAAGACCATGTAAATGCTTGCCCTGCTTCGTCCACTTCTCGAACCTAGATTAAAGTAAACAATGTGCCAGCTAGGTCAGTAAACACAAGGAAGATAACACATAAGCAACAACGACGTCAACGACAAGAGAGAACGATCATTTACCTGGGCTGACAGCAATATCCAGCAAGGGAACAATGTTCTGGTGTCGCAACCGTTTCAAGATCTTGATCTCGCGCAAAGCAGTGATGGGAACTCCCTCGTTCTCATTGTGCATGAGGATACGCTTCATCGCCAAAACTGGCTGTGGTGTCGGTCCAGCCACGGAGTCTTTCCTGCGCGCCCTGTGTACCTCTCTGTTGTTTGAATAAGGTCAGTCCAGCGATAATCGAAGGTCAATGTCCATGTGGTCCATAGGTAGGCGAAGTCGAAAGAAAATGTTGAGAGCGGAAGAGCAGGAGAAGGTTGTTGAGCGGTGGAGTTTCGTGGTAGAGTGTAGTAAGGTGGGTGGCGAGTTGCGAGGAAGTGGTGCGTTACAAAGAACAGAAAACAGTTAGGAGACATAAATCGTTCATGGTTGTGGCATAAACGAAAAATGAACCCACTCCCTAAAATTAAAAACCACACAAATATTGACTTGCCCAAAGGTTCCCTCTCCTAGCTTGTTCACCAAATCGAACTCCTTCAACTGGGAGCAACCCACATAGGACTTGAGCTATGTAAGGTACAAGGAAAATAGATTTGAGGAGGACTATGTCAGCATATTGAATTCTTTCTTGGAAGCACAATAACACGGAGTAAATACGACAAAAGTTCCGCCACCAGCACAAGGATGGGCAAAGAGGCTAGACGCTCGACGGCGTCCCTGCGTTTGTGAAGACATCGTACCTCCTTTTTGCGTGGTGGACTAGGGCTTCCAGCACTCAAGTTGGGGCTCACGGGCAGCTGGCTGCCGTTGTGAAGCATTGTGGGTTGGCTTCGCTTGACCGCATGGTCCTGCTGGTCCTCGTTAGAGCGCTTCATCGTTGGTTCTTATCGTCCGTTCCTATCCTGATTGAGTTGTTATTTTTGGTTGAAGGGGAGGGTTTTGCAAGAAGGGGTGTAGACAATCAGGCCTTTCGATACTGAGAAGGCGCAAGGCGGGTTGGGAGATAATTTTTGTTGAGATGGGGGCAACTGTCGATTCCTGGCAGCTTGGGAGGTCGATCCTGTTCTTGCTTGACTTGTCCAGACGAGAGAGAGAGGATGAGAGAGGTGGTCGGTGGTGTGTGGTGAGGGACAAGCACGAATAAAGTCCATGAGGTTCAAGTTCAAACCACACCAAAAAAAAATCGACGTCACTTTGGATGTCTTTATTTCCACACTTTAATTCTGTGCGAGGAAGTAATACTGGCCCAACGACTAGTGGGAGGCAAAGGATGATGGTTCGAACGTTCCCTTCCATTTTATATTCGACCAAAACCTCCCACTCTCCGCCCATCAGGAACAACCAGAAGGCACACCGACACATCATGAAACTCAACACATTTATTCTCGCGCTGACTCTTGCCGCATCAGTCCAGGTCTACGCAGAGGTACGCCGCACATGGACACCAAGGAGCAAAGCCCATCATCTCACCAATTCTTATGGCCGTACCATGGATATGCACGAACTCTTGGCCGCTGGGAAATATCCACATTAGTGCAATCATCTCACACCTCGCTTCTTTTATCCATGAACAAAAACAGGAGGTCACCCTCGGAGTGTGGCACAAACTGAGCGACCATGAGTCGTTCGAGAAGCGTGGCGAGATCCGCTTCGACGCCGACCAATGGCACGTCCTCAACCAGCAGCGTGTCCAACACTCTGGCCCAAATGCCGCCTTCAACGCCGCCACGGCCGCCAACTCCAAGGCTTCTCGACTCCAACAACAACAAGCGGCCAAGCAGAAGCAACAGAATGAACTCCAGCTCCAGAACTTCCCTATCACTTATGAGAACATTGTCCCCACGGCCCCCTCGGCGATCGCGACCCTCGCCGACGACTTTGTCCTCAACGTTCGCGCCCCCGTCAAGCACTACGAACGTGATCCCAAGCCCGAAGGACCTCATACCTACGAGGACGGCGTTACAGAGACCCAAGAGGAATTCGATCAGCGACTTGAGGAATGGACTATGCTTCAGGAGGAACTCGACGAGGCCCCCGAGAAGACCCCTGGAACCGTTGCATTCTACCAGATCATGTTGAAGGATGAGAGCCGAGGCTGGGAGGCCTTGTCCTCGATCAAATCTGTAAGTCTCTCTTTCTCAGAGTGTATTTTGTTTCTGTTCTATCCGATCGCATTGAACACCTTTCGATCTCATGTTCTAACCCATTCGTCTAATATTTCGTGAAATATGGTAGTGCTTGTTGGTTGCCTCGGATTTCCAGGAGAGGATCGCACTTCACTTGGATCATGATCGCAAGGTGTTTGCCTTTGACTACTACACCACCAGCGACCAGTGCAGCGAGGAGAGCGAGAAGGAGTACCCCATCAGGTCTCTTGATGTCTTCAAGAACGTCGAGGTTACTATCGACGGCCCCCAGACCGCACCCAAGTACGCCTCATAACCTTCGCTTTTGCTAATTTGGTCACAATTTGTCTGATATATGTGTCTATGTGCCTGTGGTGTCATGCAGAGATACATTGCGGAACATCGCATTCTAACCCAACCGCCTTATTTTTTAATTGCCCGAATTAGGTCTATCTTCCACAAGGCTCAGGCCATCAAGGTCGATGAGACCGGCAAGCCTGAGGCCGAGAAGACCTTCTTCCAGAAGTACTGGTACGTTTTCAACCACCTCTTCACTCACTCAATCTCATCAACTGTTAAGTATTGCTGTTGATGTACTGGCCATCCGATCCAATGCCGCCACTAACTTTCATTCATGTCCTCTCTTCATTTAGGGTGTACATCATGCCCATCGTTATTATCTTCCTGTTCACTGGTGGTGAGCCCGAGAAGAAGGCAGAATAAAGCATTATGTGGTTCAAGGACATTCCTTGAATTGCGAGAGTTACAAATGAAAAACATAGAGTTGGTAGTACTAGTAAACAAACACCCATTTGCACCCCATGGTTACATTACCCCCCATGTTTCAAATCAGACCCTTCCTCGGATCCAACTATGCACCCACTCATGGATAGCATCCCCTCCGCATACACACATACAAGGCTTCGTTTTTGAAATATTATTTCGTTGTTGAAAGAGAAATGACTAGAAGTACAATGGAAGCTGTCGAAAATACCAAAGCTGAACGAGAGAGGAAGAAAAAAATGCAAATAATATGAATGAAGTGAGGGGGGAAGTGGTAGCCAAAAGTAAAAGGAAAAATTGAAAACAAAAAGGTTCGGGATGATCTAGTTCTTTTAGTGTTTTCCGTAGTGTCCGTTTTTTTTTTCTGTTGTCAGCCCTTCGTTTACTTGTGGAAGCGGAAGAAGGTGGACTTCTTCTTGAGCTCACGCCCGGTCAACTTCTCCTTGTTCTTCTTTTTCCTGTCCTCCTTGGCCATCTTGTGCTTGGCGTGGTTGGCATCCTTGCGGCCGCTGGTCGAAATCTTCTTATCATCCACCATCTCTGCGTCCTGGGCTATTTGATTCATGTGTAATAAAACCAATTGATTCTGTTAGTATAAGCCAACATATCAAATCAACAATACTAGTAACTGAATCAGGACATTATGAGAAACTTACTCTTCTCGACCTGCATGGGCTCCTCGCCGCGGGCAATGGCCTCGAGCTCAGAGGTCTTGGGGCCCTGGGCGTCCTTCTTCAGGCGCTCAGCCAGTCTGTGGATACGGGCATCCTCCAAAGGGCCGTAAACGGTCTCTCGCTTGATAGCACGGAATCTGCGTGCGGACTTGGAACGAAGACCCTTGGCCATTGTGTGATATGTATAAGTTTAGAAGGGGGAAAAGGTGAGAGAGAGAAAAGGGGTAAGAGTGTAGGATGTGCGAAGGGAGATGATGGCGGGTTAAAGGAATGAGGGGAGCTGTTTGAGGGCCTAAGAGGTGGAGGACAAAAAAAAAAGAAAAAAAAATAGAAAACAAACAATGGTCACGTGTAATGGCCGTTCAATGGATTCACCAACCGTCACACATCTGCCACCCTGGTGCTGGAAAGTGGACTTCAAGCCCCGCCTGAGTGGCCTTGGCAGCGACCACGTTTGCCCTTCCATTTCACACGCCGTTGAAAAACGAACACACTGACCACTCTCTCTCTCTCTCAAACCTTCCAACAACCACACCCGACCATGAAGTTCACCACCATCGCCGCTGTTCTCGCCACCTTCGTTGCCGTCGCCTCGGCAGCCCTCCCCGTCGAGCCCGCCATCAACGGATTCGTCATCCAGGACAACCCCTCCGTCTCCCAGCAAATCGTCATCGACACCGACCACAACAAGCCTGCTCAGAGTATGTTTTCAACACACAACACACTCTTTCTCCTTCCATAAGGAAGGACCCTGCCTCACTACAGCACAACACCCTTTTCCTCTCTGTCATATCCAGCACCCATACTTCTTTCCCTATATATCCGTCTCACTAACCATCATCACCTCCCATCAATACCATTACCAATATTCAAAAATAGCCCAGGGAACAAAGTCCTATATCGTGGTCTTCAAGGACACAGCAGCCGCCCATGTCATGGAAAACGTCGAGAAGGAGATCCTGGCCTTTGGCGGCAAGATTGGTCTGCGCTACTCGGCCGCTCTCAAGGGCTTCTCCGCTTGGATTCCGGGACCCATTGTCACCGCCCTCTCCACCAACCCCTTTATCGATTACATCGAGGAGGACAGTGAAGGTAAGCAAACACCTTTTGTTCATTTTTCATTTCACGATACTCTCTCCCCCTTGTTGTTTTGGGATATTGACCACCTGATGTATTGGATGAATGTAACGTGCAAGTCGTAAATTATGACGCTCACCTCAACTCCGTTTCTTCGTCATTGCACTTATTTTCCTATACGACACCCGCACCCTACTCTTCTGCCAACTAGTCACTGCCTTCAATGCTGTCTAAGCGCGTCTTTCTCCCCTCTCAGGAGCACACAAATATAACAATGGCGGACAAGTATATTCCCGCCACAATGATCAATTGTAAATATCTGATAATCAAAAAAAAAAAAATCGCAATAAAAGAAAGACATCTTCATAACCCCGAAAACAACGTTGTCTAATGGCTACCCAATTTCATTGCGCCCAATTGGGTCGTCGTGTCTCTACTGTCTCTTCTCGCAGGCATGATACCCCAACGCCACCAATTGAACCTCTCCAGACTCATCAGCTCTCTCTCAGGTTCCGTCTTTAAAACAATCAGACCTATCTATACCTTTCTTCTTCGTCCTCCTTCATATCTTCTTTTTTTTATTCTTTATCGAAAATGAATTATTCGAACTGAACAGAAAGAATTCCTTCAACTGTCAAAGAATCCATTCTCAAAAAAAGAAAAAACATGCCCTGGAGCAAAGTTTAATGAAAAGGGGGAAATACAAGGTAAAGGACGAGGGGTGGGGAGGGGGGTTGCTTTATTTGTACTGTACTTAGAACTTGGCAAAGTTCTTGGCACCCTTGACGACCTTCTTCTGGACCTTGAGGACGTTGAAGCGGACGGTCTTGGACAAGGGACGGCACTGACCGACAGTGACAGAGTCTCCCTGCTGGACACCGATGAAAGCGGGCGACATGTGGGCGGCCAAGTTCTGTTAGGGAAGAGAAGGGCGAGGGAGGGGGGGGGGGGGGGGGAGAAGAGAAATGTTTGTTAGACCTTTGTTACTCCATCATTTGTTTCTTTCGGTGCCTCTGTAATTGCTACGCCCAACCCTAGGGATCGCGTTAGCTGCCTCCTCTCTCTCTCTCTCTCTCTCTCTGCCTTTTTTTTCCAATGCGCCCCATCGTCCTTGACACACAAAAAAACGAGCAATTACCTTGTGGCGCTTCTCGTAACGGTTGTACTTGGAAATGAAGTGGAGGTACTCGCGACGGATGATGATGGTGCGCTTCATCTTGGTCGACATGATCTCGCCGGTGAGGATACGACCGCGGATCGAGACATCGCCGGTGAAGGGGCACTTCTTGTCGATGTAGTGGCCCTCAATAGCCTCCTTGGGGGTCTTGAAGCCAAGACCGACCTCCTTGTACCAGCGGTTGTTCTTGACGGACTTCTTGCCGGCAACCTTGGCGTTTTGGAAGATACCCTGCTGCTTCTGGAAAGCCTTTTCGATCTATTGGTTGGTTGTATAACGGAAAGGTGGGTCCTGGTGGGTCAGCATTTCTGTTGTCTTTCCTTTTTGCTTTCTGGGTACACTATTGCTTTGTGTGAAAGGAGTTGTTGGCGGGTTGGGTTGGTAGTGTGTGTATGAGGAAGCCGAAATTCCATGCTGTAGGATAGGTTTGGTATGGAGTTAATCCAAAGCTGTAACTGATGGCGGTATCAGGCGTTGGTTGTCCTGGTTCAATGGTTGGCGTCCTGTTTAATCGATATTCGATTGTCCCGCGCGATGAAATGGTGGTGCGTATATTGCCCCAGTGTTCAAAGGCGAAAACAAAAACCTCCTGCCCCACCCCTGTAAAGCTGTATAAGGGACTCGGCGAGGTTGATGGGTGGGTGCAGGCGGAACAATTATTTAGCTGGTTTGGTTGGTTGGCTAGCTATCGGTAGTGTTGTCTGTTGAAAAAAGGGCCTCCCAGGTCGGTTGTGGGGTCCAAGCAAGCCATGGACCTCTTGATCCTGAATTGATGTGTGAATGGTCGATGTCGGATCACGATCACCCCACGACAGACTTGGCAGGAAAGTTCCGTCAAGTGGTTCCGACGACCCTGGTGATGTCCGTTCAGTGATGGATCATAGTTTCTGCATGCGATTTAAACATCGACAACTATGATTCTGTTGTGCAGAGTCCTGATTACAGGTGTGATGTCGCAAGTTGGTGATGAAAAATTGCTGATGGTCGATGGTCGTCTTTTTGGTGTTTGAAGGGTTGTTCTCCTTGGGTCTCCTCCTCGTTGAGCGTTTTCGTTGCTGCTTGTCTTTCAAGCTTGGGTTGAGTTGTGCTTCCGCAACTCAAACGCACCTGCTCAGACATGATGGGAAGTTGGTAAAAAAGGATTTTCAACACAATGCGAACGCACACAACTTTTATTGTGATGATTTACATCCGTCCCGTGATTGGCTGCAGCACAAGCCACCCACATCCATCCACTTCTTTTTCTGATTTCTCCCTTTGCCCAATTCGCACGCGTGCACACTCACAAACACACACAAACATATACACACCAACAACCCTTCAACCTCATTTACAACAACCATGGTTCAACAAAAATTGATATTAAGATGAAAAGTATTATCACCAGGCAGCTATGGTACAAGGATAATTGAAAAGCAGAAGAGGCAGAAGTGGCAGAATAAAATTGAGTAGTGGGATATGTACAGGGTTGTAAAGGGAAGAAGTCCAATCGGTTTGGGAAGAGTGCAAAACAAGAGTGTTTAGAACGCACTGCTGTTGTAAACCAGAGAGGACGCCCAGTGGACAATATCCCTGACATTGTTGACGAGATCGTATGCCTTCTGTCCAAGACCGCCGCTCTTCTCGCTCTCCGGGTGGTTCGACGGTGACAAGGACCGCGCTGGTGGCGCTCCTCCTGCCGTTGATGCCTCAGTACTGGCAGAAGAGCGGGTATAGGAGACCTCGGCGATAGCTGCCTCGTCGTCATCGTCAGTATCAACTCCATCCTCTTTGGCAGGTCGGACATAAGTCGTCTCGGATCCTGTGTAGGGGCTGCCTTGGTCAGAACGAGATGGCTCCTCTTCATCGTCCGAGTCGTCTTCGATCTGCATACCAATCATGTTCCCTGCCTTCAGCTTGGTGGGGTGGATCCTGACAATACTCCTGGCAGGGCGCTTGACAGAGATGCGCATCAACAGACCCGCATCCTCCTCATCGTCCTCGTCCAGTTCGTCGGCAGAGAGAGCATCCGTGTCGACTGATACACACTGCTCGACTGAATCGTTGAAACGCAACTTTGGCTGACGATGTTGTTTGTAGACGGCTGTCTCCTGTGCTTTGCTCTTGGGCTCAATCTTGCGATCGAGCTTGAGATCGGACTGGACATGGAAGAGAGTATCGGCCCTGAAGAGCTCTGAGGCGGTCTTGTGCTTGAGAGCTGGCTTGAGTCCGTTTTCAGTGGTCGGTGTCGTTGGTATCTTGGTGCCCCCCGGTACCGTCTGAGCTCCAAACCGGGCCAGATCGAATTCGTCAATGTTGGCCTTGTACAGAGGACCATAGAGCCATGTTGTATCGCTGTCTTTGAGCCTAAAGAATGAGGGAGAGATAACGAAAAAGAAGAGAGTTTAGTTTAAACTGTGTTGCTACACATGGATTGAACCAGAGTTGGTAAAAAGAGAGTTTCGACAAAATGCCGAGAAGATTGTCGATCGGGTGAGAGGGAGGAATGAGTACTGTATCAAGTAAACCGAGTGGTTGCGAAGGAAAGAGCGAAGGATGAAGATGCAGTGTGAGGGAGAAGTGGAGGGAGAAGATAGAGAAGAGAACATTGTCGACAGAGAGGCATTGTTGCACAAGCCAGCCACCATCCCTCTTCTCGTCTGTCTGGTCTGCCTGCACATTCTTTGCGTCTTCTGCCCAATTCGATTGTCTCTCATTTTGCACAGGCCAGCTGCTGTCTGTGGTCATTTCTCGTCTATTCTGTTCTCTGCTGCCTCCATTTGTTTGTGTCCTCTGCAACATCCATCCTTATACAAGTATTTTTTGTCTATCAGTACGTTCATTTCTCCTCCCTCTTCCGTCTATCCGATACAACCATTTGGCCCGTGTGTCCGTCGTCCCTTTCCTTTTTTTATCATCCCTCGCTGTCTCCTCAGAAGGATTTGAAAAGCAAACAAGGATGATAACAAACAACGAGGAGAGATTCGATAGCCCTTATTATTTTTGATCGGATCAGAACATCAATGATAAAAATAACAATAACAATAACAGAGGTAATCCAAGCTCAACGATGATATACAATTCACTTCCGATTTGTATGAGACACATGCTTAAAAGCTTACCAGTTAAGGGTCTTGGGGCTGACGGTCTTGAGGTGATGTCGCTGCTTGGCCCAGTTGCGCCAGGAGGCGTTCTCGAGCCGCAGTCCGTTGATAAGATCGTTCTTTTGCTTCGTCATAAACTTCCATGACGCCGCAATATCATCCTCGTTGCTCCATCCATTGCCCAGGTAATCGATCGCGAGTGCCGGCCGGACGGCGGGGATTAATCGGCCGGCGTCGGTGTCGTCGTGCATCGGGGTCGTCTTGGCAGAGGCTGGTTTGCGTCGGATCGGGGTTTCTGGGTTGTGAGCTGGCTTTGATGATTTCGAGTGGTTTTTGGAGGATGATCTGCGGCGGGATCGTTCACTGCTGACGGAGGAGCTTCTTTGGCGGGAGGAGGTGGAGGAGGTAGAAGGGTTGTTGGAGGAGGAGCTCCTGTTGTGATGTCGACTTGTCGTGGAAGCCATATCAGTCTGTTATTTGTTTTGGGAGGGAGAGTGAAGGAGCGAGGGAACGAAAAGGGTTGGAGTGGAGAAGGTGAATGAGGGGGAGAAAAGAGAGGGTCACAAGAGGAATGAGAAGTAGAGGTGAAAGTGGATGAGTGAGTGAAAAGCGGGAAGAAGGAAGAAGGAAGGAAAGAGAAGGATGGAAAGAGAAGGATGGAAAGAGAAGAAGGAAGTGAAGAAGACAAAAGGGCTGATGAACACAAGGATGATATAAGAAGAGTCAAAAAAAAAAAAAAAAAAAAAGAGACAAAATATAAAAAGTTTATCTTTGTGTAGTCCAAGCCATCGTTTGAAGAGATAACGACATTTCATTTGATTCCGAAGTCGTACATACAACATGCTTGCCTGCCTGCTGCTGCTGCTGCTTGATATCTTCATCTTCTTTGTCCTCATGCTTCTGCTGGCTATTCTTGTACCAATCATCGTCATCCGGCACACATATCCACTACTACCACTACTCTCGAAAAAAGTGTGGAGGAAGAAGGAAGACTCACTCATTCATCTCATCTTTTTTTTTCCTCTCTCTTTCTCTCTCCCTCTCTCTCTCTCTCCATCCTCCTCGTCGCTCAACCAATTCTTTTGTTTGTGTTCTTCCTGTTGCTGTCGCCCATGCAAGGTAAGGGCACCCTCTTTCATATCCCAATCCTTGTATCTCCCCTGTTCAAACAAAATAAACATGTGGGCTCGGGCCAGTGCTTTTTTTGGCCACAGGTTCATTCTCCTTTTTGCCCTGAGTCAACTTTTTTTTCACTCACTCGACTCAGCCAGCCCATTGAGCACACAGGGTAACAAACCACATTCTACTCATTTGCACAAGCAAAACACAAGAGAGTAAGCACACCCTTTTCTTCAATGTTGTGCTTCTGCAAACACACAGAGGACGATTGATCTCCTCTTCTCCTCTCCCCACTTTCTGTGTCATCTAGCTCCTCCTTCCTCCACAAACAAGCACACGACTATCCTCATCCCATCGACACATATCGTTTTTTTTTCATTTCACATCTCTTTTTTTTGTTCTCTCTCGCTCGCTTTTCATCCCCTTTTTCTTTCTTTTCATTGTCTGTTCACGTTATTACAGCCCCCAATGGTTGTCAGTAGCTAGCTCATTTTTCGACTTGTCTCTTGAGTTGACCGGTGTTGTTGTTTATGCTTAGAAAATATATGATCTCGTCTTGACGCCTTTCTTATCCTCCTATCCTTAGGATTCGAAAAGACGTTCAGGGCTGCACTTTGATTTTGGTTGGTTCAGGCAAAACCCAATAAAGGAGGGCAAAAAAACGCGCGCATTTTCTATTTTTTGCCTTCACCTCCTCTTTTTTATGGTAACACGTTCATCAGTTTTTATCAATCGCCACCCTACGAAAGAGTCTCGTCCATGTTCCAACGAGAAGCGATCAAAAGTCCCAATTCCATAACCCACAGCCTGGCAACCTATTGATGGATATGATAACCCGGCGATATACACTCCAGACCAGTCGAGATGCCAATTGCAAATGTGTATGCTTTTTTTTATGACGGGAAGAAGCAGAATTCATCCAGCCTGCACAGCAGTCTTTCTATGCCTCTTTTTTTTTTTTTTTTTTTTGATTGACTTTTCTTACAGTTCCCTTATCTCTGGGCGCAAAGAAAAAATTGGAGATACAACAACGACGACAAGCTCCTTTTTTTTTTAGCTTGACTTGCATTTTTACCACTGCTGCATCGTGACAGAAAGAAAGGGGGCAATACCATTGTAGCTTGTTGCTGAGGCAATAATGGACCTCCCCATTCTTCCTCACTCACAAAAACTCAAGCCCAGACCCTTTGCTAGCTTTGTTCCATCTCAACACCTTTTTCTTCTTTTAAATTCCCTAGATCTGAACAATAACAGCAACAACAACAACAACAACAACAACAACAAAGCAAATCAAGGTTGGAAACAATATCGATCAGGTTCACACGTGTCTGTGGCTATGGCTTTGGTCATCGGTCCCCCTCTGGGGAAAATACCCTTGCATGCGGGGTGAGTCTTTATTTTTTGATTGGTCTAGTGAGGTCTGGCCCCTTCGGTCTTCTTCTCTCTTGGACGCCTGTTAGCTATCGGACAAACCCGGTCAATTCCTTCTCAGACTTCTTCCGAATCCTTCCTGTATTCTTTTCTAACTATATATACCTGCCTCAGTGGCGTGCTCGGCATAGAGCGGACTCTGGTCGTCAACCCTGTGCTCCTAAGCGCGATTATTATTATTATTATTTTTTATTTTATTTTTTTGGCACTAACAAGTGTCAAAAATATGCGCATTACAAAACAATACATAATAATACACGCGTTCTTTTTGCTGAAATTTTTTATTGTTTGTTGTCTGCATGCAAAAGCTGTGAAAAAAGAGTTGTCCTTGATCTTGATTGACAGACACTCTGCTGCTTTATTCAGCACGCTTATTGGCAAGAAAACGCTTCAAGGACTCGTCTTCCATACGGTTGCGACGTTCCTCCTCCTCAATCCGGAAGCCCTCATAATCATCATTTTCCGAGTCGTCGTCGTCCCTGTATCTGGGTTCCCGACCATCATCATCATCATCATCATCTTCCTCCTCCTCCTCGTCATCCTCATCAACAGCCATACCACGCAATGGCTTCTTGCCCTTCGTAGACGTATGACCCCTACCACCAAAGCTGACCTCTGTACCCTTCTCGTCCATAGCCATATCCTTCATCAAACGAGCCATCTGCTCCTCCTTCTCCGCCTCCTTCTTCAACCGTCTCTCTTCCAGTACCCTCTCCAGTTCAGGCTTGTATTCTTGATCATACTCCACAACAGCCTCATCCACAGCCTTCAAGAAATCGTCCATTCCGGCGCCCGTCACAGCACTGACACCGACCACCTTCAAGTGTGCATAAAACTCGTCCAGGACCAGCGACATCGAGTTCATCAGACTGCTCATGTACGTCTTGTCCTTCTGTAACGCCTCCTGGAACGACTCAAAGTCTGTCATCCACTCGACCGCGAAATCGTGGGGCTTGACATCGGTCTTGTTGAAGACCAGGATAAAGGGCACCTTGGTCTTATAGAGAATACTGCAGGCGTACAGCATGTTGCTCATGAATGTTGCTGGTGCTGCTGTGCGCGGGGTGTCGATGATGTAGGCGATCATGGTCGGGTACGTCGCTGCCAATGTGTCTGTGATGATCGATCCTGAAGCCGACCAGGTGAAAATCTCGATCTGTCCAGGCGTATCCACCAAAATGTAGCTAGTTTGTCACAGAGTGAAAGTATAATCCAGGTCGGTTAGCTTACATGATCTGTCTGACGAGTACTCGATTCCTGAGACAGAGTATCAATAAAATGAATTGTCGCTTACTCCAAAGAAGGCGCTCTCTTATCGACGAATCCAAGAACCTGGTCAAACTTTGTGGTAAATAGGTTAAGTGCCGTCAAGATTCCTCCGTTAGGTCCAAGGTTGTACCTAATTGCACGTATGGGCATTGTTACATGTCAGTGCTAGTTAGTTGACGAGCTCATGGCAACATGGCAAACCTGTAAGCGCAATCACGCCAAGTAAATAAACGCGCCGCCGCCGTGTTTCATCCCGGACTAAGAATGATAGATAGACAGATATCAAATAGGGTTGCATAACGTACTGCTTCATGACCTCCTTGTAGTTGACAGTGTCGCGGATATCAATGTTGGCAGTGAAGGGGAGAGAAGCGACAGCAGGGTCCAGGTTGAGGATGTAAGGTGGCTGCTTCTTGGCGTGCAAATGGGCATTCAAACGCTATTATTACAGTGCAGTTGTCAGCGTATGATAGTTAGCATTCAGGTTTCTTCAACAGTGATAGTTCCTGAAACGAGTTTCCCATACAGCGTAGTGAGCCTTGTTATGGCGTCTTGGTGTTATCCAGCAACACAAGGCAAGGTCGTGCAAGTACCTGCATGAAGGTTGTCTTTCCAGAGCCAGCCATTCCGATGCACAGAATGACGGGAGGTCTCTTGTCTCCTACGGCGGGAGCCGTTGTGTTTGTGGCAGTCGACATTGTTCTTTTGTTTCCTTGTGTGTATGTTTGTCCTGATGAGTTGGTCGTGTCTGATGCAATGGTCGAAGAAAAAAAGCGCAGCGTGTAAAGAAGTGCGAAGAACAACAAAAGAGAAAAAAGAAAAAACAAGTGCGCCTTTTGAATGTGTTTACAAAGCAACTTGGTTCGCAGTCACAAGGTTGGCTCTAGTTTTTTTTCAAAAATGCATTTGGTGGCAATGCTTATGCATATACGCTGAAAGACCCTGCTGAGAAAAATATACACACACTTCTGACTGGGAAAAACAACGACGAGGGATAGAAACAACTACTGCACATAGAACTCATCACATTCACCAGCCAGCCACTTTTTCATTATTTCATCTTGTATACACTGCCGCATCGTTCCCCGGCATTTGACCTTTTCTTCAAATTGCGCCTGTACTCCTCAATCCGCAGGTTGTTGCCCCTCTGTGTATCCCTCCTGCGAGTAAGTGACAAATACGAAAGGAACAAGGTAAAAAGAATGAAAAAAGTGGTATGGTCGCATGCATCGATGGACAGGAAGAGTCCTTCACCAGGCTGATCTTTGTACGTTACATCATTATGCCTAGATCACAAGGGAAGTGAAACTAGACGTGACGTGCGCCCGATCAACGATCCATTCAACCAAACGGCAGGTAAATTCCTTGACGAGTACTTTTGAGGCCTGGGAAGAGGAGGGATCCCACCCCGGTATCGCATTCACCCACGCCTGCTCCCTGAGACAGGGCAAAAATGAGATTGAAAAAAACTCTATCATCCCAAGAGGCTTTGCTACATGCTCACCTTCTATCGTTCATTCCTTCGCCCCACCCCTCGCTTGCGTTGACTATTTCGTCCCTCCTGCCTCTTCGTTTCACTTCGTTCTTCAAGGACACTTGAACACCTTCACCCAACCGCGCCTCTTTCTTTTGTTTGATATGGGCTGTGCACCCTTTCTTTCCTACAAAGCGTGGGACCAGAGTTTATTTTTGGCGACTTTTGTTCCCTTCTGATTTCTTCGACCCTTTTTTTTTCCTTCAAGAACACCCTGAATCAGAGCCATTGATGTGAAAGGTATAAAGATAGACTTTGTTGCCCACTTTCTCAACACAACACTTGTTCGTTTTTACCATCATCTTTTTTCTTTTATTTGTTCCTCTCTCACCTCCTTAACGTAGAGCGTACATTCCTCTTCTTCTCACCTGCATCTATCCACACGTACATACACACACACAGACCCTCTCTCTTACCTACAAACAAGCACAGAACAATGAAGACCTCACCACATCGATCCACCAAACGAAGACACCTCCGCCGCAACCATCCCAACAACCAACTCCTCATCATCGACACTTCCCTCGGCAGAGAAAAACAACCTCTTCCTCCTCCTATCCCTCGTCGTCCAGCACTCAACATCACAACCCTTGCTCCTTCTACAATCGCTGCCGCTCAATCTTATCACCAGCAACAACAACCTCCTCATCTTCATCATGAAGGCCCACCTTCTCCACCTGCCCACCTCCGTGCATCTATCATCATCGCCCCTCCACCATCATCACAACAACAACTACAACAACTGGCAATCCCGGCTCCAGCCCATTTTATCTTATACACACCTTCTGTACACCATCAGCACCAGCAAATGCAACAACAGCGCCAGTCCATCTTCCAACAATGCGCAATCCACGCCCCCGCTATTGCTGCAAAAGACTCTTATTCTTCAACTCACTATGTCCCAGCATACTCCCTCCGCCCACACCAACAACAACAATACCTCACCACCCGAAACTCAATCCGGAAACCAGGACATCGCTACTCCACCCGCAGTTATCAGCCTAGGATGAATCAAGCCCCTCCTCTCACAGAGTTTTGGAATGATGGTAGTAGTATTGATAGTAGTAACCGGGCTTCAACTTTATTCGAATCGCCAATGAAGTCCTCGAAAGGCTCCTGGAGTCCGAAGAAGATCTATCAGGCGTTCAGGAACAACGGTACTGCATACCAGCAGCAACAGCAACAACAAGTGCGTCTTCGTTCTGATCCTTCAGCCCCCGTCAATGAAGACGTGACGCAGCCCATGGCGAAGACAAACATAAGGTATATTAGGAGTGTAATCCACGATTACTATTGATAGGAGAGGTGGTTTTGGCGTTATTGTTTCTGTTTGTCTGTTTGTTTGTTTGTTTGGATTTGGTTTGGAGAAGGACCATTTCCAAGGTGTGAGCAACGCGGGAGGTTATACCATAGAAGAGGAAAAAAACTAATAACAAAACGCGTGCGTTCTTTCTATTATGTATTATATGTTATCTGCGCCGTCTAGCTGCATTCACTTGGGCTTTGCGGCATACATGATCACAAGCGTCATGCTCGCCTACAACGGAATCATGTCCGTCCTCCTCCTCCAAGCCAGCCGTGTGCCCGATGGTAAGCTTTTGGTTTTCGTAATGAATAAGAAATGAAATAATGGCAATGACGAAGAAGTGTTTGCCTAGCGAGCAAGGGGGAAACACGCTGAATAGAAAACAATAGATAAGGGGGCCATGATGTGCTTTGTTTTTGTTTGTTTTTGTCTTCATCCGCATTGCCCAACCCACTCACACTTGTCTGCTTCTTTGCTCACTTTACTCTTACTTGGTAGATACAAACGTACCGATATTCATCTTCTGGTTAGTCTACCTATTCACAGCCATGCTCTCCATCTTTGGCTTCCTCGCCCTCTCCCTCTCCTCCTGGACACTCCTCAGAGTCTTTCACATAATGTACCTATTCACCGCCGTCCTCACATTCACTCTTATGCTCGCTTGGCTCGGCGTCAACAAACAACAGACTGGGGCCTGGGATCGCATCTTACTCGACCATTCCTTTTATCCTTCGTCACTTTTTACCCCTTCAATTGCATTTGAACAGCATGAGATTTGGTTGAAGAATTTTTTGGTGAGGGATGCAAAGACGGGGACGTGGATTATTTCTGTGGCAGAGTGGATCTTGGCGTTCCTGGGGATCTTTTTGGTCCAAGTTGCTAGTTGGTACTGGGTACTGTTGGCTTATGATCGTCAGATGAGGGATCGTAGATTGAAGGAAAAGAATACCAATGCTGGTGGTGGTGGTGGCGCACCTCGCTCTCTGCCTACTGTCTCTGAGAAAGTGTAAACCCCATCTCGCACTTTCATTTTTTTTTTATGATTTGTACATGGACGAGTAGTTCGAGACGCGAAACGCGTCCAATATTGCCTATTCTTTTGTTTTCTTTCCTTTTTTTTCCCCATTATCATTTGTACATTAGCCATCACGTATATACCCTCATTGCCATTATGTTTTTCACTCCTTCATTGTATTCGTATTCAATCGAAATAAAAACCTTGCTACTACTTCACTAAGATAATAAAAAAATAATGGATCAAAAGAGACAGAGAAAGAGAGCATCCTAGTTCTCCAAGGCAGCAACAACAGGGCCACATCGTCCACAAAGAGAATCAGCCCTCTGGGCAGTGAATGTCCAGCAGCGGGGGCACTTGAACAGACTGGCCTTCTTGACCATCAATCGATATCGAGGCCCATTTGCGTCAGCTTCTCCTTCAGAGAACGATGTCAATTCCTTCACAAACACGCCTGCGCCAGCGTTTGATTCAGGCGTCTGAAATTCGTCCTGCTGGTGCTTGGTGACCTTGACCTCTGAGGTGATGAACAGTTTTGAGAAATCCTCGGCATACGTCTCGACAACTTTGCTCCAACCCGTCGACGAAGCTGACTCCTCTTTCCCTTTCTCTGACGACGATGGAGAGAGAACTTGGATCTCAACAGCGGCTTCAAGAGACGGTCCAATTACCTTACTCGCGCGCGCCTGTTCCAGAAGCTGATTCACCTCCGTCCTCAACTGTTTCACCACCAAAAACTCCTCTCTCACCTCAGCATTATTCCACTCCTCGGGGACAAAATCCAACCAGCCCGTACGGAAGACTGTCGGCTGCTCGGAGGTGAAGCATTCACGGTAGCGGTCATAGACCTCTTCGGCGAAGTGTGGGGCAAGTGGCGCAATGGCCTTGTTGAAGGCTGTGAGGACATGGAAGAGGACCGTCTGGATTGCTCGGCGGGCGGGGCTAGACTCGGCGTTGGAGTAGAGGGTGTCCTTGATAACGTCCAAGTAGAATGAGGAGAGCGTCGTGCTGCTGAAGTACTGCAGCTGGCCGTATACTATTGGGCGTAGAAAGAAAAAGCAATGAGGCGCGTCAGTAACTTTTTCTCCATCCAGCTCACATTTCAACTGAGCGAGTAAAGAATAAAAAATGTACTTCAATGTTGCCCTGCCCTTTGCTTACCTTTGTTGAACATGAGCTCGTCGTAGCCGGCATTGACGCTCTTGCAGAACTGGTATACCTCCGAGAGCATAAACTTGTCCAACCGACTCAATTCCTCATAGGGCACCGCCTCGGATTCCTTGAAGCCCTTCAAGTTACCCAACATAAACCGAGCCGTGGTTCGGAACTTGCGCATGCCCTCAGCAACCTGCTGCAAAATAGTCGATCCGATCGCAATGTCCTTGGTGTACTCGGACGACGCCGCCCAGAGTCTCAGCACGTCCGTGCCATAAGCAGGTTCCTTGGCCAAGTTCTTGCCACCGTTGATGACCACCGCCGGGTCGACCGTGTTACCGACAGACTTTGACTGCTTGAACCCCTTGGCGTCCAACAGGAACCCGTGTGTGATCAACGTTCCAAAGGGTGCCTTGCCAGTTAAGGCGACAGAGGTCAACAATGAAGACTGGAACCAACCACGGTGCTGGTCCGATCCTTCACAGTAGACATCTGCAACAAAAGGGAGGTGAGGGCGTGGCATTTTTTCCTCGATCATGGTCCAGCTGGTGCCGCTGTCGAACCACACATCCATGGTATCGGTACCCTTGCGGTACGTGTTTCCATCATTCCTGTACTGGGGCGCCAACAACTCCTCAGTCGACAGTGACCACCAAACATCGGCGCCATGCTCCTTGACCAGATCAATGACATGCTGGACAGACTCCCTTGTCAACAGGGGCTCATCCGTCTCGACGTTATACATCACAGGGATAGGAACACCCCACGATCTCTGACGCGAGATACACCACTCCGACCTCGACAGCACAAATCCCTCCAAACGACGACGAGCGCCCTCGGGGACAATTCTGACTTTCTCGATCGCCTTGAGGGCGTCCTCCTTGATGGTGCCGACATTTGCGAACCACTGCGAGGTCGCGCGGAGAATGACGGGTTTCTTGGTCCGCCAATCGTACGGGTACTTGTGGACGTAGACCTGCTCCTGGATCAAACTGTTGCGAGTGACCAGCATCTCCAGGACCTTGACCGTACCGTCTGTCTGAACAGGGAGTCCCTCGAGTTCAGGACCGGCCTCGGCAGTGAAGACACCGTTACCATCAACAGGACAGAACGCTTCAATGCCAAGGGGGAAACAAGCCTTGAAATCATCCATACCATGACCGGGAGCGGTGTGGACAACACCAGAACCAGAGTCGGAAGTGACATAGTCTGCCGCAATGAAGGGCAACGACGTCTCGCCCGTGAGAGGATGCTGGTAGCGACTTCCGACCAGATCTTGCCCAGACAACTGCCCAAGGGTCTCAAAGACGACTTTGACGGCGGCGTCACCGGTGGTGGTGGTGGTGCCAGTCTTGGGCTTGGGAGGGGTGAAGCGGACCTTCATCTCATCCATACGATCGGTCGCGGCGAGGTAGACGGTGTTGGGGTCCGTGGCAATGCTGGACTTGAACAGGGTGTAGTTCATTTTGGGGTGAACGGCCACACATCTGTTGGCCGGTAAGGTCCAGGGTGTAGTCGTCCATACTACAGCCTGTAAAGATACCCCAGGCGGTAATAGCGATAACAGCTTGTCCGCTATTGTTTAAGCATGAAAAGATGCATTCAATGTTAGTGGCTAGTTCATGAGCTACACATTTAAGACACACGGACATCCTGACATTCCAATAGCAACAAACAGAAACTCACAAGGCTGATCAACGAAGAAGGCAACCCAAGCCGACCGCGATCGATGATCATCCTTGTACTCCAACTCGGATTCCGCAAGCGCAGTCTTGGACGAAGGGGACCAGTACACAGGCTTATTAGCCCGATAAATCAGCCCCTTGTTCATCATCTCATAAAAGACCCTCAACTGACGGGTCTCAAAGTCCTTGTCCATGGTCTTGTACCCATTCGCCCAGTCGCCCATCACTGCATAGGACGAGAACTCTTGACGTTGAGAATCGACGGCTGATTGGGCGGTTGCCTGGGCTACTGCGCGGACCTGGGTCGGGGAGAGGTTGGACCGGTCCGTGACCTTTAGTTCTGCGAGTGCCTTGAGTTCAATGGGGAGGCCGTGGCAATCCCAACCGGGGCGGTAACTATCGTTGTTATTTTTAAAGATTTGTGTAAGCAAGACATCATGGAGCGCACTGATCACAATATTGAAACTCCTCACTTCAAAAAGTGACAGAATGACAAACGAACAAACGATAAAACAAGTAAAAAAAGACACATACTCGACTTGAAAGCCCTGCATGACCTTATGGCGGTTCACAAAGTCCTTGATAAGTTTGTTAAGTGCATGACCCAGATGCAAATGTCCATTCGCATAGGGGGGGCCATCATGCAAGACAAACAACTCTCCGCCATTGTTTTCGCGCTGCCAGGCGTACAAGTCTGTGGTGCAGCGTTGACGGAACTGATGCTCGCGCACAGCGGCGTCGGCCCGGAGGGGGAAGTCGGTCTTGGGGAGGAGTAAGGTGGGCGCGTACTTTTGGTCGGGCTTGTTCTTCTTCTGGTCCCTCTTATTGGAAGTGGTAGTCATCATGGGAATGGCGGCGGGAGCGGTGGCGGTGGTGGTGTTGGTCGCCTGAGGGGTAGTGGTTGCTGCTGCTGTTGGGGGTATAATAATATCGTTGGATGCCATGGCGGTCAAAGAAGCAGAGTTCAAAGTTGTAGTGTTGGGTATGTGTGAATGTGCGTAGTGGTTGTATGCCTGACTGATTGTCTGGATGGGAAGAAGGTGTGTATGAGAGTGAGGGAAAGAGGGAAAGAGGAGTGTGGGAAAGTAAGCCGACCTTTATACTTTTTGTCAGTTTGGTGGCGAAACATATGCTTACTCACCAATGGCCAATGGAAGGGTGAAGAGTGGGAGAGGGAAGGGAAAGGGGGCTGCGCCGCGGATGTGTCAGTTGAGTCAACAGCGTCAGCAATTGAAATTACACACTTTTGGTCGTCGTTATCACGACATGAAAGTCCGCTGCTGGTTCAGGTTCAGGCTGAAAAAGAAATATTAATACGAGGAAGGGAATTAAGGGCGCTCTCAACTTCCTCTTTTCCTTGTTTCCTTCAAGGGGGGCTGAGGGAGGAACACGATCGAGATGACGGTTCGACAAGGTGGGAACTCTATTGTCTGTTGAACTAATTCACTGCTTACTCAGCGGCATAGAACAAAATAAGGTCCCGCTCTGGGAACTGCCAACTGCATCTCCTATCCCATTCACATCAATCCTACATTGGGACAAGAGGCACACCACTGCGAAAGGGAGCGGAAAAGGAAATACCACCTACACGTCTATCCTTCATGTCATCGATATGTGTCACTATATAGAACCACGTTCTAGGGCGCATTTCTTTAAACATTTTTTTTCCATACACAATTTATTTCTCTGACAAACAGCACGGAGACGGCATTCAGAAGTAAAAAGGGACTACAGACCAAACTCTTCAGTACACCATCCGCCAGTTGCAGTCCGGTCCGGAACTTGGCTCTGTACAACAATAGTCGCAGCTTCTAGCAGCGTAAACGGAGGACAGAATAAAACTAGATACGAACAAAAGGGATTTCTCCCCATCCTCTCCATCATTGACAACCTTCTTCCCAACAAACTCTCCAACAGCCGCTCGTCAGCAGTGCGTGGGTCCTTGGTCGCTCCAGGGCACGTTCCATCGTCATGTGTGGCTAGTGAAGCGCCACACGGGCAGAAAGCATCGTGGGTGATGTAACTGTATCTTTGACTCTAGTTACCTCTGGGGCCTGCGTATTTGGATGCCTTGTCCTTGGCTGAGATGCCTTGGGTCTGCTCCCACGCGATCGTCGCGGAGCGGATCTCTCTAAACCCAGCTCGCATGTCTCCGTACTCAGTCGGTCCAATCAATCGCATCACGATTCTCCAGTTCTCTGTCTCTCACAGTGTTCTCCCCTGAACCAAAAAAGCGAGTAGGCGGGCGAGCCTTTTTAGCGTACCAGTCAAGGGTGTCAAATACGGCTTCCAGAAAAACAGCACCATGGATTTGACTGTGAGCTCAATTCCGGCTTGGTGCGATTGCATTTTCGACATGGTGTTTTTGGTATGTTACTAAGGGTTTATTCTCTCTGCAGTCGTGAACAAAACATGATGAATAATAAGTTTGTTTTTGTTGTTGTTCCTCCATGTCCTGCAAAAAAAATGTCAATCCGAAGCATTGAGATATTCTATTGTTATGGTTTGTCGTTGTCGTCCTTTAGTTGCATCCCCGTACAGCTATTACATCCTGCTCGTCAAAAAAAGATGGTTTTCGTTTACTTGACGAGAGTGGCAAGCTTCTGCTCGATCTCCTTTGCGCTGAGTCCGTCCAAAACGATCTTCTTCTCCTGACCGTGCTCTATTGTTCCACGAAAAGTAACAAGACAATATATTTAGCATTGGCGATTCTGTTTCTTCGTTTCAAATTGTTGCAAACTGCTGCCAAAAAAAATGTGTCAATGGCACACCCGATTCCCATGGCGACTCTTTGTTTCCCCGCCTTTCAATGTCACATATCGCCTTGATATTTTTTTTCCTCGACTGTAAACCCACTGATTCAAATGACGAAAAGATAACGTACCGAAACGAGCAAAGATCTTAGCCTCAGCACCCTTGGCCTCACGGATAAGGATGGGGAGGTTGGGGTTGGCAGCCTTGACCGCGGTGTAGTTGGAAGCAACGAATTGCCTAAAAAAAAGTAATACCAATGCGGACCACAGGGATGGCGTTAACTTATGTTGCAAAAGACGACATTCTCCTGTAACCTTGATGATCCTCGTCCTGTAAAAAGGCAGCTTATAAATCCAGTCCTGAACAGCTGTCCAGCACCTTCCTGAATGATTTGAGTCGTTCCCTGCCCCGTGAAAAAGTTTGTTCGTCTTTGACAATTGCCTCCCTTTCGGATTTGTCCAACGGGAGAGCTGGGGTCGGTGTATGTGGTTTCCTGCTTTGCCACGATACTCTTACTCTGACTCTGAACGTGAATTCATCCTCCTCCGGCTAGGGTGATGAAAAAGACTCCAAGTCCTGCTCCTGCACCTCTCCATCAGGAATAAGAGCAACAGGAATGAATAAAGTATCTCCTGGGTGTGTGCATGCCTGTTGCTTCGAGCTGATCCTCTCGCCCATGCTGATCCGATCCGTGTTTATTTTTCCAGTCTCCTTGTGTCCCGCTGATGCCGTCTGTCTTGTCCTACTGGTGCTTGGCTTTTACCTAATGCCGTTGCTGGCAGGCGAGGTCTGGCAGAAGTGGACACGAAGTTCCTTGAGGCTCTTTGTGAAGGCGGACATGGTCGGTTATATAGAGTAGAGTGGGGATGTGTGAGTGGTGATGAGGGGACGGGATCTCGGAGATGTGGTCAAGTAACGAGGCAGGAAGTCCGAAATAGGCGAACAGATTACGTCACCGAAGACGCATCTGAGCGTCCACACCCTCTATCCGCACTAATTGTGTGTGGACGAACACGCAGAACTAGTGTCTAGATAATTTCACTGAGGTGCTGGTGTCGCTGCTTCTGGAAGGCGCACCGGAGGAGCTGCCGGGCACCGTTCTGGAAGACGTTGTGGCGGTTGACGAAGAGGTTGTCGGGGTTGGGTCGGATCCATCACTTGGCACCACTTTCTATGGGAGAGAACCGCCAGCGGCCACGGGGTGTAGATACTCAGGCCGCTCTTGTCGACAAAGATATATTGGTCATGTTTTCGGCAGCCATAGCGTCGCGATGTTGGTACACATGGCAGTGAGGGCAATAAAACCTCCGCATGTCAACTTACCCAACGAAGTGTCCACAGACTGGGCACTTCTTGCTGGAATAATACTCATTCAGACGGGACCCCTTGTCGGCAATAGACGGCTGTCGGCCCTCAGGGATAAATTCCTTCTCCTGCTCAAGCCGCCGACGGAAGTGAATGGCGAGCTAGTAAGCAGCCTTACTCTTTACAGTCAGGTTAAAGAATAATGATCTACATGGCTCGACCGACATAGCGGATGGGTCTTGTAGTGTCCCGGCAATGACTGGACCCAAAGACATTGCAGAGGAGGCGCGCGGGTCTTTTAGTATAGTGCTATCGGACTCATCGCCAGTTACCAGAACGCCTTCCATTTACCCATCGATCCTATTCGACTCTTTGGCGGCTCGAGAGTGTTCCAGCGGTAAGGGTGCAAAGGCTCCAATCTACACGCCTGTCCGGCATCAAGGGTCAACGTTTTAATCTTGTCGACGGAGACTCTGCCAGAGCTTCTCAATGTCGACCTTGCTAGAAAGAACATCCGAATCATTTGCAAAAAATGGTCCACACCACCGACCGTTGAGGTTACCCTTAGCGGCAGGCGATCGTCGCGCCATCGTCCGTATCTTACATCCTCCAGCTCCCGCAGCCTGAAGGCCAGAAGTTGTACTCGAAACCCGTCCGTGCGGATGGGGCCACGTCAGGCATATCCTTTTTTTTCGATGCGTGGGCGGGATCTTTCGCCGCTGTACCGGACACGGATTGACTATTCTCGGTTGTTCGGGACTGGGCCGACTTTACATCCAACAAAGGGTTCTTGACAAACTCCAAATCCCTTCTGATGTCCACTGGCGACCTCAGCTCTACCGCCGCACGATGTCCTGCCTTCTTGCGCTGTCGATTGGAGAGGCCTTGAGGCGCGACAGTACAAATAAACCGCTGAATAATGAATCCCGGTGGTTTTCCTGATATCCAACTGTAAAGGTCGTCGGTAGATATCACAACTGTGCTATCCATTGCCGCCAACTGTACAAGCATTCCCCTCAGCTGTTCTTTCTTCCAGAATGCCAGCTCGTGTTCACTGAATGTGATAGAGGGCCGCGTGGAAGTTGTGACCAGCACAATATTTCGACAGTTGTCTGTAAGTTGGCTCTTGTTTGGACAGTCGCTGCCAGAACTCCCTATTCCTTCATGATGACCATCTAAGATTACTGCAAATGCCACCAACATTTGCAGGGAGTTCAACTTCAGGAGCCGTTTGAGCTGCGCTTCACTGGAAGAAAGCCATGCACTATACAACGTATAGCGTCCTGCTCCCAGCACGTCGTCGTAGCGACGCAATGTGTAGAAGTCCATGACTAAGCCCCGCCCTTCTGCTATAATAGGATAGCTGTCGGCAATATTTAGTCCTCTTTTCTCCAAATCCAGAAGAATGGCGGCATTGAGGCAAACGGACTTTCTCTGCTGTTGTTGACATACGGCTTCGGAGACATGCGTTGACTTGAACTCAAAGACGCAAATCTCGTTTTTCCAAGTGTGATCCGCGTGTATCCGAATACTAATATCCACTTTTCTTCCACAAATGTACTTATTCGTCCGTCCCAAACTCCTCCTCGACTACCAAGCGGAAATATCGAGCTGCCGTCGACACCAGCTCCCCCCTACGTTCTATAACGATTTAAAATACGTTAATGTGTCAATTCAGTCATAACTGCACCTGGTGCGTTTTCTTGATATCAACTTACGGTATGGGGCGTATTTTGCTGCCATAGAGAAGTACGTTAATATGTGTCCAGGTAGACACAAAAACGTGTTCAGAGGTTGGGGGTACGAACTGCTCTGTGGTCAGCGATGGGCAGATGTGGCACACGCTCATGGGCACCGCGTGAACTGCTTTTTGTTCTTTGGCTTTTATGCCGGTCTCCTTGACTGAATTTCCAAGAAGCTCCCTGATCTTGGCTTGCAATCCTGTAAGCATTGTCTCAGCATATAAATCTTTATCCAGACCAGGACACAACCCCAACAAAAGTTCCGACAATAACGCTTCAATGGCCGGCAGCCTTAATGAGAGCGAAGGTACTAGTGACTCAGACTTAATCATGGGTGCAAGGGTGAACGCCTGTGCTCCGAGTGAGAGGGTATTGATAATAAAGATCACTAAATAATATTTTAATCGGACAACTTGAATACAGCGCTTGCAAAGCAGACCATTGAAACAATAAAAAAGCTACTGAAAATAACCTACAGCGCGCCCTAGCTAACTTCAGACGCGTCTTCAAGTTCTTTTTTAGCGCGCTTGACCATTTCAAGGTGGCTTAGGAGGGAAGAGACTGTGGAAAAACAGGAAGAGCCACGGTCTTGCCTCGTGTCTGTGAACGAGAATACTCAGTTTTGATATATTGGTGGAAGCGTTTAAAGCGTAGTGTGAACAGGAAAGCGCCACACTAACCTTCTTGAAGACATAGGGGATCAGGTCGTAGAAGGGGGTCAACTTTGCACGCGTAAGTTCCTCGTTGGTCACGTCAACCTCACCAGGGTCTCCATCTTGCTCGCGATCAACGGATATTTTGCTTTGGCTTCCGGCAGCGAGGGTCTCATATAAACGTAATTGTCCCCAAGGAAAAATGATGTAAGGATTAAAAGACGATTGAATGAAATTAGAGAAATCAGGGAACCTTACCTGCAATCTCGGAGGTGACCTCCGCCTCTATCTCAGTCACAATGTCCACATCCACATAGTTGGAGTTCAAGTCAGAAGGGTATCTCTGGAGCCCAGAGTTTGCTTCCTGAAGACTTGCTTCCTGAATCATAACCGCCGACTTCTTGGCCGCAATGGCACTGTTAACAAGCATAGCGCGATCTGCCCAAAAAACCTTCCTTGTTCCGTGCTCGAAATGTGTTGTAGGCTTCACGAAGTTGTTTTCGTCGACTTTGGCGAATGTGATGGGATTCAATAAACGATAAGTACGCCTCATCTTGAAGAGGCAGCACTTGGGATACAAGCGTGACCTGCGCGGGAATGATTTGATCCATTTGCTACAAGGCGCGGTGGAGATAGACTTTAGGGCCCGCCACTTCAAGGCTGTGTATGGATTGAGACCCATGGTACTCTCGGAATATGGCAAGGGCATAAACATGAAAGCAATGGCGCTCCCATTCGAGAACGCCAAGGATACGGTTACCGATATCAATGATGATGGAGAAGTAATAACATGTTGTCATTACTGTACCTGACATCATCTACATTATTAGTAAGAATACGGATATTACCCACCTTCTTTCCTGTACCTGTGCTAGTTACGTCCAACGCAAGGTGCCATGCAAACACTTTCATCTGGAATTGCGGATTTGCAAAGATATGAAGATCTGCTACGATGGAGGTGTAATGCCTTCCCAGCTGTCGGATAGTTTTGGCACTGGCAACGTCAATTGAACATTGGTGATTTTTGTAAATTGATCTTGGTTGACTAGTTGCCAAAACGCGTGTACGGAAAATTCCCTGATCAGGGCGAGGCGCGTTGGGTGATCAAGACCTATCGAAAACGCAAAAGATAGAGCAAGAAGAGGCTGCAGGGGGAAGAGAAGAAGAGAAGGGTCCAGGCACAATGGATATCTATGATATATGATGTATGATGTATGGGAAGGAGAGAAAGAGAGAGAGAGAAAAAGGCGCGGCAAAACGCCCCCAGTTCTCCTCATGCTTTACCTCCTGCCTAGTTTTTTGTTACTGTCCTCCTTCCCTCTCTCTTCTTGCATCATTCCCTTCCTCTTCCTCTACTTTTTTCGCTCATCTTCGACGCAGTAGATCCAGGCAATGGTCCGATAAGTATTTGTTGTCTGTCAATCCTTGACCACATCCAATTCCCCGTGTTTTCAGAAGCACGATGACAGAATCAAACAGCATGCAATGCACAGAAAGTCAATCTCAAGAACACCCAAAAGAAAACATCCGACAATGGGGGGACGGTATGCGTGTAACACCCATTGTTGTTGCTTACTATTCTCGAATCGTTATGCAGAAGTAAAATCAACATACATACACATACGCAAAAGATCCCATCGTACTAGTTATTTTTTCGTTACAACAAAAGCGCGCACACACTGCGCACGAAAGCGCCCGGAAGAAAAATAAAAAAAGAGAGAAGATAAATATCTAGTTTGACATGGAAGTGGTTAGAAGGTGTTGAGGTGTGTGAAAAAGAAAGAAGGAAGGAAGGATGGAGGAATGGAAGAAAAGAGAGCTCAATGGCCAAGGAAACATTCTCGATGCAAACAGTGCACTCTCTCGCTTCTTATTTGTATTTGTTTGCGTTTGTGCACGGTTGTTGATGATGATGCTTTTGACCCCTAAGCTTTAAAACACGGGGCTAGACGCCCTTCAAAACATGGATCCATGTGGGAAAGGAAAAGAAGTGGGAGGAGAGAAGTAGGAGGAGAAAGTAGGAGTAGGGAAGGATCGCGAAAAAAACAACTCAAGGTGAATACGCCCTCTCGGCAACTGTCGTATATTGTTGTCGCCTTTTTGTGGAAATGCTCTTGTTTTGAGGCGTGTTGTGCCTGCAAGGTGCATAGAAGAAGAGAGATATCTGTTTTTTTTCTTCAGCTCGGGCGCACTGCATTGCTACAAAGCGAGTGAGCGGGATTCTAGAGTTTGAGCATAAAGAATGAAGTATGAAAGAGTTCAGGGTGCCTTCTTTGGCTCTTTATCATGATGCCTCATGGGCCAACAAAGTTGGCACGAGCCATGGTCATACTTCATGGAAACCCTTTTTGCTTTGTTTCTGGGTATGCGAATGATCAAGGACGACAAAACTGAGCAGAGAATAATATCGAAGAGAAGAGGAAGCCGTAGCGAACAAGATAGGAAGGACAAAATAATGGCATAGTCGCGCTTTTTCATTCACACTTTTCACGTTCCACACCATCAGCTTGTCAGAGCAAAAAAAATGGAAACGCAAAAGTAAGGAAATGATATCGATAGCTCCGAGACAATCACGCCTCACGTTATTTTCTCCTCGCAGGTGAACAGGACTCTTAGAAGGACGTGACAATGACAGGGGGAATGGGATGGCGAGGGCTGTTTTCTTATTTGACAGTTCTTTGGCGGGTTAGTATGTCCTAGCTCATGGCTGCCTATCATTGAGCATCTGCCATTTATCAGTGACCATGGACCATGGGCTGATATCCACATAAAGAAACGCCCTGTTAATGCAATGGACCTTTTATTGACAGGGAGGGGTGTTTTTTTGTTCTTTCCTAGATCAGCACTGCCTCGACCATGGCCTGACAGCACAAGCATTTATACAACCTCCTTGGCCAATTTCAGTCATGTCCGCAGGGCAGATCACAGACAATCAGGATTCAACGGGACAAGGAGGTTTCCTAGATTCCAAACAAGCAACAAGGAGCCAGCATGAGCGAGCAAAAAAAATGCTAATTGGAAAAGGAGGTTTGAGTGGGAAAAGGACAAACAACAACACAATAAAAAAAACCACACTACCGTTCTTATTGACCTGTTACCTGTTTTTTTCCTCTCCTTTCTTTTCTTCTCCCCCTTGTGCCCGTTCAACGCTCACTGCGTTGTTATTGCGTCTCGTTGTTTATGTGTGTGCGTGCATGCGTGCGTGCGTGGCCATGCCATGATATGTCCACATAGTCCACCATCTCGTTGTATTCACCCTCTCCTTTCTCTCTTTGTATGTTTTTCCTCCCTCTCCTCATTTTTTTTTATTTTGCGTTTGATTGTCCTCGACGATGGGTCAATCCCTTTCTTTCTCCTCATCTTGCCTCATGGGATGTCAACGTGCCATGGTGTGAGCTACTTCCTCTCTCTCTCCCTTACCCTCGATATACTGATGCTGTGTTTTTGAACCCCCCTTCATTGCCTCAGAGACAACGAGGCAAAGAAAGAGAATCAAGGTGAAAAGGAAGCAATGATGAGGTCTCAGAAAGACGTAGGAGAAGGACGAGGGGGATGAGAAGAAGAAAGAGGGGCGATATCGTGGGACAGAGGCAGACTACACTTTTTTTTTGTAGAACTGTGGCCATGCAATCACCCACAAATCTCACTCGAGCATCCGAGTTCCAGTTACACCGTTGCGCGGATAACAACAGCAGCATACATTCACTCACATAGGTCATTGTTTAAACGCTCTTCGTCTTCTCCAACATCCTTCTGTTGTTCTTTGTTACTGGTTCAATGGCCTACTTGACTCTTCTTGTTGGTGGCATGGCGGATGATGATATAGAGAACAACAATAAAGGCTCTCGTTATCCATTGTTCTCTAGCCCCATCCCATCTCATCCCATGTCCCCATCCTGGACTTGCTCCGTGCTTTCGAACACTTTCTTTTCCGTCTGTTACATGTTCACTCTTTCGTTTTTGATTTCATGGTTTTCTGAGCCATGCTTATTTGTTTGTTTGTTTGTTTGTTTGTATGTGTCTAGTGCTTGGCCCCTTCTTCCTTATCCCTCCTCTCCCTTCTCTTTCCCTCTTCTCCCGTCCCTCTCCACCCCTTCCTTCTTTTTTTTTTCCTTTCTTCAAATCCACAACCTCAATTCACCATTACTTGTTATTTCTCTTCTTCCTCTTCTTTTCTTTTATCTTTGCTCTTCCTCTGCAAAGTACCAATTGCTCGCAACACCCTTGCCTTGTTTGAATCATTGGATGCATGCTGCAACGTCTTTTCTGTAGTTGCTTTTTTTTACAAAAACCTTGTACAAACAGATCCTAAGGAAGGAGTTCTGCTATCTCTTTCATTCTTTCTCTCCTTCTCTCGCCGGAGGCCAAATGCATATACACACACTCACAAACAGATTTACATATTGTGACACCATTGTAAATCTGTGCATGGTACTTTCTGTTCTCTTGACACTTTCCTCATAAATGAAGGTCGGAGTACATTTGTCTTTCTTCTCTTAGAATCTCCTTCTCTCCCTCTCTCTCTCTTCTTCTTCTTCTCTTTCACTCTCGTCTTCTCCTTCTCTTTCTCCCTCCCTCTCTCTCTCTCTCTCTCTCTCTCTCTCTCTCTCTATTTATCTATCTATCTTTCTGTCCCTTTCCCGCCTTCCCGCTCTTACACCCCGCACATCCCCTTTGTGTGGTGTGGATATAACTCATATACCCTACGTATCTTTGTACATTCCTCTTCATCCCCTCCAGGTACGAAAAATGGTTCACTCGCGCCGCCATGCCAAAGCAACGTCCATCGTCTTCGATCAGAGCGGGTTTCTTGTCCTTGTGGATATTCTTCCTACTAACCCATCTCCCCCTCCTTTCTTATCTCGCTCTGTCCTCATCAATTACAGCTTTCTATCCTTTATTCCCTTCACTTAATATATAATCCTTATCCCTACCTAATAGGCACCTCATTCTTTACTACAATGCAACGCTTTCGATCCAACTCGTCATCATCGACGTTAGACAGCCCCCTCTCACCGACCTACCTCTCCCACATCAGTCCTTCACAATTCACCGCAACCAACACTAACAACGACAAATTAAGCACAGCAAACGCCAACATTGTGCCCAACAGCACGCGTCGAGGAGGCCCTATCAATATCTCTGCGCCTTCACTAACCTCACCTCCTTCGAGTCTGCCTCGATCAGCCTACGACCCTCCACCAACTCCAACTTCTCCACGGCTACCTCAGTCTCCCATTAGCAGCGCAGCCGGCGCGATGAAGAAACTCTTGCGGCGGCGACGTGACCACACCGGCGACGAGACTGGACTCGGCATTGTCGGTGTTAGTAGCGGTGCTAATAATAGGAGCACGGGCTACGAAACTGCTATTAGATCGCCAGGTGGCCCAGGTTCGATCCACTCGTTTGTGATTGTTGGCGGTGAGGGCGCAGTGGCTGCAGGCACCACTATTTACGATCTCGAGCCGCCTTCACCCATTTCCCCGTCAACAGTGTCGACAACACACATGATCTCACCCCCGTCATCATCTTCCGCTTCTACATCCTATTCATCGACTACTCGCCCCTCCTCTGGCTCTATGGGCCCCCTTGTCGGTACGACTGGAATGATTAGTCCCAGAAGTCCAACCTTTCCTCAGTCGATGATGACCCGTTTCTCCGCAGGGAGGGATCATCAGCAACAGCACATGCACATGCAGCAGCAACAACAGCAACAGTATCAACAACAACAGCAGCAGGCACTCCCTGCAGCACATGTAACACCTTCCCCCACTTCAACTTCACCTATCTCCATTCCTGTTCGAAGTCGGTCTCGTCATCCCTCAATCCCAAACGCCACCACCGCCACTGCTCCTGCTACTTCCCCTCTGGTGTCGGTCATTAGTTCTCCTGGCCAGGTCCAGTCTTTGTCACTCTCCGCTGCGCACCTTCATCGACGCCACGATCGACGTTCCCTCTCGACCGACAACCTCTGGTCTGATAAACATCAACCGCCCTCCTCTATTCAGACTACGGGGTCGAATCCTTCTGCAGCAGCCATTGCTCCTGACATGCCAATTCAAGTACCTTCTTCTGTCGATCAACAGCAGCAACAACCAACTGTCTCATCGAAATCTTCATCGCCCGTATCGTCGGATCAACATGGTCATATCCAAGGAGATGTCGAGTTTTTCAAAAAGTCTGTCGAGTTCTTGAGGGCCCACCATAGCCGCCACAACACCGCTGACGACTGGGCCAACAGAAACAAGCGCAAACCTCAGGTGCCTGTGAGACGCCAGTCCGAGTCTTGTCTGTTGGACAGGATTGTCGATAACCATATCAACGACAGGGACAGCTCTTCCAACACCAACAACAGGAGGACGGCTATCCTGTCATCGTCTGCCCCTACCAATGAGGAGGGTGAGGACAATGAGGCGGAGGAACCTAGAGCGTTCGGGCCTGGCAGTTGCTGGAAGGATCTTGACCCGACATATCCGAGTATGATGGACTTTAGCCAGCTTGTTGACGATAGCAATCGATCGTTGCTCTCCTCTGTCGACATCATTCTCATGCCGACCATCTCGTCTCCCACCCGGTACTACGACTGTCCCCTATCTCGAAAACTCGTGTGCACATACCTGACCTCCAAGGGCCGCGAATTTGACGAGATGATCGAGTTTGGATTCCCCTTGACCTCCATTGTCGATGACAATAAGACCTTGTCGCCTTCGTCTTCGAGGGATTGTCGCTTCTTGACACTGAGATTGACATTGACACCATGGCATGCTCGCGCGGACGAAGCCAAGCTGTATGGATCGGATGATGCTGCCGTTGTTGCTGCTGCTGCTATGCCGATCAAAGATATGGTCAACAAGTTTTTGTCGAGGACTTCTGCCAAGCTGTCGTGCTCACCCCCGCGCATTCTGTCGCTCCTGCCTGACCGCAAGCTGAGTCTCACTCCCGATTCGTCCTTGGCCCATCAACAGCAGAACTCATCTTTGGACGGCGGTGCTGCTTCCCCTTCGTCAGCAACATTTCCATCCATCTCTCAAACGCCTCGCAACTTCTTCGATATGTCAGCAGGCACAGCCACCACTACCTCGCAATCTAGCTCTTCTCAGCTCCCACCCTCTGGTCCCAGAAGCGCCAAGATCACCAACAGCGGCGCTGTTTCTCCTGCGGCTACAGGAGGTGCTCTCCCCCCTTATCGAGACAAAGGCCTCTGCATCATGGGTCCTTCGATCATGTCCGCCCCGATCCCACTCTCGCTTTCAACTGCTTCGCCATCTCCATTGTTGAGAACAGTCAACTCTGCCGACTATCTGAGCATTGATCCTTCTTCTCCTGTGATAATGTCGTCCCCACCCTCGACACCATCACCTACGACTGCCTACTCTTACCAAACGCAACACCCTTACAGCCAACAGCGCCTCTTACCTCCTCGCAAAGGTTCCTTGTCAGCCATGTCCAGCTATTACTCTCAGCAGCAGACACTTTATTCGACTGGCTCTTTTGACGACTTGACTTCTCAGCTGTCACCTCCACCCGCTGTTCCTGCACGTCGCAAGGCTTCCTCCCCCGCCATCTTCAACACCACCCCTACTGCGACAGCCGTTGGTGTCTATCCTGGCAATAACAACAACGACAGCAGCAGCAACAACAACATCACTCATAGCCCTCGTTACCAGCACCTCGCACCAACCCCTCCTCCCGAAATGATGAACCCCTCACCCCGATCCAGATCCACAACCCCCTTGGTCAACACCATCAACAATAACAACAGATCCAACAAATTCTCAACCTCGCCTCCCTCGCCTCAACCCATGCCTGATCTCACAGCTACTACAACCACAGCGACTCCAATCCCAATCCCAGGCGCCAGCAGCGGATACCCTCACCACCGGCCCCCCATCTACGGCACCAGCACACCATCACCACCTGTAGTTAACACTGCCCCATCAACCACTTGGTCAGAAACGGATGTCTATGGAGCACCTTCTGCCCGGATCGCCCGTCCGCGCCGACATGATTCGCCTGAGCAGCTTCACTCTCACTCCCACTCCCACTCCCTTCAGCAGCAGCAACAGGCTATGTCATCTCCTCCATCTTCAGCCTCAGATGGTGCCACGGATGCCTACCGAATGTACATTTCTCGGACGCAATACGCTCCACCTGTCAATAGCCATTAACCCTCCTCCCCCCTCTCTTTTTTATTTTTGATATGCCTTCTTTTTTTTTTCGTATGGCATGAACTTAACGAGTCTGCGTTCTTTTCACCTTTTAATGCATCCTTCCACACTTTTGTCAAGGCTGTTCGTTCGTTTTTTTTTTTTGGTTCACTCTTTTCACACATGCACACGCACACCCTCTTTTCTTTTTCTCTTCAGAAAAATAAATTATGAAACAACAAAAACAAAAAAATATCTGTGTACCCTTGGGTTGATCCGTGCCAACCTTTAAACTTTCAGGCACCAAACATATCCCAGATCCCCCTCACCTTCAAAAATGAACAATGGCGACCCTAGGAACCCCCTAACCAGGGGTTCCAAAAAGAGCAAAAAGAGAAGCTCCCTGGCGGGGAATTGAACCCCGGTCTTCCGCGTGACAGGCGGAGATACTCACCACTATACTACCAAGGAAATGAGCTTGTTGAATACGGTGCCCTGGGGCCAATATTTCAAGTTGGAAGCGGAAAGTGAACGTTCTTGATCCCAAAGTTCGGTATGTCACGTGATCACTCGCACACGGCGGCTGCCCCTGGCTACCTGGAGTGTGGGTCAAAGGACACAGCAACATCCATGGAAACGAGCTTGCGGATCAGGCGGCGAAGGTGGCAGCACAGAGTGGTTCGGTGCCCGTGATGGTGGATCTCACTCAACAGACGGATATCACAACCTTTGCACATTGTTACGGCGGGCTTGTTGAAATCGATCTACGTCAGCTCCTCAAACAACAATCGACAATCCGTCACCATCAAGCCTGGACATCACAGAGACGGGTCAAGATGGCGATCCCTGACATCGAGGACGTGGAATGGAACTCGACCTTGGCGTATGTCCACGACAGACATGCAGTCTTCACTTTTTACAGCAACAGCAAGGACACCCATCAACGAACACATCACATCAAAAAGCTGCATGGAATGCTGCCCACTCTGAACTCCATGCAGGCTCGCAAGCCCAACCTGTACCCAACATGCGTGTGCCGACGATGCGAGCTCGAGAAGGAGGATAACGATCACGTCTGGAAATGCCCTTCGGCAGCTGAGACCACCACTGAGATCTGGAAGGAGGCCATGGGCAAGATTAATGAGTGGGGTGTGCAGGCGACAAACAGCTACAACGCAGCCAGGAAGCGAGAATACAAACGCGCGGTGGACAGAGGTCGTCAGGTACCGAGGCCAGTACCCATACACTGGTGGCCCCCTTCGGATGCGGATCATGTAAGAGGATTTTCCTCCATCAGTGGAGCTCGAGTCGTGCACAGCGGTAGTCTTGCTCCCGATCGAGACGAGAACCCGATGTGGAAAGTGTCGGATCTCCTCCGCGGCATTACCCCCATGAGCATGTTGACTGAATGGTTCGCGGTCTTCCGGACCCCAATGTCCATCGCCAAGACGGTCCTGCACAGGTTTATTGGCTACCTGGAGGCGCAGGCCTCGGAGCTGATCTGGACACCTCGGTGCTCCGAACGATCGCGTGGGAACTGAGCCAGGGTATCTCTGCCAAGAACAAGATATCCAATTACACAGGCCTCCGAGGTGACTGGAATCAAGGATACGGTTACATCACGCACGATGGTTTCTGCCCGTGTGGCGCTTCGCTAGCCACACATGATGAAGGAAGGTGCCCTGGAGCGACCAAGGACCCACGCGCTGCTGACGAGCGGTTGTTGGAGAGTTTGTTAGGAGGGAGGAGGTTGCCAATGATGGAGAGGATCTTTGCTGGTGATCAGCACTGAAGTAATAAATCTAATAGCTTGCTAGGCGTCTCCTTATATTTGTTCGTCTTTCCCCTATCGCCGTCAATGCCGCTGCGGAACTTTTTTCTGTTCCACGATGTTAGACTTCTGTATACTCAATGAAAAACAACGAAAAGAAACTCGACACCCATCGTCATTTTTCCTTCTTTTCCTCCTCCTGTATTCAGAGAAACGAATGTTTTATAATTTTTCTTCTCGCCCTGGGTTCAAGGCGTCTCCTTGTCTACATAGGAGTTTGCTTTCCCGCCTATCGTTAATGCACGTTGAAGATGTAGCCGGACCTCGTGGTTTTGAGGAACACAATCGCACGCGCTCTTTTGGTTCCCTATATTTTTTTTTAGCCCTTGTAGCATTAATGGAGAGGACCGCATTTCCATACATTCTTTGTGGTCCTTGATGTTGTTACAAAAAGATGTGGTGGCTAGGCAGTGGCGGCGATGCCTTAGGTTAGCAGTCATATTCTTTAGTAGACATAGTATTAGTAGTGCGCCGAGCCCTCTTGTCTGCTCTTTGTCCTTTTACACATCACTTCTTGGACGAGAGCAGTATTGACAAGAGTTTCGCTGGCGCGCTGCATTGTATCGTTTCGTGTGATTCTTTTAGGACGCTATTATCACTTCCCCCCCTTCCAACCTACAACCCTCCTTCCCCCCCCCCGTACCAATTGAGGACTTAACAGCGGTCCTACAACTCTGGCCGTCGACCCTCTCCCCTGAGTAACAATGTGCCTCCTTATTTTTTCGGTGCTGTTCCTTTCTCATTTTTGCGCACTGGCTCTTTTTCTCTGTAAAAAGAGGGCGTGAGCGATTTGACGCTTGGAGATAAATACCCAGACACCCAACTCTAAAAAGTTCAAGCAATCAAAATTCCCTCTCCCACAACTCATCCACTCAAACAACCAAACAAACAACCAAAAACACTCCCCCTTCCCTTTACTTCAGGATATACGACATATATTTTCTCTTTGCAAGGTCCTTCTCCTGGTCGTCATGGTCGCCACCGTCGCCCCCTTTGATCTGATCAACAGCAACTACAACAGCCTCACGATTGCAATGGCCGCCCCTATTTCTGCTGTCGATGGTGGTGCTGGAGCAGTGGGTGTATTTGAGGAACGAAGTGTTTGCGACAACAACCAACGCCGCGATGATTGCGTCAAGGACAAGGACGTGGATTACAGTGATGGATCCTGCTACGAAAGCGTGTGTCAATGTGTTCCTCTCTGAAGAAATAAATAATGGAAAAAAAAAAGGACACAGAACAATGAACGAATGTACTGTACAGTGCAAGGAATAGTTACGTGTACCCTTTTTTTTTTTTTTTTTCGGCGATGATCGTTTTTGAGACTCTTAAAGTTATCAGATAACCATCATAATCATCACACCACCACCCCATCCGTAATTCGGCAACTTGAGTATTATGGATCAGTCGTCAGCCCAAACACAATTTCAGTAACTCCTGATGCCCCAAGCATGCAAAACAGTCTCTCTCTCTCTCTCTCTCTCTCTCGCAAAAAAAAAAAAAAAAAAAAAAAAGCGCGCAAAGCCAACTCTTAAAGCTACGCGCAACAAATGAACGTGTACAGGCACGCACGGACCCAAAGACATGAACAAATGCAAAAGTCTCATAACCCCTTTTTTTCTCTTCCTCCATCAAACTTGTCGCCAACGCTATGGTCACCATTACCACTCTCCTCCTTGGCACCCCCACCAATAATCGTAACCAGAGTGTTAACCACTAGCGACCCTGAGTCAAACGATGACGTCTGCGAGCACTATTGTTACGACCCAGCTACTGAGTTTTTTATTTGGCGCATGCAAGCGATTTTACACGTATTAAGAATACCTAGGCTATTCAATACTTGAAAGCGCAACCTTCAGTTGTTTTCCATCACTTCCATTCCTACCTTGTTTTTTTTTATCTTCTTTATCTATCTATATATCTCTCCAAATACACCGATGCTAGGGTCCCATACATGTTTGTTATGATACAGCATTTATTGTTTCTTGTTATTTTCGAAAATAGTGAGTCGTGATATAAGGAGGAAGGTTGCTAAAATACATGAAGAAAGGTAGGAGTAATAGGGACGAGAAAACAGGAAAAAAAAGGAGAGGGGCAAAAGGTGAAAGAAGGGGGGGGGGGGGGGGGGGTAGGTAGGCAAAGCGATATTACCAAGGTATGGAAGGGAGTGGATATGGAATCCACCGTTTGTGTATGTGTGTTTGAGAAAGATGCATAGCCAAAAAAAAAAAAGTCGAGAAAACTCTTTACATGACCTCCTCCTTGATAGGGTGGGGGACAGCGTCAGAGTTCTGAAGTCCCAATCCTGCAACAATCTCGGCGCTCTCGCCACGCTTCTTGCGACGACGGACAGCGTTGCCTTGAGTCGAGTTTGCAGATCCCATGCTCCGCTTCAACGGTGCATGGACACCTGTGCTCTGGTGATGAAGACGTTCATCCTCGCTGTCATCCATGCCGCCAAGTATAACATCTTCCTCCTCTGTGCCCGATTCCTCGTCTCCAGACATGTTGTTCTTCTGTTGACGGTAAGCGTGGCGATGGTTGTCGGTACGTCCGCTCATCCGAGGAGAGCTCTTGAGACTGCGCGAGGGAGATCCAGTTCCGCTGCCGTTAGCTGTTCCATTACTGTGTCCGTTGCTGTTGGCGACAGAGGAGGTAGTCGAAGAGTTGCGCAAAGAGTACTGCTCAAGACCATTGGACGATCCAGGCACGGGAGCGCCAGGGAACCCGCCAGGCATACCACCAGGGGGTGCGCCGGGGAATCCAGTAGGCGCCCAGCTGGGCAAACCCTCGCTGTTGTTCTGAGGGTTCATTCCGACATATCGCAGCTTATCCATCCAGTTCTCGGCCTTGTCAACCGAATCCTTGAAGATCGAGGCAACCGACTTTAACATATCAGACGATTCATGAGCCAGGACCAGCACCTTGGTGGCGCGTTCGGAGGTTTCGTTCAACGCCGCCTGTTGTTCGGGACTGCGGTCGGATTGGGGGCCTAGCGAAGGCGAGCCCATGGGAGTCGAGGGAAGGGATTCGTTGTTGAGTGTTGCCCAGCGAACGGGCATCGAAAGAATGAATTGGCGGACACTGATCTTGGCCTGGTCGGGCAGACAGGCTCCTGCGTATCGAGAGACGACGTTGATGACTTTACGAAGCGTCTCGACAACCTCCTTCTTAATCGACGCCAACGTTGAAGCCGCCGTCGAAGGCACCATCGCTGTGCTGGATGATGGGCTGGCCAACGAGACCAAAAACGCACGCAAAAGTCCAATCTGATGATCAATGTGTTGCACCGCATACTACACATAAAAAAAGATGAAATGAACATGTTAGTTTGGAAGTTACACGGTCGATAACACTTTCTTTTCTTGCTCCAAACTCGAATAAGATGGTTACCTGGAGCCATTGCAGGCAGTACTTGAGACTCTTCATGCTCTCCTCGCTAAAGATGGCCACACCGGCGGCAGAGGCTGTTCCGACTGTAGCAACGACTCCCCTCCAACCCGAAAACTGCTGCGAGGGTGCCGACGAGTGAGTGCCGACCTGTTGTTGTTGCTGCTGTGATGGTTGAGATGACTGCTGCTGTTGTTGTTGAGGGTAATAGCCATTGGCAGATCCAGGGTACTGGAAGCTACGCTGGCTAGATTGCGAATCCGAACGCTGTCTCAACGTGGCTAATGATTGATAAGTGAGAAAAGACATAGTGGTGAGTTGCTTTCGCTCTCACTTAAGGTACATGGATGTTAATTCTCATAGAATTCCTAGTCCTACCTTCTTCATGGCGTGTGTTGCGAGCGCGGAGGACATCAAAGCTGGGTCTAGAGCTGGTGTTGGAGGATGTGCTGTCAATGCTATCGCCGCGTGACCGATAGGCATAGTAGGCGCCGTTGTTATCTGGTCGAAGGATGTCGTTTGAGGATCGCGCCGAGCTGGTAGGCGATGGCAAGGCCTGGGCATCTGATTTTGCTGGGTAAACCTTCTCGAGCTATTTCAATACAAGTAAAAAGAAAAGTGGTGAGCAAAAAATTATGAAGAGAATGTGTAGTCTAGACTCATGGCCTGCACAGCAGTATGGACAGTGACAAAAAAGGACAGAAAGGGCGAAGGATAGGAGAGTCAACTGATGATGACCCATGCACACATAGACATACACATGAAAGAAAAAAGTGATGCTGCATGCATAAACAAGTCCTTCCTTCTCCTTTTCCACCCCTGGATAATGCTGTTGTCACATGCGTCTCAAGTAGGTCTCTGTAACAAGTCACTGTGGACCATGGAGCGTGGTGAACATATCATCATACCTGGTCAAAGACTGGCTTCGAGAGCGACTTCACACTTGACTCGACCATCTCGGCACCGTACTAATTGAATTCATCAAGAGAGAGAGAGAGAGGAATGGATAACTGGTTAGTTTGCAGCACAAATGGCAGAAGTGGTAATTTCGAAGAGAGGGCGCGGCGCACAGCAGAAAGATAAGTAATTTGACACTTCTAGGAATGTGCTCCCAGGTTGTTGTGTGCTTATCGTTGGCATTCAGGAATAAATGAATTGGAAGGGATAGAAGAGCAATAGACAAAGAGAGTGCAATGCCCAGACCACAAACAAAATAACAGCAGTACTGCACCACACAATCATAAAATCCTTTCTAATTATTAAGTGGACAATGAGCCATGAGAGCCGACGCACAACAACGATGACAGCAGCAGCAGCAACAACAACGACAACAAAAGTCAGCGACGATAGATTGCCCTTCATCTCTGTCTCCGCCTCTCTGTTCTGGCTGTCGACCCACGCCCTTCGTCTTGCTGCATCGATGGGCATTGGTACAAGCCGGCAATTGCTCACAATGAAAAGAAATCTCCCTATTATTTCTCTCGTTTATACTCTCGTTCCATACCCCCACGGGAAATAAAAAGCTACCAAGCCAGACGAGAGCATGCTCTCTTTGTTCTCTCTCTCCACTGATATGGCCCAGTGACTCCGCGGGTAAAAAGACAGAGAGGAGAGAGAGTATGCGTGTGTGGAGAAGGGACGAGCGGGAGGGAGGAATTGAGGAAAGGAAGAGTAGGGTGCTGGAGCGGAGTATGTCGTTTTACCAGGCCCAATGGGCTATGGAATGAAAGCATGATGAAATTGCGTGATAGTGATTGATGGGTGTGCAATGGTGGAGGTGGAGGTGGAGAAGTGTTGTATGTGGAGTAGAGTGAAGGAGGCTGAACACACAACGTGTGAGTTTGTGGTAGGGGAAGAGTAGGTGTGCGGATGAGGGTAATACAGTCAACAAGAAAAGAGTAAAAAAGAAGAGGAGGTGGAAGAGAGGCCAATGCACAATATCATGAATGTCGACAGTACTCTCTAGAGAGTGCGAAAGAAAAAGAAAGGCTGTCGCCGGCGACGCATTGAATGGTGATAATAATTCAATGGGAAAAAGGGGACATGTGTCTGCCAAGGCGCACTCTTGTTGGTTGTACATGTGTCTCTGGGTGGGAAATCGACTCTCACTGTTTGTTGATGTTGTCATTGTCGTATGTGGATGTGCACATGTGTCTATATGGTCGGTGGGTTCTTGTTCCTGTTGTATACGAGGGAGAGAAAGTGTCATGCCATCCTTGCACTCACCCTCTCCAGCGCAGGCCATGGAACAACAGACACAGCCAGACCCCCACTCACTATCCCTCATACACTCTCATCATTATCCTTTTACCCCTTGCTCCTTGTCCTCTTTGAGAATCATCCGCCCTACAAAACCCTTTTCCACTAAACCCCCTTCTTCCCGTCTCTTTCAAGGCCTCCTCTTCCTGTTTTCTTTGAATAAGAAAAGTACATGACAAATCGGGGTCTTTTGGAGAGAAAACAAGATAAAGGGAATGAATGATGATGATTACCTTCATGACTTTGCTGTTCTGCTTTCCGGACTCGTAAGCCTTCAAGGCCGAGTTGACGAGGGGCAAGCTTGACATACGAGAGATGAACGGGGTAGCGGGAGCGACAAAGGAGGAAGAGGAAGAAGTGGTTGTGGTAGTGGTAGTGGTAGAGGAAGATGATGAACGGGGAGCAGCATTGGCCATATCGCCAAGAGCCTCTGCGGCGAGTTGCTCTGCAGGGTCTGGCACTGACTGTTGTTGCTGCTGACTCGATCGAGGGGTAGTGTCGAATTCTTCAAACTCGTCGGATGAGTTGCTGTATCTGTGTTGGTTATTGTTGTAGTGGTTGTTGTTGTTGTTGTTGTTGTTGTTGTTATCGTTGCCGTTTCGATAGTGCTGTTGCTGTTGTTGTTGATAATGGGGTTCGGAGTTGTTGAGGTCAAGGGGATCCTGGTCAAGTTCCTGCTTGACAGTGGTAAGGTTGTTGCGGTTGAAGTCGTCGTCCGAGTCGTTCTGTTGGCACAGCTGCGATATGGACATTGGCTGAGCCTTGGTCGATGGAGCTGGAGGCATTGTTGTTGTTGTTTGTGTTGTGAAGGTGAAGGAAGAGAGTGTGTATAAGAATGTGTATAAGAGTGGTATGAGTGAGTGAGCGAGTGAGTGAGTATAAGGGAAGGTGTGTGAGATTGGGTTGTTGGGTGAGGGCAAGGAAGGAAGAGAGGGTGTGGGTGTGGAGGGGGAAGGAAGAATAGAGAGGGCAAGAGTGATGATTCGACTCTGGGTGAGGGTAAGGAAGGAAAAGAAAGCTGAGTGAAAAGAGAGGGAGGGAAGGATGGAAGGAAGGAAGGAAGAAGGACGATATGGACCGAATCAAAGTAAAAAAAAGTGTGAGTGGAATAAGAAAGAAAGAAGGCCAAAAAAAAAAAAAGGCGGGTGGGTTGGATGGGGATTGAAGTCAGAAACGACAAAGAGAGAAGAAAAGGAGCCGATTTTGTGTGCAGCATGTACTATGGGTGTGGGAGAAGTTGGCAAAAAAGTGTGGGGGAGGAAGAGAAAAGACAACGACAACGACAACATTAACAGCAACAACAAACAACAGCAAAACACCGACAGACAACGGGCTTCTCTTCCACAACATGGATACACTAACTCACTTTCTCAACTAACACAACCGACCACCCTCAAATAGCTACTCCACACTGCTCATTGCCTTCCTTTCTCTTTTAGTCTCTTAGCGTGCTACGGTATGGTATGCATCATCAACCCCCCACAATGCCTCCTTCGCTTTCATTTCCTGCTTTCTATCATCTCTTCATTCATTTGTCTCCATCGGTCTCGTTCTCTTCGTTGTTGTCGCTCATTTCAGAAACTGTCGTTATTCCCTTTGGTTGGTTGAGGGGGATCCATCAATCTGTATCTCGGTATCGGAAGGTATCCTGCTCGTCTTCCTCCAAAGGTGTCCAAGATGGACATCGTAAACAAAGATGCAACCAACCGACCAACAACAGGTTGCCGCAACAGATAAAAAAAGAAGAATCCCACATGAAAATAAGGGATCTCCTCACACCACTTGTAACAGCGACAAAGGGGAGAGATACAAGTGACAAGTGAAGCGAAGACAAACAGCAAACAACATCAACAACACAAGACACATCAATGTCCCGATTGTTCATGCGTGCAACCCATATGTCCTTCTTTCCCCCTTCCTTCTGGCGAGGGGTGCTTCACCCCACATGCCGCTGCCAATGGCAATGACATCGGCCTAGCCGGTCGGTCTCGTATGCTGTTTGCCCATCTCGTTCACTTTTAACATACCGGTTGAACCTAGCATCTGACGATAAAATAACGTCCTCTTGAACAACAGCAACATTGACTAGTACTGGCGATGATGATGGTGTGGTGGGATCGGTCTCGCTCCTTTGTCCGTCTCCATTGGAGCAACCCAAACTGAACACTCTTTTTTTGTTTTTTTGGTTGTCAAGCAAAGGCAAGTGGGAACATTTTTAGTGATTGACACATGGGTTCTTCCCCTTCTGGACAGAGAGTGTGCCCAATCTGTGGTGGGGGGTTTTTTTGGACTTGTTCTCCATCGTTGGTGGTAATATTGTTCGTTGTTCGTTATTCGTTGTTCGTTAGTTCTTCGGCTGAAGAGAAGGGCCAGTTGTCTCTTTGCCACTCCAGTCCTTTGTCTATTTTGTCACAGAATCGGGGGTTTCCCCTTCTTCTTGCCAGGCTTTCCCCCCTTCGTAATGTTGGGGGTGCGAATGAGAATCCCTTCCCTTTTGATTTTTTCACATGCCATCTCTTACACACACACACACAAATATTTCAATTAAGGAGCGCAAGGGACACTGGACACGTGTCCAATGCATTTCATTATTCATCTTCCACACAAACCCACATCTCCCACACGTCTCTCCCACACAGGGACCAACGACCAAGCTCCAGATTCCTCAACCCTAATTTCTCAAGGACCAATCGACACCCTTTATCAATCCAATCTAAGAACCCGTTTTTGTTTTTCCTCCCTCTAACAATCCTCCGTATCGCCGCTTGGCCCCAGTCCCTCAAGCCTATAAGGCTCGTGCGGGGGCCAGTAGGTATCCTTGGCTCATGTATTTCTCTCCCATCTAATCAGCTGGTCCCTTGGAAGCAGGGAAGCCCATTCCATCTGTCAGACGATCTAGAACTATTTGAACATTTGGACACCTTGCGATGCAGGAAGCCTCTATCATTCATAGTTTCTTCTCCACTGTCCCCCACCACCACCACACCCCCATCCATACAGTGAGCCCTGATCCAAACCCTACGGAAAAAAAATCATATCCTGTTTGAAAGAAGAACCATAACATACACATGCAAACAAAAAAAGACAAATGCCTGCGGAATACAAAAAAAATCCAGGAACCAAAAAATGAGTTCAGTTCCCCACCTGTCCATAAGTGATATGCATAATCCCGGTTGTTTCTTCCCGCCTGGTTGTTTTATGTGTGTTTTTAAACGGTATGTTCTTCTCTGCGCATTTTTTCCCTTCCTTCCTTCCTTGCCTTCTTTGCTTGCTTTCTTACCCTCCTTCGTTTTTTCCTATGGCACATACCCCCGGGAAACACACCAAGACGGGAACAAAAAAAAAAAAAAAGATAAAAGAAAAAAAAATCACAAAGACATGCAGAGAAACGCGTGTATACAAGAGCTCGGAAACAATAACCGAAAGAGCACAAAGGCTTCTTTCATGCAAACAAAAATAAAACACGCACTTTGCCGTCCATTCGTATCTTACACTGAAAGAGTCCCCGTCCAGACCACCGTACATTGTTAATTGGTAGCAAATTTTATATTTGGTACATTTTTTGGATCTCGAAAGGGTCTCGCTGCTCGGCAAAGTGAGAAGCATTGATTTTACTGAATAGAGATCGAGTGAGAACCTCATTTAAGAAAACCCTGAAGACTTGCTGAATCCACCATACTCCTTGACAGGCGTCCGTCCCGAAAAGTCCTGTAAGCGAGGTCTCTTCAGCCGTCTCTGCTGTGCAGCCGCATGGATCGACGCCAAATCAGCTCCAGCAGGAACAGGGGCTGCACCCGCAACAATCGGCACCGGCGGCACTCCACCTACCGATGAAGAAGCTTCAAGAAGAGACGTGGAATCCAAAGAGGTCACAGAGTTCACAATCGCAGCCACAGAACTGCCCTGAGCACCGCGCGGGCCCCAATACGTCCTCAACAGACTGCCTTCCTCACCCAACTCTGACAGATATACCTGGTCTTCTCCCTCAATCTCCTCACGCGTCGGGGGTGTCGTCTCCAGATACGGCACGGGTTGAGTTTTTCCGGTCATGCTGAACAACGGCAAAGTAGGGTCTGAAAGAATCTCTTCCGTGCTACTGGTCACATTGTTGGCGTTTCCGCCCTGGCTGTTGCGGAATCCACCCGGCCCTCCGGCATTACCACCAAATCCGCCTCGTCGGTTATTACTGTTGGCGTTGTTGTTTCGGCTGTTGTTGTCACTGAATCGAGGACCTCCACCTCCTTGCATACCTCCTCGTCCACCTCGGTTGCCGCCACCAACATTTCCACCTCCTCGTCCACCCCAGGCATTACTATTCATGCCCTGTCCTTGGTTCGGGTTGGGACTGCTTCCGTCTGGGACATTCACTATACCAAGACTGGGATCTACCTCCTTTGCATTCAAGAATGCTCGCAACACCGGTGCAACATATGTCATCTTGACCGTATTATAGTCCAGTCCCGTCGGCGAAATCATCTCTCCAATTTGTCTCGCCACCTAACAAACAAGTATTTGAAAACAAACATACTAGTGAGTAGGCCGCATCAAAATATTTACGTGCACACCTTTCTCACAACCACAGGAAAACAAGCTAATATACTTACGCTAGCATGGCTAAGAGAGACGGACTTGAAGCGCTGTGCAACCAACCACAGGTCCGCCAGGATCGCTTGAGCACTCTCACGCAGAGCTTGATCCTGATGTTGCTGTGTCTGTTGGTACGTCTGCAAGGCTTGCTGGATAATCTTGATCTGAGTCGGAGGGAGGTTGTCTGGGTGGTTAATTGGTCCCGGTAGAACAGCAGGGCGAGCGTCGGTAATCAGTTTTTCAATAACAGTCGTAATCGTGTCCGGATGCGAAATACTGGGTTTGCATATCGCCTGCCTGAATTGTTCAAGCAGAACACTATGCTCAGGCTAATGTTGGAAGAAGAGAAGACGTTGCTAATGTCAGCCTAAAAGTGGAGGTAGAAATCATAAAGCCGAGTATCGAGCAACCTCAACGGTATGGCCCTTGAATACTTACAGCGATGGGGTGCACGCGCTCTCCTTGCCATTGCACGAGCCAGCGCGTCTCCAAGTCAATCTTACTCGTCGAATGCACAACCGCCATATCGACTCCAACTGTCGCCTGATCTTTCCGTGCATGTGACTTAACTCCTCCGCCACCACCACTAGTCTTGAATTGAAGCGCGGCTGTAGTCTTCAAGGCAGGAGGCGTCACCTCAATGAAACTACCGCCATTCCATTCCCCGTCTGGCTTTACAGCATTTATCTGAACAATGTTTCTGATAAAGTCCTATGCCAGTGATGAAGAATTGATATAATACCAGGAGTGTTAGTCATGACTTTGAATGGAGGTCTTTCCCATCCTTTCATACGGAGGAAGACATCATATGGTGGCATACCTGTACAATGGGCGTAACGGTCCGACTGTGAAAATGGCGTTTCACGACTTCCGACACAGTACTACTGGTGGTAGAGCTAGAGTCATCCACTATAACAGAGTCTTCCCGCTTCGATCGCTCGTCCTTTGGTAATCTTCCCTTGGGTGGTAATGGTTGCAACTCTGTTACTCTCTTGGGCATGCCGCTCTCATATTCTGTAGACATGCAGTGAATAAAGAGTCTCCCGCCGTGATTCACGACCGTCCTTGTTACGACGTCGTCAGTAGAGTCCTTCTCGACCAACGTGTGTATCCGTGCTATAATTAATAATGCCAATAAGCGATAACAATGTCAGTCACCATGCCTACACAACATCACTTTTCAACATCGTCTCCTCTTTGACTTACGTGCTATACCTTGAACAAAAAATGTTGTCACGAAGGTAAGCGGGTTCAAGGACGCAGCATGGGCACATTCCGTAGGTAGAGCCAGCAGCACTAAAAGAAAAAAAAGGCGCAGGTGATCAGTGACGAGCCAGAGGGTCGAGATAAAAATGGAGTAATCTAATGGCAAGAATGCACCATACATGGCTTGGCTCGTGTAATGGCGTGCACTCTCCCGTAATCAGCTTCGATGGCATTCTCAATAGCTGGCGGCTTTTCCTGTAGAATGGACGTAGCGGTGTCCTCTGTGTCTGTTTTCCGGACGGCGGTAGGTCCTATGTGATCCGATCTATGGAACAGCTCCGCTTTCTGGTCACAGAACTTTCCTGAAAATGGCATATCGTGTATACGAAGAACTTTCACGTCCTTGTTTTGAAGCAGAAAGTAGTTTGTGAGAGCTCGCAACGGTGACAGCTCATCCTCTGCAATCACCGTGTACACTGACGCCGTGCATATCCTTGAGATCTACGCGTAAAAAAGTAAAATAATGATTGACTCTCAGTACCAAAAGCAAGCGTGTCGAAATATGCACGCTATCTCTCATGCGGATTCTCGATAATCAAGCGTACCTGCTCCGCGATGATATCTCCTCGCGCTTGACTCTGGCTCGTCGCTATCCGTATAAGGTCCAAGTGAATACTGGTACTAATATTTTTCAAGTAAATAATGAGAAAATGATACCCTCTGTTAGTAAAATATTTCTGCATATATTCAGATTCCCCACGTATCTCGATAATAAATGACCCCGACAGTCTGACTTACTTGCGTTTCTTGATGGAAGCCTCCATGCTTCGGGTAGCTTCATATAAGATCCCGCGTATGTCCTGATCGCCATAGAACCAACCCTTCTCGTCTTCCCCTGTCATTTCTGCATCGCCATCTTCTTGGCTGCCCCCATGGGGAGACGTCTCGGGATCCACGATAACAAACACGATCTTGCATGTCGAACGCGGTTGTATCATCGCAGTGGCAGGCGTTGTGGTTGGTTGAGGTGCGCTAGGTGTGTTGTATACTTCGTCAAACTTCTTTCCTGCTCCCAGTTGCATCAAAGCTGATCCCGTCTGTTCCTGGGGTGGCTCGACAATGTGAGCGATCGCTTCCTTCAATGCCTGCTCAAACCAGGTGTCTGGTACCGTTGGCTCGCTCTCTGATACCTCCTTATCTTCCTGTCTGAGAAGCTGTAGTTGAGCGTTGATCTACAGGTGATTGTAACGCGATCAAAGAGGTAAAGGCACAAATTTAACAATCAATCGCAGTTCTTCCCATGTCTCTTGATGAGAGTGATACCAGATGGTGGCAAAAAATCAAAGGCGTTGTTCTTACCTCGCTCATGTTTTGCTCTTGGGAAGCCCACGTATTCAAGATGACGTTCCCGCCAGTCTGTCGATCTCCTGCTGCGACATGAACCGAGTACTATCGAAGCCAATGAACAACGGCGGAGCAATTAGTTTTCCTTGCGCGTTCCTTCAAAGAAACCTTCCAAGGTATTTTGTTAAAAAGAAAAAGAAAGTACCTGTGGAATTTGAGCAGCCGGGGTAAGGTCCAAAGTGATGCGTGAGAAGTGCAGGGCGGCATTCATAAAACTTGTCCACATGGAACAAGGCTCGAAGTCAAACTCATCGTCGTCTATTTTGCCATGTCGACAAAGCAAGAGGGTCGAGGAAGTAGACGTTTTTGCGGGAATATGCTGTTAGTAGGGTGTCTCGAATGTAGGAAGAAAGTAAAAACGAAAGGGATGACATGCAGCATGGTGTATGTGTGTGTTTTGGGTGAGTACCATCGCTTTCAAGGCCGTTGTTGCCCTCTGAGGGGACAAAGCATGGTTTCTGTCGTGCGAGGGGACTGTGGTCCAGGAGGAGAATGGTTCTCTGCAAGCTCATTGCAGTACAATTGGACAGACAGACACGTTGAGCAAAAAAAATATAAAGGGAGAGAGAGAGAGAGAGAGAACTTGGGCGAGTCAAATGAGGGAGGAGGGAAACAAGTCCTTTTAAAGGATGCCCGTTTCTTGTGGCTTTGCTCTTCAATCGTGATTTCTAGCTATTACGACAGATCATGCAGCACAGTACTAACTTTTTTTTGTGTTTATTGAGTCTCTATATACAGCCGTCTAGGTGTGGTGTGGTGTGTTGTCTCCTTCTACTCGATGTGCCCATCTTCAAAAAATCCAGATGTCCATGAGGATAAATAACCGACAGATTACCACAGCATGTGCGTTCGAGACTGCGGCCAAGAAAAGAAAAAAAGGAAAACAGACGAAGGAGAGGGGGCGGTTTGGAAGATAAATAAGAAAATTACGCCTCCAGCATGTTAATGATGGTGTTGTTGAAGACTAATTTACTTCTTTCCAAAGGTCAAGGGCGAACCAATGTCTTTGCCACGAAGCTTGACGCCCAAAGCGCGCTCGAGCTTTCCAAGAATCTGCTGGTTGGGGACAGCACGTCCAGCCTCGTAGTCGTTGATCTGATCGGTTAGAAGGAGAAGAAAGAGTAACACAATATACGAGTCAGTGAGATGAATATGACAGACAGTTACAAAAAATGGTGCAAAAAGGGAGAGTCCAAAGGGGGGAGGCGAAGGAGGGGAGCATGCATAGATAAGAGATAGAGCTAAGGCAAAGTCGGAGGCGCAAGGAGGAAAGAAGAGGGAGAGGGGAAGAGGGAGGGACAAAGACAAAAGGGCAAGACGGCATTCAAGACAAAAATAACAAATCGAACAACACAAACTGCGAGAGAAAAAATACTTACGACAGTCTGCTTCTCGTTGACCTTGACACCAAGATCCTTCTGGTTCAACTTCAACTCAATACGGGCCTTGGCGATGGCCTTTCCAACATCCATCGAGACGGCCTTGGGGGCAACAATCTCATCAGACTCGGCGAGCTTGGCGATGCGACGGAAGTCCTCACCGACATGTCCAGCGTTAGTGACGACCTTACGCTCGGTCGAGACGACGGCACCGGCACGGCGGGCGGCGTTGATGTCGGAGGAGGAGCGGGTGACCTTGGCGTGATCAGAGCGCTTGCGAAGAACGATCTCGTCGTCCCATCCAATGTTTCCAGACATGTTGATTGTAGTGTGTTGGGGGTGAAAGTGTGTGTGTTGTGTTGATGAAAGAAGGTGAACGGGAGCAGCCCACCTTTTTATCCTCTCCAAAGAAGCCAGAAGAACCTTTTCAGTACTAAATGCACGTGACTCGTCGCCCACTAATTGCATCACCGATTTTTGGTGGCAAAACGTTTTTTTATGAGCATATTGTACAAGGGTCGGGCGAAAAAAAGGTCAAGGGCTTGGAAGAGAGTGCAAAGGATTGCTGCTGCTTAGATTTCGAGGGAGTTCACTTCGTCGGCAGACTCTTTGTAGGCAAGTCCAAGCTGTGTGTATGCCTGGCTATCCTTCAGCAGCTGCGCCTGATTCCGGAGAAACATTATCCTGTCCCGATCGTACTTGATGGTCGTCAACTGGCACTTCTTGATAGTTCCTAAAAGCAAGCATAGTAGAAACAGCCAGTGAAATTGTTATTAGTTCCAATGCAGATGTTTTGTTAACGGCAAATGACATCAAGCACAACGATTTAAAGAACTGGCGCCCTGTTCGTACCAGATGTGTGAATGACCTTGATGATGCAGGGGCGTCCCTTCAACTGATTGATGAACGTCAATGCTCCCCAGACAATGTGCATTTCTTCCCTTGATATCCTGAAAATACCCACATTCGTATGCGGAGAGAAGTATTTTACTAGGTACCGCAAAAGCAAAAACAATTTGACGTTAATTCCAATTGTAACCCACATCCCAATGGCTACACCTCACGCCAATAATACAGACACACAAGGGATACTCACAGGTAAGGGGCCGCTGTGTGAGTCCTGCGCCATAGTCGCCAAAGTTCTCCGCTATTGAATCCTTGAGCGCAAATAAGAGGTCCTTGTTGGCTAGCGGCGGTAACCGGTAGTTATTTCTCCCCGTGTCGCCAAATGGACTTTGATCAGCGGCCTCTCCTGGTTGAGTGGCGTTGGGTAATGCCAAACTGGTTGAAGCAGGAATAGAGGTCCATCCTAGTGGCGTGTCGGCGTAGACGATTTCGAAGAGAAGGTATCGATTCTTGAAGCGCACCATTGTCCTGTCTGCCCGTGATGTCGGTGGTGATGTAGAAATGAGTTGCGCATTGGAGTCAAGGCGGACAAACACTATTTTTTTTAGACCTTTGCACGTCACATTCAGAGGAAATAATTGAAATGGACAAACATTTATTTCCGAGCCAGGTTCCATTGCTCGGTCTGTTGTTGAAGATCAGCCTCGCCCAAGGTCCTTCCTTCCCCCTCCTTCTCACCCTCCCTTCTCCCTCACTCTTCACGACATGTTCGGTCTTCGCACAGTCCTCCCCGGAGCACGCTCCTTGGGTAAATTCTCTTTTCCAACAACTCGTCAATGGGCACCTCAACTAAGCAATGGGACAAACAACAATAACCGCGGATCAAAAGACACCTTGCCTAGTCAATCGGAGCACGGAATCTGATCCGACCTACCAAAATATTCAGGGGGACAACACACTCCACCATCGCTCACCTTTGGTTCAGTGGACTAACCTACACTTTCTATCTTACTCTCAACAACACTAGTTGCATCGACAAAGTCGACTCCCACCAATGCATTCCACACATCGGCCTCGGCTCTCGCCAGACCCCGTCGATCCAGGAAGGACATTGTCATTCAGATCCGCAAAAACAACCTTCAGAAGCAGGAAAAGAAGCGCCTCGACTTTGAGTCTTCGACCCCAGACTATATCATTGGAAAGCAGACCGAGTTCACACAATCCCTTCTTCGCCCTCAATCCGTCTTCCAAGCTCCCCTTGCCGCCATCAAACCCGCCACACCTGAATCCAACACAACCACCAACAACGAGGAGGATGCCACTACAAAGTCATCCGGCTTCGCCTTCACGACCTCATCATCATCACCCTCTATCTTTTCGTCGTCTTCCAGGACTCCCCTCATTGTGTCGACCTCGAACCCCTCGGGATACCAGCACTTTTTGACCGAACAGGAGGCCGATCTGATCTTTGAGAAGGTGCCCCATGTCCAGGTCCAGGAACTGATGGTCCGCTCAACCCTTGTCAACGAGAAGCTCCAGCTCCCCATTGAGCAGCAGAAGGCCGAGCTCGTTCGCCGCATCACTGCCCTCGAGAACGGAAACGCAAAACAGGTTACATTGGAGAACGTCAGGAGGGCCAGGGAAGCTTTCCAGCGTGCCGAGGGCGATACTGGAAGCCCTGAGGTTCAAGGTACATTTTTTTTTTTTTTCTTATTCATGGCATCCTGGAGTAGCATTGACAATCTGAACATTGGATTCGATACATTGCGCTGGACGAAAGGAGAACATGAATATTTTACGGTATAGTCAGAGACCCTACGCGAACTGAAATACTCATGCTAACATTGTGCAATTTTCTGATTTTTAACTAACTTAGCCGCTGTGATGACTGTCAGGATCCAGAACTTGCACAACCACATTCTTAACAACAAGAAGGACAAGCACAACTACCGCCGTCTCCGCATGTTGATCCACCAACGCCAGACTGTCCTCAAATACCTCAAGAAGACCTACCCTGAGCGCTACCACGTCTGCCTCGATCGTCTCGGTCTTGAGCCCCGTGCCATCGAGGACGAGATCGTCGTTTAAATCTCTTTTTGGGATGAAGTGAGATCATTATCGTCAGGCATTTGGAGACAGTGAGGAGGAGGAGGAAGAGGAGGAGAGAGAGAAAGCATATTTTTTTTATTATTACTTTGTTTGCATTAAACCCGATAGACCGTCGAACTTTTTCATCTTTTATTTTGACAATGCTTCGTTCTATCCCATCGACCAAGGAATGTAAACTGGGCGGGCAATTAAATAGGCAAAAAAATAGGGGAGGACCATTATCCATTACATTCATGATTCGGGAGATATTTCAAATAAAAGAAAAAAAAATGAAGTAGCTGAACCATACGATGTCTTTGTTCAGGCATCAGTAGCTCCAACCCGACTCCCAAATGACCCAAAAAAGAGCAAAAGAGAAGCTCCCTGGCGGGGAATTGAACCCCGGTCTTCCGCGTGACAGGCGGAGATACTCACCACTATACTACCAAGGAAATGAGCTTGTTGGATACGGTGCCCTGGGGCCCATATTTCAAGTTGAGAGCGGAAAGTAAACGTTCTTGATCCCAAAGTTCGGTATGTCACGTGATCACTCGCGCACGGCCGCCGCCCTGGCTACCTGGGGACGCGGTCTTCCGGGCCCCAATGTCCATCGCCAAGACGGTCCTGCACAAGTTTGTTGGCTACCTGGAGATGCGAGCCTCGGAGCTGATCTGGAAACCTCGATGCTCCGAGACGATCGCATGGGAACAGACCCAGGGCATCTCTGCCAAGGACAAGACATCCAAGTACACAGGCCCCTGAGGTGACTGGAGTCAAGGATACGGTTACATCACCCGCGATGGCTTCTGCCCGTGTGACGCTTCGCTAGCCACACATTGTGAAGGAAGGTGCCCTGGAGCGACCAAGGACCCACGCGCTGCTGACGGGCGGTTGTTGGAGAGTTTGTTAGGAAGGAGGAGGTTATCAATGATGGAGAGTATGGGAAGAAACCCCTTCATTCGTATCTTCTTCCGTTTAAGCTGTGAAGGCAGCGACAATTGTTGTGCGGATGTGCACTGAAGAATTTGGTCTGTAGTCCCCTTTTAATTCCAAATGACTTCTCTGTGCTGCAGACCAGAGAAATAAAATTGTGTTCCAAAAAAAAAAAAAAAAAAGTGATGATCCCTGACATGCAACCCTCTTTAGCACTGCTACTACACAAAAAAATCCCCCAAATAGTAAGCGCCTTGGCGACCCCTACGGTCGCTTCCTCATTTACTGCCATCGATTTTTTCTCTTCTTCCTTTCCTGATGCAAGGAACGAAAGCACCCGCCAAGCAAGGCGAAAGATTTCTGAAATTGGTCTTCATGTTGGTGTTGATTTTGATGCTCCCTATTTTTTCCTTTTTTTCTTCTCCTCGGTCTAACCAGCAGCAACTACAACAGCGACGGTCCTTCTGTCGCCATGGCCGCCCCTGCTGCCGGTGACCCCACTCGCGTCCGCGCCCATGCCTTGGGCGCTCCCGCAAGCGGTCGTCGAGCGCTTGCAGTTTTTAACAAACGCGAGGTGTGCGCCGACGACAGGTAATGTCAACAAATTTGCGACAAACTCGAGGTTGGTCAAAGAGGTGCGATAGTGATGGTACGGGTTCTTATTAAAAAATAAACAGCCGAGAAAAAGGCACAATAGACCACTCTACCTCTTGGTGGGGATAGAGGGAGTTTTTTTCTCATCTTTGCCCTTGGCGTAAGGAAGGGAGGGGTTGAGGGATTCGGCTATCATGGGTCGATTCTATGGAATAGTGGAGGTTTATGAGCTAGGGAGGAAAGGGGGGTTCTTGGGCATTTCTGGAGGTGATGGCAAGAACCTTGGGTGAGGTTGCTAGTGTTGGCTATGGACATGTGGTATTGGCTCTAGAAACGAGGGTTAAGATCGTCAGAAAGCTCCGTAGCATGGCTCGATATACATTTGGAACAAGATTGTTGCAAGTACAAATGATTATTTTTTTTATTGGCTTGGCTTCACTCTCTCCTTTTGTTTACGCGTTGGTGGTGGCTGTGCGCTGCAAGATCTCCTCCAACTCATCACTCCAAGACTCGATACACTTTTGAGCATTCAACGTGATCGCCAACGCATTGGGACTCATCATTCCCTCCAACGACCCACCATCCCCCCCACTACCCGTCGCCGTCACAGCAGACTCTGAAGACATAGACAACGTCGACAGAAAGACCTTGACATCGTTTGCACTCGCAGGCCCTCCACATATCATCTCCGAGGCGACCATGACCGTCGCCAGGGCTTTATCCAGATTCCAGGACCAATGTCGCTGGTCGAGCGGGACGACATTCTCGCCCAAAACGGCGATCCGGTTCATCTCGGTGAGACTTTTGGCGGCCAGGGTGTGGGAAAGGATGAGGAGCTTTGTGTGGTGTACCCAATGGGCGATCCAGCGAGACCATTCTTGCCGCATAAGGAGTTTGTCGGCTGAGAGGAAGTATTCGCGAGGGGCTGTGGAAGTGGCCGTACCGGATGAGGGGGGTGAGGGCGAGGAGGAGGAGGTGTCGCGTCGGAGGAGCCTGGCACCATTCTTCTTCTTGTGCTTGTTCTTGTTCGTAATAGCAGCAGACGCGTGAGTGGATTTGTGCACGAGAGAGTCGTCCTCGTGATCCTCATCGTCATCGTCGGCGTCTTCGAAGCTGAGACTGGCCATATGGAACCCCTCGTCCGAGCCATCATCCTCCTCTTCTTCAAACTCATCCCCATCCAAGAACAACCCCTCCGTCTCAACCATCCCCTCCGTCTCAACCACCCCTTCCTCGTCGACCGACTGAGTACTCTCCACTGCCGAAGGTCCAGACTTTGTAGCACTATCAACAGTACCACCAGCACTAGCACCGGCACCAACAGCTTTCTTACCACCAGCGGCTTTCTTACCACCACCAGCTTTCTTACCACCACCAGACCTGGACGACTTGCGACCAACACCGTCGACCCAATCGCGCAGATCCTTTATTATCCGGTCCTCCAACTGCCCAACCAGCTCCTCCTGTCCAGCCATCAAAGACTCCTTTGTTTGAGGAGCAGTCGAGCTCATCATGTGGACAAGCGTGTGTCGACTCCGGAGATGATCCATGACCTGTCGGATCTGGATCGACAGCTTTGACAGGATCGAGTCTCGAAGACTGGGGAGACAGGATTTCGACGAACAGAGCAGAATGGGTCCGTTGCCGCCGGTGCCTCCCAGGTTGGCGTTTTGGTGTTGGTGCTTGAGTTTATGTTTGTTGGTCACCTTGCGGCCGCCGTTTTTCCCGCCGCTCTGGTTCTTGTTGTTGTTTCTGGTGTTGCCGTTGTTGGTGGTGTCTTTTCCACCCTTCCGGGGCGGTTTTTCGCCCCGCTGGTCACCCTTGCCATCGTCGTCTTTTCCGATATTGGTCGGGAAGTGATCCTGTTCGTCCTCATCCTCTTCCTCTTCTTCGTCACCTCCATCACCGTCATCGTACCTGCGGAGTGACAGCAAGACGACAGAGTCACCATCACCCATACCAACCCCATCTTCGCTCAGATCCAAGTTCATCTCATCGTTGTCGCTGATAGTATCTGTGACGGGGATTGTTAGGTCGATCAGGGCTTCCAGCACAGCGACTTGTTCCAGTATGACCATGGCGGCGGTGGCATCGTCCTGACCTTCGACTCTCTTGTCTTCGTCGTCTTCTTCCTCCTCCTCGTCCTCCCATTCTTCTTCGTCGTCATCCTCATCCTCATCATCATTGCCATCCTCGCAGTCGCCCTCTCGCAAGCCCTCTCTCGCCAGCTCAGCATCAACCTCAACCACCACCACAACCTCAACCGCCGACGTTACTACAGGGTCCACCACCGAAATAATTTCAATTCCGCCCAGTCCCATCTCACTCTCGGACGTCCTCTCGTCTCTTCCATTCTCATTCATCCCAACTGCCTCCTCTATTTGTGCTACCACCGCTTCCACAGCCGCAGGCGAATGAAAAGTTGTATCCCTGTCGCTGCTACTGCTGGTGTCCGAGATAATCGAATTCGGAATGGGGGCAACGTCAAGAACAACGACAGGCGACAGAGGATTCCGAGGCCAAGATGAGGACGATAAGACGCCGCCATCTCCACCAAGCGGGAAGCTGCTCTCCCATGTAGCACACGGCTGGTCCTGTTGCTGTCCCTGCTGTCCGATCGCGGCAGGATACACCGACGCGACATACGCCGACGACGAAGAGGAAGAAGACATGCAGACAAAGACTCTGGTCGAGATCAGAACTGCGATCGCGATGGGTAAGCTGAGGATGACCCAAGGTTTCCGTAACGCTGCCGGGTACTGTGGTGCTGATGGCGCGGTGGCGGCAGGAGAAGATGGGGAGGATGGAGGGTATTTATCCTCATGCTGTTGTTGCTGGTTGTGGGATTCATATTTGGGTGGTGGTAGTTGCGATTCGACGTCTTTTTCGTTCTTTGAGTTTGTTGTTGGAGCTGGAGTGGTGGTTGCTGAAGGAGGTATGTCGCCGGACTCTAGGTCGGGGATGGGTTGGTAGTGATGCATTCGCGCACAAGGTATTTTAATAATCGTAGCCTTTCTTGAGGTAAAAAGATAGATGGGGTTGTTGGATATTATGAAAGAGAAAAGGGAATTGAGAACGGTCCCAAAAATGAAGTGACCCTATTTATGACAATGCCGCGAGATAGACGTTAAGTTTAGAGAGAAAGCAAGTGTAGGATGGAATTATGAAAGAGTAGTTGTAGTCCATATGAAAATCTCGGAAGGTCAGGCCCAACAGCCAGGTAGACAATGACACCCCCTTCGATACGATGCCTAGTCAGGGTGGAGTTGGATGGACGATAGACAAACAATTGGACGAAAAGGATAGATAGGATAGGATATTTACTGACCTAACTCAGTCTGCTTTGCTATGTGAGGTAGTGGTGGAAGAGGAGGAACCACGATCGGTCTTCTCTAGGACACTGACAGTCGGCAGCCATCCCCACCCCCTCACCTCAATCACCGGCTTCCACCCTTGGACGATCAGAGCATCCAGCATAATTACGGTCGAGAGAAGAAAGAGTCCCACGCTGACAAGAATATGCCACCACGCATGGAAATACAAATCCTTCACAATCCACACTAGCGACTCCTTTTCCTTCTCCGAGTGATCGTCCTGAACATGGTCGGTACCGAACGAAAAGAACGAAAGCAGCGTCCTCTCACAAAAGTTCAAATCCGTCATCCAGACCGCCACCGCGACCACATACAGCCCGATCCCAGCCTCGAACACCCATTTGATATCCGGATATGCTGCCTTGCGTGCAATGTAGACCTTGAAGATCAAGAACAGGGTCGTAAACTCCAAGGGTCCAAAAGTCCCATGGAAACTGTAAAACTGGACCGACCCCTCTGTGAAGGCCACCAATCCTGTCACAACCACCCCCACGACACCCAGCAGTTTAGGGAACCATGCAGGTTGGGGACCAAACCTGGATTCGATTAGACAAAAGAAGAGGACGAGGACGGAGTAGAGCATGGGCAATTCGTCGAGCATCTGCATGTGGTGGAGGAGGGTAGCGTGGAAGAGGAATGAGCCGATGCCGACGACGGTGATTGTTCGGAATGCGAGCTTGAACCTGAAGAGACTTGGTGCTTTTGCGATTGCCGTTCCTGATGTGTTGGTGGTGTCACTGGTTGAAATTGAGTTTGAAGAAGCAGCAGCGATGCGTTGCATCTCGGACTGGAGACGGTTGACAGAGTAGCAGGCTGTTTCTCCGAGGATGATCATTGCAAAGGAGGAGAACGAGTTGAAGAACTCTGCAATGTAGTATGACCAGACATAGTTGTCTATCGTCGTTGTTGTTGTAGGAGGAGGAATGAGTAAAAGTGAATCAGTCGTTTTGGTTGTTGAGTCCGAGGTCAAATGAACAGCAGTGTTCCTGAAGTCGGAGGAGTGAAGGTTGGTTGGACAGGGGAGGAAATGAACAGAATGACAGGAAGAGATGAAGGAGGGTGAAGGTACCTTCGCACCAGTCAATTGAGGAGGTAGGAGGACCCCAGTAGCCGGCCTGGCTGCCGTGACTGTGGTTAGGGACACTCATTGGTGTTTCGGAGGAGTGAAGGGGAGTGAAAGAAGAAGGAAAGTGAAAAAGACAATTGAGCAACCTGCGCCAATTGGGCAATCCATGCCCTTCCTTCCCTTCGTCTTGACTGTTTTTTTGATGCAATTGCCTCAGACCTCTGAGCCGCGAGAAAAATGACCAGGACGACCTCATTTTGTCAAAATAACTCAGGTCCCTCAATGAGACAGATAAAGTGATCAGTGATGGTGCGTGGATAGGGATCGACCTTCTTTTGACCGTCAGTCATTCTTTAGGGGTGGAGGTGGGAGACGGCTAGTGAGAACCGAACGCGACGATCAGTCCTGCAACCATCGCAGAAAGAAAAAGAAAAGAAGAGAAAAACATCACGCGTCATGTTTCGCAATTTCCCTTTTCGCGCCCTTTTTTTCGTTCGCGTTTTTTGTGATGCTGTAATCCATCGCGTTCCAACTTGATCCGAACGAAATAGGGTCGAGGACAAAGATATGTAACTACAAAAAAGCACGATCTCTATGATATCCTTGTAATAGTTGTCGTAGAACAATTCCTCTCGCCCCTTTCTTTTCTACATTCTCTTCTTTGATCATTTCCACTTCGTGATATCCCTTTCTTCTCTTGTTTTTTTTGCCACCCTTACCTCTCTTTTACTTCTTTAATCGCCATCACCAACAGCGCCATCATCACCACCATCCCCAAGAACCCTTTACATCTCTTCTCATATAATACAAATGGTCTCCCTGGTACTCTTGATCTTGGCCCCAGTCCTTATCTTGACCGCCGTGGTCGTTACAGGCATCGCCCTCTTCGCCCCCGGCGCTTCAAACCCCAAACCCAAGGTCACTCCGACTCTCATCACCCCTCTCGCTCCTATTCCAAAGGTCATATTCACGACGCGGATCCTACCAGAGAAGGGAGAGGTCACTACAACGTCACTTCTTCCCAGCAACATTTCCACAACCACACCCCTCCATCCTTTTGTTGATAAGATCCCGTCATCGTCCTTGTCGTCTGCTAACGTCATTACTACAACTAAGGTCCCTGACGTTGTCACCACCACCTCCAAGGGGCCAGAGGTTATCACCCCCACGAGCGTCGCTCTTCCACCTCCACCTCCTATTGCTGTACCCACCACCACCGCCGACGCCAAGGTGATCCCCATTCTCGTCCCTGCCTCTGACCCCGCACCTGCTCCTGCAGTCCCCTCAGTCAAAAGCATCAAGGAAAAGAACAAAGACGACAAAGAAAAGAAGGACGAGGACGAAGAGGGGGAGGAGGAAGATGACTGGGAGGAAGATGAGGAGGATGATGAGGAGGAAGACGAAGACGAGTCGTCGAATATTAATGGCACGACCGCCATCCCGGCAGTCAATGCTTCTGATAGTCGTCATGTCGAGACTGTCAAGTATGAGAGTGGTTCTGACAAGCGTAAGGGTAGCATTAACAGGAAGAAGAGAGCTGTCAGGATGAGACGATCTGTCGCATTGAAGCAAGGTAACTAAAAAACAATTGTTGTTCGTAATTATTTTTGTGCTTGGTCGAGAAATGTAAAAAAAAAAAGGGAGGAAGGGGTCGTTAGGGTAATGCGGAAGATGAGGAATGATCATTCACCTTTATCCCTTTTCATTTTTCATTTGGGGACGATTTCGATATAGGTGAACAGGTGATTGATTCACAAGCAAAGTCTACCAACAAAAACAAGGACAAGAAGCCCGCGGTTGTTGAAGAGCTCCAGAAGCGGATTGACGGGATTGTCAGGGAGCAGAGTGCGCCCTTTGAGGCAGAGCTCTTCAGGATCATGACCAATCTCCTTGACAGCCAAGACGCTGTCGAGTACCAGGACGTCCTCAGTTACATTGAGGCTACCACCAGGCAGGAGGACTCAGATTCGTCTGTCAACGACAATAAGGATGCTGCCACTCAAGCAAAATTCCACGCCCAAGACGAAGCAGCCCACGCGCCAGCCTCTGGCTTCGACCCACGCGCGCTCCTCAACACTCTCCTCCAACCCTTCGTCATCCAATTCCGCACCGACGTCCGCAACACTGTCATTTTCATCTGCGGCAGCCAACACGACGGCCTCATCGACGGCAAGATCAACGGTAACGACGACTATGCCAAAAAAGCCGCCCAGGACGATATCATCTCCACCACCCATTCGGACGGTGTCCACTTCACGGACCTGTACGATCCCAAAACTGCCGCCCTGGCGCTCGACTGTTTGAAGACCCACTTTGGGCATTTGACGGCGGCGTTGGGCAAGTTGCTGGTGGATCGGTTCGCGGCTGCGAAAGAGTTTTTGTTGAAACAGGTTGCGGGATTGGCGGGGGTCCCTCGGTTCTTGATTCCATTTTCGGAGGAAGGGGAGGAAAAGGGTGCTGCAGATTTTGTGTCTGCTGTTGCAGTTGCAGTTGGTGACGCCTCGATGTCGAGCGAGGAAGAGAAGGAAAGCGTTGAGCGGTCAGGAACGTTTGCGAAGTGGTTGGTCGATAGTATGGTGCACGAATTCCAACTCGCCGTCGAACATGATCAGGAGCTCGCTAGCGGTGGTAGGAGTAACATTGCGTCGGTCGCGAATCTACCCGATGCTGAGGAGAAGGAGAAGGAGGAAGAGGTGAGCCGCCCACTGGTGGCACCACGCGAGCCATCTCAGCCTAGAATTTGATTTCGGCGAAGCACCAACAAGATCTGATAACAGTGTACCACACAGCTGCGGGAAGAGGAGGAGGGAAGTATGAGCATGAGGATACATTACTCATTTACTCGCACACGCGCACGCACATGTTGCAACTGGCGGCTGGGGAACAGGAATAAAACTAATATAACATATCAACTTGTGTGCAAACGAAAGGAGGGGAGGAGGGAGATGAAAGAAGAAAGGAGAGGAGAAAGCGGGACATCCTAATTAGGTTGCTGTTCGTTTCTTCACAACCCGGTAACCCCACAAAGGGAACAACGCCCAGTCCTCTCCCGCTTGTTGGATCGTTGGATTGTTAGGTCCTGTATGCAAGTGTATGTTGAGTATGTACGTGTGTATGTGTCCGTTGATGGACAATCAAAACGAAGACGCTTCGCAGTTGGCTGACAAGCGAGGAAGAAAGCGGAGTGTGAGTTTAGCAAAGTGATGGTGAAAGTGAAAGTGAAAGTGAAAATGAAAAAAAGAAGAGATGCATGCTTCAAGGATCAGATCAGGGATACTGCTTTGCCCATCTTCTTTTTCAAACTCCATGCCATGGTGCACAAGACTAGACTGTTCGAAAGAGAGATGACACACAATTGTCAACTCTTTGCCCTGACCCCAAGGCCCAAGGGTCAAGAGACGAACCCTGCTTCAAGCTAAACTAACAGGCAAGCAGGTACTCTCTCTATCGTAGAGTGTATCATTGTGTATAGAGTTCCCAAATAACATCAGACAATCTGAGTGATGAATTGGCCACTGTTAAACAACAGAAGGAAAAGTCGCTTATCAGATCGTTTTTGTTATTTGGCCGATTGCGCCTCTCACTGGTTCAATTCCTGTTCCTGATCTCAAAGTCAGGTATATATAGATATATATGTCTTCGCCTGTTGGGCTAATACTGTGGCTTTCATCTTTTGCTTGCACTGTTCGCTTTGTGCTTACATACGAGTGCAAGGCTTCTAGCGCATACCCCAGGGAAAAGTTCTAAAGAAGCATGCTTTTAGATACGATACGAAAAATAGTCCTCTTGGAATGAAGTTACGAACTAAAAAAAATCCTATCTTCTAACGTGTTTAAACAATGAGCGATAGCAGCCACCACGCTATGGCTTTTCTCTCTTTGAACATTCCTAAAGGACGAAGAGATAGAGAACCAAACGAGATAGGCTTTGTTTTCGTTCACTCTCATTTGTTCCTTTGGTACAGCTCATGTGAAAAGAGATAGAGAAGGGGTAGGTCGTCAGTCAAGGGGAGAGAGAGGGGGTGAGAAGGAAACAAAGGGATGTTGGCATATTTTGATTTGAAGCAGGCAGAAGAAGAGGTTTGACTAACATGCACACGACCAGCCACTTCACTCATGTCCTGTTTCGTGAGGAGAAAATATCCCTTGCATGGTATCAAACATGTGTATCGTGTGTACCGTGCCCGAAAAATAAGACCGACGTTGTTGATTTTTTTTTGTTTCGCAGAAAGACGTCCACTGCTGGCCGATGCATGATGTTTTGTCGGCGGCCTCGTCTTCTTTGCGGTCTGCCGTGCCTTTGACTCATATCACACGACATATAGAAAGAAATGTCTAGGAGACAAGTAACATCCTCAGGAGCAAGGAGAAGGAGGAGCAAAAAAAAGTCGATGCAATCATTTTTTCCTTCTTGACTTAAAACGTATGGTGCTCATGTTGATCCCTTTTCTTACTTTCTTCTCCTCTCCTTCATATCTTCTTGTGACATTTCTTCACTTTGGGTTTTGTGCATTGTTCTGGACTCTCCAACTTCATGCACCTATTCCCCCTACAACCCAATCGATACAGAATGCACATGCAGAAAAAACACGATATTGTGAAAGAAATAAAAACTGAACGAGTTCTTGTTCTGCTCTCCTTACATGAAAATGTAAAGGGCTACTTTTTGTGCCGATTCCGGTTTTGCCTTGGAGGGGAGTCCATCAGATGTCGATCTAGAATAGTAAAAGACGATTGGATTGACTCAATGGATATGATAGGCCTCTTTACAACATGGACTGATGCGATAAATGTTTTGCATGGTGCGGTGGATCTTCCTGTTTACACGTATGCTAATACTCTAGCCCTTTTTCTTTTGCCCTCAACCCCTTTGCCCTCAATCCCAGTCCCCTCTTTGCTGCACTCTTTTGGACATATCTCCTTACTTGTCTCAACTGTATAAGGTGTTGCGGGTGTGAGGACATCCATTACTCGTTCGTTTTCGTACAAAACAATGACCCATGCTCTGCTCCGTTTTTTTGTCTCCACGTATTCCATAACAAAAGGATATTCTTTGTATCGGATCATGCGGATCAATCGTTATTTATTTTTCAAGGGTACCCTTTCTCTTAAACAACAAAGCCCATCTACCTGACGACGGAACGAGTCCTTGATGATTCTTCTAAGCAAAGGACAGTCTTTTTCAATCGTCCTTTGTTGCGTTTGGTCCTTTGCCACTTGCCTTTTTGGCTGAGCTTTGATCGCATCTTGTTTTCGCGCCTGTGGATTCCAATGGATCGATACACGCGAACCACGCACTTGTGGAAACAAGTGCTGTGAGAGACACTACACTAGAATGCAAGGGACAACAACAAAAAAGCAACAGAAAGGGTTCAAACGAGTCTGACCGTCATTCATCATCATCCTCATCATCATCTTTATTGTCTACCAAGCCGGTTTGGGGTCCATGGTGAAGAAGAGAGAATGTTCAGAGTTAAAAGGAATGACTCGCGGTTATCTCATCGTATGTGCCCGTGGGTAAACGCGTCCGTTTTACGTGCACTCTCTGTCACAGTCCGTAAACAATGCCAACGAATCATCATGACCCTTTTCTCCACTCCTTCGTTTCTGTGATGATGGACAAAGTAAACAAAAAGAACAAAAGAGAAACAAAAAGAGAAGGAAAAAGGGAAAGGGGTATGTGTAATGCTGTTGTCACTCCATTTCGTTTTTTTTTCCTAGTTCCGTTACAATCGTTTCTATTCATATCCATTTTCTTGTTTCTTTTGCCCCATCAAATAATAAATGGATCGGGTCAGGGTTTGCGGATTGCGCACGAGTACCTTCCTACAGGTCCTCATTCGAAGGAAGCAAAACAAAGTGAATACGCCCAGAGACGTAAAACCTTGCCCAGGCTTTCCCTTCTCCTGTCCCTCTCCCACACAACCATCCATCCCACCCAACCCGTTTCCAAACAAAGGAACACCGGCATGACCAAAAATCCACTTTGAGCTAGCTAGCTGGCCCACGACTCTGCGCCGGACCGGGCCGTGACTGTAGGAAGGTAAGGAAGTGGTGGTTTATCCACCTTTTCTATCTCTGCCTCTGTTCTCACGCAGAACCCTTATACTCCCTCCTTCCTCCACCCCTTTCGCTTTCGAACCCTTATTGGGGGAGAAAAGAAATAGGGAGTACGTTGGCAACAGACATAGGGGGTTCGCTGGCTGACTGGCCTCTCTTGGGAAAGGGAGGAGGGATCCGTAGCTGTTATCATAATTCGCTCAATGGCGAGATGAATACAATGAGGTGGCGGGTGGGTCAATTGGATGTGGCCAGAGAGATCCCGTCTCGATTTCACCCCTTCTTTTGTTTTGGATATATGAAAACTCCATGCTCTCCACTCCCCAATTCCCTTTGCTTTACGCTTTTGGGCATTTGGGACAAGGGGTGAACTGAGGATGAAGAGGAAGGGGGTGGAAAGAAATAAGACGCGATCTGCGCAAAAACTAATTCGTTCGCACAAAACAATAGGGAGGCAGAGGGACGACAACGAAGAGAAGGATAAGGATAAGGCATTTTTTTTTTGTCTCCTCTCATCCTGCTTAGTCGCCAAAGGAAGGAAGGAAGCGAGCCCAAGGTCAATTATTCCATTCAATCGTGGCATGCTTCCATCAGGGTATTTTTTTTTCTTTTCAATAGCAAAGGCAGACAGGTGGTTTTGTGTTTGGTTTGGTTTTCATCCTTCTTGCGAAGGAAGAGGTATTATTGATAGATTAAAGAATGAGTGTCTAATGTACATGGAGCTGAATGTGGGTATGAAAGGCTAACTAACTTTTTTTGAAGGTTTTTGTTATATACAGGGCGATAAGAGAGTAGACCAAGAGGAAGAGACTAAGTACAGCAACTTAGGAATGCAAGGGTGATGTTGTTGTTTGGTTTCGTTGTGGTGTGGGTAAGGTTAGACGAGGAGTGTCTACCAGAAGAAACCGCCCTTCTTGTTCGTTGCTGTGCTTGTTGTCGTCGTGGTCATGGTGTACTGAGGCCCTGTGGCCGACTTGCGGCGCAAGTCAGCATATTCAGCTCCATGGTGTGCTGCGGGGTGACCGAGAGAGAAGGAAGGAGGCGAGATACGACCGGAGGAGGTCTTGTTGTAGAGGTAGTTGGTCATGGGCGAAGTTGGTGGCGAAGGGTAGGCGTTGTGGCTGGAAGAGTTGACGCCAGACAGGGTGGGTGAAGACATGGGGGAGGAAGAGGCAGACTTTTGGCGAGGAAATCCTTGGAGGTCGGCGGGGTACTTGTAGCCAAGGTCTGTGTGTGAGGCCATGGCATCAGCCTTTTTGCAGCGGTCTGAGCAGTAGAGACTTGACTATTGAAAGGAAGGAAGGAGAAGGGGATGGGTTAGTTTTCAATTGCTTTAAAGTATTGCACATGGCTGGAAGGAGAAGTGGAAGTAGAGCCTTACCTCCCAGGCGAGGGGAATATGCTGTTCGCAAACGGGGCACCAGTTAAGATCCATTGTAGTTGTAGTAGTAGGTGTTGTTGATGGGTATGAGCGAGAGAGTGCAGAGTAAGAAGCAAGGGTCCTTTGAAGTTGTTGGTTTGAGTGAGAGTGAGAAAGGTCTTGTTGAGGTAGCAGAGAGTGTTGAAGGTAGTTTGTGCTGTGAGTGAAGAACCAGAACATAAAAAAGTAGAAACAACAAGAGAAGAAGAAAAGGTTGTGGGGGAAGTGCCTTTGTATTTATAATGGCTTGTTGACAAGTCAATCGAGGATGGATCACATATGAATGAGAAAAGACGCAATAATCGTGTATTATCGTATCTGACTCGACTCGACCAAGGGTGACAAACACGGGTAGCGATACGATTGAATTGAAGTCGAGAATTGAATACAAGTGTTCAAGTGAGTAATCTGTACGCAAGAAAACGCAAGGCACGGCACGGCAAACAAAGGGGTCGTGATTGAATAGGCCATTCAATTGAGAATGCTATTGTATTCGCCATTCAATGGCCCTTCTTGGCAAAAGAAGGTGACTAACTGCGTTGCTTGTTCACTCCTGGCTGGGGGAATCCTCGTCTCTGATTCGTCCATTGACCCGCGATGACTCTTTTCGAGCAGCCGAATCCATTTTGTTATGGTTGTTTCCTTCTTTATACATGTACCTGGCCTTGGCCTTATTCCTTTTCATACAACTTTCTTTTTTTTTCTTCCTCTTTGGTATGGTATGACAATGACAACAGCAGCCAAGCAAACCGCACCATCCCCCCACCTTGCCTGGTCCATTCGCAAAAATACGAACATATGCACAACTCCTCTACTTAGCCGCTACGAAAGTAAAAAAAACCCCCTACCTGGCTCAAGCGAACATAAAAAATAAAAAAAGCCAGTTGCCATTGTGCCTGAATACTTAAAAGAGTGGACCCAAAATAACAGAAAGAAAAAAGAGATACATCAGCACATCTAATAATTCTCCTTGCTTGTGTATTGTCCAATTGCTCCACTCGTACCAACATGCTCTACGGTTCAATATCGGCCATTCTCGCTTGCACGAACCATCCCTGCCTATCCTCACTGGGCGAGATCCAATGACCCACTCACATCAATGTGTCTGATCGATGTGCTGTCCCTTCAATCCCTTGTAACGTGTCGTGATTGTTGTTACTGTTAGCAATAAAGGGCTACAATCATTCCATACCCAATTGCTGTGCCCACAAGCTGCGGCCATCCTGTTTCTAATCATTTGATTGTATGTCGCCACCACCACCTTCCCTAACTCCAAAGGATCATGCTACCGATTGCTAAAACAATCTCAAGGGTCGCTTAGCCGCAGTGCAGAGAAGGATTGCGGCAAAGTAATGCTTAGCTGGAGGCGCTAATTGACCCATGGTGTTCTCCACCTTGTGATCAGCCTCCGATCGTTGTTCGACTCCAAGGGAGAGATGAATCGCCTTTCTTTTTACTTTCTCACGCGCCAGTTTAGCTCTACCCTCACGCAGAGACTCATATGCTTTTCAGTTGGCGGTGGCCCAGTTCCTTCAATCTGTTTGTTCCGTCTAACAAAATTCCTTCCAGAAGGTGCTTTCTAGAGATGTACACACAAAGAAACCATATTGATTTATTTCCTTTAAAGTCGACGATGGCCTGCTACTCGATTCTGAGCAAAGCAACCATTTGGGGAACATCCGTGTGCAAAACAAAGGGAAATATTAATCATATGGGAGAATAGTCCGCCTCTTGCCTCATGTCTTCTCTTTGTCTCTGGTCGCCGACAAGAAAGGCGGAGCTGCGGTTGAAAAAAACTGAGTGTAGCGAATCGATGGGTAGCAAAGATGAGATGGCCGCCAACAAAAGCAAAACCTGGGGTAGAAGCCTTCCCTCTTCTCTCACACAGACACAACTCTCATCCTCTCTCTCTGTCGTCGCTATTAACTTGACTGGGTCAATCAAGCCATTAAGCCGCCAGCCACTTGTATGGCCCCTCTATGCCCACGTCCCCTGTTGCTTTCTTTGCCTGTCTTTTTTCCTTTCTTGTCTTGCCTTGTTATTGTTGAATCCGAACAAAGCACACCCGGATCCTTCCTATGTTTGTTCAATTATATATCGCCCTTTTCATATGCGTCTATGTCCATGTTTCTCTTTTTTCCTTTGCCTTTGTGTTCGCGTTAAGATGCATGTTTAGTCAGAGGCAGTAGTGGACGAAAACGGCAGACAATAAACACAGGCCACCCGTCAGCGTCCGCCGGGCAGGGTAGGGCAGTGTTGAAAAAGAAAAAAAAAGTTGCCTATTCCGGTGACCAGTTCCTGTTTTTGTTAATCTAGAAGACTCCATGGTGGCGTGTTTGTCTGTCTCTGCGGGTTGCGTGTTTATAGGAATAGGGGTGACGATGACAGTAGGACCAAGCTTGGATAGAAAGGAAGTGATGGGTACCCCTGCCAAGTGTTGGACAATTAATAATACCGCGGATACTTGTTTGTATGTAGCATGTCATCGATTACTGCGCCTATTACCAACCAAAGAAAAAACAGCCTGCCTTGTCTAGTTACAAACAAATACAAACAGAGAGGAAGCATACGATGATTTCTTGTTTTCCCCTCGGCATGATACGATGGCGATGGCGACACACACGCTCAGTTATCGTGCGTGTGTATTCTCGATTGACCGTTGCCCCTTTGTTGTTGTTAGCGGCGATGTGCGATGATGTCGATGATGGTTTATAACTGTGCCTCTTGGAGGGAATGACGCGACTACGGCGAACATCCAGGAACAACAACAACACTTAAACTGATTCATAAGCCTCAAGGCCGTCCAGGTTGTTTGCCTTCAGCTTCTAGCACACTCTAATGCCATCCTCGTCAATTAGTCATGCAGGAACAGGGGTGTAATAGAAAGTGGGGGTCAGAGTTCGAGGTGAAGTGAAGTGTCAAATGGTCGGTGTCAATCGATGGTGGGGTGCCATACAGCCCTACCCTTTTCTTTTTTCATTTCATATTTGATTGCCCACCCACCCATCGGCTCACTCATTGTGCTCTCTCCCTTGTGTTTGTTGTTTTTTATGGACTCAACCACTTTTCATACAACTCAAAAACAGGTGAGCACCCCCATGGTGCCACTCATTCTCCTCCCCCTTCATTAACCAATCCCTCTCTCTCCGTCTCTAATACCCCTGTTTGTTATTTGTACATTGACAGCCAGCCTAGCATGCAACAACAAATGAATGTACCTTTTTTCAAAAAGGCTATCCCATTCCCGCTCGAGTTTGCACTTTGCAATATAACCTTGTTGGCCCATGGCCCATGGTGTTGCATGGTCTTTTCAGGTCAGGGTACCCTTGGAGGGTCCTCGCTTCGTTGTTTGTTGGCGTTGGCGCCCAGATCGACCAGCCTCTCTGATTGTTTGTTTTTTGCCACATTGTTTTTGATACCCCTATTCTCAAGGAAAAAATGATCCTCCCCTGTTTGGGAAAGGATGGGCTATCCAAAGGAGATGAAAATTCAATCACCTAAGCAAAAGGGAAAGGGAAAAAGAAAGCCCCATCACCATGTGTATGTACCAATTGAAAGCACAATACACCATCCACACCCACACCACATACACGTTTCGCATCTCTTTTGTTATCGTTGTTATGTATTACAATATACAAAAATAGCACCCATGGGTTGTGGATCAAAAATAAGCCCTTTTCTCCATCGAACGGGATGAGCATTGGACAAACAAAAATCTAGGGTCCTCATGTCGCTCTCTTTTCTCGTTACTTGTTATTCTTTGATGACTTTCACGTTTTGGTAAGATGGTGCATGGGATGCACGCGGATGAGATGGGCAAATGGTCCGGCTTTAGTTCCTTACACTGAATAATTTGCTTGGCCCAATCCACTCCCCAGAAAGGGCCTAATCCTGTTTGCATACGCCATCATGTCGCCACTTTTGCACCTTTTCTCGTGTTTGTTTGACATGCTTTGTTTTTTGTGTACCATATATGTGAACCATGATGGGTTTCATTTTCTCGATTGCTTTGTTTTACCTCTTCCTATTACTTCCATCACACGCATAACCAACCCGCCGACTCTCCCCGATTGCTATACACACACTCTCTCTTTCTCTCTCGCACACACACGCCACCTACCTTCAACTCCAATGCACCTTTTCTCCTAGGTACTACATACTACAATACGTTCTCGTTAATTGCTCCCTCTTCCTCCCTTGCTCTCTCCTTTTGGGCACAGGGCACACAAAGGGGCAAGGGACGGATGAATACGAGTAACAGAAGCGGGAAACCCTGAACCCCTTGTTTTGTCTCCGTCCATTCCTGTGCCCCCCCCCCCCCCCCTTCCATCCCTTCCAGACTCCCCTCCTCCCCTTCTACTACCCCCACATATTTGTTGATTTTGTGGTCGCTTTAGCCATTATGTGTTCTCAGTCCATCTGTCAGTCCGTCTGCTTGCCTGTCAGTCAGGCCGGCAGTCTTCAGCCAACGAAAATGGCGAATGGGTCCTGCAAGGATGATACCTTATTTTCCCTATTCAAACCGCATTCACAACAACAACCACAATCGCACACAAGGCAAAAGAAGAAAACACATGTTAGCAATTTTTTTGATGGTGTCACAATATCTCACCCTAAAAAATCAAACGTGCAAAAATAGCCTTTCCACAAGCACACACGACACTTTGAGAAAGCTAAGCACGTTATTGCATCTTTGATAATCACGATGGCGACATATACTTGTGGTTGTTTTTGAGCTGTTGGACGACTTGTTTTCATGAGAAATCACACCTTTTTCTTCTTTTATCGGCTGCGTAAAACGGTTGATGTCGTCTGTGCGAAGGAGGGTGGACGATGAGATGTATCACACGCGTAGAGTTGGGCGAATGGTTGACGTTAGGATGGCTAGAGAGATTGTCCTGGCTGAGTGGGTATGGTGCAATCGTCGTGTCTGTTTTCTTTTCCCCCTTGGGCGAAGTCCTCCCTCTCTTTGCTATCACAGCTATATAAGTGGTACATTGAGACGACATATCTGG